TCAAAACTTGTCATCGGTAATATCTCATCGGGAGGAGATTTAGCGGGTCTGCAAGCACGCGCCGATCCCTTCCATCTTTAAAAAATATTATTTCTTCTTGGTGCGTCAATTTGGAGCTCGTTTTGATTTGTGATCGGATTTTTGGGGCTCCGTGCTTCAAAGAGCTCCGCGCGCGCTTCTCGGCCCAGTCGAAACAAACTTCCAAATCGTGACGGATCCCCTTAACCAAACCTGCCGTACATTTGTGCAGGAAAAATTTGCCACCTTTACAGTCAATGAAACACAGAAGGTCTGCCCGATTATGTCTAAGAATCACTAGAAACCGATTGGTTTGGGTAAAATTGGGTATTGGAGGGGCCGCATGGGCCCCAAGTACAAAACTTGATACCGAGTGTCTGCCAACCGGCCCGTATCCTCTCCATTCTGTTAGTTAGACAATCGAAAATCGGACTCGGGGGAGCTCGCTTTCAAGTGATCAACCGACGCCTGGTGAAGGAGATCTTGTGAGAGAGGACAGGACCGGCAGACACACAGCTAACCTAGCGTGGGGGCTGCGCACTCGTACCAGACATGGATAAGTCACTTGGCTGATTAAATTGGGTGAAGAAAAATTTTGGTTCTAGATGTCCGAGAACATGTTTATGGTGATTGTCGTTCTGGAGAATGGTGTACTCCGCAGTAGGGAGTTGAAAAATTCATAAGCTACGTAGGAAACATATTGTCTAGTTACTTTGGATTAATGCTACCCGTGCTCATCCATCTGAAAATCTAACTTTTTGATTCTTGTGATTCGGATCTAGAATGCCTTTTTCAACGAAGGCGGTAAAAATAATCATTGTGTCAAAATTTACATTCACTTCGCCCCTCCCTGCGAAAATACCTGAAAGAATGCCGAAAGACAGATCTTATGGTTTTAGGAAAATAATCTTTTTCTATGGGCTCTTATGAAACCGTTTTAGTAAAATCGCCTTCTGTCGAAGGAGTCAGAAATTGTGAAGCACTCAATTGGTACGAGTTTATTTAAATTAGCAAGAATGTAACTTCTCTGACTTTTTCATTATTGTGACAAGTATGTCATTCTGTTGATCTTATGGTTCGCTGTGTCTATCTGTGCCTCTAGAAATATTGACCAGACTAGTTTGGATAAAGAGTGCCTTATCAAAGGCTTCAAAAATAGGAATATCTGTTAATTATCAAAATATGATAAGGGAATAGTGAGTTAACTTACAGAATAGAGTTCAGAGAGATCAAACAAAGGTTTGAATTCCTGTAATTATGGTTTGTTGCGTTTCGAGTAAACTGCCCTTTTCAGGGTGCAGAAATTGAAAACTTAATCAGATTGATCAGATTTTTTATTTTTATCACATGGCAAGGAAAACCCTCAAAAAATATTTAAATGAGGAAAAATAAATATGTTTTATAGTTTTTAAATGATCTTTACCAGCAGTTTCTTATCAAGAGACAAATGATGACGAGAAGGAGAAGATGTCTGTGGGAAGAAGAAAAAAGGGATTAACGAAGAAAATCATCATACTCTCAAAAGAATAATTGTGCGACAAGTTTTACTACAATCAGCTGATTAGCCGGATCATTAATTGCTTATCAGCAAAGAAGCACTCACAAGTCGGGCCACGCGGGACGTCGGACTCTCACCGACAGCCTCGATAACGGACTGTGGGAGCACCTGGATATCCGGTAAAATCACAAGCTCATCATTCTGATAGTTCAACATCACGAGAATTTTTCACTGATAAAATTTGTTAGCGAAAGAGGCATTTCAGAGCAAAATATTGGGAAAAAATGCGATAAGTGATGATGACTCGCCATTTTTTTAAATGCAGATCGAAATTCAAGGGATCATATCAATGATATCATTTCATTCAAATGATACAGATAAATTTGGCTCTGGTTCAACCGGAAATACAAGTTGCCGGAACATGGCTAGAAAATTCACACGTGACCTTTTTTCGCGGCCCGTTGTTCTGATAAGCTTACTCAATTTGCAAAAAGAGCTATGAATTGCGACGCCCAGGTGAGGAAGAACGGCGGTTTCCGCCGCGCCAACCGCAACGATTGGCGTCCGTAACCAGCTGGTTGATCCTTCTTCTTTCTTTTTCGCCGTCTCGCTCCGACGACATTTTTGAGCAAATCTGATATTCAGCGAAATGGCGCACGCAGTTTTGTTATTTCCTCTTGAGCGGAACAGAAATATGCTATCCGATACAGAGGCGGAAGTCGGAGAAGCAGTCGGATAAAACGGAAATGCTTCTGCTAGAGCGGAGAAATTATGCGCTCGGTTTCTAGCTGCATTTGTATGGATGAAAGAAAGGGACAAAGCGATTTTAATTGCATCAAAAAGTTCTAGAGAAGAAAAGGAAGACCATAATTTCTTGGCATACTAAATCATATCGGATTTAACAAACAAATAGCTGGTTAGTTGACGTAATACATTTCCTGAATTTATGTAGCCTCTTCTGATGAAGCAGGCCTATCCTAAAATAAATAAACGAAAATTATTGCCGTTTTTCGATATGCATTTCGGATCACTAAACAGGGCCGATTTTAGAAAGAGTAAACTTATCAAGCAGGCATAACGGTCAACGCCCATTACAGGGGCTGAAAGGCGATTTTGAGACGCCCCGCGGTGCGACCGCGTTTTTTGGCGCCAAATTCAAAATACCAACAGCGGCGCGACCCGTTCATGATCGAAATTTTCCCTTTGAGGGGCGTGCTAATCCATCATTAGACTCGCAGTAGGCGCGAATAGCTGTATACAGTATACATACTCTTCGTCTGTAAAAATCTGATTGCTAGTGAATTAATTTTGAAGAAATTTATATTCAGTGACGTCTGGCAGACATTTAGGAAATAACGGACTCAATCTCAAGGGTTTCTTATGTTATTTCTTATTCATTCATGGTCGGAAGAAAAGAAAAGGCGCAAATCGATTTTTTGCTTTGAACAAATTGCTTATTCAAAAGTGGATAGAACCCAATTGTACCAACCGGTATGCACACATAATATTAAAATTTTAATACAAAGCGGTTATCGTATCAAGTGGCCCTGGGGCGTGTGCCCAGCGCAACGCCCACTTGAAACGATTTTCTCGGCGATTTCCGACCAAGATGATGATAATTTATTGACGTACTTGAAAAAGATGCATATTTTAATACCTAAGCCTATGTGAATTCGAAGCCTTGTTGCAGTAAGTAAAGCTCTTTTGGCGGCGGTCCTATCTGAACCGTTCGGCACCTTACGAACCGAACGGTTGAACCTCCGAGGCGCTTCATCCCCTCGACTTTAGTAGCTTGATTAGATCTTCGGTAATCCTCTTTCACCACTTGGCCCCTTCCCACTGATAAAGATTCGCGCTACGGATCCTCACCCTCTTTCTTAATCCTCAAACGTTAATTCACACTTATTGATAGCTCGCTTCCAAAAACACAAACAGAAATTCTACAGTCAAATTCAAATGGAGGAAGTGTCAATTATCACCGGACGGGAGTCTCAAGAATGGGCGCGTCATCCTCTTGAGATCCGATAACTCACGTGACTGTTTGTTGTCCTCTTTGCTTATCGAAGCTGTGATCAGAGCGCGCCAGCATATCGCGCCGGGCAATCGGTTTGACCTACTCACTCAGCCAATTTTCTGCTTGACCGGTTGGTGACACTCGGCGGGATATCGACGCACAGGATCTCCCGCCGCGCTTGCTTTGCAGGCTCTTATCAGTCAAATATTTTGGAGATGTTCCTTCAAACAATTGAGCACTGGGAATCCCGATTCGTGACAGAATTGATATTGCCAATATCATATTGGTTCGAGTTTGAAAAATAAAATTCTTATGTCTAGCATCGTTCAGTGCTATTTTTGTGCAATGCCATCCTGCGGATAACTCTGTCGCCGACGGGATTAGTCTGAGCAATGCGTTTGAGGAGAGTACGATACATTCTCAATTTGAATCAAGAGTGCGCATCTTTCCTTACGACTTATCAAGTGTAGCTCAATATCTTGAAACATCTGCGCAGAAAAGCTCAGAAAGAAACTTTGATCCGTTTCTTTGTCAATTTCCGGACGACTACCGAATGGGACCGTAACTGCGGCGATAAAATCGTAATAATCGGCAGGGGCGTTTGATTTTTCACCGTAATGGGACCATAAACAAGTCCACCGTGGCGAAAAACAAGGTCGCACCCGTCTCAGCTCAATAAACTGCTCCAAAGCATGGTTTAGAAGTAAAACGGAAAGTGCAAATTTAGTATACCGACTTGTTTAATAGTTTCATCTAATACGAGGTCTGTCTTCCTTGATTTCAGCTTTCGGTAAATAATTATGATTTAGGAAAAAAAAGCTAATTTGGCGAAAAAATCTTCGTTGATTTCATTTCGATCTCAGTTTAAAAATCATTTTACTCTCACCTTCGTTAAAATAAATCAAGGCTGCCACTCATAAGTTCCGAATTCCCAATTGGCAATAAATATATGTGTTTTCGGCACTTTTCTTTGCGCGCTTGGAAGTGCCAAGAGTTCTTCACTGCTCAGCTGGCCTGATCAAAGAGGCTCGCCGCACCTAGCACTTCTCTCTATTTTCTCCTTCTCTCTGTTTCGCGCAGTGATGATGTAGTAGTATCTCTCACTTTCTGTTACAAAGAAGAAAGTCCTGTCATAGCGCTCAGCGAGCCAGGTCAGGTCAGGTGATCGCCTCTCCAGGAAGATGATCTCACTTCAGATCAGACCAAGGTCAAACACGACACCCCTGCCTAACGATCTTGAACGGGCTCTTATTACCTCCCGATATTGAAGCAAACTAATTTTTTTTCTTGAAAGAAGAGAATGCTGAGAGAAAGTTACAGGAGAATTTTTACAGCCGATTATTATGAAGATAACAATGTTATCAGAACACATTAGTACAAAATATCTAAGAAGAAAAAAATGAGATTTTATTTGGTACTTTGAAGCGATGAAATATGTACAGATAAATAACAGTTGTTTCATGTTCTTATCTAATAAGAAGGCCGATCCTCATCTTTTGGCTGCGAGCTTTTTCTAAATGAGAAAAAATGAGAATAATTTTATTAATTGAACGAGTTTCGTTACCTTGGTCGACCCGGGCGACCAGAAACAGAGACACCGATAGTCGTTGTTGTCTCCGACTTCACCTCAGAAATCATCGAAGGCGCGGTTGTCGCTGAAACTAGCTTTGAAAATGTTGTGTTTTCTGGAATATTGTACCTTGAGAATCTTTTGATTCAGTGGAGATAGTTTTAACAGGCTTGTGTTCTTGTTCTTCAGTTTTTTCTATTCCGGAATCGTTCTTGTTGGAGATTGTGTTTGCTGGAGCAGGAGGGACTTTGATTATGTCTGTACTTTTCGCGTTTTTCTTAGATAAAATTGAATTCTTAAAAGTTAGATAGAACGAACTTGTTATGAACTTTTTTGGACTGTACTATGAAATACCTGTTTGGCTTCTTCTTCTTTCTTTTGGAGAGTTTCTGGAGGAGTGATGGGAATGAAATCAGGTTCCTTTTTCAAATCATCCAAGTAATTTGGTCTTGCAGCTGGAGCTTTCTTTTCTTCTGGCTGGATCTTTAATATAGAAAACGGTAACCAACGCGTTCGAAAATTAATCACGCGCGAAATGACGAACTCTTTCTTTTATGTCTTAGTTCGTCACGAATTATTTTAAATATAGCATAAATACTATTGAACGGGTGATATTTACCTTTTGAAGATCTTGCTTCATCTTTTGCCGGCGTTGGTGCATAATTGGAACGACGATGGCGACGAGAATCATCAAAACCACAACTGGAACGGCCATCTTGGCCATTTGACCATCCTTTGATCCCGAAAGAAGTACGCTATCGAGTCCACGTGATCCATAATCATCGTAAGCACGACCTCGGTTAAAGGTGTTGACGGGCTGGACTCGTTCGTTGGAAGTTTCAGAAATCCAGCCTAAAACGTACAAGTCAACAATCTTGAACTTTTGTGATTGTGAAAAAATTATTTCGGTCACTGAAGTAAAACAATTTATCTTGAAGAAAACACACTCTGTCAGTTGTCAATTCTTCCGAAAACTAGCAGATCGACCAACGAGGCTTCTCTGTTTTAATAGACAGTATCACTCTGTTATTTCAAATTGATAATCCCCCGCAGTGCCACATTGACTGATAAGGCCTGCGTAAGTTGTAAGCGTTTGTCAAAATTTTAGATTTTCGCAATCTACCGATCTATATATTTTTACAATGAATATCAAAGATATCGCTCTCTAAAACGCTCCCGAATCCGTTGATCTACCCGATTACTAGGGAGCTCTTTAATCTCTTGACAAATCTAAGCCCTCGTACTCTGAACTTACGGTTAGCATTCTTCGCGTCATACATTCTTCTGAATTCACTTGGGTCGTTTTCAACCTCGTACATGGCATCTTGCGACTTTTGTAACTGCCTATTTCGCTCCAAGTTCGGATCTGTTTGGGAGTTTGCATCTGGCCGATTTAGGCCGGATTTAAGCGAGTCGGGCAAGCCGCGACCACCCCGGATTGGTGGACCGGCAGGTTTTGAAACAGTTTTGTAGCCTAGCTTCGCACGTGCACCGTTCTAGAGAGAAACAGTAAGAGTCCAATTATTAGCCGGATAAAAAGATAAGGGTGTAGCTGCCGAAAATTGCGAGAGGCCGGATGCTCGCGCAGAGGGTATTTATTTTATTCGCTTCTAAACGAGAGAGAGATGATGGAAGAGCGGATTAGTACCGCGGATGAACTCAAATATTATGAAACAGAAATGGTACGAATCCACTAACCATGATCGATTTTGAATATAATAAAAAAGAGTCAGTAAACTTACAGCTGGAATTACAGCTTCGATGTTGATGTAAATATCAACTGTAACATCTTTTGAGACAAAGGCGGGCATGTGTTTCTTCCCGCAAAATGGGCCAGCCATTCCGCCCTTTTCTTGTACATAAATTCCATTGTCTCCGTTGCACGGGATTTCGATGATATCTGGGATCAGCTTGATGTAGTCGCCGAAATTACACGTTATCCTGAAATGAACATTTTTCAGAAGGCTCAGAGCTAAAACTTCAAACTTAAGGGGGAGGTCGACGAGAATCGGGATTTTTTCAACCAAATTTCCGGAAAAACTAGCTTTGAATGAAAAATTCTGATTAGTCAGGTGAGTAGAAAAGGGTTTGAAAAATACAGCGGCGAAAACTAGAAAAAATTTTGTCCAGAAAAAATGGGCGTAATCGTGTCTCAAAGTTGACCCCAAATCGCAATTTTGGCAATTTTGCGATTTTTTCGCTATTTTTTTTATGCCACATTTGGTAATGAAGTGCACGAAATTCCTGCAAAAACTCGTGAAACTCGTTGCCGCTGTCTTCTAAATACCCTTCTGTTCTCACCTGATAAGTCAAAATATGTTTACAGAATCGGGTTTTTCGGGAAAATTGGTTTAAAAATTCCGATTCTCGTCGACCCGCCCCTTAAAAGTTTCGATCGTAAAATCGTCTTTTGAAAGTCGAAAATCAAAAAAAAAATAGGACTCCCGGTAATGCGTTTCTTATCACATCCTTGAGGTCATTTTGATAAGTCTTCAAAAAAGACGCTTAGGGATTCTACTCTCGGTGAACGGGTGAAAAAAGAGCACTTCCGCGGGGCGGAGACACTTGTCAGAGCAAAAGGGATTCTGAGCGACGCGGAAAAGTCATTACTAACGCGCCACTTAAAATTTTTAAAGAAGGAAAAACAAACGTGTCGAACTTGTATTTAAAAGTTTAACCAGAGTTTAGGACAGTGGCAACAAATGATTACTCGTAACATCAGCTATTAAATAGGTCTTGATTTTTTTGGATAAGACTCTCCTTAGAGAGCAGAGCAAAGATTACTAAAAGACTTTTACTTTCAGAACATAATTGCATTAAAACTTACTGAAACAACTTTAGAAAAATGCCTAAACGTTCTGATCATAAAAAAATAATGGTTTTTGAGCGATTGAAAGAACGACTTCCCTTGAGAAGTATCAAAGATTAGAGTTTATAACGTTTCAGAAAAACCTCGAGCGTTATCATTTTCCGTTAAAGAAAATGAATCTATTCGAAGACCCAGGCTAATGGCGAATTAGCTGTTTTAAGGTTTCTGAGATTGTCCTCTCGTAAAAGTTTGTCGGAGGATTCAAAAATTAAAAAAGATGATTCTAAAATTAGATGATATTAAGTTGCGAAAAACTGGTGAGTTCAAACTTGCAGAGAAGAGAAAGAAGATGAAAATTTGGCGCTTATGATGTCTTCATAAGGTGTTCTAAAGTTCTAGAGTGTTTATTCAAATGTGCCCCGTTTCAATGGGACCAAAAAAGGTTATGATAATTTATATTATCTACGAATAAATCATTGGCAAAAATACCCTCCCCTCGATTAAAATTTGATAAACAAGGCTAAAGATACGACTTTCTGGTGCCTTATCGCACATTCTAGAGGCCTGTTCAAAATTTTTTATGTTAAACTTTTGATTGATCAATCTTTAAGAATGTAAAAAGATGCGGATATTGGAGAAAATTTAGAAGCAAGAAAAGATTCTGGAAATCCTCACGTCAACTTGAACCTGTTGGACAGATTGGCGGACAATAATTATGCAAATGGAATTTGAAAATGAATTTTCCAGAACGAATTTTGCAAATATTATCAACTTTTGAAGGAAAAGGCCTTTTAAAACAGTTGTGTTTTGTGTTTGATAATGTGGGAATTTTGTAAATTGTCAGTCAACAGGGTCAAGCCGCCAAGCCGGAACACGTGTTTTTCAGCTTGTTAAAAATGTCTGTAGTAAATATAATCTGATGACAAAATAACTCAGAGTCCATGAATTGAAACTTTCTGTTAAATTTCGATCATTTTGTTTACTTAGAGGCCAGTTAAGGTTAAGGGTCACGTTCAGGGTAAGGGTTATGGATGCCAATGTAATGACCGACAATTTGGGGCTTTGAGGCTAATATAATAATAAGTGATGAAGAAATTAAATTTCAAAAGGTTTCACTCTCGAGTTTTGACTCAAGCATAAAGCTTTATTGACAAATTATTGGTAAAGTATATTAATCCGTACGTACGTATATTTGCACTGGACAACTCTTGCAGTTCGCCTTGGGAAAAAGGGAGTCACAACAAACTCCAAGCTCGATTTTGCCGAATCAGACCCTTTTGAGCAGTCCATAAAAGCGCCAACATTATTGAGAATCGCAGCGAACCAAAATATCTTCATTTTTTTCTTTAATTTTTTTCTTTATCAAAAGTCTCTTTGAAGTTGTTTCTTCAAATTATTTCTTCTTTATTCTCTTTTAGTTTTTTTGCCGGAGAAAAGAAAGAATTGCATTTAGGGTCGATTTAGCTATGCATAGGTTATGTAGGACAGAAATGCGCGTGCGGGGCAAAAACGCGTGGCTCGCTCCGCGTGGTGGTGCTAGAACTCGACTCGCGGAGTTGTGCATGATATCTCAGCGGCGCTCGTTTTCGGCCTACGTTTGTGCAAAGTGGGCGAATCGCATTCAGATCCGCTCAACGGTTTACAGAGGAAGCGACCTTAAATAAAGGCCTATTATTTTTAAAGCAATTTGTGAAGCAAATTTGTCAAAAAAAAAACAATTTCTTTCAAAGAAAATTGCTTCTCAGAACATCAACCCCTGTATTTCGATAACTTCAAACCTTAAATAAATCCCTCTTGTTTTAATAGCTTATTAGATTAGGTCTCGAAGGCCGTCTTTAATCCGTGCTATATTCAATAACATAAATTTTGTCGAAGCTTTTAGAAAACTTTAGGGAACGAAATGTTATAACATTTTTCACTGTTGTCGGGGTAAATAGATTTGAGCACGTTTCGGGCAACAGCATGTTGAAATTGAATACGATAAGCCGATAAAACGTAGAAGCAGGCAGCTTACAACTGAAACAGTATTTTTTTCTTGAAAATCTTGTTGAAATTGTCGAACGTACATTTAAAAAGATACATCTGCCTCAAATGATCTAGACGTAATTATATCCTTGCTGCACGTTGATAGGCGATCGACCGAAGTTAGAGTGGCGTTACTTAGATAACACAAGTGCCAAGCTCCAAACTGGGCATCTATGACGAGAGAGATTTCTACTGTAGTGATTGGTTTGCATTGCTATCATTTTTTTAGTAGAGAGTGGTGAATTTATTTTTTTGTGGGATAGGTTCGCACGTGGTATGTTCAGAGCATTTGTCTGAAGTTCCAAGCTCTTGGAAAAGATTTTCGCATACTTTTGGTCCGATTCCCAGTTTTGACTTGACGCTTTTAGGGGTTAATTCAATGATTAAAAATATTTTTTATGAAAAGGGAATTATCAAAACCCGTGGCAGTGTTTTGTACTATCAGTTTGTTGTGAACACTCAAAGCAATCATCATGTTCATTTGTGCAGGCTTCTAACGTTCCACTGCCGAGGATATCCGAGCAGTCACCTATAAGAAACTCCGTAAAAATTTCTTAGAAAAGTGAGTGCCTCGCTCGCAGAAAATCTGGCAATCCCGTAAAGATGGATAAGAAGAGATCGTCGTAGTAGTTGATGACGTATAAATTGGCTTTGCTTCGGTACTTGTTAACAATGGCTCTAGTGAAGTTATTTTTTGGTTATTCGTTGTTTGTTCAGGTATTGGTTCTGTTGATAAATCGAAGGTTGTAGGAATAATTGAAGATGAGGAGCCTGTTGTGCTTGGTTCTTCTGTATTGATTTTAGTAGTTGCTTCGGTTTCAAATTCATTTGTCTCTGTTTTTGCCGCGTTGCCTGAAACAGCGATGATAAATCAAATCTTTGCAAGAATTACTACTAGTTGAGCTTGAAATCGTCAGTGCTACTGATGATTCGGCTTGAAGTACGGTTGACAGTGTACTTGAAACAGTATCTGATGCTAAGGTTTTGGTTAGTATCCGAATGTTTTTGTGAATATAATCATTACTGGTTGAGCTCGATATGGACGTCGTCTTCCTATTTTCCTGGTAGACACTATCGATTCCAAAAATAGCAACCGCTACAAGTCCACAAATAACAGATATTCCTAGAACCCCTGTCAGAATAGTTGCAATTCTTCGTTTAGCTCTCATGCTCGAAAATATACAAAAGTGCTTTTAGTACATTGAGGAAGTAATGGAGATGAATTTTATTTGAGAAAGTGTCAAAATTCGTTTGCTAACGCTTCCGCGATTCAAATAAGTATCAGTTAAGGGACGAGAGACAAACACGAAATCGAGTCGTGATTTATTTTTCAGAAATTTAATTAATTTCCACAGGTCTCAACTTCACAAGAACCAAGAATTTCCAAACACTCTTTTGGCCCTAGAGTTTCATCGTCGACGACTTCGAGTGATTTCACACTTTTGCGGATATAAATTACTCAGTTATCTTAGATTAGTTATAAGATATTATTAAATCCGACACAAGAACCAAATAGACCAGCACATTTGAAGCAATCTTGTCCTTGTTGAATTCCACATCTATCAGTTTGAAGATTATCGTCACAAAGTCCTGAAAATTTTTAAACAAGAATTTAAGTGTTCTTAGACCATTACAAATTTTTGTGCATACTGCTACTGCTTGAGGGTTTTTCGTAGTTGTTACAACTTCAGTAGTTGTAGTTGTAGTTGTAGTTGTCGTCGTAGTTGTTGTCGTGGTTGTTGTCGTGGTCGTAGTCGTGGTCGTAGTCGTAGTCGTAGTCGTGGTCGTAGTCGTGGTCGTAGTCGTAGTCGTAGTCGTGGTGGGAGACCCTCGACTCGCCGGGATTTTCGCCTGACCCTCGACTCGCCGGGAAAAAGTATGCAGACAGAATCCCGGCGAGTCGAGGGTCACAAACCCTAACCCTATCCCTAATCGCTAAGCACAATTCCTCAACACTTACCCTAAACCCTAACCATTAACCCAAACTATAACCCCTACTCAACCTTTTCTTGGGGAAATATTTGATAACGAATGATTTAAAATATAAAATATTTCAGCGTTAAAAATTGGTATATTTGGTGATTCTAGCAATCTCTAGAACACCCTCGACTCGCCGGGAAAAAATATGCAAAGTCCCGGCGAGTCGAGGAAATCCCGGCGAGTCGAGGGTTCCCGGTCGTGGTCGTGGTCGTAGTCGTAGGCGTAGGCGTAGTCGTAGTCGTTATCGTAGTTGTTGTCGTAGTTTTAGTGGTAGTCATAGTCGCAGCCCCAGTCGTAGTGGTAGCCGTAATTAAAGTTGTAGATATTATCGTAGTCGATGTCGAAGTCGTAGTTGTTTTAGGCGTGGTTGTAGTTGAAGTCTCTATTGCAGAAGTAGATCTAATCGCTTTTGTGGTAGATGTTGCAGTTACGGAAGTAGGTGTCATTGTTGACGTTTCGCTGGAACTACTACTAGAAGAAGTTGTCGAGGTTGTGGATACTTTTGATGTTGTCGATGACTTTGACGTTGATAACATTGTCGTTGTTGGATTGAGAGTCGATGAAGTAACTAAATCATATATGAACACTTAAACTAGACCTAGCAATGCACCTGTCGAAAAGGTTGAGGTTCTTTCATGCTCATCATACACTTTTCCAGTGCTAAAAATCGTCAAAACAACAAGGCTGCAAACTACCCCAACTGCCAATAAAGCAGAAAAAATACTTCCAAGTCTTCGTTTTCCTCTCATTTTTAAATCTGATACTGAAGGCACACTACAGGCCAGCATTATTTGAGAACATGTCAGATTGCATTTGTAAAAGGATTAAGCAGATCAATTAAATCCAAAATCTAGGACTCAAACTTTGTTTTTGAACTGTGTTTTTTCACTCATAAGATATTCTTAAGCTTTCTGTAGCTATCTGCGAATATAAACGTGCGGAGTATACTAAATTTTACGCATATGCAATCTTAAACATCAGCTAAATTTTAAAAAGAGTCGATCAAGAAGGAATTTTGAAAACAGGGTCGCGAAATTCCCAGAGCACCAAGGAGAGCATTCCACTGACGCGTTTTCCCCGATAAAGAATCTCAGTGAACTCAAAATTTTACAGAAAGATAATGTGGGGAAAATGTAGGGAACTGTTGTTGATGCCATCTGCGAGATAAAGACGTTTAGATTCCTACAGCCAGGAAAGTTCAAAAGAGTAAAATTTTAGGTAGAAAAGATAAGCTTGTATTCTTGAGTATCATGTTCAACGATAAGCCATTTGATCGTGCATTTATCAGTCTAAGGCGACTTTCTATCGCGTTTATGGATGCTTAACATAATCATATTTATATCTCTCAACCACGCTGAACCCCAAAAGAGAAAACAAAGAATTAAACTAATCCAGTGGGCAAAGTTACTGGAGCCGAGACTGTCTAACGAAAGCGTTTCTAAATGTTGGTAGCAAAACATATGAAGCGACGAATAAGATTTCAAATGCTCAGTGAGAACTTGAGAGCTCACAAGCTTTGAATTCATCTTTGTTTTTTTTAGTTCGTGTCTTTATTTAGAAAATTAAAACATTATTCCGGCAACAAGTTTTTAGAACTGATTTACTGCGCTTGTATTTTCTCTAGGTCGAAGCTTCAGTTGGTGATGCGTGGCTTGGTGTCGTTGAGGGGAATCGGGAGCTTCGTGGTTTTCAACGGTTCGCTGTAAGGGCTTTGGTGCTACAAAATATGTTAATCAAGAGTTTCAGAGTTTTACGTTTAAATTTACAGGTGATGTTTCTCACGGCTTTCAGCAAAAATCTGAAGCAAATGAAAATGACCAGTTCAACATGAAGTCTAAATGAACCATAAATATGTTTTTGCCAAAACAGATTTCAACAGATTTCGTTTTCGCTATTATTCAAAAAAGAACTCTCCCAAGCAACTTAATTCACTTAAAAAATTCCTCGGAAAATTCGTAAACATAAAGTTCTTGAAGGAACGTGTTTAAATTTATAAGCGCCCGATATCTTAGTGTTTATTTTGAGATGGTACCTGGTGGGACGCTCGTAGGTCTGCGGCTCGTCGGAAGATTCCTTTTGTGAAGCCAAAGAACTTTCCGTCCAGATTCGTCGGTTTCTTTTGCTCTTCTGGACAGAGATTCTCAACGGTCCATCCGATCTCGCCTGCCGATTCCTAGAACGCGAAGAATGACAAAATTATTCAAAACGGTCAAGCTCCGCAGGTTGCTTTCTTGAAGAGTTATGCAACTTACGTTTTTGCGGTATTTCTTGCACGGGTTCTTTGGATCGTCTCGGGTCAGATAGCGGATTTCGGACATGGGCGGGTCGACTTTCACTTGGTGGTCTCGACGGTAGTTGGCACCGCTGAAGAGCATTCTCCCACCAAACTCGCTCATTTTCAAGCCCTGAAATGTAAATTTTCACCTTCGAGCACTTCATTTTTGAATATGCTGATTTAATTAGACTCTCTCGAGTTATTCTCGAGACATAAATTATCAAAGAGAGGTCCCTCGTTACACGATAAAGACCCGCATTCATCCTTTAATTCTTACGAATATTCGCATTGCGTTAAATGTGATGCTATGATGCTAATGAGCAGCCTCTGTAGCACGTGAAGACAAAATTAAAATTTTTGACTGTTTACGCGCCACACCTAGCTTTGTCAGCCACCGACAAGCCACAACTCACGTGAAGCGCATTCCGCTCCCAGTTGTTTAAAGTTTGGGTTTCCACGACTTAAAATTTCAAATCTGGATTTATTAAAACTTACACAGCTAAAAAATTATCATCGAAATTATTCATTCAATATTTGCATCACAATTTGGGCTTTAGAGATGTTTCTGGTGAGTTTTTTTAATTAAAAAAAACTGGAAGACTTACCTTATCCAGCAAACAAAGACAACTGAACTTTTTCGGATTTGCTTTATTTTGATTCTCAGGATTCTAGAGATTGCATAATTCACGTGAAAACTGATGTTTTTCTTTCCGAGAAAGGTCAAGTTGTTACTCCACTATTCTTAGAAATTCAGTCTTCCTATAGACGCTAGATGTAGAAGTACTGAATAGAACTACTTCCGTTACTTGTTGAGTTGCATATTCAACACGCCCTTACTTCGACATTGAATCCTCTGACTCAAAGAGGTGATTTTTTGAATGCGCGACTGATGAAAGAGACCACCTTAGATTTCCTCGGTAAACTTGAAAGTCGCTCTGTTGATCGTCATATTTATCCATCATTAAATTTTATTTGTGCGCAGCTTAGTGAGGAACAATATTTGTGGATGGATCTTTTATTCGAACTGAGTGTGACTTTGGCGTCCCGTTGCGTTGACGGATTCGTGACAGGGCCAGTGCTCGACAAGGTAACGTGCTATAACATCTTTTATTGCGCATTGCTTTTTATAGCGTCCTTGATATCTTTATTTTATAGCTTTATAATGATTTCGATATCAGACTAGAGGACCTCAGCAGACTTTTAAACAACGATGATGATCCTGCTGTTGAGTCTGCTGCTTTCGCAGACTCTGGCGGGAAGACTCAAGCTGAGAATGATCGAGGTAGAGAAAGAGCTGGAAATTCAGAAGAAGATTAATCAACAACAAACTCTGATCTTGCTGCATCTAGGAACAGTTCAAAGAGGAAAAAGTTTTCACGAAAAAATGCTTAAAGAACTTTTGATAGCAAAGGAAACTTCAATCGATTTGAGTGCTCTAAAAAGCGCAAAAACAATCCAACGACGATCACAAACAGAACTCAAAATCAACGAGAATCTTTTGGAGCTCATAACTCCAACTGAACCACAAAAAACTGAGCCCCCAACTGTCAAGCCGACTCGCAAGCCACCTGTGACCCCGAATGAGAGAAAATTCTCCTTCTTTGCATTTCGGCGAAAATCGAACGATGAAATTGCAATGGATCGAATCACAAACATGGAGAAATTTGTGCTAGATAAGTCGACGAAGCTCAAGGAAGAAATTGAAGATTTAGAAGAAAAGTTTGAAGAAACGACATCTTTCGTGAAATTTTCGGTATGTCCGGATTCATACAATTTCATTAATCATTAAAACTGCTTGTAGATTGAAAATCAGTTTTGGTCAAGCTGGTCAGATTGGTCACCGTGCTCGACGACGTGCGAACGTGGCATCATGCGACGACATCGTCATTGCAATGCGGAAACAAGCTGCATTGGGAGCAGAAAGGTGTTGACATCTGAAAATTTAAACATGCTGAGTAGCATCTTTTTTATTGAACTCTTTGTGATGCCAAGCTTGAGAACAGCGTAAAAAATGTGGAGGGCGCAATCATCTCTGCAGGATTACGTGGAACGAGTGGTCAAGTTATACTTTGTGCTCGAAGACTTGTGGTGGAGGAGTGAAATCAAGGAAGAGAACGTGCAAGCATGGGGATATTGGACATGAAAACTGCCAAAGAATCGACAGCGAAGAGTCCGTCTTATGCAATACGCAGGATTGCTGTAAGATGAAAAGGAAAAGATCTAATTCAAATTCTTCCTAGCTCTGTTGATTATATTCGGAGGGAGAGAGAATGAAGAAAAGTCACTGCTCATCGATCCGATTTCCGGCGAGTTGTTCAAGTATCACCACCATCTACCAGAAGAAAACCAGCCTATGACATTTATTGGCTCATGTGCTGCAATATTTCAAAATTATCTGATCGTAGCTGGCCATGACCACATTGGAAGGATGAATCAAGTTTTTATGCTGAAGCAAACTCTTTGGCAGACTTTGCCTTCTCTTGAGCACCAAAGAAATTCTGCAGCCTGTGCAGGGATGGTCACAGAATTATGTGAATGACAAAATTTTACTGTTTGTGACCTCAAAGATTGGTTTATCAAGAAAGGATGATCATCTGCGGTGGAGGAAACGCTAATGCTGGTCAAACCTGCGAAATGATGCCGCCGCATTTGAAACACTGGGAAAGATTTCCCCCAATGCTAACTTACAGATCCAGAGGACCAGGAATGGCGGCAACTAATTGGGGCTTACTTGTGGCTGGAGCAAACTACCCGAATTCTCGAACTGAAATTTTGTTCAACAGGAGACAAGGATGGATAGAGGGACCAGAGCTTAGCTTCAAAATTGGAACGACGACGATGGTTGCTAATGAAAACGAAGCATTTATTGCCGGCGGATATCAGGTTCCTATGATTTTTGCTTGTTTCGTTATTGTACTTTTAGGGAGTTGAAATGTTTGTATTGCGGCTCAAGTCATACGATTCCCAATGGGAAGAAATAGGAAAACTAAATCGCGTAAGATACAAACACGCCTCTGTTATTGTCGGCCGAGAAATTTGGCTTTTTGGAGGGCATGAAAAAGGAACAAACGTGGTGGAAGTCTTTGACATCTCGACGAGGCGATCTACTGACTTGGCAATATTCCTCAATTCAACCGAAGGTGTGCTTCATCCGAGCGCTGCAAGAATAACATAAAACATGAACCGAGATACTATTGTAGATTGTACAAAAATGGAAATAATAAATATGTATAGAGCCGGAAGCAGCCTTTACATTTCAAACAGACAATAAAATCAAGATAACATAAATTTCTGTTCACTTCGAATCCTACTTCAAAAAGATGAAGAGCCATGCTTCTTCATTGATGCTCTAGGATTGTCAGTGAATTGACTAATATTGGTCATGCTAGCTCCAGAAGGAATGTAGAACTGAGAAGATCTTCTATATTTCTGATTGAAGCTACTGCGTCGAGCTGGTTTTCGATCGCTCGCGTTCATCCTGAGCTCACTAGTTGAAAAATTGGAATAAAAAAGCCTTACAGGAAGATGATTTCGTTCTTAGGGGGAACAATTGTCGCTAGAAAACCCGTCTCTGCTTCCAGCCGGATGTATTTTTGATTTTGATGCTTGAAGAACTCGTACAACCCAAGAAAAGTCGGACTGAAAAGGAAGAGAAAGAAATTACCGGATAATTACCGCGCATCGGGATTCATATGCCAAGTTCGAAGTAGAATTTTCCAGACTTCATCGTCTTGCCAATAGCTCGGCCGTTGAAGTCGTTCGCCTTTTTCGAGGTAAGCAACAATGCTCTCGTCTAAAAACGTTAGCAATCGTAACTGAACAAAGATTACTCCGAAGCTCGGTATATGGCCGAATTCCTCGACTGAGCATCTCCCAGAAGAGAACACCAAATGACCAGACATCTGACATGACAGAAAATCGTCCATTTTTAAGGGCTTCAAGGATTTTTTCAAATAACTTCATCAATAATCAAATTATAGGTATAATATAATAAAAACTCTTCCTTCAGGGGCCACCCATCGCAAAGGTAAAGCAAGGTCTTGAGATTTTATGATATATTCAACTTCAGCTTCTTCTACGGCTGATTTAGAAATGCGACTGAGGCCAAAGTCGGAAATCTTGATATTGAGATTTGTGTCGAGAAGACAATTTCGAGCAGCCAAATCACGGTGGATAATATGCTTGCCAGATAGGTACTCCATTCCACGACAAAGATCCCGGGCAAATCTACGTAAAATGTTTACAAATGGTTTATGTCTTCAGTAACCTGATGATAAGAGTTGTTGTCAATGGAGCTTCAGTGATTTCATGCTGAATAAATGATAAAAGACTCCCACGTGACATGAGCGGCATAATTATTAAAGGCATTCCATCAGCGGACCAGGACAAATTAGATAAACCCATTACATTTTCGTGTTCAAGTTTTGACAAAAAATGCGCCTAAAATCATCAAAAAATATTCCTTATAAAACATCACCTGCTCAAGAATCGAGCGTAGAACCTCCATGTCCGACTTTCCAGTGACTTCTTTCACGCAAACTTCTTGGTCATGAAGTTTTGTCTTCAATATCCTCCCATAGTAGCCCTCTCCAATCAGTTCGCAAGAATTGGCGTCGAGTTTTAGTTGCTTTAGTGGAACGAAAATCTCACGGAGTGTCTGTTCTTCGTTCGAGTCTTTTAGTTCTTGCAAAAAGCTGTCTAGTTCTTCTGGTATCTTGCCATCATTGAACAACTTGCTCTTCCTGACTTTTTGAGTAATAGCAAATGCAGGAATGACAGCAAAGATTGAGAGGGTTCCAATCAAATAGAAAACTGCTTCATTTGATTTTTCAACAGCTGCGAACTCGGGAAAATTTCTTTCCATAAAACCCTCAACAGACAATGCTTCGAAGATATTCTTCAACTCTTGGCAGTAGTCGAATGTACTGCACGTCATTGACTCCATGATCATAATCAGGCTTTTTATGATGCTTTCATTTGTCGTTTCTCCGCCGAAATCCAGCGCTGTTACGTTAAATTTCAAAAGAACGAGTGGAACAGTCATCAAGTGCGCGAAATCATCAATATTTTCTTCAAAGTTTGCTCGGATGAAACTCCCTGTTCTCGCAAGAAAGTGACTGTCGTCGAGAATTTCTTCAAGATCCCTTGATTCTAAAGCTGATTCAAAGTCCTCCATCATTGTTTCTTTGATTATGTCAAACTCGTCTAAAGTCTGGGACTTCAGAATACTCAAAATCGAATAAGACAACGATCCAAGCTTGAATAAGTCTCCGTGACTATTTTGAACTTCCGTGTCTGCATTTTCTCCGTTTACAAGTGAAAATCTCTTGAGTAAATCTATCCAAAGAAAATCACATGTTTCGCCTTCCAAGAACTGCCCGCGACACTTCCATCGGATCGTAAAAGCATTTGGCAAGGCTGAAGCCTCGAGATGAATTTTCGCCTCTCGTCCTGAAACCCAAAGTGGGAGGTTTTCTTCTATGCAGAAACGTTCCCCATCTATCATCCAATAATCCCAGGCGCAATTGTAGCGATCAGTTACAGACATAAGTTGGAGCTCGATGATTTTACAGCTCGAGTCGATTATCCATGGGCAGGAAAGCTCATGTGCATGGTTGTTGGAAATCATCATAAATCCGTAATTTGACTCTGGCTCAACGAATTCGGTCCCACAAACATCCAAGCATTCAATTCTGTCTTGCCAGCGGAATGTTTGGTCGGGACAAGCTACTGTTTCTTCGGAAAGCTCCCAGCCAACTGATTTTTCTCCGATTCTATTGATAAGAGCTGCATTATGTTACAGGTGAAAAAGTTTAGGCAATCTGGAGGTAGCAGGTGCTACCGTGACGCTCCTAACGTCGACTATCTGTACCAATTCGTCCTGATATAAGAAATAGTAATGCGACAATTCTCAGACTCAGTATGATCGATTAAAATGAAGCAGAATCTATAAAAAGTCTATAAAACCCGTACTTCAGAATATCTATTTTTATTGTGCATTATTTTTCTTCTATTTTTCTCTAAAACGTGACCTTCAATTTATTGGCAATAAATTATTTATAAAAAATAAATAATCCAAAGATTTACTCTTTTCCTTAGATCGTCAAGCAATCCGTGCACCCATTGTCCACCAGATTTGCCTTCAAACCACCAAAGAGCTTCAACTCCATCTGAAGTCGTATAAACCGGTCGATTTTTGTAGTAGTTCGATTTGTAGAACTTAAGCTCTTCCTCTGGGTTCGACAGACTCTTTTTGAAAAGAAGATTGTCACAGCATTGTTCTTTCGGAGCAGCATCATTTTCACTTCTTCTTACTCGCTCAAAACGAGACAGAGCTTTTTCTGCGATAAATGGGTCTGCAGAGCGGTAGATGTCAGTGAACTCATCTTGTAAAGAAGGAAGAGATCTGAACATTTTTTTGAGATAAAAGAAAAATGCAAAAAAAGCTTACTCAAAAATATTCATCAGTTGCCGTTGATCCTCAAAACGAGTGGTGTTCGTGATGAACACCTCAAGTTTTCTCCACGACTCCTGTTTAGCTGGGTTTAAAAGCTTCGCGACAATTTGTCTCAACCTTGGTGCCTCAACCAGCAATCCCTCTGGTGGCGAAAAGCTATCAAGAAAGCGCTCCTCGAAACAAAGGATCTCCTCCATAATCGATTCCAAAACCATTCGGTGTCCATTTCTCTCAGCTTGTTCAACAAGTTCTCCGAGTTTGACAAAATCGATCTCTCCAAAAGTTGTTCTCTTCAGAAAATCAGCATCAATCTCATTCAAATAGGGAAAATTGGAAAGAATAAAGTCTGAGAAGAGCCATCCTCTAATCGAAACAGCAAAAAATAGTAAAATCTTCATATTGATTTCATTTTTTAGTTGGCTGAAATCAAAACGGAAAGCCAATGTTGCGACAGGAAGTTAGAAAATTTATTGATTACCAATGAAAATTAAGATTGCAGGTGTTACTAGAAGGCTTTTAGGGTTAGGGTTAGGGTTAATTAACTCATCAGGAGAATCTTATAAGATAAAAAAAAACATAATAATGCTCATTTTCTAAAATCAATTGATGGAAGCATCCAAGTCATAAGTTGCTTGAATAATTAATGAATTTATCCTTCATTTCACTTCATAACTTAGGATGAATAAATCGAAAGAGACAATGATGGAGGAAACAGCTGCAGCATTTTTGTTTGGGATGAATAACAGTTATTTACAGTACTGTGAAAAGATTTTCGCATTATTTGGAGATTTAAACTGTCTTATTTTGCATCCTGAATAAAGAAAGAGGGCGTTATCGTGAATAGAAGAGCTCAACCGGGCTCGTTGCTTCCAGATGCCTTTCCACTGGTAGGTTTTGAATATCTCATGAGAGCGCTTTGAGATTTTTTTCGAATGTTTTTTGCTGAAAGGAATTCAAGACTCCCGTCAGAAAATCGGGCGAGATGGAGAACGTTAGGCTGAACGAGAAGAATAAGAGCGGAAAGAAGAAGTCTGGTAAGTAGTCGCATAATCCATTTCTTCTGAGAGTTTCCCGTTAATGAGCAATTTGTCGCCGATTATTTGGATGAACTGTCATTTTAGTGAAGGACGCAGTTTTTAAAAATGCTCCGAGAGAGAAGTGCCTCGCACAAGATTCTGAGCACTATCACAAATGCTCTTATTTACATTCTCCAAGGTATTCGAACTTAAGAGGATTTTAATTGGCAACTTTATAAATCAACAGTTGTCTAATTAAGATTCTCATTATCTTAGGGGCTCAATCACTTTTCGTCCTTTTTAATCTCGCATTACTTTTTTTTCTAAAAACTGAGTAACCAAAACGAAACAGCAAAAGGCACTTTCGCGACAATGAAAAATACGCGGCTTAGCATTTCTAAAGGTCCGTCTCGCTTCTCTAATCCAGAATTAAAAAGTTTTTCATTTTTTAACGCGAAATGTCAAGGAATAGCCTAATTGATAAAAGCAAGAGAAAGCAATCAATAAAGCAGTGTTTGAAACAAACTGGTCAAATTTGAGCTTCAAAAAAGTATGAAAAATAATGTATTTTTAAGAGCAACAAGTTCGGGCGGTGAAGACAGAATTGCAACTCAGAGACGGAAGATTTTTGGCAGTGGAAAAAGGAATTCTCCAAGCTTGTGCCGAGTCGGGCGATTCGAAGACGCTGTTCTTTTTGGTTCCCATTGGGCTCAGACAAGTTGCTATTCAAAATATTGACACGTTAGGTTGGGTTAATTGACTGAATCTTAAATTATCAGAATTGTAGCCTACGTGGCGATGAATGAAACTTCAAGAGTCTACCTCTCAGAAGTCTTCAATAGCGACTGTCAATTCAAAGAAGCCACGTTCGAGAACTACTGGTGCGTTTACAGCTCTGTCTCGCACAAGAACCCCGATAACTTGGTACTCTTACTCAAAATTATCTTCTTCGAGTAGTTTTAAGAAACCGATGTTTCTCTCTGTTTCCAAATCTGGCAAAATGAGACCGGGATACAAAACTTCCAAAACAAAACCAGAAGGACACTTTCTTCCAAAACCAATTTCAAGTAAAAAAATCATGATTTTTTATCGTGGATTATTCGATTCATTCTAGCGCAAATGCTGAAGATTCCGACTGAAGAAGAAATTGATGCGTTTCAGAAACCTGAGATTATAAGCAACGCTATGGTTTGACTGTATTAGAATAAACTCTGAGTTCACAGTTTTCGATTAATAACATTGAAAAAAAGTTTGGAACGCTTCACGATTTTGCGTGTCATCCTTGCGCAGGGGCCATGCTAATCTTCTCTGTATCGTTCCAATTTTAATATATGTAGGGCCGAAGCCACTACGATGGAAAAGCTTAAGTTTTATGCATTTAAATCAAATTGCGCGCGATGCAATTCAGGTACTGCGTTATGGTTCGTATTTCCTTCGTTGAGATCGTTTGAAAGATACGTGGACACAAAGGCTTTAATCTGTTTTTGTTGGTCGTCAGCTTCGTCATATTTTTAGAAATTTGGCAAGACGTATTGCAAGCTCACTGGTCCACCAGAGAAATTGTAAAACAATGTTAAGCCTTTGACTCTGAGACTTCCTTGAAAAAAAGCTAAGCTCTCTGTTTTGCGTAATTCGTATATTTTTGGGTAAGCACTTTGAAAGATGGCGCTGAGTGCCCTTCCGGCTGCATAAAATGAACCCGAAGTTTCCACTGAAACCATCAGATCAACAACTGACACAAAAAAGAAAGAATAAAAAATGAAACTTTTCGGATTCACTCTCGCAACCGTCTCTGTTGCCCAGTTCGCTGGCAACGCTACTCTCGTCGATACTCCTCGATGGGGTAAGCAATTTGACGGCCCAGCCTGCTTCAAGTGCGAAGGAAACAACTGGGAAGAGTGCAGAGCTCAAGCATGGGAACGAGAAGGAGGCCCAATCTCTTGCCGAGAGGACAAAGTCTGCAGCATGGTCGAGCGACGACGAGGAGGCAAGATCTACCGAGTCGAGTCTCGATGCAAGCAGGTCGACGTCTGCAAAATGGAGCGAGAGCATAACCTCCGACCTTGCCCACAAATGCCTAGTGCCACTGAGTGCAACCAGATGGAGACAGATCGTAAGTCCACCTTTTTTATTTCGTGTCAAATGTTAATATTTTTCAGATAACGGCGCTGAAACTACATCAGTCTGCCGAAACTGCTTCCAGGCACCTGAGCACTTCGATGAGCAAGAAGCGTTTATGAACAAGATTGACGCCGCTGCTGCTCAAAACGGTCTTCCTCTCAGCGAATGGATGAAGGACTCCTTCTACGGAAACTAAACAATCCAAAAGAAGCCAAACCTGTTCCTTTTCCTCTATCAGAAGTGATTTACTGACTGATTTTAAAGTGAACCCAATAAATTATCAAAAAATAAATGTTTGGTGTTTTCATTTAATTTCTAGAACATGTTTTGAACACACGTGATAATTGTTAAATTGAATCAGTTAATAGAAAGGCGACATTAGAGTCACTCAAAAATGTCAAGTAGACAGGTAACTTTTCCTAATTATTTGTTGCATTGGTAAACAGTTGAATTAGGCTTTAAATAAGTACCTGAAACTGGACTGCGGGGGGAAATGCCAAGCAATGTACGTTTGGATCGACGGCACGGGCGAGCATTTGCGATCGAAGAGCCGGACTCTCGATTCAGTTCCAAAGACAATCGAGGAGCTCCCTGAATGGAACTTTGACGGTTCATCCACTGGCCAAGCAGAAGGTCGCAACTCCGATTGCTTATTAAAGTCAGTATTTTTTCCACTTCTTACTTAGTAGATTTGATTTAGGCCTGTTCGCATTTTCCCTGACCCTTTCCGAGGCGCCCCGCATATCCTCGTCTTGTCCTCTGTTCTGAACTATGACCGCACTCCTGCAGATACCAATCACAGACATTCTTGCTCAAAAACCATGAAAAGAGTCGAAGAAGAGAAGCCTTGGTTTGGCATGGAACAAGGTAAGTTAAAATTTTCCAAGCGCTTATTAATTGTAAACGCTTAGAATGGACGATGCTTGATCTTGATGGTCATCCCTTCAGATGGCCGAAGGGAGGATATCCGGGACCACAGGGTAAGCGCTTAATTTGCATTGACAAGTATTAACCGATCTAGGACCTTACTATTGCGCAGTTGGAACAAATAACATTTACGGCAGAGATGTCGTTGAGGCGCACTACCGAGCGTGTCTCTACGCCGGCATCCAGATCTCTGGAACGAACGCAGAGGTAATGCCAGCACAGTGGGAATTTCAAGTCGGCCCTTGCGAGGGCATCGAAATGGGCGATCAGCTTTGGATGGCTCGATATTTGCTCTGCCGAGTTGCCGAAGACTTTGGCGTCGTTGTCAGGAATGTGGTGCAAATTTAATCGTTAAAAATTTCTTAAGTAAAACTAACTTAGTTTTAGTAATCGAAAGTTGTTCTTTACCATTTGCAAAGCTTTGATCCTAAACCAATGAAGGGTGACTGGAACGGAGCCGGCTGCCACATCAACTATTCTACAGAGAAAATGAGACAACCTGTAAGTTGAAACTAGAAAACTTGTTGTTAAAATATTTAGGGAGGAAAAACGCACATCATTGACGCCATCAATAAGCTCGAGACAAGACACAATTTGCATATGAAGGTATGTCTTCTTTTGTCTTCTTTTCTTTTTCAGCTCGAAAATAGTACTTTCTCTAGGCGTACGATCCACAAGGTGGTCGAGACAATTTGCGCCGACTTACTGGGCAGCATGAGACTTCAAGTGTGACAGAGTTCTCATATGGAACTGCAAACCGCGGCTGCTCGATTCGAATTCCGCGAATGGTCGACGAGGTCGGATTCGGATACTTTGAGGATCGACGACCAAGCTCAAACTGTGACCCTTACACAGTCACGGATATCATGTGCAGAACGACTATTCTTGATGAAACTGGTGATATTGCCTTGGAATACAGGTAAATTACTAGTCAATCTCTTTAAAAAAATCATATCAATTCAGCGCCCCTGAAATGATCGACTTGATGAACCGAGACTGCGTCAACACACGAAGCGATCTTAAACTCTCGCAGACCGACCTTCAGGACTTGCAACGAAAAGCCGAATCTCGTCTCTAAGCAAATTTATTCTAACTGCAAATTACCAACTGTTATAGTACCATCATCATAATATATTTTTTTATAATTTTGTAACCGTGGCTGTATTCGACCTGGAGTTATTCATTCGACAAGTTGTCAATGACAACTTCAGGTCCTCAACTTCATCTAAGTTTATTTCGCAGGAGACAACAAAGATCCTTTATTTCAAGCTCAATGAGAGAAATTCAACGACAGAAATATTTTTATTCCAGGATCTCGATTTATAGCTTCAAAGCAATCCTGTTTGATAACATAACTGAACTTCTGGCAGGTTTCGTGTGCAAAAAAGCAAATTAAATAATTACTTATTTATAGATATTTAATATAAATTAAAAACATTGAAAGCTATGTACAAAGATTGTCATACAAACTATTTACAAGTCAAGCTAACTTTCTAATGACACAGTAGGGAAGAGAGTAGTGAAACTGAACTTGAGGTTTTTCGACGATGATTTTTGGTGAGGTAATAGATAGAGAGTGATAACATAATTTTGTACCTACTGTATCGTTACTGGAGTGCAGGAAAGAAAGTATACAGTGAAATAAATAGACGCGACTAGTCAAGACTGGGCTCATCGGCTTCCGTTCTGCGAGGTAGATGGCTACTGTGCGGCTTGTCTTCCTTCAGCCGCAACACAGTAGTTTAGGAGTACGAAGGCTTTTTTCAATGGCAGCCGCACTTCTTCACCACCATATCGTCGTACTTGCGAAGTGTTACACGCCTCGTGTCCTCTTCCATGTACAGAATGGTCATCGCTTCGAGCTTCAGCGGTGCGCATTTCGGGCATTCGATGCGTTTATCCTTCAATTTCAAGTTAGAACGCAAAGTTTATTTGAAATATATTACAATATTCGCCATCATCGCCTGCATGATCGCATGATTGGTCATCGGAACATCGTCTTTGCCCACATTTTCTAGCGAGCATTTTCCGCTGCACTTGTACGCTGGATAACCCTCTGGAGCCAAGATGTAATCCTGAAGAAATGATTTAGACACGATGTGATCTACTCTCGTAGACTATAATTTCCGGGGTAACGGCTGCCTTCCGGAAAATGTTTCCGGACTTCTGCGAACTCGATAACGCGCTTATTACGAAGCTAAACTCGTTGGACGCTAATAAGTGGTCACTAAATCTTGTTTTCTTTTTATGCTTACCCCCCAGTCGATCTCGCGGAAATTCACATAGAATTTCTCCTTGCCGCAGATCTTCTTCTTGCGCTTGTTTCGATTCTTATTCTTTCGTTTTCGGCTTCCTTTTCTTCGACTTTTTTTGCTTTTTCTTCGCGTTCTTCTAGCAGACGAATCTGATGAGAAACTATCGTCGTCGGAAGAATCGTCCGAAAATGCGTTTCCAGAGTCGGAGCTAAAAAAGAAGGTTGTAAAAATGATGAATTATGAATAACGAAATAGAAGATTATTTCAAGAGCGAACTTATATGGTCTGACAAAAACTGCCATATTTTTTATATTTTTGCATGTGTGAGCTGCTCGGCTTTTCTTTCTTCGAGAGAAAGTGAGCCAGAGGAAACAGTTTGATGCTGAGCAGGTGGCCCAATTATCCACCTGCGCGCTCCAGAGAAACGAGCAGTCTCAGCAGGGAAGAGGTTAACTGTGATTTATGGCCCCTGCAAACGATTATTTCTATCTTCGTTGTCGATGGTAAAAATTTCATTTCCTAGAGTACTTACTCAGAATATTCTCGTGCTGCGCGGGTGGTGCGCTCGTGCTCAGCCTGTGGAAGGTTGGTTGAATTTTCAGGGTGAAGTTTTTTGTCCTTGTTATTGATATATACAGCGAGAAATGGGATGAATTCTGTTTCCTCTACACGGTCGATTCCAACATGTTTTAGGGGCAGTGGTTCGGCTAAAAATGAAAGTTTTAGAAATTTCGAATTTGTACTCTTCGTTGTTTTCAAGTCATCCTTTGAATCATAATTTCAAAGAAAATGATTTCATCTTGCTTACCTCGGTGATCGAGAACTTTCAAATAAATGCCCTGGTTTCTCTCAGGATGATCCATCCAAGTGATGACAGCTTTTGTGAGATCAATCTCAAGCCAGCCTTCGTCGAGCGGTTTGACTTTTAGTATCGAAATCGTGTCGTGGTGGAAACTGAATTAAACAAAGTGTTACTTGTTTGTTTGGATATTATTCAGAGCAATGAGTTGTATCCTTATAAGGTAGCAATTAACAGATAAGATTAGTGGTGTGAATTTTAGCGCCGAGCTGCTCATAAATGGAAATCAACAACGATTATGGCAACTACAAAAGCGAGCAGATGACGTCAATTCGCCACGTTACCAAAATTCCCCGGTTAAATCATTTCATCCCCAGTTGACTTACGTTCCACCATGGCCCGGATTGATGATTGAAGCGACGACACTCAGCGTCTGATTGCCAAAAGAATCGACGAAGGCGACATCTGCCGACGCCTTGAAAATTCTAAAAGAGTATTTGAACAGTGTTCGACATCAATGAACTCACCTCAAGGACGCATAAAGATCACGATCGTCGTCTTTTTTCATCGTGAAGAGGAATTTCTTGCCAAATTCTTCCACTACAAATATTCGAATTAAACTTCCTGAACTCGATTAATCTGGGCATTTGTATTTATTATTCGAGAGTGCGGCGAACTCTTTTTCTGTATAAGTATCCTTCGAAAATTAACCGCGAAAGTAGCTTTAGGGTATCCACTTCCGATTTTTGCGCGTCGCAGCGTCGCCGGCGGAAGCTCTCCGCGCGCTCCCGGAAACCAAAATAATGAATCAACGAGATTACGGCTAAGCCACTTAATCAAATACGCAAAGATATACCCGTGGCACGGATCAGTTCTAAAGCGGCGATCAAGTTTTGCTGCAAAAAGAAAAAAGACACCGACTTTGATTCTGTGGGCGGAGCACCGCAAGCCGCCACCAAAGTGGTGTAAATTGCTTCCGGTACTTTAAACCAGACGATTTTAATACCAAGTCTGTTGTTAACAAGAAATCGTCTAAGAAAAATCTCGTTTGAATTGAAATCATATTAAAATTGGCAACTTCCGGCGGCTGAGATTTAGCGATGTTATTTCAATTGGATTTGGATTTTGACAGGCTCAAGAGCAAAAATCACAATTTTAATCATCATGAAGGGGCAGAGTCGTTTTACCTGTTGACTTTTGACGGGTGACAGAGGAGTCCAGGATGGTGACGATTCGGTCACTTCGATCGCGCAAATCATCGGTGGAAAGCTCCATATTTGAGAGGAAAGTCTAAAAACGCGGATTGTAAAGTTTGAATGCTACAAAACCGGAAATTCATAAATCTAGCTTTTAGTCGTCTTTTGAAGCTAAAAATAATGGTCTATATTTATCAAGGGCAACATGCTCTGACAGGCTGACAGAGTGAGTTTTTACGTCTGACTCGGTCAGTAAATCTTCATCCACTTGAGCGGAAAATCTGTTGCTCGCGATTGTATCGAGATCTTCCTCTCGATGCGAGCTTATGCCAGCTAACACAACTCATTCCCAGTGGATTACACTTGAGCTTTGATCTGCTCGGGTGGTCTCGATAAAATTTCCATAATTGGGGACTTTTATAACCATATTTCTGTCGAAGCGCGAGCAATGAAAATGACTTGACAACGGATAGTCGGATCTATCAGAATCAAGCGCATTTAAATTACCGGCTTATGACTTGGCGGAAGTGGTTAATTTCAAATTTTTAGTTATTCAAGTCATTTGATGAATTTGATATTACTTGTATCTTCGATCCGGTTTATAACAAAGCAGAAGGGCTAGAATTCTTCCACGAATGCATATTATTTTTACTCTGTTCCAAGTTCTCGGCTTATCAAAGCGCTAGAATTCCTCAAAGAGCGGAAGAAGGCAAACACAGCGCGAAAGGTTTTAATCGGAAGTATTTGGGCGCAATGCGTCTTGCAAAAACTATTCCTGTCTCAATAAACAGAGCCTTTGACAAGGGCGCAAAGCACTAGGCCACAAGAATGTTCATCCCTTTCGATGTTTCTGGGAACGGGGGATACTTCCGGCGCGAAAGAAAGCGCGTTCTCAGGAGGTCGAAGGTTGTAATCTGGAATGGATTACAGCGGAAGTGACAAATAAATCTTGAGTGGAATTTTTAAAAGTCCTTATTTTACGATGATTGATTCATTATTTTCTTTTTATTTGTTTCAAATGTTATTAAACGGGGTCAATTTTACATAGAAAGTTCTTTCAATTTCTGGTCTGAGAAACGTCTTGGCAAAGAAAACCTTCTGACCTGCCGTTCTGGCCCTGATTTATGGGGATAAAGGAGGTGATTACGCCGTCATGCGCACGTAAAATATTTATTTTCATTGGCTTGAGGAGACCGTTTTAGGCCTCGTGTTGATAATTTGTTGTTTTCGAAAGAGAGAAAACAAGTAAACGCGACTGGTAAGTGGTGGTTCATTTATTTTGTCACTTATGGAAAAGCTTGTTATGTGATAATATGGCGAATTGTACATCCGGTTCTTGTGGCACTTCCAAAATAAGAAAACGGTGACCCCGGCCCGGTAAAATGCCAATAACAATTAATTCCGATTTCACTTCCCTTGGTACACTTGAATCTTGATAAGCTTGGCGAACTTGTTTTTTAAATATGACTTATTGTTTTGAGGCTTGCTTATTGCTTCATAGCAAGGTAAAAATTGAATTATTGTTTTATTGAGAGTGTTACCTTGGAAGAGGGAATCGATCCAGATTTCCTCGATTTCCTGACTTTCAACGCAGGTTTACTCAAAACCGCGATTTCTGTCGACCCTCCCATTTTCGGCTCTGTGATTTTGTTGTACATGTCGAGCATGAAAATCGAAAAGGAATTCTTGGTCGGATCCGTCGCGATACCAGGGCCCGTATTCCTCGTTGATCGAGTGTTCCATAAAGCGGGAATGCCAAGTGCGTTTAAAAGTTCTTCTTTTATTCTTTGTCGTTCGGGGCCGACGCTTCTGATACTCCTGTTTCGAGGTGCTTAGCTTTGATTTTCCGATTTTTCATTGAATTCGTTAAAAACGCATCAATGGATTTGAATAATTTTTTTGAATAAGAAAGAAGTTATTTGATTTTTTCATTGTAAATTCTATTTGACCTTTATTGAAAAGAAAAAAATATATTTTCAAAGCCAAGAAAGGTGAAATTTTAAATCGTTGTTTGGCTCCTCTCCTGACCTTATAGCGTCTCATGTTAGTGATGTTTAGCATAACATTTCACATCTATAATAAATACACCGCGGTAAAAAATCAAGAAAGGGCTTGCCAGGGATAAGCGTGAAAAAATAACGATAAATTCACTTGTTTTATAATTTTTACGTAAAGCGGCTCAAAAGATCAAAAGGCCAAGTTGAGCTCAGATGTGTGATGTACTCGTTTTTTACTACAGGATTTATAGCCGACGGAAATGGAATTACGCAAAAACCGAAATTCGCACAATATCCCTATTCCTTTACTCATGGGAAGGAAACTACCTGTCGACATAAAGGACATCACTTTTACGAGCTCTTTCATCTTCGAAAATAATCATGATCATCCGGAGGTAATTCTTTTGATCTCTTATTTTTTAACTCAAAGTTTTCTGTTCGAAAATGATCAATTTCCCTCAAATCTCTTTAAAATTCTAAGCACCGTTCCTGTGAGTGATTGTAGTTCCTTCTGTATAAATAGGTCCATAGGCATGAACAAGTGGCAATATCAAAATACTCAGCAGCCAGTGTTCTTTCTTTCTTCTGAACATTTTCTTCCGTTTTTCATAAAAATCTCTGGTCACTGTTTTGTACTCTCTTGTTTTCTGTTCTCAATGTTTGTTGTTAAAAGATAGGAACGAATAAACTGTTAACTCCGTTTTGGGAAAGAAGAAAAAGGTCTGTCTCGTCGTTTTAGAGTAGCTGCCAAGCTGGAGCCAACTGCCTAGTGGTTGGGCGCAGTAGCGCCACCTGTTTTCAAGAGCTTCAGAGCGCGAGCCACCTGTTACTCTTTTTCTCTTGATCTTTCATTACTTGTTCATTACTGAGCTGAAATATCAGGGAATAATAGTCACTTATAATTTAATAAATCGTTCTCTTCCTTGATTTCAAATTTTCTCTACTGTAAATAGTCGAGAAAAATATTTTTTGTCCTTTTTTCTTCGAAGAATTTTTCTTTTTGAATTTTTATTTTACAATATAAAAAGTCATCTTATACTTGAAGGTACTCAAATTTTAGTCATTAGCGTGACAGATAGTGGGTCTAAGACGTGATTGTGCATATTGGACACCGGAGACGGTGGTGCCGCCATGTCTGGAACGCGCGATGCAGACGGCATCGAGTCCAATGTGTCCAGCCAAATATTTTGGGTACGGCTCTCTCATAATACTTCGTAAATATCATTCTAGGATAAGCTCAGCGTTGAATCTTTAGATCGTTTTGATTCAGACAAGACATTTCAATTCAAAGAGAAAGTTTCTTCAGATTTATCACCTTGTTCTCCCAAAAATTTACTTAAAATTATGAAAGGTCTTTCAACTGATGTTGAAAATGACTTTCTAAGAAAGAGAAGAAAGAACTCGTTTATCGTTCTTTGCCTGAGCGACCGTGAAATGGACCTTTGGAATGCAAATCTTCCTCAAAACAGAGTCTTATATTGTTTGTGCGGTCCGTGTGATGGCTTTATTGTTTATTTTTGGAAACAAGGGGACGAACAAATAGGTTCAGAGACATAAGTAAACGCGAAAATGCAAAGCGCAACTTGTCAAAAAGAGGATAAATGTGCATTTTATGGCGCCCCGGTTTGGTAAAAATCAACTTTTTGTTTTGAAAATAGAAGTTGATGCTTGAATATTTCGATGGAGACGACCCATTTTCTCACAAATGTCGAGAGATTTGACTAGCAGAGGATCTCAGTGCCGGAAGAGCTGATTTTGAAAATGAGGTTGTCCGGGGCGGCAATTATGACAGAGCCCACTTGAACGGGCGGAAGCGCTTAGTGAGGGTGGAGGAGGTTTTGTGATGCTCAGATGATCTGCTCATGGAGCCCCTTAGCTCCGAGATGGGTCCCTTGAGTCCCCCTTGCCGTCTGGTACTACTGCGCGGCCGACGACCGGGCCAGACGACCGGAGCCGCACAGGCCAAAGTTACCTTTGCAGTAGCCACCAAAACGTCCAACCAACTGGTGGTGTATATTTTCGAATAAGGAAAGTGATGCTCCTGAAATCTTTTTTCTACTAGAGATACTTACTTATTTTAGCATTGCTTTCGATACTGCCACACAAGCTGTTTTCTTGAAGATGTATTTGCTTGGCTAAAAATACAGATCCATGAAATAGGATGATCCAGACCGGAAGGCACCCAATTAACCTTGGCCTGACGCAATATTACCCAGTTATTATAAACAACACTTGAAGTGAAATCGAAATCAATTTGTACGGTAGCTCATCACCGCGCGTAACTCACGAGCAATGTTTATTTGAATTCTTGGAGGTACTTCGCTATTTCCGCTATCGCTTAGGAATTTTAGCATTAGCATAAAATTGGCCGGAAAGTAGCGCGCCGGAAGCTCCTCCGAGTCAAGTGGCATCCTTTACGTCTCGTTTCCGTGAAAGTGGCACCAAAGAATTAGCGCTCTTTTTGGGCTGAATTAGGGAGCACAAAATAGAAAAGGGAGAGAGGGAAGGATTATTGATTGTATAAATAAATGAAAGAGAGAGTCGGAAATTGACACGCGCCGGAAATTGAGTACTTGCACGAAGCGTGTAGCAACAACTCAAACTCTTCGTGAGTGATTGGGATAACAAATACTCGTATCAAGCTCCGTATAGTCAAAAAGAAGCATCGATAAGAGATAGTTCTCCATTTCAAGGCAGCTTGCGAACTGCTTCCTTTTCGATTCAGGGTGATTTCAAGCTTTGCGGTCGGCTTTATCCATTTTCTTAGGTTTGGCGAGTGAGCATAGAAATCCCTCGGCCGCAGGAATTCATCATAAAAACATCCCTTTCTTGAAAGTATATTTTCAACGCACAGTTTGGACGGAGCTTGTTTGGAAGAATAGAGAACAGGAGAAGGACAGAGTGGCGCGCCGCGGTGAGCTCTAATCGACCAGTCGGTTGATTTTTGAGCTAATTAAAGAGGCCACTAATTGGCCCTTCCCTGCTCCTAATGACTTGCTATCGAAATCAGCGTGAAGGAAGTCCATCAGGGGTTTTGAGCGGAGCTAACGACTTGTTGAACAAGTCTTGTTCCTTCTTCTACCGGAACCATAGAAAGAGACCACTTTATGTTGATTGAACTTTATCCTCTTGAAAGATTCTAGCTGTCACATTTGAAGTATCCATTGAATGGTGAAGCATTCTGATCGACCTTGGAGTATTTGACTTCGGGCTCCAGTCGTCGCGTCGCCTCGCCTGGCACTGCCTGGTCGCGCCAAACGTAATAATGGCACCTTAGGCACACATAGGGAATCACTTTCGCCATTATGTTTCTAACGAACAAATCGGCAAGTCTATCACCAAGTTCTATTTGAGTACACTAGTCCGTCGTGCTTGTTGCGCGAATCTCTCCTTGGCAGCGGATGTGAGAGAACTTATGCAGAGATGGACAAAAGGCTGAAGAGTCGCGTTGAGAGTTCCGCTTCCGGCGCATCATTCATCATACTCGGCACTCTCGGAACTTGTGGTGAGATCCGATTCGGGATCACGTGCGCGAATATGCGAGCTCTTGTAAGGAGGACACGTACAAATGTTAGAGTATTCAGTTCCGTAGCGTAGGTTTGTAGGGCAGTTTAATTATTGTAGGTTCTTAATTCCCAATTGACATACCATTATTGGAGACTAATACCTTATTAGTAATAAGAGCTGTGCGTTAGAATCGCTTATTTTAAGAGTGAATTGCGAAAACACATTATCATACACAAAACGTGTGCCTATTCTCCTCCCCGTGGATTTGTGTATAAACCCTTGAGTAATGTATAGTTGGGGATAATAGCTGAAAGTTGTAAGTTAAAATACTGCGTGAGCTAGGGCGGCGAATTAAGGTGTCTTTTTCGAAGTTGCTGGCGCCAGAGTGGCGCCTGCGATGTCCCGATTGGCGGAGGCAACTGGGGGCGCCACACAACGCGCACCTTCTATTTTATACAACCGTGGATGGAGTAGTATCAATGGAGCCCTAGCCGTACGAGCGGGTTGCTCCATCTTTGTCGATGCTCCACAAGATGGACAGAGACCAGACGGGACGGAGCAGGGAGCAACGCTAAGTCTGTGTGTCCAGCAAAGTAACCTCGATTGTTCCTCAAAGTCGAAACGGAAGTGCTATGTAATTCAATAACACAAGTGATAGACAGATAATATTGTTCATGTCAATTTGTTTGGCTCCAAAGAAACGTATTGTATGCAATGAAGGGAAAAAGGCCAGTCTAATCAGTCTGAATCAAAATTAAGTACCCAAACAAAGCTTTGAATAACGACATGTTTTTTCACTTGAAAAGAGGAAATTGCAGTAAAGAAAAATCCTTGTGAAATTTCCTATTTTCGACTTACCCATCTCACGAAGACGCGTTTTATTTGCTCAAAAACGATAAGCGATTCGAAACGCAAATATCACTATTCCATAACTTACTGTATCAACGATTCTCATCGATGGCACACGTTCTGTAAATGCTAGGCCGACTGTAACTGTCTGTAAATCAAGTACACTTTGAATCCTTGTTGTTTATTTTTTCTAAAGAGCTTCGTTTTTGGGCTTTGTAGTATTTTGGCTTTGGTAAAATGGACTTTACGCTTGTTAATGTCACATTAATTCTGGAGTGGGAGCACTTGGCAAACCAAATGTCACCTTCTTTTCTGCCGACAGTGATAGTACGACTTAATTGGCCATTAACTTTTTCAAGAAATAAAATTTTATCATCCAAAGAATGATCGTAAATTTCCGAAAGAATCCAACGTAATAATCGAACGATGATTCTGTTTAGTACATTTTTGTATTTATTTTTTTTTGTTTATATTTCTTTTTTTGCTCGTTTGTGAGAAGTTCCTGAATTTCTTGAAGCTACAATAAACTATTATGACAAGAGTTTAAATCTGAGTAAAATGTTATATTCTGGGGCTGCGCGGTAGATATGCGGGCTCCAGCCAGGCGGTCGCGCGTTGTCGCCGCGAGAACACCAACCGGTCGCCCTGTCTCCCGAAAAACGTCAAGCGCGTCGCAAATTTACAATGCAACTGAAATAAAAATCGAAGAAGCGATATGTCTTGAGTGGACAATGTCAGATTAAAACCTTAATTTTTATCGATCAGAAAAGGGAAGGATATTTATTTACATAAATATTTTGAGAATGGAACTCTGAGAAACTTCTCGGCGGCAAATGTGACAGTGGCTGAGTGGCGAAGTTGTGATATTTTTCGCACTGAAATTTGAGTTTTTCTTTTGTATTACTTTTTACCATGTGAAGCAAAGGCAATGTCCGCAAGTTTTGAAGCAAACAAGGACATTCTCTCCTCCATATTGTGTCTGGCAGACTGGACAATCTTGATCAGTTCTAGTTGCTTTTGACTTTTCTCGCTTCTTCTTCAAATCTTCTTTCTCCTTTCGAACAGATGTCATTTCAAGATTGAGCTCCCTAAGATCGTTGAGGATTGTTGAGCGCTCATATGTCTGCTGGGCTACTTTTTCTCGGGTGAAAACATAGAAGACTAGCTTGAAGGAAGATAAACTGAAAATGCGTTCCAACCCGTTGGATAAAATCTCATTCCTCCGTTTCAAATGGCGGATGTATTCCTGAAGCGTGTCTACATAGGCTTCGATCTAAAATTGTCGAGAAAAACTCAACGAACCCAAACATTACTTTCTGGCGCTGACTTTTCTCCTGAAGAAGCTCTCTCCTCGCCGACATCTCTGCTTCCAGCAAGTCAACAATCTTTCCTTCAAGCGAAACTATAAAAATTTAAAATTTCCTTGGCAAAAAATATCTCATAACTCACGGTTCTCGTCAATCAGATCGACGAGAGTCAACATCGCGTTCTGGTGCAAATTTTATCTCTCAAGAAAAAAAATACAAATCGGAAAAAATCTTCTTTGCATGCGATTTTCAAATTTCGCACGAGATTGTTGAAAATCATCACGAATCGTGACTAAATGCGCTTTGATCATGATATAAAATCGTTTATGTTTGCTTTGCTCTATCAAAATGAAAATTATCCTTTCCTGCTGAATAATTTGTCAGAATCTTATTGAGAATATCGAGGATTCACTCTTTATTATTAATTAAAAACAGACTGGAAGAATTGCGATACCTTTATTGTCGCACAAGCCGCAACAAATATGCATGTGGCTCAAGGTACCATTCTTCATGTTCCATGAGCACCACAGTATCATTAACATGCTCGTTCACCAATATCATAGATACGCCGTTTTCCTGATTGTGACAAAGTCCCACTGAGCTATCAATAGATGATCTGCAATAAGCTTCGCTAGCATAGTAAGCTCTGTCTTGAGCTATTCGCAAAACCGCTCCTGAATGCGGGTCAGAACTCTGTATGATGTAATTTGAATTGACAATCCCATCAACAACCATTTGATGAAATATCACCACCCCGTTTTGGTGTAAATATGCTCCAGTAACTGTTAGTGGTTGTTCGAATTGATAGTTTTCGTGGATTATTACTAAAATGACTGTTATATTTACAGACGCATTAAATAAACCTTCTTTGAAAGAACAATATGTTCCAGTAAAAAACCCAGTATCAGAAGAATAGTAATCCTGGATATAATCTCTTATGATTTCCCAACCACTAGGATCCGAGTATGTAGGAGCACACAATCTTTCAATGAGCATATCAATCCCGCAAAGCTGATTTTCTTTCTCCTCGTTATTCGGGTTTGCATTCAATCCGGCCAAGCTTCTTGGATAAACATGCATAACCATGACAGTTAATATTTTTTCAATCGAAAATATCTTGTCGATATTTTGCAGAGCCCGTTTATCTCCAGCGGATTTCATTGCAAAGTCTTTGATAGCAAAGCGAAGGAGCACCGAAACAGAAATCGGAACGCATAAGTTTGTGTCTTTTTGGTCAAGAACATTCTTTGTTAGGCATTGAAAGTCCGAGAAATAGTTCCTTGTCAGTTGCATCTTCAATTGAGCCATATTTATTGACTTTGTTATCCATTCATCATCGAAATCTGCAACGCATTGCGGGGGTAAATGTAAAATACCATTGATCTTTCGGAAGTCTTCATACTCTGGCATATTGTCATTTGTCTGCATTGGTTTCTTTAGAAGCCAATCGAGTCTACATTTTTTCAAGTCAGTATCTATCTGCAACCTTTCAGTCTCATTTATTGGTTTGTAACAAATTGACCAAGCTGCTTTCCATCCACAGAAAAGAAAGAAAAAGATCTTCCGCAAGTCAAGTGCGCTGTCCTGGTGTCCCCGCGCAGCTGCCGTGATCTGAGCTTTCGAACAAAAGCCGGGAGTTCCACAATCTAATATTTCGTTAGAGAATAATATTTAATAAATCACACATACAGAGGGAGAAATGATTAGTGAATTTAGAACCGCGTCGTGTGTAGCCCATTTGACGATAACTCTCTGACATTGATGTGTTCATTACAAGCCCAAAATCAATCCATTTAGCCACAATTTCATCTTTCTTTTTGTAAAGTAAAATGTTTTCCAACTTTTTGTCCAAATGCCAGATATCAATAGAGAATAGATACTTGAGGCCGTCTCTTATGTCCATCGCAATTTTCTTTCGCTCCAAAAGAGTCAGGCTGTTTTTTGCCTGGCTTCCTTTTCGCAATGCTTCCCTCAAATTTGAATCAGCTCTCTCCATAATAGTAATCCATCCCAAACAATCATTTTTATCCACTTTAGCAAAAATTTCTATATTGACCAAATGCTCGACGACATTTTTATGAGAAGGTATTCGTTTGTCTTTCCTCTTCTTGGTCGCTTTTTGATAATCTAGCCATAGCAAAATGTTGAAAAACTTATGAAACTTATCTACAAAGAACCTGTGTGAAGGTGAATTTTGAAATCAACATCTTCAACGGGCAAAAAATCGGTAAACAGTCCCGAGTCGAACGGGTGAAACCTGACTTTCACATCATGTTTAATCGTCTCATCAGTAATAAGGGCCTCTCCCCGTTCGAGCAACCAGACCGTTCCCAGTCACCTGTTTCTTCCTTGATTTCCCATCGACAAATTCTTTTCTCTAGTAAATCCTCATCGGCAAAGTCACAAATCAAATGTTGTTGGAATTCCGTCGCATTGAATTCTTCCATAATTTGATTATTTTCATTGTAAACATGGCATTTTATACCACTACTGCAATTTTTAAACATAAACCAGTTCCAAAATTGTGGTGTTTTATCTTTTTCGAAATCATGTCTCTCCAATGATTGAATCAGTCGGCATTTCTGCGTTCTCGTTGTCGTCCTTTTAAGATTTTTTGAGTAGTCAGCAAGAAATTCCTCTACTTCGGCAAGTTTCAATTTATTCCCTGCAAAAATATTTCTGAAAAAATCCATCACTTCTACTTGATCATTTGAAATGATTTCCGCGGCGTCGAACGGATGAAAGCTTTTCTTCTTTTTTCTAGCTAGTTCTTGTTCATTCAATTGTCGATAACGTATGATGCGATTCTCCTTCTATTGATTGACTGATAGGAAAAAAATACTCCTACAGAATTGTTTGAAGATTGGTTTTTCATGACCCTAACTCTGCTTTCTGCATAATTTTCCGAGCCTGCGTATATAAATTATAATTGACTAAGGACCAGCTGGCATAACACTCGAACAAGCTGGATACTCTAAGTAGTGAAATTTTGTATATCAAACTTTATTATGTTTGAGAGAACAGCGTTCAAAGGCTACAACACCAAATAGTAAATATAAAGGAGCATATTATACGGGTAAGTGAGTCTTCTTATATAGGTCGTCTTTTGAACTATTTAACAGAAATTGGAGATGAGATTTGTATTCAATGATTGGACGGAGGAAAATTAATTTTTACACTTTAGCGCGGGACCAGAGGGTGCAGTAAAGTCCTGTCTCTCCACTGTCCGATCCCCGAAAATAATAAAATAGTCCACGGCCACCTCTCACGTGATCAAGTAAATATTTTCTAGCTACATTAATCGGAAAGGCCCTGTTCGTTATATTTAATAATAATATTTTTAATGAAGGGGGTGTTGCAGTAATTTAATCAGAACAATTACTTTTTACTGATAGGCAAATGTTGGTGGGATAAAAAATATGAAATTTTTACCGCGAGTGTTTTTACAATTTTTGTAGCTCGAAATTGCTTGTGAAAGGAATTCCTCGAATAGATATTAGTGATTATTAAAAAAGAATTGTTAAATATCCATGAATAGGGTATGAAAGGATAGAATACTTTTAAATTGCACAGGAAATTTGGGCCTCTAGAATGTTGCTGCTGAAAGCACGGTTGTTACTTCGTGTAAGCGGCTACTACCGCCCAGAGGACTTCGTTGGCGCCTGGTTTCATTGCTTCTTCTTCTGGATCCAAATCTGAAAAGGGAAAGTTGAAAGGATGGAAATGAAACTGATGCCCTCTCTTGGGACTCTACTGTCTCAAAAAAGCCCTCTCAAGTCAGTGGGGAGGGGGTACTCTCAGCCAATTTAACCCCCCCCCCCTTTCATTTTCCCAACTTTGACTAACTAGGGATAGAAGTTTACCTAATAAGAATCGCACTCTCTTCATAGCAACATCGTAATCTTCATCACTTAGAGGAGCGAAAGCATTTTCGAGGACATCAGAAGCATGTGCCAGGTAGATAAGAGCAAGGACTCGCTAAAAATGATCAGTTGAAAGTTGTTTCTTTTCTATCCAGTACCTTTTCCATGCGTCCGACATCGTTAGCCCATTTCGAAAGAACAGAATCTTGAACTTTTTTAATGAGCTTTGATTTGGAGGACGAGTTTGTCAAGGGATGCGTTGTCATGTCGAAAAGAAGGAAGTTTTGTTTTTCTGTTGTTAGGACACCTTTTTCTACCAAGTTTTTAGCTAAACACGCGTTTTGGAAAGAAAGTTGAAATTGAATGATGTACCGAGTCGTTCTCGAACATTTCGGAGCTGATAGGTGAGTTTCAGGGGATTCCACGTTTCGCCGGAGAGAAGTTCGATCCAGTTCTGAACATTCTCGGGCTGCGTCGTTTTCTTGATGTGATTCAGAGCCTCGTCCAACAGGACATCGCCAGTTGGAGCGTCTGATTTCAGCTCAACTTTTCTCATCTACGATTTAACTGTGAGTTTTCTGTTCTAGCAAGGAAGTTTTATAATTATTCGACTACTCGACTTTTACGGCGCGTTTTTATGACTGAAGTATTCCCTAAAAGTAGGGAAGACTTACCAGGAGAGATCGTCGACGCATAACTTGTTTTTCTAAGGTTATCCTGCCCCTGAGGGCGAGTTCAGTGAGCATGCATCCTCGGAGACCAGCTGAAATGCAATCATTCCAAAACGATGTGTACCCTTCTCTATCTTTTAGGCCCAAAAGCAAAACCTAAAATACCAAAAATAATTTCCATTTCCAATCCTTTCTCTTTTACCTCTTCCATCAAAGTGAGTCTCTGCTCCTTGGAGTCGAATTTGTCTTCTTCCTCCTCGTGTTCTTCATCGGATCTATTCGCTTTGCGCTCTAGTTCTTGTTCTCTTGTTTTCTGTGTCTGAAAGAATCACAATCATTGTAAGTTTTTTTACGAGCAATTTCAATTTCAGCTGGCAGCTGTAGTAAAACTTGAAAAGAAAAGCGAAGTTTTTATGAAATAATTGCTAAAAATTATGAGTCAAAATGCTTTTTTGGACAAAAATAAAAAATACGTTTATTTACCTTTCGTTGAGTAAGCTGTCCGCCTCCCCGGAGTGACATTTTCCCGTTTTTTCTTCAGTCACTCGGACGGTGCTCTATTCGATGTAATTCTACGTTAGCTTCTTCGTGTTTTGAAACTCGCTTTGGCCGTTTTCTAGTTGGACTGGACGCTTGGGCACACGTTTAGCACATCTCTGAATGAATTAGAACAAAATTGGCGCAAAGATTTTCAAATTGAAAAAGAGCGCGACCGCAAATTGGTGAGAACCGGGAGACACACGAAACCAGCTCAGGATACCGTAAACCAAGCAGGAGGCCGCGGGCAGAGCCACCCGCCCACCAAACGAAATGAAAAAGATTATCCTCGAATTATATCAACCTAAATAGCCGTGGGAATGCACCGGCATAAATTAACGAATCAAAAATTTTCCCCAAACTTTCTAACCCCTCTTCTTTTTAAATATCTATTAGAAAACAGCTGATTTCTAAGCTAGAAAGCCTGATGGAGGTCAAACAGGTTCAGCTTTGAAACGCTTGAATTCGGAATTTCACCGGCTGGTTGTGTGTCTTTCCCTGGTCTTCCACGATAATGAAATTTCAGAATAGATAGGTAGAAGAATGAATTCTTGAACGAATAAGAAATTGAACAAGGAACATAGTATTAAAAAAATTCATCAGAATACCAAGAACAAAGCGAAAAAACACCCCTTTCGCAAACTTAATTAAAAATAAATAATTAATCAATAATTATCAATAGCAGGTGGTTGTAAGCAAGGCCTAAACGAGAATCTGATGATAACAGTTGAGAGACTTTTTGAATTCTTTGAATTTGCAAGATTTAACGAAAAAATGGCGAATAGGAGGGGTTAGATTAAAAAAAGTGTTTGGGTAGGTTAAAACTTTGGAAAGGTTTGTATACAAACTTCGTCAGATTTTGTAGAACTCGCAGTTGAACTCAAGAGCCCGATGGTGGAGGCTTGGCGGACTCGGAGGGGGAACTTTCGGGGTCGTTTCCGAGCATGTCTTCCAGCTCTAGAAAATAGGCGGTTACAGGCTTTCAATAATCAACTTCTTCAAGCACCCTTTCTCTGAATGAAGAATGCTACCAGTAGTAAGATTACTCTATTTTTATTGAAAATTTAACTTGTTTGTTGTTAGCAAATTGATTTTTTTTTCACCGATAATATTGCCTTTTCGAGCAATATTATGCCTGTATCATCATCTAGTATTGCTATTTTACCATTGAAAAGCTGCTCATCAGATTTATCTAGGCGCTCTTGCGTTATTCCTTTTCAAATTCGGCTTGCTCTCTTACCTTTTTCCCATTCTCCATTTGCCTCTTCCTCGCCCTCAACAACTTCGTATTCCTGCAACTCGTCCTGTAATTCCTTTTCCCACTGAGGAATTTCGTCCGTTTTAGTTCCCACTTCTTCACTGGCGAATTCTTCGTCCAAATTCAGCTCTGCGTCTTCAGTACTGAGCTAGAATCGTGCGTAAATACGAGCTCTAGAAATTAATTCGAATTTTTTTACATCATTTTTGTCGGAAACAGGAGCTTCGGCAACTGGCTCATCCTCGAGCGGCTCTGCGTTCTGTTTGAGCAACGACACTCTGTAAAAGTAGTTTCTCCAGAAATCTTCTTCCTTTGAGACTTTTGGGACGAGTTGGAAGCGCATTTCTTTCAACGAAGAATCGACTTCGAGCAGAGCAAGGGCCATTGGCTGCGATTGCTTGTAGTCGAACTCGAATAGGGCTCCAGCTGGGGAGCTCGGAGGAAGTTTCGTTTATCCTGAAAAATGTTTTATTTTTCTCCATTGAATGAAAAATCTTACCTTTGACAGTTGCAAAATCTGATCCTTGAGCTCCTCCTCATTTTTATACCCTGTCCAGGGCGTTTTATTCTCCGCCGTGGTTTTATTTTCGCTAGAAACAGACCATCAATAGTGGCAGGGCTAAAAAACTCTCCAACCTGATAAACTTCTTTTGTTCCTCGTTGAAATCCTTGATCAATGGGGCGTTTTCGACGTACTGGACCCCTTTCTTCGCCACATCAGTAACAGTTACTGTAGCTTGCTTCACCAGCTCGTTTTGTTCCACCTTTTCGATCGCCGTTTTTCCGAAAGCTTTTTAGGGCTAAAAGCGAAAGAAAGAAAAAAAAAGAGAGTGGATAATTTTAAAAGCTCTTGAACCGGATTTGTCAATTCACAGAACTCACAAAAGTCGCACAAAGGAATCTACGCGCCCGCGAAATATTGTTTGATTTTAGCAAATTCAAAATTTCAACTTGAAAATCAGTCATTTCCGCAGCTCTTTCTCTCAAAAAGCCTTTCCTAGAGCTTGTCCCCAAGCGCTCGAAACGTCTGAGAATAATTTCGATGAAACTTCTTTAATTTTTTCTTCTGTCGCATTTGGCGCTGCTGTCGAAGATTCTGGGGCTTCACCAGATTCAGATGGTTTTTCGGATTGAGGTTGATCCTCGACCGGCTTGTTTTTGTCTTCTTCCTTCATCATTCCGGTAATTCCGGAGTTCAGGTCATTGACTCCTTTTGACACTGCATCTGCAGCTTGCTAAAATTAAAATTCCAACAACTTTCAAATCAAAACAATGATTTTATGCAAGGGTATCGCCATTTAAACGGGTGATTTCTTCTGGGATGTCCCTATTTTAGCGGATTTCTGACATAGCATAGAGCTCTAGAATCCGTCAAGATGAGGACATCCCCAAAGACATCGCCCGTTCGAATAGGGAACTGTTATCTTATTTTTAAGGTAACATGAATTTTAAATGATAAGTGTTATCGTCCATCTAATTAATCTAATCTTGCCTTTGAACTTTCAGAAATCCAATTTGTTACTCCCGATAGATTTCCCGAAAAAGACGAGAACATGTCCTCTTTTCTTCTCTTCTTTACTTCTTTTTGTAAAAAATCCTGCTTCAATTCTTCTTAATTTTGTTAATTTCTCTGAAGCTCCTCCAGACAGAGCGCTCTCGGTTGTTTTCTCGGCTCGGCTCAGCCAATCACGTGCTTTTCTCAACTTCTAAATTTCTTTATTTTACGACTTGAGCGATTGTCTTTTATTTTTCTTCCAAAATAGTGAGCATAAAATCGGGGAAAAGAAATCTTTGAGTAAGAATTTCACCTTTGAGTGAACACAGGCGCCTACGCCTTCTGTATATTTACTCAGAATAATTATTCATATTTAGAATAAATTAAATCTGGCTATTTCATATTATTTACCTTTTTAGCTAACAAAGATTTTTAGGGAAATTTAATTTATCAACTAATTTAACGGTCAAATTTCTCCTCTAAAATGATCTCTTCTTAGTTTTTTTTTCTATAAAAAGTACTCAAATGAAACCTTCTTGACGATGGGCAATTACCGATAAGTGGTGGTGCAAGAGTGATAAACAGATATGTTTTTGAGTCTAGGAGTAACTCATGACCAGGAGGAATGAAGCACGTGACTGCTCTTTCTGGCGCAAAATCCCTCAACTTCGCAAAAAATGCGTCTTCAGTCAATGCTTTGGTTATCATTTTTTCCTGCGCAAGCTATTTAATGATGTCTGCAAAGAGACAGCTAATACACATCATTAGATAAAGCAATGGTAACATTAATTCGAGTGGTTATAAATTTCCTTCAACGTGGTTTAAACAGGTTTTTTTTAAGTGTGCCCAAAAATGGTGGAGCTTTTTAAATGAAGGTCTTTTCATGAAATCATCGAGGAGGATCTTTTGGGCTTTCGAAAAGAAAGCCGTTGAAATTTTATTTGTTGGAACGAAATAAGAATTCAGAAGAAGCAGAAAAAAGAGATAGAGTCGATAGAAGCAATATAAAATTTACAAAGTTGGATAGTTCTTTTTTTACTTTAGGTTCTTTTCTTGAAATAACAGTAAAGTTACAAGTCAGTGAAAGTCTGAAACGGGAACTTGAAGAAAGTCGAAACCTGGTCTGGACTGATGAATCATTTTTGAGAAGGCGAAGCTTGAGTTACTTTTAGGTACATAATGTTCTTTGACATCGTTTAGCTATGTTCAGGAAATATAATATTTTTACAGTGATCAATATTTTTTCTGGCTAAGCAACAATAGATACTAAAAAGAAGAGGGAAGATACTAGGCTGCTCAACCTTTGAGCATGTCGTGTGCCATTTCTAAATGGCTTGTCAGGTAGGTAAAGCAGGGGAATGCTTTGGAGCAGATTGTGCACTAGAAAAAATAACAGTTAAACTTAATGATACTTGTTGAACGAAATTCTACCTGGAATGGCTTTTCGCCAGTGTGCAATCTTTCATGAACAATACGATTCGCCTTAGTGGTCAAGACCCTCTCGCAATATCTGCACGGGAAGCCGTCAATAGTGTCATTCGACGATTCGGACGAGTTCTCCATAGCGTCAACATCCGTCCTAAAGCAAACAGTTCAAAACCCTTCAATTTACCTTCCAGCGCCGTATTAACTGGAAATAACTGGACTCGCTTCCTTTTACCTGGAGAGTGGAAGAGTTCTTCGCCGCTGGATCTTTCGGCCGTCGGTCCTGCGAAATTTCGCCCGATGTTTCTTGGTCACGTGGAGCGTAAATTCTCGGCGATCGTCAAACTCCTTGCCGCACACTTGACATTCGATAGATTCATTTTCTTTTTGTTCGTCGCTATCAAGGCTTGATCGTCTTTTCAGAACTAAAATTTAAGTGTTATTCAAATCGAAAAATCGATGATCAAAGCGCTTACCGAAGAGTTCTTCCAGACGGGCGATATCGTGGCTCAGCGGCTTGGGAGTTCTATCGTAACGAGTCATGAGCGAGGGCATTTCGTGGAATGTAGCGTTATGATCGATGCCGAGCTTGCGAAGCTTACGACCATCAGGGTAGCGTTCGTCGATCTCTTCCTGCGTCCAGTCGTGGCATTTCATCAAATGCCTCTTGAGAGCGAACTTTGTGCCGCGCGTTTTTCCACAAATGTGGCAGCAATAATTGGCAGGGGAATGATATTTCTGAATATGGAGCAGTCGTCCAGCCTCGGAATTGAAAACGTCTCCGCATGGTTCGCACTGGAATTTTTTCTGAGACCTTTTTTCCGATCCTGGCTCTTTTTTGATGTTGGCAAGCTTGGGCGAGCTCTTGTGATTTTGACTTTGAGGTGTTGATTGATTTTGAGGGTAGCGAGTTCGTTTGTTCGGCGGCGATTTTATCGGCGAAATGGGCGAGCAGCTCGAGTTCATCGAGTCATTTCTCCGCCGGAGACTTCTATTAGCGTTAGTTTCCGGCGTCGAGGCTGAGGGTGAGTCTCCGTAGCCTACGAGACTGACATGCACTAGCTTGGTATGTTGTCTCAGCGCGGCTGGGTTCGGGAAAACATCGCCGCACTGCTTGCAAGTTCTACTGTTGGGCGTTTCGAGCGGAGAAGAAGTGCGACTGCGCGAGTTGGGAGTTAGCTCACCTTCTTGCCACTCGTCTTGAGGCTCTTCTTTGATGATAGGCGTCTTAGAAGCAGCAATTTGCTGGGAAACTTCAGGGGTGATTTCTGCGCCGTGCATGTGTCGCATATGCTTCTGTAGAGGCTTGTGACTGTTGAACGTTTTGTCGCAGTGTTGACATGCAATTCTTTTCGATCCACAAGCGCGTTCATGGGCAGAGATCTTTGGAAAAGAGTGAATTAAGTGTTTGAAAGTGGGCGGTACTTACGTTTCGGACATGTTCGGGGAAGATACCGCAGTAGCGGCACACTCGCTGACCATTTTTGGTGCGCGGTCCGGGCGGAGGTTCAGGTGATTGAGAGGATGACAGCTCGATCTTGAGCTTGCCCGAGGCTAGGATTAGCGTGTTCGAGAAACTCTGCATCTTTAGCTCGCTCTCGATCGAGGTGCTCACCATTTCTTCGTAAGCGGGACTGTAATTACGATGTTAATGGTAATCGAAAAAGGGCTGAAAACAACCGCAAAGTGTATTTTATTCTATTCTAGTTTTTGTCGTAGATATCATCTGTTTTCCCAAAAGAAAGTCGTTTAATTTAAAATACTTAATTTACGGTAAATTATTTACCTCTAATAGAGGTCCTCTATTCTCTTTTCGTCAAAATATTCAAAATAGGGTTTTCTTTGTTTTCTCTTCCAAAATCGCGAAAATTGAAATAACGGGCGCTGCATCTGATGGCAAACGCGAATTTGTTGCCCGTAGCACCTGCGTGTCAAAATTTTTACACCGTGACTAGGTACTACCCCGAGTTAAAAAATCCGCTCTGAAATGAATGAGCAAATATTTAGTCCTGTCTTATTCAGAAACATTTCAAGAGGGAAAAAGCTACGATAGCGGAAAAACATAAAGAGAAGGATCAGAAGAGACCGGTTTAAACTTTATAGAAAGAGCTTGATTTTATCATGAAGAAAAATCTTTACCTCGGAGGCGTAGATGTCATCGGTTGATGATCATCATCGTCGTTATCCTCCTGCTCATCTTCTTCGTCTGAGCTTGAGTCCGAAGGGAAATCTGCGACGTTTGTGTAGAATGGATCATCCCTTGGATCACCGATAGGTTCTGGGTATTTTGAGGTCTGGGGTTTCGGTTCTATAACAGTTTCTTCTTTTTCTTGTCAGGTTCGGGAGTGGGCAAATGGTCGTCTTCGTCTTCCTCGTCGGATTGGAGACAAGGGTCGTAACGCTCTTCGCGGTGTATTCTTGGGCTTCTTCGGGCTTTTGAACCGCTTTTCGATTTTGGAGCTAGAATTATGTTAGATCAAAGCTTGACGAGTTCATCTTACGTTGATCTTTCGATGGCGTTTGCGAGGGGCAATCATCTAGCTTGTTTTCCGCTTTATTGTCGGCTGTTCCGGGCGGAGGCGCCATTCGTCGCAACTGGAGACTGGGCATCGTTAAATTAATGTTCTCGGTACACGCGGGAAGGAGATGAGAGGAAGGGTACTAATTAGTAGCTGCGAGATTGAGAGGTGTCAAGCTAATACTTTTTGGGAGGAATATTGGCGGGTTCAAAGAAACCTTTCCAGCAGCCACGAAATCATTCTTGAGCGGCGGGCATTTTTCTGGCAAGTTCAGTTGAATTTGAAGAGACTGAAACACTATTCTTAGAAAATTTCAATTTTTTAAAAATAGAGGGTGATAAGTTGGCGCGAAATTCAAAATAGAAAATGAGGCGAAAAGGACTCAAATTTGAATTTACGCGATTTCGGAACTTTCTCCTTCGTAATCATAAAAACGAGCAATTAACACGAATTGAAAGGGACACAAAGGTCAATAAATCAATAAGCGTGAAGGGGAAGAGTTCCGAGCGCGGGACAAAGAAAAAAAATCGTGGCCCAGGCGAGGATAAGGGCGAATTCGGCCAATTGGAAAACATGTTGTCGAAAATATAGATTGAGATCGCGCGAGAGTGAGCCATTTTTGAGCTTCTTTGAGCCTCAAAATGAGAGTCTATGGATTATTTCATTATAAATGGTTGACTTTAAGAGATTTGACGGGCATAAAATTCGATTTATTACACAAATTCAATATCAAATTTGATGACTTTTTTCGTATTTTCTCATTTAAAACCATTCTATAGCTATTATAACATACAAATCAAATTCGATTCAGATTTAACAAGTGAGAATAAAATATTTTATAATTTCATATGTTATTAAGAGAAAACTAACATTTTCGTGGAATTTTCTCTAAAAACAGAGTTTTTTTCAGCAAACAGCAAACTGTGAAATAAAAGGAATGCTTCTTACCGTAAAAATAGTTTCTTCTCTGCTTCAAAATTGACTCTATTTCTTTCCCAAATCGAGCGTTTTCTACATTCTCTGCTGGACGGGGATTTTCCTCTCTATTTTTTCGGGTTTTCGGCGTTCTCGCTGCAGCGCTCGGGACATAAAACGAGCTTCTGGTTGGTTTCTTATTTTTTTGTTCAGTGGCGCAGTCAGCCACTGGCCCGGCCTCCCTCTCGCACTTCGCAGCGCTCCGAATCAGCCCGACCCCGTCCAAAGCTACTACTCGCTAACCAGCTCCGAAATTGAGACACTCAGTTTCCAGCTTGACCCATTTTCTCGCCAATTCCTTGGACGAGGAGTTCTCCTCGGGCGATTTTGAGAAAAATCGAATCCGAGAAAGCTCTCTCGGATGAGCCACACGCGTAAAATGACTCATCTCTCTGGCGCCGCGCCAGCCAATCATCACCCGAGTTGGTGACGTAATCTTACTATGCTTTGTGGGTCGACGCTATTTCTTTCAGTAATGGTATTTCCTCAAATTACAGCTTGTAAATTTATTTTTCGTATTTGAAATAAGAAAAATCGAAATCTCGAAACTGTTTTTATAAGCTGGACTTTCTTCTATTTACTAGAGATTGTCAGAAGTGTCAAAATTGTTGGAGTGCGTTGGAGAGAATAAGAACTAACAAGGTTTTGTTTCAGATCGATTTAACTCAAAAATCTCCCAGGAATGGGAAAGCCACGTGGAATCCGAACCGCTCGAAAGATGCGAAATCGACGACGTGAGCAGCGTTGGGCCGATCTTGGATACAAAAAGGTAACTTCCCGTCTTTTCAATAGTTTGACAGTAACTTCGATCTCCAGGCGAACCTTGGAACCGCCCTGAAAGCCAATCCTTTCGGAGGTTCATCCCACGCGAAAGGAATCGTCCTTGACAAGATCGGTGTCGAGGCCAAGCAGCCGAACTCCGCCATTCGCAAGTGCGTCCGAGTTCAGCTCATCAAGAACGGAAAGAAGATCACTGCCTTCGTTCCCAATGATGGTTGCCTCAACTACATCGAAGAGAACGACGAGGTATTGATTCGTACTCTCTCTCTTTTGTTATCATTTCCGTTTCAGGTTCTGGTCGCTGGTTTCGGTCGATCCGGTCACGCCGTCGGTGATATTCCCGGTGTCCGATTCAAGGTTGTCAAGGTCGCCAACGTCTCTCTCCTGGCACTCTTCAAGGGCAAGAAGGAAAGACCAAGATCATAAATGATTCCTTCTCTGTTCAATCAAAGCTTATGACTGAATTTCAAAATAAAGCCCAAGGAGAACGAAAAAAACTGTTTCCGTTGCTAATATTTTCTATTGAAGTAAAAAATCTACGTAGAGCTACTGTATCAATTTTTGATCCTCACGTGGGCAGAGGAACTTAATGCGTTTTCGGTATGAATGGACTGTGAGTCAGATTTTAAGACCTTGTTGAGAATAGCCAGTTTTATTTTGTTGAAGGCAAGTTAAAATCCACATTTACCGCATTTTTCTAGACTAATTGAAAAGTAAACTGAGTTTTCCAAGTGCCAGAGTTTTAATTTACTCTTCATCAAAAATTTACACAGACAGGAGCTTTTTTATAAAAAAAGAACGAGGTATGGACACGAACAAAGGAAAACGAAAAGGAATGGATCGAGGGGATGAAAGAGCTGAGAAGAAAATGAAAATTGAAATCAACGAAGAGTTTTTTCGACTCAAGTATGCTGCCGACTGTGCAAAAGTAGCCGAAGCAGGAGCTTTAGAATCGCATCAAAAGGCCGTCGAAGCAGAAAAAGCAGCGAAGAAGAAGGTCGAGGAAGCAAAAGATGATCTCAAACTCAAGCAACAAGAGAATGCCAGGGCGGAGGGGGAGCTTAACGCTTTCATCAGAGAAATGGAATTGGGAAAGAATTATTCAGGTATTAACAGTTCATCTTCCTTGATCATTATTCTTTCTTAAGAAAGTGTCAAAAAACTGAAGGAACTTACGAAAAACGTGGGCATGAATGGCTACGGGCATAGAGACAGCATCGGATATGGATATGATCAATTAATGAATGAAGAAACTATTGGAAATGTTTTGGATTTTTTGATTAAAGGAGCAACTAGTGTGCATCTAAAGGAAGGAGATTTTAATTTTTGATTCTTTGAATAAAAACTTTCCGTCACGAAATCTCAAATAAGCTAGACTCATGGGTGAATGTTGATGTCAAGAAGGACGGCTGGAGACTTTTTGTGCACGGAGAAGAATACGAAAAGGGGAACAGGTACTACAAAGGAAGGCACAACTATGAAATTCAGCTGGAAAACAATGGAAAACTTATTCACGGTATAAATTATATAACATGTCCTATCCTACCAATGTTTCGCTAAGGGAATGGTGGCTTCTCTGTGGATGTAAAAATATTTGATGAGTACGACGATTGTCCGAAGAGAGGAGCTGAGGTCTTTTTGGACAACAAATGCAGCGAAACAGTCGGCGAGGGAAAAGAACGCGTCACATTTTATGTCAGAGGACATAAAGTTGGAGCACCGGATCACGACCACCGGACTCTCGTCAACATCACTATGAATTGATTTCTTGTTGTTTGGTGTCGAACCGAAATCTTTACTCAATAAAATACAAAACACCATGAATTTATGCGAAAAATCCGAATAAACGAGTCAGATTCAAAGTTCTCAAGGTCGCCAACGTCCTCCTCTGGGCGCGCTTTAAATCGCACATATGGGGCAAACAAAGGAGTGAGTCACGTGATACAATTGACGTTTTTATTGCTGCGCGCCACGTAGCAAAAAAGGCAGGTCTAAAATCAGGAAGAGAAGTTTAAAATACTTTTGCGGTCCCTCCAGGGGCCCTCCGAGAGTCTTAGAAAAAGTCTGTTGCAGTTAGTACCGCCGAGAAACGAACTGGTGCTCTGATTTGTTTTGACTAGTAATTCAAAAAATGCGAAAGCTTCAATGGAGAAACGATTCTTGGTTTTTAAAAGTGGAAAATCAGGTAGAAACTCCTCCCAATTTTGTGTTAACAATATTTTTAGCATTAATTTGTTTCGACAAAATAATCGAAGAAAAAATGCGAAGAATTCGACGGAACTTCTGCATTCCAAATTCTTCTGATCATCTGTTTTTCTTAAATTTCCTAATCAAATAAAATCACTTACTAAAAGTACCGTAAAAGTATTTTGCAGCGGCGATGTTACAACTTGCTCAATCCGCAATAATGCGCACAGCGCTGCAAAAGTGAGTGTGCTCTAAAAATGCCTCGCCGAATTCCGGCAATCAGTGGTTCCTCGAAATTACGTGCCTGTCGACGTGTTCAACGGTAATATCGTATTAGACGGTACTTGTTTTAGCAGTTTGCGTTTTGACTTTAATTTTGACAGCCCGGATCAAATGTCATTTTATAAAAAACCCAAGTTTATCTCTAGTAAGAAATTTTTATCGAAAATATAAGGCATATTTTATTGAATAAGATTTGAAATATTTTTATTAGATTTTTCTTTGTCTTCTTTTTCAACTTTCAATGAAAATTTTTAAACTTTAAAAATCTTATGCTCAGTTAAAAATATGTTGAAGAATCTGGTGCTTGTGGCATTTGTTCTCCAGAAGTATCTATTTTGAAGATATTGAGTTGGAAAGTGTGAATTCGTGGAAATAACTTCGTGGGGTGTACGTGTTCATTGGTATTAGACGTTTGTTATGGTTGGACGTGGCTGCGGCGGAAAGTCATCTGTTGCGCATTTCGCGCTACTGGCGCATCATGAGATGTCCTGATTCGAGGTGGAGCTCTCTTTTGGTGGAGGCGCCGCTGCGGGGCAGTTGCACGAATTTGCTTCTTGGATCTCACGTCATCCCCGATCAACTATCGAAGAGTCTGCTACACCAGAACTTAAAAAAAAGAGAGAGAGTTGAGAAAAGAGACTTCTTGAACCAGTAATTTTGAAGATCAAGGTGAGCTCCTGCGCACGCGAACTTTCATGCTCCAGTGTTTGTCTCCTTTATTTCCTCTTTTCGTTTATATTTATTTTTCACTAACCAATTTTTGTCGAGAACTAATCAGTTAGAAAGAGCAATTGCCTGAAGATTTAGCCTGAAAAAAAATGAAAGTTCAACCATGATTAATTTCAATTAAAAATGGTATGAAACGATGCTTCTTCTTATTTTCAGACAATTGATTGTAGAAATTAGGCCTCATAGCATTTTTTTTCAATGATTGAATAAGTAATAAAGAGACAGATTTATTATCAATTTTTTTTCTCTCAAAATGCGTCTGAAATAGGAAACTAGACATTATATAGCAAAATTAACGTTACTTCAAATTTAGCCTTTTTAAATTATGGAAATGAAAGGGTATTTTGAAAGAGGTGTCTAAAAGGAAACTCTCACTCAAAAATGTGTGTTGGGTGGAGCTGCGTGCCCAAAGGGACTAGGGAATAGAAGGTGGCTGGAAATCGCTTCATTATTAATCTCCGAGTTCAACCTCCGATTTAGGAAAGAAGTGACGCGCTAGAATTAAGAAGAACTCAAATTAACCCACTGGCGCGAAACATACAGAGATTGGAAAAGAAGAAAAAGATAGAGAGGAAATGGGAGAAGCGTTTATCTAAGAGGACAATCAAGAAGTAAAATGACAACGGATCATGCTTGGACAATATTACACTGAATTTATAAAGGTACATTCAATATTTTCTCCGCGAAATTAAAAGATTCTCTATAAAAAGGAGCAGACCTTTCGTTAAAATAAGAGAGTTACTAAGCTTTCGATATCAAGCTCAAAATTAAGATGAAAGCGTTTCGTACACATCCGATCCACGGATCATGTCATTCAGACAGTGCAATAATCCTATCTTCATTGTTAAGTTCCAAAATGGGTTGAGCAGAGATCTGTTTCATTGCCATGACATCTCAGAAGCGATCCAGTGTTTATCTGCACCACGGCAGCTCGATCCAAATGGTAAGCTCTCTTATGACTGCGAATTAAATATGTTGGCCTTGGCGTCGATTTTTTCAAATTTAATTTGATGTCCGCGAGTCAAGCGTAAAAATTGCGTCACTCCCTTGATTGCATCTTAACAGTTAATGAGAAATCTTTAAGAGTCTTGCGGGCCGTTGTATCAAATGGGTGCATGTTTTCCCGAAGCTGCATTGAACACCCAGAACGAATTTTCCTGCTCTTTTGATGATGACTACGGCGCGGACATAAGTTATACAAAAATAAACTGCGATGCCAAAGGCTGGTCTTCCGTGGAAGATGCACTAAAGGACTGCAACTATGGAGACGAATCAGTAGATTACGATTCCAACATGTCTTACGATATAAGTTACCAAGATTACTCGAGCAGCTCTTTCACCAATTATACCGACACGAACGACAGTGCGATTTATCCAATGAGTCCAGAAATGAGTACGAGCATAAAATACATGGGTTACACAATGACGCTTGCGACCATAAGCTTGATCTTTTGCCTCATCAGCTTCATTCTCATGTCAATTTTGCTAAGAAAATGCACGAGGATATACATTCACATGAATTTGCTCGCTGCCTTTATGCTTAGGTACTTGCCTTAACAATGTCAAATCCATAGTATGATTTTCAGGCATACCACCTTCATCGCCTTCTATCTATTTAAAAGTATTCAATGGAAAGTCAAAGTCGAGCCCAGGCTAGGGGAAGTCGAGAAGAATCTCATTGATCTAAATAACAATACGTATGGCGGATGGAATAGATATGTCCTTGCTCTTGGAGATTCCGATCTTCCTGAATTAAAGGGCGTTTCAGATGGGTAAGAGAATTCGCTGAATTATCAACTGGTTAAAAAAAACTTAGTACTTGCGCGGCTCTATCGGAATTCGAAGTCTGCAGATGCCAACTTCAGTGTCTGTTGTATCCGGTTTTTCAAAAGTACTCGGTTCTGGTATGCTTTTCATGGCTTGCATGCGAAGGTCCGCTGCGAAAATTGACCTTTTTCTGGATAGCTAACCTTATTTCAGGCATTTATCTTGTGATGTTACATCTGAAACCGCTCTTGCTGATTCAACGATTCAACCCAATGCGCTGGTTTCTCGGACTAAGCTGGGGGTTACCTCTCATTCCTGTCGGATTGTGGGCTGCACTGGCATATCATAACTGTGTAGACGGCTATGCTACTGATCAAGAGGATAATTACGAGGTAAGAACTAATCCAAGCAGCCATTTTTGCAATGTCACAAAATGGTTTCTCCGAAAATACCAATTACTTAGAACGAGTCCAAGTGGCCCAAAATAAAACAACGGGGAATAGTTGTTCCTCTCAACACGAGCTGTGTTATTCATAAACGTGTCTATTCTACTTAACGGGGGGTTAAGTTAACCTTCTTTCATAAATTACCTAGAACGATATCCTTGGACTAAAATGTTTCTAGCGCATCATTGAAATTCCAATCTACATCTACATCATCATCTGTGCTGTCGTCTTCGTGGTGATCATCTACGGCATTTTTCAAAAACTTAACGCGCCACATCACGGAAGTGGACGTAGCCGCGTCTTTGGGTATTGATTTCATATGTTGAATCATTAATTCAGACCGTTGTTTCTAGTGTTTTGAAAGCTGCAGTCTCTTTGATCCCACTTCTCGGCATGCAACATGTCGCTCTGCCTTTTGCAACTGCATTAGATGATGAAGTGATCAGGAAGATGTATCCCGTCTTTCTCGTTTTGTCGCAATGCTCTGGGATCATCGGTAGCGTCGAAAGTTATAGACCGAAATTGACTCGATTTTAGTTTCAATTTTGTACTGTTTTCTCTCAGCAGAAATTCGAGAAGCGATCGAACGTCGCTGGAAACAACATCAGGAGCTCCGGGACATCTACAATGAGATATCTACTCGTCGGCAGTCAAGAGACTCTTCCTCTGAGTCATCGAAGATCTCACAGCTCTTCTCCCGATTTCGAAGGCGCTCGGAAGCGTCCACATTCTCTATTCTTCGCCAACCGAGTTCTGAACCGAACGTTCATCGAGTAGAAGAAGACGCGTCTGAAGGCGATCCAGTCATTCCACTCTTCGACCCGTGTTACAAAAGACCCTCGACTTGTTCGAAACACTCGGATTTCTCGAATGGCTACTATTCAGGGTAATAATTTAGGCTTTCTATACATAAGTACCCATCTACTCCATCTTTGTAGGTTATCTGATAACTCTGAGTCCGCTGTGAACACAATTACTGATACCAAGTTACTATCTAGGGCCCCGCTACTAGAAATAAATGAGACAAGCTTTGACGAGTCTCCATCAAGCCCACCAACAGAAATGACCGATGTCCTTGAAAGTTCAACAGAAAACAGAAAAAACAATCACGACCTACCCACGGTAACATTTCCCGAAAAGACATCGGATGACAATGACGAAAACCCTGATGTCTGAGATTCCGCCACTGACACAACATTAGAAAACGACCAAGAAGAACATAAATTCGATTCCAAGAAGTAGAGACTCGCTTTGATTGAAGAGGTACGAGTTTTTGCAAGAGTAAGCAATTTCATCAATTTTCTAGGTTTAGCCTTTGATTTGAAAATACAAAGAAGGGTCCACTTCGTTCTGGAGCGATTACACTTCCACTGGCTTTCGAAAATCCAAGTTCAATGAACATTCATTTCTTGTTCAAACATTTATTGTAAAATATATAAAGGCAAATATGGATAAAGTTTTACTTTCGCACGTTGACCTTGGTCGATTTCTTCTTGCCCATGAGATCGTTGACTCGGGTTCGCATTTGTTTGAGGTCGTCTTTGAGGTGGCTGAACTGGACGTTGAGGTCGTAGCGGCTTTCTTCGAGGGAAACGAGCCTAAATATGTTAAAGTTCTGATAGTAACTTCTCGGCGGCGAACCATTTTTGAAGTTCGACGGCTTTTTCTTGGAGCTTTTCGCCAGTCAAGTGATCGACGTTAAGATTCTTTCTTCGCTCGGCGAGGACCTTCTTCTTGAGCTCCTTGGCCTTGTTACCGCCACCAGCCTTTCGCTCTCGCTTGGCAGCACCGCCAGAGAAGTTCATAGACATGGCTGCAAGAGCATTCTTCTTGGCCTCTTCTTCCTCTTTCTTTCGTCGCTCTTCGAGTTCTTCCTGCTTTTTCTTGGCTTCCTTAAATCCCCATTAATTTTGCCATGCGACATTGAAGCAGTTGAAGTTTTAACAATCCAATAAAAAAACTTGACCCGGAGGAAACGCCTCAGATATCTCTTGCAGCTCATAAAATGTGTGAAACACAGAAAAACTTACGATAGCAGCTTCTTGGCGAGCCTTTTCGCGCTCAGCTCGGATCTTGTTCTGCTCTTCACGGTAGACTTTTCGTTTTTCGATTCGCTCCTAGTAAGAATTCATTGTCAAGCTGGATGAATTTAATAAACCTGGAGTCCAGCAAGATCAGCTTCATCCTTCTTTCGAGCCTCAAAATGATCTTTGATCATTCGTTCCAACTCTTTAAGATCCTTCTCCAATCGCTGTCGCGCGAATTCGCTCAAGCCTTCCATTGAATGACCCTAAGAATCGTTTAGATTTTCTTATTGCAAATTTTATTGCTACATATTCTCAAAGAATATGTTTTCTTTTTATGAATTATGATTTATGATTCATAAACTTTATGATGCATTTATAGATTCTATGAATGCAATATTATGATAGCCTATTTGATATCTTTAAATGGGTATATGTCTGTGTAGCAGTTAAAATGATACTAAGGACTTTTTATGGGGTGTAGGGATCGTTCGCTTACTTTTTCTCCATCCTATGAATATAAGAAAATGAATTTGTTGATTTTTTTAACTATAAGTTTTCAGGAAAAAGAATTAACCTTGATCTTAGGAATCTTGACTTCATCGGCGGCAGGGGCTTCTGCTGGTGGAGCTTCAGCTGGTGGCGCTTCGACGGCGGCTTCCTCAGACATCGCTCGAAAATTTAAATAAGTCTCTTGTTTTTGATTTGAAAATCAAGAACTGAAATGAGAGGAAGGAAGGCTAAAAGGAGGAAGACGAGTTAATCCCAGCTGATGGAAGAAGCAGTCGCTGGATTGGATTTATAGCGCAAAATCGCACTTTCGCTACCTGTCGAGCACCCACTAAGTAAGATAGTACTAAGGTGGTATTACTAACAGGCATCATAAAATCAAATCAACCTCCTGTCAACAAAACGTCAATAGAAGTAAACTCAGGGAGAATTTTGTGCTGAATTGAGTTTATTTGATTCAAACGATGGCAATAAGTATTTTTACAGTTTTCAAAAAGCTAAATTTAAAAGTGTTGACGCTTCGATTACGCAGTGTCAACAGGCTCGTAAAGGCTTCTATCTTCGTTGTCGGGCATTTTCTGGGACTTATTTTTGTAGACTTTTTCTGCTTCCGCCATTGTTTCGTAGAGAGCTTTTCCTTTAGTTTCTGGCAAAAGAAGGAGGAAAAATGCAACAAGGACACAGCTGGCTGAGAAGATTGCTGCTGGTAGCCATCTGATTGAGATCGGAGGCTTCTAAAACCAATTAATGAGAGACCTAAAATAAAGTCTTGTCCCTACTTGAAGTTGAAGAATGTAAGGAGCAATGACATTTCCTAGTCCGCCACCAAGCGAGCCGAATCCTAGGGCAATTGTTCGGACAGTAGTTGGGAATACTTCTGCTGAGTACGTGTAGATTACCTAAGAAAACATTAGAATCGAAAAAAATACTTTTGCTTTACCGAAAAAGCAGCGGAGATAAAGAATTTGCCAGTGAAAGCAAGCCATCTACTCGAATTTTTAATCAAAGAGATTTCGCTTTCATCCATGTTTTCAAGGTCTAACTGCTGAAGCACAATTTCAGAAGCCATGTAAGTGATTCCAGTGCCCCAAAGAACTCCAAAAAGAAGATGTCTTCGACCGATTTTCTGCATAACAACGATAACTAAAAGTTGCTTGAACGTGATAAACTCCATGCTGACTTACTTATAAATTGCGCTACGCAATCAAGGAGACCATTAATTGCGTTATTGGCCCAAATTGTTCCTGGAAGTTCTGCAGCGTTATAGGAAATTCCCATGAAAACCATTGCGATGACGAAGAAGGCGAAGAAAATGATGAAGAGTGCGTTTCGAAAGACGGGAAAGCGGAAAATATCTTTGAAGGTCTTCTCTTCTAACTCATTGAACGAGTCCTCCTCCTTGATTAGTCCTAGTGTTCCAGTATACGCCACAGATGGTCGTTTGTTCAAGGACAAAGACGACTTCACCAGTGAGCCCATTGATCCGATATGGGTTGAGCCAGCAAATTCTTCTACTTCTTCTTCTAACTCCTCAAGTTCTGCGTTTTCAATGTTCTTGTAGAAGCTTGAATCAATCTTTTCGGCATTAGCTCCAATAAGTTTTCGGATAGCGTCTTTCGCTTCAGAGCTGCGCCTTTTCAGAATGAGCCACCTTGGAGATTCTGTGAAAGCTTTATAAATGCACCTTATTTTATTCCTAATACTTCTTTTCTTAAAAGACTTCTATTCTGTTTAAATTTCCTTGAAAAGCTTTCCTGGAACACAAATCCAAAAAAGCAAAAGCGGCGCACAAACGGCAGTTGTCGCAAAGGTGAAGCTTCGCCAGTCGCGAAAGTAGTAAGAAAATACAGAAGCAGTTATGCACCCGAGCGCATAGTAAATGTGGTTCATTTGGCCAGCAAATGCCCTCCAGGATGGCGAAACAATTTCCAATGTAAATGAGGAGTAGGCCAAATATTTGACTTGCGAAAGAATCTGAAGGTTTTTCACTATAAAATATTTTAAAAACGATCATTTACCTTGGTCAGAGTCCAGAAAATCATAATAACGAGTAGGTTGTTTGCCCATCCAGCGATTCCAATAGTGATAACCATCAAAAGAGTGGCATACAGCATGACTTTCTTTCGACCAAGCGTATCAGTAAGTCCTCCTCCGACGAAGCTTCCAATCGCAAGGCCTACTCCACCAAGTGAAAAAACTGTCTCCCTTTTGCAAGTTCGAAACTGTTAGACTCCCAAGGAGAAATTCTATTATGCAACTTCAAGGCTATTTAGATAGAAGATCCCCTCAGAACCAAAAGAGCTCGGAAATACCAACAGAACTTAATCCCCATCTCGTGAGAATGGATATGCGCTGAACGCACTCGCCCGAAGTCGAGCCATAGTTACGTTGACACACCCATTTTTTAACGACCCGGAAGGAATTCGAAATTAGTGTGAACTTTGCCTAACAACTTGCTTGTCGCACACCAGATGAAAGTCAGTTACCAGGGTTTCGTTTATAAATTCATCGCTGTAATAATATTCATCCGGGCATAAATCTCGTTCATCATCGAGTTGAACATTTGAATTTGCAAATTCTTCGAATTGATGGCATCTTTTACAGCTGTCGTTTGACGCAATGCCGGGTAAAAAATTGTCGATCTTGACTATTCCACATACACCTTCGCTTTTTCCTGAGCCACCACCGCCGCCGCCAGAGCGTCTAAATATAATAAAAGTTAAGAAAGCTAATTTAACATTAGTTTTTCAATCATAAATTAAGCGCTACCTTAAATAATGAATAATGAAAAACCATTCTTCTCTAACCTTTTTCTGGAGTGATCGGTCAAATTGTCGAATCCATCAACGAGGCAATAATCTGTAGTTGCACATAAATCTGGAACTCCGTTGTAAAGGGTTTGATTGGCTTGATAATTGGCAGTGAGACGGGCGTCTGAGTTACAGTAGTATGTCTTCGGCGTGTAAACGGCAAAAATCGGCCACATGGTTATGTAGCCGTCTTGAAAGGAAATCAGGCCAGTAATGACAGTGAGAAAGAGTTGTCTCGCGCTGAACCCAGGGACGTAATCCCATATTTCATCGAATCCTGAAAATTATGCTAGCAAAGTATAAAAAAGGGAAATTTAATCTGACTACTTTTATAAGAAGAAATAATAAAAAATCAAAGTATCGAAGAGTTGTAAACTCCGTTGACCTTGATCGTTTACCTTTATTGTCTTTTTTCTCGTCCATTGTGTTTGACTCTTTTTTAGCTTTGTCAGGCTCTCGCTCTTATTTAAAATTTGGGGTTTTGTGTTGGGGTCTCTGCTTTTTCAAAAGACTTTTTCTCTCAAGTTGGTTTTGGTCTAAAATGGGTGTTCGCCTCAATGTCGCCGTCTTCCGCTCTTTGTCTCTCTTACGTTACTTCATTCTCTCTGCGCCCCAAGCCAAGAAAACTCGCTCAACTCGTGCTTTCCCTGTATCTGTCTATATGTAGCAATTAAATATAATCTTATATATTTCTGGAGAGTTCACCTAGTCGGGCTCAATGAGCCGAGAGCATGATCGCTGTTGAGTAGGCAGGCAGTGGGAAAATACAAACGCTGCGTTTCATAATTATCAGCCAGACAAGGTTCCCATGGACAGACAGGCTTCTTACAGGCTTTTTTCTTTGAAGATTTTTTATCAACGAAAGACTGCTTTTGTTCAATTTCCAACCGATCTTTGTGATTTTCTCTTTCCAATTAAAAATTCTTTGACACAGTTCAAAAAAAGTTCAAACTCCCCCTCCAACTTATCCGAAATTTTCGCGAGGGAGTATCTTTTTCACATAAATCGATTTACAACCATCGTCGCCGAGACTCGCCAAATTTTTCCGATACACGCGTCATTGGCGCACGCGCTTGTCCGAATATATTCATGACCCGGGCCGGTCGGAGGGTTGAAAACAACACGAGCAGGGCACGGAGGGATCACGTTGGATAGGGAGCAGAATACAACGCTTGCCTTGCAGAAAACTACGCTATTATTTTATTTTTAACTATTTCTCTGACAGCCAAGTGCGAAAAAATGATGCTTTATTTACAGGGTGTTTGTGCGCTTCCATTAGCGTAAAAATTTTCAATGGTCGTATCAACAGTTCCGGGAAGCATCGACTTGGTAGAAGCTACTCTGATTTTGTGGTAAACGTAACTGCTAACATAGTTACTAAAAGAACTTTTAAAGGCGACCACAGCCCTGGAAACATTCCGTGTCGGGTACGAAGCGTGTATTACGTTAATACCTTCCAAGGTCAATACGCCTTTTCGTAATTTACTGGGCCAGTAATTATGTAAAGCAAGTAGAAATTACGTAATTCGACCGGATCCCTAATTTCGTGAGTGCAGCACGTCTCATTGATGCCTCTGCCTTTAGTCGGTTATTGCGCTTTGACTTGTTTGAACTGTCCTAAAAAGAGAGAAGGAATCTTTATGGGGAGAAATAGATTTTATGTGCGAGAATAAAATCGCTTCCGACTTGAAAGTTCGTATAGGAAGATAGAGTAAATCAACAATTCGGTAATGAAAATTCTGAAATTATATAATTCGTGGAGGAAATTAGTCTATTTTTATAAATTATAAAAACATTATGTTTTTAACTTACCATCCACAGTTTGATCAAGTAGCATAAATAGAGCACCAATGGAAGGACCAAAAGTCTGAAGCAATATACAGATCTCACCATTGAACTCTTTCTTTATTTTTTGTCTCTATTCTATTTCGACGACGCACTTTTTCATCATTAGGATTTTTCGACCCTTGGGAAGACTCCTAATTATCATGTCTTCTACTGTATCAATGGCCAATTGACAATGGCACAGATGTCTACCAAAAAGTTTTTACTGCACTGTCGCAAACAAAAATTACTGAACTATTACTAGTAACAGATATGATTTGAATTGAGAATGGGGTTCAATTTCCTGCTTGTTTGCGAAGAAAGTGTGTACTTGTCTCTATGAAAATCCTCATCAGACCGAAAAAGCAACATTCATTGAAACAAGGACAATCAAAAATGATCAGAAGATCGATTGTGCCCCTTCGACAGCCACGCAAGATCCTCCCTGTGTTCCAATTACGAAAGGTTAACAGATGTAAAGCGTCACTTTATTAAAAACGTTATTGTTTGGCAGCGAGTTTACTAAGTTCAAGACATGTTCTCTTCTGATTTTGGTGATAAAGATTTCGATGGCCCCTTCATTTAGTTTCATTGAGAAGACATCGTCAAGTTGATTGTCGTCCCGGAAGAAGGCTAAAGTATATGATTATATCCAGAAATCACAAATAAGTTGACTTCTTTTGGGGCTTACTTAGGGGGGGCATATGCTCGCTACTGATTTTTCGTGATAAAGATTTGGATGGGTCCTTCATTTGGTTTTGCGGCGTTTTTGAAGATTAGTTCAAGTTGATTGTCGTCCGGGAAGAGGGCTAAAATATATGATTATCCTCGTTGATATCAAAAATTTTAAGAAGACTTACCAACAGTGTTCTTGAAGCCAACATCTATCGAAGAGTTGCCAATAACTTGATTGTCATGCCTGACAAAATAAATGAGAGGATGCGAGTCTGCTAGCATCATCAGTCGGTTCTTTTCAAACGACAAGTAGCAGCCATGGCCCACAGCAAGACTTTTGTTCTCAGAAAGAGTCCCTTCGTCAGTGAGCCGATTACCCTGCCTGGTCTGCTCATATCTTCAAAAAATTCGAATAAAACTACAACTAGTCAACGTTTTTTACCTTTGGATAGCCACCTGAGGGATAATGTTTCTTGGTCGATTTCTCTCCTCCATTTTCGATGGACTGAAGCAGTTTTGCCTTATTTTTGCTTTCCAAATATCAAACTGCTCTTGAAAATCGCTAGGGTGTTCCTCTTCGGTATGAAGAGCTTTCAATGATTTCTCGAATTTATGGATTAGTGAGTCCAGTTGAGCAGGTTGAAATGAGTCTGTGGATGATGAATGAAACGAGTCTATTGAATGAATGTCTTCGAGAGACTGACTTCTAGGGCTGAAATTTTCCTATATCATATTCACTCCTAAGAGGGAAAAAATGATTTCCTCCTACCTCTTTTCTTACTGGGACGAGACTAGGCTCATTCAAAAGCTCCTAAAAAGCTTTCTGTTGTGCCATAAAAAATGTACCCTACCTCCCTGTAATAAAAATGTACTTTTGAGCTCATAACCTTGAGCTCATAGGAAAAGGGTAGTTGGTCATGAATTTTTACGTTCAACGCCTGTAATATCTTTTAAGTTTTCAGCCCCGTTGCCTTGATTCGATTCCAGAATCATCACTGTGGAATTTTTCGTTGTAATTTTTGCTATTGACAGTGGCATCGATGTCGTTCAATTCCTCATCGTTATCCATTTTACCGTAAAAGGTTTTGAGAGACGACAGCTTCAACATCGAAAATACAGTGTATAGATTTTCGAGGAAACTAGGAAATTTCTTTTCCCAGAAGTTGAAATACTTCGTAAGTGAATCGGCGGAAGAGAGGGTCACATCATCATCTGGACATTTTGAGTTGAGAAGAATTTTGCGGATGCGAAGGGGCTGCTCTTCAAAATGAAGTTGGAGGTTTCTGATCACGCTTATAAGTTCGACTTTCAAATGGTTAGCGAGTCAAAGCTTTTCAACAGATAACAAGTCAAGGGACACCCTAAGAAATCAGCTTGCCGAAGGTGTGTAAAGCAAATAATAAAATTGATGCTATCCTTCAAAGGATGAAAATAAATTTTGATCTCGTTATAGATTTTTTTTTCTCAAAAATTTTCTCAAGGATAAATTTTTATAGCGTTTCATTATCATGACCCGGTAGTATGAGAACAAGGTGAAATTTTAATAATCGAATTTGTGAGCTTTCACGAACCAGTTCCTATAGTATCCTTTTTATAAGTCTTAAACTGGCGCATCCTTCCTCGCGTTGTCTTTCCCTATAAAATTTAATTATTATCCATTAAATTTTTCCCTTTTTGATTACCTTAGCTGGTGTCGTCAGATGAGACCATAATTCGGTACCCAGAAGTTCTTCTGAAAGCCAGCTTTCTTTCCCCAATATCAATGGTTTGAAGGTTTCAATGAAGTCGATGAGCACGTGCTGGGTTTTCTTTTCGTTCTCCGATTTTTCTAGTAAAAGAACGATTACACAACGTAAACAGTTCAAGTCTTGAACTTCAGGAATCTTCTTCGCGAATCATTTATGGGCAGTAATTTCCGTTATGAAGTCCGTGACTACATATTTACTTGGTAGTCATTGAAAGAAAATCTGCTTTCGACCGCTTCTGACAGACATTTTTTTAAATGAGCTGTTTACGACGGGGTCTCTTTATTGTAACGGTAACAATGTATTCCTAAAATTGTATCACTGTCTTTGTAATTCTGTATTGCTTGGTATCACTGTCATAATTTCTCTGTAGCCGATAGTACAATTTTACAAACTACAGTGATACCATAATACACAAGTACAAAGACAGTGATACAACGGCAAAAAATTTAAAATGGGAAAATAATTTCAATATTATTTTTTTTTTGGTCATTTTTTTTATTTTTTTTTAAATAAAAAAATACAAAATTACAATTAATTTTCTTATACAAAAATTATATAATGCGCGCGGCGCGCGCAATCCCTATTTTTTTAAATAATTCTATTGAACAAAATTAAAAAAATATATAAAATTATCTAATATTTTCTTATACAAGAATTATATAATGCGCGCGGCGCGCGCAATCCCTCTTATCTATTCCCTTAATCCTATATAAAATGGAAGGACTATATTTTGGTAGCTAGGGGCGGGGCGGGGGAAGATTCCACAAGGGCTAATTAAAAACGCCCTATATAGCGATTTTGCGTTTTTTTTCTTGTACTTGTGTATTTTTTCTCTGAAACCTAAAAAAAGGATGAATTTCTAACCGCCAAATATTTGTTAATTAGGGGGGACAATATTTTGGAAGCTAGGGGCGGGGCGGGGGTAGATTCCACAGGGGCTTTTTAATAATGCCCTTTATAGCGATTTTCGACTTTTTTCCTCATACATATGAATTATTCATTGTATCCTCCAAAAATGGATGGAACTTTGAACGTGAGTTTCCATCCAATTTTTTGTTCTTATAAGCCGCCCCCATTTTGACGACTCTAACGAGGCCTTTCCCATTTTCAGGCAGAATAGGTCATTTTGGAGGATTTGATTTGCCATAATGACAGTAATACAATAGCGAAAAATTTTGAATAGGCTTGAAAGGGCCAAATTTATTCTGAATTTCTTCATTTTAGACATTTTTTCTTTATTTTCTAAAAATTACAATTTATTTTCTTATACTATTACAATTTAATGCGCGCGGCGCGCGCAGTCCCTATTTTAACAATTCAAATGAATTTTATCCAAAATGAACAAGTTTTGATTTTCTACAAAACAGGAGGAAGAGAATCAACGAGAAGATAATTTCTTCTTGCAGAAGCCTAATTTCCCGAATTTCACGGAGTATAGCATCTGTCTGGCTTGTTTTCTTTTTATCGACGTTCACGCGGAATGGACCGATGCTCGAGTGTATGATTCCAAAAGTTTTTCGAACTTGAATTAGGTGGGTTTCACGCTTCGCCTTTATTGCTATCCATGGATGACTTTTGAAAGTGGTTATCGGGATTTGCGTTGTCTATCCATTCCTTTATTCGTGGACGCACTGAGAACATCTCGCTCAAGAGTAAGCTCACTACAGTAGTCTGGCCGCAGACGTGTCATGCGTCTCCTTTAGTGAATGTTTGACTTCCGGATCCCCTGGCTCATCTAAAATGAGCTAGTTCTTTCGCATGAATAGGGGCATCTTCTTCATTACAGTGATACACAAGCTCTCTAACCCTTTGTTCTTTCATCTTTTGGTCATCGAGCAAGATTCTGACAGTGATTTGGACTATCTCCAACATTTCCAATAAGATGCAAACTTTGCATTGCAACGGGGACGCTCGATTCGTGTACCAAAAGCGCATAGGCACTCTTTGGGTGCACCAAATTTTGAATTTTCGAGGAGATTTGGTATTCGAATACCAAAATTGGTATTCGAATACCAATTGGTACACGAACCGAGCGTTTCCCCATTGCAAAGCACCTTCGTTGTCAATTATGAAGGCGGTATCTAGAGAGTCAAGAGGGATATTCTCTTCAGCCAGATGTCGAATTTTTTGGAGGTCTATCTCGACTCTAACACCCGCATTTGAAAATTGGACTTTTTGACGAAAAATTTCGAAAAAGACCCAATTTTGCTGAAAATTTAGATTTTTATTGGTCAAAAAGTGTTCCTTAGGAACCTAACAGGTTAGGACCTAACAAGTTTTTATGATTTAGTTAACTTCTACGCACACTCTGAAGCCAAAATATGGCTGTTTTAGCCATATTTAAAACTTAGCGCGCTATTGTGAGAATCGAGAATGCTCTAGTACTCAACATTCTAATCTCTCCAATTTTAATGAAGAAACCCAAAGCTCGTACACGATTTATCAGTACCCACGCGCTGTAAGATACTGCAAAGAATGTTTTAACCTTAGGAAAGTCGAAGATTTACATTTTCAATGCCCGCCGAAAATTGCGTGGGACCTCAACGAAGACGATGCGAGCCTCATTGACAATTTAGATAAGGACGAGGCAAATCCAAAAATGCACATGAGAAAGCATCTGAAGACGCAGTCTTCCAGCTGCGATGAGTTGGTTTTGTGGCTGGATTGTGATAGAGAGGGAGAAAATATCTGTTTGAAGTGATGTGCTGCATCCCTCACATTCGTGGAAACAGCGTCAAAAGAGCCCATTTCTCCGCCAGTACCGACAAAGACATCAAAAAAGCAATGAACAATCTCGGCTCTTCCAACAAACTCGAGTCCCTCTCTGTCGATGCTCGACAAGAACTAGACGTTCGTATCGGCTGTGCATTCACTCGATTTCAGACGAAATTCTTCATACGGGCCTTGTCAAACTTCAACCCTTGGATTCTGCGTCGAGCGACACAATCAAATCACGGAAGTCAAGCTGGAGAAATTCTGGAGAATAAATTTAGCCGTGCAGACAGAAAATTTCGGAAACTTATATGCGGAATGGCAACGAGGGCGAATTTTTGACCAAGGCATCGCGGATATGCTCCATAGCAAAGTGAAGAATATCAAATCTGCGATTGTCCAAAGTGAAAAAAAGAAAGCGAAAGCGAAACAAAGACCAGTTGCGTTGAATACAGTCGAGCTGTTGAGGGTTTGCTCGGCCAAGTTGGGAATCGGGCCTGCTCAGACGATGGTCAGTGCTGAGAGGATTTATGCACAGGAAAGAGACAGAAAGATTAAAAGAAAACTGACTCCTCCAAAGACTCATCCTCTATTTATCATAAAATAATGTCTGTTTTGATCTCTCAAAAGGGTTACATTTCCTACCCTCGAAGAGAAACCACCTCATACTCTCCAAACTTCGACTTTCGTCCTGTAATTTCAATGCTGCAGAATTTCGGCCCTCATTCTGCCGCTGCTCAAGAGTTACTTACTGGCTCTTCTCCCAAAAAACCCTAGAAAAGAAGAAGACAAAGGCGACCATCCCCCAATCACTCCTCAACGAAGTTGCTCTGAGTCCGAAGTTGGCCGGTGAAGCTTACCGAGTTTATAATTACGTTGCCAGCCACTTCCTGGCTTCCTTGATGAAAGACTATAAGAACGAGCAGACGGAAATTACTGTCAAAGTGGGCAATGAAACGTTTTATCTTACAGCAAACCGGGAGAAAGAAAAAGGCCTTGCTCTAACGATGACGAATGTTGGAGTCGAGGAATCCGTTTTACCGGATGTTCATAAAGGTAAAGAATCGAGATGAATTCATATGGTCCATAGACTATGGAAGTTATTCGACACTGACTTGGTAAGCATGCCATTTTCCCTTGTCGAGATTTGGTCATTTCTCCAGTCCACAAGCATAGCAACGGCGCTAAAGTACTTAGTTGCGGTAAACAGGCTTTCAGTTTTCATCCCTCTTCTTTTCATACAGAAGATCTTCGAAAAAGCATTGGACAGCGCAGAAACAACAGAATCACAGATTCATACAATGTTTTCTGTAATGAACAATCAAATTAAAATCACCTCGTCAAGTCTCCCGCCAGTTGTGCTGCTCAACATTTGCCTGCGAACACTAAAGCAGCTAAAAACAGAAATCACGATTTCGGATCGGCACTCATCAACGTTAGCACTAATAAACGAGCTTATTTGGGACATTTTCTTCAAGAAAAAGATAGATATCTGCGGCGATACGGAAGCATCTACAATCGTGTTCCAGCTTTTTGGAGAAGTTGCTGAACAATTTGGGCATTTACTTTTTAAAATTTGCGCGCTCTTCCAGAATCACTTATTCTGTCAACGCATCACCGAGATATTATCAGAACGCTGTGGACGGAACTAGGCTCGAACGATGGGGAGTCGAAGCATGCTGCGAAGATTATGCTCTCCTACATTTACATTTATCGCGCACCAGAAGCGTTCATCCAGCTCGTGGATGAAAGTTATCTCAATCAACCGTGGGAAAAGCAGTTTGATCTGGCAAACAAGCTTGCTTCCTTGCTTCAACATGAATTCTAGGGATTGCGCGCGCCGCGCGCATTAAATAACTATTGTATAAGAAAATAATAGATGATTAAAAGTATTTTTGAAACATAATTCATTTGAATTGTAAAAATGTGGATTGGCACCGCTTATGCCAGAAAATGGGATAGGCCTCGCCAGAGTCGTCAAAACTGGGGCGAGTTAAAACACAAAAAAAACTGGATGGAAACTCACGTTCGAAGCTTCATCCATTTTTTAGATTACAGTGAATAATTCATCCGTACGAGAAAAAAGCGTAAAATCGCTATATAGGGCGTTTTTAATTAGCCCTTGTGGAATCTTCCCCCGCCCCGCCCCTAGCTACCAAAATATAGTCCCTCCATTTTATACAGGATTTGGGGAATAGATTAGAGGGATTGCGCGCGCCGCGCGCATTATATAATTTTTGTATAAGAAAATAATAGGAAATTTAATATATTTTTTTTTAAATTAAGTTCATTCAAATTGTAAAATAGGGATTGCCGCGCGCATTATATAATATTTGTATAAGAAAATAAATTGTATTTTTGTATTTTTTTTATTAAAAAATGAAAAAATAAAAAAAAAATGACCAAAAAAAAAATTTTGAAAAAAAAATCCCCATTCAAAATTTTTCGCGATTGTATCACTGTCTTTTGTAAAATTGTAGCCAAAAAAATCGGCTACAGAGATACAACTACAATGATACCATAAGACAGTGATACAAAAGGGTCGAAATTACACTGATACAAAGACAGTGATACAATTTCAAGAATACACAGTTACAAAGACAGTAAAGACACCCCCTCCTGTTTACTTGCTTTAAAAATAGTGTCTTTCTGTAAATTTTGTTGCTAAAGACTACTGAAGACTTTATCTAAACGTAGTGAAGAAGAATTCTTACCGGAAGAGTCGTGGACATCATACGAAAGTTCTTTGTAAAGCTCGTGAAAAAAGTCTTTTTTCAATGTAACAGCAGTTCGTTCGATGAATTCATCTTTATCTTCCTTCAAATTGTCTTCTATCACAGCTTTGATAGAATCTACTACTGTCAGGTCAGTCGGAAGTCTCATTTTTTATAGATGTTCTCTCGTCGGTTTTTCTGTTCTTTGATAAATGACCACCAAAAACTGAGCGCGCAAGGGAAAACTTTTCCCTTTCGACGAGGGGATAAGTCGACAATCGCAAATAGTGCCCTTAGTGAAATATTTCTAGCGTCATTTCTCTTTCCATTAGTGTTTTCTCGCAAACAAGAAGATTTACTAAATTTAGTGTTCGAAACGTGAAAAACTCGCGAAAAATGCTCGGTCACAAAACCATTTTGGAGTCTATCCAACGATTCGCAGAATAGCAGAAGTCAAGGGCACCAAGTCTGCAAGACAGCGGTATGCTTTGTTCATGAATAACCTTCAAATATCGTTTTTCTTTTGTTGCTTTTGTGGCAAGATATTTGCCCCTCACTGGACTCAGAGCGTTCAGTACCCCATACTAAGGACTCCTTGACATTTTTATTATGACGATGGTTGAAAGGGGTAAGCAACCTCACAAATGACTCAAGAATGAAAAGGGAAAGCGGCGAATATTCGCTTGACTATGCAAATTTGCTCTACGCCATAATCGCTATTACAGAGTTTACTGCTGATGATCCGGCGGAATCGGATCAGATGGAAAATTCCGTCACTTTCCTTTTTGAAGATCGATGCAATTGCATTTTAATGAAGATGGCTTGAACTTGAATTTCTTTTTTATTAACTTTCCAATGAATAAAAGAATTGAAGTGGAACTGACAGAAAATTTCGGATAGGCTAAGAATATAAAATCAAGAAAATTGCTGAGCTAGTTCTCTGCATACATGTTGAGCACTGAAAAGAAAGAACGGAAAGTGTAATGAAAATAACTTCGACCGAAAGCGGTCGCCTGAAGGAGTTTCGGATGATGGAGAAGAGCTGGGTTCATGAGTGTTGATTGTGGCAGGATCAGTCGAGTTTGATTTACAATGGCTCGCCGTTGTTGTCGACAGATGAGACGACCGGGTAGACGGCGTAGGAGGCGATACCGCAGTGGTTGTCCTTGTTTCGGGCCATTTTTATGTAGCCGTTGTCTCCCCAGGCTTCGGACCAGGAGTTCTTGACGAGGTAGTAGTGCTCGCCATCCTGAAAACATTGTTAATATCTGATCACATGTTCATAATCTCACCTCAGTTCCGTAGCCAACAGCGAGAACACCGTGATCAAGGTTTTCTGGAGAGCAGTGTGGCTCGTAGTAGACACCGCTCTGGTAGAATTGGAAGGATGGGTTGGAAGCATCAATGGCGACGGAAATGGGCCCAACCTTTGCAAGAGCGTGCTTCAAGGCCTAGAAAATTGATATTATTCTTGAGTTCCAATATTTATCTTACCTTTTCGTTGCCCTCTGGGATCATCTTGAATCCAGTATCGTCAGCTTCTCGGTGAGCCTTGTCATATCGGCACTCTTTGTTATCACTGAATAATAAGTCAGCATTCGTAATTTTCTTGAAGTAAATGAACTTACACTCCTTCGTATGGGTACCAGTCTTCGCCATCAAGACCGTCCTGGTCCTTGACGTACTGGAAAGCAGCGTCCATTAAACCACCGTTGCAGCCCTGGTTGCCTTCAGGTCGAGAGCAGTCGACAAGGTTCTGCTCAGACAAATCTGGGAGCTTGCCAAAGACCTGGGCCATCTGTCCCTCGAGAGCGCCAGTTGCAGAAAATGACCAGCAAGAACCGCACTGGCCCTGGTCCTTGACCTCGGTGACGGCGCCCTTCTCTCGCCAATCGACAGACTTGGCGAGCTTGCTCTCGTCGTCGTTGAGGTAGTCGAGGTAGAAGGTGTCTTCGTGAAGACCGAAGAGCTTTCGAGACTTGCCTTCGGAGTGGAGGAAACCGTTGTAGGTAGAGGCGAATTCTTCAGAAGTCTGATCACCGTACTTGTTCATGGCGAGGGTAAAGGTCTTCTTGCCGAGCGAGTGCTGGAAGTTGTGCTCTTCGATGTGGAGCATGTTCTTCATCCAGGTGCCCATTCTAGGGACAAATATAAATGAATAGTTTGCAACGATTCTTACCGTTGGATCTCCTCCTCAATCGTTTCGTACTCCTTCTCGAACGCATCCTTCCACTGCTTGAACTCATTGATGAGTCGTTGCTCGTACTTGTCAGAAATTTGGCGGGTCATTTCGACGACATCGCGGCCAATTCCGGCTTGGGCGGTCGCCAAAAGAGCAAGTGAGAGCTTCATTGTTCAACTGAATTCATGCTTTGATTGATTTGAAGGTAGCGATAAAAAAAAACAAGAAGATTTAGCGAAAAGATTTCCTGATATTTGAAAATATCATGGGATTTGCGCGTGACCTGAGTTTGCTCTCGAATCTTATAGAACTGCTGTTGCGTAACAAAAATTACCGGTTGTTCAAACCTTGTTAGACTAAAAAAAGCCCAAGGAAAATATTTTCTGTTGATTTTTAACGAACTTCATTTTTGAATAAATTCAACTTAAATTTTCTACAGCTGGAAGAATTACTAACTTGAATTTTAGGTTCTTTTCTTTTTAAAAGTTTGTTACCTTTGAAACGCTCAAAAAAAGAGGAAAAAATTCTCTGTCAGTTCGTTTTCTGGAGTCGGCCTTTTTCAAAAAGCCGCCCTTGGTGTATTTTGTTCTGAAATTTGTTTTCGAGCTCGGTCTGCCCTAGCAGGGGGTGCTGACCAGCTTCAACCCACGCACGACGCGCCAATCAATACTCACATTTTTACAGTTGGAATTGGCGTAACCGGCGGAGATCGGTTCAGACAGGTTCTCGCGAAAGAGGGAGATCTGAGATATTCCGAAATGAAAACGGGGAAAAGAGCGGGCAATTCTTGTTTTTCTTTTTTGAAGACGGGAAGGAAATCTCGCCAATTCTTACGCTAAAGACTCGTCATAATACTGTAAGACGTCTTTGAACCTGTCTGGCTTGTTTTCAAGGGTCACCTTCAATTTTAGTTAGGTATAGTTCTGAAGATTATCAAACGATCACAGACTTATTTTAACTTCAAGAATGTACCGCAACATGTTCTTATAGACAACATCAAAATACTGAATTTTAATATAAATTTCATAATTTCAGTATCACATTTATTTGTTTACAGCTTCGCGACAGCAGAATTCTTCAAGGTACAATTTTCATACTTCGACATCAAATCCAGCCGTGTCCTCACATGTTTCTTGTATGCTCAGGACGCTTTCGAAAGGTTCAAAGTGCCAACTCTCACGTTTTTTCGTCACGATGAGCTCCTGACTTTCCAGAATGGACTCGAGCGTTGGCTTCAGTAGTTTCATTGAGGGTCGTTTGACGGGTGGAAGGGGTGTTTCCACTGAGACGATGGTGGAGTGTCTTTGAGTTGTTCTTCGTGGAAGCGGCCGTGTTCGAAAAATGGTGAAGAAGATTTTTTCCGAAAGGACGTATAGACAAACTCCGATCCCAAGCATCATTAGTCCTAAACTTAGAATCAGCAACATTAAAAAAATCCAAAGACAAAGACGTCCTAAAAACTGAAGTAGCACCTTGGAGACGCTTCTGTCAGCAAAAGCAAGTCTTACCAATATACCTAGGCCGCAGCCAGTAAATCCCTGCCACAGAAAGCAAAACATAGCTGAGCATGAAAAATCTAAGCAGACTTTTCCGATATTGCTCGACTGTGTGATACAGTTTCAGGCCAAAGGCAAGAATATTTTTTTCTGACATCTCTGCTAGCGTCGCTTCTGACATGTGTTCGTTTTTTTGCCCCCTTGGTCTCTTCACAGTTCTAGTTACAGACAGGTATTCGCTGAGAAAGTCTCTTTTTCTGTCGGGAAAATTCTTTGAATGAAAAAAACTTTCCAAAAGAGGATGTTTCAGTCTGCTGCGCTCTGTTAATTTTTATTGTCGAAATGTGGCTATTTCGGAACTTGTGTCAATCGTAGCGATAGAACTCGGTAACTCTTGAATTACCAAATTAGAAGAGTGATAAGAGGAAGACTTATCACGGGCAGAGCTCACTCGCTCATTCTGATTCTCAAGGTTGGGAGTCGTGTAAACAGCATCATTCTCAAACCGCCCTTGTTTTTATCCTCTTGTTCACAGTTGAACCCTTTTCTTTCCAAATGCATTTTATCTTTACGAAGATCATTAATAATCATGCTTGTTTTGGTATTTTCATGGATACATACCGAATTAAAAATACTGGCAGTTATTCCTTATTTAGGAAGATCATCATTTTCGGATTGATTTTTGACTGCTTCATTAGATGTTTCTATTTTCTTTAGGGTTGAAAAATAGACATTTTCTTATGAATATACTTGTTCGTTTATTATATAACAGAGGCGTGAAGATGATGAAGAAAGTTAAAGCAAATATTTTCTAATTTTTTGTCGATATTTTGCATCTTGGCGGTATTTTTTCGTATTGCATCGTTTTGAATGTTGCTGGTAAGAAACTGACTAATGTTTACAAGTTCTGGATTCTAAATAAGCTGGAAAGCGTCTCCAAGAGCCCAGGCGGTTTCGCCACCGTTGATCTTTTTGTAGACTTGGAGAGTTTGATCCTCGGGCAGACCCAGGCTTTCCAAAAGAGCGGTGATCAATGACAAGTCAGTGCAAAGCCACTCGTCTAGAAAACAATAAATAAAGGGTCTGGAAGTTATAGAGCTGTCATACCTTTGTCATGATTTGCACAGGCGTGCTCAGCCGCTTTCGAGTAATCACCCACTTTCAGCTTTCCTCCTTTGCTCTCATCGATCAGGCCGGCGTCAGCAGCTTTGTCGAAGTAGTATGAAAATGCATAGATGTCTTCGTTTAGGATTTCCTTTGGCTTATCAACCGCGAAGCTATTCACTGCTGCTCGTGCCATGCCGAGACATCCTTGGAAGCCGCCTTCGTCGCCGGAGATGGAATAAGTACTGCCAGCATTTGTGTACTCGATATGTTTGCCGCTTGGAAAACATGGTGATTGAGCCTAAAATGGATTCGGGGATTGTCATTTTCGATGATTTTTACCTGAGTGACTTGGGTTTTCTCTGGTGGAGGACCTCCAAAGAGCTTTTCTCGGGCGGAATTGAGACCGAGACCAAGGTATGAATGAGAGTAGATGTCGAATTCTTCTCCAAAGAGTGTTTTCTTGATAACATAACCTTCTGGAGCTGCCTCAACAGTAGACGCAGACTAAACTTATTGCAATCACTGAAAAATTAATTTAGCCGAACCTTAGGATGGAACGTGAGCTGCATGGATCCGCCACCAAGATCAATGGTAGGCTTAGTGTTTTGAATACCACTTCCACCAAGAGCTCCTAGGAGGAAATTGACGGTCATCCAGGCGAAGACACCTTCGTCTGATCCGGCCATGATTTCAACACCATTTGCGCCGACTGAAATATTTATTTGAATTCAGTCTTGATCAGACCTGTTAACCTTTGAAGGGAGAGTCTCGTAAGAGCTTAGTGACACCGTCGATGATCGCGTTGGCTTGAGCTTCTGGAAGAAGGCGGAGACCAGCAGTAGCTTTTAGATCAAGCGGAGTGTCGGCCCAATTTTCTTTTGGAATGTAGTTCTTTGCGTGTGTAAGGAGGTCATCGATGGATTTGACAGCGCCTTATTAATTATCATAAATTGTAAAATTGCCGATGAATACCATTAACATCAGCAGCGTAGGAAGAAAGGCCAGGTTTCACTTGCTCAAAAAGCTCGTAAAGCATTTCCAGTTTTCCGTTTTTCCTCGTGAATTGATAAACATGGATTCTTGATCCAGACGAGCCCGCATCAAAGACGATTGTGTAAAAGATATTTGGATCGGCAACATTTCCTCCATTAGAAGTTCCAGATGCACTTGAGGAGCTTGAAAATCCACCAGAGAGTCCGTAGACGACCAAAGCAATAGCTGCCAGGAGGGCGATGAGGCGATTTCTTAACGTAACACTTTTACTACTGTAGCTTCTTGGTTTTCTGTAGTGATATTCTCTCATGTTCTTAAAAAACCGGCAACGATTTAGAATAAATAATGGACTGATTACTCATCCGGGATAGCACTCAAACCTCGCTTTTGGATCATAAAAGACTCCGAAAGAGCAAAGGAGGCTGTTATTGTCTTGTTATTTTCAGCGAAATTTCACATAAAACGGTATCACATGGAACATTCGAGCAATCAAGTTTAAGACCTTCGGCAAATACCGTTATGGAACCATAATCATATTTTTATGCATCCCACCGGCACATAAATCCTTTCAATTCAAATTGCTTCGTAAACATGACTTTTTATAAAAGCAAAGTTCGCAGGTCTATATCCATCATAATCAGATAGAATATCTTAAAATGAAAAAGCTTTTTTCACTTGGACTTTTCGCCTCGGCCAAAGCCGGTCTCTTTGAAGACTGGACTCGAGAGCACTGGAAGTCTTACGAAACCCAGGCTGAAGAGGACTTCCGAAGAGGAATCTTCGAAAAGAACGTCGATAAAATCGAGCAGATCAACAAGGAGAAGCGAGGATGGACCGCTGGCTTGAACAAGTTCTCTGACTTGACCTGGGACGAGTTTCAACACTTCTATCTTATGCAAGCTGGCCAAGATTGCTCGGCTACTTCCTACAATTCTAAGGAACATCTTGCAAAGGTGAAACATCATTAGATTAATTCCGCATAATTATTTTCAGGGCGTTCAACAACCTATGCCAAAACACTGGGATTGGCGAGACAGAGACATGGTCTCTCCGGTCAAGGACCAGGGCCAGTGCGGCTCTTGCTGGACCTTCTCAACAACCGGCAACGTCGAAGCTGGTCAAGCCATTCACCTCGCCGAGTTCCACACTCTTTCTGAACAACAACTTGTCGATTGCGCTGGGGCCTTCAACAATCACGGATGCAACGGCGGTCTTCCTTCCCAAGCTTTTGAATACATTGCTGCTGCGCCTGGAATCATGACTGAGACGGACTACCCTTACACTGCTAAAGATGGAACTTGCGTTTTCGATCAGAAAAAAGCCGCTGTTCAGGTTTACGGAAGGTATCAAAGATGATAAAAACAGACCATTTCTTTATCGAAATAATCTAGTGTCAACATCACCCGAGGAGACGAGCTAGAAATGGCGGAAGCGATGGTCATGTACCAGCCGATCTCTATCGCCTTTGAAGTTGTGGACGATTTTATGCACTACAAGAGCGGCACCTACTCTTCTACCACCTGCAAAAATACACCCAAAGGTAAGTTTCGGTTTGCTTCCAAAATGAAATAGTATCAAGATGTTAACCATGCCGTCCTTGCTGTTGGATTCGGAACCGATGAAGCTGGAACTGACTTCTGGACCGTCAAAAACTCGTGGAGCAAGTCCTGGGGTAACGAGGGATACTTTAACATTCAACGAGGTGTCAACATGTGCGGCCTTTCTCAATGCACCTCTTTTGCTCTTATCAAACCAGACAACTAAACTGTCCCTGATATCTTTCTCTTTCATCTCCCTTTCAATAAAAAACTCTTGCTAAACATACCTTGGATAGACTCTGCCGGTGCCGTGTCCGATGCCAATACCGGACGTGTGAAGTAGCTTATTCGCCCAGTGGTCTTTCTCCTTCTCTGTAGGATTCATTTTGTCTAAATTAGAATGGTGTTTATTTCGAAAAGTCAAGACTCCTGTCGAATCTGCCATATTCGCAACTTTGCCGGCTTTCCCACCGCCGATTTCCCTCCGATTATATACAGCGAAAAATCACGTGTAGCAATTTTAAGCGGATTTTTCACGTTCTGAGGGATTAAAAGGGGTATCCTGGGGTATCCTGGGGTGAGCTGATCCGCTGATAATTCTGTTAACTGGGCTTTCAGACATGTGGTAATTGAGTGTTGGCAATAAACATTTTTTTAAGAGAGAAAGTGAATAGTCTTTCTACAAATATTCTCCCGTGTTTAAATGGAAATCAACTTGAACTAACATTTTGGGATGCGGTTTCAACCTGTTTTACTTCTATGATTAGAATACTATATTCAATTTTCTCAATTTTCCTGAATAATTACGCGGCGCGTTACATTACTTTATACTTGGCTTTTTAAACAGAGCCAGTTGTCAGATGTTTCGTTGAAAGTCCATGTTCTCAAAATTATGCAAATCTGCCCTGTGAAGGGTCTTTTATTTCACCCTGAAAATTAAAAACCCCAACCGGGGTCGAAAGCACGGAAGCGCTTCTGGCCGCATAATTTCAAAAATCCGACCGCTATTCAAGTTGGCCACAAATTCGCCTGAAATTTCGCGAAATTCAAATTGCCGGCGCTGGTCTTCGCGCATTTCATTCTCGCTGGGGCAGTTTCTCTTGGTGATAAAGACTTACATATTGGCTTCCCGGAAAAGTGCTTTTGGTACATATGGATTGAATATTTTGGTGTGTTGGTTAAGGTGCTCCGAAAAGGGCTTACGGCCAGATCAGCGGGCCAGGTCAACCTGCCGGTTCCAACCCCCGTTATTTTCTTTACACTCGGTTAATTACCCCCTCCCCTCGTAAAACGACCCTAATCCACTTTCTTTGCTAGCAATACCGTCTATTACATTTCTGCGCGGCGTAAAATCGGTAACAATCAACGACGACAATCTTTAACAACCCGAAAAGGAGGCCGAATTCTCTCTGAAGAAATAACTCTTACCAGTAGCGCGGGATGAGCTCCAAGGACTTTGCTTCGATTTTGATCGGATAAAATTTATTAAAAAATAGAAATTGATTTGGTGGTCAGCCCAGATGAATATCGCAGTGACCAGACGTCGGTAGCCTTGGGCAAGTTCGAAACCAACAACGCCGCCGCTTATGGTACCGTTCTCAGCACCAAGCGCTTACCTACACAATCTAACAAGCAGCATAATTGCCACACAATAACACGAGCTTTTTCTGCGAAGTCAAGCGCCCAGAAAGTCAAATTTTATTGCTAACGTTAATTTCTCAACTGGGTTGTTGATCAATAGTATTTGATTCAATACACACGTTTGCAAAATCTTGATTGTAATTTTATATTTCATATAAATTCTCGCCAATCATTTAAATAAATAATTGTTATTGAACTATTTCAAACAATTGAGTTTCTTATTGAAAGATTTCGCTCTCTTTTACTTGTTATGAGTTCGTTGACAGTTGAATGAGTCGAATATCATTCATTCAATTTTATATTATATATAAAGCAAGCAGAAGTTTGCAAAATTGATTGAAAATTAACTCATGTCGGACATGAGAAGTTGAATTGTCTTTAGCATCGGTTGTCCGGTTGTGGTCAATTTCATGAATTCTGTGGGGCTTTGCCTGCGGGCCACGCCGTGCTAGAGCGTCTTTACGGCTACCGACAAACCCGTAAAGGTGCAAACTCAAGTCCGTATTATTTTTATTTTCTCCAAGAGACTTAATTCAATCGTAGAAGAGCTTGAGAATTTGACGAAAAATTGTCTGATGAGAGGAAGGCGGATTGTTCGCCAGGCGCAGTATAGATGCATCAGGTAGCCAAATTCAATTAATCTTTATCTTAATTCTTCGGAAACAATATTCTTGGCCCTATTAAAAAGAGCCATAAAAATGAATATAAGATGAAAACAACATACTTTTAGCTACCATCACAGAATGCACAAGTACTAATCGTGCTTATTAAATTATTAGCTTTGAACTAAAATAGACCAGTGCTGGGATCTGACTTCTTGCGCTTAAAATTTAAACGGCAGGATTATAAAAGGCAGAAAGTATGATCGATTATTCTGAGAGCTGGAATGACTTTGATAATAATGTTACGACAATAAAGTATAATTTTGACGAATCGTGTTTACGAAAAGTTAATAGATCAATTAAAAATTTTCAGTGGACGATGTCAATGTGCCCTATTTCTTCTTGTTCTCATCGCCCCGATTGCATTTTTGCAGTATACAGGATACTTTGACTCTGACGATGAAGATTCGAATTCGCGAGGAGCAAGATCATCCTCAGCTGGCTCGGGCCTAAGGCCGAATACCAAGGTCGACATGGCGAATATAACCAGAATGGAAGATTTCAACACAGATCTTCTAATCTACAACAGGTTACTTTAGATGGATAAGGATAAAGAACTCAAATCAATATTAGAGTGCCCAAATGTGGCTCGATATGGATGACAAGGCTGTTATACATTCTCGGAGCAGGTGACAGAAATGAATATCACGTGGAAAGTCCGTACGAGCCAGGAGAGAAGCCATTCTTGACGGGCGACGAAGAAAAGAAGGTTATCGACCACCTGAAAGATATTTCAAAGCCCGGGTGAGTGTTTATACATAAACAACTATCAATTAGATATGAAAATATCCAAAACTAACGAAGATTCTAGTGTTTACATTCGTCATCAATATTTCATCGATTTCGCCGAGCATCAGCAGAAACGACCACTTTACATCAATGTTATTCGCGATCCTGTCGAAAAATTCAGAAGCTTTTACTACTTTATTCGAAACGGAAATCTCGAAGGCGATGGTGGAGACGTCCCCATGTCAGAAAGCAAGCGGCTTATGAATATCAACGATTGCGTCTCGCGGAGGGTAAGGAGGCATTAACCTTTTGAAACCGTTAGTCTTCGTTGATTGCGCAAATACGTCTGCACGTAATTTGCGCCATCAGCCAATAAAAACTATAACCTTGAAAGCAATTATGACACTTCCTTATTGCTCATAAATTTAATGATACCGATACGGAAAGGAAGTATTTCTAAATGTCAGAAATGCACTCAAATTCAAAGACATGGTACATACTCAAACGATGAAAGTTTCCATGAAAAGCGTAGTATAATGAGTATAATTTTTAGGAGAAGGAATGTACGGAGCCAAAATGGCAAATGGTACCCTACTTCTGCGGTCAAGATCCCCGCTGCCGCCAGCGTAATTCCTGGGCCGTCACCAAAGCCAAAGAAAACATCGAGAAATACTATGCTGCCGTTGGATTAACGGAAGAATTACCTGCTTCTCTTGCTCTCTTTGAGACTTTAATGCCTAGATTCTTCAATGGCGCTATTGGTAACGCAAGAATAAAAAACTCTCCATCAGATATTCGTTTTAGATGTGAAAAAAGAAGGCGAGGAGAAAATCAAAAACGACACTTACACACTCAACAAGGCTTCATTAACACCTGAAACTGTCGATTTCTTCAAGACCAAGACATCGATCGCACTAGAATATGACCTCTACAACTTCGTCAAGGCTCGCTTCGAAACACAAAAGTCAAAATACAACATCAGTTGACCTCGTCTTTAGAAAATCTCTGCTGTTCAGTTATTTCTGCCACCAATCTACACGAAAACCACTGTGCCTAGTATAATTTAAATTATATAAATACTTGAATGGAAAATACAAAAATGCAAAACGACAACTCAAGAACGAAAGATATCAAAATATAGATATCTAACGATGAAGTTTTACTTGTTATAACTGAATGTTGTTTAATCGAGGGAATTTTTCAATAATTGGATGTGACAGTAAATGACAAAATGCGCCGTGTTCGTAGAATTATCGGCGATTGAATGGCCAGCTTCGTCTAAAATGGAAGTAAATTGGCGGAAAACAATCTATAACTACCCAGTAGTTGGTGGTGGCACGGTTGGTGGCGCGTAAGAGTGAGGTTGGGGCGGTGTTCGAGAAGGCGGTGGATAATTAGGAACACGTCGTGGATCATTGTAGCTGCGAACGGGCGGCGGAGCAGTGTACACTGGTGGATGACCTCCTCGCCCACGATGGGGAGGAGAATCATCGTCCAGGACAATAACGTCATCGTTTCGAGGACGAGTAGGAGGTGGCCCGTAGCTTCTGGCTGGCATACCAGGTCGTTTGCGAGCAGCTTCATCTCGTTCACGACGCATGCGCTCTCGAGTCTCTTCCCAGGAGTTCGCTCCTGAATCTCCACCTCTTTGATGTTGCCTGTAAAATAATAACTTATACTTTCAGCAAATAAATATTACCGCTGCTCCTCTTGACGCATCCCTCGTCGCAACTCTTGACGTGGCGGTGGTCCGGCGACATGCTGGCCAGAACCACCCAAACTCGAGCGCTGATTTTGAAGGCGTTCTCGAGCAGCAGCTGCGGCTGCCTTTTCTTGAGCCCACTTTCGCTGCTCCTCTTCAAGTCGCTTCTTTTCTTCAAGAATTTTTACGCGCTCACGGTTTCGCATTTCCTCCCTAAAATAAATACTGAGAAACGAAGCAATCCCCTGATTTACAGTTCGCGTCGCTTTCGCTCCTCCGCTTGTCGCTCTTGCTCGATCTGACGACGTCGTTCCTCAGCAAGTCGCTCTTGTTCGTATTTCGCCTCCTCTTCTACCTGTCTTCGCTTCTCTTCTTCCACTTCTCTTTGAATGCGCTCATTCTCTCGGCGCATCTCTTCAATTTGGCGTCGTTCCTCCTCAAGCGCCCGTTCTTCTTCTTCCATTTGACGAACATGATATTCGTCCTGGTCTCGCTGTCGTCGAAGCTCTTCGCTTTGCCTGGCGAGCTCTTCTCGCTCCCGACGGATCTTGTCGAGTTCACTTTCGCCAGCAGAGTAGTAGCTCGACTGGCCGCCTAGTCTTTCATTCGCGTATTTAGACGCATAAACGTCCTAAAGTTAAGTTTGAAAATAAAACAAACTGATGCCCTTTCTTACGTCTTCGATCCAGCCACCATCATTCCGCCATCCGTCGTCCCGAGTTGATCTTGGTGCACTTCGAGAAGGCATCGTTGGGTTGACTGGATCGTTGTAGATCGTCTTCGAGATCGGCTCAACGGGAGAGACGTAGGCTTGAGGACGAGATCGTTGCTTTTTGATCTCGCGAAGTTGGCCAGTTCGGGCTCGGATTTTCGCGATTTCATTTTCAACTTTTCGCAGCTCCGCTAAATATTTCGAATAAGCTTGCTTTAAAAACGAAATAAAACAAACCTTCAGTCTCCCTAACTTCATCGGAGATTTTCTTGCATTCCTTGCGCTGGACCTCCGCCGACTTTCGAACGGATTCAAGAACATCCCGTTCTTTTTTCAAATCATCCTCAAGCACTCGAGCTTGTTTCTTCGAACGCTCGGCATTTTTCTCGTGCATCGACTGTTTCTTTCGATACGTAGAAATCTCGCTTTCTGCGCTTGAAAGCGCTCTGAATAAAAAAATTCTAGTTTCCTCTTTTCATTGGACTACAAACCTAGCCGCTTCCTCTAATGATCTCTTTTCTCGAGCAAAGTCCTTCTCCAAGTCGTAGAAGCGCTTTTTGGCTTCATTGATCATCTGCTTAGTGCGGTCGTCAACAGCCGCTTTCACAAGTTTTTTCATCTCCGCCTTGGAAGGGAAGTTGATAACTTGCTTGATGACAACTTTATTCTTCGATTCAAGAATCTTCCGGTTGTTGAATCGCTTCATGATCGCCGTAGCATTCTCGGCTAGCAATATTTTAAAAACCAATAGACATTCTTTTCTTTACCTGATGCGACTTTGACACAGGCGACTTCCTCAATAAAAGTTCCCAAATCAACTTTGTGTCGCTGAAACTCGACCACATCTCCGACATTTCCAAACTTCTCAAGCTCACCGCGGATCGCTTGATTTCTGATATCCTTCAGGCCTATGAAGAAGAGCTTCGCAGAGTTCTCTTCAACCAGATCATCAGTAAACCCGATTTCGATCGCATCGGCGTCGTCTTGGTCGTTCTCGTCGCTGTCGAGCTCGTCAACGTCGAACTCAGTCGTGACTTCAAACTCGTCTCCGGTCAAGTTTGGGACGGCTGCAACTGAAGCTCGATCCGGATCGGTCTTAACGTCAATCGTTGGAGTAGCAGGAACTGATTTTGGAGGAGCTTTTGCTCTGGCAGGAGTGGCTGGAGATGCCTTGGCTGCTGGTGCTTTTTCTTTGTCGCAGGAGCAGTTTTCTGAGCAACAGCTTCGGGAGCAGGCTTTTTGGCTAAAAATTTTTTTATTTTGATCGAAACCTCAAAAATAGTACCGAAGGTTTCAGGTTTATTGAAATCAATCTCGTCAATATCGTGACCATCATTTTCCAAGTCCTCGGTCAGTTTCTTAACACCGATGTAAGAATTCATCGAAAATATATTTCAAAGGGTTAGTTGAAGCTCCAAATGATAGAAAAAAATATGGTAACTGAAAAAACTACCTTATTTAATTCTACGATAGGGGCATTTTGTTTCTTTTGTGTCAGCTTGGGCTTATTGGTTTCAATTGCCTCGATTAATGAAGTAAGTGGCATGTTATCCGTTTCTTCTAGAGCAGCAGTGTCATCGGTAGTTGGTTCAGTAGGGTCGTATTTCTCGGTCGTATTGGTTAATGTACAAGGGGGGTTTTCAGAGCTTGAACTTGTCGGGAGGCTTTCAACTTGCGTTGGGTTACTTCCACCAGAAGGGCAGTCGTTCTTATCTTTAGGATCATTGTCTTTATTGCTACCGCAAGTGATCTTACCATCATTGGCTTCGATTGCGTCTTTCATCAAATACTCCTTCCACGCAAGGTCTTTCTCTTCTTCCGTTTCCAAAGACGCGAGTTTTCGCTCAATCTCTAGCGTTTCTGAAGCGACTTTCTCTGTCGTGGAAGCCGGTTCTTCGGTTTGCTCGGCGATTGAAGTGTTTTGCTCTTGAGCCAGTTTGTCTAGAGAATCTTGCATTAGAAAATCTTTCCAAATTTGGTCTTTCTCTTCATCTGTTTCTACCGCATCCATGAGTTTTTCAACTTCTTCTTCGGTCAGCTTTTTCTTTCGAACAATAGGAGTTTTCTCAGCGCATAAAGAAGTGGTAGAAGGTTCAGGATTTCCATTAGGAATTTTCGGCTGTTCAAGTCTGTCAGACAGGCTTTCAGGAGAAGAAGAAGGCTGGTCAGCAGCGACAGATTCCGAAGGAGCATATGAAGATTCTGATGATTTTCTTTTCGATGATATTCGATGCTTCTTCGATTCACTATCCTTCTGGTCAGCAGGCGAAGATTCTGATACCACAGTTTGAGTTTCAGAACAATCTCCCAGCTTATTATCAATTTGCATCGATTCTTCTACTGGAGAATCCTGTGGGTTTCGAGAGATATCTTCCTCAGGACCCAACTCAATGTCATCTTCAGTAACAGCTTCCAGCGATGGCATTGACTGACTCTCTTCATTTTGTGAAGACAGAGAGGACTTCTTGCTCGCATCATCGATACTAGTATTAACAGAATCTCTAGAAGACGACGAAGACTTGGTTATTTTAACGAGAGAGTTGACGCTAGAGATGATTGCATCTTGAATGATTCTTGGTTGAATGATCTTTTTCTCTGAAACGATCTTCTTCTTCGTAGCTAGATCATCGTCGATCTTCTCTAGATCGGCTGACGGAAGAGCATTTGAAGCAGAGGAGTTGTCGGACACTTCTGAAGGATCTTCTTTGTCGTCCTCTCTCGCACAAGGCGGATATTTCACTGAAAGGTCTGGCTTGAAGGGCTTTTTCTGGACCTGTGGCAAGAGTTCTTTGATTTCAGCAAGAACTTTTAATCTCTCTTTTTCTTCTTTCGCTTTCTTTTTGGCGAGAAGTTCCTCATCTTGACGCTTCTTTTCTATCTCTTTCAATCGTTTTTCTTCCTCCATCTTTCGGCGTTTTTCCACTTCTTTTTGCTGCCGTTCTTGCTTCTCTATTTCGAGCCTTTTTTCTTCTTCCTTTCGTATCTTCTCCTGCTCTTCTTTTTCAGCTCGAATTTTCTCTTTTTCGAGCCTTTCTTCCTTAACTGATTTGCCACGTCGCTTCCCCTTTGGTTTCTTTTTCGGAGTCTCGCTTTTGGCACTGTTTTCTACAGCTTTATCAGTAGTTTTAGAACTTGATTCAGACTCTTCAGAATGAGGATTCACTAGGTATTCTTTCCAAAAATCATCCGGCTCGGAATCTTTATCTTCGCTTTTTTTATTTGAAGAATCTGTCGTAGAAACATCAGGTTGATGCTTTTTAGAAATTTCACGATCGGGCAAGTCAATTTTAGAATCTTCCTCAATTTCATCGATTTTCCGAAGCTCCTTCTTTTTCTTCTTCGGTGGGTCATTTTCAGCTTCCGAAGGAGCATTCGAAGATTCGGACGATTTTCTTTTCGATGATATTCGATGCTTCTTTGATTCGCGCTCCTTTTCTTTCTTCACCTTCTTTTCAGCTTTTAGCTTCTTCTTCATATCGGGTGTGAATGAAGGTTTGACTTTTTTCTTCTTTGGAGTTAGTGATGTTGATGGTTTGGGCTTTTTCGGTTTTGGAGATTCTTCTGCGCGTTTCGGTTTTGCTGGTTTGGGAGCAGGAGTGTCATAGAAAGGAAGACGCTCGTTGATTCCGAGGATTGAATCGAGATCCGCCATGTCAATCATCGGACTCGGCGACTTTTTCTTGCGCTTTTTCTTCTTTTTCTGATTCCCTGAATTTCTGCTAGAGAAGGGAAAAGGACCGTTAGAACATACCCAGTATCTCCTGTCTGAGATCTGAAGATGAAGTTCCCTCATTTGACATTATTCGACTTCTTTCTTACTCCAAGTTGTATTGACGCTCCAAATTGCTTATCCAGGATTCCAAATCTTTTCTTACTTTATCACAAAATGCCCTTTTTGATAATCAAGCCCTTTTTTTTTATAAAAAATAGTTTGGAGGCCTGACCTTGAGGTTCTATTCTAGCTCTATTTCAAATTCACTTCAAGTTCAGATCTCACGATTTCGATTTCACTTTTCAAATTGCAAAAGTTGATAAACAACTCAATTTTTTCAATAAGCTCTAAATAAAAATATCCTCAGCCCCTTTCACTTTCGCTCACAGCAAAAGTTGCAGAAAATAAAAAAATCTTGCATACTTGAACCAAAACAGCTTTTGAAAAATTCGCTTCGAATTCAACATTTCGTTTCGTCAGTTCTGACTTCAGCTCGCGGACTTTGAGCTTTGCGATTGTTTTCATCTAAAAATCGAGGAATTTGAACGAAAAATAATTCTTTCAAAAATTAGTTTTATAATAAAAATACAGTTATGGTCTCAGAAATAGAGTTCTCTAAACTAAACTTCGCTAAAATTAGCTAAAATAGGAGAAAACCGTCGTTTCCCGCAGAGCCTCCGAATCGGCCAATCAATGGACCGCGAGAACGCGCTCCTGGGGAAAAACTCGTCGATTTATCTAGAGACGTTTATCGCCGAGAAATTGCAGTAAATGTACACTTGAGAATTGGGAAATGATGTCGAGTAAGTTTCCAAGCGCAAACATTTCCAGAAGATAGGGATTTGAACACTTCGATTCAATCAATCACCCAATTTGGGTTAATTTGTATTTTAATCATTTCCGGTCATAATTTTAAATTTTTACTTTTTGAATAAAATAAAAATCCCAGTAAGACAAAGCACAGCCCAGGAGCAGCTGGACCTGAACTCCTCGATCGACGAAATCTTCGTCTGCATCAACTCCCGACGCTTCAAAGAAGCGTACACCATCACAAAGTCCCTGCCAAAAACGAAGGGATTACCGAGTTATGTCAGAAACATTTTTGAAGAGATCATTAGGGCTGAAGAAGCGTATCTTACTGATTTCGATAGATGCTTACAGGTGTTATTTTACATAAAAAGTTGACTTTTTCTACAATAGTTTTTCAGAAAAAATCGAGTTTCACAATCTTCACGAGAAAAGCTGACCTGACGGAGCAATACAAGTCGATCAAAGAGAAAATTCCCGAGCGTCCGGATTTCCAACCTCTTCTCGATTTTATCAACTGCAAAATCCGGCTATTGCATCTTTACGTGCAGCTTTATCAAAACTCTGCTGGAAAACCAAACATTGCTCCAGACTTTCGCGAGTTTTTCAATCTTTTCGAAACGAACAGAGAAGATTATTTCAAAAACTATTTGGCGAACAAAGAAGATCAAGAAGAACTCTTTTGTAATGTCAAATTAGAGCTGCAAACCCTGGAGTATATTTTACAATCGGCCCGTGACATTTGGGAACTGCATATAATCTCGGCGCAGATAACATTAAAACGAGCTCAGATGAGTCTGAAGAAGTGGAATCAAAAGCTCAATCCAACGGCTTCCGCGAGGAAAATCTCATTCTTCGATAATAAGGTCAGATCATTTGCCTGTGTTCGGCAACCTCAGGTTGCCAACCTGTATACTATACAGTGTATAGAAAACTGACTCAGGTCCTGAGTCTCAGGATCATGAGAGAGCTTTCAAAAAAACTAAATGGCTTATTTTGAAAGATTCTTCAGGGACTTGACTCAGTTTTCTACAAAGATTGCCGACCCGAGGTTTAACCGAGGCCGAAAAAGTAACTTCAAATTATAGAATCTGGTACCAAACAGCTATGAGTGGCTGGTTGAGCTCCACGGCCATCTCCTCGCCAAATTCTGCCTCTTTTTCTACGACGTCTTCATCACCACTCCGAAAATCGGAAACTTAGAACCTGCAGAAGGCTTTAGAAAACTCTGCTCTCAAACGAGATTCGACTTTTACGGCCGTGTTCAAGAGTTTTTCAAGACAGTTGAAAACTCTTCCGCCTTGTACTTGATTCGTGATCATCGACCGAGCAAATCGGAGAATTATTCATCAACGAGCAAATACGTCTTCATGCCTTTTATCGAGGAAGTCACGAACAACGATGCGAAGGGAGATCGAATCGGCGTTGTTAGCTGGTACAGTCGAGAAGCGAACAAGCGAGATTACAGCGTCGAAATGGAGAATTTGAAGAAATCATTCGAAGCTTACCAGAAAAGGAAGGAAGAAAAGGCGGCGAAGGGGAAGAATTACGAAAACTGGGAAGAAAGGGTCCTGAAGTGGAACATTCGTGGAAGCACCAGCAATAAAACGTACTTTCTTGGTCAAGTCGAGGTAGATTAAAAAACGGATTCACACAGTGAAACTTCTCTAGCACTCGTTTTACATCATCATTTCTTTTCAAATGGAGCAAGAGAATGACGAGCGAATTTTTGCGATCTTCAACGACTTCCGAAAGAATATCCGCCTCCATCATGTTTTCCAAAAACTCGTTCGCGAGTAATTCTATTTCGCGTTTTTCATTATATTCCGCGCCATTCCTTTTCTGCTTCTTGTAAATTTATCTAATTAATGATGGTATTAATTTTGGTTCATTTTCAGAACTGAGATGAACAGATTGACCAGATTATCTACTCGACTTAGCTCGTCTAAAAAGACGTCATCGACAAACGCCCTTATTTGGAATGGGGTGGTCCTGCATGACGGCGAAGGTGTGCATCTCCCTTTTAAAATTTTGACATTGAAATAAGAGCATTTTTAGAAGCGTCTGAATCGACAGACATCGTCGTGCGAAAACACCGCCCATCACCCCACTTTGCCATCGCGTATGGTCGCAAAGGACCACAAATTACAAAATCCAGCGAGGAGTTTTTGAAACAGACAGATTTCCCGACCGCTGTTTATGCCATTGTGCCATCTCGTGATGCGGCGATTAAGTTTGTTGCTCACTATGCGCCTGATAAGGAAGAAATTACACACTCGAATAATTTAAGAAAAGAGGCATTTAATCAAAAAGAGAATCTCCACTTAGATTAGTTGATACGCCGGTAGAAGCTTCATTTTTTATAGATCACTATAGTTGAACTTTGTTCACTTGTTGTTTCTGTTTCATTTAGTTTATCGTATTCAGAATATGATATTCTTATTTATGTCAGTAAAATGCAGTTTTTATAACAATAAATCGGCAGAGGTCGCTCTCAATCCGATATTAACCGAAACATCGGGAAAACCAGTATTAATACTTATAAAATCCCTCAATAAGACTTGAAAGTCCCTGGCGAAAACCTACTCAAAGAAAAGCGACTTCGGAAAAAGTAACCGGTGATTTGTCATCGCATGGTATGGATGTACTGAAAACGAAGAGAGCCAACAAAATCAAAAACAAAATCAGAAATCTTGACAAGTGAAAATCTCCATCGATGTGATTTTTCTTCAGAATGGAGAAGCATCCTGAGGAGGATGAGGAGTTTGACAAGCTCGATCATATTCTAGAACAGTCTGGTTGTTTGAAGGAGCTTGAGGAGAGTAAAGAGTGCCAGGTAAATCTAAATTGAAAAGTTGTATCTATCTGACGATTCCTTCTGACTTTAGTACACTCACAATGACTGGCGAAAATGTCGTGAAACAACTCAAAAGCTAAAAGACTGCATGATGAAACAACAGCTTGAGCGAATGAATCGAGCTCATGCTGCTCGATCTCAGAAATAATTTCTTTACTTTTATTCAATTTCAAAGACCAATATCGTTTTCATTGTAGAATGGTTCAGTTCTTTCGAAATCGGACATTTTACAAATGGTTGGGTTTGGCAGGAGCTTCTGTTGGAACAGTTTATGGGTACTTGACGAGAAAATAGAATGGAAATCTTATTGAAACTTTCAGTTATTATGAAATCAACACATTCGGTGACGACTTCCGCCACAAATTTGCTCTTCGCAGCGAGAAACATCGACTTTCCCCATTGACGCGGCTGAAATACGAAGTATACGATATTATAGCGCGAACAGGGATCGTTATTGGCGACTCAAGAGAGAGAATTCTAGCGACGATGAATTCAGACGACGTTGATGAAAGAAACAAGATCTTATTGAGGCTGAAGAAGGAGATCGACGACTTGGAAGAGTAAGCATATGATTTTGATGAGTGATCAATCTTCGAATTCTCTAGGACGATATCTTCGAGTGAGAAGAAATATCTTCTGAGCAGAATAAGGAAATCAAAGCTGGCGCATGGTCTTGCTCGCCTGAAGGACTACAATTCTGAATTTCTCAACGGTAGAAGGCTTTATTTTCTAGTGGTTTTACCACGGTTTTAGATCTATACGAGTTCACAGAGGAAGAAAGATCAGAACGAATATCCGATATCCTTATCAAAATCTTCGAAACGTTGCCCAGCTTGGATCGTATTCGAGATGAAGATCTTTTTACGCCCTGTGTCAAATATTTTCAAGAGCAGGCGCTGCAGGAGCTGATGGATATTCGAAACTGGGAGAATGGTAACTTCTCGTTCTCTGTCCGTTATGCCTTCTTCATTTATATTTTCAGATGATGCGAATTCAATGGAGCACGATATTCTTCTCCCTCCTTCTGTAGAGGTCTCTGAAAACGTTGCAGATGTGATGCTCCTCAAAGCTCTGCGTCGCCACGCTGACATTAGGGAAAACATGTCCCATGTCGCCGTAGAAGACATCCTAAAACTCCTCATTCGCTTGATGGAACCCAAATTTGACAGCGTAGAACTTTCTAGAGAAGCAACACTCATTGCCATGCGAACAATCGCCAATTTAGCTCTTGACGATCGCTACGTTCCAACAATGATCGACCTTGGCTTCCACAAAATGCTCAGAAAAGTAGTCGACAAGAAAATTGAAGCAGCAGAATCAGTCGATGACTATTCTTGTGCAATTCAGTCGAGACTTCACGCAGTCCGAGCACTTTCTAATCTGGACAGAGATGATGAATTTCAACGCCCTCTTGAAGACGGAGTCTTTCTCATTGATCCTGTCTACAGACCAGATAAAGATATTGAAAAAGACGTTGTATTTGTCCACGGGCTTGGTGGTTCTATCGGAGGAACATGGACAACAATGCAGGAGAATCAAAATCAGGAAGGCGCTCCAGATGTTCCATGTAACTGGCTCTGCGAGTGGTCCGTCCGTGATCTTCAGCGAAACCCGAAAAAGTGCAGAATTCTCGGAATCGAGTATGAAACAGCAATTTTGTTTTCGCAACATCAATGTCCATACGATCTGGAAACGAGGAGTCTTCAAGAACGGGCAAAAACCATCGGCGAAAAGTTAATAAAGGCAGGAGTTGGTGAACGACCTGTTGTCTTTGTCTGCTACTCTCTTGGCGGCCTGGTTGTCAAGCAAATCCTCAAAACTTTCCCTCAGATGCAGGACAACACCAAAGGCGTAATTTTTCTTTCAACGCCTCATCTCGGCTCCCCTGTTGCAGAAGTCGCATCAAATGAAGACATGTACTCCTACTTAGCAAAAGTAGTAAAGACCGTTGTTTCTCCCGAAGTGCTTCTTTTGGGGGGTACAGGATCAGATCTGGTCGGCCTCAACACTTTTTTCAAACACATGACTGAGGAAAAGAAAATCAAGGTTTTATCCTGGACGGAAGAGCTTCCAAGCAATTGGGGTCTGAAAATTCATATTGTTCCGCCGGAGAGGGGAGATCCAGGATTTGGCGAAGTTAGATCGTCAAAAAAGATCATGATGGCATGGTTGCTCCTATTGATGAAGGAATGGTTTGATAAAATCCCCATTTTTATATTTTTTGTTGAGTCGAGGCGAATTTTTATCAAACTATCAAAGTGGATCCACTGTATAGCCACAGCCTCAATTTTATACGCGATTGTCTACAAGACAAACCAAACTGATGCCACTGAAACTATCCAAAAACTTCCTGCTGTCTGATTCAATTGATATGACTGTACATGTAATTTGACTGTTCGATTGACTAATAAGCGCAAAACTTGTTCTGCTGCTGAGTGCCTTCAAAATAAAATAATTCTTATTCATAACTCTTGTTGAAAATTGTTTTGCAAGAATGGTAGTTGAAGGCGCGAAAAGGCCTAATGAGGATAATCTATGTGAAATCGAAGCGAAGAAGGAGAAAGTCGAGGAAGTTGAACAACCCGTACTACGAGAAGAGCCTATGAAAGTAGAAAATTCGGGAGAAGTCGAAAAGGAAGTTGCAGAAAATGTAGAAGTTGAGAAAAAGCTTCCATTGCTTGGTCACGGCCAAGATAAAGGTCTCTTTACTTCGGAAATATTCAAAGTCGAGCTTGGTCCGATTCCGAGAATGATCGGTTACGGCGATTTGAAAAAGTTCATCTCGAAGAATATCACGATGAAGCCACACAAGATCAAATATGTAAAGCAGCACAGGACGGTCTTTATCTGCTTTCAAAACAACGAGGAGCGGGATCTCGCTAGATCGCAGCTTGATGGGCTTACTCTCAAGAAGGAAACCTTGGGTAAGATTATTGGTAGAGAAATTATAAACAACCCCTTAGTCGCCAAAATCGCAGCAGCTGCTCAAGATAAAATGACAAGAAAGTCTCGCCAAGATACGAAAAATGAGGAACCAAAGAAACCCGATTTGCGAACGACGAAAGAAAAGCTTCTGGACGTTACTTCACCGTGGAGACAAATTCCTTACGAGAAACAAGTCACTGATAAATATGACAAATCAAAGTCCAATTGTGCGAAAATTTCAAATTTACTAAAACATGCGACGGAATTCAAGGGCTGTCCAGTTTTGTGGCCAGTGCAGAATATGGACCCCGAGACTAAACTTTCTTTTCCGTGAGTTATCGAAAAAATACTGATATAAAGTGATTAACTAGGATGGAAGAGTGTATCAAAGCCGATGCCATAAATGGATACAGAAACAAGTGCGAGTTCTCGTATGGTCTTAATGAGGAGAAAGAAAAAATGGTTGGGTTTCGCGTTGGGAGATATACAGACCAAAATCTTACAGTAGAATGCGCACGAGATGTTTGCATCGTCCGGGACTCGATGAAGGAAGCACTAGAATTATGCGAGCAACACATTAAAAAGTCAAAATTTAATCATTATTGCCCAGCTACTTATGAAGTAAGCCCTATTTTATATGATATTTCTATATTTTCCTTAGGGTCATTGGCAAACATTAATGATGCGAGCTTCCGGAAGCGACCAAGATCAAATTGAAGATGGAAGACTCAAAACAGATGGAAAATCTTCTCTTGTTTTGACATTTACTTTTATTCGAAATGAAGTTAGTGAAGAAGATCTTGAAGTCGCAAGGTAAAATAATGTCTCTTTATATTCCTTTCTTCAGATAATATTCAGATCAGAGGTGAAAGAAATCGGTGAAAAATGCGAAAATGTTTCTGGCGTCGTATTTTATTGGAAAAATACGCGAGGAAAGGAAGGCGAACGAACATTAGTATATGGATCGGATCTGATTCTAGCGCAAGTGATGGGCAAAAAGTTTGAGGTCTCCCCAGACTCCTTCTTCCAAACTCACTATCATCAATGTGCGAAATTGTATAACGAACTCGGCACGCTTGGTAATAAATACTGCCAGAAAGAAAAGATAAGGGTTTAAATGTCCAATTGATTTTATATAGGATGAATTACCATAAGAATTTTTCGACAAAAAAAATTTTTTTTGAGAAAGTGCAATATTCTTAAAGCACATAAAAAAGCACAGCCAGAATCACCAAATTCTAGGGCAAGATGACGTCATTATGACGTCATCCAGCTCATTTGAAAATTTTATCTTTGGAACGCTTTTTAGAGCCAAAAACGCTTTTGAATCCTTATTTTCTCAGCGGATTCGGATTCTTCGTAAAAAATTACGTGGGGACCCGGGCTCAAACCATCATTACCAACCGGTTCTAGTGTCCGGTAATTTTCGAAACCGGTCGGTTAGAAAAATAAACCTCGGGTCCCCACGTAATTTTTTCTGCCAAACAACATCCTATAAGCAGAAAAATATATTTCCGACGATAACTGCCTCAAAAAGCGTTCCAAAGTTTCATGAATTTGGACCATTTTCGGACATTTATTAATCATAAATGACGTCATAATGACGTCATTGAGCCCTAGAAAATTGGGGATCGACTTATTTTGACATGGGCTTTCAGAATATGCCACTATCTCAAAAAATTTTTTTTCCGCCGAAAAATTCTTATGGTAATTCATTTCTATTAGAAAGCTTTTGTAACCCTTGAATACGGAAAAGTGCTTTTGGATATCTGCTGCGGAACGGGAAGTATCGGAATTGCGCTTTCTGATTATTTCGACAAAGTCTTCGGCGTGGACATAGTCGAGGAAGCGATAAAAGATGCGGAGAAAAATGTAAAGCTGTACTCTTTGGAAGACAAGTGTTTCTTTTTCGCTGGAAATGCCCAGGACAAGGTTGCAGAACTCTGTTCAATAGCTAATCAGGTAACTCTTAGTCCTTAATTCAAATTATCAAATAATCTTTACAGAAAGAGTTAGAAACAGTAGCTATCGTGGACCCACCACGAGCAGGACTCCCAAAAAAGGTCATTTCCGTTTTGCGTGGCAATTCGTCAATCAAATCGGTAAGAGCACTCCTCCTTCCTCTTTTTCATATGAGATGTAGCTTATCTTTGTTTCCTGCGACTCTTCGAACAAAATGGCTCAGGGAAATATTGTCGATCTTTGCAAACCTCAATCAAAGAGTTTGCGAGGGGATCCATTTAGAGTGGCTCTAGCGAAGCCTGTTGATTTGTTTCCACAGGTACCAACCGTTTCATCAAGCCCATATTTGTAAAAATCAAAGACACCTCATCACGAACTGATTTTCCTGCTCCTCCGGGGCGGTGCACTACAAAGATGGAAGGAAGAAACGAAGCCACGGGACTATCAAAAGGTTGAGGAAGAGAAGAATGAAAAGACACAGAACAAAACCGAAGATAAAGCGACAAAGCCTGCCTATATTCCTGATGCATCGGAACTTACTGTCACCAGCAGTTTATAATAAATAATAGTGAATCCTTATTGAAATTGAATGGTTTCAGATGCCTTGTGAAAAATGCGAGAAAAAGTGGGGTAAGATCATCACTCCAGAAGTATGGAAGGCAGGCGCGAAAAGCTCCCACGCCACGTCGAAGCTAAATGAAAATAAGTACCTGACAAAGGTGAGTAAAAACAATAATTCAGCACTTTTTCTTACTGTTCTAGGGTACGAACCGATTTGACCCGATGAAAAAAGAAAAGATGAAAAACTGCCGAATCTGCAAAAAGACTCTTCACCAAAAAGGAGCGCATTTCTGCTCAACTTGTGCATTTCAAAAAGGTAAATATTTAGGCTTACCGGACTAAATTTCGACCCATATTTCTATCATAGTTGGGTGGTCATATGACACAGTTTTAGAAAGCCTAGCTTCTGGGCTTTCATTTGAGCACAAATTCAAGGGGTCTGGGTCATGCCCGCAAGGCAATTCATGGGACCTGAAGTCCCAAAATAGGTACCAGAATCCTTCAAACTATTTTTTCGATGCCCGTCCGGGCTCGAGAGTAGTCAAGAGTCATATATTTAGAAAGCTCAGGCTCTGAGCTTTCAGTAGAGCTCAAAAAATCTTAGCGCCAAGCCGTTTTTGGCCACCTGGAGGCGCTAGAAGTTGGCGGTAAAAATCAGGAAATGCCGGAAAACTCGGTTTTTGAGTTCTAAACTCGATAATTATATGTATAAAACCTATTTAAGGATAGAGCCTTGAATATTGAACTTTCGTAGCGCCGAATCCCTGTTACGAATTTATACATTTTCAAAGAAACCCTACCTAAAATCCAGCGTAGATTACGAAAAAACCCTTATTTTTAGTACTTTCTATGGTGTTTGTACCTAAAAATCGACTTCAAAATAAAACAGACCGTCGTTCTCTGAAAATTTCCATTAAAAAGGTAAATCTGGATTGATGATATGAAAGATTGAAGCCTTATCTCCAATCTAGCGGTGGATTTTGTAAAAATATTGAAGATTACGGCTTCTAGGAACTGGTTTTTGATTGTACTTCGAAATGGAGAGTGGCGCGCGCTGCCAATCAGAGCGAGGGGAGAATCTCAGTAAGATTTCGTCCAACCTGTCGACAAAATTTCTCGTGTAAAATAGGATGAGCGATGGCTGAGTGAGATTTTCCCCTCGCTCTCATTGGCTGCGCGCGCAACTCTCCTTTTCGAAGTACAATCAAAACCAGTTCCTAGAAGCCGTAATTTTTAATATTTTTACAAAATCCACCGCTAGATTGGAGATAAGGCTTCAATCTTTCATATCATCAATCCAGATTTACCTTTTAATGGAAATTTTCAGAGAACGACGGTCTGTTTTATTTTGAAGTCGATTTTTAGGTACAAACACCTTAGAAAGTACTAAAAATAAGGGTTTTTTCGAAATCTACGCTGGATTTTAGGTAGGGTTTCTTTGAAAATGTATAAATTCGTAACAGGGATTCGGCGCTACGAAAGTTCAATATTCAAGGCTATAACTTAAGGGATCACCCCCGATTTTTCAAAACCTTGGCACGGGTCATTATCCCCAATTATTATATTCCTCGTGTTCTGAGGATCATTTTGATATATGATAGCACCCCTTTACATAAATATACCCCCAAAATTTTGGCGCCCAAAGTTCGGGAAAATGCATGTAAATTGTACTTTGCGTGAAAATTGCAATTTTTTCGATTTTTCACTGTCATCGAAATAGAACAAATAAGGGGTCTATTGAAAGCTTAGAATGTGTAGATTACGAAAATAATAACCGCACTAGAATTTTCTGCCAATTGTTGGCGCTAGAGAGCATTTAAACACCCAAAAAACGGCAAAAATGGTTTCAAAAAGTTTTAAAACTAGAATTTTTTTATTTACTTATCCGATAATGCTGATTCTACCAGAATATTGAGTTTAGGGTCTGAACTTTCTAGCAAAACAAAAAGATTCTTAATCAAAAAGGCCACAAAAAAAGTAGATACACTTTGAAAATGGTCTAAAATGGCCATTTTCGCAAATCTTAATCACTTTGATGGCCTCTAATGCATAAGCAAATTTTGAGCTAGGAAGCTGATTCTACCAAAATATGCTCATTAAAAAACGAGCTTTTTAATGAGCTACTAATCAGCCTCACACGTAAGACCAGAAAAAAGTAGATAAGGGTCAAAGTTCGGGAAATCGGGGGGGGGATCCCTTAAACAATAATTAAAACATTAAAAAATTGAACCGCGGTCAAACCGGGTGGTTCAACTCTAGAAACCTTCAAAAACATGGAAATATGGCCCACGACGAACCATCCGGTTGACCACCCGGTTTGACCTCGGTTCAACTGTTTAATGCGTTAATTATTGATTATATATGTTTTATACATATAATTGTCGAGTTTAGAACTCAAAAACCGAGTTTTCCGGCATTTCCGGATTTTCACCGCCAACTTCTAGCGCCTCCACGTGGCCACAAACCGCTTGGCGCTAAGATTTCTTGAGCTCTACTGAAAGCTCAGAGCCTGAGCTTTCTAAATATATGACTCTTGACTACTCTCGAGCCCGACGGGCATCGAAAAAATAGTTTGAAGGATTCTGGTACCTATTTTGGGACTTCAGGTCCCATGAATTGCCTTGCGGGCATGACCCAGACCCCTTGAATTTGTGCCCAAATGAAAGCCAAGAAGCTAGGCTTTCTAAAACTGTGTCATATGACCACCCAACTATGCTAGAAATATGGGTCGAAATTTAGTCCGGTAAGCCTATAAATATTCTAAGACTCTCGAGATCGAATTTTCTTTGTTAGGAATCTGCATGATGTGCGGCAAGCGAATCACCTCCGTAAAAGACTCCAGAATGTCCCTAGTTTGAACTGAAACAAATTTCTCTGCCAATACAGATTTCTTTGACTCTTGAAATTCGGTGATAACGTTTGTCGAATGTGAGAAAAGAAAATCTAAAATCATTTTGGGTCCAAGCTTTTTCTATAGAAACACTTGGTTCTTCCGAAAATGATTTCTGAAAGCTTTTCTCTTTATCACTTCATTTTGGAGGCGATCGAAAGTGGCGAGTTTGTAAAACTTTCCGTTACACAAGCTTTCCGACCCGCTTTGTATACTCGGAAAACTTTAAAAACTCATCCACTTCTATATCTTGATTTACTCTCTCAGTGTCGAATGTATGTGATGAAGTTCTAAAGTTCCCGAACATACATACATTAGATCGTTTGTATACTCAGAAAACTTTAAAAGTTCAATCACTTGGGTTAATCAATAACTTCTCTCTTGTCGAATAGAAATGTGAGATTATTAAAGTCTCTCCTCAGTTCAAACTTCTTTTCACTCTCAGTTTGGACCTGCGAAAGGCTTTAAATTTTCTCAAGATTAGATTTTCTCTTTGTTGATTTTTACGAATTTCACCCCAGTCAACGTATCAAAGTGATCATGATCAATTTCGATTTCTTGGACGCGAATGACTGGAAGGAAATGCTCGTAGACTGGATTGACGATTTTTCGGAGCCTGAAGCCGTTCTCATCCCTTTCTCCGGATAAGGCACGACTAGCGGCCCAGCTGAATCATCATGATTTTTCAAGGTCGGGTGTAGCTTTTTACATTGGGAATCAAGAAGTGCAATGTCCTGAAAATGGAATCGTACTTCTAGTAATTCCTTTCGTAAATAGCTGATAGATTATCTCTTAGTCTTTCCGGACGTTTCAAATGGCCGGGGCGTCAATTCTTTTGAAATAAGAATTTGCAGCCCAGAGCCGTTCACAATTAAACTGATAACCTCTGAAGGTCGACGATATCTCGTAATGCGCGAAAAATTGGGTAACGATAAGTTCAGAAATCAAGGAAGAACTCATTTTCACCCAACTTATCTCGAATTTCGATTGTGGTTTTCAAGGGATAGTCAATGCGGTGAGTAGACATTCTAAAGTTTATTTCTGAAGAAACTTTAGAATTGTTCGCTCACTGCATCAATTTTTCCCCTAGATTGCAATTCTCGAAGGTCTCTCGAAGATCGATGTCGTTTTTCGCGTGAGCTATGTGAGTTGATCAAAGAAAGTTTCTAAAACTCCGGAAACTTCCTATTGCTCAACTTGAATAACAAACGCGATAAATTTTTGTAAATTTTAAAAAAGCTTTTAGTTAAAGTCGCTTGAAGGAGTTGGAAGAATAAAGATTCCTTAGGTACAAAAATTTCTGAAACCCTGATTTTGTACACTCAGAAAACTTTAATTTTCCAAGTCCCGAGAAGGAATGATTTTTCGGGAGTGATTCCGGCGCTTATATGGGGCTTTGGAAAGGGCCGGAGAAGGCGTGAATATGCGCCCCTGGTGGACGGGGAGTGAGCGCGCCCACGGGAGATTCATCGCGAATCTTTTTCGAAGGCGTTAATCCCCACCATCTGGCGATAGTAGACTGGGCGGCATCCAGCGTAGTCAAAGGGACATCGGAATTTCCACCAACATTTGATAACTAGGGCGCAAGAAAAGTCAACTCTCCCATGCGATTCTAATTTTAGAATGAGTCGGCAAGCACGTGAACGTGGTCCAAGTGTGTTTATCACTATTCCAACAGTACCGAAAGAAACTCCTGATTCACCATTTCTGAAAGCACTGAAGAAGGAGCTCAAAAACTGCTCGGATTCGTTCGTAATTCCATGTTGGGATCATCAATAAAGTGTAGTTTAGTACTTTTATGGACAACTCTTACAAACCATTCAAAAATGATAAGGACCCGACGAAGCTTAACTGGGAATGTCCGTGTGTTGATAATCTTCCATATGGGCCCTGTGGACCTCTTTGGAGAAATGTAAGTCGAGAGTTCTTGAGTACATTGAACTCGATGATAATCTCATCGTTGATTTCTCACGAATAAAGATATCTATGCAACCCTAGAAGAAAGTTTACAATCTGTTTTAGTATATGATTCAAAAAGAAGTAGAAGGAAAGTCCAACGAAGAAACGTATCCAGCTTACACTGCGTGGTGGGAGTGCTTTACAAGCAACCCTTCTGTATATATGCCCGAGTTTATGAAATCAATGGAAAGGAAGAAGCAGGCCGCGCAAGCAGAGCTCGACAGGCTAAAGGCTGAAGAAGAGGCCCAGAAAGCAGCGCAAAATAGTTCTAATCATGATTCACCCACTGATAACATTAGTCAATCTTCTGAAAAATAATTCTTTGTTACAAATTGTATTGTAATCGCGTTACGTTAAGGGCGTTCCGTGAGATTGAATCGTAAAAATCGGAGAAAAGGTTCACCGAAATGTGGACGAGGAACATTACGAGAGTCGTTCAAGGGAGGAGTCAAACGATTTTTGATAAATTCGAAAGTTAAGATAATCTGAGACCTGAAAAGTAAGAAAAAATTCGTCAAAACTCGCCAACTCCCCATTTTTCAAGAAAGGCGAGGAGCATCAGTTTGATAGGACAACATCGGCGGAGAAACAGTTTGTACTTCAGGTTAGCAAAAGATTATCCTTGAGTAATTCTTTTAAATTGAAAATCAAAAGTGTGTACGGAAGAATTTAACGACAGATAATCTATTATCACGTTCGACCTCAAAAGCTTGGGTCAAACTCGAGCACTTAGTATCACTATCACTTGATTATTTTTTCTGAAAACATAGAAGACTAATTTTTCTTTTCAGAGCAAATCAATTCGATTTGAGCGTTTCAAAGATGCAGCAAGTCCTGAAAAAGAATACGAAATCTACTCGAGAGGTGGTGAAAAATCCCCACTCGCAACGAAAAATATGCCAAACTGGAAAAAGTACAAAAACTGGACGGAAGCAGCTGAAGATGTCACCTTCCGTAATTTGCCCGCAAATGTATCTCAGCATGATATCATGCGTCATCATGGCGTGAAGCACCGCAAACATTTGAATACGAGATACATGTTTGATAAGACGATGTTATCGAAATGAAAGGGTTATATTTACTTAAATTTTTTCTGAAAGACTATCTTTGTTCATAAAGTGTCTTAGTATTTCGGAATCATCGAATAAAACCCGTAAACAGTAAGCAACGCATTCCCTTCAAAATACATCCGCGATAAACATGTGATAGAGCTCTACCCAGGTTTTGGCCTACTTTCGCTTCGTTTCCTGAGGAAAGAGCCCCTATCGTACACATTCGTGGAGCCTGATAAAAGGTCCGTGGTTGAAAAAGGCAGAAAAAACCGTTGAGAAAGTGCGCGCTTGCTTCCCTGAATCAACCAAGTAAGAGTTGTGAAGTCGCTGCTAAATATAGCGCAGTCTTCGCGCGACAACGGAATCGGCGTTCGAATCGTGAGAACGGAGCCCCTCGATCATCGACTGGATCAGCTCCATTTCAACAAAAATAGAAGGGGACTTCTTTACGATGCAGATTGGGACAGCGAACCCGATACAGTCGTCATCTCGAACACTCCGTTTTGGGCTACAAACATGCTTTTGCTAAAACTTGTGGAAGATGTTTGGAATCGCGAGGGACTTTTCAGAGCGGGGAGAGTCCCGATCTTTATGAACTTTCATTTGCCAGTTGGATGCGATCTGTTGGGGAAGACATCATTTTATGGAAAACTCGTGGACAATTTCTTTGAAGCGAAGGAGATTCAGCCAGTTTATGGCTCATTTTACACGCCTAAAATGGCAGAGGGCACGATTTGGATTCAATTGACCCCGAGAAGAGAGTTCTTGCTAAATGAGTCGCCAGAACAAATCGGAAGGATAATCGACGCAATCTTCAGCAGCTACAAAGACAAGAAAAACATGAGCCACCCGATGGCGAGGACGAAAGAACGAGTTGCGCAACGGCTCCAGAATCTTCAAGAGCTAGTGCGGCCAGAATTAAAGTCAGACGAGTTTTATGGCGACGAATATCATTTATTGGACGACGATCGTAAAAGTGAAGTCATGGAGGAGATCGCTCTCCAAATTCTCAACGACGCGAACATTTCTCCTGGCAAATCATTGGCGACGTTAAACTTCAAGGATATAAAGAAATTGCTGGAAGTTTTGAAAAACTATAAACGACATGAAGATTCACTAGAAGATCACCTAATTCCCTCAAATGAAAAAGAGTTTCTCTCATCATCGCTTGAATTTCTTGCTGAAATGACGAAATCGTCAGAAGATGGACGACTCAATCAAAAGGCGATCAAGAGGTTGACGCAATTAGTCAAAATGGGCCAGGCGGAGGAATCAAAGAGAAACATCATTGAGCATTTCAAATCGCGAATAGAAGAGACAGAGGGAGTTCCAGAAGATTTACAGGCTTGGTTAAATATTTTTCTACTTCACTGAGATATTTATTACTCTTTTAAAATCAATTAATAACCATGGAATAGAAAAAACTCGATCTACTGGAGCTCACGAAAGATGAAGAAAAGCTCGATGAAATCATTTCCGATTTCCTTAAATCTGGCGGAATGAGTCTTCTTGATAGCGATGATTTCAAGGAAGAGAACATCTCCTCTTTATCCACGCACAACTGGGAAGAAGGAGAAAACCGATCGCTGAAGCAAGCACATAGATTGATGAAGGAAAAGTATAAGACACGGTTCTTGACTTCGAAACCTCAGAAACGAGGCTTCAAGAGGAGCAAAGAAAGTTTAGCAAAACGATTCTAGTCTTTCTGTTGCGAAGAAACTATTCGAAAAAATTATTGCATTTGAAAAAATTTAAAAAGTAACACAGTTAAGAATGTCATTGATTTCCTACAAAGACGTGAACAAATTCGACGTCAAGCTCGTTGAAAATGGAAACAGCCAAAATTTTCAGCTCAACTCAAACGCAGCACGTGAGTAAAACCCATCGCGTTTCAAATGATCATTATTTTTTAGTCGCTCCTAAACATGAAGATCTGACTGCTCTAGCAGTTTCCATCCAAAACGGCGACTCGCACATCGTCAGTTGTGCTCACGGAAAACTGCTGCAAATCGCGAATCAAATCAAACGACTTCAGCAGGAAGCTCAAGGAGTTTTGGAAAAAGCGAACCAGGATCAGGAACTCTCTCATGCAGCCTGCAACTTTGAAAAAGTGCCTGGAAAGGTGTATCATCTCTACAAGTAAGCGCGCTCTTCTTTGAGTTCGAGTCTGGGCAAGATTTATTTAAATATTTACAATATTTTTACAGCATCAGTTATTTTAACTATTCGTTGACAGGAGACAGTGGGGGTTCATTAGAAATAGACAAGGGTCCGATTGGTGGCGGCATTAATACTTGGTCACTTTTTTCGCTTTGAACACTGCCCGTCGCTGATTCTCCATCGCCAGATTTCCTTCCGGTTGGAGTAGCAGAGGAATCAGGGTCTTTGAGTGGAATCCGTGCGATGGGAAGCTCTGAGCTTTTTACTGAACTTGCTGTGTCAAGCTTTAGAAAGGCGAGCTCGGCACCCATGCTTCTTCTGGCCATTGGTCTGAATTTTAAATGAATATTTAACAATTTATGATGATTTTACCGTCTATATGGCCGATAACGATTGGGACCAGGTCCGTTTGGCAATCTTTCTGTCATCGCGCGTTCGATTTTAGCACGCTGAGGAGTTGAACCAGGGAATTGTGGTGGCTGTGGATAGACCCCTTGACCGAAAGCAGTTTGACCACCAAACGAAGCATTGTGCTGGGGCGTCTGGCCGATCCATAGTTGATGTTGAGAAAGTTGGAGGTGTCTAGCGCGGTTCAGGAGCTCTTGTTGCTCCCACATCTGTTGATACATGAGGTTTTGCTGGTGGAGGTGAAGTTGTGAGTTTTGAGCGTCGGGAGTGTGCAGCAGATCTCCAGCGTTGGATTGAAGCGGAGCGGTTCGGGTTGAATAGGCCTTGAGGAAAATTTAGTTATTATACTTTTGAGAAAAATTGATTACCTTTTCGGGAGTCATGAATGAATGAGCGTGGTGATGGAACTTTGGAGGTAAAATTTGTTGATAGGGATTCGGAACGAGTTTTGGAGGTTCAATAGGCAAATCGCTGAATAGACAGTCAGTCGTTTTTTCAAGAATAAAGGGCTTACTGTAAGCGGGGATGCTGTAGTTCGAAAATGTCATCAGATCTCTGTGAGCCTTGTTGATATGTGCCAGGTCCAGCGGCGCCTGGTCCATTTGCATTTTTATTGTGTCGAACCAAGGCAACGATGGCGAATATAACACCGACGGTCAATAAGGCGACAATACCAATCATGATGTACCAGAAATGTTCGCTAAATGCAGCCACCGCCGGTTCGGCAGCAGTAACATGTCGGTACTCGTCTGACTCTACGGATTTAGTACCAACAGACATTGAGTCGGCGGACACTTTAAATATGTATTCGGTTTCTGCTTCAAGACCGGAAATTGGGCAGGATCTAGCTCCGGCTAAGACTTTCACGGAATTCCATGAGCTTCCTTTTCCAGGTTTCTTGTAGTAGACGCTGTATCCATCGACACGCTTTTCGTCGTCGATTTGCCACTGTAAATTAAGATTTCCAGTCTCTTTTGATGGAATAGCGACAATCCCATACGGCATAGAGAGCTTGTAGCCGCCTGTTGTGCATAAAACCGTCTCGCCCCAGTCCGATTCCACGGCACGGCCAATTTCACGAACCTGTAGCTCATAAGTTTTGTCGGATTCAAGAGGCTTCAACGTGAACTCATGATTCTTTGTGGACGTAAAAGATTCGTGGGTTTTAATGGAGTCGTAACGGCGAGGATTTTTCGCTTGAATTCTGTATTGAATTTCAAAAGTTGCTCCAGCACTGGTCCAGCCGAGATTGAGCCCTTTATTTCCTTTCGGCTCGCAGTGAAATTTCGTCGGGGCTGGCTTGTGAACAATCAGTGGAGTTGTGCTTGCTTTTTCAACAATCCTCTTTGATTGAAAATTGTCCCAATATGCCCTAGCAGAGACATAATAATCCGTGTTTGGCTTGAGATTTTCGATTTTGTAAATCCGGATTGATGATCCAAGTTTCTCTGACTCGTACTCAGTATCGTCTGTAGTTCCCCATCTGATTTTTGTGTAGAAGTCTTCAGCCGGATTTTCGCCAAAAGACCAAACAACGGATATCGTCGTTGAATTCGTATTCAGAATCCGCAAATATTCCAGATTTGGTTCAGTAGAGACTTTTAGCTTGTCAACGAAAAATTTTGCTGGCAAAATTGACATGTCGTTTACGACAGTTTTCGACCAGCGACCTTTGACTGCCCCTGCATTCGCGGCAATGCGGACTTGATAGGCTGTTTCTGGAGTGAGATCGGTGAAGATAAACTTTGTGTCTTCCGCAGTGAATTCTTCCCAATCGGAGTCGCCAACTGCGCGAATGCGAACTGTGTAGCTATCGATAACTTGGTTATCATCTGGTTTGCTCCAAGTCGCAAGAATTGTGGTCGTATCTTGGAGGGACAGCTTTACATCTTCTACAATGGCTGGACGTAGCGCTTTTCGAGGGAAGGGTTTTTCTCTTGTCGTTCTTTTTAACTCCAGCTCCATCCATTCGGACGGCTCAGAGAATCCCTCGTGGCCTTTGGCATGAAGCTGCGCTCGAATTTTCTGAAGTAAAATATAAATTTTGGTTGATTAAAGTTGTATTTTACCTTGATATTCGATGGGATGGAAGTGATTTCGAAGGGAGTGGTCACACTTGAGTACACTTTCTGGAGCATATTTTCAGCCTCAATTATCAAAATATAGTCTTCAGCCAACTCTACGGGGGTCCATTCACAGACAATCGAGTTTTCTGAATGAAAAGTTGAGGGGAAAGTGTCACTGTGATTGGTAAATACGCTAATTATAATGTATTTTATGGTTCAATTCCGACAAATAAGCTTACCATTGTTAACCCGCAGCTGGAGGTCTGTCACTTTCGGTGGCACTTCGTCCGGTTGTGGGATGTGAACAAGCACAGTTTGCGACCATCTGGGACCGGTAGTTGTATCTCCGACAAGCTCGAGTAGTTCTACTTTCACTTCGTAGTCGCCGGCGGTAACTGCGATCGGCAGTTCGACTGTTTCATCAAACGGGAATTGTTGTTCGCCTTTGTCGCGGGATTTAAGGTACACAATGCCGCTTGCGCTTCCGCTCGTCGCCCAGCTGACTTTGAACCCGCTTGGGCGAATTTCAAGAATGTCCAATGGAATCGGCGCGGGCGCGTCCATCTTATAAATTTCCATCGCCGCGCTTTCTAGTGTTTTGGAGGGGCAGAAACACTGATAGAAACCATCTTGGTCGACCTTGATTGCGTTTTCTTCCGATTTTAGAGTGCGAACGTGTTTTCCATTTTTGTAGAAAATCGCTTCTTCTGGACAGACACATTGGGCAAGTTCACTTTCGCGGTTCAGAAAGACCGGAGAGGGGATATCTGAAATTTTATTGAGAGGAAATAAATGTGGTGATTAAGGGCTGTGTAAAAAGATTGATGCATCGCAGATCCGTCATAATATACCCGTGTCAATGTTGACAAGGGGAAATAATGATTGATCAAGTTTTACTTTCAAGAATTCTGTTAACCCTGTTTATTTGGTTGAACTCGTTGTTGTATATTTACCTGTGACTGTGAGAGAGATTGTGACGCTTGAACTACCTCTGCGTCTATCCCCTTTCACTGTGCATTTGTAGTTCCCATCGTCTGATCCCCTTGCAGATTCGATAAGCAGATTTCCCAGGCCGACAAGCTTTTTATTTTCATCCAGCGTGACATTTTCTCCATCCTTTTCCCATTCATATTCTACGAGATCATTGGGTGCCACGGCGTGACAAGCAAGTAAAATGTTTTCTCCAAAGGGAACGGAAAGTCGTGATGGTGGCGTTGGCTTGAGAACAATGCCAGTTTTAGGGGCTTCCATCGCAGAAATAGTTGTGATTGCGGAGTCGCGGTGAGCGTGGAAGTTGACTTGGCATTTGTACTCGCCAAGGTCACTCGAGGCCACATGCGGAATTTCAAGATGGCCATTGGGAAGAATCAGGCTTTTGTCCACGGGCTGGTTGTTCTTGAGCCAAGTGACATTGAACTTGCTGCTTCTAGCGCTACACACGACTTGGCAGGAAGAGCCAAAAACGCATTCGGTATTTTTTCCGGGGCGGTGGTCGATAAGGGCGGCTCCTGAAAGGGAAAATAAGGTGTACTCCTCCATGTGCAATAATCTGATTAGGGCAGTATCTTTTGGGGATTAGCCGGTTGCACAAAGTTTAGGGCACCGGGTCATGATAAGTTAAATCGCGCTCATAAAAAAGGGTGAAATTTACGTTGTTGATTGATAAGGGGATTAATTTTCTCCATCCACCTGCTAAAATTGGGGAGAGCTGAAAATTGCCTGACCCGAGGTTGCACGCGCTCCACCCGAGCGTGAAGATTTTTAAGTGAACGTACCGAAGACTTGAACCAGGGATGAGCTGGAGACGAGGGAGACTTTGTCGGAAGTCGCACGGCATCGATACCGCCCTTCGCCGGAAGAGCTAATCGACGGGATCGTCAAGCTGTTTCCGTGCCAGGTCATAAGGGATTCATTGAACAGCCACTTAATTACTTCTTTATTAGCATATTCTTGATGAACTGTCAAGATAAGATACTTTTAGATAGCTTTTTTTAGATTTAAATTCCATGGTTGAACTCTTATTAATATACAAATTTCATATTTACCTCGTATTTAACATTCGGTAAATTAGCCTTGCAACTTAATTTAACATCTTCGCCAACAATCACGGTCTGATCCTGCGGATGATCTTCAAATTGTAATCTTCCAGGTTCAAAGAGCGCGTGCGAGCTCGTTAAAATCGCCCAATACAAAATGAATCGCACTTTCATCTTCATATTCTTCTTTCTTTTTTTCATTAAAAATCTCTCGTTTTCTTCATTTTCGTAAATTTTAAGTTTACTATTATCGCTTTGGAAAACAAAAGTGGAAGGTACGGCGCCAGAATTTTGAATTTTCTCAATGAAAAAATGGTTCCGCGGTGGCGCGGCGGCGATTTAGCGCTCTCCGTGAATTGGCCGCTTTAGCGCAATTCGCCCACGGCCACCTCACTCGAAGCGCAAACACCACCCAGCTCAAGCCATTCATTCTTGACGAGCTTTTCAAACTTGAGAACCTTTGAGTATGAGCATCCTTGGCTATAAACTCGGCCACATCCGGGTGTTCTCTTCCTTGTTTTCACTCAGGTTCTGGTGGTAACATCTGATAATTTGTATAAAGCTGAATTCAAATGATACCGTTTTTTTTTTGTTGATAAATGCAGTTTTTCATTCATCTTGCAAGAAAATATGTGAGTATTATAGCGAAAAGACCATAAGCTTTGTTATTCTTATATAAAACTTTCGTAAGAAGAAGGTTTACGTTCCCATGGAATTGCACTTGATCATAAATAAATCGATTTCGCTGTTGCGTGAAATTTCAAGTGCCAGCCAAGATCAAATGGAACTTGCGCTCATGTCCCCGCTTTTCAAATATTTGACCAGCTCACAGCTCGAAATCACCGTTCTTCGTTCTACAGTATTCTTGGTATTTCCTTACCTCAAAGGAGTGCAATAATTTTCAAGGAAGCTAAAAATGGAAGACCAACGAGTTATTCTAAGGGGTTGTTTGTTTTGCGAAAATTTGCAAATTTTGGTAGTAGAGGGCACACTTGACAAGATTGATCTCGGACCTTGTTCGGGCACTTCAAATTTCAAATCAAACTCAATTTTCGCTAAATATTATTAATCTATATAAAGTTTGCATTCTCGTATTTTACGATCTTCCCCGACTCGCATATCAACACTTCCAATTTTACATGAATAATTTTTTTCTAAGAAAAACGAAGAACAACTCGAAATACTGGTCCATGCTGAGCCTTGACGATTACCGAGGACGACCACCAGCTGGTTCGGAATACCTCGGCGGCTACAAACTCGAGTCCGATCGTTCTTTTACGCCCATCAGCAAAGAGAAATCATCAGATGAGCAGGAAATGGAAGAAATGATCAATGCCATGCTCCGATCGCCAAACAAAGCTATCGGCTTTGAACCAAAGAACTTTATGCCTTCTTGATAAATTATTTATTGCTTCTTTATGAGACGGAAACACTCACTAACCCTGCCTCTTCTAACAACTTCGTCTCTATTCTTCACTAATACCTATTATGCAATAATCACTTCATTCTTTCTATTTCACCTTCAAATTTCTGTACCTCTAATCAATTGAATTAGTAACTTCTGTATGGCAACACAACATAGTAGATTAAAAATAAGATGCAAACAGAATGAGTGATCGATTCGCGACTCTATCAGTTGAGGATAAGTTACGCCTCCAAGCGTTGATAAAAGAACTTGCATGCGCAACGCAAGATAACAAGCAGAAAGAGGAAAAGATTCGTGATCTCGAGGAAAAACTAGACGAGGAGTTGACTTTGAAAAAGTGCGTAGAATCAAAAAATGAAAAGATTCAAAAAGAGCTGAAATATTCTCAAAAAGTAAGAATTATCTTTTCTGATGGTTGAAATAAATGATTTTATTCAGGAATTCTACAAATTCAAGAAATCTCTCATGTCCCGGCAAACTAAAGTCTCCGAGAAAATTGAAGACGCGAAGAAGAAAATATCTGATTTGAAACATCAGAGAAGTAAGGAAAAGAAAATTTTTCGCGAGCGCGAGAAACGATTGAAAGAGCAGCTTGAACACCAACTTGATACCGCTCGAGCTTCAGAGAGACGAGCTGAAGAGGTGCAAGAAGAACTAAAGGTTTGTCATTCATTCTAGAGCTGATTTAACCAGTTGTTAGAAATATGCGACTGCCAAGACTTCCATCAGCGCTCAAACAAGTTTCATGATTCCAGACAACGAGGAAGAGTCCATTAGCGAACTGCACATTACTACTGAAGAAAAACTTCCACCAATTCCAACGCGAAAGAACGCGGAACTCAACACTTCAACGATTTCCATTTCCGATCAATTGCGACAAGAACAGAAGCAACTCGACGATCTCATGGAGCAACAAAATAAACTCTTGGAACAAGCCAAAATGTTCAGAGAAAGGGTCGATGAGAAGCTTGCTCTTCACCAGAGCTTCAAGAGCTCGAGAAATGTATCAAGAATGAAAGAGGCGGAGACGGAAGTTGAGGAGAGCTTTTTGAGGGACATTTCTTTCCAATCTCTTCCAAAAGTAAGCAGATTGAAATCATACAGAAATTTATCAAAGTAAGACTTCTCCCCGATCTCAAGCATCAGTCGATATTGCCGCTTTGATTGACCAAATTGACGACGTCGACCAAGAACTTCGTGGCATCCCCGACGACACGATTAAACTCGTCGAACTCATCGACGAGCTCGACTTCGAAGAAACCCTCAGCCAAACGAATCACAACCATTCGATTGTCTCTGCTCCTACCTCTGTTACACAAACACCTTCTCAAATTGAGTTTGATCCACTGCTAGAAGATATCTTTTTCAAATAGAACAGTTTTATTTTTTCATAACCAGTGTTCATTTTATTCGTTTTGCAGAATGAGCTTGGCAGCTCTTGCCAAAAAGCATTCGGGGCAGTCGAGTGGGAGTAGTACGAAATCACTTTCTTCTCTTCTCAAGGATCGGATCAGTCACTTATCGAACTGAATTGAAATTCATATTGAATAATAATGAAAGTAGACGCATCATTTCTTCGCCTCAGAATCCAATCAACAGCCAAAAGAAGCATCATCATCATCTGCAGTTTCAGTAAAAGGATCATCTGGAGTCTCGTTAAAAACGCTAGCTTCAAAACAGTCTTCAAGCTCGAAATCCCTCTTCGGATTAAAAACCAAACTAGATGCCAAATCATCGCCGGAGAAGGTCAAATCGTTACACAATGAGCCGGATCTTGTTAGAAAGAAGCTCGAAAATTTATCCGTCTCAGAGAATTTCGCATCCTCAACAAGGTAAATGCCGTGTTGAAAAGCGGTTTAATTTAGTTAATTTAAGTGAATCACCATTCAACGGAAATGCATTTTCCACTGCCAAAAAGAGCAGCTGTGGAAGAATCGCCAAACGCAGAATGCAAAATAACAGCTCAAATATTCTCTACGCGCTCGAGTTTTGCTCAAACGCGAAAAAATTCACCGCGAAAGAAAATTCCGCGCAGCAGCTTGAAAAAACCGCAGCACTTGACTTTCACTCCCAATTTTCGAGATTTGACAGAGAAGACCTTCTCCGCTGGAAACTGCATTCAATGCTTGAGTATCCAAGAACGGAATCACTGTTTGATTTTTCAACTCTCTCGCCAGATGACATTGTTCTTGAAGCTCAGAAAAAAGCCTTCACCAGATCGTAAAATCACATGACTTTTTCTTCTTGTAACTTCTTTTCATATATTCTGCATATATTTCTGATTCAATATGTGCAGCACTAGAATTTCCAGTTTAGAAATGGGGACGAAATGTAAAAAGTGCGGTCAGTACGAGGCAGAAGAAGACCCGACTACAGGGACTGTTGTCTGTACCAACTGCGGAGCTGTTTCTGAAGAGAATCAAAGTAACGTCCTGTTTTCTCAAATCCAAGTTCCTAACCTCAATTTTAAGTCGTATCGTCCATTCAATTTTCCGAAGATGCAGGTGGTTCGAGTATCATCGGAACCTTCCACTCTGCTGATGGATTGAACAACTCTGTAAATCACATCGGCTCGAGAAATCACCGAGAAGTGACTCTTCGAAAAGCAAAGGAAGCAATTTGTCGGCTGTGCGCAGAGCTTCGTTTGCCAAAGCAACACGAAGATGAAGCTTATAATTATTATCGCCTCGCACTTAACAAATCTTTTACTAGAGGTCGACGAGCCGAACAGGTAGAAATTAAGAAAGGCAAGTTTGAAACTGATCATTTAGGTGTATGCATCCTGCGTTTATTTATCTTGTCGACTGAATCCACGGCAAAACGAACTCATGCTTCTCGATTTCTCGCAAGTTCTGAAAGTCAATGTATATATTCTCGGAAAGACGTTCCTAAAACTTTCCCAAGAGCTGAATATCACACCGCATATGCTCGATCCAGGTAGTCTTTTCTTAATGACTAAGTTTTTAAAGGTTCATTTTTAGCATTCTATATTCATCGATTTGCTCATCAACTTGGTTTCGGAGATTCCGGGACAAAGAACAAGGAAGTGATGGAGACTTCAAATCGAATTGTTCAACGAATGAACAGGGATTGGATGACTGAAGGTCGTCGGCCTGCCGGAATATGTGGAGCTGCATTCGTAATCGCCGCTAGAATGCACGGTTTCAAATGCAACATCGAAGATATTACAAAAGTATTCAAAATCGGACCGAATACGATTAGAAAACGCCTGCATGAATTCGGAGCTACGCCGTCAGCAAAGTTGACGATTGACGAATTCAACCGGATTGATTTGGAATCAGAATTCGATCCTCCTTCTTTTATAAAAGCGCAAGAAGAAGCAGCGCGGAAATTCGACAACGAAGAGATCGACAGACAAGTAACCGAAGCTGAAGCGCTGATTCCCGAAATCGATCAAGCGATGACGGAAGATCAGAAAAAGGCCGCCTCGAAAAGAAAACGACGTCCAAAGAAGGCAGATCCCACTGGCGATGATATCCCTAGGTAAGAGCTCATTCGATTAAGTGATGCGTTTAACACTCGAATTTCAAGTGATCCCGAGCTGCAAATGGTGCACAAAGCCGGCTTCTTGGATCCGATGAAAACACCCGAAGAAGCTCTTGCCAGATTGAATCCGAGCTTTGCCGCTTCCACCGAAATAGCCTCTACCTCAAAAGCCGAGACTGAAAGATTCGCCTCACCCGACCTGCCAGATGAAAGTTATCAGCCCACCGTTGAATCGCTTGGTATCACTAGAACGCACGCGGAAATGTTGTCCCTCAATGAGCCAAGTACGGAAAGTGCAGTTTCGCGAACAGACACGCATGATGGCGAGCTCGATTTAGAAGGTTTTTAAAATAGTGTCAGAGCAGAATTCTTCACTATTATCTTAAGGAATTGACGATGATGAAATTTCGAGCATGCTCCTAAACGATGCGGAAGTTCAGCGAAAGACAAAAATGTGGGAGAACAGAAAAGAAAACAGAGAATGGCTGAAGCGCCAGGAAGAGAAGAAACTTGAAGAAGCCACTAATCCACCAAAAGCGAAAAGACCGCGGAAAAGGAGAAACAAAAGTAGCCTTCCGGAATACAGGTAAATCAGTTTTCATTACAAGATGAACTTTATGTTGTTCTAGTACTGCGGGAGAAGCACTTCAAACTGTAATCAAGCAAAAGCGCTTCAGTACGAATATCAATTATGACGTTTTGAATACTCTCAAAGAAGGTATGAAAAGAATAAGCATCCCAATTTTCATTCTTCATAATAAGCCTTGTCTACAACAAAAGAGGCCGAAAAGGAAAAGAGCCCCGTCAAAGCCGCCACCGAGAAACGAAAGACTGTTGATTTGGCGAACTCTACCGAGGACGATTCAGACGATTCGGACGTGGATGCTCCTGATAAAGTTGCAAAATCGAGCTTTGCTCAAGACATGGGAATGGGCGATCTCTTTGGTGGTGACTCTGACTAGCTAGCACGATTCTTTAGTGTGTCTCTTTCTCACTGTAATTAAATTATTAGACTTCAAAAATTATGACACTAATTCATATTTATCACCTGACGGATAATACCTAAAACACACTTCTTGACCTACGCGTACAAAAAAAGAACTTCACGCAACTTGAAAATGAACGAGTTATTCCTCTTTGATTTCAAGATTTTGAATCGATGGGATGTCGGTTATTGAAAGGAGCCCGACATCTTCAGAGGTCCCGTTTCACTAGATATCGGTCTGAAAAGCAAAATAAGCAAGCATTGTTTGATGAATACTTCGAAAAGGTGACTTTGGCGCAGAGAAAGAGAAATCTTCGAAAAGCAGTCTTTCTGACACGGCTTCAAATACAAATAAATATCAACTGATTTCTTCAATGATAATTTGCAATTTCAAAGCCTTGCTAAAGATAACATCCACTGGCGGGACATTTGGCTACGTTCACTTTGTGAACCTTTCGCATTATTCTCGCCGAGAAGATCTTTTCAATGAGCTTTCTGAATCAGAATCATATCTTCTCAAAAGCCTTATGAATTTATTCGACAGTTATCAATCTCCATTCGTTTACAATAATCCTGCTGGAATTCCAAGAGCCGATTTTCTAGGGAAAATCCATTTGACCCTGCTTGCTTCAGTATTTTGCTTCACTTCCTTTTTGACCTTCGTTGGAAGAGCGCACAGGTAGGATGGAAATTTTAAGTAAAAGAAGGATCAAACCTTTTCGTTTTCAGAAGAGCAAGCATCAAATTCTGGGGAGATCTTGTATCGAACAAGCAGAAGTCTATCGTGAAGCTGTACACAAATCGTCTAAACGGAGAAGTCCTCTTTGTCAGCGCTCCAGAACGACAAATTGTATCTGGTTGCCTTGAAAGTGGCATGGAAATTAATCAAACGAGAAATTGGCTAGCACAGTTCATCAGAGATTCGGACAGATTTCTGACGCCTTGGTGGAAAGAAATCATGAGTGACGTTTTCTGGTCGATTGGGTGCTCTTCCTTGATTTTTCTAGCACTTTATCAGTCGTCCAAAGGTTGGATTTTAGTTCCCAGAAGTAGCTTTGATGATTATTCTTTAGAAACGAGGCCAGATCATGAGCCAAAGATGATCGCAACACTGACACTTCTTCTTTCAATGAACGAATTTCAGGAGCTTGTATCCGATCGTCTGAAAATACTCCAAAAAGCGCTCAAAACATCTGATATAAAGTCGATTCTCAGCCGTGACAATATTCATCTAATAATAGGCTTTTTATTGAACGATCTAAATTGTTACGCCAGCCAGCCTTTTCTCGATAAACTTTCACAAACTATCAACCATAGATCGATGTCTTCAAAGTATTATTTCAAAGAAAAACATAACACTTTTGAGGATTGTTTTAGAAGTCATATTCTATATAAATTATTTGGAAGACTCGATTTGATAACGTGGAACATGACTAGGAGTTCTGTCGGTTTCAATTCGAATTTTATTGTGCCAAATATTTTAACTGTTCTTCAAATTTAATAAAACGTCATTTCGCCCAGAAAAAATCTCAGTTTCTTCAAAAAAAGCCTTTTTATGAAGACTTTTCTTCGAAAATCCGAAATTTGAATGGTCTTCCTTGATTTCTCATTTTTTTTTCCAGCGCCAATTCTTCCATCAAAAATAGGTCCTCCGGCGTCGCGGCGCGCTGCAGCGGGCGTTTCCTCATTGGCCGGGCCGACCACTCACTGAGTTCCCGCGTAGCGCGCACGTGGTAAAATGCCTTTCTAACGTTTTTGTGCAAGAGAAATCAAGTTCTTTTTTCTAAGAGACATTTTATGGGCCATCTTTAAGTTTCGCCTGCTTTTTACCTATAGAAAAGAGAAATAATCCCAATAAGATTAATTTTTAGACTTGAATATCGGCTAAAACATGGCTCCCAAGGCAGCTAAGGGCAAGAAGTCCAAGAAGACTATCCGAACCTTCCACATCGACTGCCACCACCCAGTTGAGGACAACATCATGTCCATCTCCAAGTTCGAGGAGTTCCTCAAGCAGAAGATCAAGGTTGACGGCAAGGTTGGCAACCTCGGCAAGAACGTCTCCGTCACCTCCAACAAGACCAAGATCAACGTCACCTCCGACATCGACTTCTCCAAGCGATACCTTAAATATCTCGCCAAGAAGTACTTGAAGGTAAAAATTGATAATTGTCTCAAAAATCTAAAATGTGTCAAGGCCAACAACCTCCGAGACTGGCTCCGAGTCGTCGCCAACTCCAAGGCCTCCTACGAGCTCAAGTACTTCCAGATCAACCAGGACGAGGAAGAGGATGAGGAATAAATTACTCTTTTCTGTCCCCCTTTCCTGCCAGACTGGGCCTAAATAAAGGCGCGAGCCTTTGCTAAAAACCCTCAAGCCGCGTCTCTAAATGTGTAGGCAGCTACTTCCCCTGTAGCCCGTTTTGCACCAGTTAGAGTGCTCAAACTGGACTCCCCGCTGAAGTCCGCTGCCCCTTTGAGAGATATCCGGCACTTTCCGTAGCTAACCTTCGCTCTATTTAGATAAGAAACCGGATACAAAATGTCCAAGGTCTCCCGAGAGACTCTTTACGAAGCTGTCGATGCTCTCCTCAAGGGCTCTGCCGAGAAGAAGCGAAACTTCCTCGAGACTGTTGAGCTTCAGATCACCCTCAAGAACTACGATCCCGCAAAAGACAAGCGTTTCAGCGGTACCGTCAAGTAAGTCTCTTCGAACTAGAATGATTCTAGTAGTAGCCTTTCACATGGTTACGGACTCGCACCCGGAGTCTTAAATCTCAGGGGAGGGATTTTTCCCGACTAAATCGGAGTTAAGGCTCCCCAACGTCCCCCGACCAAAGCAGAAGATCTGCATCATCGGTGATGCCGCCCATATCGATGAGGCCAACAAGATCGGTGTCGACTCCAAGTCCACTGACGATCTCAAGAAGCTCAACAAGGACAAGAAGCTTGTTAAGAAGCTCGCCAAGAGCTACGATGCTTTCCTCGCTTCCGAGACCATCATCAAGCAGATTCCTCGACTTCTCGGTCCCGGTCTCAACAAGGTAAGATTCAAACTAAGTCCACTCCTCACTAACTAATAAAATTCTAGGCTGGTAAGTTCCCCACCATGTTGACCCACAGCGAATCGATGGAGGCCAAGGTCAACGAAATCAAGGCTACCATTAAGTTCCAGATGAAGAAGGTCCTCTGCCTCAACGTTGCCGTCGGTAACGTCGACATGAACGACGATCAGCTCGTCAACAACCTCACCATGTCCATCAACTTCTTGGTCTCCCTCCTCAAGAAGAACTGGCAGAACGTCAAGGCTCTCTACGTCAAGTCCACCATGGGCAAGCCCACTCGAATCTATTAAACTGTGTCGTGTTTGCGGTTGCCTTTTTTCGTTGTTGGAATAAACATCTTCTGACCGAACATACTGACTCATATCTTGCAGTTCTTACGTTAGCAGGTCCCGATCTTGAGTCAAGACTTGACTCGATTTTTTCGTTTCATTAGATTTCAATCAAAGCAAATAATCGTGTTCTTATGAGTTCGTAATTCCGTTTGAATTTTGAATGACTTTTCAATTGCGCGTGGGCGTCCTGACGAAATGTTGCATTCAAAGCTCTTTATAAAGACGACTTTTTCTCCGCTTAGAAACTAAATTTGTTTCCTTTTAGAAGGCTTTAAGCATTCTTCGTATATCGAGACGTCTCATGAAGCTCATAGTCGGACAAAATGACAATCCGGGTATTATTCTATCCTCCGTTTTCAAGTACGCTTTCGATTTTTATTATTTTGTATTTACACATCCATTAGAGCGCAGCTAAAAGCCGTTGAAGAAGGCAAAGCAACAAAGCTTGTGCTGAACTCTGGTTCCGAGGTTGAACATGTCCCGACTATTGGGCGTATGCTCGCTCGTACCGGCAAGAACGAGCTTTACACTAACGATCTTCTCAAACAGTCTGAGGTCGATCATTTTATGCGCGTTGGTGCACGATTCAGGTAGCTCAAACTCGCTACTTTTATATGCTAAATGCAGAAATTAAGCTTCGATCGAGATATCGCAAAGCTAGACAGCACTCTTCTCTATCGAACATTTGTTGTCGGTAATGAACTCACTGTGGCTGATTACCTTCTTTTCGCGTATGTTCGCGATCAAGCCGCCTGGTCTGGATCGTCTGAAAAGTTCATCAATGTAAACCGTTGGTTCAATCACATCCAGCAAATGGCTCCAGTCAAGCAAGCTAAACTCGCTGAACCTGCCAATAAATCTGACAAGAAGGCCGAAGTTGAGGTCACAGATGGCGGTCGAAAGAAGGAGGGTACTTTTGTCGAGCTTCCCGGCGCTGAGATGGGAAAAGTTGTTACCCGATTTCCACCAGAAGCTTCAGGATATCTTCATATTGGCCACGCTAAAGCAGCTCTTCTCAACGCTCATTACCAACGAGCATTCAAAGGAAAACTTGTCTTCCGATTTGACGATACAAATCCAGCTAAAGAAAAGGAGGATTTTGAGAAGATCATTCTCGAGGACGTGAAACTCCTAAAGATCAAGCCTGACATGTTTACCTACACCTCTGATCACTTCCCGCTTATGCTCAAGTACTGCGATCAGCTGATCAAAGAGGGCAAGGCTTTTTGCGATAATTCGCCACCAGAGGTTATGACAGAGCAGCGAACCAACAAGCTTCCTAGTGCTTGCCGGGGTAACTCCGTCGACGCTAACATGAAGCTCTGGCAAGGAATGCAAGACGGTACCGTACTTGATGCTTGTGTTCGGGCCAAGATCGACTACGCTAGCAACAACGGTGCCCTCCGTGATCCTGTCATCTACCGAGTCAAGCACGAGGCTCATCCACGACATGGCAAGAAGTACCGAGTTTACCCAACTTATGACTTTGCTTGTCCAATTGTCGACTCCGTTGAGGGTGTCACTCATGCTCTTAGAACAACCGAGTATCTTGATCGTGACGACCAGTACTTTTGGTTCATTGACGCTCTGAACATTCGACGACCCCATGTTTGGGCTTACTCGCGACTCAATCTTCAGAACACTGTTCTTTCTAAGCGAAAGTTGACTTATTTCGTCGACGAGGGAGTTGTCGATGGCTGGGATGATCCTCGAATGCCAACTGTCCGTGGTGTTCTCCGCCGTGGTATGACTGTTGAGGGACTCACCGAGTTCATCTTGGCTCAGGGCTCTTCTCGTGCTATTGTTACTATGGAATGGGACAAAATCTGGTCATTCAACAAGAAGGTTATCGACCCGATTGCTCCTCGTCATTTCGGTCTTCTCGATAGTGGACTTGTCAAGGTCAACGTTACCGATGCCAAGGAAAAGATTGAGAAGGCTCCTTTCCATCCCAAAAACCCAGATGTTGGCGAGAAAGATATGTTTTTCTCGAAGTCTGTTTTCATTGAGTCAGCCGATGCTGAGGGATTCAAGGAAGGCGAGAACGTTACCTTCATCAACTGGGGCAATCTTCTCATCACCAAGGTCAATAAGGCCAATGGCAAGATCACCGGAGTCGACGCCAAGCTCAACCTCGATAACAAGGACTTCAAGAAGACCATGAAGATCACTTGGCTCGCCGAGCATCCAAAGAGCAAGCTCACCCCAGCCGTTGCTGTTGACTTTGACAACATTATGACCAAGGCTATTTTGGAGAAGGATGATGACTTCAAAAACTATATCAACCGAGACTCGCGACGAGCTGAGAATCTTCTTTGCGACCAACAGTTGCGAGACTGCAAAGAAGGTGACATCATCCAGATCCAGCGACGTGGATTCTATCGAGTCGATCAACCCTACAAGCCAGCCAACGGTGCAACTTTCCAGGAGACTCCAGCTATTCTCTTCTCAATTCCAGACGGCCGAACGAAGGAAGTCGCAAAGACTGGAGCCAAGCAAGCTTCCCAACCAGCGAAAGAGCAAGTTAGAGGAAAAGGCACCAAGAAAGCTGCGCCCGGTCAAGCTGCTGCTGCTCCCGCACAGCCCGCCGGAGATGCCCTCGCTCTTTGGGAGGAAGTTACCAAACTTGGCGATGCTGTCCGCGAACTCAAGACGGCTAAGGCTGCTAAAGACCAGGTCACGGCTGCTGTGAACAAACTTCTCGAGGGAAAGAAGAACTACAAAGAAAAGACAGGACAAGATTACGATGCTAAAAGAAGCCCGCTGGTGGTGCTTCCGCTCCTACTACCCCTGCAGCAGGAGGTGCCTCGTCTGAGTTGGCACTCTGGGAAGAAGTCAACAAGCTCGGCACTGCTGTCCGAGATCTTAAAGCTGCTAAAGCTCCGAAGGATCAAGTTACAGCCGCCGTGAACAAGCTTCTCGAAGCCAAGAAGAATTTCAAGGCTAAAACTGGCAAAGATTATGACGCTAACAAGAAACCTACTGGTGGAGTTGCTCCAGTCCCCGATCAAGCTGCTTCAGCCGCTGCCTCTGGTGGTGACCTCGCTCTCTGGGAGGAGGTTACTAAACTAGGGCAATCAGTCCGAGACCTCAAGGCCGCCAAAGCTCCTAAAGACCAGGTCAAAGCTGCTGTGGACAAACTACTTGATGGAAAGAAGAACTACAAGGCCAAGACTGGACAGGATTATGATGCGAATAAGAAGCCCGCTAGTGGTGCTTCTCCTGCGCCTGCTCATGCTGCCGCTGCGCCCGCTTCTTCCTCTGGTGATCTTGCCCTTTGGGAAGAAGTCACTAAACTTGGCGATGCTGTCCGTCAACTCAAAGCTGCCAAAGCACCAAAGGACCAAGTAACTGCTGCTGTTACCAAACTCCTTGAAGGGAAGAAGGAATTCAAGGCAAAAACTGGATCCGACTATGATGCGAAAAAGAAACCAGCTGGCAGTGCTCCCGCTGCGGCCTCTACTTCCGCAGCTCCCTCTGGAGCTCTTGCTGCCTGGGAAGCTACTACTGCCCAAGGAAACGCTGTTAGGTAGGCCAAATCATTATCGATAAGTCATGTTTACTCTGTGATTCAGAGAACTGAAAGCCAAGAAAGCATCAAAGGATGAAATCATGGCTGCCGTCGGAAAACTTAAAGAATTGAAAGAGACATTCAAGAAAGTATCAGGTACCGACTACGACGCCAACAAGAAGCCTGCTGGTGGATCGGCTGCTGCTCCTGTACCTGCCGCTGCCGCGACTTCCGCTGCTAGCCCACATATGGACTTGTGGAAACACACCGTCGAGCAGGGAGAGAAGGTTCGAAAGCTCAAGGCTGAAAAGGCTTCGAAAGAAGACATCACGGCTGCAGTAGGGGAATTGAAAGACCGAAAAGTAAAATATGAAGCTGCATCAGGTCAGAAATATGACGCCAACAAACCACCAACTGGAGGTGCTAGTGCTGCACCCGCTGCCAAACCAGCAGCTAAGCCTGCCAAGAAAGAAAAGGCTCCCAAGCAAGCTCAAGCCCCAAAGAAGGGCGAAACTCGCCTTGGAGTTGAAGCCAAGAAAGACGAAGATCTGCCAACCTGGTTCCAGCAGACCATCACCAAGGCAGGCTTGATTGAGTACTACGATGTGTCTGGCTGCTATGTTCTTCTTCCCGCTGCTTACAATATCTGGGAGCATATCAAGGACTTTTTCGACAAGAACATCAAGGAACTCGGAGTCGAGAACTGCTACTTCCCCATGTTTGTCTCTCAAGCTGCTCTTGAAAAGGAGAAGGAGCACATCGAGGACTTCGCCCCTGAAGTCGCCTGGGTAACTAAATCTGGTGATACTGAGCTTGCTGAACCTATCGCCATTCGACCCACTTCCGAAACTGTTATGTACCCGATATACGCAAAACGATGTCAGTCTCACCGAGATCTTCCAATCAAAATGAACCAATGGTGCAATGTTGTTCGATGGGAATTCAAACATCCAACTCCGTTCCTTCGAACTCGAGAGTTCCTTTGGCAAGAAGGTCACTCCGCTTTCGCCACAAAGCCTGAAGCCGAGAAAGAAGTTATGCAGATCTTGGACTTGTATCGACAGGTTTACGAAGATCTCCTCGCCATTCCCACGGTTCCCGGAAAGAAGACGATCAAAGAAAAGTTCGCTGGTGGCGACTACACTACCACTGTCGAAGCTTACATCAAGGCTGCTGGGCGAGCTATCCAAGGTGCCACTTCTCATCATCTTGGCCAGAACTTCTCGAAAATGTTCAACATCTCATTCGAGGACGAGTCGAAGGGCAAGGGTGCTCGAGAATTCGCCTACCAGAACTCGTGGGGCATTACAACCCGAACTATTGGTGTTTTGATCATGGTCCACGCTGATGACAAGGGCCTGGTTATCCCACCAAAGGTTTCTCGATACCAAGCTGTCATCGTTCCTTGCGGAGCAACCAAAACTGAAGAGGACAAAGCAGCACTCTTTGGTGCTTGCAAGGCGCTTGAAACTCAGCTCAAGGGTAATTTAAAATATGAAATGACGTCTAAAGAAGTTATTTTTAAGAATTCGGCGTTCGAGCTCACGCCGATCTCCGAGATGACAAGAAGCCCGGGTGGAAGTTCAACGACTGGGAGCTCCAGGGTGTCCCACTCCGAATCGAAATCGGACCAAAGGATCTTGAAGCAAATACGGCCGTCTTTGCTCGACGAGATACCATGGAGAAGGTAGGGAATAATTCTTTATTCGTCAGATTTATGTTAATTCTAGGTTACTCATTCCGGCATTCTTACTGTCCCATTCATTGCGAAGAATACTGTTTTGGAAACATTGGATAACATCCAATCTGACATGTTCAAGAAGGCTCAGAGAGAACTAAACGAGAACCTTGTTCGAGTTTCTACTACCGAAAATATCGTCAAGGATGAAAATGATCGTGCGTGGAAGGAGTTCTGCGGTGCCCTCTCCCAGGGCAAGCTCATTCAAGCTCCTTATTGTGACTTGCCAGAATGCGAAGACAGAATCAAGGAACTGTCCTCTGCTGGTTTAGACGTAGAAGCAGGAGCTCCATCCATGGGAGCGAAGGGATTGTGCATGCCATTCGCACCAAAGGGAGAACTGACTGAGAACGAAAAGGCCTGTATCTGTCCTGGATGCGAGCGAAAAGTGAAGGCTGTCACCATGTTCGGACGAAGCTATTAAATTTAGACGTAATTCTGCATTTAACTTACAATTACCTGTCCTGTTCAAAACTTAAATACTAATATGTAACTTATCACCCTAAACACAAAAAATAGCCCCTTCGAGAAGACTGGGCTATTTCAAGGCGTTATTGTTGTCTCAGGAATAAGCACGCAACCAACCGCTTTGTGCAAATTTGCAGAGATTTTCAGCTTTATTTGCTTGGAGCACAAAGTGTAACCCGGGCTCCAATTTTGAAGACAGGGAAAAACAGATTTGATTTTTTGAATGAAACTAGGTTTTCAGTTTCAAAGTATAACATATTTTGAGTCCGGTATTCTTATTGTAATTCTTGACATTCGACACAATACGTTTACTTCGAAAACGTCATCAAATCATCATACGTTACCTTTTGATAATGAAGAACTTTAGCTCAAGTTTTTGAAATATAAATAAGCACGTCATTTAATTTCATAACGACTACTTTATAACAATTGTGTCATGAGAATTTCCACTTCACAATCATTTCATAACAAGCTTCCAAACTTGTCCCACTCAAAATCGATAGCCTCTCTCATAAGAACGCATGCTCGTCCGTACAACCGCTCCGTATTGATTTCCGATTTTGGTTGATGCGGGGTAATAGTATCAGACTCCTATTTTCAGGAAGAAATTGCCAGATTTGCTGCCATTTCCTGAACTTACTTGTTGGACTCAGTTTCCTTTCGGGTTCATGTTATTTTTGGTTTCCTTTTTCCTTCGTGTGAATGATTGTTCAAACAAAGATCGACCTCTGGCCTTCTGTTCTGGGCCTGTAGCGCGCGCGCGGTGGTCACGCGCCGCGGGACATCACTGATTCAAGAAAACTCTTAAGATAAGCATGGCAGGACGCCATTACGTCAGCTGGCCGATGCAAAGGGAGAGAAAAGAGGTCACACGCCACAGGGCAGCACCGCCAGTTCCATCAGCGCGCGCTGAAACGTTACGCACTGGGGAACGGGCGGCACCAACCAGATGCGGCGCGAGAGGGCACTCATAACACTGAAATAGCGAGCCAGGCACACACTGCCCCACACACACGTACACGCCTCGAGGGGAAACACCGCGCACTCTCAACGAAAATAACAAAGAGAACAAAACAACATAGAAAATCATTCAAGCTAAAACTTCCAAAAGTAAGGTCCCTAATGGTAAATTTTGCCGCACTTCCTCAGATGGCACTAAGGTGACTCGTGGGATCATAATGCGTTTCGCAACAGCCTCAAATAATGCTCTTTCTAGACAATGATCCACGGTGGTCGATCACTTTTTACCGGCTGGGTAGTTGAGATTTTCCTTTCTTTTTTTTACGACTCCCAAGCGGTGCGCAATGAGCAACGAAAACATACCAAAAAATTCACTTTTTACTACCGATCGGTGCGTTTTCGAAGAGAGTTTTAGTCAAGATAGCAGAAGGTTTTCGCAATTTTACGATTTAATTCGACTTATATAGTATCATAATTTACATAACAATATTATATAAGACAACCCGCTTCCCTTCGATATAATCTCTGGAGCGTAAGGACTTATATTTAGAGACGCACTCGTACGAAGGAGCAAAAAAGTATTTTTCTTAATTTTAGATTGTTTATTCTGGTTAACATATCAACTGGAACTCTAAAACTAATTTTAGATTTATTTGTCATACTTAGTAGAGGTATTCATGATAATCGGAGTCCAAAGCTCGGAATCTGAGTCCATTTTTCAATGTTTCCCGAGCGTAAAACGGAACAGCTTACTTCCTTTATCTCGTCTACTGGTTGACTAACTCTTTTATTCAGAGCCATTGAGATCTACCCTCTGCCAACCGGTCTAACAAAGCCTGCGATAACAACCGAGAATTCTCAAAAAACAGTTAGGGTAACCACACAGCCAAATATTTTACTGGGCTCATCCGTCAATCAAGTGCTGATGAATGATCTCGTTGTTTGGCAAGCAGCAATGGACGCGAAGGAATCACCGACTGCAGCTCCACCGACTCTGAAACCCATGAAACCAAACGAATCAATTTGGAAGCCGGGTGACTATCTTCTTGAAGTCGAGCTGATGAAATACTCGCTTGAAAACCGACATGTAAGTTATTCATTAAAAACTATTTCATGAATTTATATGACTCATCGGGAAGCGTTCCATTGATTCCTTTTGATGATGCCGCTCGAGCGTCTGACCAGCCGGTCATAAACAATTATTCTCAGATCTTCCGCGACAATGAGCCGGCGAACGCTCGTATCTCCACGGACGGCACACCGCGAATAACAAAGTCCGAGTTCTGGCGGGACTGCGCGCGTCGACTCAATCAAGTCATCAGCGAGCGAACCGATCTGTTCAGCGAGTACGGGCCTTTGGCACAGGGAGACGCATCTCAAAAATATCGAAATCTAAAGAAGGTTTACCTACAGAAACTCCACAAGGCCCATGAAACGCAAAACTTTGAAGAGGTCAAGCAGATGCGTCACTACCATGCTTTCAAGCAAATCTACCGACCCCAAAAGTAAGCAGATTGTAGAATTCAAATTACTCGTACTTTTTCTCCAATTATGTCCAATTAATCCTCATCCTTTCAGGCGTCGTCTCTATCTATTTTTATAACTTTTTATGTCACAGCATTTATATAACGCCAGCTATAAAGTATTTGAAATTAAAATTGCTTCTTCAGAGATAAAGGCTCTTTCGTTGGAAGCGTTTATTCTTTTCCATTTTCAATCGACCACTCGCCGATGGAGAACGAACCTGACAACAACGAGGAGATCGAGATGATCAACAATACAAACTTGAATAAGGAGAGCTCTGGTGCCGAAGCTCTTTCATCTAATCAAGCTCTCAAGGAACGGTTTCTTAAATTGCTTGTTTATTAAGTTGGTTAACTTTTACGACCTTGATGTATTTAGCCATGTTACAGTCTATATTATATAGATCGTAAACTCTTTTTACTAAAACAAACAAGAAACCAATTCAAAGCTCCTTCAGCGACTTGCCGAAGCCATGGAAGGTGCCCGAGCAGAAGGAAGGATTCACCAAATGAACATGGAGTCTCAAATGAACAGACTCAACATGATCGAAAACGAACGCAACAAACTGCTAAAAGAAGCCAACCAGCTTCAAGCAGAGCAACTCAAGTTCGAAAAGGAGAAATTCTTCGCAAGCAAGCAGCACGAACCAGAACCTGACGAGCCAAATCCCATGGATGCGATGGCTTTGTAATGAAGACTTTCCGTTTATGAGCTGTATTTATAAAAACAAAAACTAGGTTTAAATTTCCGCTTCCAATTTACCAGAGTTTCTGGTATCACTGCTATAACAGATGCTTCCTTTAATCCTCCCATAATATCTGTCTTCCATGATGGAAGTTCCATTGATTGAAAAAAAAATAAAGTTAAAAACGACATATTTTGTGTTTTAATTTAATACAGGATAAAGATTATCATCCCTAGGCGGATACTCGTGAATTTGCTGCATGTGTTGGAAAAATCGCAGGCTAGTTTGATGACAATGATCTCTCTGAGTGTTCAAGGCAGTCATTGTTGGAGCAGACGCTTCTGGAGCTTCTCGACGGATTGTCTCAAAAGCTTCTTCAATCAGTCGTTTTTGCTCGTTCTGCGCTTCTTCCGCTTTTTGATGCAGTCCGATTGGTCCTCTATGATTTTCCAAAGCTGCTCAGTTCGGAGGTGCAAGTTCTTGTTCTTCTCGAGAAGGTCTTCGATTATTTGTTGAGGCTGAAGTTCAATTCGTAAACAAATAAGAAACAATTTACCTCGTTGGGATGCTTTTCTGCGCTAGAATTACCGGTGGTAGGTTCTCTCGGCGCGTCATCGAAAATATTTGACTCCGGAACTTCTACATCTGCTACTTTTGAGCTTTCGCATCCCATTTTCTCCGCAAAATTAGCCCTCCGCAGTTACTATCTCGGTCCGTATCTGGCTCTCTATTTGACTAGGGAATCCATAAGGAACCGGATCATGGCAACCGTCTATTTACAGGACTTTTATAGGCAGGCACTGAAGCTTTTCTCCTACCAAGGAAAGGTCACTTTTCATTATTTGTTTTCTTTGACAAGAAACATGTATCTTTGTCAAATATTATTAAAGATCAAAGTCGTTATTCTTTCTAAAATTCTAAATCTAAAATTCAAGCTGCTAATCTATTACGAAGAAAGCTGTAAATGTCTGACTACTCTCCTTCTCTTCCGTTGATTTAATTTTGATGACGGGGCACTAGAACAGATTTACAAATACTCCGACGCTCTGAGATTACGTCGGAATTTTTATTAGAAGCGACAGCTTATTTACTAAATATTTATAGTAATGAGATGCTGGAGAAACGCACTTACGGAAGGCTGGGTTACGTTAGCCCAGCTGGTAGTCCTTGATATTCTGCAATGCAGAATCTGCATGTCTGGAGGGAGAAATAAATACATAATTTGTTTAACGACGTATTTTGTTTAGCTTGACAATATAACTGCGTAGCTACTGGTAGCAAGTGGAATGTAATTTGAAATGCAGTTGTTTGAATTTACTTGATGACTTCAAAAACTATATCAACCGAGACTCGCGACGAGCTGAGAATCTTCTTTGCGACCAACAGTTGCGAGACTGCAAAGAAGGTGACATCATCCAGATCCAGCGACGTGGATTCTATCGAGTCGATCAACCCTACAAGCCAGCCAACGGTGCAACTTTCCAGGAGACTCCAGCTATTCTCTTCTCAATTCCAGACGGCCGAACGAAGGAAGTCGCAAAGACTGGAGCCAAGCAAGCTTCCCAACCAGCGAAAGAGCAAGTTAGAGGAAAAGGCACCAAGAAAGCTGCGCCCGGTCAAGCTGCTGCTGCTCCCGCACAGCCCGCCGGAGATGCCCTCGCTCTTTGGGAGGAAGTTACCAAACTTGGCGATGCTGTCCGCGAACTCAAGACGGCTAAGGCTGCTAAAGACCAGGTCACGGCTGCTGTGAACAAACTTCTCGAGGGAAAGAAGAACTACAAAGAAAAGACAGGACAAGATTACGATGCTAAAAAGAAGCCCGCTGGTGGTGCTTCCGCTCCTACTACCCCTGCAGCAGGAGGTGCCTCGTCTGAGTTGGCACTCTGGGAAGAAGTCAACAAGCTCGGCACTGCTGTCCGAGATCTTAAAGCTGCTAAAGCTCCGAAGGATCAAGTTACAGCCGCCGTGAACAAGCTTCTCGAAGCCAAGAAGAATTTCAAGGCTAAAACTGGCAAAGATTATGACGCTAACAAGAAACCTACTGGTGGAGTTGCTCCAGTCCCCGATCAAGCTGCTTCAGCCGCTGCCTCTGGTGGTGACCTCGCTCTCTGGGAGGAGGTTACTAAACTAGGGCAATCAGTCCGAGACCTCAAGGCCGCCAAAGCTCCTAAAGACCAGGTCAAAGCTGCTGTGGACAAACTACTTGATGGAAAGAAGAACTACAAGGCCAAGACTGGACAGGATTATGATGCGAATAAGAAGCCCGCTAGTGGTGCTTCTCCTGCGCCTGCTCATGCTGCCGCTGCGCCCGCTTCTTCCTCTGGTGATCTTGCCCTTTGGGAAGAAGTCACTAAACTTGGCGATGCTGTCCGTCAACTCAAAGCTGCCAAAGCACCAAAGGACCAAGTAACTGCTGCTGTTACCAAACTCCTTGAAGGGAAGAAGGAATTCAAGGCAAAAACTGGATCCGACTATGATGCGAAAAAGAAACCAGCTGGCAGTGCTCCCGCTGCGGCCTCTACTTCCGCAGCTCCCTCTGGAGCTCTTGCTGCCTGGGAAGCTACTACTGCCCAAGGAAACGCTGTTAGGTAGGCCAAATCATTATCGATAAGTCATGTTTACTCTGTGATTCAGAGAACTGAAAGCCAAGAAAGCATCAAAGGATGAAATCATGGCTGCCGTCGGAAAACTTAAAGAATTGAAAGAGACATTCAAGAAAGTATCAGGTACCGACTACGACGCCAACAAGAAGCCTGCTGGTGGATCGGCTGCTGCTCCTGTACCTGCCGCTGCCGCGACTTCCGCTGCTAGCCCACATATGGACTTGTGGAAACACACCGTCGAGCAGGGAGAGAAGGTTCGAAAGCTCAAGGCTGAAAAGGCTTCGAAAGAAGACATCACGGCTGCAGTAGGGGAATTGAAAGACCGAAAAGTAAAATATGAAGCTGCATCAGGTCAGAAATATGACGCCAACAAACCACCAACTGGAGGTGCTAGTGCTGCACCCGCTGCCAAACCAGCAGCTAAGCCTGCCAAGAAAGAAAAGGCTCCCAAGCAAGCTCAAGCCCCAAAGAAGGGCGAAACTCGCCTTGGAGTTGAAGCCAAGAAAGACGAAGATCTGCCAACCTGGTTCCAGCAGACCATCACCAAGGCAGGCTTGATTGAGTACTACGATGTGTCTGGCTGCTATGTTCTTCTTCCCGCTGCTTACAATATCTGGGAGCATATCAAGGACTTTTTCGACAAGAACATCAAGGAACTCGGAGTCGAGAACTGCTACTTCCCCATGTTTGTCTCTCAAGCTGCTCTTGAAAAGGAGAAGGAGCACATCGAGGACTTCGCCCCTGAAGTCGCCTGGGTAACTAAATCTGGTGATACTGAGCTTGCTGAACCTATCGCCATTCGACCCACTTCCGAAACTGTTATGTACCCGATATACGCAAAACGATGTCAGTCTCACCGAGATCTTCCAATCAAAATGAACCAATGGTGCAATGTTGTTCGATGGGAATTCAAACATCCAACTCCGTTCCTTCGAACTCGAGAGTTCCTTTGGCAAGAAGGTCACTCCGCTTTCGCCACAAAGCCTGAAGCCGAGAAAGAAGTTATGCAGATCTTGGACTTGTATCGACAGGTTTACGAAGATCTCCTCGCCATTCCCACGGTTCCCGGAAAGAAGACGATCAAAGAAAAGTTCGCTGGTGGCGACTACACTACCACTGTCGAAGCTTACATCAAGGCTGCTGGGCGAGCTATCCAAGGTGCCACTTCTCATCATCTTGGCCAGAACTTCTCGAAAATGTTCAACATCTCATTCGAGGACGAGTCGAAGGGCAAGGGTGCTCGAGAATTCGCCTACCAGAACTCGTGGGGCATTACAACCCGAACTATTGGTGTTTTGATCATGGTCCACGCTGATGACAAGGGCCTGGTTATCCCACCAAAGGTTTCTCGATACCAAGCTGTCATCGTTCCTTGCGGAGCAACCAAAACTGAAGAGGACAAAGCAGCACTCTTTGGTGCTTGCAAGGCGCTTGAAACTCAGCTCAAGGGTAATTTAAAATATGAAATGACGTCTAAAGAAGTTATTTTTAAGAATTCGGCGTTCGAGCTCACGCCGATCTCCGAGATGACAAGAAGCCCGGGTGGAAGTTCAACGACTGGGAGCTCCAGGGTGTCCCACTCCGAATCGAAATCGGACCAAAGGATCTTGAAGCAAATACGGCCGTCTTTGCTCGACGAGATACCATGGAGAAGGTAGGGAATAATTCTTTATTCGTCAGATTTATGTTAATTCTAGGTTACTCATTCCGGCATTCTTACTGTCCCATTCATTGCGAAGAATACTGTTTTGGAAACATTGGATAACATCCAATCTGACATGTTCAAGAAGGCTCAGAGAGAACTAAACGAGAACCTTGTTCGAGTTTCTACTACCGAAAATATCGTCAAGGATGAAAATGATCGTGCGTGGAAGGAGTTCTGCGGTGCCCTCTCCCAGGGCAAGCTCATTCAAGCTCCTTATTGTGACTTGCCAGAATGCGAAGACAGAATCAAGGAACTGTCCTCTGCTGGTTTAGACGTAGAAGCAGGAGCTCCATCCATGGGAGCGAAGGGATTGTGCATGCCATTCGCACCAAAGGGAGAACTGACTGAGAACGAAAAGGCCTGTATCTGTCCTGGATGCGAGCGAAAAGTGAAGGCTGTCACCATGTTCGGACGAAGCTATTAAATTTAGACGTAATTCTGCATTTAACTTACAATTACCTGTCCTGTTCAAAACTTAAATACTAATATGTAACTTATCACCCTAAACACAAAAAATAGCCCCTTCGAGAAGACTGGGCTATTTCAAGGCGTTATTGTTGTCTCAGGAATAAGCACGCAACCAACCGCTTTGTGCAAATTTGCAGAGATTTTCAGCTTTATTTGCTTGGAGCACAAAGTGTAACCCGGGCTCCAATTTTGAAGACAGGGAAAAACAGATTTGATTTTTTGAATGAAACTAGGTTTTCAGTTTCAAAGTATAACATATTTTGAGTCCGGTATTCTTATTGTAATTCTTGACATTCGACACAATACGTTTACTTCGAAAACGTCATCAAATCATCATACGTTACCTTTTGATAATGAAGAACTTTAGCTCAAGTTTTTGAAATATAAATAAGCACGTCATTTAATTTCATAACGACTACTTTATAACAATTGTGTCATGAGAATTTCCACTTCACAATCATTTCATAACAAGCTTCCAAACTTGTCCCACTCAAAATCGATAGCCTCTCTCATAAGAACGCATGCTCGTCCGTACAACCGCTCCGTATTGATTTCCGATTTTGGTTGATGCGGGGTAATAGTATCAGACTCCTATTTTCAGGAAGAAATTGCCAGATTTGCTGCCATTTCCTGAACTTACTTGTTGGACTCAGTTTCCTTTCGGGTTCATGTTATTTTTGGTTTCCTTTTTCCTTCGTGTGAATGATTGTTCAAACAAAGATCGACCTCTGGCCTTCTGTTCTGGGCCTGTAGCGCGCGCGCGGTGGTCACGCGCCGCGGGACATCACTGATTCAAGAAAACTCTTAAGATAAGCATGGCAGGACGCCATTACGTCAGCTGGCCGATGCAAAGGGAGAGAAAAGAGGTCACACGCCACAGGGCAGCACCGCCAGTTCCATCAGCGCGCGCTGAAACGTTACGCACTGGGGAACGGGCGGCACCAACCAGATGCGGCGCGAGAGGGCACTCATAACACTGAAATAGCGAGCCAGGCACACACTGCCCCACACACACGTACACGCCTCGAGGGGAAACACCGCGCACTCTCAACGAAAATAACAAAGAGAACAAAACAACATAGAAAATCATTCAAGCTAAAACTTCCAAAAGTAAGGTCCCTAATGGTAAATTTTGCCGCACTTCCTCAGATGGCACTAAGGTGACTCGTGGGATCATAATGCGTTTCGCAACAGCCTCAAATAATGCTCTTTCTAGACAATGATCCACGGTGGTCGATCACTTTTTACCGGCTGGGTAGTTGAGATTTTCCTTTCTTTTTTTTACGACTCCCAAGCGGTGCGCAATGAGCAACGAAAACATACCAAAAAATTCACTTTTTACTACCGATCGGTGCGTTTTCGAAGAGAGTTTTAGTCAAGATAGCAGAAGGTTTTCGCAATTTTACGATTTAATTCGACTTATATAGTATCATAATTTACATAACAATATTATATAAGACAACCCGCTTCCCTTCGATATAATCTCTGGAGCGTAAGGACTTATATTTAGAGACTAACTCGTACGAAGGAGCAAAATAAGTATTTTTCTTAATTTTAGATTGTTCATTCTGGTTAACATATCAACTGGAAGTCGTGAATCAAACTAATTTTAGATTTATTTGTCATACTTAGTAGAGATATTCATGATAATCGGACTCCAAAGCTCGGAATCTGAGTCCATTTTTCAATGTTTCCCGAGCGTAAAACGGAACAGCTTACTTCCTTTATCTCGTCTACTGGTTGACTAACTCTTTTATTCAGAGCCATTGAGATCTACCCTCTGCCAACCGGTCTAACAAAGCCTGCGATAACAACCGAGAATTCTCAAAAAACAGTTAGGGTAACCACACAGCCAAATATTTTACTGGGCTCATCCGTCAATCAAGTGCTGATGAATGATCTCGTTGTTTGGCAAGCAGCAATGGACGCGAAGGAATCACCGACTGCAGCTCCACCGACTCTGAAACCCATGAAACCAAACGAATCAATTTGGAAGCCGGGTGACTATCTTCTTGAAGTCGAGCTGATGAAATACTCGCTTGAAAACCGACATGTAAGTTATTCATTAAAAACTATTTCATGAATTTATATGACTCATCGGGAAGCGTTCCATTGATTCCTTTTGATGATGCCGCTCGAGCGTCTGACCAGCCGGTCATAAACAATTATTCTCAGATCTTCCGCGACAATGAGCCGGCGAACGCTCGTATCTCCACGGACGGCACACCGCGAATAACAAAGTCCGAGTTCTGGCGGGACTGCGCGCGTCGACTCAATCAAGTCATCAGCGAGCGAACCGATCTGTTCAGCGAGTACGGGCCTTTGGCACAGGGAGACGCATCTCAAAAATATCGAAATCTAAAGAAGGTTTACCTACAGAAACTCCACAAGGCCCATGAAACGCAAAACTTTGAAGAGGTCAAGCAGATGCGTCACTACCATGCTTTCAAGCAAATCTACCGACCCCAAAAGTAAGCAGATTGTAGAATTCAAATTACTCGTACTTTTTCTCCAATTATGTCCAATTAATCCTCATCCTTTCAGGCGTCGTCTCTATCTATTTTTATAACTTTTTATGTCACAGCATTTATATAACGCCAGCTATAAAGTATTTGAAATTAAAATTGCTTCTTCAGAGATAAAGGCTCTTTCGTTGGAAGCGTTTATTCTTTTCCATTTTCAATCGACCACTCGCCGATGGAGAACGAACCTGACAACAACGAGGAGATCGAGATGATCAACAATACAAACTTGAATAAGGAGAGCTCTGGTGCCGAAGCTCTTTCATCTAATCAAGCTCTCAAGGAACGGTTTCTTAAATTGCTTGTTTATTAAGTTGGTTAACTTTTACGACCTTGATGTATTTAGCCATGTTACAGTCTATATTATATAGATCGTAAACTCTTTTTACTAAAACAAACAAGAAACCAATTCAAAGCTCCTTCAGCGACTTGCCGAAGCCATGGAAGGTGCCCGAGCAGAAGGAAGGATTCACCAAATGAACATGGAGTCTCAAATGAACAGACTCAACATGATCGAAAACGAACGCAACAAACTGCTAAAAGAAGCCAACCAGCTTCAAGCAGAGCAACTCAAGTTCGAAAAGGAGAAATTCTTCGCAAGCAAGCAGCACGAACCAGAACCTGACGAGCCAAATCCCATGGATGCGATGGCTTTGTAATGAAGACTTTCCGTTTATGAGCTGTATTTATAAAAACAAAAACTAGGTTTAAATTTCCGCTTCCAATTTACCAGAGTTTCTGGTATCACTGCTATAACAGATGCTTCCTTTAATCCTCCCATAATATCTGTCTTCCATGATGGAAGTTCCATTGATTGAAAAAAAAATAAAGTTAAAAACGACATATTTTGTGTTTTAATTTAATACAGGATAAAGATTATCATCCCTAGGCGGATACTCGTGAATTTGCTGCATGTGTTGGAAAAATCGCAGGCTAGTTTGATGACAATGATCTCTCTGAGTGTTCAAGGCAGTCATTGTTGGAGCAGACGCTTCTGGAGCTTCTCGACGGATTGTCTCAAAAGCTTCTTCAATCAGTCGTTTTTGCTCGTTCTGCGCTTCTTCCGCTTTTTTGATGCAGTCCGATTGGTCCTCTATGATTTTCCAAAGCTGCTCAGTTCGGAGGTGCAAGTTCTTGTTCTTCTCGAGAAGGTCTTCGATTATTTGTTGAGGCTGAAGTTCAATTCGTAAACAAATAAGAAACAATTTACCTCGTTGGGATGCTTTTCTGCGCTAGAATTACCGGTGGTAGGTTCTCTCGGCGCGTCATCGAAAATATTTGACTCCGGAACTTCTACATCTGCTACTTTTGAGCTTTCGCATCCCATTTTCTCCGCAAAATTAGCCCTCCGCAGTTACTATCTCGGTCCGTATCTGGCTCTCTATTTGACTAGGGAATCCATAAGGAACCGGATCATGGCAACCGTCTATTTACAGGACTTTTATAGGCAGGCACTGAAGCTTTTTCTCCTACCAAGGAAAGGTCACTTTTCATTATTTGTTTTCTTTGACAAGAAACATGTATCTTTGTCAAATATTATTAAAGATCAAAGTCGTTATTCTTTCTAAAATTCTAAATCTAAAATTCAAGCTGCTAATCTATTACGAAGAAAGCTGTAAATGTCTGACTACTCTCCTTCTCTTCCGTTGATTTAATTTTGATGACGGGGCACTAGAACAGATTTACAAATACTCCGACGCTCTGAGATTACGTCGGAATTTTTATTAGAAGCGACAGCTTATTTACTAAATATTTATAGTAATGAGATGCTGGAGAAACGCACTTACGGAAGGCTGGGTTACGTTAGCCCAGCTGGTAGTCCTTGATATTCTGCAATGCAGAATCTGCATGTCTGGAGGGAGAAATAAATACATAATTTGTTTAACGACGTATTTTGTTTAGCTTGACAATATAACTGCGTAGCTACTGGTAGCAAGTGGAATGTAATTTGAAATGCAGTTGTTTGAATTTACGGGATGTTTTACCCCGGAAATGATTGTAAAACAAGGATAATTGCCTGATAACGCTAATTAGCCCGCACACTTTTCGGAATATTTTTTAACGTCCGAAATCGGTTGACGAAAATCTTTCAAGGTAATGGTTCGTTCTTTGGGTCTAAAAGGTTATCGCAGGAATCACTAACTTTTTTCATTGGCGCTTTGGTCAACGTGGGCAGACTCGAAAAATTTTGAGACCAATTGCGGACCAACCAGTCCATCAATACTAAAAATATAAATCCAGAAAAATTAGCCTTCAGTTTTTATTTGAAAAATGAACTTCGCTAGATACTTTGAGAAGCTTAGGGAGAAGAGAAAGAAATCAAAAGAGAGGTAAGCTATCCTAAGAAGCCTTCCGACTCTGGGCTTAACTACTAAATTTTTTAGGAAAGATCGGAGAGGAAGCCAGAATGAGAACTATCTCCCGCACAGCTATTCGGCGTACCCGCAGATGTACTTTCCTGTGGGCAGAGAAAGTCAGCCACAAATTGTACAGCCTGCTGGGTATCACGGACAGCAGATGGTTCACACTGGCTATGATACGCGAGGATATCCGACTTTTACTTCGACGCCAAATCTGGCGATGCCGATCTACAACGCTCACCCGAATGTGATGCCGCCTGACTACCCTCGCTTGTCGACTTCAATGTCTCATCCTCACGGATTGGTGATGCCGCCTTCTACGCCACATGGGGTGTTGATGCCTGAGCAACATCCGCATAGCTTGCTGCGGACTCCTGCTGCGAATTCTTCTCCGATAACTGGCGAGAGAATCGAATTGAACTCATCTTCGGAGACGGTGGCGACGAGAGAAGAAAAACAGCCACTTCCAGACTGCATCGTACCTACCGATCAGGAAATGCCGGTAAGTACTAATTCATTACAATATAAATCATTTTCTAATGTTTTTTCAAGAGTGTCATCGACATGGAAGAATTGTGGCGACCTCGGAGAACATCAACGATGACACGACTTGCCAACTCTTTTCATGACCTGTCCATGAAGGGTAAAATAATTATAAAAATCTTGGACTTTTTAACATTCATTTTTAGACAAGGAATGGGAAGGCTTCCGATCAAAAAGAGGCGACCACTACTTTTGAAAATCAAGAGCGAGAGAGAGATCACTATTTCACCTTTTCACTGCACTGAAACCTTCTCCCGTCTTATTTTTAATAAAGAAATTTTTACATTACACCATGTATTTTCATAACTTTATGCATTGAAGGGAAATAATAAATCCAGGCCGCAAGTTTCCAGCGATGTGCGCGAATTTCTCCGATCGCGAAATCTCATATTCTTCGCGGCGCTGCGGCGCCCCCGCGACAATGTTCCTCCTCAGCAGATTTCTTCTTGGGATCGCTTCCAAAGCAAAGTGCTCGATTTTTTGAAAGTGTAAAAGAAAAAGATGAAATCGAAGGTTAATCAGAGAGCTCGAAGATCTTCGAAAGGTACTTATACTAAGAATTCTGCGACAGTAGACAGTTCTTTTTTATTTAATAAATAAGCGAAGAAGGGGGTTAACAATTTTTCGGGTGCCTTTTTATTCAAAGCAGCAAAATCTTTCCAAAAACAATATTTATTGCTCATCCAATTCAATTCCTCAAATACAAAGTGGAACATTCCATCATACTAAAATATCCTTTATAAGAATACAATTGTATGAGAACAATGGGCTATTTTAATTTTTGATTGACAACTAAGAAAAGAGGATGATACTATGATATACTGTAATTGTGGCTATTTCCATATCTTAGTTAATAAAGAACTTGGATCGTTATGCAATTTTAAGTATAATTTCATTCGGTGAACATAGTTAGTAAAACGAGAGAGAAACGTTTTATTCGAGTGGACTGAAATTCGATCATCTCGAGGTTTGGCTAATCCGCGCTCTGGAGGATAAAGTTGGTTTTGGAAAACCAGTAAACTGCCAAAAAGCAGGATTTGCTTCTAATTGTTAACGTTTCTTCTAGAAACAGTTCAACCTCTCTACTGATCCTCCTTAAAAGTACTTCTAATTGAGGCCTCACGCTTGAACCGCCAACTTACAAACTAAGCTACCTTCAGGCCTTTAACTACCTTCGCACGTTAGATCTGTTTCTCAAGAAATTGTCTAGGATTAGACACGTGCGGTTCGCAGTCGCAAGCTGTTTTATCACTTTTTAAGCTTTTAAAATCCAAACTTTTCGGCCCTTTTCTTTTTTTGAGATAGTGGTTGATTTATCGGGCAAGGTTGTGTGAACTAAAAGACCTCTAATGTCGCTGCTTGTAATAGCCAGAAATCTGATAGTTTCAAGCGTTTTTTAAAGCCGAAAACTTTTGAAATAATCTTATCGCGAAGTGCTTTTATTTTTTGGTCGAAGTTTATAAGGCAGTTGCGTCATGATGGTAAGGAAGTCATATTTTTGAGGGTGCAAACAGTCTTTTGGGATAGAGATTAGAAAATTCCTTCGATTTTCCCGGTTTTTATTTTGCTTCTGGAATGTTTGAACGTTGCAATTGTCGCTTCGGATGATGTCAGCTCAATCTGGCCTCGGTAAGTGTGCTTGAGCAGTTGATTGATGCTGCACACGTGGGCACTTTGATCGAAATCGGGAACGGTTTCCTCGGCGCCCTCGTCACTCATCGGAAACACTTTTTCCTGCAACAAGATTAGAAAACATAACGTGGCCCCCAAGTTTTGAACTGAAAGACGATACTGGCGATAACACCTTCGATAAGGCTGTTCTTACTAAATATTTCGCGGGGATGTCAAGTCCTGGACTCCAGTCGTCATCCGGGCCATTTTTATCAGCAGTTTAAAGGGCAATGACGAGGTTTTATAAACTGAATTTACAGCTTAGAAATTGTTGTCAGTATAAATTGAGGAATTGCCTGTGAGAAAAAATTGCTGAAATGCTGATCTTTTCAAAATACGGGGATTCAAAAACTCGTCTTCAAATCTATAATTTGAACAATAATCCACACGTAATCTCGACCCAAAAATTGCGTCCAACAGTCTCTTGAGTGTCGTAAGAATGTCATGTTAGCCGATGAGCTAATCTTGAGAATACGTGAGAATGACGGCACCACATAATCTTTGGATTTCGAATGTCTTGTATTAGGACTTCGAAAAGTCAAGATTTATGACAAACGTGTCACGGGGAAAAATATACGTTTCGACAGCTACGATAATTTTCAACGATTTCTGGTAATTTTTGAAATCAAAGAACATTTCGAATCGATAACAAGTTCCTTTAAAAGATCATGTTTTCATGAGAAGGCAATTATTTTTAGCATCCCTGTCGTCCTAAGAACACGTTTTGAGAAAAATGGATCAACCAACTAAAACATGTTTTTTTTTGCGCAAATCAAATATTTAGAGAAAACATTCATTTTTTGTAAAATATCAAAATAGGCTCGAAATTTCTTTTTCCAATAGATTTATTTTATGTGGTTATTGTAAAAGATAAAGGTTGATTGAGAGGCTGTTATGGGGCGAAGACAAAAGCGGTCGAAACTCTTAAGAGCTATCGTGAAAGTAATGGCTATTTTTAGCAGGAAAGTCGAAGTTAACGTGCAAAGCTATCAATTTTTTTTTCCTAAAAAAGTGGTTTGTTGAACCGCGCGCGCGTCACCTTTCCGATTGAGATAACTCGCCCAGTCGCAGGTGCGAAATTTCCTTCAACCACCGCATAGAATTGAATTCTAACCTAGTCTCAGACACACGTCACTTTTCAAATGAATTTTATTTCGTCCCCTATCAAGTGAGTTGGAATCACTGACTCAGTAAGTGGCAAAATGTCCAAAATTGAATAAACTTTTTGTCAGCGCGAAAATTCGAAAATTGCTTTTTAGAAAACAAAAAATACTTTGCTTGGTTTTCAAGCTCTTTTTTGGTCATAGAAGCTACTTTTCCTCCCCTTTTCTTTGCATAGTTCAAATAGCATTATACACCGAGTCTTGACGTTTTAAAATCTCAGTTTAGAGTTCACCAAGTTAAAAAGTGTGAGGTTAACTGTTAGACACCATGCATGCGTTTTCAAGTTATCCGTCGGTTTTTAAAAGGAATATTGTACAAGAGGAGACCACAGGGCGGTAAAGCATGATGAAGAGCACATCCTCCGTGAAATTGCGCTCTAAATAAAAAACTTCAAATTAAGTCACTTGAGTTTATACCGCGTTTTTTCCTAAAAAACGGGGTTGTTTCTCAGTATGTTTTCAGTCCCTAGAAGGAGATTGTCGAGGAGACGAGCTTGACATTCGTGGCTAAGTCTTATCGAAAATCTTAGACAACCAATGTCAAAGTCTAGTCGACAATCTTAGGACAAGATCTCTGGCGGTAATGAGCACTTTCACTTGTATCACGTTTCTCGCTGAAAAATCATATAACACCCAGCATTTACTGTGGTGGCTTTTTCATCCGTTCACAGGGCGCTTTTCTTTCGCTCTTCTTTTCACCACAAAATTGCTCCCTAGAATCGCCGTGGATTATTTGTGCGTCTAATAAGCGTGCTCTTTTTCTAGGACTGTTCGATGCAAACGCGGCGATTGATCTGGCGCACGCTGTGCAAGACTTGGGCCTTGGCATGATCGGTACGTTTCTACTGTTGACACACGCGGGCAGCTAATTTAATGTTTTCGTTTAAAGACGCCGGGATGGAACCACTGCCGGAAATTTCGCCAGCCAGTAGGAAAAACGCTGCGGACGCCGCTCTCCCGAGAAAATCATGTGAGAGGTTCAATCTCACCGCCTCAGCGAAACGGGCGCTCTCGTCAGTCCTTGCCAATCGAAGACACAAAAAGGAACCGGTCAATGATTATTAATTAACAATCGTCAAGAGAAAGACACGACGTTCGATCTTGTTCTAGACGGATAATCATAAACAATTTTAGTTACGGTACCACTCTGGGCTCGTTACAAAAATGACAACAATAATTATTTTTTGACGAGTAATGAATATCAAGTAGAGTTAAACAAGTTTCCCTGTCAGAGTTCTAAAACTCAAAATTGGAATTAATGAACTTGAGCATCGATAAACCAGCTTCCAATTATAGCTCATCCTTCAGGTATCTAAAAGTGGGGTGCCGAGGTGACCAAGAATGACAGTTTTTGACCGCGAATCAGCGAGTTCACGCCCATTTGCGGGCACTTAGCAGCTTTCCGGACGTTCCGGATCATCCAATCTCATAATGCTCAAGAGGAGACTCATTTATTCACATTTATTCGCTCAATAACACTTTGCCTTTTCGCGTTTTTTTTTGTCGCTTTTAATTATTTTTTTTTCTGAAAATTAAAATTTCAGAAAAATTTCTTCTTCTTTGAGCATTCGGGTAAATTAGCTTGGCTTTTCGACTTCTTGAAGAAAAAAAAATGCGCTGATTTGGTTTACGAAGAAGAAAAAAGACCAAGAAGCAGTCAAGAAGTAGCCAACAAGAAAATTTATTCTTTGTATATAATTCTGTGCTCGAATAGAACATTTCTTGCAAACATTGATCACACCTGTCTTGTGGCTCATTTTAGCATCGTTAGCAGGGCATATGAAATTTAAAATAAGTGTTGGCGACATTTTTGTAACCCGACGAGATTTCATTTCAGAATATAGCAAGATGGATTTTTAATTGAAAACAGATCTGTCATTCTAAACTGATTTAATTCGCTATCAATAAATTTGAAAAAAAAGATAAGACGACGTTGATTTGCAGGAAATACAGGTCGTTAATTGTTACTATCATTCATTTTAAAACCTGTTCTTATGATAAGAAAAAAACAGAACTGGAAAAGTTCATTCGGAAAATTCTGACGCTATTCTCGGCGCAAAAGTGTTGTGGAGCACTCATTGTACCGTGAAGCGCTTCTCATTATGCTCGTTCTTGTTTTTAATAAGGGTCAGGAGTTCCATGAAGATTAAACCACTTGGCGTTTCCCTGAAGCCGACCCAGAAATATTCTTCACACGACGGAAAAACATCTGAGTGCTCCTTGTTTCGCATGCATTTGAGACTGTCACTGATTTATAAAAAGAGTTAGCACGAAGAGAGAGCGTGCTAGAATTTTCCCATGCCTCTTTGGAAATGTTGCTTCCTAACTCTAATTCTAACCCTAACTCTTAAAGTACCCATAACCCTAAAGTCTATCGAACTGTGTTTTCGTAAGAATTTAAACGTTGACTAAGCAAATAAGCAAATATAAACTTATCAGGATTAAAAGCAACGTCGGTTACACAAGAAAAAGGTCTTAACCACGCGCTCCTCTTCTTGATATCCGATCTTCAGTTGTCTAAACAAAACGTGCGAAAAATCACTAGATAATGTTCTATAATGGCTTAGAAGGTAATCGTGTGGCGAATACGGTATGCTGATGCATAGGCTTACCGGACAAAATTTCAGCCATTTTTTCTAGCTTAGTATAGCAGTAATATGGCCTATTTTTGGAAAGCCCAAGACCCGGGCTTTCATTTGGTACCCATATCGAGGGGGTTAGGTCATGCCCGCAAGGCAATTTTTGAGGCCGGAAGTACAAAAATAGGCGTTAGAACTCTTGCATCAAATTTTTCGATGCATTTAGGCGACTGTCGAATGTTCTAGATCGCCTAAATGCATCGAAAAATTTGATGCAAGAGTTCTAGTGCCTATTTTTGTACTTCCGGCCTCAAAAATTGCCTTGCGGGCATGACCTAACCCCCTCGATATGGGTACCAAATGAAAGCCCGGGTCTTGGGCTTTCCAAAAATAGGCCATATTACTGCTATACTAAGCTAGAAAAAATGGCTGAAATTTAGTCCGGTAAGCCTACTGATGCATAAATGTTGTCTAATCCAGTTTTGATGTGAAATCGGCGCGAAATCGGCCGCCGCAAGAATGGATTATGACAGAAGTTCGGACATGCCGCCTTTTGTCCGAAAACGCCTGGACGAACGCGTTCAAGTAACTCGCCACTCATTTCCACGAACGAGTCGTTGATAGACCTGCCAACTGCTGATTGAAGCAATTACGGCTCAATTGGCAATTGCTCCTTTGCTCTTGACTTTCAACCGCCACGACAGCTGAATAAAGAATTTGTTAATAAAGTACAACTCTACAAATTTTCAGAACGACAACTTCATTGATTGCAAAAAACTTTGCTACAAAAAAATTTCTCCTTGAATAATGACAAGCGCGTAATATTTAATGATTTCTCACTCAGAGATAAGTACTCAAATATTTGGAAATCTTCAAATGTGGTTATCTGCAAGTCGACTTTCTTTCTCTTCTTTTCTGAGATTAGAAAATGAAGCTTTTTGAGTTCGTAGCATTAGGCTGCGTTTCAGCCAGATTTGTGGATGTCATTGATACGCATGAAATTTTACCATTGGAGAGATTTGCAAGAAAGAAGGCGGGAGTAAGAAAAGAGAAGCCAGATTGCATAAAAGACTATCAGTCCCCATCTGCTGATGCTCTTCAAAAGGCGAATCGATATTTGGAAGGACATGGAGTTTTTGATGGACACAATGATCTTCCAATGACTTACACTTACTTGACACCAAAGAATCAGGTCTTTATTTCTATTCTAACAAAGTTTATATCAATGTATTCAGGATCTTTCGAAAATTAATCTGTATGAGCGCGAGCCACCAGGACAATCAGATCCAAACATCTGGCCTCAAAACTCACAAACAACCATTCCTCTGGCGAAAGAAGGACAACTTCGTGCACAATTTTGGTCGATCTATTGGGGATGTTCTTCGAATGGAAAGGATGCTGTTCTTTGGGCGCTGGAACAAATTGATGTTGCCAAAAGAATGATTGAAAAACATGATGAGTTTATTGTTCCCAAAACAGGTTCATTATGCGATTTTTTACGAAATGATAATGTATTTTTAGCAAATGAAGCAGAAGCCCTGATCAGAGATGCTAAATATAGGAAGGGATATCGAAAGCGGGAAAGAACAATTCTAGGATGTTTTAGTTTTATCCCGATTAAGTGTTGCCTCGATTATGGGCTTAGAAGGCGGTCACATGATCGGTGAAAGTTTAGCTGTCTTGCGCCAGTTTTATGATCTTGGGGTGAGGTAATGAAATCAAGGAAGAAACCGCGCTCGCCAGTTTCGAAATTTTAAGATACATGACGCTCACTCATTCTTGCGATCTTCCTTGGGTAACTTCCTCTAATGCTGATAGCAAGACAGATGTTGGACTGTCAGAGTTTGGGGTGAAGGTTGTGCAAGAAATGAACAGAATGGGAATGATTGTTGATCTCTCACATGTCAGCTCTCAGACAATGCGAGGTAAGAAAGCGCTCTATCTGAAAATTTCTTTATTGAAGTTTTTAGATGCTCTTGGAAACGTTACTGCACCAGTGATGTTCAGTCACTCAAGGTTTTTGATCCATTCTATGGTATATATATTCGTTAAATGTTAAAGCAATAAGAAAATATTTTCAACGATGTTTTATTAAAGTGCCCGAGCTATTGCCGATCACCCTCGAAATGTCCCCGATGATGTTCTTCAAATGGTCAAGACAAATAACGGTGTTGTTATGGTGGTTTTCTATGCGTAAGGGAAATAATCTTTTTAACCAATAAAAGATTATAAGAGGGTTCGTCAAGAGAGGTGCAGTTGAATACGACGAAGATGGCAATACAGTCAACATTTGCATAACTGCGGATGATGTTGTCGATCATATGATGCACATTGGGTACTGTTCTTTCTTATTTCTAAACTTTAGAACTCAATGTTTTTAGAGAACTCATTGGTTGGGATCACGTCGGCATCGGAGCGGATTACAATGGAGCTGAAGATTTCCTTTTGACGCAGAAGGAACGGTCAAGTTTAGAGTCTAAATATTTAATTCTTTTTCTAACGATGATCGTAAATAGATGTATCAAGCTATCCTCTTGTTTTTGGAAAGCTGATCGAGCGTCTTGAAAAACTTCCTCAATACGCAGAAGCGGAAATCGAGTCTATCGTACAAAGAATTGCTAGGTGAGACCTGTATAATTATAAGTTTCTTTGAACGGGGTAATTTAGTGATAACATTCTACGAGTTTGGAAAGATGTCGAGGAAGAAGCTCAAAAATTGCAAAATGAGAAGGAGCCTGATTGGAGCTGGATTCCAGAAACTGACAGGTACTTGTTATTCTTGCTTGCACATTCATTTAACGTTACAAAGGACCTGGGACGAGTCGAATTCTTACACTTGCAAATCTGGGCGTGACTGGCCAGAAGAGGGAGAAGAAAAAGATGAAGGAAATTCAGCGTTTTCGAAATCAGCTGGCGTATTTACTTTTGTCTTTGCATTGTTTCTGATCAATTTCTAGCCCTGGAATTTATTGAGCATTAATAAAACATCAACATTAATGTCAAAGTCATACGTGTGAAATTCTTAAAATGATACGTCCATATACCGTGTCGTTCATTTAAATAATCAATATGCAGCATGTTATTTAAATGACGACACGATATATGGAGGATTTCATATTATATGCAGGTAATTACTGTCTCTGCAAATCGCATAATATACGTCACAGGTTTTCGCGGAGAATTTCTTTGACCCTTCTATGTATGCTTCGATATTCATTAGCTTCCTTTAGCTTTTCTTCTTCTGACTCATTACTTGACCAAATGAGCCCGCATTTAAGTTGTCCTAAACTCATATTCGAGCAATGCACAACAGGAATTTCCGGAAGAACTAAAAATTAAGATAAGCCTCTAAAACATAAAATGATGTTACCTGCTAAGTGACCAGAATGAAAGTGTTCTACATGGCAGTTCGGTAAATCACCGAGAAAGTATTCCATCAGTTCTATTGCTAAGTCAAAGCTTGGAGTAATTGTTCGATCATCAAGGGTTGAGAAAAAATGGAGTTTGTTGAGATTTTCAAGAGGGAATCGTCTTTCTTTTATTGACTTTGCCGCTTCATAGTTCAGCTCGAATTCTCCTTCATTGCCTTCTTTCTCTGTTGCATAGTTTATATAAAATATCATTATTGTTTATTTTATAAAATAAAACTATTTTCCTTTCCACAGAAAACCACCAGGGCCACGCAAGACAACAAACGTTCCATATTTTGGCGAAAATGCTTGTCCGAATTCTTCCGGTAAATTGAAGTATTTTCCTAGTTCTGCGAGATCATCAATTTGCATGTACTCATCCATTTTCTGCCAGCGTTGGCCCTTGTAGGTAAGTTCTGATGCGACGGGAAGCTGTGTGCTTCCGGCTTGAGCTTTTAAAGGGTATTTTTGTCAGCTGGATAGATTTTGAAAAAAGCTAAAATCGACCGTTCCTATAACAAATTCAACGAGATCTGGTCGCAGTGATCCAAAAGCTGTCGCCATGTCTGTCCCTTTACATTGCCCCATCAGAACTACGCGGTCTCCATAAGCTTTTTGGTGAGACAATATCGTTCTAGGGATGTTTTGTGAGTAATTGTTCCTACGATTTTTTTACTTGATGGCCTGCTCGACATATTCCAACGGCATTCCATCACGAGTAAATAATACTGGCTGTCCGTAATCCTGGACATTGTAGGCGAGCTCCAAGACTAAATAGCCTTCTCGAGCCAATAAAGATGATCTTGCGTCTTGGATGTGATTTATTCCTCCGTTGATATGAATGATAACGGGAAATTTTCCGCCCTAAACAAATTATTCCAAATTAAAAGAAACATCCGACGCTGACCTTTGCCGGATAGAATAAATTTCCAACAATATCTCCACGCAATTCTTCCTTCACAATTTCTTTTCCAACACCTGAGTCAACTGTTACACTTTCTGTCTTTCCATCAAGCTCGAATTCCATCGATGTCTTTTCAAACTCTTTTAGGATAAATGCTGTATTTTCACATGTAGAGGTAGAAATAGCATCGGATATTTGCATTTCGGGTAGAGAGATTCTCCCAAATTGATCAGATTTCACAGGAATGGAGTTGCTAAAGGTACTCCCCATTGTATCATGGTACTAATATATTCTCAATAAAAATGGCCAGAAAAGAATTATCACCTTGATATTAAGATTCGTACTCAAATTTGGCGTTAGACCTTTCTTATAGTAGCTGAATCGCTGCCCAAAAAGTATCCTCTCAGGTACGGCTCTCATTTTTCTATCTCTGGAATCAACTCTGCTTTATTTTTTTTATTTCAGTTTAAAAGTATGCTTAGAACATTCTTGCTCAACGCCTACGGGGTCACGTCAGATCACAAATGTAAACAATTGTCGTCTTAAAAATTTTGAACTTTGAATCTTGTTCGTCTTTGTTTCGCGGAAAGTTTCACCAAAAAATAAACTGACTAATAGATTCTGAAAGTTGAAAAAGAACGCTTCTAAAGTTGAAGTTGAATGTCACCACACGGTTCTTCAAACAGTAACTGCCTGCTCGTAGCTAATTATGATGGTTTCGCCGATTATGTCGCTGATTATCTAAAACGTCAACTGAACTGCATTGGCCCAAGCCCTTGGGGTTCCTTTATAAGACGCGAGAGGCGCTCCAATTTATACGTTATCGGTGGCGGAGACGATCTGACACCGAAAATTAAAAATGAAAACGCTAATATTTATTTTTTCTTTATATGTCGTTCAAGGACAGAATTCAGAGAAAAATGCGACTGCGGAAGGAGCGGAATTTCAATAATCAAAAACTTTTAGAGAAAAATGTTTCTTAGAAATAATTATTTCAAAACCGTGATAAAGCGAGAAAACTAACACAACAAGAGCTTGAAAATATTTATCAACGGAAATGGGAAAAAGATAGAAAAAAGTACCGAGAAGCGCGTCTTGCGGGAATGGAGTCATCAATGAACCAATATAAGAAACGATTCAAGTTGTTTGCAGGGATCGGTCAATGTCCACATATCATAAATATTCAGCATACAAGTTTGCATCAAAATCGTCAAAGCCTTTCAATATTTGAAAAGGAACAGAGGTGACAGATCTAATGACAGTAACAGTCAAATTTCCATAACTTGCAAGAATTAGAATGACGTTATTAGGGACAAGAGAAACCAAATATCGCGGACACAAGACAAGACATAACGTGTCCTCTTGAAGTTCACTGATTAGGTTTAATGCCATTCAATCCCAGGGAAGCTTAGGTCACTATAATTGATGACAGCGTGAAACGACATTGACCGATTAAAGACAATCCGGGGCATCTTGAGCAGCGTAAATTCGAAGCCAAGTTTGAATCGATGCTTCTCAATTGGGGAAAGCGAGCTGCGATGATTTACGCGCAAGAATACGCTCGAGCTTTCGCTCGAAGAAAAAGGCTCTGAAAGAGGGAGCAAAACTTGGAGCCCCGAAGAATGAAAAGCCAAATGTGATTTTTATCATGTCAGATGATCTGGGCTACAACGACATCTCTTATAACTCCGATCATGCCTTCATGCCGAATATTGACTTCCTAGCAAACAACGGAATGATCTTCGACTCTTTCTACACCCAACCAGTTTGCACGCCATCTCGTGCTCAATTTATGACAGGAAAAGCTAGAAATAAAATTATCGCCTCTTCGGTATTCTGTTCCTTCTTTTCTAACTCTCAAAGGGCGCTACACAAACCGCTACGGCCTTCAACACAGAAATATCTTGCCCGCTCATCCCTCTGGAATACCTGCTGACGAAAAGACCTTCCCCGAGTACTTCAAAGAATGTGGCTATTCTACCGAAATGATTGGCAAATGGCACTTGGGTCAATTTTCTTCAAGCTTTCTCCCACAGAATCGCGGATTTGTCCCGGGTTTTATATGATATATTTGCGTCAAATTTACAGAATAAGCAGTAGAATCTCCCTGGTGGGATCGTCGTTTTTTCGTTTTTTATGCTTCACACGTGCCGAGGTCTTTCACAACGGCGTTTTCGCAACATTTCTTTTCCGTGTTGAAGATTTCATAAGCGCCATTTTGTTCATCAAAACAACACTAAATTCAAAAATGAGCATGAGAAACAAATTATTATAATTATACTTACATCAGTTGGAATGTCCGATGGTGTGAAAGGGACGCAAAAATCAGTATCGTAATTTCGGAAATCGTCATTCGCTAAAAATATGAGAACTCCATCTTCATCAAATGAAAGTGAACCTGTTAAGTCAACTAGTCTCTTGGCAAATGACTGATCGCACTGACAAATAGAGTGTTCGATAGAGCTGCTCCCGCCTAAAATAAAGCTACATTAGAAAATTTTCGCTTGAGAGAATTTTTACCGCAGGTCTCAGTATCTGAATCGTACTCGTACATCTCAGTATAGTCGAAATGATTGTATTCCAAATCATAAGCGCTATACTCAGAGCGTGCACATTTGATACACTTCTTCCACCAGATGAACGATCTGTCGATCTCGTCCACTGGGAGTCCAACTGCTGGATCAGTGGAGTCGAAATATCCCCGACTAGCACAGCCATAGTCTTGAAGCTTTTCGACTTCGATTTCTGTCCAGTGTAGCACCATCTTTTCAACTCCGAAAAGGAAAGATGTGTCTCTTGGTTGGCGAGCATTAGCGGAGGCAAAAAATACGATCTGTTTAAAAATCTTCATTTTTCAGATGATTTTATATGTTTGATTGATTGTCGTTTGATAACAAAACTTACATCTTTGCTGGTTTTATACTCGACTGTAACCGCGAGATGTTTTTTCTAATTCAAAGTCGGAACCAAACCTGTGGAGTGTTTTGGATAGATAACGTGCCGCACATAACGTGATTTTTTCGCAATTGTCGATTGACAATTGTCGTTTCCAGTTAAACCTAACATTTCATAAATATGAAACCTACTGAAAGATCACTGGATCGGAACTGTAAACGGAGCGGGACATCATGTTTATCACCGACAATGCTTCAACTCGCCACTGATAGGATCAAAGATGGAAATGTGTGGATACGATTTGCGAGAAGGCACGAATAAGAATGGAGTTTACGAAGACAAGGTTCGGTACGACTTGAATGGAACTCAGAAAGTCACGATTCTCACTGATGAGGTATTTAACCAATTGATTGTTAGTTTCTCACATTTTATTCAAGTTTAACAAAATCGTCAGGAGGCACAACAAAACAGAGCCGCTTTTCGCTTATCTCTCATTTCATGCGGTTCATACACCAATTGTGATCAACAAAAAGGTTTGGCGGGATATTGTTTGGGATCTTAATTAGGTTTAAGGATATTACCCAAATCAAAGACACGTACCAGCGAACAAATAAGAACTGCAACAAAAAGCGGACTCAAATTCTCTCGATGGGTACCGGAATGGATCGAGCTATCGGGCGAATAGTCGAAACACTGCAGCGAAACAACATGTGGGAAAATACTATCATCGTATTCGCAAATGACAACGGTGGCCGCGCCACGATTTCTGACAATTTTCCATACAAACGAAACAAATCTTCTACCCTTGAAGGCGGTATCAGAGTTCCCGCATTTATCCATTCCAATCTTCTTCCTGAAAGTCGACGAGGAGAAAGAACAGACAATCTGATGGACATGACTGACTGGCTTCCAACACTTTTATCAATGTCCCAATGCAGAGCTCGGCCTTTTGCGGACAAGCCACTCGATGGAATTGACCAGTCGGCAATGATCGCGTCCGAGATTGAAGATGTTCCTACAACAGGCCCTCGCGATGAAATTCTGCATCATATGGACTATCTCAAGACATTCTCGCATCGAAATCTCGAGGATCCAAGAGAAGTCAGAATAAGAAATTTTTATCATTTGTCTATTTTTTCTTTTAGTTTCTGACTCCCATCCGAGAAGAACTAAAAGAAAAGGGCTTCAACATCAAATTTCACACTGGAATTCGATACAAGAATTGGAAACTTCTGACCGGCTACGTTGTTTTCAGAGACTACAAACTCGAGAGACATCATCTTGAAAGCCAGACTGAAGGCTCGGGTGATTCAGATCCTACTCTTGAGCTTGGTAAACTTGTGGCTCTGTTTGACATAGTAGAGGATTACAGAGAAAAAACGGACATATCCGAGCAAAACCCTGAAATCGTGAAGCTTTTACTTGACAAGGTTTGTTGGACACACTTTCAGAACGAATGATATGATATGTCTAGCTCGCTGACTACTACCAGAGCTCGGTTGATATCAGATTTCCAAAGCTAATGCCAGAAGCTGACCCGAAAAATTTCAACGACACTTGGACGCCTTGGATTAAAACAGCAGAAGAACATGGCTTTAATCACCCTCTTCAAATCCAGTTCTACAACTTAGAGATCGATCGGCTTTTCTACTCCGTCGACATGCACCTTGTTGAAAATTCCGAATACCGGAGTGAATTTAAACTCAGAAAACACAGCCGCGCATCTATGAGGAAATCTGCCGCTGGAAATGCTTAATTTGTGTAAAAACCTTGTTCAATTATTCTGTATAATTCACGAGTGGTGGCCGATACATGATAAATTATAATGCCGATATAATTTATGCACACGACTTCAAAAAATATCGAATAAAAAATTGATTCTTCGATAAAAAAAATGCCGAAATCGCGTGTTGAACTTTGCAAATTTGCTCAGAGCGAGATTTAGAATGTCTTTTTACTACGTCAAATATTGAGTTACAGGTACCCGGAATTACAAAGAGACAAAGTTTTTGAAGTGTCAGAGAGACGTTCCTTCAAAAATTTCTTTTCTGAAAGTAAGTAGCGAGAATTTGAAGAAGCCTAAGATACTAATTAGATAAGACAGAATAAGAAGTTCGTAAATATTAGCAATACAAATAAATTCAGAAGCATGGTGAGTTTTGCTGACGATAACTGGTTCCGAGGGCTGATCTGTTCCCTTGCTGCGTTTGCGATGATAATGATCGGCTACGCCTCGTACTACGGATTCCTCAAATCAAGATGGCCAGATTTTGATGCTTACTATGACGGAGAAGACGAAGAATTCGAAGCAAACCAAAAGAAGATTGAAAGTTACAAAAGCCAAGGTAAAATTGAAAAATTTCACGAAAATGAGTAAATTTCATGTTTAGCTGAATCTGAGACGGCCTCAACGCAGGATCAATGCATCGAAGAAAAAGAAAAAGAGTCAATCAATGAACACGCGTTCTAGTGAAAGATTTTTATTAATAAATTACGCTCAAATGATTTTTATCAATCTAGTATTTTACAGGATTGTCGCATTCTGCACAGTGATAGCCGAAGTTGAAGCCGCTTGTGCCGATTTTTCTTTCATAATAATTTCTACGGCCGACACAGTTGTGGCAAAAGCGCTCATCGTAAGCATTCAGACCTTCTTTCTTTATGAGTTTCTTCGAAGAATATCGAGGATTGGAACTGACGACTTTTAAATTGAAATTCGAAAGTCTTTTACCTTAGGCTCGATTTTCTCGGCTGCTCAGTTGAGAGATTGAGCGATTGCGTAACAGGCGGAAGGATAAGGTTGTCCTCTCGTGTCTTCTTTGGCACTTTAGGTTGCACCTTCGTGTACTTCGCAAGCTGCCTCTCCAGTTCTTCTACTTTTCTCTCTAGTGCAATTATCTTATGAGACTGCAGGAACTCCGCGGGCCCTTAAACTTGTTATCAAAGAAGAGTGACAGTTGTTTATACTTTGCTCGTGCTTGTACTTTTCGATTGCTTCTTGAACAATCTCTTGAATTGCTTTTTCTAAAGATTCACTCCTCGACATTTTAACTCGAAATTTTCAACCGCTGATACAGCAAGTACTGCCAAAAATCGTCAGGAGACGAAATCTAATCACAGAAATGTGTACAAAACACTTGATAGTGTTGCCACGACAAATCGGTCCCAGATTCTATCTTCATTATTAATATGATGAAAATAAATAAGAGGATGAGTCAGAATTCGTTTCAGCATAAATTTTAGACCGACATTTTTGGGTACGATTGGTCCTCGTATGCTCCCGACTTCATTAAGCCATAACAGTTAATCAGAATGCGCCGCGGGGCGAACGCGACCGATACTATCCCTTCGTCGGTACATTAGTGCTGTCACCCCGTTAAATTTCGGAAGCATGAACAATTTCAAAGAAAGACTAAAAAATGCGCCCAAGATTGACAGCAAAATAAGAGCAAAGGCGATGGCGAATATCTGGAAGGGAAAGCCCAAAGTGATGGACAGAGAGATCTCATCGAGCTGTCCTCCGAGAAGAATTGATATTCCAAGGGTCGATATGAAAGAAATCTTTGGGCCCACTCCGTGGAGAAATGAGCAGTTTCAAGAAGCTCCAACTGTATGTTCGTATAATGAGATAAACAGTCTTCTAAATCGGATTAAAATCTCAAAGATTTGATAATATATTCAGCCGCAAACTGATGGAAAACCACGTGCGCCATCTCCACCGCAGCAAACAGTTCGTAAACCGCTAGAATTGGCGGCAACCCCACCAACACCGCCGACAGTAGTTACCAAGAAAGCTGAGCGAGTCAATACCCCGCCCGTCGCAAAAGGTAATAAATGCATAAATTGAAGGCTCGAAAGTCATGGGGGCGGAAATGTTGAACGATCATTTTAAGAGCACGAGGAGTCGGAAAAACACTTCGACGAGGGGGATCTGGAAGCAATTAACGCTGCGCTGGAAGCATTTGCTATTGAGCAGAGCAAGGTTTGATCCCTTTTTCGGCCTGTCAAAGTTTGAAAATATTTTCAAGGAGCAAATGAGAGCCAAAGAGCTTGAAGTGTCTCATCCCCCGAATCCGCAGAATCTTGAACCAGAGCCAGAGACGCCTCAAACTGGGAAAGGTAAACTATCAGGAAATTTTTTCAGTAATAGCATCTTTTAGAATCTGCTGAAAATCAAAAACCCAAGCCTGTTGATAAGCCGGCCATGGAACCAAAGCCTGATAAGAGTCAAGCTTGCGTTGATAAGGCGAATTTACCGGTAGTTCAAGTTGACGCAAGGATCACCCAATTGGAACAAGACAATGCTAAGCTTATGCACTTGGTTAATCTCATACAAGGTTGAAATTAATTGTTTCCGTGTTAATTTAACATTTTTGTTAAAGAGAAATATGTAAACGTTGCCAAGCGTTTCCATTATGTTGAAGACAAAATCAAGCGCCGCGACATTGATCGCCTCAATACCGAAAAGAACCTTCTCTCATCGCTAGAAAAACTTCAATCCAATTTGAAAGAAAAAGACGAAAAGATCAATCAGCTTGAAGAAGCGCTGACAAATTGCGAGATCGCAAGGCTCACTTCCGAAGAGAAAATATTAGAATACTTACGGTTCGTTCGCTTTTCGATTGATCATAATTACAAGCCATCCATTAGCTTTGAGGGGCACATTCATCGCCAGCGAACGACGAACATGAAGAAGCTTTTTAAAGATTTCGAAATGTCGAAAGAAGTTGCGCTTTTGAGCGATGAGCAAGAACTGGCAGCGGAGATCGTCACTCTCCAGCAGGCTAAAGACGAGCAGGCAGAATGCCTCGATTTTGTTCGAAATTGCACCATCTGTTGTGAACCATACGATGACAAGGAACGACATCGAGTCGGACTTAGGAAAGGTTGAACATCGGGAAGCTTTTATGCTTGAAATAGTAGCTTTGTAAAACCGTCAACAGTACCTGTGGTCACACCTTCTGTGCTGATTGCGTCGATAAGACGATCATAAACTCCCCGTTCGCCGTTACGAAAACCGCATCCTGTCCAACATGCCAGCTTCAATTCTCACGCCACCAAGTGTTCAAGGTCTTCATCCCTTCATAACTCAAAACTTCACACAAAATTTTGGCTGTTTTTCACATTCAGTAGTGCAACTTACCAGTAGATCCCCAAACAAACTAAATTTCAAAGCTGTTGATACCAATAAACAAGAGCCGTTACATAAAGCTTATCAGCGTCGGAGCTTTACTGATTCTGTTTTTAGGTTTTTAAAAACGTGAAAGCCGTTGGAAAGCCGACAAACAGAACACTAACGCCCCAGCGCTAGAAAAGAACAGTTTCTTTACTGCAAAAGTTCTTTCATTACAGACACAAAAGCCTAAATATATTTTCTACCATTGCCAATTTGGAGAAATTTCAGTCGCAAAACGCAGCTTATTTCATTTTAAAAGCACTCGAATTAATTTTAAAAGCCCACAACAAAAGGCAAGACAGCTTTCGCCCGCAGCGAGAGATCCTGTGCACTTCCGCACGCGGAGTGAATAGACGCGTTCTTTATGAAATTTTAAATAGGCCCGATGGCGGCGCTGCTCCTGCCTCCGGCGAGTACGGTGATTCGTGGAGTACTGCCGAGTGTGGTGGTGTTGCTATTTGTTCCCAAGTGCGCTGCCACGGGGCGCCGGGCAACTCGCCCAGCGAAGGACCCTTTCAAACAAAGAGACCGTCCCCATGGCAATGTTGAAGACATTTTTACGCGAATTTCCCCTAACAGCCGAACCAGGAGTTTTTATCAACTTATACTTTGTATCCTAGCGATAAATCACTGTAATGATGGCAACGGTCACGCCCTTCCGTTTACCACATGTTTGAGGCGTCGTGTCGATGCAGACTGATGCCTTCTATAAGCTATAAAGTTAAATAACCACTTTGTTTCAGTAGAAAAAAACATTAAATAGAAACAATAATGCAAATAACAAGCCCGGATCAGTATTTCTAGAGTGGTTAAAGTAGAATTAATTTATCAAAAAGACATTAAATTGAACAAAAATTGAGCATGGACATGTTTAGAATGACCCAGCAATTTGTCACATTTCCTCCCTCTGCAGTTACAACCATGCCAATAGAAAACCCTCCAGATCATTCTCAGGTACTTTTAAAAATCTTTTGGCATGCGATTTTTTAATCTAAAGAAATGTTCTACTAAAATTAGTCTCCCCTTTTTGTGAGCACAGTGGGAGCTTATTCCATTCTCTCGGAATGGAGCGGAAAATTCACGTTGAATGAAAAAAGACTGGCTTAGTGTTTGGCATCACTTCACACAGAATGTTTGTTCGCGAGGCATCTAGTGTCTACTTTAGGAACAATCGAAGGTTTACGTCACAGTGGCAGTGCATCCGGGTCCAAACTCGCATACAGTGGTACCGTATGGAAACGCACAGCCATTTGTGAACCCGGTTCCGCAACACCAAGTCGTCGGACAGTACACGGCTCAGCCTGCTGTTTCTCATGCACACACTCCTCAACCTGAATATGTTCTCAATCAAGCGCATCCTATAAGCAGGGATCGAGTTAAAACATCAGAATTCTTGATCCGATTTTATAAAGAAGTAGAGTATTCGCAAAATTTGACTGTTTTCTAACTCGACCGAAAGAGCAAGTCCACAGACAGTAAAATGGCTAATGGACAACTTCGAAACAGCAGAGGTTAGTCACATAAAAACGAATGCAAAATCGTAAATCATTATCAGGGGGTCTCACTGCCACGGGCGAGAATGTACGACCACTACATTCTTCATTCAGAACAGACAAATCAGGAAAGAGTCATAATTCCACACTTGTTCAAACCTGAATTTTAATGGAACAAATATGAACTCAAGAAAAGGAGCCTGTAAACGCAGCTAGCTTTGGGAAGCTTGTTCGTTCAGTCTTTGTGAATTTGAAAACACGACGACTCGGCACTCGTGGGAACTCGAAATACCATTATTACGGCATAAAAATCAAAGAAAACTCACAACTTCATCAAATACAAAACGATCCTGAGTTCCAGTCAAAGGTAAATATTTGAGATGGACTAGACAAGGCTGAGATTTTTCGCTACCACACTTTTTCAATAAAAATTTTAATTTCAAGGTGGAAAAAATTGCTCCCAAACCTGCGAAAAAGACAAGGAAAGCAGAAAAAGTCAAAATGCTCAGCAAATCGTCAATGAAACAAATCGAAAGCGACATCTTGAGTGGGTCGGTGACTCAAATCGAAGTCTTCCCGAATTTCCTCAGCTTTCTTCTATGTTGTCAGCGAGCGTTATTCAATTCGGCGTTGATGATGAAGAAATTGAACTCTTCGAAGACGCCTATCGAGAACACTGTGAGCAAATTCTCGACTATGTTCTCGGCCTTCAATTCGATGAACTCAAACAGTACTGGCACGACTTTTGGCACATTCAACACTATGAAGGAAAACATCTGGCAAAAGAAAAGTTTCAAACGCTTTTGACGATCCCTGGAGTTTCCGGCTGGATTTACCAGTGCGATCAAATCCTCTATAAAAATCTTGTCGATGTTCTCATCCCTGATGTTTTGAAGCAGGTAGATTAATTTGACAAAATATTTTTTTTTTCAATTGAATGCTTCAGGATGTACCACAAACGTATACTTCTCAAATTCGACTTTTCGCAAGAGAAGCGACGAGTTGGATGCGTGAATCGATGGAAACTTCAATACAGCAAGGTTCTTGACATTCTCCAATCTCTTTGTGATGATTTTATAGACATTATCGATGCGAAGATAACAGCAGTTTCTCACTTTTCCTCGACTCTCCGAAGACTAACATCGTTAACTCATTTGATTCGGGAAGCAAGGCCGATTTTGAACAACCATGAGATCGGTAAGTCAAAGTTCATCTAACAATGATCATCAGGGGAAAATTTAGTTCAACAAAAACGCGCGGACTTGGAGAAAATCGACATAATGAAGATTCACGAGCAAATCAGTTGGGTGACTGAATGTCCTCTAGAAACAGTGCAAACCATTCATTCCGGAATGGTTAGTCTTTTGGACACACATGCATCTTTCGATGACTGGCATGCCTTCCTCGTAAAATCTATCGACTCTTGCCTACCGGAGAGAAGCCATCCAAACTATTCCGAAAAAGCAAAGAAGTTTATCATGAGTTGGTCTTATTACAGGTGAAATATTTTCAACGGCATGGTTTTAATAATATTTCTAGCTCGATGGTTATTCGAGACTTGACTCTTCGATCTGTTCAAACTTTTGGATCATTTCATCTGATTCGCATGCTTCTCGACGAGCTTGTTTCGCATGTGATTGAGCAACACATGCAAAACGCGGAATCAGTTCAATACATTCCTAGAAACATAATTATCAAGACGGGTACGCAACAGGGGTAGTCAAACAGTCAACAAAATAAAACATTTTAAGAAGCAACATCGCATCATCAATCAACTGGATACGTTCCTGTAGCTGCAGCTCCACCTCAAGCGAATTCAGTAAGTGTGTCCAAAGTAGAAAGTCGTTAGCTTACTTTCAGATGAATACACTCAATCCGATTCAATATGCGGACGCTCCCGGCTATTCAACCTGATTACAGTATTTTACATTAAAGCAGATACTGGATGACGCTCTTACTGTAAATCTTTTAACATAAAAAGCTGCCTACAACTCGATTTGTTTACTATTTTTCTAAACCAAAACAACTTTTCTTTCTTACTGAACTATTTTTCTAAATAATAAAGAAACACATATTTTCAATAGAAAACATACCGTCAAAAGAGTAATTCTTTAATGCATTTTGCAGACTCGGTAAATGGAAATGAGTAGTATAAAGTGTCTTTGATAGAGTTATCGATCTTCAAAATTGGTCTTTTGATCATCCTCCCCTATTTTTCACCTCGTCAGTTTTAAATTCAGTTCGTCAGACACTGATGATGTCCTCGGGGAGAAGGGAAGTATTTGATGGGTTTTGAGATTCTTCACAGAACTAGCTCTAAGAAATGTGTAGGGAATATATGGAACTTCTCGATGATGATCTTGAGGACAACTTGGAATGCTTGTCTCATAGAGAAATTCAAGCGATAAGAAAAGTTCTTGAGAGAAGCACAAATCTCGAGCTAAAAGAGGTACTGAAACATCGAATTAATTCTAATCAACTTTGAAGACAAATCGACTTCATCAACTTCAACAAATGATCATCGACTACAAAAAGCGCGGCGTCCTAGTACGGAATAAGCTTCTACCTTCGTGTGCTCGATGCCAGGCTTGGTTTTTCAAGGCACCTCTGCGTTGTGACATTTGCAAGCACGACATATGCATAAATTGCCGGGATTCAATAGAAGTTACTGATGCAAAAGAAGACAACGAAATGTAAGTAAGTATGTTTCAGTCATGTTTTCAGTCAGGAATTGAAGATTGGTGAAGATTTATAAAAAGGAAGCATGTTATCAAAGAAAAAGTCGATGCTTTGGCTTCACAGGGAATGGTTGAAAATAAGTTTATCTGTATGGTGAATAATATATTTTGAACAGGGCAAGGCAGAAAAAGAAAAATGACATTCGCAACGAATAGTAAAAGAGCTTCTTCGACATGTTTTCCTCCATTGAAATATCGCATTGGCCTTCCGTATTTGTTCCGCGATCAGTGACATCTTTTTTCGAGCAATTTTGGCAAGTATGACTATGTATTTTAATTTTGTTAATCTTCTTTTAATTACCTGTTCGTAACAATAGCAATGGGGTCCGACTCGCTTTCGGAATCGTTATCAGATTCCTCTGACAAAGCAGGTTCTTCAAGATCCGAGTAGCAAGTAAAGCTGCTTCGGGAATCGGTGTCTCGAAGTGGACGTTCAGCACTGATGTCGTTAATGGCGATGTTGTTGTTGTCCTCTAACCAGCTTTCGAGAGCTTCTCTTTGAGAGCGATCTCCAGAGCTTCGTGGCGAATGTTTGAAATTTCTTGGTCGCTGTTTAGACACACTTGTAAATTCGCTATTCGTTGCCCATTTTGAGCTGACACTCGACCCAATCGAGCTATCGACGAAATTCGATCGGGATACCTCGCTCTTGTAGTCGTTGCGCAGCATGCTTCTGACAAACTCATTTATGGGATCCGCTTCACAATACTTAACCATAATTCGTACTGCTTCATCGACGAATGTTAAAAATATGGTTGAGTAGTCATCGCTACCTTCCTCGAACTCCCAACAATAGCACTAAATATCTTTATTTCTATGAAAATAATTTAAATTCTTACCAAGATATAGAAACGGCCAGCATTTCCCTTCGAATTGCTTTCCTTCGCACGGGCAAAATACGGTTCTTTGGATAAAAATAAGTGATTGTCTTCACAGACTAGTCCTACTGCCGGATCGCAACTATCTTCGGGATAAACAAAATCTTCTGGCAACCAAGAAGGAGGTGTACTCGGTGAATCTTTCTTCGCTAGAATGATAACAACTAAAAAAAAGATTTTATAGCAGTTATCAAGATAATACAATTACCTCGCGCGTTCTTACTGAAGCAGCGAGGACATGTAAAATACTTTCTCCATTCGTAGTCACGATCACGGGACATTGTCGCTCTTCGAGTTTTAACAATCTAAAATATATCGTTTTTCAACCAAAATAAGGCTCTCGACAGAACTCCGTCTTTATCAAACCAAGCAGTCCTAGCCCATTTATCCGTATACCGCCTAAAACATTTATACTGACCACCTGCAAGGTAAGCTGGTCTTTTTGGCTAATTTAAGTGTGATAAGATTTGCAAGAAAGAACACGACTATCTGCTGAAATCCATGAGTTGGTTCACTCGGTGTTTCCTTACTTGGTAAAATTCCTTACTTGGTAAAATTCCTTACATGGTAAAATTCCTTACTTGGTAAAATTTTTTTTCTTTACCAAGTAAGGAATTTTACCAAGTAAGGAATTTTACCATGTAAGGAATTTTGAAAAGAAAAATATTCAAAAACAAAAATCGAGCATATTGACATGATTTTATATTCTGTGCGACCCCCCTCAGAGACAAATTTTTGCTGATCAATAATTTGGGCAAGAGCGGACATTGCATTGTGCCAAACTTGAAGATGGGCACTTTCGGGCAGTTCAGCGCTTTCGGGCAGTTGGTCAAGCCCCGGCGAGGAAAATTCCTTAATTTCGCATTCTTCACAACTATTTTTGCTCTCTTGCTCCCCTAACTGAATCAAAGCCCCTCGAAATTTATTTTTCTAGCCCGTAGTAAGTCTTACCTATCGTAAATCCCATCACCAGTCCGATTCTGTTGACTTGAAAATCGAAAATTATTGCCAAACTGGGCGTTTGAGACACTTTGGTTACCTGCCCGACCATTGCGGGCATTTTTGGGTATCTTCGAGCAGTTCGGGGCAGAGTTCGAAATCTGAAAGAAAATGGCGACTGCCACTGCCAAGCGACTGCCAGCTTTTTTAAAATTGCAACTGCCACTGCTAAGTGACTGCCAAAATCGGCAGCTGCAAGTCGACTGCCAAAAGCTGCCAATTTCGATATTATTTTTAAAAATTTTTAAAGTCAAACTAAGATCAAAACAATCTTTTCGACAAGAAAAACATATAAAAGAGACGATATCTAAGACATAAATGTCTCTTTTGATTATAAAGATTGAATAATATAGGTCTCGGGAGTGAATTTGGATCATAAGCGTTGTTTTTGTGGTTCTAGAAAGAAAAATTTATAAAGAAATTAATATCTTTCGAAGTGGCAGTAGCTTGGCAGCTGCCAGTAACTGGCAGCCCTTGAAAAATTTAACTGCCACTGCCATGTGACTGCCGAAATTGGCAGTTGCCAGTGGCAGTCGTGGCCAACAAATTTCGAACTCTGGTTCGGGCACCTCGGCTCGGCCGGGCATTCGGACCTTGATTTTAACCGGGCATTCGGACGGCCAACCGACGATTTCTTGCCCGAATGGTCACCCCTGCTCGATGGGAAATGACTCATTTCAAATGAGATATGGGCCATATCATATGACGCGTTTTTAGGTTGGGAACTAATAATTTTTGACTGGAACAAGATCCAGGGGAGGTTAAGGGCGCAAAATGATGCTCAGAAAAATAAAAATTTCGCACCGCATTAGATTTTTCAATTTCGGTACCAGACTTCCGGTATTGAAATTCGGTACCAATTTTGTCGTCGTATCGGTACCAAACTAGTATCAAAAAATCTCCAGAAAATTTTATGAAGACTAGTACCAAAATATCAGTACCTCGTTACTTCCGGCCTGAATAAGCGGACCTTGATTTACCTCAAAATTGCCCAAAATCGACTAAAAACCGTGATTTTAGAGCGCTGTCAAATGAAAATAAGTACTTCCTCCAGCTAGCTTTTGGTACTAGTCTTCATGAAATTTTCTGGAGATTTTTTTGGTACTAGTTTGGTACCGATACGACGACAAAATTGGTACCGAATTTCAATAACGGAAGTCTGGTACCGAAATTGAAAAATCTTATGCGGTGCGAAATTTTTATTTTTCTGAGCATCATTTTGCGCCCTTAACCTCCCCTGGATCTTGTTCCAGTCAAAAGTTATTAGTTCCCAACCTAAAAACGCGTCTATGGCGGTCATCTTCGATTCTAGATAAGCCCTGTTCATAAATATCCTTCTGACCATTCAAAATTTATTCTATTAAACTTACAATAAGAACGGCTGGTGACAACGTGTTTTCCAGTAACCAGCTTGCTAACTAGTCAATCCTTGGTATTATCAAGAATTAGACCCACCATTAGACTCGTCTTGACAAGACGGAGAAAATTTGAATTTATACTATAAATTTTATAGCAAGGCTTTTCGCGCAAAAAGAGCATCAAAAATGCCCCTTTCCAACTCATTTATTAAGAATCCTCCGAATTTCGAAGCCGCTTGCTTTACAAAAATTTAAGCGAAAATTTGGGAATTTTGCGAAGCGAATTCTGCTCTCCAGTACGAAGCGAAGCGAAAGCGAATTCGCTTGGCGGTATAAAAAAAATTATACCGAAACATAAATTTGAGAAAAATTGAAATCTGAAAAATTGTCTCGGAGGGGGTCGCAGAGAATACTTTTCATGTCAATATGGTCAATTTTGGTTTTCGAATATTTTTCGCTTCAAAATTCCTTACTTGGTAAAATTCCTTACTTGGTAAAATTCCTTACTTGGTAAAATTCCTTACTTGGTAAAGAAAAAATTTTACCAAGTAAGGAATTTTACCATGTAAGGAATTTTACCAAGTAAGGAATTTTACCAAGTAAGGAAACCCCGGTTCACTCGTATTCGTGATCGAAATGGTCGACTGAGCACCACAAGTAGAAAAGGTATGTATAAAACTAATCGATTACTAACGAATTCTTGCAAGAGGCAAATGTATCTGAAGCCCTTGGCGCTAAACTAGAACGAATCGAGGCACAAAGAAATCGCGTGTACCAGAATTACTGATTTATTATTCCACATTTTGAATAAATACATGCGATATTAAATAGTTAGGTCTTAGCACAGAAAAAGGAAGCTCAGTATTAATTTGAAGAATATACAGACTACAACAGTGAGAAACGCAGGTAAATGAGATTATTCTAAACTTCTATACTCAAATCAGAAGCAGCACCAGTCGCTTTCATGAGTTTTTCTTCCGCATCCATTCTCGGTTTCTCCGTCCTTGTATGCCAAACAAGCACGTCTCGACAATTGTTAGCTAAGCCGACAGCGTTCGTTCTGTCCAGTCCGAGTTCGGTGAGAATATGACTCTCTTGGTATCCACGAGGGACGCGCTGCTTGAAACGAGCTTCGGGCGAGCCGAGGAAGTTCTCGAGACGGACTGCAAAACCCGCCATGTCGATTGGAAACGGACGGTCTGGTTTCCACGCTGTAAACCAACTTGTTACTTCTCCGTTGCTACAGACGGGTCCTAGAAATAAGATGAGATTGAGAATGATTTTTACTTTTTACCTTCATATCGTAATTTTCCGACAATTCCGACGGGCCAGACTCCAACTTGATCTTCTTCGATTTTTCGAATCTCGTCGAAAATTCTGATGTCGTACGTATTGTCATCGTCGAGAAAATAGACATATCCTTCCGGACTTTCTTGATAATGCTTGATGAGAAATTCTATCGCTGCGTTTCGTTGCTGCACTCCTCGAGGTTTTAGCCAGCTTGGATCGTCGGATGCCAGTTTGTCCATTGGCGGCGTTTTCATGTTCAAATGCGTCACCTTCAAACTTTCATAAGATATGAAAAAGGGCTGAAATCAAACCTGAATGTCAGTAGGAATTCTTTCGATAAATTTCGTTATAAGTTCTGTTTTCTCGTCGTGGTCTTCAATAATTATCCAGTGGAGACTCTCCACATGCATCAGCGTGTACAAAAGCCTTGTCATGTCCGCTTTTTGCGTGAATCTGGCGTACGTAGGAGTGATGAGATAAATTGGCTCTGGTTCTTGAGATTCTTCGGAATCATGGGAAGCTCCGCGGGAGGTGCAGCCTTTCTTTAGCTTCTTGATTTCCTAATCCACAAAAAATGATCATACTTCTTTCCACCAAAAGCTTACCTTGTGAAGTTTACGATTTTGTCTGACAAAAGATTCTTCTGTTTTCCATTCAGAGGAAAGAAGATAAAAGATGAATAAAGTGCAGAAAATCGCATAAACTTTAATATAAGAAATTCTTCTGAAGCCCATCGTTTTCTATTTCCTTCTTTTGTTCTATTTTTGTTCTCTATGTTCAGACAAAAATCATCTTAGATAAAATCGGCCGTAATCCCTTTTTTTGCGAGAACGAGCGTTAAAAAAGATTGGAGAGCGAAAATTCTGATTCGCCCGCAGCGCGGGCAAAAAAAGAAAATTGCGAAAAAGTAGGGCTCGTCCGGGATTTGAACCCGGGACCACTCGCACCCTAAGCGAGTATCATACCCCTAGACCAACGAGCCAGCTGGAGGAGGCCCAGAATGGATAATCTATCAATAAAGTACTTTATAAATCGCTGGGAAGACGAGTCTGACTCATTTTGCTCATTATTTCTTTTCTGGTTCCTCTGATCGAATTATTTTTTGATTTTATACAGTAGGGAAAGACTGTTATCGCGACTGTCCGATCGAAAGCGAAAAGAGCCAATCGAAAAACGCGGCGGCAAATGAGAATCTAGAAACGGCAATTTTTCTTCCCGCGGAAATAGCAAAAAAAAAAGAGAAAATGAAAATTAAATTTCTTGAGCGATAGAAGTGAATAAAATTTAAAAAATGGAGAATCTGGATACTCGTTTCGACATTCTTCTCCGGTTCATGCCGATGATGGACCCTCAAATTCTTCACAAGACTGGTCATTTCACTCCGATTCTACAGGAATGTTTGGGATTGCCAGGATCGAAGGAGATTCTTGCGTCTTTTGGGATCGATAAGCTCCTTGCAATACGAGCCACGACAAGAATTTCTATTACAGGTAAATACCCCGCGTTTCCTTTTTTCTAGAGCACTTTTTGCATATTTGCTTTTACAAAAAATTACGGTTAGTTACAATTTTTCAGGAATCAACTGCCACACGAACAAAACGCAAGATGATCGCCATGCTGAAAAACGGGAACGCGACCAATTTGCGAAACTTCTCCTCGATCTTCGACCTCCTTCTCCGAAGCTCGCTGAAGTGCTGCTCCAGCTACGCTACTTTCAGCAAGAGCTTTTCAATGGCTACTTGATCAAGCAGATTCCAGACTCGTACATACAGGGGAGTCTGCCGCCGATGTTCACTCAACTGCAGTCTCTTAGTTCAACGAAAGAAGGAAGAGACGCGATGCGTTCTGCTGGCTTTGGGCCACTTTTAGGAATGGCTCGAAAAAGCCTTTTGACTCATTTTATAATAAAAATATAACAACAATTTTTTCGAATCTTTTAAAAGCTGATATTGGAACTCTCGGATGTCTTCTATTTCTCATCGCTCCTGGCGCCACTTGCTCAGCTTATTCCTTTTCCAAGCAGCTTTTTATATCCTCGCTCACAATCCTCACGAATCTAATGGTCGGCTGCTCCGATACGAAAACCTACGTCTCGTCTTCTAGTGCTCTCTTATCGCATCTGGCTGATGTCATTTCTCAGAAAATCAAACCCGTTGAGCCAGAGCATCAACTTCTCGTTCTAATTTCGACTTTTGTTAAGAATACGCACTTTTCTGGAGCTCCTGGTCTTCCTCTCTCCCTCGCCCATGCTTTGAAGGAAGCAAGAAGGTCAACTGGAAGAAGAAACGTCAAAGAAGCGCTCTCTTTTGCTCTATGGACTGCCTCTGCTTCAGCTACAGTTGCATCATCTCTTTCAAGCGATATTGGCTTTCTTCAGAGCATCGTTGCTTCTCTGGACGCACCATCGAACGATTCAGAAGGACTCACGGGTATTCTTGCCAACTGCGTCCCCCAAAGACACGTCGATCCAGGAATTCTAGAGCCTTGTGTTCAAACGCTCCTCAAACTAACAAAGGGTTCCGATACGACAGTCAGGCACTGTCTAAGAATCTTCAAGATTCTAGTAACATCTGAGCGTGGCGCAGAAATTTTGATAAAAGACAGAAGAGACCTCTATTTGCGACAACTCTTGAACCATTCGAATCAGCAGATTGTGGCAGAAGCAAGCGATGTGTACCACAAGCTTGAGTCAAAGAAAGCTCCAAACGATGTTGGCTTCCAGTGGAAAATGGCAAATCCGCCAAATAGCATGCAGCACGCGCCGTACGCTCCGCAAACGATGAAAGCGCACCATCAGCAGCACATCCATCCAACGAATGCGCCAAATTATTACTCTGATGATCACGATCGACCTTATGATTTTACGCAACAAAGCAACCAAAAGCAAAATCCCTTCCCTTCTTATCAGCCAATCTACACCGATCTGCCTAAAAATCCGTTGTATCCCCGCCCAACCGAATCTGATAAAGCGGACTCGCCTTTCGACTACACTAAAATCAATCAAGACCAGCCGAAAGTTTACAACGTTGAAAATACGCCAAATCACGGGGCAAGTATTTCTCCAAAATTACGACGTTCACCGACACTAGAATCGCATGCAACGCCGAAGGATGATAAGAAAATGTCTGGGAAAAGTTCAACTACACAATCTGGAATGGTGTCTGGCTACACTTCCGGGATGGCTTCAGGTCTGCAATCTGGAGCAAGAACGCCAGCGTATTGTCAAGACACTCCGCTCATGTTCTCTCGACATTCTCCAGCTTCAGCAAGTTCAATTGAATCAGTTGAAATGCCAGCGAACGCATCTGATTCTGAGCCGGGCTCAAGATTAGCGTCTGGCCAAGTTAGTCCTTCTGATATTCCAGACTCTCCTGGCCAGCACATCGAGAGGATCAACCTTGAACGCGAACAAGCAGCACGGGCCGAGTCCGCGAACTCTCAAAACCCACCACCATCGTTTGGCAAGCCTCTTTACCCTCCGACAATATCAAAGCCTCCATTGTATGCAAATCCAGCACCGATGCCCCTATCTCAAAACACTTTCCCTTCACACTCGCAGGCTCCAAAGACGAATACATTCCCCGCACCAACTTCACAACCCATGTTTCCCAATTCTGCGCAGCCGCAATCAAGTCAGCCCATTCCATTCGCCGTTTCGCAACCTTCACAGCAGCCATTTTACAACACGAATATGTCTTATCCGCAACAAAACATGTCTTATCAACCGTTTCCTTTTCCAACCGCAAATTTTGGAAGCGCTGATATGGATGACGGCCCTGTAGCATTCAATGACGAAGGATCAATGTCTCCGCGCTCAAAACTGTCTGATTTGACAATTGATTCCAAATCGGAAATCAGCAAGGGCTCCGCCAAATCTAAAGAGCAGCCTCTACGGGAGCACGATGAAACTCTAGATGGAGAAAAAGCTTCTGGGATCATCACGACAATACAGTCATTGATCGAGAAGAAGGTTCTGGCGACGAAGAATATGAAGAAGATAGTTTTATGAAAGATCTGTACAGTCTCGGAGCGCCGAAGAAAAACAAGCCAAAAATGAAGCAATCGGCAAAAACTCGTTCAACACTCGATCCCAATATCGACGTCATAAAATACATCGATAAGAAAGTGAACGAAGCACCGGCTGTAATCTCGCAAAATGAACCAGTGTCTTCTGGAGTGCGCCCATCCACAGACACAGGATCTTCGTCGCATCAGACTCCGCCGATTTTCACCAGTGCCCCAACATCTGTGAATTCTGCTCCGCCATTTATGTACGCAGCCGTTGGATCATCCTGTATGGACGACGCCCCCAAAGCCTTCAATACAGGTTTGACCACATTTTTCTTCAATTTCTAACTTTTCTTATAGAGGGAACTCCTGCAAATCTCTCGACTAGGACTTCGTTCTCCAATATAACCATCGAAAGCGGTCTTTCAGGAGTCACCAGGGACATGAACTCTATGAAAATAACGAACAACGTAATGAGCAGCCAAACTCCGCCTGTCAAGGAAGAAACATCAGCGCCTCCTGCACTTTTCTTTCAACCGCCCATGCAATCTCAGCCGGGCAATATCCCACTAAGCAACGCAGTAATCGAAAACACCGACCAAGTGAAGGTTTTTCCGATGGTAGAGGACACGCCACATCAAGGACATTCCAGAACCTCGAGCAACACAAGCCTTGTTGATTCAAATGGTAATGATTTTATTATTTTATTTCTTAAGTTTCGTTTTAGAAGACGGGTCTTCGATCGATCTCGACGAGTTAGCAGAACTTGGAATGCCTAAAAACTCCGAATCTCGTACTGGCGATGTCATTTCTCCGATAGATCCGCCTTATTTCGATCCACCAGTTCAGCGTAGTCCAAAGAAACCAGCTCCAGCCTTCAGTACTGGGTCTCTTCCAATCGTTTCTCCCAGTAAATCAAAGTAAGGAGCCTTCTATGTTTTCAATATCTGATTATGTTTTCAGAAAACCGTCGAAAGCCGCGTCAGAAAGTGGAGCTATGATCACGCCAACGCGAATTCCCCGAGGTCGCCGGTCTGCTCGAAGGAGTTCGGGTTCAAGGAGTCACCGAAGCGGCTCGGATTCCCGTGAGGGCTACTCCCGAACTCCAAAGTCCGTTAGACCCATGTTTCCACCAGAAAAGTAATAATTTTTTCTAAGCCAAGAGGATAACAAAAATATTCAGAAGAATACAGCATCCAGTTCACAGTACTCCTCACACCCCGTCCGATCCGCAAAAGTCTTTTTCTCCAAAAGCAAAGCTCAAAGGATGGAAGGACAAAATTTTGCCAAAAGATAAGAAATCCAAAAATCCCGAATCGAAATCACCCAATTCTGACTCTGCAATTCTGTAAACTCCATGGACCTAAAAAATGTTCTTAATAATTCTATTTTTTCGAATGCTTACTTCAACGCTCATTATATAGAATGCTAAGAACTCCTTCAAGAGCTGAACTCGCATCACCGCCAAAATCATCGGAAGAAAGAGCGACGAAAAGAGACGTTGGGATTTGGAGAGCTTGCTTGTACCCAGCTGCTGTTATGCCATTAGTTTTAACAACAGTGATGAAGATGCGTAGTGCTAATAGAATGAACAACGCGCTTCATTTAAGTCGTCTTAGAAAAATCGGTGAGTCTTTGTGGATTATTCCGTCTTTATTCTAACGATGCCTAGGTCTTCCCTTATTCTTATCGACAGGTTTTATGGAAATGTGGGGCGACAACTACCTGCTTTCAAAAAAGATGCCAGAAGGCTTCTACAAGTTTCAATACGAATATATTGCGGCTAAGCACGGCTCGAAATTCTACCTGCCCGACGATGTCATTGAAAAATATTGGCGAGAAAACGAGCTTGAATTTGAATGGCGTTTCGAATGCAAGGCGTTATCTACGTTATCAAAGTACAAAGATCCAGCTCAACGAGAGAATATCCGCGAACTTCGAACAATAAAAGAACGCTATTCTATTGAGTCAAATTTTAACGAAGACTTTTGGCAGGAAAAGCTTGATTACTGGAACAATCGACCTCAACGTCTTAACTTTTTGAATATTTCCAAAGAGTACTTTTTTGGAGTTATAAATTATCATTTTTAGACTTAATTGATGTCGGAAGATCTTAACTTCGATCCTAATGAAGATGAAGAAGATTACAACCCAGAGAATTTTCGCGCTGTCGTCGAGCGAATGTTTGAGAACATGCATGGAATCGCGAGAATTGAACGATCTGGAGTGGTGTTAGGTAATTGTCGAAAATAAATGTGATACGTGAGGTGTAAGCTCCTCTCTTAGGAAATCGCGCCAGGCTTTCGGAGTTCAGACAGCGAACTTCTTCGGGCACCCAGCAAAGACCCCGAAGGCAGCGCGTGCGTCGCGCAAGGCACAACACAGAGCCAACATCGAGGAATTCTGATGATTCAGGTAAATCCATGATACACTCGTTTATTTGAGCGTTTGATTTTATGTCTTCCTCCGAGAGAATCAAGTTCCTCAAATGAGAAATTCAGACAACGAAACGAATAACTTTGACTGGGCGATCGCGGCGAAGCACAAGTATTTATCGGTATCGGAAGATGTTTTTGCCAGAAAGACGCTTTTCCCGGCAAATGAAATTATCACTTTGCCGGTTATGACGTATGGTCCACAGGATTTAGTCCTTTTTCCTGGTCAAGATGTACCGATCAATGCTGTTTATCCTTCCACAAAAGCCTTACTGAGCGCTGTCTTGAAAGTAAGTCTTGTAATTAGTTGGATTCTCTCTTTCAGTCAAAATTTTAGAGCGACTCAAAGTTGATGGGTTACTTCATCGACATCTCCGAAATCGACTCCAAAGATATCCCAGTCTATGAACCGAATCAAACCACAGGAAAAATCTGCATAGGATGTTCAATGCGCGTCCGCCACAAGACAGAAGAATCTCCCGATGATCGCCAGAATTTCCACGTTTCTGTAGTCGCTGAGTGTCTCCAGCGTTTCGTTGTTCAAAAGACCTGGAGCTCGGTTCGTCATGGAGAAAGCTACGATGCCGACGAAGTCGGATACACGATGGCCCAAGTGCGCATTTTGCCTGAAGTAAACTCTTCCGCTCCTTTTGGTTCCGTTCAGAATAAACATAAAGCTCGTCTAACACTCGGAAATCACACGAAACCTTATCTACAGAGTCTTCTCTATCCCACTACTCGTCTTCCGCGGCACCTCATCGACAAAATGGACCCTTTCCAGCGTCAACAACGAATCGTCAAATGGCTTCAAGATTGGTGCAAGTTACCGAATGATTCAGAAAACAACAAGCAGCTAATTCCAACAAACCCCAGAGAACTCTCTTACTGGGCGGCTCAGCAAGTTCCAGCTAATCGTGAATTCAAAATTACCTACCTTGCCCAACATTCTCCTCAAGCTCGTTTAGAGGTAAAATCGTCAATTTCAATGGAAATTTCATTTTTTGTAGCTTCTCGAGCAACACCTCAATAATTTTTCGGTTTTCCTTGGTTGCCAAAGATGTCAAAATCGTCTTTCAAGCAAAAAATATGTTTTCGTCATGAGTTCCAGTGGCGTCAGTGGAAATTATGTGAACCCGCATGGATATGCACATCATATGATGACCCTGCGAGAATGCTACCAGTCAAATATACAATATCAAGGACCACCTTCTGAAGAATACAGGTAAACATTTTATTACTGATACTAATATAATATATTATATAAACAAAAAATTAACAAACAATTTTTCAGCTGGTTTCCCGGATATTCTTGGCAAGTGATCGTGTGCTCGACATGCTACAATCATATCGGCTGGGAATTCGTAGCAGTAGACAATGATCTCAGACCGCGTCGTTTCTTCGGTCTTTCTCTTAAAAGCATAACTACTCATTTCGTCGGCGATTCAAGACACATTGAGTACTCTGGAGATAGTGACGAGGACAACTGGAGCGACTATGACGATTCATACGGTGAAGGGGATGTCTGGAGCGATCGGCCGGATCAAGTCGATATTTTTGCTCATTTGCGGACTTAAAAACTTTTCTATTTTTATATCTCTGCATCTATTCAAAATAAAGTATAGTTCAAATTCAAAATTCCAAGTAGAAAATACAATCGTATTCATACTTTCTTTGAATCAGAATGCAACGAGTCACGGACGTATTTCGGGCAATTCGAAACTCGGTCAAATATGGCGGGCAAAAGACAAAGGAGCAGAAGCATTTTGAAAAGTCACTGCCACCAGAAGAGTTGGGCGCTTATATTAAGTATCAAAAAGCAGAAAGGGCAAAACAGAGGTAGGTTCCTTTCCTTTGAATTATGGTTGACAGTGAAGTCCAGTGGATTCGATTGGAACTCTGTTGGCTTTTCGATGCTTTATAATCGAGAGCGAGGCTCACTCGCCTGGGCGAAGAACAACATCGATCCATCGGGAAAAACTAAAGCCAAATTTGTGAATCAGAAACTGTTCTCTGAAACTGCTGCGAGAAGAGAACGCATTTTGTATACTTTCCGAGATATAAATGATTTGGAGTGGTGGGACATGATGACTGACGAGAATATCGAGGGCTTTTCTAAGTGTAAGATGACGATGAATGAAACTGGCACTGGTGTCATGTGGTATGGTCACTTGGATACGAGAGTTCCGGATATTGACTGGGGAAGACTTTCGATGTGGAAATCCTTCGCGATGCTGTACACAAAAACGTGGGAAAGAGACTACGGTCGTCCTGATAAACTGAATCTCATCGAATACAATTGTTTCGAATTCCGCATCCGAGGTGATGGTCGTCGATACGAGTTTGACGTCCATGGCAATCGAGTTTTCGAACAGTCAACTTCCATGTGGTCTACTCCAATTCATACAAAAGGCGGATACGAATGGGAGACGATCCGAGTTCCATTCTACCATTTTTATCAGCAGCATAAAGACGCAAAAGTGCGAGATCAAACTTATCTTGCCGTGGAAGGTATCTGGGGTTTCCGCTTTCGACTTCAGGACGATGTTCCTGGACCGTTTAAATTGGAGATTGATTATGTCGGCGTGGCCTATGACTTCGAATTCAAGACATTCTCTAATGACCGTAAGCTTACATGGCTAGTAAAGTTCGTGAAGAATTTTTATAGACTACGAACAAGTGATGGAGCAAATGCTCGGAACTCAAGAGAAGTTTTACACGAATACACAGTCAATTCAAAACCACTTTTTCCATGATCCTTACAGAGCGACGCTTAGAAGGACGACAAATGTCAATAACGATACCACTGCAACTCGTCAAGAAACTCTATATGGTGGCCATGGAACTTTACACTGAGCTTTTTGTCACAATATTTTGTTATGTTGGCTTTTCGATTCTTCAGAAAACTTATATTTTTTATAATTATTTTAGACATATGTTTCGTCGAAAGTTATACGCCCTTGGTCATCCGAATCCCGAAGGAAATTACCAAGAAGAATCAAAACAAAAGAGCCTTGTGATCTGGCTTGAAGGACAGTTTATCAACGCATACAAGTAAGGCTGAATTCCTGTCGTTTCATCTACAACTTTATATTTAAAGGCCAGAGGACAGAGCCTGCTTGAAAGAAGTCAACTCTGCAGATTGGGAGAATGATTTTAAGAATTATTTGAATCATGTTGAGTGTCCCTTTACTGACAATTTGAAATATCAGATTGAGTGGCTACTTGGAAAAGCTATCCAGGTTTAGAACTATGCGCTTCCATGTTTTATGAAATATTTCAAAGGCGAAATATCAGGAAGATCAAAGCTATGCAACATACAAACCAGATCAACAAAGAAAAACTGCAGTCCCACACGAGTTCAGAGAGGGACTAGCTCAGATGGCCAAGAAACTACAAGTACAGGTCTACCAAGATGATCTAGTTGTCAGCCTAGAGGCCTGCAGGCTAGTCGTTGAGGCAGTTGTTACGGTAAGCATAATCTAAGGTTTGCTCATTGAGCTTTATTTATAGAGCCGCGAAAATGACCTCGAAAAACTACGTGGAAGGATGCTTCCAAAAGACAAAATTCCACTGGGTTTCGACCTCGGCGATAAGGCACTCAACGAAGCAGCTCTTGTCCTTAGACTCCTACACATTGAACAGTTGCGAAAGCTCCAAACTGATGCCAATAGAGCTTTAGTCAAAATTCAACAACTCACTGCAAATCCAATTACTGATACGAACCTTGGCCAAGTCGGTCGAGGTTGATAAGTTCATTTAGTCTCATTTAAATGCTGTACACGGATAGATAGAATAGAAATTGAACTCATTTATGCAGATTCTCTTGCACTTTTGTGTCAATAGTACAAGATTCTAAAATTGTTCACAGATATGAAAATAAGAACTTGACAGAGCAAAACGTACTCGTGAGGAGTCAGAAAATTCTCGGCTTCTGGGTGGATTCGCATCACCATGATCGGATGATCCGCGATTTTGAACTGCTTGCACATTGACTTTTGTCGCCTGAAAATTTATTTTTGATTTGACATTACAGTACTACTTACGCGAAATCATTTGATCTTTTCACTGGGTCTCTTTCCATCAAAATATCGTCAAGTTTACTTTCAACTGCGTCTTTCCACGTGTCCTTGGTAATTCTGGCAATTACCTTCTTCATCGGCAATAGATAGACGCAGAACTTCTGAGTAAACTTAAGCCTGACCGTCTTTTTGACCTTTTCTTTGAGTGAAGGCTGTCTGATCATTATTTCGAAGACGTGCTTTTTGTCGGCATAGGCATCGTAGATGGAGTAGCCTTTGAAGCTTTGTCGCTGGAGAATTTTAGCGCGAAGACTGTAGTGATTCAATATAAAGGTTACTCTTGAAAGATCTCGTAGTTAAGCATTTTGAAGCTGGAGCAACTTTCAATAAAGATATGAAAAGAATCGCTCGAAGTTTTTTGCCTAAATTTTCGCCATATCTTTGCATATAAGTCAGCTCTTCTCAGGCCAAACGGAACCCAAGGCCAAGCGAATCTCTTCGGTCGATTGAGTCGTGCAATTCTCTCGCCCGTACAGTCAAATTGGTGGATATTCATGTGGGTGCAGGTATTTCCGATGCAACAACAGAGCACTTTACTAAAAATCAACGAATATGGTGAGAATAAAATTTCTTACTACCTGCAACTTGTTTCTTTGAACTTTAAGTAATAAATTCCTTGCCCGACGTCATTCAAGATACAATAGCTGTTTCGGTTTTCATTCAGAAATTTATGCGGTGTTACTGGACTGTCGATAACATGAGACCTACAAAGGTACAGACACGAAGTTCCTATGAGATTATCGATTGAAGGCTGGCCGGCTGAAAATATTCCTTTCGTAATGGAGTCGATTAATAGCTTCAACCTTTATAAAACTTATCAATATCGTAATTCTCGAAACGAACTGGGAGCGGTGTGATCATTAATCGTGGAGGTTCGTCTTTATGATCAGCACTTGTTCTACTTTCATTCTCACAGTTATCTTGACAAATTGTTTGCTTGATATAGATTTTTTTTAGATCAAGACTTTTCCTGGCTATCAAAGACAGTACTATTTGATGATTCGAACTCTGTAAGTTCAATATCAATATCCGTTGCTGACATAACTACGCGAGTTCGTGGATGATTTATTTATTCGGCAGATTATTCTAGAGACAAGAAAGTTAGGGGACAGGATGAAATTCTTTGTCGTGGAGGAAGATTTCGTTCTGGCAGGTAGTGAGTTTTGATTGGAGTTCTCCTTCCTGTTCGCGGAGCTTACGATTCTGGCCACGAAAGAAGACAATGTCGCGCTGACGGGAGTCGACTTGCTGTTGTTTGTGCCTGGCAAGCGAAGAGAATCGGTCCACTTCATTCTGGAGGAGCTTGAGTTGAAAGGCGAGGAGTACAATTACCGCAAGAAGAATCCCGACGAAGATGATGGACAGGAACATGAGAGTTAGGCGATGATGTGACTTCTTGGACGGAGGTTGGATATCTTCGTTGCATGCTGGACGAGTTGCATCAATGTATTTGGTCGTAACCAGCGTCACATCATCCGTAATCTGGACTGATTCTTCTTCAGCGATGCTGTTCCGCAATTCTTGTGAATCCGATGTTGTTTCGCTCTGAGTCTGCGATGATGTCTCCATCTTGATCAGAAGATCTTCGTTAGAGTGGAGGACGCCATCGTTGAGGAAATGCATGGTTGATTTTCGAAAGCTGTCCAAAGCCGAGTCGCCTTCATCAGAAGTGTGCAATCTGGATGTAGGAGGAGCTCGGGGTGTTGGCGGAATGATCGTCGTGCAGAAACCAGAGTTTTCTCTCGGATAGGGAGAAAATGACTCAGATGAGGTGCTAATCGTAGACAGTTTGTCGGTTATTCTGGAGAGTGATGCTGTCGATGTTGGGTTGCTTTTATCGCTCTGGAATTCTTCTGAAGAGTAGTCGGTCGTTTCGTCTGGCATCTGATGACTAAGCTGAGTCCCTTGACAGAATGCATGCATTCCAGAGTGTTCGACGTTGGAGAAGTCGAAAATATCGGTGCTGTTTGCTCGCATTGTTGAGGCTTTTCTTGATTGAGTTATTCGATTGTTTCTGAGAAACTGAATAGAAATCAAGATTTTATGGCGAAATCACGGTAAAGGTGGCGCAATTCCACGAAAAAACTCGGTGGGAGAGCGCATAAGGGAGTTTTTTGAACCGAGCAGTAGATAGCCATCATGGTCTCATTAGTATTCGAACCTCGTTATAACAATGCGGTTGCGTCAATAGTTTTGGAAAGCTCTAGTTGGATAATACGCTCAACGCGTAATGTTGCGCCCTTTGAACACAATAATATTTCCTGTTTTACTACTGTTAAATTAATAATGAATTAAATAATGAAGCAATTGGCGTTGATACGATTTAAAATATAAATAGGACACATTCCGCTTTATCCAATTCGACAAGAAAATGAAATATGTAGGTAAGGATCAAAGAAAGGCGATATCATCGATTTCGTGACGCATGGAACGAGGCGGACCGACTTAGGGCGCCCTCCACTTTCACGGCATTCTCCTTTTTAGGTCTTCATCAAAAACCACTTGGACTTGAGACAGAGAATCTTGAAGAGTCTTTCAACTCCTAAACATAATGGAGAAAGTCCCACTAGATGGAAAACGTCGTGAGTATCTTCATTTCTTCACCTTACTAAGCTTCACTACGAATATTTTTAAAACATTAAACAGCATCGCGCCAAATATTAGCATGATATTTTTAATAGGTTATCAATTGCTGATAAGGAATAAGCTGATTGAACTTTTTATGATGATTATTTCCTAAATATCAAAATAATGGATAGTTATGTTTATTTGGCCACTACCTTTTGGTATATCTTTTGCGGAGAAAATCGATTTATTTTTTTGAAAAACGGCCAAAAATTAGATTGGACTATCCTCACGAAAGGGTTCTGGTTGACCTCAAATGAAGAGACACCTCTCGAGACAGAGTGGCGTGATCAGTAAGCCTTCGTTAATCAGTCTTCTGAGTAAATCAAAGCTTGAAATACAAATCTAGGGATAAATTCTTAAGCTCTTCAGTGTTTTTTCACGGGTATTTTAGAGAATATCTTGATCCCTTCATACGGTGGTTTACTCCGCGTATTAGAATGGGAGAAACGAGTAAAGTAAGGCCAAAAATAAAGGGTAAGTATAGAACTAGAATTTTTTATGTCAAATTATAGATAAACTTGTACTTTACTTTTGATGTCTGTGTAAACAAAATCCAATAATGATTAAAAGCAACCAAAGTAACCAGTTTCATAAGAGTTTGACGATATCTGGGATGAACTGCCTCATGGAGGAAGATATCAAATCAAGGAAGTGGTTTTATTCACCTAAAAATCCCAAGTTGCGGTGCATCTGCGCCGCGTTGGGCTCTTCTAAAATATTCATGGGGTCAGCAAGGTCCAATGTTTAACATTGAATGTTGGCACTTGACAAGTGCAAAATCGAAGAAAATCTCTTGACCACTTAACAGCTCGTTGTTTTCTCCAGTTATATGACTCTCATCATGGGTCTATCTGCGATGTATCCGGTCTTCGCACAGTACTCGCCGAAACATCACTGTCGAACAAGCCTGGATGACCTCACCTTTCTTTCTCTTGACCAAATTCACGATCTTAGCACAAAATTACAAGGAAACTGTGCTTCAACAACAAAATCAGGATGTGAAAAATGCTCTTACCCGGAAGAAATTGTCAGTTCCTGCATAAATCAGGTATGTATCTAAAGATTCATGCCCTGCAATTTTTTGTAGAAAAACATCAATTTCGCGAGAATTAGACTTTGACTATCATTTTTGGACGTTGAATCGTATATTTATTCTGTTCTTATTTTAATATATGATTAAATGGATATTTTAACAGGCTGTTTGATTTGGATGACTATCGGAAACTTGGCCAAATGGGTAACTAAAAGGGGCAAGGCTTTTTTTGCTTTAGACCTCAACTACTTCATTCTCGAACTCGACCTCAGATGATATATTCAATTGCTTGACTTCCAACAAAATCAACGGCTCATTGGAAACATGCGGTGCTGATGGCAACGTGTTTCTTCAACATGGATTGAACGCTTCTTCAGACTCGTGGGAATCAGGTTTTTATAGAACCATGCATTGACGTAGAATAATTCTGTCTCAGCCGTCACCCAATTCGACCTTGTCTGTGAGAAAGAAATTCTGAACACCTACATGATCTCAGCGGGTTCTGTTGGATTCTTTATCGGCTCCCTTCTTGCCGGGGTTCACTGCGACACATTTGGACGAAAAAATGCAATCATGGTGCACACTTTGACGACCACATTTTCTTTCGCTGCACAAGCGCTCATTGGTAAATTAATTAAAATTGAGTTTTCAATATTCAACAAAATATTTCAAGTGAATCAATACGCCTTTCTGGTGCTGAGAACTCTAGCTGCAACCTTTAGCGTAAGTTTTTGGACAGTGCTTATAGATAGAGAAGACTTTCCTAGGTTATTGGGTTCCTTTCCGCTCTCACATATGGCGTCGAAATCTTGGGCCCCAGCCGGCGCAGTTTACCGAGTACGATCCTGTGCTTCATGTTCGCAGGCGGTTGCGCTGGCATCTCCGTCATATCGTTCTATCTACCAGACTGGCAAAATTTGACCTTGGGCATAGCCGCTCTCTCAGCCTTCAACATCATATTTCGTGAGTCAAAAATTGGAGTTTATGAGAATGTAATTGAAATTTCAAGTTCCATTTCTGCCCGAATCACCCCGATTTCTTGTAACGAAAGGGCGTTACGAAGAAGCTCAAGCTATTTTGGATAGATTTGCGATTGAAGCTTCCGATCAAGATGGCGAGCCTCTAATTGCTCCGGACATATCCCTTTTCGTAATTGAAAAGCCACCGAAAGCACCTCCAATTACTGACATCCTGTTCTCAAAGTTTTTTGGCAAAGGTTGATCAACGAGAATCTTCCATTTTTAAAACCAATTAAGTTTTTATCCTTACAAGTATGGCATACTTCGTCGTCAACATGGTGTATTACGGCTTCGGATATGGAGTCAATAACTTGTCTGGAAGCATCTATGTGAATAACGCAATCAATGGGGCCCTTGAAGCAGCTGCTTATGGTTTTACCGCGCCGATCACTGACGTATTTGGCCGAAGAAAATCTATCGTAGGAAAGATTTCATTTTTTGCAGTTTTTTCCTCTTCCATCAGAATCAAAAGATTTATTAAAAAGTAACTTTCGATTGAAATCTACGCAAAGCTCTTTTTATATTATCTGGAGTCGCCTGTTTTGCACACATGGGTGTACTCTTGACCAGCATCAGCACCAATGTCGCCGCCTTTATTGGAAAGTTTGCGTCTTCAGCTGTATTCTGCGCACTATTCACATTTTCTGCGGAGCTTTTCCCGACTGAAGTGCGATCTATGGGTGTGAGCATAACGTCGATGATCGGTCGAATTGGATCGGTCGTAGCTCCATTTCTAAATATGCTTATCGATAAACCAGGAAAGGCTCTTTTATTGTTCTCTTCTATGATTTCAATTTGAGTGCGGCGGAGTAAAGAGCCTCGGAACAGGATTTGAGTGGGTTCCACACACCACTTTTGCAACTTTGTCAATCTTATCAGGATTTTTGCTTCTTTTTCTGCCAGAAACAAAATCGCTGCCACTTTTTCAAACTGTTGAAGAAGCTGAGGAATTTCATGCAAGTGAAAAGAAGAAGAGAAATATCCCCAACTAGGCTAATATTCATTACATCTGTTAATTTTTCCTGACGTTTGTTCTTGAAATAATATCAAAATACAATCTGACAGATACAGGTAAGTGTTCTTCTTATTATGGTAGGAAAAACATCAGCCTTCTCTCAATGTTAATTAGCTGATATTGCTTGATTTTGTCGGGGAGAAACGGAAAGAGCTCATGAGATTAGAGAGTATGGGTTCAGGCAAATCAGTATCAAAAAGAGTAAATAGTAGAGATCCGCCACCATAAACATAAAAAGGCCCTCACACAGAGAATATGTAAATTCTTGAGTCAAAGCATCCGGTTTCCATCCTGCTCTTAGAAAATGTAAGTCTTTGTTTAACAAATTTCTATCAGGAAATCATTTGAATAATTACTGATCTTCTTTATATAAATGGTTTATTAACAATAAGTCTTTACAAGTTGATGGTTATTTTTCAATATCAAGTTCGTCCTCGTTGTTTTCATCTTCGGAAGAGCTTGACGATTCTATCGCAGCATCGTCGGTTTCGGTCTTGACAAGAGACTGGCAGAATTGCTTCTTGACCATGTCCTGTAATCTCGAAAGCTCAGATAGAGTTGAGTTCAGTGTCGAAGGAGTTTGGTTTGTCAAGGCATTGCTTGCGGAGCCGGCGAGTCGCGATAGGGACAGAGTCGCTGTACTTGCTGATGTACTGCAAATCGCATCGTTTGCGTCTCGATCAGCATTGTGCTTTATTCGGATATGTCGATCCAGGTTCGTTTGCTGACCAAATCGTTTGCCACAGAAGTTGCAACCGAATGGTCGCTCGCCTCTGAAATGAATTATAAAACATCGCCAAGAAGAGAAAAAAGACAAACCTATGCACGTTTCGGATATGACGCCGGAGATTTGATGAGATTGAAAATCCTCTCGAGCAAATGTCGCAAACATAAGGCTGTTCTCCAGTGTGTGTTCGGAGGTGACGGACGAGATTAGCATTTCGCGGAAAATGCTTCTTGCAGTACGGACACGTGAATCGTCTGCATGCATCTCCGTGGCCAAGAGCTGCATCTGACGGATGGGAACACGAGTCTTTGAGGCCTAAAATATATTTTATACGAAGGTCAAAGACCGCTAGAAAAAAGTTAACGTGTGGTGAAGAGGGATACAAAAGCGCGTTGTAGCGATCAAAGGCGGTTCCTATTTGGCAAGGGCGCGGTGCGGAAATCATAATCACTCCCGCCGGAAATGATTTGTTTCACGATCCTTACTGTATTATTCATTTGGGGAAGTGGGTGAAATCATGGAAGAGTAGGTATTATACTTACGGCACAAGTGGTCGGCGTTTTCGGGCGTCCCGCGTGAGCTCCCGACTCCTGAGGTCTCAGAAGAATGCTCGCTTTTTTCTTGGATTGGATTCGGCCGGACAGTTGAAGGTGGCATAATTGGTACTGGGAGTTGTGTGGGAGTTTTCACGGATTCCGCGGAAACACGCCGCTAAATTTATTTGTTAAATTTTACTCAGCAAAATCGAATAGTACCTGAGCAGTTTCTATCCATCGCTGCCTTTGAATGAGAGGATTGACTGGAAGGGATGGATTCGGTAATGCAGGAGGGAGGCCAATCGGATAGTATTGAGCTAGAAAGTGAAGTATCAATATTTGAAACCAAGGGTTTTTTTTCTTGAAAGCCAATAATGGAGACATACCAGCTATATTCTGATGTTGTTGGCGAACTAACATTTCTGTTTGAACTCTTCTAATTTGGTTCATAGCCGCCATTTGAACCTAAAATAAAATAATTAGAAGATGTCTTATTGATAACAAAATAAATGCTATAAATTATTATTGCAGTGAAATTATGCTCCAATTTAAATCATTCTCTATTTCTCTATTTAAAAATCTAGACTTTTTCGAAAGAATTATATTTTAATAATCAAAAAGTTTTTACCTCTTGTTGCACAAGAGCCATACGAGCTTGAGCTGTTCGAATTGCCATAAGTTGTTGCTGCGCCATGAGCATTTGAGGGATCACTTTTAGAATAATAAGTTACAGTGATATAATAAATAAATCTTACCTTGATCCTGTGGTCGATCATTCGATAGTGTGTTCATCGTTTATTTTCTGTGAAAAACTGAAGAAAATTTTAAGCTCTGGTGAAAATTAAGATGAGGAACTCTGATGAGTTTCTTGGTAAGGCACTGGGACCAGGAGTCTAGAGAAAAAGTCGATGGTTTTTATCGAGCATCCGTCGCTCAAGATCGAAGGCAATGAGAGGAAGCTGTGATTTAAACCTCGCGTAATCTCTTTTGATCACCTCGAAAATATGCCTTCTTATCGATAATTACGCGAAGGAAGGGTTCATAAGCGTCAGGCATTGTTTGGTTTGGAAGATCGGCAAAAATAGAAATGCACTTCGAAGATGCCCGTAAACAGTGCTTGGTTCTATCTTTCTTGCGCAAAGACTGTTCACCTGGCGCGATTATCCCTACTCTATTGGCACAGCGGAGACGGATCTGGACATGGAACGTATCAATCTCAAAACCCGATGAGAAGAAAAAGAACTCTTGAGCCCCGTGGCTCAAGGTCAGCTCTAAAGTCCAACGATCTTCATTTACAAAATGTTTTTAATGCAAAGTTAATCATGAAAACTCTTATTAGAAATATCCAGGTGGCGCTGTCCTGGTCAATCGGCTTCCAGTGCCGATGCGCCCTGCTTCGCTCGTGAAGACTAATCCCTCGCGAGTGGGAAACAAAGGACTTCCCCTTTATGCAAAGTATGTGATAGAGTGGTGCAGATTTTTATTGAGAATTGGAATTGATTGCCATAAGTACGCGCGCCTAAATCCTTTCAACTTCTTGGCACACAGTTGGATCTTGAGCAACAGGCGACATGTGCGAAAGATTTTCTTTGTTTCCGAAACATATTGAACCAACTAATTTACGAACGAAAATGTGCGAAACGAGCTCAAGAAATTGATAAACACTGAAAAGCTTAATTGACTCAAAAAGTAGGTATTTTTCAAAAGTTCCTTTCAAGTTTTATTTCGAATTCTACCATCTGGCTTACAAATAGGGATGAGTTAAAATTTGCATTTCATAACAAAGATGAAACGGCGCTTTCTGTAGAACTGACTCTGGAATTGTATTCTCGTCATTGTTTGGAGCAAAACACATATTGCGCCTATCCTCTCCTCGCGGGAGCATCTGCGCGCGCCAGGTCACGGGGATCAAAGAAAGGTGCAAATATAATTACGAGGCGCATTTTCAATATAAACTGGAAGAATGCGAAAAAACACATTTTATTTTGGCGGCCCCCTTCCTAACGCAATTAGGCCTAATCAGCGCCAAGCTCGCGGAAGTGCTTTTTTAACATAAATTGGGGAAAATAATCGTAAATACTCCGGAGCGCGTCACTGAAAGTCCAAAAAGCGGCTTGTTTGGTAAAGCGAAGATTAACCGGAAAATCTTTTTTAAGATTGCGACATCAATCCTTCTTTTCGAAAACTTCTTACGTGTGAACTTAACAAGACCAGAGCTAAGTTATGGTCAGTAACTTATGTGAAGTTCCTTACATCAATCAATGAGAATATGAAAAGGATCGAAAATCCCTATTTCAAGCAGACGATTATCATCATGCTTGAACTCATCTGTATACAGTATCGATCGAAAAAGCTGTTGGTAGTACTCGAAATCATTAATTGTTTGCGGTAAACTCGTAAAATGACATTAGTGACTAGATAATTCCGCTCGGTGGGCCAGTGAGTGCCCGTCAATGGTTCAACTTCTGACGGTTGCAGCCTGCAGGTGTGTTTTCTGCAAAAGAGACTATCGACTATTTCCAAACTGAGATAGGCCAGATGCAACAAACAAAACTGTAAAAGATGCTTTCAATTAAATGCTGCGAAAGGAGACACGTGAAAGTACATTGTGGAAACGGTGCAACTCGAGCGATAGAGTCAATCACTTATCTATTGCGGCTACTTCCAAATTCACATGAAACCGGAGGCAACATAATAACTAAAGAGTCTCGGAATTCTAGCTTCCAATAAAACGAGAATTGAATGAAAGCAGTATTCATAAAATAATAAAATATAAAACAGACAGTTTTTCTAATTCCGCGATTCGGAAAAGTAAAATCTCTATTTTCCAAAAAAAAGTACCAAATTTTACGGCGTCAATTAGTCGCGTCCTATACGTGTTTTACAGTGATAATAATATTTATCCAGGAATGGGTCTTTTTTTGATGTCGAAGAAGGAAAATAGTTTAAAAAGTGAAAAGAAAGGAAAAATGATGTTCGAGTTGTTTTACAATAAACGAAATCTCGGCCACTGTTTTGATCGGCAGGAAGTATGGTAGAAATACCTCTCTTGCGTTCCAGCTAGAGAGCAATTTGAAAATTTGATGTTGAATACGACCTGCTTAAAAGCGAGGGAAAGAGCCAGAATCCAAAAGTGTCAATACCGGAAGCGCAGATCACAATGCGAAGTGGATTTCCTGCGGCTGATACTCTCCTTTGATGCAAATCAATTTTGATTGGCACTCGAGAAGCGATTGTTGCTTTTGTCGAAGCCGCTCGGTTTCACACGCCTCCGGCCACTCAGTGGGATTCTAGCGGGATTTACTCGAGAGCGCTTGAGGAAGCTTCGAGGGTGGTGATCAAAATCACTGTACAGATGGGTGCCGAAATACTGTGTTAATTTCGATCAAGCTAAAAAGCTACCAATAGATTAATTTTCGAGGAAAGCTTATAATTTGCCGATCTAAGAATAGAATTACGATTGCTCCAAGATGAGTGACTAAAACCTTCTTTTGCGTAAATAAAAGATCCCTCTCTAACTAGCCGTTAACATTTTCGAATCTGAAGAAATACAACTTGTCGAGCGCGCTCCCGAACACGCCATGTTGTCGCCATCATTCCTGTTTGAAACGAAAATTAAAAACAAGATTTTTGGGAAACATAATTATTCTCTATAAATGGAAAAGGGACGCGGGAAGAGTCTTAATTGGCCGGATGACGGGGTGACCTCTTCCGGATCATGCAAGATACCAAGCCTGGTGCATATGATATTGTATTGTTGGCAAATATGCAGAATGTGCATAATGTTTTGTTGTTTTGCGCATTTTTCATTATGCGAAAAACATGAGTTTTTGGCAGAAATTGAGAATCCAACTTGAAATGCTGAATTTTTTTCCGAAAGCTCGAATTATGAAAATATAAATGAAAAAAGACCTCAATAATATTTCCAAAAATGAACTTTTTATATCTTATTTATTGAATGCTTAATTTAGCCAAATTATTATGCCCAGAATAAAATTATTTTATGATCAAATAAAACCTTCAATAAAGTAGAAGCTCTTCCCCCTCAAAATAACCTCTGTAGTCCGGGTAAGAACTCTTCAAACAAGAATAATCGGCGATCTTACGTCCGCTTATCCGAGAAAAATTTTGTCGAGCAGCGAATTTTTCATTTGAAGATTTCGATGTCGAATCTCAGTTCCGGCCGCCCTGGAGTCTCGCCACAGGATTGCGGATCAATTCGCCAAATCAAAAACTCCTCCGCCACACCAAGCCGACACCAATTTTTAATTTCACTTTGGCGAAAAACAAAGAGACACAAGCGCATGTTTGGTTTATACCAAAACAACGAATTGAATATTTTATTCTTTCCGACAGCATTTTGCCGACCACAGAAGATAAAAATTCGAGAGTTCCGAAATATCGCAAAAATTACTACCCCAGAAACATTCTTATACGAACAAAACTAAATTACAGAGCCGCGCGTTGCGCGGCTTTTTTATTTCCTTTCGAAGCCGCAAACGGCTTCTCTAATTATGGCTCCGCTCGCTCAATCCTGATATCGCTCAGAGCGGAGCCAGAATCGGATCATAAGCTAAATTTCTAGTTGCTCCTCTGCCTGTTAAATTCGATACAAAATGGAATTAGCAGGGCACACAAGCCTTGGGCGATGGCCCTGAAACAAGAATGGCAACTGGATTTTTGGTGTTTGATTTGATTGTTGATGGAGGACTGAATTGGCCCTTCAGCTGTTGGCGGAATGATTTTTCCAAACAAAGATGAGTCCGGCGCCGACACTCAGGTAATTCCCCGGAACTGATACCATGGAATCATCCAACGCAACAGTCAGAACAAGGGAGTTCCCTTCTCCGGAACACGCCGTTTCCCCTTTTCGAAATCTACAGTAAGAGAATCCGATAAGCATTCCCCCCGAATCATGAGAAGCGTCTCTACCATCACTGGAAGTGATTACTCTGGTGAGTCTTCGGAAACATCAAAGTGGACGCCGACAATTATCAATGGGAAACGTTGTGGACAGATTTTTTTCAATTTTCGATTTTTATTCAATTTGCGCTTGGAACGTCTTCCTTTGTTGTGTGAAGAAATCTATTTGATCTTTTTTCAGAACTTTTTATTTCAGAAAAGTCAGCGCAAAAGTTCTAGTTCGAACTTTCATTTGTAAGCCTCTGAGTATCAATGATTAAAAATGAAGAAGAAGAGCTCTGAAACAACAGATTCAGATAAAATTAAGAATTTCGAAAATTCCAGCCCGGTGTTATTGGCCTCGACCTGACGTGTCACCAACAGTGTCAAAAACTGTGTCGAACTATGACGTGTTTCGTTGTCGATACTTGATTCTAGCGCTTTGTATTTTTCAACTTTCAACGTTAAACCTCGCACCTTTGTCCCCCTGTTTCAGTACTCTTTCAAAAAACCACTCGTAATCCCTTATTTTCCCAATAAACCCTATTTTGACTCGCACTTATTAGGCCCTAGTGCTTCTTTGTTTTTTGACCTTTTAACCTTTATAATTCGACTCACCTTCTTTTTCGGCTGTTGATGATTGAAGTCTCTGGTCTCTAGTAGATTTTTTCTGCTGTTGATCGATTCTAGTGTCCTGTAGATGTTCCTTCTTCGTCGATTCGGGCAGAGGATGAGACAGACGCGATGATGGTAGATGAGCTCGGAGTCGATTGGGGCGCCACAGAGCGGCGCATCACTCAATTCTACCGTGCTCCGCCGCGCCAAACCACCACCAAGAAGCGCTTCGAAAGCTTACTAGCTCTATATTCGTTTAGTGGATTATCATTTTTATTAATAACTATCATCAATGCTTTGTTTTGCGATAATGTCTTGGTAAGAACTTGCGATTATGTGTAACAAAACATGGATCGACCAAAACCCCAAGAAAACTGCGGAAAAGCAATTAGATGGAACGGAACATCTTTAAACAAACACGTTCAAGATAATTGCCAATAAATTGAGCTAATAGTTCAAAATTTACTCCCTTCTAATTGAAAGCGCGATACTTTTGTTTTTAGTTTTAATTTTTTTCGAAAGATAATTCTTAAATTTAATAACCTCTAGTTGAGTAATCTAAGTTACTTTCTTATTAGATGAATGAATATTTAGATCATCATGGGCGCTAGAATCAGGTCTTGGAAATTTGATTCAAGAGCTTCGAAAGAAAAAATCGAAGAGCGCCACCTAAGCGAGCGCGTCTTCATCTAAATTAGCCAATCGTACTACGTCGCGTCTTCAGCGAAAAGGGTTGTTTCTACATAAACACTCGCGTGCTTTGTTGTTTTCGCAAATCTGAGCAAACATTCGAGGGAATCAGTTACTGATGAAATTAGCTTCAGCAAAAAATTCATGACCTGCGCTATTGTGATAATAAATTGCGTCCGATCAAAAAAAGAAGGATGTTTGGTAAGTTAATTTTGGTGTTTTCTGTTGCAAGAAGGCCCTTCTGCGGATCTTTAAAAATAAGGGAATATCAAATTAATTCAGCACCTTATTCTGAACCATTGGAAAGTAATTGGAAGCTGTTGTTTAGCTGAAAATACAAGTTTGAGAATTTGATGCGCAAAAATACCCGAGCCAGTGAGTTGTTGCTTTTCGCGATCGTCAATTAATTATTTATTACACTAACTAAGCGTAGATTACTTTCGGGAAAGTAAGAAAAGAGGGTCAAGGCTCAAGCTAAATAATTGTGAGAAAACGGGGTTCCGTTATTTAGGTGTTTAGTATATTTTGGGTAGAATGGAACTGATGAGAAAAGCAAACACTTTCTAGCGCGGCTATCTCGATAGGCGAATCCGGAAATCGCTCGTGAGAAGAGAAAAGGCCAAAACCGTTTGTTGAGAAGTCGAGCTCAGCGCGGATTAGCTTAACCCAGGCAACGACCTTAGCCACATGACCAAAATATGCCGCGTAAATATGAGAAATATGTGTATGCAAAAATACTTTCTTATTTCATAAAGCACCGTTAAATCAAAAAGGAAAAAAGAGGAGATCTCGTAACACGTAAAACAAGGTCGTGAAAATTATAAGAGAGTTCCGCACTAAAGTACCTGTCCACAACGGAAGCATCTACTGTCCCATCACTGTCATTTATTCTGGACTCAGCTGCGATCGACTTCACGCTCCGCTTTGAAGGCGCCGCTGCAGAGCTCTCCAAAAGAACTTCATCGTAAATACGTTTAATGCCAATAGCTTTCACAAGTTTGCGAGCATAGATAGAACGTAAACATCCGTTCGTTTCATCCAATTTGTAACACTGCAATATTATAATCATAAAACATTTGTTTTCAATCCAGAAAACTATGGACTTTCCTGGTTTCTATTATATCAATAGTTTGAGTTTTATTTAGTGTGAACCAAAAGAGGATAACTGGCAGGTGTGTGAGCAAAAAATGGAATGTGATGAGCTTTACATAAGAATAATTTAAGCGGAGTTTTCAAGGTGACGGAGGTAGTGATCCTTGAAGTTCTCCTTTTCTCGTGGAGAGAGCGCGTTATACTCGTTCGCGAAGTAGTCTCGCTTTTCTTGGAGAAGGTCGACTGGATTTTCCAACGAGTCGTAATTCATCAAGCTGTTGAAGATCTCCGGCCAGACCCGGCGGTCGAAGTGTCGAGGAATCGTTAACGTGCTCACTGAAATCGAATATCATACACTCAAGTCTCCAAGAAAACTTACATTTGCTTTTTGTTAAAATAGGGTCGTGGTCAACATTCGCGTAATCCCCGAACATGACGATGTAAAGCGACATCGCCAGTGCATAGAGGTCGACTTGGAATCGCCAAGGCTCGTTCTTGACCATTTGAGCACACATGAAGCCACTGGTGTAGCATTTTCCCTTGAAAGCTCCGCTGTAGACACCGCAGTTGATGGAACGGCCCCAATCGATCAAGCAAACGCCCTGGATGTTTTTATTTTCACCAAAAGCGCTTTCGAAATCGTCGATCGGGAGAAGCATGACGTTGTCCGGCTTGAAATCGCCGTGAATGATGTCTTTCCCGTGAAGCTAAAAACAGCGTTCAGAACTGATAACTGATTGCAACTCTAACCTCAACAAGAAGCGCAGTTAGCTGGGCGGCGAAGAATAAAATGAAGGGCTTCATAGAAACAGCTCGAGTCGATAGAAGCGGTTTTGCCTGGCCACAGAGACTCAAAAGTGTGCCGTTGACGTAGTAGGGAGTTACCATTACACCGCAATTAGGATACTGAAATCGAGCTATTTTTAAATAAATTTCAAGAAAACAAACCTTGGTGAAATGAATAAGCTTCAGAATGCTCTCCTCTGCCGGCGTTCCCTTCAACAGGTCCTGCACTTCAGCAAGAATCGCATACTCCCACGGCTCGGATTCCTTTTGGACCTTCACGGCGACATCACCTCCTGTTGCACTTTCGTATCTGTATACTTTCGCAAAGTTGCCTTCACCGACCATTTCCTGATGCTTGAACTCGTGTCCCTGAACGTGGACAGGCATTTTCGGCAGAAATTCTAAAATTGAGTTAAGACTCCTGAAATCAAGGAAGAGAGCGTACTTGATTCCTTGGAATCGATTGCGATGTCCATCTCGTCCATTTGCATGTCAACGAATTGCTTACTCCATGGATTCAAAGGCCCTGAAAACTCCTAGCTTGATATTATTGAGTATTTTACCTTTAGCCTCAGCAACACTCCTCGAAAGTCTGACGCATCTTGTTGAAGCACTGGGCGGCTCGAAGACACCTGTCTTCATACTGTTGAAATCAGTCGTCTTTCCAGCGAACATGATAATTGTCGGGTCAACTTTTGCGAAGCCGAAGGTCATTTCTTGCTCGCTTTTGATTCGCTGAGTTTCTGACATCACGCCTTCTGTCTTATTGAGCGACTGGTCGAAGGCTTCAAGCATGGCTGCTGCATTCTGATTAACCCCTGGGGAATTCATGATTGCAAGTGTATCATCGTCGAATTTCGGAACCGAGATTTTTTTCTTTTGAACAGCAGGTAGACGCTCCGGCTCTGGAGTGTCATCATCTGTTGTTGTGCCTCCTAACGGGTTAGTGAACATGTTCATGAAGTCATTTGTGCTTTGTTTCCTTTGAATCTTTACGGATCTTCTTTTGTTGTTAGGCGTCAGTGCCATTGTCGGGGCAAAGAAGTTATTCACCATCTCGTTGACATTGTTGACTATTCCAGTTGGGGTGATTGGCGGTCGAGTATCGCTACCGACAGAAGTTGGCTGTTCTGGACGGAAGCGATTGCCAAGAGGAGTTAAATGTCTCGAATCGCGTTTCAGAGCATCTGACCGTTCTGGCGTCTTCTCAAGATTGAATGTTTGAGTTGGCTTCTTGAATTCTTCGCCTTGCCTGGTGGGAGTAAAGCTCAACGATGGGCAATCAGTGCGTAATTGTTCCGTAAAGCCAGACATTTGAGGATTTTGCTGCTGAGGAGTGAGTCCGATATTTTTTCCTTGTCGGAGGTTTATCGGAGTCGTCATAGGCTGGGTTCCTTTTGTTTTGTCCAGCGTCTTTGGACCTAGATCAATTGAGGAATCGTCCGCGAATGGCTTTGGAATAGGCTTCGAAACTGGTGTGAGTGCTTCCGTGCCAGTCGTTTCGAAGATTTGAATCGGATTTCGGTTGGGCTTTTGGACAGGTGTAAGACAGGACAGCGCTTGTGAGATCTCTTGTGTTGCCTGAGGAGCTTGGCTGTTGAAGACAAGGGTGTCTTCCTCCTGGAAGATCTCTAGCTTTTGTTTCGGTTTCTTTTGAAGAGGGGTCAGCAAACTCGACGCATCCGATATCGTCGGCTGGGTGAACTCAGTAGACGAAGAGGGCTGTTCAAGTCGCTTCTGAATCGATTCCTGTGATGGAAGATTGATAGGCTGAGAGAGATTCTCGGTGAAACCGCCGCCGGAGCATGTCTCGTGAATCTTCGGGATCGCCGGTGTCTCAATGTTGAACGAGTCTTTCGATAAAAGAGAATCCGCTTGTTTTGGGCGATCATTCTGTGGAGGAGGAACCGTTGGCGATGGAAGAGATTGTCTTTCTTGTTGATTCTTTCGAATCAACTGATTTTCCAACTCGGCGATTTTGAGCTGCAACGCATTTGCCTCACGCTGATCTGCCCATTTCTTTGCTTTCAGCTCTTCTATCGACGAGATTTCCTCACCGGTGAAGCTCGTGATTTTCTTTTCTTGGTACATTTTGACGATTTTCTGATCTTCATGCGCCGTACCCAAGGAGGTAATGTTATTTTCCTTGCTCCAGAAATGAGTGTCTTTAGAAGGGTTTAAATTAATCGATTAAAATCAACGAGGACTGCTTTTATTCTAAATAATTTTCAACCCCTCCCTCGCACAGTTCTTTTTCTGCTGGGCATGGAGATCTTCGTCCTGTACTTCTGCAAGTTCGCACTTTCGCTGCCTCTCGTAATTCGCTTCAGGCCCTGGTCGATCTTTTTCAGTTGTTCCTCCTTACCATCAGATAGCAACGACCAAAGAATCCAGAATCGCGCACACTCGGTGAAAATGTCGTTTGAACACATCAGCTCGTAGAACTTCTTCGGAGCGCTGATGTAGCGAATTCTGTCGGTAAAGAATGTCAGCATATCTTTGTCATTCTTGTCGATGGTCTTCGACCGCAAGAATTCGAACATGATCTCCTTGAAAAATTATTGGAAATGAGTAATTTATGAGGTAATTAATATAAGAAGTAATTAGCGATGACTTTTATCATCATAGAGAATCCTTTACTTCCAAAAAATACCTGAAAAACATCTTGCTTATCCTTGAAGCATTTTTTCTGTCGCTCAACATCCTTAATTCTGTCTATCCAGTCATTTTTCTCCGTTGAAACATTCTCTTTGTTGTTCATGCTGTCTGAAAAATCACTCAGAAGAACGAATAAACGATTTTCTCAGAATGCGTCCTTCGAAGCGAAATTTCTCAAACTGAATTACGCGTCAATCTAAGCGGCCAATCAGCGGCGCGCTTTTCTTTAGCGACGAATAAGCAACGACAAAAGAAAGTAATGACTCATGAACAAAGCAGAGCTGTCTGATTCTAGAATTTCTAAGATTTTTATTTATTTTGCCAAGAATATTTCTATAATCTTAGATACATAATTAGATATGTAATTAGATAAATACAATCTTATACATAAATAAAAATTCGTAATTAATTGTAGACACCGGTATTTTATACTATAAAATATGTTTCCAGGAAATATCTTCATTAGAATCACTACCGCAAGACTACCAATCAAACCGCCCACTGACCACTTGAGTATTCTAAGCTAACAACATCATGCAAGAAAGTCAAAGAAACAGATATAAGATTATATGAGATAGGCTTTTATTACTCTTTGAGATAGATTGCCGATGATTTTCATCGAAATGGGCACATCAAAGGATCTCTTATTGAGATCGTTAGCATATCTTTCTGTCGTTGGAACCAATTGATCAGTGAGCTTCTTTTCAAGAACCCAGGTCATTTGCTGCGTTTTCATCTCGATGCTGTCGTCGTGATTGATGGACAAGGCTTGAGATGTATTCGCCAACTCGTGTTCGTTCAGCTGTCCTTAAAAATTATTTCTTAAATAAATAGTAACTCAATACTTTTTGCTAGGAAATAAATAGATTATGAACATACCTCAAATTTACTCGCGCCGGACTCGGAAAATCCGAAGACTGATCAAGTTGACGCTTTTAGCCCTGATAACAACAGAAGTTCTAGAGATGATGTTGATAAGGAATCATTTTTGGTTTGAATAAATTGCAAATAACAATTGTGTTCTCGAACTTCTTATACAAGTCATTCCAAGATCAACTTTTGCCAGACAATTCGAAAATGATGCAATTATATGCAATAGATTATATGTCACGGATTAAAATTCATTTCCACTTGATCTTCGAGTCTCTAATCAACTCCAAATTAATCGAAAGCGGTTTCGAAAAAAGATGAAACTCGGTTTTTTGACTCTCGCTGCTGTAGCTTACGGTGCTAGAACTCCTGAGTCCCAACTCGCCAGTGTGAAAGAGCAAGTGACTGAATTGGTTGGTGCATTCACCGGACTCGGATCAAAGCAAGATAAAATTGCGAAAAAGAAAAAGAAACAGCTTGAAAAGACGATGGATACGCTCAGTGCCGCCGTGAAAAAGTGCACAATGGAAGAAGTAGACCTCCCTGCTGATGATACAGAACGATCTACTGATCCTTGCAAGGCTGCTGGTGCCATCAAGCGAAAGATCACCAGTAAGTCTTGGTTATGAACTCTGAATCAACTTTTTAGATGTCGCCTCTGCGTACATCGCCGATTGCAAGCCATCCATGTCCGAGCGAATTGTCTCAAGAATGATGTCTGTTGAGAAGGTTCTCAAACGACTTGCTAGATGCGGAAATAAGAGCTCATAAATACTCGAAAATTGCTGAAAATAAATTAGTTGTGTTTCAGACTTGAATTGAATTTCTTATTTGCATTTACTATCTGTCTCCTTTGGTAACCAAATAATCTCACCATGGAAGGACTTGCCAGAACGACCAGGATCAAACAAGAGATAACTATTCTTCAATCATGGAGAAAATATCAAGTGATTATGTATACGATATTTGTAAGGGGGTTTACAATGCAATGATAACAACCTGGTTCTGGGTGGTGATGAATAAAGGATTGCTTATTGCTTTCTTCGGATTAGGAGCAATGAAGGGAAAGCGAAATGTGGGCTCAGTGTATGGAAGAAACGCTTTGATTCCCTTCACTGCAGCCATCAATTTTTCGACTCAAGTCATGGTACTCTATGTCCATTACGCTTACGCATTTTGGGATGGTTATTACTATTGGGACCTCTACTACAAGTGCGATTCAACATGCTACAATATCAGGAAAGCAAGCTTTGGACTGGCAATCGTTAGTCTCATTCTATCGGTTGTGGTTATCATCGACCTTATTGTTGCTTCTTGCCAAGAACCAGAACCGATTCCACGTAACATATATGTTAGGAATATTTGCATGAATTCGTTTTAGCACCACAAAACGCAGTCGTTCCTATTACAGTACCGACACTTGTCCAACAGCCCGTACCAGGCACAGTCAGATCCTCAAACAAGATTATTGTCAATTAACGAGTTACAGTAGCTAAAGTAGGATCCGTTTACAGTAAACCCATATCCTCCAAGCTATCAAGAATCGAGCATGCAAAAAGCACCATACCAAGCTCCAGTTTATACACCAACACAGCCAGTCATTGTCCCGACGACTCAGTATAGCGTTCAACCAGTCCCGCAAGACGATCCAAATACCGGAAGAGATCTTTTCAATTACGGACATATTGCACGTATGTTCCCAATAAATTTTATTTACCACTTTATTCTTCAGTGATGGTCCTGAATGCCGCATTCTGCGCCATGATAATTGGCTTTCTCAGCGGCTGTCTTTCTTACTGAAACCAAAGCAATACAGATAACGACAACAACTGTAGGAAATAATTCCTATTTCTATTTTATTTGCATCACACCAACAGATTATGGAAGTCCCTAGTAACCAAATAATTGTACAAATAATTCAGAGGCGTGAGAAGAAGGGCTTTTCGGATAGTTGGCATAAAGAGGAAATTATGGAAGAAAAAGAGTCGTTCTATTATTATCATGGTTATCCTTATTACAATTACAACTCCTGTTGTTATGGGTTTATATTGGGTAGGCTTCATTTGCACAATAGCTTCATTTGCACAGAGCCTCATCTGCACAAGAGCTTCATTTGCACAATATGTGCAAAAGAGGCTTTTGTGCCAGTGAGGCTCTGTGCTAATGAGGGTTTCGATTTCGTGGGCATTTTCAATTTACGCTTATTGGCTGCCGACGATATAATATCGTCGATATTATTTTTGTTCAGAAAATTTCTCAAATAAGGAAAAAATCTTTCTTAGCAGATCAAAACAAATTTTGCGTTCTCTATGAACCCTTCTCAATAATCAATCGATTTTATAATCATTTGGGTTTATAAATTATAAAAATTATAAATTATAATGAAATTGGTTCTGGCTCAAACATTCGGAGCGCACTCACTTGGACTTTTCTCTCACTTGGACTCGCGCTCATTCTAACTCTTCGCTCGTTTGAACTCGTCGGTCAATAGGAGTGTTGGTTGAATAGAGCGAGGAGTCAGAATGAGTGCAAAAATTACATAAAAAAATTTCTTAAAAAAAAAAGAAATTTTAAAATGAATCCGGTGACTGCCACCGGTTGACATAATCGAGAAATTTTTTCAAGTCACTTTAGTTTACTTTTTGATAGCAGTATCAAATAATTTTGTACAATTTTAAAGGGTGATAATTTGGAGGTTCATGCATTCCTGCAAGTGTCTGTTGTCTACAAGACTTAGTGTCTGCAAGACAGAACAAAATTTCGGTTGCCCACTTGTAAACTTTTCTTATAAACTCTAGAAAGTTATCTTGTCTAGAGGCGCTAGAGGCTCTAGAAATTGAGGAAGGTACCTCAAAATCGGTACTTTTTTTACGAAAAATTGCGCTAAGAGTTATATTTTTATCCGAAATAATTCAACAAAAACGTTACAATCAATTTTTGGTATTACTAGTTATAATGTTTATGGCATAAATTAAACTTTATGCATTGAATATAACTGGTTCAATCTTTTTCAGTGATTTGTAACTTCCTATTGACAAAAGGCTTTTGTTACTGACTGTCGGAAGTTTTCAGAAAAATTTCTTATTCCGCAGAAAATTAAGAAAACGAATTCAGAATACTAAGACTATCCACTGAGAATACAGTACGCTCGCCCACGCAAAATGGAAAGCTCACTTCAACTCGCGCTCGATTGAACCAAAATCTCACTTGGACCGACGGGTTCAAATGAGCGCGGGTTAGAATGAGCGCGAGTCCAAGTGAGTGAAAAGTCTAAGTGAGCGTGCTCCCAAACATTCTGGTATGTTCAAAAATTGCGATGAGTCAACGCGACATACACTCGCAGTTTTCTGGCGTCTGGCAGACCTACTCGATACAATTAAACTTTTCAGTTAACTCTTCTAGATAATTTCTTATGTTTGACTAAGGATACAAAAAACTTGATAAAATACTACCGTCAAACTAATAAGTTTTAATTTTCTCCATATATTTTTAAACATTTCAATTTTTTTTTATCAAAAATATAATTTGACACTCATTTGCCAAAGAGCCTCACTGGCACAAAAGCCTCGTTTGCACAGAATGTGCAAATGAAGCTCTTGTGCAGATGAAGCTCTGTGCAAACGAAGCTATTGTGCAAATGAATCCTACCCGTTTATATTTTCATAGTCACCAAAGTCAATAATTTATTGACAATAAGTTCTTTTCAATAACTGATATTTTAAAATTTAAATCCAAGAAAAGGGGCGTTTATGACTCAATGATCACAAGTTGGTTCTGGCTACTGACGAATTTCGCTCTCATCATTGTTTTTTTTGCTTGTGGGCAATCCTACGGAAAAAGAGCAGTAGGCTCTGTATACACTAGAAATGGTCTTGTTCCATTCATATCTGCTATAAATTTTGCTACACAGGTGATGATCCTACATATCTATTACTACTACGGCAGGTCTTGTTATGGAAGTACATGTTGCAAGCTTCGTAAAGCCAGTTTTGGACTGGCTATTATCAGCTTGATACTTTCTCTCGTTGCGATCGTCGATCTTTTGTTCGATAAGTGTAGAGAAGAAGAGCAAATTACTGGTAAAGGCTTCTTATCAATGGTCATATATGAAGTTTAAGTCTAGGTCTAGGATTTGGGGTGACCGGAGGTGATCTGAAATGAGACGCTGAAAATGAATCACCGAAAGATGTGATAGAGTTCCGCGGATCACCTAAACGAGGTGATCGGAGCCGATCACCCGCCTGAATTTTTGGTGATTTAGGTGATCGAGATCACCTCTGACTGGTGATCCAAACATTTTCGATCACCAAAGTCGTGTGATTATGGTCAGGGCAGGGGTGGATATTTTGATGTCAAATCACTTTTTCGACCACTCTATATTTGAAATTTATAGAGATACATCTCCATTTCACTTTCTACTATCATGAAAAGGGCTCTCCCGGGAGCGAAATACGCTTCAACCCTCTTATCCGACTCAATAATACTTTGCATTTACTTACTTACCCTTTACTTTGGATTCACGGATTACTTACGGTAAGGGACCCTTACTAAGGGTTCTGAATTTCCGGAAAATCAAAAAAGGAACTAAAGAAAGGATTAACTTCTCAATACACGGGGTCGGTAAAACCGACCACAGTGACTTAGGCCCTCAATTTCTTCGAAGGTGGTAATCCGTTTGACATAATTTTTGCGATGTGCGAATTTTCGTGAAATTTCTCAAGAATGATGGCGTTTTGCACCAGATTTCTCTCGCGCTCTCTATCGAAAAATCGGAAGGTTTTAAAAATGATTCAACTGATGTCAAACCTCAAGACAAGATGACAATTATTAATAAAAGCTTTCTGATACTTGAAGCGACTTTTTGTCGGAAGAAATAAAAAACTTTATAAAAAAACTTAACAAAAATGAATAAAAAAGTAAATTCAAAAACTTCATCAACCGAAATTCGACTTTGGAGATCCGATCACCCGAATTTGGTGATCGAAGAACTCCCAGAAATTGATTTGGTGATCGGGACTCGATCACCTTTTTGAGGTGATCCGAGAAACCCGATCACATCTTTTGGTGATTCATTTCTGGCGACTCATTTCAGATCACCTCCTGTCACCCCAGATCCTAGACCTAGGTTTAAGTCCCAACAAATGCTGTCGTGCCAGTTCAAAGCTCGCATATTGAATACGTTGAGCAGCCAGGTCATGTCACTTACGTTCAGCAGCAGCCAACTCAGGTACTCAATTTAACAGTTACGTTTTCTTACACACTCAGGATGTCGTTCATCATTCCAATGGCGCCGTAACGACCTATCCAGTACAGTACCAACCTCCAATACCAGTTTATCAACAAGGATCTGTTACGCCTGTTGTTGTGAATCATACAGATTATATCCCGACCACAGTCTATCAACAAACGTCAAATTCAGGGACACAAATGTTTACTATCTCTCACATAGCTTGTAAGTAATTACTAAATCCTTTGGAATCACGAAAACATTTCAGTGGTGGCGCTTAATATCCTCTTCTGCTGCTTGATAATTGCGTTTCTTTCAGACTGTATAAACTGTTAGTAAAGTAAAGCCGGAGAAAAAAAAAGAATTACAATTTTTTTTTTATTTGTTGAATCCCCTAGTAACGATTTTATTGTAAACAAAGGAGACTAGCGCAGATATAGATAGAGAAAATGAATGAAGAAGCCACGACTTACGTTAAAAATTGTGACCGACGACTTTGGGATGCAATGGTGGCATGTTCAGTTTGGATTATTTTGGACGTTTTTCTAATTAACGCATTTTTCGCATGTGGTGCGATGAAAGGGAGAAGAAGATTTGGATCGCTCTATGCTCGGAATATCATGATTCCTATTGTTTGTGCCGTGAATTTTGCTATCCAAGTGATGATAATTTATGTTTATTGTAAAAGCTCTAACAATTGGTCAACTCTTATTCAAGCGAGCTTCTGGTTGACTGTATCAAATTTGGTTCTGTCGCTAATAACAATTCTTGATCTTGGTCACGATGCATGTAGAGAAGAATCTTTATCGAATAATTCTGTTAGTCCCTACCGCGTTCGAAGCGAAATAAGATTCAATTACGGAAATATGGCATGTAAGTAAACAGAAAAAATCAACATTTATAAAATATCATAGTGATGATTTCAAATGTCTTTCTTGCTGCTTTGGTGGTTGCTTTCTTGGCTCCTTGTCTTTCAAAATTTTAATTAATAATGTTATGGAAACAATTCAATACAGCTTGAGTATATTTTATTGCATTTTAGCGGGCAGGTTTTTTGGTCGAATTCATGTGTGTTATGGGAATAGGGACTGCTGAGATGATGGATGGGCTGGAGCATCGGCAAAGAGGGCATTTCTTCATTCTTCGTTGACGTTTGAGGCAGACCTCGCAGAGTTTGTGTCCACAAGAAAGGATGACTTTAGTGCGAATGAGGCAGTGAGGTCGATCGCACTGGAGTTTTCCAACGATCGCCCAGAGAGCATTGATTTCTTGTGATTTCTCGTTCATTTTTTCTTCCAAGTGGTCGAAGGAGGCTTCAAATTGGAGGAGATAATCTGTGGCTGATTTATTCATTTCTGGTGTTCTGTTGTACTTGATTCTGGAGCTGTATTTATGTGGTCAGAACAAGCGCCACCAACTGATGAGACAAACAGATGTGAGATTGCAATCTTACGAAGTCAAGGGAGTGTCCGATATCCGAGGAGGTTAGCATGCTGCCTCGATGATTTGCACCTGCGTGACCTGATTGATGTTTGCGAAAAAATATTTTCGGGGTAATTTCACACTCGTAGATTTGTACTCTGATCTGTGAACTTGGGTTTATTCTATTTTAAAATAATTATTGGGAGACGAGAGGAATGAACAGATTGCATGAAAAATCAGCATGAGCTTCGAGATGTGTCGGATGTTTCGTCGCGGATGAGTTTCGCCTTTTCGTTTTCGACCTTTTCGCTCGTTTTCTTTTGCTGCTTGTGGATATGTTCGTGCGATCGGGTGATGACAGGCTTTTTCTGAGTGATGATCTGGTCTGCTCGGCCAGTTCGGGAAGAGTTTTCGGAGGAGTATGCAGAATCACTGGCATGCATGCAACAAAGGATTGAGCAGAGTCTCGAAAGGGCGCATTTGCAAATAACTACAAAAACATTGGTTTCATAATGATCAATATTGACTTACTGGCAAGAACAACAAAAATGACAGCCACAACAATGGAGATTAACCAAATCGACACTTGGGCTTGTTTTTCCTCTTGTTTCTGTACTATTGCTTCTTCTTTTTCCTCCTTCTCACATTTTATCGGAACGTTGTGGAGCGAAAATGGATCTCGGAAATATCCATCGAGATCCTTGAAGTTGTGGAGCTCGACATAGGTCTTTGGGCTTGTCTGAGGGCAATCAATTGGAACGGCGTCAACAGGGTACCCGATCTTTCGGTACAGCTCCCGGTACTCATGAAGAAGTCGTCGAGGATCCCGGTGATTTATTGGATCGCGGCAGTAGTCCCTGCAAAATATGATTGAATGGCTAAAGTTTAAACAATCAAATAAGAGCGCGAAATCGCCAAATAAGCTCTAATTACAACGCTGATAAAAGAGACTTAGCCAAAATAATGCGGCTTGGTTTTGCTAGCGGCGCTTGAAGAATTGATTTTATCAGAATATCAGCTCTAAATTCCTCTCAAGATTTAGTTATTTTCGAGCTACTACGGTCATTACAAAAACGTTTATAAGTACTGAAGATAGTATTAATTCTCACAAAAGTCCAACAAAAATATAATTCAATTCGATCGAAATTTTTAGCGCTATCTACGTTATTCAGAATAATTTCTTTAGCGTTATTCAGATTATTCAGAATATTTAGAATAATAAAGAATCAAAAATAAAATAACATACAGTAGCTGTTGGATAAGGTTGTCGACTTTCGCTTGATAGATCGGATCAACCTGTACTTTGTACTGTGGATACTGGAAACAGCCCAAAACGGGCACGCCGAGCGTGAAAAGCGGCACAACTTTCATCAGAGGATTTCGTTTCGGCTCTGGATTCTCTCAAGGTGCAGCGGTTTTGTGTCCAGGCAAGCGTGTCGGGTGAATCGGGCTCATCCATTCCATGCCCCGAAGCCCGAACGGTTCACTCCATGCAGTACGACAAGCCCGCAAGTTATGTACGACGAGGAAATCAAGCTCTCTGCAATTTTACGCAATCAGAATACGATTATTGCCCTGCCTGCTTATCCCCGCCTGCGTAATAAGCATGTAAATGTCATAAAACAACAAAGTGAATCGATGACCTTTGCGCGTCCAAACTGGCCAACTTTTGTTCATTATCATCCGAAGCATTTTGTAACAGAAATATTTATTGCAAGTAGAAAAATAGAAAATGTAGAATTGAAAGTACAAGTTTTTCAAAAAGGTTGAGCTGGGGTGTTCTTGAGTCGTTCCAAAATGATTTGGTTGTACTAGAAAAATTATAAAAAATGAATATTTAAGGGATTTACCTCTCTCAAATGTTGACGGCAGCGAGATTGAAGACCAGCACAATCAATGACACGACCGGCGATGAACTCTTTGGAGGCCTAAAAATAGTAATTTTCACGAAAAAAAAGATAATGATTTACGAAGTTATTTTGCTGACTGTTAACCCATCGGCGCTCGAGGTTCTCAAGAAGCACTTGCTCGTCGTTGTTCTTTAGCTGCTCTTTGTAAATGCTGAAAAATGAATTAAGAGATAAAAGAAATCGGTGGCATTACTTGATTTCGTCGTAGAGGCGCTCATTGTCCTGCTTGATTTCCAAAATCTCATCGGTAAGCTGGCTTCTGAGCTTCTCAAGCTCTGTTTCCTTCTCCCGCTCACGCTCGCTCAGACCTAAGTGGATAAGTCAGCACAAAAGATAACAAGCGAAATCTCACCGTCTATGTCACTGAACTCCTTTATATCAACTTCGAGAGCTTGGATCTCATCATAAAGACGCTCTTTCTCGGCGAGTAATTTAGTCTCGAGCTTTTCGACCTTCGTTAGCTGACTTTGGAGCACTCGGTGGTCGTTGTCTAAGTTGACGACCGTTCCTTCGTTGTTCATCAGCTCCTTTTCTTTGAATTTGAGCGTACTTTGGATGTCTTTGAAGCCTGATGCTTTGCCGGGAATCGTTTCAGTTGCCTTTTGAATAGCTGCAGTTTGATTGAGATGATCCTGAATGATTGCTTCTGTTTCGCCGATTCGCGCTAGTTCGGCTTCTTTCAATTGAGGAAACTCGCTCATGAAGTGTTTGAATTTCTCTTCTGTTTTGCGCAGACCTTTCATACGCTGGAGTGAGCTCTCGTCAAGATCGTTCTCTAGATTTTGCAGTTCATCTGTAAGCCGATTGATTCTATCGTCAGCCTGGCTCAGCTGCTTCTCCATGAGCACCAATTGTTGATTGTCCTGCTTCGTCTGGCGAATAAGCTTTTCTCGTTCTTGCTCAGGAGTCATCTGAGCGAGCTCTTCCCGCTCCTGCTCGTTGCGACGCGACTTCAAATGAGCATATTCTGTGTACAGCGTAATCAGCTCTTTTCTTCGGGGATCATGCGAGAGATCATTTTCAAGGCGCGCTATTTCATTCCTTGTCCCCTCTATTTCGTTCTCGATCTCCTGAATTCCGTCGGTCAGTTTACCGTACACCTTTTGCTGCTTCAGAAAGGTTTCACGCTCTGTCTCATTCATGTCCTGAAACATTTGCTGTGTCTGGCTCATGTACTTTTCAATCTCGGCTTCCATCTCACGAAGGCGATTTTCTCGACTCTGACGCTCGTTGAATAAGGCACTCAAGATTTCTTGATCTTTCTCGGCTTGTTCGTCAAAGTCTTCGATCTCAAGTTCAATGTCTTTTACTTCTTGTCCTTGGTTGTGTTTTTCAAGCACTGTGTTTGCGTCTTGGAGCTTTCCCTGGAGCTCTAAAAGCCATTAATATTTCGGTATTAATAAAAATGAATAACCAGCAAGTTCAGCAGCAGTTTGACTCGCCATCGTCTTGTAAGTAATGTACGATTCTGCAGCTTCTTCTTGTTCTCCCATTTCGACGTGTAGGTTCTGGATCTCACTGTGAACCTCGCTCACTTTTGCGCCGATGAGCCCAAGCCAATAGTTTCTGTCTTGTACTTGTCGGACACCATGGGAAGTGCGAGGGTTCTTCATTCCTCCAAGCCCATGTTGAGTGAGCGGGCGGTTCTCAACACGTGGTGCATTGCCTGTTCCAGATGCATAACCGCGGGAGCCTGTCGGTGGACGCATCATGTTTAGATCCTTCTGAATGCGAAAAGAGTTATAAAAATGCGTACTATTACGATCATGGAGGAACTCGGAATAAAAACCTGCGGCTAATCTAAATTTCAAGACTGCGATTCGATGCGATAAAAGAGAGACAACGTTACTGGCGTAAAATATTTATTCCACAGCCATTGTTAAGTCCGCTGCACAATTGTCATTGTGAACAGACGTAGACAGTGTCCAGTTGAACAGCAGAACAGAGGACTTATTCCTTGGTGACCTTCTTGTTGCCCTTCTTAGCGAATCGCATGTTTCGGACGAACTAAGATGCTCGATAAGCAAATTAATTAAGAAATCTAGCGTTACCTTGGGGTCAACTCCCTTGAGAGACATCTGCTTGTAGACGCTCTTTTTTGGTCGAGGGATACCGTTTCGGTGAGCCTTCTTGTTCTGGTTGTGGTGGGAGGTGTTCTTGGACTTGGCCATTTTAAAAGTTTTTAAGTCAAATTTCTGAAAACAAATTTGATTAGAGACTTTTCTCTGGCTGAGTATAAAAAATATTCATGCAGTATAAAAATAAATAAATACAAAGATAAGTGTACAATTCGAGATTTCCTTTTTGTCATTCTTGCTCGTTGGCTTCTCGCTCTTTTCGCGAGTCTGCTTCGCGGTAGACACGGCGGAGTTGGATCTCGCGATCGGAATTGTCACAGCCGAGGTAGCAATCCAGCGATTCCGTGAGAAGGTCGAAGCCGCCGATTCTTGTCTCAGTACCGCTGAGCTTCTTCTCCATGTCGACGACATTGAATGTGTCGTCGAGTACGCGCAGCTTGAGCATCTTGTCATCTTCCGAGGAATGTGCGAACGATGGCGAAGCGTTGACTTCGATCAGCCACACATTGAGTGCCTCATCGAAGAGAACGTCATAACCGTAGAGCTCGAAGCAATGCTTGTCGTTGATGACCTTGTCCTGAACTGCGAGGAGCGAATACCAGAACATCTCGTTGATTTTTCGGAAAGCCGTGTTTGAAACTTGAATGCCTCGACTTGTCTCCAAATATCGACGAAGATTCATCAATGGCCATTTTGCGCCACGATCGGGATTGTAATCGGGCGCTGTTTTCTGAATCGCGACGTTGGTCAAGTGCACGAAGGTGTCTTCGATCTGATCGAGCGAGTATCGTGTGCCACTGAATCGCACGAACCCCTCCCGGTACACCCAAGCGCGCAGAGGAACGTATGAAGTGACCAAGACGTAAATGCGCATGTCAAACTTCTTTCCTCCGATGAGCAAGGGACGTTCGATGTATCGCTGAACAATGTAAGTTTCGGCCTCCTCGGCGTTCTCTTTTTTCTCCTTTCCGTCGCGCTTCCATTCCTGAATGTCTTTCAGATCTCGGAAAAGGAAGATCCCTCTTCCTTGCGATTTAGAAATGGGCTTCATGATCCAGATTGGCTTGTCTGCGCGGTTTTCTTTTTGGCTTCGCTCCTTTTTGAATTCCTCGACGAACATGTGCCACTGATCTGGGAGATCATATGTGGTCGGGAAGAAGCTCATGATATCGTCGATTTGGTCGCGGAGCTCGACGTCTTGAGATTTGGAAGACTTTTTCAGTTTGATGAATCGTTTTAGATTTTTAGCCAGTAGGTTTTTTCGCGTTAGTTCGTAGAATCGTGGAAAATGATTCACTCTAAAACGCGATCAATTAGAGAGAAATTAAGGAGAAGAGATGATTACCTCATATGTTCTTCGAAGTAGATTGTGTCGAATTTTTCATGCATCCAGAGCGTGTCCACCCAGAATATGTCGATGTTTTTCTCCTCTTGGTCCTTGGCATCGGTCCAGCCGGCACGGCGGCGCATTGATTTGGTGATGATGTTGTTAAAGAAACAGTTGAATTTGACGACGGGAGCGCGTTTGTCGAATCGTTTTCTCATTTTTGAGTTCGCTTCCGAGAATTTCTAAGATAAAACAAGGGGTCATTATATGATTGAAAGCATATGGGATTAACTGTTCTAGGAATGAGGCATTGGAGAGGTAAAGCATGAAGGAACTACGTAGTTACAGTAATTAAACAGGTTCTGCTTTTGGCTGGTTTTCGATGGGATCTGCACTCGGCTCGCCGAGGCCTGTGACTGCCTCTTCATTTTCGAACTGAACGTTAAATTAGCAAAAGGAGGATACCGTCTCGAGCTTACTAATTCTTTGTGTCGGTCGATTAGCTCTTTGTATGGGTCTTTGTTGAGCCCGAAGTCGTTAGCTAAAGATTCGCCCCAGGAGTCCATGTATTTGAGAGTATGCCCAGCTGCTCGAGCAGCTTTGTAGGCCATCCATTTAGGCCAGGACATTTCTTCGGGTTTCCCTTCCATCGTCATGTATTCAAGCCAGTCGCACTGTTCATCGTCGTCTTCAAAACGGTCAACGATGGTCAATAAAAAGTAAGGTACCTGATTCTTCTATTTCGTCCGCATAAAGCACACCATCAGCGCAGTGAATGACTTGTCTGTCTGAATCAGTTGTTGAATTTGTATTGGTAGTTTCTGTAGAAGCGGAGGGCTTTACGGCGTTGATGTTGACTTCGATCTCATCGGGAGAAATCGTACTCAGGTTTGTAGAATTTACGCTCATCTTAATCTGAAAGCAAAGAGTTTTTAGCGCCGGATAGAAAATGAAAATAGCGAGTGCAGAATAGATAGAATAACGCCAATTAAACGTTTGGAATGTTCAAGCTGGCAGCAAAATGAAATCTTTGAGAGATAGGTTGAAGGCTACTTTTCAGCACTTAGTCGGAGCGGCTGATTCGTGGCTGAGCGTGAGGCTGCGTCCGGCCATTAGTTCGATCTTGGCGAGGACTTCTCGTCTTCTTGCTTTCATAGCTTCCTGCTCTGCAAAACGCTGCACCATTTCATCGTGCTTGGGTGGGTTTCGAATTTAATCGGGCAATCTTGGTCCTGCTTTCTCCCTGATCTTGAAAACATAAACCAAACATATCATACATGTATGGATAGAGCTTTTAAAGATCTAGCAACTCTGCATTGGAATTCCAAAAATATCAAATATAATCAGTTTTATCGGAGTTTTTCCTTCAAAACTGGGTTGCATTTTTTGAAAATTGAACAGTGCGAGACATGAATTCAGATTAGATTTCAACTTTTTAAACGCCTGAAAACCGGTAATTTTTGGCTGATTTGTTATTCAAATGCAGAGCTAGGTCTAGGATCTGGGGTGACAGGAGGTGATCTGAAATGAGTCGCCAGAAATGAATCACCAAAAGATGTGATCGGGTTTCTCGGATCACCTCAAAAAGGTGATCGAGTCCCGATCACCAAATCAATTTCTGGGAGTTCTTCGATCACCAAATTCGGGTGATCGGATCTCCTACGTCAAATTTCGGTTCATGAAGTTTTTTAATTTCCATTTTTAACCATTTTTGTTAAGTTTTTTTATATAGTTTTTTTCTTCCGACAAAATCCCGCTTCAAGTATCAGAAAGCTTTTATACATAATTGTCATCTTCTCTTGTGGTTTGACATCAGTTGAATCATTTTTAAAATCTTCAGATTTTTTGATAGAGAGCGCGAGAGAAATCTGGTGCAAAAAGCCATCTTTCTTGAGAAATTTCACGAAAATTCGCACGTTGGAAAAACTAGGTCAAACGGATTACCACCTTCGAATTAATTGAGGGTTTTACCGACCCCGTGCATTGAGAAGTTAATCCTTTCTTTAGTTTCTTTTTCGATTTTCCGGAAATTCAGAACCCTTGCCGTTAGTAAAATGAATCCAAAGTAAAGGGTTAGTAAGTAAATTCAAAGTATAACTGAGTCGAATAAGAGGGTTGAAGCGTATTTTCATAATAGTAGAAAGTGAAATTTGGAGATTATCTCTTTAAATTTCAAATAAAGAGTGGACGAAAAAGTGATTTGACATCAAAATATCGACCCCTGCCCTGACCATAATCACACGACTTTGGTGATCGAAAATCTTTGGATCACCAGTCAGAGGTGATCTCGATCACCTAAATCACCAAAAATTCAGGCGGGTGATCGGCTCCGATCACCTCGTTTAGGTGATCCGCGGAGCTCTATCACATCTTTCGGTGATTCATTTTCGGCGACTCATTTCAGATCACCTCCGGTCACCCCAAATCCTAGACCTAGATGCAGAGTTTATCAACCTGTGGGAGATCGAAAAGGATCTGATTGTTAATTTTGGTGAAAACCGGCAATTCAGATAAAAATCGGTAAGTAAAAACCGGGAATTTCTATAGATTTCGGAAATTCCAATGCAGAGTTTGTAGAGCTCAAAAGCTCTTTCCAACCATGTGTCATATGTTGGGGGTTTATTAGAAAAGTTCGGAGCTACAGCCAAAGAAAGATTGCCCGATTAAATTCAAAACCCACCTTGGCCGTGCATTTTGCCATTTCTAAGGAAAATCGTATAAGAGTCGAGTGAAATCAAATTTATGATTACCTGCTTTGACTTGAGCGTATTTCTGCATGTCTTTCATGTCGTCTTTGAGAGATTGACGCTTCTTTAGCCGCTCAAGAATTTGTTCCTTGAGCTGTTCATTTCTTTGGTTGATTTCATTTGAATCGCCAATTTGTTGTCTACACATTTCTGCCACTTCCTGAATAATAAATTGTCTCGGGAATGCTCTAGAGATGTTTGTCTTACCGCGAATTCTTTTTCCATCTGGCCCTTTACGTCTGGAAAGAGTTGTGCTGTACTGGAAGTCATTGCATAGACAAATCTGAAGGTTTCACTTGTTAGATGGAAATTTCTAGCGAAAGTTCACAGTAGAAAATTTCAGAAAACCGAACAAAATCGAGTATGAAATCGGTTTTTCGTCGGTTTTGTCCATTCCCCTATGGTTTGTAAAGTTCTTCTTAATGAGATTGAAAAATTCATTTTCGATTACAGTATTTCCCTTTTGAGCAAATCTCTAATTGATTGAAATCTCTGTGAAAACGACAAAAGAATGTTTTATGTTTTTGGATTTGACTTGTACGAAATGCGCGCCGTTGATTGGCCGCGCGCCGCGTGGGAAATTCAAAGTTTAGATATTTTTCTGTTTCTAGTAATTAATCAAAAAAGGTTGAATTATTCGGTATTTATTCGCGTTGAACAGTCCGAATGGGATCAGAATATTTCCGTTTTAGCCTCTTCGTAGAAAAAACTCGGCAATCGAGCCCTCTTTCTTGCAAACCTTACTGCAAAGATGACATTACAGTATGGAAGTCTGAAAGAGGTTTGGACGGAAAGGGCTTGATGGAACATTCTGACGAGGAACACACAAGGGGCACACCATAAACGTGAAAGAGTGGAAGAGGGTTATTATTACGAGTCTTATCTTTTATGTTCTGTAGGATCCCTTCAGTTCAGTTTTTGCTTGGTTTCGTAAGAAATAGGACGGCTAGGAGCGAAGGAGTTACTTTGTAGGAGTTTTTTGGTCTTGCTAGAGTCAGTAGTTGAACTTGTTTTTGGTTAAGAAGCGGAACGGAATGACGATCAATAAAATAAATGATGTTAAAATATATATATATAAATATAAGTTCTGTCAGTATGTTGATATGTGAACTAACACGAAAAGCTAATAACACATCGATAATGAAAAGCATTTTTAGGGCTGTTGCGTCTAAGAAGGCCGGATAAATCGGACATAAAAATCAACAAGGAGTTGAATTTTAGGCATCCGATTTAGCCATTCTTGAAAATAGTTGCTGAGGTGTAGATTTTCTCTTGGTTTTTGTCCTGTTGAGGTGATGTTTTGCGCGGGTTTTAATGACTTCGTAAGAACATAATTTTTCATAAAAAGAGGCGAATGGATAAGAGCAGTAAAAAAGAAAGAACACGGAAAGAGGAGTAGAAAAAGAATTGGAGGAAAGGAAAGATCACCAAAAGTAGGAGTTGAGCATTTTGAGAATGTTGTCAGCTGGAATTCATGAGAGTCTTGTTGGATCACCAATTGGAAGAAAAGGCTAAATGAAAGTTAGCGCGATGGCTTATTGAAGAAGATACTGTACTTGAGCATCTAACGTCGTGGCGGAGCAGGATGTGCTAATGACGTTGTTGGATGAGCGACACGCGAGTCGTAGAGATTGTGGCCGGAATGATGCGCTACTTGAGAAGAGTGCTGTTCGTAGCCGGAGTGAGCCACCATCGTCACCGGCGGTGGAGCGACTCGGTGGATGGTTTGCTCGGTCATGATCGGTTGTTGTGGAGCCGCCACAGTTGTTGGTGCTGTCGTTGAGACGATGTTTACGGGGTGGTGCGGGACGCGCTGGAATTGGGACGTTGTTGTAGGCGTGTGACTGCTAAAAGTGCTCAAGAACAAAAGAAATGAAGGTTTTCCTACGATGGAACGTTAAAGAAAGGAGAGCGGAGCGCGTCGAAGGGTTTACAGCGCTTGACAGGATCATATTGGAGCATTCGTTTTAAAAGATCGAGGAATTTTCGGTACTCAGTCGCACTAAAAACAATTACGAACGATCAATGATTCTAATTTACCCATGTCCAGCTTCTTTGGCACGTCGACCGCCGGGCCCGCCAGTTTCTACGCCAAGAATGTCCTCGAGACGTCTATGACCAGGAGCAACATAAGACTTGTTCGGGAAGCGTTTCGTAACCCAGTGCCCATTCTTCTGCTCGAAGTACTTTTCTCTTGCTCTCCTGGTAAAGAAAGTTGAGTTTGATGAGAAGAATGAATGACTTACGGAGATCTTTCAATCATGCTATTCGGCGGAATTCCAAGAACTTCGACGATCTTCATCATTTGATCTTCTTCGTTTTGACCGGAGAAAATCGGCTCACCACAGTGCATCTCAACCAAAATACAACCTAAAAATTGGGTCTGCCGTTGAAGAACCGGTATTTTAACTCACCAAGACTCCACATGTCGATTTTCATATCATACGGAAGCCCAAGAAGCACTTCAGGACTTCTGTAAAACCTCGATTGGATATAGCTGTAGATTTTTTCTCCGACTTGACATGAGCTTCCAAAGTCGATGATTTTGATCTCAGAGCGTTTTGGATTCACCAAAAGGATATTTTCAGGTTTCAAATCGCAGTGAATAACTAAACATTGAAATCACCAGTGTTTGTGAGAAAGGCTCACTCTGGATATCTTCTCGATAAAGCTGCAGAAGGGATGTGCAAAGTTGTTGAGCAAATTTACGCGTCAGGTTAAGAGAAACACCATGGAATCGGGTCTGGCGTAACAGTTCGTAAAGGTTGTAAGAGAGCCGCTCGAAAACGAGACAGAGATGGCTTCGGAACATGAAATGTCTCTTCAGCTTCACAATGTGAAATTTCTGGAAAGATGTGTTATCTAGTGAATGCTATGAATATTATATGGAGATATATATTGATATAGACTGGGTGTACCGTATCCGGTTCTTCTGCTTGCTTCTTATTCAAAAGCTCCAAAAGACGAATTTCAACTAAAATTTAACCCTTTTTACAGTCGTCTTTTAAGATGTCGTACCTTTCGCTTGCTTGAAAAACGCAGGCTTGTTTTTTATAACTTTGATTGCTACGTCTTCGTTTGTTTCCAAGTCAATAGCCTTGACGACCTGCCCGAAGCTTCCTTTCCCCAGCACGCATTCGATTTCATACCTTTTAAACTTCAAAAAAAGGTTGAATGAAGAGAGCTTACCTATTTTCCCACTTCTCTTTCTCGCGTATAATGAGATCGTGGCGCTCATCATCGTATCCTTCATTCAGTTGCTGGCCTCGAATAGTCACCCTACCACATGATTTCAGAAGGGAACATTCACCCTTGAATTTACCGTTTACTCGGTGGATTGGTAAATCCAACGCCACTAGTACCAGGTTGAGTATCTTGCTTGGACTTTCTCTTGCGCGCGTAGTACTTTTCGTTGATGCGCTTGTAAGTGTTGATCAAGTCCACTGACAGCTTCCGCAAGGGTCCCTCCGCGAAAGGCCTTTTCCTAAATATTTTCTTCATCTCTTTATCGACCACATCGGCCAAGAGTGAGGTGAATAAACTCTCGACCTAGGTCTAGGATCGGGGGTGATCGTTGGAGATCCGAAATGACGCGCTCGAGATGAATCACCAACGAGTGGAGCGCGGGTTGTTTGGATCTCCAGAGCGCGGAGATCGAAGCTCGATCTCCAAATCAGTCCCAGGGATTTTGTCGATCTCCAATTTTCGGTGATCGGATCCCCGAATTTTCCCGACCATGGATTTCTCTCGAATACATTCATATTTTTCAGTAAATAGGGACTATGCGGGTCAGTGTCTCAAAAATTTATTAATACTAATGAGTTTGTAATGCTTATTTTCAAGAAGTAATCGCCGATAGCTTATCGCTCACCAGCCGAGCTCTAAGTGGGCGCTTTAACCAGTTAACAGGGGCGTGCAGGTTTGACCTGCACGCGTGGAAACGGTTAGCCATTCACAACCTCGGATCCTTGATTTCACTCAATCATCGACAGGCAAAAGCGTAGGCGAAATCGACCACTCTGTTAACGGGTTAACCTTTGGAAATTTAAACCGAACCAAATTTTGAATTCAAAAAATTTAAATCAAGCAGAGATAGTAAAAAGTACTTGTTTTTATCTTAAGCTTTAATCCATGCACTTTTTTGACAGAATATTTGAAATCTACTGTGCAAAATTAGTATTGTCTGAGATTTTCAAGGCTATCCGGTCAGTCGCTTCTGATATCAGTAGGCTGACAGAAGATTGTTTCAAAGTGACTCATCGACTTCGGGGATCAAAAATTTTTGGATCTCCAAGAACTGGAGATCGAGAGTGGTGATCGATCACCGCAATTTCAGAGTGGAGATCGCGCGGATCTCCACGCAATTGGAGATCCAAAGAACCCGCGCTCCACTCATTGGTGATTCAACTCGAGCGCTTCATTTCGGATCTCCAGCGATCACCCCCGATCCTAGACCTAGCTCTCGACAAAAGTATTTAGCGCCATTTTTAAACTACTTTTTTCTCATAACCGAGCTCCAATTTTAGACACGTTCTAGAGAAGAAGAGAAAAAGTACCTTGTGTCGGAAAGGGCGAGGGAGTGAACTTTTTCATTTGTTCTGGACATTTCAACATCCATTATTACGAACTCATGTCATGAGCAAATTGAGGGATAGAAGGTACGTCTCCAACTCCGATTTTTGATTCTTGTCTTAATTTATTGACTTCATTTTTAATCGTTTCTTGAATGATTTTCTTGAATGAACTTTGACGAGGAATCGAAAGAAGAGGGGTACTGTTATCTGTGATAAATTGCACGGAAAAGTAGCAGCGGTATTATTTACTTTGATCAGAAAGGAATGAATAATTTCAACTTGAAACAAAACGACTTCAAACATCAGGCTTCTTCAGCTTCCTCAATATTATCATCAGCGTTTATTTGTTTATTAAGCCACTAGAAATTTATTTCAAAGTCAGAACGAGAATAAGTTAAAATTCCTGTATCGTTGCTGGATGAATGGCTCCTTCATGCTTCTGCATGTCTTTCCACTTCAACGAGCCGCAGAGAAAGTCGCGAACTTGCTTCACTGTGGCGACTGATACCATGGTATCCCCATCTACTGCCGATCCAAGACTTGATAATTGCTAAAGACAAGTTCAAATACAGTCGTTAAGGGCTGTTTTACCTGTACAGCAGCATCAAGTCTCGCAGCGCAAAATAGACTCATCTGCCTCTGTTCTTCATACTTTTTCAAAAGACTACAATTTAAAATTAAAAAGTCGCAAGGTAAAGCAAACTCACAAATCAAACTTGCTTCTCTCAACAACAGGTTTTGCATCCGACTCGACAATGTCTTTGATCCCTTTGTCAATCTTCGAGTAAATATCGGATATTTTGTTGATTACTTGGCTGGTTTTCTGGTCGATATTTTTCTTCGTTTTGGCAAAGTTGAGACCGTGGCGAGACTTTTCAATTGTTTTCGTCTGCTCAATCACGTTGGCAACGTCGTCTGGAGAGGGATATCGCATGAGTGTGCTTTTGTTTCATTTATTTATTTGAAGCAAGGTGAGCAAAACACACCTGAGAATATTTCCCGCATCGTCATTCAGTAGCAAAACACGCTGTCCAACCAACATGGCGACAAAAAACGAGCTCACCATTTCAAGATTCGTTGCGAACAAAAAGTCCCAAACGCAAAGAAGATCTTGCATTGGAAACTCGCGACCAAAGAGGAGTCGCAGCCAGCGAACTGCGTAAACTTGGGGGAGGATGTGATGCCGCTCTAGGTGGCGGTAGAGCTCGATGTCCACGGATTTGAGGTGGTTGTGGTACACGTCGCGAATATAATATTCTAGTTCTGAGGTAGCATCTCTAAATTGATGATAAAAGGGATGAAGATTGAATAAAGTTGATTTACCTGGCTTCAGGCTCTGGATCAATATACCACTTTCTGCACTTGCGCATGACCTTACTGAACATAATGTAGCAATCAGCGGCAAGTTCAGAGCCATTCGAAATGAGGAGCAAATCTTGAGGTAGTCGTCCCACGGAGGAGAGGTGTTGAGTAGCAGCAGCGTCACAGTGGAGGGTGAAAATTATTGGCGCTAGGATTTCGTGCATTCCTTGTTTGTATCCGATTTTCGGATCAACTAAACAGCATCGTTATTTTTGATGAATTACAAGATGAAACTTACCCTTTGCGTAAAGAAATAAAAGATCGCACATGAGATTTCGAATTTTAGTCGACTGGAAGAAAGCCACTTCTGGAATAGTTCTGTCAACGTCTTGCCTGATCAACGACTTCAACTCCTCGTCCCTAAATTGCCGTCAGATGAGGTTTTCAGCTTCAGTTAACCTGAACTTCATTCTCCAACTATCATCTGGACAAATATCCGATGTACCAAGTGGATCTCCGTTGAATGATGAAGAGTCTTTGTTGCCAAACTTTAGCGAGATCTGACGATACTCGGCCCTTGAAGTTGTTATGTCCGATTTCCATGTCTCCCGAGCAGGACTTAAAACTCTAAGGTAGATTTTCCACGCCAGTCCACGAAACTTTGATCCTTTTAATTTCACATTTATGGCTAGATTGCGCACATATGTGTTGATATCTTCTCTGCCGACGAGGTCATGATATTGCGAAACGTATGCTGCAAGATACAGAATAAATATTTGATTGCGAAGTACAACCGAGGTCGAATTGTAAAAACGAACTCACCTTCTAAAGCTGCATCCGATGGAAACTCGTCGATCAGCTTCGCAATCTGAGCAGCAGATGACATTGACACTCGATTTCAAGCCTTACTTCATTCTTTAAAAAATATCTCTAGTTGAAGCAAAACCGCCAACTTGGATAGAGATGCTAATTTGAAAGACGGTGCACAATTTCGTTCTCTCGTGGGAGTTAATATACTGTATATTATATACAAGCAATTCGATATTCAGAGTTTTTTAAAAGGCAAGCAAAAAGTATAATTGGTGTTTAAAATTTGATAAAAGCATTTAACTCGAAGATAAAAAGCGATCTCGAATCAAATGATTCGAGCAATTGCTAGTGGTCGGTCAAATATGCCTTTGAAAACGCGAAAGGATAAAAGATATTAAAAATTAAAAGAAGCAAGCAACAGTTGCGGCTTTGCGTCATTGGTTTTTTATTTTCAGTAATTTGATATATTGGCAGTTTCATTCCGAGTTGGTTAGATTTTTCGCCATCTCTTGTAGCTCGTTGTAGCTCGACGCATATCGCATGTCATTCTCTAGTACGCTTTTTAATAACTAATAAAGAGACAAGACAATCACCTGCTGATCGCTTTCTCCAGCACTTCGCTATGTATTTCCAGCGAGCATGGTGCCCTCTGAATATTTTTTGCGGATCGGTTTCATCTTTTGATGCTGTGTCAGGTTTTATATCCACGGGGACCAAAGGTGAAACGAACTTGCCATCTTCGGCGAAATTGTTCCACGGAGTATCAACCGGAGGCAAGTTAGACTGGAACATTTTCTTTGCAGGAGGGCGGTAGTACTGTGTTCTTACCCAGTCGCGACAGAGACTGTATAATCTTCAAAACTGCTTTTAGGGTATCCTATTCTGTAAAATTTGCTTACGAAGTATCATCAGGAATATTTGAAAGTTCAATTTCTTTGTCTCGAATCTTGACTCGCTTTCGTCTGGGAGTTATGCCTCTCAAAGCAAGCTTCAGCTCTTCTTCAGCTTCGATCACTTCGGATGAGACTACTTCTATCTTTTCCGATGACATTGTCTGAATAGATGAATTCTTGAAAGAGAGTTTTAAAAAAATCGGAATGTTCAAGATATAAGGCAGTTAAATGATCAGATCGAGGTAAAAATTAAAGAGATTGATGAAAAGCAAGCGCGTCCGGGTGAGCTGTAATTGTCAGCGGATTGAAATCCAAGACCTTCAGTCCCTTGAGCGTGCGACATCGACTCAGTGCCACATAAGCCTGTCCGTGCTCGAACGCGCTCGACAACGAGACTTGCGCAAGGTCCAAAGACATGCCTTTTGATCAGGCCCAGCACGAGTTTATATGAGAGACGATCTGAGGGGCAATTAATCGATTTATCTGAGGCGGATAATTGCTTAAGTGCTGAGCCTCTCCTTGTGACTTGTGGATACTCATTGCCCAAGCTAATTTAAGGGGATATTGGACACGTACCAAAAGACGATCCGCAATTTTAATCCCAAACCGTTCTCGCTTCAGAACTATCGATTGAGGATGAGATAGAAACTTTACTTTCGGCCCACTTTCAGTGAATTCTTCGACCACACCTCTTGAGCCATTCACAAGTCCGGATGAAACTGCAAGGTTCTTCGTTAACATGACTTGAGAACCGACTTTGAGACGAAGCTCTTGAACCGCATTTGGAAGCATTTTGTTCAAGGCAAAAAGAATCTTGCTGTCAGTTACTGAGTCTTCTGCCAAATAGACCTTTTCTTCTGTTTTGAGTTTTTGCAACTCAGATTTATTGAGCGAGTCTACTTGATTGTTGTGCGTCATGAGTTTGGTCGGAATGATTTGATCCGGTAATTCCTTGTGATTCGCTTTTGTCTCGTTGATCCGATCCTGAACCCACTTTGGCACGCATCCTGTTCGAATAACATTAAGCATTCTGCAGAACTCACCGTCATTCGCTTGCCGAAACACCTCCTTGAGTTCGTAAACTTTTTTGATGGATTCATTCCAAGCAGAAGCTTGGAAACAGAACTTTGCCTTCTTCACATTATCTCCAAATCCTTTTGAGACTGGCGGGAGCTGGAGAAAATCCCCAGCAACGATGAGTTGAATCCCCCCGAAGGGCTCCTCGTTTCCTCGAACACCACGTGCAACAGCTTCTAGAAGGTCAAAGAACTCCGCGGTCACCATTGAAATTTCATCAATAATAATCGTCTTGATTTTCTTCCACGATCTTGTCAGAGACTTCTTTGACTTGACCAAAGAAATGCAACTTTCGACAGTTCTATTCCCGATTCCAATTCCGGCAAAAGCATGCAACGTCTGACCCTGTAATGGCGCTGCAGCACACCCTGTTGAAGCAGTAATCGCAGTTGTATCAGTCGGCAACGATTTGATCAGTTCTTTTAGAACATATGATTTGCCAGTTCCAGCAGCGCCAGTAAAGAAGATTGAGTCGCCAGCACGAGCGGAGGCGATAATTTGCTTCTGAACTTCATTCAGTGGAGTTTTTTTAACTGTGATTGTTGGCATTTTTAGTTTAGGTTTTGCTGCTAACTGGCCTAATTTTCTCGCGGCTTCTCGTCTTTGTTGAAGTTTTCGAACTTTTCAAGGGATAATTTGTTTCAGCGCACATAATTATATTTTCTTGTCAGTTTCCTTTCCTGGTGTAGTATTTTTTCGCGGCGTTATTTGTTTCTGATTAGCAGCTGCCAACCGCAAATTCACTTTCTCCAGTTCTCTCGGCCTTAGCGGCGAGATCTCGTCGACTTCTCCTCGAATAATCAAGTGTTTATTCTTCACGGGAGTTTGGTTGTTATATTTCACCAGGAGTAGTTTCAAGACGTCCTTGAGTTGTTCTTCCGAGGCGTTTGAGATCAAAAACCTTCTCTTGCCCTGATCTGAGTCCAATTCGATTGTCGCCTTTCCAGCTGGTATAAACTTTCCCATCACTTTGAGCGTCATCACTCGATAGATCGAAGCAGTACTTCCATGAACTACCTTTATGCAAATGTCTCGATTTGCACTTCTTGTGATGTTCAAGCTACACTAGAATTATCTTCTTTAATTTTGCTTTACGAAATATTATTCCTTACATTCGAGTATTTCTTCGTTGACAGAACTCCTGATGGTCCTAGTTTCTCAATGACGGCATTGCAACTAACACTCGTGTCCATGTCTAGTACAATAACGTTTAACATGTTATTCCATATAAAAAGACTACAGAACAGAAGAAGGTTTATTTGATTATTTTTAAAACAGCAAGAAGAGATAAGTCTATATTAATTTGACGAACTCAGTCCAGTCATAACTGCCAGAATTCATAATTTTATGCCGCGCGCCGATCTGATTCAGCTCCAAATCGGCTTTAGATAAGTCGTTTAGCCCTTCACATCTTTCTAAAGTCGCCTCTAGAGTGGCTTTGACTGCATAAATCGCGCATCCTACAGCTTGATGAAATGGAAGTGAAGCTAAAGTTCAATTTTCGTAACATAAAAAAACGAGTAAAATACCGGAATGCGCACATAAACAAGCAGCAAACATATCTCCAGTTCCAGTAAAGTGCACAAATCCATTTTGGTTATCTTTCGTAATACATCTTCTATCAGTCAATACTGGCATACGAATCTTTCCTCGTATACTAGTCTCATTATCAGACACAAGGCCAATCATAAATTTTCCATCTTCTTCGGTCATAAGAGTCGAAGTTATGCATATTTTCTGAGGTCCAAGGTTGTGCAGGGCTTCGATACATTCCCAGGCACTTTTTTCATCCGTGATTTTGATTCCTAAATCATTGTAGAGTTCAAAGGGTTCAATGATCAGAGCGAACCTGTAAGACATTCTGCTTCGAATTGATTAGGTGTCAAAACCGTAGCTTTCTTGCACGAAATATCTCTGTGCACAGCAACAAGCTCTTCTGGTACGTAAAGACCTCTGGGGTAATCTCCAAGGACCGGATCACAAACCCACGTCGCTCCCGCTTCATCAACAAGATCAGAAATAACTTGGCAAATGCCCTTGTCGCGCATGTATCCAGACAAAATCACATCGTATTTCTGAATCCAGCCTTTGCTTCGCAATCCATCCAGAAGTGACGCTACTTCTGCAGTTTCGAGCATTTTACCAGTCCACGAGCCGTAGCCAGTGTGGTTGCTGAATTGGACAGTGTTTAATCTGTCCACCTCCAGCCCGAGGAGCTCTTAAATTCATCATTTTCACGTGAGAACAAACAGAAACCACACTCACCGAGAGGAAACGCAGCTGAGGCATTTCCACACTTTCCCCTGACGACGTGACTTTGAATCGATAAAACTCTCTGCATTCTTTCTCGATTCTCTTTTCCGATTTCTGAAGCCATCTTGTGTTCAAAAATTTTTTTTTCAAATTCACGTTTATTCAAAGTTAGATCATTATTGTATCTTGACAACGCCCACGTAGCAAAATATTATCCTAAGAAGCGTAATGAAAAGAAAAAAAAAAAGATTTGCCTACTAGAACAAAAGTAAAAATGGAGTATTTTTTCAATAAAAAAATGAACAAAATTTAAGGAATTGAATGAAGCATCAAGGTTTTTGAATACAAGATAAATGTTGTGTCAGTTTTATAGTGTAGAGGGCAGTAAGGAAACCTAGTTTTTCTCAATTTGTGAACAGAGGGGTGGAAATCTGGCGTTTAGCCAAACATCTTCGCGAATTTCTTCTTCTCGCCTTCATTATACTTCTTTGCGGCGGCTTTAATAACCTGTTGCTCTTTGGCGATGGCCTTATCCTCTGAAAGGAATCGATCATAATTTGCGAAAGGATGTCATTGAGCATTATAAAGAAGGTTATTATAAAGAATTGAGACATGCGGGAATACTTGCGTACCTGGAGCGAGGGAAGCGGCGGTTGCCAACTCTTTTAAAGCTTCACTGTAGTCCTTACTGGCTGCTAGGGCTCGAGCAAGGCGGAAATACCCTAGAAATGATTAATATTCAAGTTGTGGTAAGATTTCTACCTTTGGGATTCTTTGAATCCGCCTTGATAGCTCGACGAGCATGGCTATCAGCTGCTGACGGATTCTTCAAGAGCAAGTAGCACATGCTCATATTCAAAAGAATCGCGCATTCTTGTTTATTCACCTCCTGCTGTTTTTCGTCGCACTTGACTTCGACGTCTGTCTTCGGTTCTTCTTTCTCGGAGTCAGAGTCGGACTCGACTTTTTCGTCGGTTTCATAATCGGCGCGGTTCAAATAAACAAGCGATTTTTCATACTTTTTGATGGCCATTTCGAAATTCTTTGCTAAAACGAAAAAATAATAATAGACGACGATAGAGGAATCTTACCTTTGTACTGCTCATTTCCAATATCTTTCAAGTCGGCTGAAATCTTAATTCGAAGAGCAGTGGTTAGTCCTTCGTAGTCTTCAGGCAAGATTGGGTAGTTGTCGCCGGTTCCGTCGTCGATGGGCGTCATACCGTCGTCCTCTCCTGGTTGAAGCTCTCCACAGTCAGTGATTTCGCATCGGACTTTTGGTGAGTCACCAGAAGTAGAGACTGTTTCCAAGCGTTTGATCGCTGCGAACCCTTTGATAGCTTTTCCGAAAACAACCTAAAACAAGTTGTTGCAAAGAAGAGAAACATTTTGCTTACATGTTTCCCATCCAAATGAGGAGTGTTCACAGTAGTGATAAAAAATTGCGAGCCATTCGTTCCTGGCCCAGCATTCGCCATAGAAAGAAGATACGGCTCGTCATGCTTCATCACAAAATTTTCATCTTCAAACTTTTCCCCGTAAATAGATTTTCCTCCAGTGCCATTGTGATTTGTAAAATCTCCACCTTGGATCATAAAATTGCGAATAATACGATGGAATGTTGATCCCTAAAATAAAATCTCTGACTGAGAAACTTTGCTCTAACGAACCTTGTAGCCAAAGCCCGGTTCTCCTGTGCAGAGTTGTCGGAAGTTCTCGCATGTTTTGGGCGTAGTGTCGACAAACAGCTCAAAGATAATTCGACCGATTGGGCTTCCAGCCATGCTCACATCGAAGAAGCATCTAACTCGTTTATCTTCGGACATTCTTCAAAAGAAAAAAAGGTGTAAAGTTGGTACGATTTGTCTTTTACAAGAGCGCTCGTTGAACAGGAAATAAAATGATTACACATATTTTGATAATACACAGAATGATTTGCTCATAAGATGAAGGTTCAATTTGACTACTGGTACTTTGATAAAAATTGTCTAGTTTGTAGTTGTTGCTTATTGCTTCTTGGCTTTGAACTTTTCTGTTTGGACCCGGAGTTCGGCCACTCTTTCGTTGAAATGAGGATGAGAGTGGTTCTTCCAGGCGTACCAACTGTCACACAGTGGGAAGTTGGAGTTATCGTTGAATAATTTCGCTAGAGCTTTTTCCAGAAGCTCACCGTAGCCGAGGCCGACGGCGAATCGGTCAGCCTGAAGAGTTATTAAAACGAAATTCGTTTGATAAGGGGGTTACTTCAAATTCGTTGCTTCGGATGAAAAGAGTCATAAACAGGCCGACGATTTCGAACATTGGAGCCATAATCGTCGTTAATACAACTGGAATAATTTATAAATAATTATTAACGAGAGGTTCCTTTACCAATTAATTTGATATAGACACCAGCTTCTAGCTCGTCTTTGTATCCAAAATTAGCAAAGAGCTCGTCATTGTTGATGAAGAATCTAAAATGAAAATTAAAAAGAAAGTTCAGCAACGGAAAGTTGAAGAATTAAAAATAGAGTATTATATACCGCGTCAATACCCGAAGCCGTAAAAAGTCACAAAAGTAAGAATCTCCTGAACAATCAGCATTTTGACGGTATGTCCCATTTTCCAATGACCAAGTTCGTGTCCAAGAACAGCGACAATTTCATCGTCTTCGCATCCTTTTCCTTCATTCTTTCCAGTGCATTCCGAGGCGATCAAGGTATCAAAGAGCACTATTCTTTTGTTGTTTCGGAAACCATACATGTACGCGTTGCTAGCGAATAAAAAGTTAAAGCATCTATGAAAAAGTCTTTAAAATTACCTATGACTTGATCGTTTTGAGCCATCAACCACGTATAATTTCTTGAGGGGAAATTCCAAGCTTCCAGCGAGCTTTTCAATCTTTTCTTTCAAGACTCCTTCTTTTAGCGGGCTGTACTTATCGAAAAGGGGGGCGATGAATTCCGGATAAACGTACATCATTACGAACATGACGATAGACATCAGCACCCAAGCGTAGATGTAAAAATTATCTCCGAAGAATTTGACGACCCAGACGATCAAGCACATTATAGCAGCGTTGAGGGGGATGCCAATTGTGAAGAGCTTCTTTACTTTATCCGTCAGCCAGAATTTCACGGTCATGTTGTTGAAGCCGTGTTTTGCCTCGAGAACGAAATTGGAGTAGTAACTCCATGGAAGACCAATGATAGATTCGAAGACGCTCGTCAAGAAAATCACCATGCAAGTATGATAATATTCATTGTCAAAGCCGTACTGGTTGGAGATTTCTTTCGCCTTTCCCCAAAAAGCAGGAGAAATGAAGAAAAGCGTAAAGGCTGTTGTCCGCAGGGTTTCGTAGAATTCGTGGATAAGGCCGTATTTCATCTTGTCATCAGCATAACTTTGGGACTTCTTGAATGATTCTTGGCTAAAGTGACTTTTGAGCATTGAATTTAGATCCGAATATGTTGATTTTCTTCATTTAGGGTTCCTTCACATATTTTTATTATAATAATTGAGTGAGAAAGAAAGAGGAGACTCGAAATATCAATTTTGGCAGCAAGCGTACTTACTAAATTAGATTTTCAACCCGATTTCCTGACGACTTTCCACTGTCGGAAATTGAGATAATTTTCCAGGGCATACACTCCCCAGAGAAAGACGAACCACTGGGTCATATAATCCATCTTCTCTTTCTTTCTTTTCGACCCTTCTCTAAGATTTTCCTATGTCGACTCGAAATTTCCAGCTTTGTGTGCGTGAAGAAGAATTCTTCACAAAGCGCCGCGGGCAGATTTTTCAGCCAATCAAAGCGCGAGAAGAGAGAAAGCCTGAAATCTGGAGAAGGGTCGAGAAAATTTATCGACGATTTATCGATTGGTACTATTGATGAAAAATTGTAAGAAAAGGTATCTAGAATGGATCGGTTTTGGAATTGGAAAAGAAGCCGGTAGAGGAAAGGCTGGAGAGCTTTCGGTCGATTCCCGTTACTGATATCGAGGTGCTCAAGAAAGGTGGAATCCTTCAAAGGTATGCGAAGCGCACTATGCTAGTTTATAATTGATAGAATGGAGCTGATGTGTATGCAAATCCAAGCTGATTTCTGTGGAAATATCGAACGAATCGAAAGAAGTGTCGATTCTCAAGCTTCCTTCAAAGTCGATAAATGGGAACGAAAAGACCACGGTGGCGGTGGAATCACCTGCGTTCTTCAGGACGGAAAAGTGTTTGAAAAGTCTGGCGTTGGAATATCGGTCGTTGTGAGCAAACTCAACCCAAAAATGCAGGAAGCGATGCGTTCGAGGGGACATAAGCTTACTCCACCGAATGAAGGAGACACACTGCCCTTTTCCGTCGTCGGGTGAGTTCTTTTCTTCGCCAAACTTTACCGTCTTTCAAAGCGTTTCTTGCGTGACACATCCAGTAAATCCTCACTGCCCTACGATCCACTACAACTACCGCTATTTTGAAGTCGAAACTGCGGACGGAATCGAAGCCTGGTTCGGCGGTGGAACTGATCTCACCCCTGCTTATATCAACGAAGAAGATATCAAGCACTTTCACAGCACTCAAAAAAAGGCCTGCGATAGAAGTGGACCTGGCGTTTATGAAAAGTTCAAAAAGTGGTGCGACAAGTATTTTGTTAATACACACCGTGGACCGAAGTAAGGGAACGCTGAGAAATTAATAATTATAACTTTACTAGTGGAGAATGCCGGGGAGTCGGCGGCACCTTTTTCGATGACGTTATTGGTGATTTTGCTGAAGAAGGCAAGGCAGATTACCAAGCCGGTTTCCGACATCAAATGTCGTGTGGAAGTTCAATTTGTGAAAGCTACTTTCCGATAATTGAACGGCGAATGCATTCTGAGTTCACTGAAGAGGAAAAGGACTGGCAACAAATTCGAAGAGGGCGATATGTTGAATTCAATCTGGTTCACGATCGTGGAACAAAATTTGGCTTTGCTACTCCCGGTATGAAACGATCCTCAATTCCAATTCTTGAATTAATTTAGGCGTCCGAATCGAAGCTGTTCTCATGTCTCTTCCGTTGACCGCGCGATGGCAGTACGAACACCATCCAGAAGAAGGCACTAAAGAACACGAAGCATTGATGGTCTTTCAAAATCCTCGAGACTGGCTGTAATTTCATTATTTCAAGTTCAATACTACTTATTCCTGAATCAAAAATACCCACTATTTCTGCCACTGTGAGCCAAGGCAAGGCGAATCTAATTTATCTTCAATTTATGTTGCAAACTGTTTTTATGCAGGCTAATTTATTTATTTATTTCTTAAGTTTTATCGTAAAATCTTTTTCTTTAAGAATGAACAGATGCTTTGTCAGATTTCACTCGATAAAATCGAGAGCAGTCCTCAACAGAAAGTTTGACAAAGTTCATATTTCTGTTACAGGTAGTTCCCAAATGTATGTTTTTGGTAATCAAAAAGCTCAGGAAATAAATACAATGACGACTTCAACTGCATGATGAACAAAGGGATTTCTACACCACTGGATGTGGCCGAGAAAATTTCGTTGCGAACGGCTCAGAATGCTGTAATGGCTGTGGTCCGGCAGAAGGAGAAGCCGCTGGAGCAGGGAGATGATTATTTATTCGCTGAAGAGTACCAAGAAGAACCAATTGCTGTCGATATCAATCAGCCATTGAATTACTCGTGCAATTTGGGTTTGATTTTGAGTAGTTTTTGTCCGTCATCATTTTGAATTTTCAGATATTTTGAGTTTCAAAAATGCCACTTGCCAAGAATTAGATTATTATGATGAAGTGAGCAAAGCCTACTGGAGAACGTGTACATTTTTGCTCGGGCATGCGATGAAAACGGCCTTTTCTGAAAGTTTTGGAAATCTGAGCGCAGTTGAAAGTTTGGATTTATCAGTTGAGTCTGGATCGTTCGGAGTTAGAATCGCTTTTGATAGCGATGTTTCTTGTAAGATTCATCAAGAAAGTCCCCATTCACGTTCTTTTTAGCATGGTCACCTAGCGAAATCGATCTTCAAAAACTTACTCGACACTGTCGAAACATCCTCAATTCCCAAATAAGTCTAAATCTAATCGGTGAAAATGCATATTCCCTTGGAAAAACAGAAGCCTCTTTTGATGGTCCTTTGATTCAGTCTCTCTCTCAAATCGGAAATTTTGCTGTGACCGCGATTGATAAGTTAGACGATGGATCTTTTGAAATTCGTGGAACTTCGTTGCCAGCGGAGTTTGGAACGAATCACGTTGTTTTTGGAATCCTGGAGCAGAAGAGTAAAGCATCGACTTTAGAAGAATTTGAAAGTCGTAGAAAAGTACCAGAAAAGACGCTTGCGAATTTAGCCAAGGTGAGATTTGCTTGAAATTTCAATGTTTAAATAGAATTAAAGGACGAAACCTTGTTGTACAAACAATGGACGGGATCCTACAATACGTCCGAGAAAACAGAAATCATCATGAAGGAAGGAGAAGGATCTGAACAGGAAGCACTCTCCAACATCATCAAATCCTCCTCACCTTCACCGAACCACGATCTCAACAAACAATACAGAGAGTTCGAAGTCGGCCGAAAATTCCTCAGAACCCGGCAGGCTCTCAATGTCGCGACTGCTTACAAGCTTCGATCTATCTTTAAAAATGGAAAATTCGAGCATTCTGTTTATTCTGATGAAACGAAGCAATAAATCATTTTGTGAATTATCTTACTCTAATTGTTTGATCGTTTAGATTTATGAAAGAGTGTCCTTATGGCCTTGGATGTTACAGGAAACGTCCCGAGCATTTCGATGAGTTTTCGCATCCACCAGAGCACAAAATAGCCAATCGATTCAAAGCTCAAAAGGAAGCAAAATCTGCGGATAAATCAGCAAAAGTTATCGGCAAGGAGAACATTTCAGTGAAAACTTCCGAAATCAAAGAGAAAGAGAAAACTCTTTCGGAGAAGTTTGGTTTTTACTTTACAAAGGTCCCGGGAATCAAAAGGTACAATCCTTGAATTCGTCTATTCATCAGCTTGTGTAGTACAACATGGAGTTCACTTTCTTTCGGCGATTTGCTCAGACTTCATCCCAATCTGGAAAGCTCCGTTCATTTTAATTACATGATTGACTTGGAATTCGTCCTAAAACATAAGCCAAATTCTTCGAAAATATTACTCGTCTCAGGCGACACTCTATTTCAAGGGCGAGAAGGCATTCCGCACAATATTTTCCAGTGCGTCGCAGATGTTCCTCAATTTGGAACGCATCATACAAAAATGTCAATTCTTAAATTTCGCGAAGGACTTCGAATTGCTGTTTACTCCGCGAATTTGTTGGATTATGACTGGGAAGAACGAACACAAGTGATTTGGCTATCCCCGCTTCTTCCTCTCTTGAACGGGAGCGAGAAGAACGCAACAGAGTTCGAGACTGATCTAATCGAATACATTGATAGCTACAGCCTTGCTCCGCTGAATTCGCTCCTCCAGTCTTTTGAAAAATATGATTTCTCTTCAATAAAAGCCCGCCTAGTTGCTTCATCTCCCGGAAGAAGACGCGACAAAGAAAAATGGAAGTTTGGTCATTTGAAACTACGCAAACTTCTCAAACAAGCAAAATCTTGTAATAAGGAAGATCAACTCATCGCCCAGTGCAGTTCGATTGGCTCTATTAGATCTCGAGACTCGTGGCTCTTTAATGAGTTTCTAGCGTCCTTCATGACCTCCGCTGATGGAGCGAGTCACTATACAAAAGATGAAAACGCTTTCAGGCTTGTTTACCCAACTGTGGAGCAAATCAAGTGCTCAAAATTTGGTTATTCTTCTGGGGGCTCATTTCCATATTCTGCTAAGACCCACGAGAATCAAAAATGGATCACAGATTATATGGCGAAGTGGCAGCCTGATAAAAAGACAGGAAGAAGTCGAGTGATGCCGCATTCAAAGATCTACCAGAGAGTCTCCGACGGAAAAGTAAAGTGGGTTCTTTCAGGGAGTCATAATTTGTCAAAAGCTGCTTGGGGACAGGTAAAATCTTCCTTGATTTCTCAATTGATCTCAATCTTAAGTGCGAAAAAGGCGACAGTCAATTTCATATCCGCTCATTTGAAGCTTCAATTCTCTTCTTTCCGCAAGACTTCGGCCTCGAATCATTCAACCTTCCTACATTCCCGGAATTCCACAACTTGGCAAAGATAGAAAAATACTCAGAAAACGACCGTCCATGGCTGTATGACGTGAAATACCTTGAACCTGATGATTTTAACCAAACCTGGGATCCAAAATAATTTCAAATTTCTGTTCGAACTTTCATATGAAAATTAATCCTTTTAGAAATGGTCACGCATTTTGGCTCACTCGAATTGCCCAAGCCAATCGAGAAGAAATCTCCTGCTTTGATCGACCTCACAGCTGAAGGATATCGAAATGCTGATGGATCTCTTTGCAACTTCCCAGTTGTTGAAGCAATTCGAAGCTCGATCGCGATGGATGTCACTTTAAATCACGAGTATTTGCCAATTCGAGGGCTAGAAAGCTTCCAGGATTCTGTTTTGCGCCTGATTCTGGGAAATTGCTCACCAGCAATTATCAACAACAACGGGATCTGCAGCCAGACGCTTGGCATCAAGAATTCCTTTCGTATTGCAGCGGACTTTCTCAAACAAACTGACCGACTCGCGAATACAGTTCTTATTCCTCAACAAACCGATAACTCCAGAAGAGAGATTTTCGAAGCAGCTGGCTTCATGAATATCAAAAACTATTCGTTCCTCACATTTTTCGATAACAGCCAGATATTTGATATGAGCGCTTTTTCGAAAGCTACTGATGATATCCCTCGCGGTTCAATTTTACGTAAGAATCATGCGGATAAAAATCTATTAATCTATTAGTTTTGAGTCCTTCTTCTCAATATCCAACAGGCGTTCCCATCGATCGAGCGCAATGGGAAGAAATCGCCACAATAGTCATTTCTAAACGGATCTTTGTTATCTTCGACACTCCCTTCCTTGGTTTCGGGACTGGCGATATAGCAGAAGATTCATGGCCGATCCGATACTTTGCCAAACTTGGGCTTTCGTTTATGGTTGCGGTTTCTTTCACTGAGAACTTTGGAATACACGATGATCCGTGTGGAGCTTTGATTCTAGTTGCTGACAACACTGTGAACGCGTCCAACTGTGCCAGCCAAATAGAAAGCATTATAAGCGCCAGCTACACAAATCCACCGCAACAGGGCGCTAGGATCGTCACAACAGTACTGAACAACGACTGCTATCGACGAGAATGGAATAGGATTCTCTGTGAGGTTTACGATCATGCTCAAGCTTGGAGAAAAAAGTTCTACGAGCTCACGAGAATGAAGGGCTTTACAAAGTCATGGAAATTCATCACTGACCAAGAAGGCCTCTTTATTTTCACAGCTCTTTCAGGTTTTGAACCCTCATATGACTCATGACAACAGATTTATAGCCGAGGAAATCGACTATATAAGAGAAGAGTACTCCATCGCCATCAGAGATGATGGTGCTATCAACATTTCCACAATCAACGATGACAATATCCACACGATTGTCGGCGCTCTTTTGAAATCGTCAATTAATTTCCGAAGCATTTATTTGCCGTTACTTCTTCTATTTTTCTATTGCTCTTTCAATCTATTTTTCTACTTCAAAAATATTCTAACATCTAACGTCCAGAAATTCGAAATCATGGAGAATAGTCATGGCTTCAGTTTTGTTATTGATTTGATTTATTGAAAAGAAAAGCATAAAATGAAATATCAGAAACATATTCTCTACTGATCAAAAGTTGAAGTGGTAGTGTCGTCCTGTTTCTCACGAGCTTGGTTTCTTACTGAGGATGGGATTACATGCGGAACAAACTTTCGTTGAGGTGGAGCTTTTTTCGATTTATCGGTATTCTCGACTTTGTTCTTCAAATATTCTCGGACGAGCTTTAAATCTTCATCATATTGCTTCTGCAGAGAATCTGCTAAATCCGGCAACATTTGTTTGAATTGAAAGATCACTCCTTTACTATCCGCGGGTCCAGGGAAGAATCCACGAAAAATAGAGGCAGCAGAAATGTAAATAGCTGCTTTTGACTTATCTGCCTTTTTGAGCTCTGCGGCGGCTGAGAGCTTCAGTTCTGTGACTTTAAATTCTTGTAAGAATTAAATCAAGTTACTATGTCTCCACTTACATATTTGTTCTTGCTTTTCAATCGATAAATTGAGCGTATAGTCGTCTCCAAGTCTTTCTCCATCCTCGATTTCGACGTCGAGACCTTCTAACTTTTCCAAGATATAAGGCGTAGTCATCTTTAGTATAATGTAACTGCTAATAATTTTAAGCATATATATCGCTATATTGCGTCTTCTAGAAATGATAACAACCTTTAATATTTATGAAAACATCGGTTGATCAAGGACTCAGACATCGTTTGGTCGCTGATCGACACGCATAGGGTTAAAATTTCAGACCATGACGTGGTCTTCAAGAAATAGTGGTTTCTTCTTGACTTGGATCGACTGGCGGATGTTTCTCCGTTAGTTTGAGGTTTTGCCGCGTAATCAAAGTGTTTGCGCAACTTCTTGAGCAACACCCGTGAAACCCACAAGCCGCTCTTGTCGCCACTTTTTCCTTAAAAAATAGTCGCTTTTGTTAACACACTTGCTTCTTGGATGAACAAACATTTCTAGCCACGAGACTCAAGTAAATTGTTATAAATTAGATCAACCTAAAACATACTCTTGCGTAATGTTTAAAATGGAAATTAATTCTTATTTGATGAGTGAAATTACGGCCAAGCAAGGTGGCCCATTGAACGGCGAATTCCAACAAGTGCTCCATTAGAAGCGCAGTTCCGTCATTTCCCGACATAAATCTAACCGCGCTTCCAGTTGCTTAAAATAAGTCCTCCATTAGGCAGTTTCCGCTAATGTCCTCGTCTCAATTCCGCCCAACACCTGAGCAATGTTCCTATCACTGTCTCGTCTCTCCACCAGTAGTGGATTATTATATTTTAGCTTCTTCCATAAAATCCTTTTATCTACCCTGCTCACCGCATTTCAAACACTCAAAGAGTACTGAACTGATTACCCCGCCGTCCAAAATAAATAGGAACTCGTCCACAGATCAGGCCGTAAAATTTCAGCTGCGGAGTACCGCCAGTTCTGAGCGAGTATTTGCAGCATCAATATGCCTAGGCAAATGTCGGCTCGAATTTACGAGGAAACAAAATTTTGGTGGGGAAGACGCGCGACATGAACTTTATTGCCGACGACAGGATGATAGAAGGGACCTTTGAGATCTCTGATGCAGCATGTTTTCTTCCTAGTGTTACTCAAAAGATCCATGATCGATTGATTATTAAAAAATACTAATTGAATTATTACCTCCTAATTCCATTTGCGATAGCTCACCGCACCGCCCTAACACAAGGGCTCTAACTCGGCTTTACTGACTCCACGTAAGGTCGAAATCGCGTTTCTCCAGTCAGTGGCTTTGGATTAATCCGAGTTGTTGCGCCCGGGCAACAACGAATAATCTAGCCGCGTCTCTAGAATTTCACAGACTGGGCGCAATGCCTCTCCCGTACGACCGCCAAATGACGGAGACGTTCACCAGTCGGTTTGGAGTGTAACCAGCCTTCTTCCGGTCCCAATTTCCGGATTGCTTGTCTTGCTGGCCAAGAAGAATATGATGAGTCAGTGCTAATTGCAGGTTATTCAATTAATTCTTCAGCAGACATCTAAAACTTCATCGCGAAAAAACTTCAGTTTCTCAAGATAGAGCGGCCAAAAATAAACACGTCAATTATTCTTCCGGCTTTGGTCCGTGTACTAAGGACTCGATTGAGTTGAGGCGTCTCAGAATGCTGTTTGTTGGTTCTGCCAAATTTTGAATGGACAAACACTAATAACATCAGAACGAAGACTGCCACTCATCTAACATAAATGTTGCTTTGTCATTGATTTTGCTAGACAAAGACCATAATTCCGCCAGTTAATCCTCGTGAATCGGCGGCGCTATAAAAACATGTGGATTAGCGTATATAAAATGGCCTTAGAAGCTCAAATGCTACCTGTCACGGCGAAGTCGCTCTTTGAGCTAGGCCAGCATCAAACGACGAAATTTTGGAGCGGTAAATTTTTACGATTAGGATAAAGGTACCACCGCCGATCGGTCACTATCAAGCCCGAGCGTTATTACGCGGTAACGCTGTAAAGCTGCTTCCGCCCTCTAGTGAACGTTTTTGAGCCAAATCGTGGTTAATCACGCGGTTCCGGTAGTAAAGTGCCCTTTTACGAAGGAGAATCTACAGATACTGAGTTGTTGAATCGATTTTCCTTTTTGATATAAAAGCGTAATAAAAATCATGTTCAAAGACCCATAAAAGTCAAAATGATGCCTATCACAGCTGATCAGCTGATTATACGACTTTGTGTTTCGATTTATTCTTTGCTTCAATATTCGTAATGATATCGATTGGTCATAAATTCAAAATGCAAATCAACCCTGGCGAATAAATTACGGTATTACGTAACAAGCGTTTTATTCAATTCAATGCCCTTTCCGTCGGGTATAATTTTCGTCGTGCCATTTGGCCCGGCGATCTCTAAATTCATCCCCTTTTTTATTTTAAAGAAATCATTTTCTAAACAAAACCAAACACCGTGACAGGTCCTCAAATGTCATTTTTCTTGGTTCAAAATTTTCCGAGAAAATTTCTCAAATCGAGAGCGGTGCTATAATTTATCGCAAATTGGAGAAAGCCAAACAAGAGGTAAATCATAATGATGGTGCAATGAAATGACAAATGAGAGAAAATTTTCTCAGGTTATAAAACACAGCTTATACTTGAACCGGACGGGGTTATAAATTATCGACATCCGTAAGACAAATACAGTAAGCGATGAGCATCTACCATGATCGCGCCCTGATTTAGTAGGAATTATCAAGGGTGAAATTGAGGTCAGTTTGGCCCAGTTCTTCACGGACGGTGGTCAAGAAGATGAAAAATACACGGTTGAGTGATACTGTAAATACGCAAAATTTCGATAGCTCTTACAACAAAACGGCGCCGTAAACTTTCGGGTGCTCTCGGAACAAGTACCCTTACAAACAACAACAAAGTCCTGGTATCGCACAAGCCGTGAGCCGAGACTGGTGTCGCCCTGGGCGCGCGCTAGTAGTATAAGGGATAACACGGGTCTAAAGTTCTCTGCTTGATGCTGATTGGCCCGTTTTCCTTTATACATAATTAACTATCGTTTTCTTTCTAGAAGATTCTTTAACCTGCTTTCAACAATGACAATGTAAGTTTACGTGGCAATTTTATTAAAATAAATTGTAATTATGGTAATGGATAATCATGATCAACATTGATTGGAATGCTCAAGGAAAAAATGTTCTTTAGCAGTGGCGCAGAGTATTTGAATCCGTCAAACATGTTTTGGATAATGTTAACTTGTTCTTGTTTTCGTTGATCGTTGTTCTCAAAGTACCGATCTTCTTTCAATAAGTTGCCAATAATTTTCAGGTTGTTTGCTTGATCTTCGCAAGTTCCTGCATAGCTTTTGACAAAACATTTGAAGTTCTGAAGAGTTGAAGGATTTGGAAATTCCATTTTTGGATCATTACATCTTGGACGATCTCTAGCAGCTCCGGCAATTCGGCTAGTGTGATTGCATTGGTCGACATTGCATTTGAAGATGTCTGCGGTTTTCAGGTAATTCTGGGAGTCCATTGTCTCAAAAAAATTCAGTTTTTTGTTTTTTTGTCTTTTCTCTACGTTGAATTTATGGAAATGAGTTCCAGCTTCAAATCACAGACGAATCACTCGAATTGCCGGAGGCAAAAAAGAAATCTTCAAAATTGCTGTAAGTGATTAGTTATGACTGACGTTATTAAACCAAGTTTCGAAAGTGTGAATCAAGTATCATCTTTTTTCGCATAGTCAAAACATAATGTTAAATTTATTTGATTTTTTTCTTATGGTTTTTAATTTAGTCATTTTAGACTTGAATGCTGCGATGCTTCTGGACTTACTTTAAATAAAAAACTTGTCTGTTTACTGATTTTTATTAAAAAGCTCACCAAGAGTAAATAAATGTCAAACGAGTAAATATGATAAGAGTAAATATGATAAACGGATATGATGGTTTGTTTGATTCGAAGAGTATTCATGCAGGAAGAAAGCTATTGCCAGAGGCATTCATTTTCTGGAGTAGGAGTTTTGGTGCCACAACGCGATGTTTTTTCATAGAAGCCGAATACGCCAGTTGATGATGGAGGAGGAGGAGGCGGGGGTGGAGTATTCATTGTTGCTTAGTGATAAATATTATTTAAACTAAAATCAAAAGTTACAAAGTGGTCGTGACTTGGGCTGTATAACAATTGCTGGTCGAGATGGCTTGAATTCTCGTAAAAGTAGCATTACTTCGTCAGGAATAGGTTGGTCTTCTGCGTACTCGACAAAGACCTGTGCGCTGTTGAATGTGTCTTTGATGAATTTTTGTTGGATGGCGCAGATTGGGTTTACGCAAGCTGTGTTCTTCAGGCATTGGTAAACATTGAAGGCCACTTGAGTGTCTTCCTCATGCTGAATAGCGTTGTCGTAGTTGAGACTGGTGGCGATTTTCAAAAGTTGTGAGGTTTCATATTCGATGAAAAATTTTCTTTTCTGATCAGGCTTTTGATGGTTGTTTGACTTAAAATAGTAAAATTTGTAATAGTTTCTAAATAATTAACCTTGATTCCAAAGTGAAACGATTTTGCCTTTTCGCTCATTTTGTTGATCTGGTTTTTGTCAACTCTCGGCTTGGTTTTATACTCTGAAAATAGAGCAACATTATGTATTGATGCGTTTTTTCTAGCTTAGGGGCAATTAAGGTCGCTTCTTCGGAGTGTTGAATAAATAACGCGATAGTTATAAAGCAATTTGTGATTGAGAACAGAGCACATGAATATTCATATTTAGCATTTATAACTTGCCTCAACAAGTAGATTTTTTCACAATGGCAGAATCACAAGAAATAAACTTTTACGTTGTTGGGGGAGATCAATTGCGACTCAGCTTTATAAACGGTATTATGAAAATTTTAAAAAAATAAATTCTTATTATTAGCGAAATGCAATCGATGTTTCAAACGAAGTTACTTTGCGGGTGTTATGCCGTTGCTGTCGCTTATGCGTGAATCTCGATGTTTTCAATGTGGAGAAGAACGAATCATTCTTACCAAAGTTTCAGAGCGGAAACTAGAAGATTTTTATGATGGATTCACACGGCTTTTTATGCAAGAATTTCCAAACTAATAAAATGTTTCTAGAACATAGAAGTTGTTGATTCTTTTTTTCAAAATTTGATCATTCACAAGGTTTTGTGGATATTTGCAGCTCATAGCGCAGGAAAAAGGTTTGATTTTTTTGGCTTGTGACAAGTAAATAAAAAAGGGAAGTCGGTGGGATTCGAACTCGCAGGGGGTTTTTCAAAGCATAACCGATTCCGCTATCCATTTTTTGGCGAACTGAAGGATAAACTCTTTTTAAGCTTGAAAGATGGACGAAGAATGGAATGACGAAGGAATGCTAGTTGAGCCTGAAGAGCGTGAGGCGCTGAATGATCTGTTTGAGGACATTGAAATGGACATGCAGGAGATTGAGGCACAAATCAACGACATTGTCGATGATGCAGAACCTATCAACCAAGCGGAAGAGGAGGAACTTGCGGCTGAACTTGAAGCTCTCTTGGAAGAAGGTTGAATTATCTTCAAGTGATTTTAATGATTCTTATATTTAGCTCCTGTTCAAGGACCGCCGCCAAGACAAGAAGTTCGAGGTCGTTTTAATATTCAATTGATTGATAGTCCACCTCGGGCTCCTCAAGCGCCATTTGTGGGAGAGTTTTCCAACAGAAGCGCTGATCGGACACCTCTCAACATGCGTGACACCTTCAACATAACTGGCAATAATAGCCTTGCCAGTGAGATTGCATTTGAAACGTCTCAAGGTAAAAAAATCTATAGAGAAGCCTGGACTCGAACCAGGGACATCCCGCTTCAAGCAAGGTGCGCTAGCCACTGCGCCACTTCTCCAATAACCGAGTGCTCGGAGGCACTTATTTATGCGCTTTTAGTTCCATTTGTCGAACGAGTTGCGAAAGAAAATGAAGCTTGGATTGGTAGCTCAGAAGCAAGCCCATTTGAATCAAGCGGCAGCTCTGGCGGCACTGCTAATTCGGCCAACAGGCCAAGATTTCAGGAGGTTTCGTTTCGATCTTTGGTGCGAGATGTTCAAAATCAAGAGCCCCGACAAGAATCAATGGAAGCGGAAAATCAAGAGGATTTGAACGCAACATTGAATGCGTTACATGAGACTTTGCAGCAGCAGATTAATTCTACAATTAATCTTAATGGCGGCATCAAGTAAGCGTATTTCACAGTTTGTGTATTTGAAAAAATTAAGCGTCGTTGGAGTGCCGCTGAACGAGGCTCACAATCAACTTGAGCAACTTGCGGAAAGCATTAACGAAGGCGACAACATTGCTATTCGCGAGGATGTCATTGTTCAATGTTTCGATCCAGAAACTAATGCTTTGACAGCTTCAACAAAATTGCTGGCAGAAAATAACTACATGGTGGATAATCCAATCGCGGCAGGTATAATCTTTCTTTTAAAACTCTTTTATAAGAAAAAATTTAGTGAAAAAAAGCCAGGATAAGTTTACTGCAGCAATTCAACAGGTGCATTCTTTGTATCTTCGAGAATTTGCTAATCTCCAGCAGTTGAACTCGGAGTTATTGGCTGGACTTTCTGGTTGCGTTTTGGAAACTCCGGATGATTACTTTCCGTTGGGCGATTTGGGACTTTCCAAAGAGCATTTCTAAAAACTGTTCTAACAAATAAATTTCTTTATCTTTCAAGCAAATTTAAAAAAAAGAGAGTTTTAAATCATTAAAATTCTTTTAATCGTCTTTCTAATCTATCTGATAAAAATTTTTGCAGCAGTCGAAAATCAAAAGGTTTGCGCCGTCGGTCGAGAGATTATCAGCTGGGCTAGGTTCATTTCAAATTGAATGATTCAGCGGTTTCTATTGGTTCTATTTGCAAGTAGGCTTTTTTCTTTCGGAAACGAAAACTGAGATTTTCATTTCCAGAAGTCACATTCGTGGCATCTGGATCGCGCCACTCCTTTTTCATTTCGCAATTTACCAAGCGCCGATTCAGTAAAAAGAGAATATTTTTGCTGGGAAAGAGAAAAAACCCTTTTGCTGCGACTATCGAACTGATTCTTTTTAATTTCGCGCTGTGTTTTTGATAACCCACCGGACGGGCTGGCTTTGATAACCGAGGTATTCAGATAGGCGGGGTTGGAGCGTAAAAAAGGGCGCCGGAGATGCCGGCGAACTCTGGATTAGCGTTGGTGAGCTTCGCCACAATATTGTCGAGCACATCAATCGCATTTCCTGCGAATCGAAGCATCGGACAGTCTTTAGGACAAGTTGAGGAATTCCTGCTCGCATTCGAAATGTAAGATTTAGAGATTTTCTTTTAATAGAGATTTACTTTTTAATAAGGTCGCAGAGCGAGTCAATGAACACGACTGGCCCTTCGGAAATAATGCAGCTTTCCAAGTTGGCGAAAGCGTACCCGAATGCTTTCGCTGTTCTTGCGGAGAACAGTGGCTACGTTTTGGAGGTGAGTTGTTTTCTTTTATTGAATACTTTTGACGCATTTTATTCAGACAAAACGATCGAAGGCAAGCCAATGCAGCAACTTCTGGAAGAACGTGGTTCTTGCAGTTGGCGCAATTGTTATGGGCGCTTCCCTTTGGATCGTTTTGTCTACAAGCCTGCGGCAGTTACAGCCGTTCTGCAATACTCCGGAAACCTCGACGCCCGAAATCCCCGCCAATCTGACCGCCAATCGAATCGTCCGATCCAGCGACGAAGACGAAATCTTCGGTAATAAAAAATTTATTAATCCTTTTCTAATTTTGATTTTAGCCCAGTCGACTCCAAGCTCTACTCGAAGTCGAAGTCGAAGTCGAAGTCGTGGGCGCAGCGGACGATCTACCGACCCAAAAGTACCTGGCCCAGAAAGCATCATGGCCAAGACTCCTCCACCTCCATACGCTCCAGCTTCTTCTCCAGAGTCAGAGCCAGCTTCTCCCGAGTCTTTTTCTTCAGTCACCCCATTGGCTAGTGATGGTAAGTGGCGCGCTTCGCGCAACAGCGCTAATTTGTTTATTTAGATTCAATCTCCTACTCGAGCTTGGGATCTACTACAAGTGACATTCGTCGCAAGATGGCTGAGCTCTACCCTGACATTGCTGGAGAAGGATCTGGATCTGGAGAAGAAGACAATGTTCCAGAGCCGCCAACAAATCTTCAAGACGCCATTGACGCCATTGAAGAGGGATCAGGTGCGATTGCTCAGTTCCAAGATGCCATGGAAGCCGCCGTTTTTATCTGTAAGTTTTCATAAAAAAGGGTTTAGCTTATTGCTTATTTAGGAACTTTTGCCGTTACGAAGACACCATTCCTCGTATATTTTTGATTTTTAATTTTTGATCTAGGCTGCGCTTTATTTAGCCTTTTTTTCTAGCCTTCTCTCTCTTTCTAGGACTCTTGTCCTTGCCAGTTGCGTCTTTCTTTGTTAGATAAGTTTATCTCTTTAGCTTAGTTTTGTTAACTTGCTAGCCTGCTAGTTGCGTTTCTTTTCTATCTGTCAAGTTTACTTGACGCGCAGATCGCGTTTTAAAAGTTCCATTGAAATATTTGTCCCAAGGTTCATAACAAGCCTCTTTCTCTCACCTGTCAGCACTGGAATATATTTCTTTGATTTTTTGTAAATGTTTTAACTTTTTAGATAATCGAAAAAAATGAAAAAAAATAGCCAAAAACGGGTTTCTGTGTCTTCTGACAGCGAAGATGAAGATTACTGGAAGCCAATTCCACCGCGAGCCAAGCCTTCTCCTGGAGCGTACAAGCCCCGTGCTTCTTTTGGCGGCAACTTTAACCGGGGTGGTCGATTTGGTCCTCGACAGATGCAGGTTAGTTTAAAAGAGCGCTGAAAAAAATTGACGTCTTTGTTTAGGTGCTGCCGACCATACACTCCAATAGTTCTCCTTTTGGCTCTCCAAAGGCACAAAAGAAAACTTTGGACAACTCTGATGCTGGCGATTCTACTCCCGCAGCGGCTCAACCACCAGCGCTTGCGGCTTTTGCCCCGCATGTAAAGACAGGAGTTGTTCTTGCAGATCCATCGACATACTCGACGATCTTGCCTCCTGCCCCGCCGCAAGTCGCTACAAATCTTGTAGCTAAAAAGACTGCGTCGGAGAAGCCTACACCCTCAGCTCCGGCTCTTGCTGCATTCCAGTCTCGACCTCGAAAGCGACCCCATTACGAGGTAAACTTTTGATCCTTTTTTGTTCAAAATTAAATTTTTTTAGGCACTCTACAATCAGTATCGAGTGACGGGACTTGGACACACTGGGCTCATCACTTTGAACCCTCCAGAGAATGCGGTTTACGGCTCTCACCCCAGAATGACGATCCACACAACTCGCACCTTCACCGTTCATGATGTGGATCCGCCACTTCAGGGATACATTCGATGCGAGGAAGATATTCCAATCAATCGTTACGATGGGCAATTGATGGGCGAAGAGTCTTCCAGCGAGCTTGGATCCACAGTTTATGTGGACAATCAACCCATCCAGCCTGATCTTTTTGAGCTCGGCAAGCGAAAGGGTTGTTAATTCATTGAAAAAAATAGTTTTAATTCGGCTCTGAAATTTTTACCTCTAAAAAACTTACTCTCTTAACTTTACCTCTAAACTTTTACTCGGTATCTGCCTTTATTTCCGCTCAAGTTCCAACAACCTTCTTCTCATTGTTAATTGCATAATTTGGCCTTTATTAAATTTGTAGGGAAAAAATTTAATCTCTTTAAATTTTATAGAAGGCTCAGTGTAAAATGTCTGGCGCAGCTCCTCCACCAGTTCCGAGGCGAAGTCCTCGAATCGCCGAGAAGAATCGCAAGAGGCTTTACGCTGATACTCAACAATCGACTTCGGCTTCAAAAATGACCCCCGGATTCATCGAGAAAGGGTATTTTAGCACTATGAATCAGTTTATATTAAATATCAAATTTAGCCGACGAAAAATCGTCAAAGCGGCACGAAAGGCGGGCAAGAAGGCCAAAACAGCGGCAGTTTCTTTGCTCGAGAAAGAAGCCAACAAAAGTATTAAAAATTCAAAAAATGAGTTGAGTTAATTTCATATTCAAGTGCTCGCGCGACCTCTTCCTCCGATCCCTCAGTTCGCTCCTCCACCAGCTGAGCCAGAAGCACCTTTGCGCCGAGAGTCGCTTTTTCGAACACCGCCTGAATCGCCCGAGCCCAAAAAGAAGAAGTCTGTGATTAGCCAGGCGTTTTCCGTCGCCAAGACTATTGCTAAAGGAGTTGGAGGTAATTCTAGTTCAAGTGAGATCGCTTTAAATTATTGTGTTCAGCCGTGGCTACTTCCGATGTTGGAGTGCAAATTTGCGGAAATGTAGGCGACTACACCGGAGGATTTGCGTTTGCTCGATCTCCAAACAAGCCTCGGCAGAAACCTTCCTTGCGAGTGCGAACAATTTCGCCAATGGCGATTGCTGGGCCGTCTCGACGCCAGTTGCTCTTCGACGATGAGCTTCCAGTGCCAAGACTTCGACCTCGACGACCCGCTCCACCAATTCCTCGAATTTTGGAAGTCGAAAACGAAGAAGAGGAAACTCGCTTCTTCACTCCAGAAGGTAACTTTTTTATTTTTAAATTGAGTGTAATCAATTCTTTTTAGCCACTACTCCCGTCAAGGCTCGAGAAAACTTCAAGAAAGTTGTTGAAGAACTCAAGACGAAAAACACTTGAATTTTGTCTTCACCTTTGAGCTACTTTACTACTGAAACAGGACACAGGGTTGATTATTTTGTTTTAGCCTGAATGGGACGTAATTTTTCGCGTGTGAAGGAATCACAATTTCAGCGAGCAAAAAGTAATTGAGCGTGTCGAGAAAAGACTCAAGTTCGTTTAGAAAGACCGCAAACTCCGCCAAGACGTCGATTACAGTTAAAGCACAAAACAAGTTTTGCTTCTATGGATCCGTATTTCGAGTTGATTCATATTTCATCTAAAACTTTAGGTAATTCTCTTTATTCGTGTCCATCATTGTGTTAAAAAGGGCTTTTTAGATGAAACTCCTCAAAATTCTCGCTTCGACGCCTCGGATATTTTGAAAAAAAGATATCTCGATGTCACTACGGAATGCCTTGGACTTGGCAATTCTCTCTGCCATTCACGATTCGGCAACGTTTTTCAGCTGATGTGCAAACAAGTCAACGAATCTTGTGTTAATCCTCGCGCCGTAGAAATCATTCGCCCAATAGCCAGTGTTCTTCCGATGGTTGGCAGCCTTTACATTGAAAGCTCAGAAAAAGTCGATTTGATTCCGTGGCATCAAATTGGCGGGTTTTTTGTCGAGTTTACAACTGCGCCATTGACTGGAATCATCATTCCAAAAAAGATTCATGTTTGGGTAAGCGTGAACAAGCCAAAATTTTGAAATTTTGTATAGATTCAGCTTATTGACGGAAGTTGGGACTTGATTGACATGTGCGACAATTCACTGGGAAATCCGTTTACAGTTTTGAAGGCGGCTTGTTCTGTTGGGCCGCGAATAGCTTGTCCTTGGCCTACACGAGCAGATCCTCTTGGAGAAGAAAAAGCATCATTGCTTCTATTGATGGGTTTTTTGCCTAGTCCAACACCACCCAAATTTTGTGAAAGATTACGACAACTACTTACTCAGGTACATTATCAAGCAAGAAGAAAAAAGCTTATATTCATGTTTAGATGGACTCTCGTTTTCTTTTCGATCGTGCCCCGACTGATTTATCTCGACATCAGAGTGTTTGCATTGATCGACAACTTGAGACCTTTTTGTGGCGAGCGATCCAGCTTTCGAGTAAAAAGACAACACCTCGATCGGAAGTGCTCGATTCATGCGCTCGTCTAATGAACTGTAACGATCGATTAGAGGGTTTTGACAAATTTATGATTGGAATTCGTTTGCGCTTGAACGATTGCAAGCCAAAGTGCATTACTACAATTACCGCGCTCAATCCGATTGTCGATCCAACAGATGCTTACATCAAACACATAATCAAACAAACATTTACGGAAAATGGCTTTCTGATGGGCTTGGTAAGTGATGATTTGTTTTTTCTCAAAGTAACGCCGTTTTTTAGTTTGGCGCACAACAAATGGACAAAGACATTGCAACCTGGAGCGGCTGGCAGAAATTCAACATAAATCGACAAAGTCAAAGCCAAGAATTTGCCGACTGCCTTTCAAAAAGAAAATTTTTCTTGTACTTTTAATTCAAAGAAAAATTATTTAGACGGGGATAGTCACATGTCGTTGACGATGATCATCCTAGTCTGGCTTTTGCCACAAGTTCAGGTCAAGGTCTCAAAATTTTAGATTTTTTTTGCTTAAAAGTTTTGAAATTATTGAGCCCTTGATTAGACTCAAATTGATATGGAAAATCGGTGCAGGCTGGGCGGCGTAGACGAATTCACTCTTGAGTGTATCGAGTGGAGGATGAACAAGGGCACTAAAAAAATTGTAGTCAAACCAGACGCTCCAGGGAAAAAATCTCCAGTTACTAGGTAAGTTTGAAATCAAGGTACCTTTTGGAGTTGAGGTGGTGATTAGATTCAAGGTGCTTGTTTTTTGATTTATTAAAAAAGAATATTATTTTCTTATTATTTTTTTTTTCGCACCTTGAATTGAAAAGCACCTCAGTTTCAACTGCACCTCAGTTTTGGATGCACCTTAAAAACACAAAAAAAATTTTTTGCAGCGAAACACCGACTACTGAGCCAATCCAGACCGCTGCCGAATCTGACAACACTTGGTCGATAATCATCTGCGTTTGTGTTGTTCTTTTTGTGCTCTTTTATTGCATGAAAGAGTTTCCGCAAGTTTGGAGAAAGAGAATTTGCAACTTTTGCGCAAAGCATAAAAACGGAATCGGCAACTACTTGAACTGTTTTTGCGAAGTTTGCTGCAAAAAGGAGCCAAACGAAGGCGAAGATTTGTACTTGTTTCATCGCGAGGGCAGTCTCTATTCTTACAAAGGTTTATCTTTTTTTCAAAAATCAAAAAGTAATCTGTTGTTTTAGCCGAATCAAAGAAAAAGAAAGAGAACAAAAATATTGTGAGAACTGAGGAAGAGAAGGACCCCCTGTTGCCAGCGCCGAAACAAGTAAATGGGGTGCAATTTCGCGACAACCCACATCACGCCGCAGTTCAACAAGTTGATGAGCGTCTCGTTCCAGAGCCTGTTTATGAAGATCCCGCCGAGATACGAGGAAATCCGTTTTACGAAGGAGGGATAGAAGAACAAGTTCCTGTCGAGGCGAAAGTGACTATCCAGCAGCCTGCTTCTTTTCCTCCACCGCCGCCGCCACCATCGGAAGTTACAACAACAATTCCGCGAAGTCCATCTGGTCCCGCCATCGTCAACTATTTTTCTTCTACTCGCTTGGAGGATGTACCGCTCTCGCCAATTCCCAAATTGTCATTTTCCGATGTTGATTTAACTCGCCCGGATATTGTGACTGCACACGAGAGCCCAAAAAAGGTAATTATTGCCATAATTTGGAATTGCGTGTTAATTGAAATCAATTAGGCGCTAAAGAAAATCAACGGTTTGTTGATTACTCCACACACCAAAAAAATGCTCAGATGCTTGCATTTGGTGAACGAATTGAAAGAAGCGGGCGAGACAAGCAAGCTCAAGAATCTGTCGAGCCAAGACTTGGAAGAGACTATCTCGGTATGTGATATTTTTTTTGTTTTGATTTTGACGAGTAATTAAAGCCTTTGGATATGGCGATTGATGGAGAACAAGAGAATGACGAGGCTCATCCGGATGAAGTCGCAGATGCTACGGCGCAGACTGTGATCGAGATAGAGAGGTAACGTTGTATGCAGTAAATGAGTGTGATTTACTCTATTTTCATTAAGCGCCGCCGCCGCCATCGTCGAACAACCGGAGGAGGAGGAGGTTCAACAGGATAACACCCCAAATCCTGATAGCGCCGAAGTCGTCACCAGCAACGAAGTGGGCAATAAAAAGGGGCAACGTCGACCAGCTCGAGATCAAACTTCCACGAGACGAGTTTTGCCTGATAGAGCTGCGAAAAAAAAATAATTTGAACCTTTTTCCTGTGAGCATTTTTGATATTTTTTCTCACCTTCCGACAGGACACCAGCCTGTGTATGAAAAGTAAGATTTGAATAAAGAGACACACTTTCATCCAAGCGACTTATTTGTAACATTTTTTTTTTAAAAAGGCATCGAGAATGGAAAGTCAGCAGAACAAACAGCAGGAGTATCCAGATCTAACACAGGTTAATTTGTATTTCAATTTTGTTTTATTAAATTTGAAAATAAAGACGAACACGCTTTGGGAGAACAGCGAGACTCCATTTACGGATGCCCTCGAAGCAGCTCCCGAGATGGCTCTGATGAAAGAGGAGGACTACATAGACGAGATTTACGAGGAGCCGATTCTGTCGATGGACATGCCGGAGGAATACGAGGAACCGGAGGCTCAATGGGAGGAACAACTGCTCTATATGACGAATTATTTTGCTCGGGGGGAGCCGTCAACAAGCGGGAGGACGACTCCAATCAGCGAAACTGGTGTCGAGGTTTCAACAATACTGGTGGATCGATGTCAGAGTGGAACAATCACTCCAATCCGTCTAACAACACCTACAATGAGCTCCTGCAGTTCAACGAGTACTTTGACACCGCCGCCACCTCCAATGACTTGTGGAACGAGCAGCAGCAGCAGCAGCAGCAGCAGCAGCAGTTCCTCAACTCCAGCTGTACTGGGCTCGAGTCCGGAATCTACGATTCGCAGTGGATGGTCGGGCCACACGACCTCGCATTACAACTCGAGCGAGAGTCAAGAAACTTTTCCGGAGGATCAACCACCACCGTATACTCCTCGGGAACGACCTCAAGTGTTTTACCCCCAAGAGCAGAGACTAATTCGACTCCAGCCGGGTCTATTAACGAGTGCGTTCATAACTGGAGCGATAGGAATGGCATGCCTGATGGTTCTGATAGTGCTCTTCATTTGGTGGGTAGCGACCGGAGGCGAGATTCCACTGGAGGATTTCTTTTCGACTCTTTAAAGTAAGATTTAAACTTTCAATTTCTTTTCATTTTTTCAAAATTTAGCTCTCAATCTTGTACAGCTCCTCCTTCAACGTGTGATTCTTCATCTACAATGCCGATTTTTACTACTGCTGATCTTCAAATGGTCAATCAAAATGCCTTATCTACCCGTATTTCATCTGCCGAAACACTCAAAGAAATTATTCCTGAAAAGCCAAAAGGTAAGCAACCCGGCGCAAAATGTTTTTTATTTTTTCTTTTTTTTCAAGCCACCTCTCCGACAAGAAAAAGACCTGCGAGTACGTCTCCTGATTTGCCGATCGCGCTGCGAAAGAGTCAAAGAATAAAGCCGCTGTCGTTCCACTTTCGCACTTGGTACAGATATTGCCAACATATGAAATCATTGGTAACGGCTCGATATAGTATATTCAAGCAGTGTCCTCTTATGGTTGAAGGCGGAGAACCATTTCAACCAAAAGCGCTCAATTGGGTGGACATTAAACATCGATTAAATGAGTCTACTGGAATTGGATCCTTTTTTTCATTTGCTGCTTTGGAGCGATTTATGACTTCAAATTATGTTCCTGAACCGAATCCTCCAACACTGGCCTCCAAAACTGAAATTAAAAAAGCAGTTTGCTGCAAACTGCGGCATCCTACTACGCGAATTTGTCATAAAAGTTCAAAATTTGACAAATGTGGAAAAATGATCATCAATCCTGATTCTGTTTACGTTTTGCCCCAGCTTCAACAAAGATCTGGACAAATTGCTCAGATAGAATTTTGGACGGTTATTCTTGGCTTGAAATTTTATCGAAGTTGCGAGGTCGGAGGCCGTAAAGACGATAATAACTGGCGACTTTACTCGCGATTAAAGAGGACTGCTATTCCGTATAAAAATAATGCCGCTGATGATGTTGATTTTCATTTTGGGACTGACATCACACACGATTATCTGGGGCTGCTAAAGACGCTTTGCGACACAACTTATCTCGACACAAAATTAAAAATGGTTTCAAATGGCTTCGTGGGCAATGCAGAGTTTGATACAAAGTCTCTTTTTGACAGCGACTTTTTTCGGTACTTGATGTTTCTCGATTCAGCTGGGAGCTCACTTTATCCAGATGCAAAATTTGCAGGACTCGACGACGATAGTTTCGATCATTTGGCGCATTTTCAAAAGATTCCCAACGACATCAAGAAAAACGCGACAGTAAATGGGCCACTGGGTCGCCACTTTGGAGAGTTTAACGAATGGAACCAAAGAACAAAAAAATTTATCTGCGCAATGAATCGACTCTTTCTTTATCGAGACGAATACAAATTTACGAATGTTGCTGCCCTAATTCTCATTAGAAAATTTCTCGCCGAATGGGCAGAAGACGAAAGATACAAGTATCAGGATGCGTTTCAAATGTGTTGGGATGAGCGAGTACTACAAAACACAAAACATATTGGCACTGCTGAAACTCTACGCCATAAAGAAACCAGAAACAGATATAGATGTGCACAAAGCAACGCTCGCAGTTTTGTCAATTCTGGATTTGATAAAACTATCCATACTATGATTTCCCGTTGTTTGGCCTTGTATTGCGAGCTGGTGCTGAATGGAAGTTTTGGCGATTGTGTTGAGAATAGGATCTCCGCATTTATGAAAGAAAAACATCTGCTTGAATACTACGAAAATCGAGCGGCCAAATTCAAAGAGACGGTTAAACAATCGGGCTATTACAGCGCGGGGCAGTTTATCATGTATTCGAAAAAGAAGGGTCCACGAAACCCGATACCCGTCTACGACAATGTCGAGGTAAAAATATAATTGATCACTCAAAAAATCAAGCATGAATATTTAAGGAGAACGACTCTGTGGGTATAAAAATCACCACCGGAGAAAAATCTTCACTCATTTCTAAAAAACAGGCGGGCAAGACGGATGAGCACTCAGTCAATGCATCCGATAACAACTGCACTGATGGAGTTGCCGCTGGAAACGCCGATCAGCCGCCTAAAGCTGATCAACAAGTCTCAAAGTCAGATGATGAAACGCATCGTAGAGAAGATTCGACGGTTCTTTCACAATCAAACGGTAAGACTTTTTTCATAATTTCAAAATATTTACCAAAAAATATAGGAAAAACAAGAGCACCAGCCGATTGTGACTCAATCACCGGAGACCTGATCGATTATCTTCTGAGCAATTAATTTCTTGCTTGTTGTTATCACTGCGCGCGCGGATCAAGTAATTATTGCTCCTACTTTGTTTCTCATCTAGTATAATCGCTCGTGTCATTATTTTTTGGTTATCATTATAAAGGTCAGTTAGTTGATTTTTCGAAAAGTAATCTATTTGGAAATACTCTTTGTTTGTGCGCGCATTGCCTTACAATTTTGAGTTTTCAATATTTTTTGTGTCCGTTTTTTTTTCATCGCTTTAAACAAAATTAGCAACGGTTTTTATCTAATATGGAAAAGGTATGAGATGCAAACACTTTTATTATCTATTGCGCATGTTTTTTTGTCCTTTATTTTTGCTGATGGAACAACGTCGATCGACTCTAACGCGAGGGGACTGAGTTGATTGACTTGTTTTAGCCTGTTTCTACAAGTTCATCTTACCATTAGACGTTGGGAGCTTACGTTGGAGTTGTTACACACTTTTTTGATATTTTTCGGTTTTCTTTTAATGTGCTCACTACTGTACATTTTCTTTTCTACTATTTTACACTGCTTTTTTGTGCTGCATGCGAAACAAAAAAAAAACACCAAAAAAAGTATAAAAACACTGTGCCAATTATGCAAAAAAAATAAATGTTGTCAAACATAAATTTCTGTCTTTTTATTTCAAGCAAATCTCCAGCTAGGAGGAAAAGCATTAATAGTGATCTGGTAGCAGAGGATTCGGTTGAGACGAACGTTGCTTTGACGGAAAGCTTCTCGAGATTCGAAAACTCGTTGAGTAAGTCGAGAGGTGAAATTTTCAAATTTGGCTTCGCTTCTCAATTTTTCGAGATCAATATGGTCAGTAATTTCGGTCGTATCGTTGATTTTCCCCGCCATGTTCGGATAAACTATTTTGCAGACTTCGATTTTGGATTCCTGGCCGGTAATTTCGTCGATTGCAGTTGCCTCGCTTAGCGCGCTACAGTAACAGTCGAGATAGATTTGAATCATTCCGTTGAGATTGGTCACCAGTTTTTCGACAAGGTCGGGCAAGTCAACATCGTTTAAAACTGTGATTGTGTAGCGATTGTAGTGTTGTGGGAGGCGTCCCTTTGTCTGATTTGAATTAAAGTACATTTGAGTTGCTTCCCAGCGCTGTTCTACAAAAAATCAACAAAGAATTTAAATAAACTACAACTTATATAGTAGCTTGGAGGGAATCGTAGATGAGAATCTGTTGCGATGAGGGCTTGCTTTTCTCGCTCTTCAAAGTAGTCTTTCGGAATTGGTCGCTTTTGAATGAATTCTTTGAGAAATTTTATGTCAGCTCTGGCGGCGACTCCCATGTGATCTTTGCCATAGCCCCAGTTGATTTTCTTCTTTGCTGAGGGGTAAAACCATTCAATTTGTTGAGGAGTGAGCGCAAAAGCACTATTGTTGGTGTCTTTGATGGCAACAAAATTTTCTCGCGCATTTGTGGCAAATCTAGCTTGTGTCTCTTTACGTCTACGCCTTACAAAGTCTATAATTGAAGCCATATTTCGCTTATATTTGGTTTGTTGTTGAGGCGGCGCTCGTCTTGTTCTCATATTATATCTTTTTTCCATGTTTGCTCAATCTAAACAAAAATATTCGGGTAAAATTAGCAACGATTTTTATTAACGTATTTTTTCGTAAACAGCTTTACAAAAATTGATTTGTAACAGAATTGAAAAGGGGAAGAGTGCTTATACGATCGTCGCAAACGTGTCGCTTCTTGAGCAGAGGGTTCATTATTCTCTTTTGCATTGTGGTGGTCTTCATTCGATTGCGCTTTCTATCCATTTGGAAGGAAGTGATGGGCTTTTCGAGACGATTTCTCATATCACAGCCAAAAACACTCCACATGTATGCATAAAGACTACAAAAAAAAAATAGTTTCCCTCGTTTGTCGAGTTACCTGAGCTTTATGTCGAGATTGCATCCCTTGGATGATTTTTTGACAATATTGTAAGGAGTTTTTGAGCCTTGGCTGCGCTCAAGAAGCGTCATATCTGCGAGGATTTCTTTGGCATCAGAATCGCGCTGTTCCGAGTAAACACCATTAGAGTATTTCTTGGCAAAGCGAAGAATTTTTCTTTCCATTTCGTCGAGGTGCGTCGTTTTTGCCATTAGATAGCATTTTGGCGTGCATGCCAAGTACCAACCAGCCGAAAGGGATCCTTCAACTTTAAGCAGGCCGGGCGTTTTCTCGGAGATGGGGCACTCTGTTTTTGCAAACCAGGCGGGCTTGATCTTGCTTATCCATTCGGATTTGTATTTTTCAGCAACACAGTCGTCCAATTTTTTACTATCAAGTGCCAACATGAGAGAATCGGTGTCGCAGTAACAAAATCTATAAGAGCCCGGCCGCATATATTTCTTTAAAACGTCTACAAATTTAAACATGTGCAGTTTTGAATTCTTGTAAAGCGGTTGTACGAAAAAATACGTTTTCCTAATAATGATAAACTCCGTCCCAGTTGAAGATCGACTTGCAGAACGGGCAGAGCATCTTGGCCATGTCTTCTTGATCGATAACAAATGGAAAGTCGTGCATGTAGACTGTGTGCGTATTGACACGAACTGGAGCCGCCTTGTTGATCAAACAGGAGTTGCAGATTATGTGTCCACAATTGACAAGTAGAATCGGCTCATCCAAAAAGGCGTGAGGAGGTGCGCGCGTCGGAAAACACAAGTCCTTTTTCTGCATAATTTGCTCGCGAATGCATCTATCAATTTCCAAATAGTATTCTGCATCAAAATACTTTCCACAGGAGAGACACAGTTCCCCATTACAGCCGAGAAGTGTTTGCTTTGGATAAGCGTATTTGACCGGTGGCGCAAGTCGATATTTCGGCCAATTGTCTGGAAGGAAGAGTTGTTTTTGAAGGGTTTCGGTTGGATTCTTTGCAATTATCGAAGTTAATGGGCGAAGAGGTTTTTCTAGACTCGTTAATTTTCAAAATTGACTCGCTCTTTACCTTTTTGTGGTCCCGGTGGTAGTTGTGGCTGCGACGCTAGTGGCGCTGCCGCTGGCGGCTCAATTCCGTGCGCTGGAATCGGAGGCGGCGGTAATGGCTTTTCGTATGGCTCTTCCAGAATTTTGGCAAGTTTCTCTCGAACCTTTTTCTTCAGGCTTTTCATTTTCTGATTGCTGTGTAGCCGTCGGGACGTACGTCGCCGCTCGTGTGAATTGATAACTGCTTCCTTGTTTTTGATTATATTCTCGTTGGTTTTGGCGGCCTTTTTGGTTGATACGGGCTCCCATACGGGCTCCCATACGGGCTCCCATACGGGCTCCCATACGTTTAAAAAAATTAAAAAATGCCTTTTTGAAAGTCATTTACGTTAAACTGCCGCCCGGGCGGTCGGGACCTGGGGGGGAGGTCCCACCCCCGGGCGCTTGCCCGGCCCCTTGGAACTAGCAAACGGAAAAGGAAAAAAGTACAACCGCGTCCCAAATAGACAAAATTTTGAATGTGGACGGCCAAGTCTTCGGTGACGTTGCGCTTGTTGAGCGTCACTTCATGCAGCGGATCGAGTGAGACATCTTCGGCGCGAAGGTGCTTGGTACCGCGGCGCATTGGCGTTCTCAGCATTTGCGCCATTTGTGAGCTATCTACGACGCGAGTTGACAGGAAGCGAGAGACGGCGAGCGCAAAACGGCCAATCATCGAATTCATTAGTAGCTTGATGATGAGCGAGAGGACAGAGTTTTTCGCCATGTGAGCTTTGATGCGCTCGGCGGCCAATTTTTCCACAAAGTGCTCAAACGGAGCCGCTCTAAAATACTGAGTAAAGTAGTGCACTCGATAGAGTACGCCTTTATTCTGAAGATAGTCGAGCATTTCGCCAGTGATCAAATAATTGGAAGCATGGTAGCAGAGCACGTTTTCCGCCTGGGGAAACATTCGCTCAATTTCCTTCTCAGACAAGCTGGTGCGCATTAGACCGTTGAAATCGTCAGCGGTGAGAATTTTTTTGTCAAAAATTGGCGGCAAATCTGCATGATCGGCGATTACGGAAGCTGGTGAAAGTAAATCCACAATTGCCAGACCATGAAAGGCAGATTCTGATGGGTGGCGTGGATCTCGGCGCTTTACCCACTGTTTGAACTCGTCGGCAGTGATTCCTGCATCTTGACTACCACCATTTCGCCACGATTGAGCAGATTTGAACAGCATCGGATACAGGGGCGAGTAGGGTTTACTGTGGCTGAGCTGACCCGAGCACAGCCATGTCCATTTGCGCATCCAGCGACACATTGATTTGATTTTAATTTTATGAAAAAAATTGCGCGGGCCTTGATGCTTTGGCGAGGGTAGCTACCACGAGTTGATCAGCAGCAACAGCAAAATAAGAAAGAAAAAAAGAATAATCAACTCGTGTCCTGACCCGGATCGACAATCTTGTCTCGTGCGCGAATTGTCTCGACAATTTCATGCATTCTCGCATTATCACGCGCCAGTAGCTCGTCTAGCGTCAACACTTTGAGAATGCGTTTTTTCTCCACTGGACAGTATTCTTTGATGCGACGGCCTCGCCACGGATTCGTCTTACACCAAGGACACCAATGAATCGTACATCCATTGAATTCAATAATCGTGCAAACTGGAATATTTGTGCCAGGGATGCACGTGTCACTCTCAAAGTATCCATCAACACTGAATCTTCCAATCTTTTTTTCTTGATAATTGTAGGCGTGTTGGATGCGACCAGAGTACTCTCTTTGGGGATCCCAATTCAAGTACTCCAAGTAGCGAATAGAATCAAGGTTTGTATTTTCACGCTGAGCAAACATTCCATACGAGTAATATCTTCGACTGAGGTTGCCGCTCACTTCGCGAAAATCGTTGAATGAAAACCGCTGTCGAAATTCTGAATCGTCGACAGATTTCCTACAGTGGCTAATATCATCGTAGTCGTCGTCAGAATTATCACTGCCTGAAACATCTTCAATCAGAGAACTTGTTCTCTTTGATCCGGCTTCAAGCGTTTCAACGTTTTTTGTTTTTGCTTCTAGCTGCCGTTTGAGCTCCATCAGTCGATCGCTTGGATAGTAGCAAATGCCAGGGCCACATGGCAAAAATTGCTTCACTGCAAAAGGATAAAGCGACGTATAATCGTACAAAATCAGAGCCAAAACAGTACACCCATTTGGCACTGTATAAGCAGCCACTGGAACGTCTTCATCGGGCCCATTGAGGTACACCGCTCGATGAAAGACTTGGACAATGCCACCACTCAATTTATTGCGACAATCTCTGTACACAAAATCCATTTGAGGTGGAATGGAGATAATTGGTGGCACTTTGGGCTGATACATTGACATGGCTATGTTTTGAGCGATTTTGGCAATGCTCAAATCTGTATGAATGCTGACGTTGAACGACTGAACAAACATTCTAGAGTAGGCTTCAATCGCCGCTCGAAGCAATCGCACGTCATTGAAATTATAATTCATCAGAAACATGAGCATTGTCATGCGATGGTGCTCATTTGACGCTTCAATTTCTCGCCAAAGTGTCAAACTTGCCTCGTAATCGACAATCGAAAAGCGAAAAAACTCTTGCGCTTCTTCACAATCGGGATCACATTGATAGCAATTTGCCTCTTCAGAATAGGCGAAAATCTTTTCGAGCTGCTCGAAATAATGCGCGCACAGCTCAGTAGCATTGTTGACGCCCAGATCGCTAACAAGCATTGAATTTTCCTCCTGAAAGAATTCCCTCAAAGCGGGATCGTTTTCAAGCGAGTCAAGTCTCAAAAAGCCAAAAATATCAAGCAATACGTCTTCATTGCGTGCCCAGTCGTTGCTGGCCACTCTTTCGCAGATTATTTTATTCATTTGCTCGGCAGGGGTGCGACTTTTTGCATACATTGACGAGTAGAAACAAATGTAGGCAGGAAATTCTGTAGCTCTTGAAAGTTGATCAATAGACGTATACCACTCGTACGGATAGCTTCCTTTACTGTAGCGTGATGGATCAAGACCGCACGATCTTGCCAGCTTTTCCAAGCTCATCGGAGCCGTATAATTTCTAAAATCGCGGAAACTCAGCCCCATGCATTCTGTCAGCATGTAGCCGCCGCCTCGTTTGATGACATTGATTTTCGACGTATTCTGACCGCAAAATTCATAAAAAACCGCCATCAACATTGGATAAATGACCGTAAGATCATAGGTCTCTCCACACCAACTGTAAACCATCAATTTCATAAAACTCTGCAAATATTGAAGCTTTTTTCGAAATTCGCCCATTTCGCCATAACTTGCAAGAGTGGTTCCATCATTGATGCGCATCGAAAGACGGCTCTTTATCCGCGCCGAATAAAAGTCAATTCCAGTGAGAACACATTCTGGCACGTGATCGCGGCGCAATTCCGCCTTTAGAGAGAGCAGATAATTGACAAACTCGGTGATCATGACAAGGCTTGATTCGTAGTTCATGTCGCGTCGAGTGAAGCCCATTTGACGACAATCAGAGGTCAAACAGGCAATTGTGCTCACATTGTGAAATTTGCTCACATTCTCATTCAATGTACAATTGGTAAAGGGCCCCACACTCATCAAACATTCAATATCAAAAACCACATAAAAGTCGACGCAAAAATCTTCACTTGGCAAGTAGCCTTCGGAAACAAGTTCTTTTTTGAAATCAAAAACGTGTGAACCTTGAACACTCTGGCGTATCCAAGTCTTTGTTTCGCCGCTGCACGTTTTAACATGCTTGTCAAAGTACTCTTTTCGAGACGATGTGTACAAGCATCCTCGAGTCGGGCAAACTGGCAATTTCTTGACTTCTGAATCTTTGAGCACTCGAACTCGCGTATTCTCATCAAACACGTTTGGAACCAGTCCAGCCAAATTACGAACCGGCTCAAAAGAACTTGTAAATTCATCGCTGCTACTGCTACTTGCAGCGTCAAAAACAGGCAATTGGCGTGGTAGTGGTGGTGGTGTGGCCTCGACTTCAACCGACGAATCAGATTCATTATCGTTGATGAATTCTAAATCGCTATCGTGTAGACTCAAATCTGACGACGATCCTCCGTCAGAATCTTCTGCCTCGTCGTCAATAAACGCATTGCGCTGTTTTTTCGACTCTTTGCGAATGGCGGCGCACTGTTTTTGGTGAATCTCTTTTAATCTGTCAATTTTTGTTGACGATGACTGCTGAAATCTTCCATCTGTAGATTTGCGCTTTGAAAGAATCGCTCGATCTCGTTTACTGTGAAATGAGCTAGCTTTTTGCCATCGCATCACTCGACAAATCTCTTCATCCTCCATATTGACGGCAATCTCTTTCCGCCGAGAATAATCCACGTTTGAGGCAAGTACCGGATTGCGATATGGCTCCTCTTGCAGCTTACGATAACTCATTCCAGAAAACTCGCGAAATTCTCGACCAAAATCATCCTCATCATAACTCGCCACGAGTATATTCAGCACGACATTGTCCGCCTCGCCAAGAGTCGAATAAAAACACGTCTTATCATTGCAATTATCGTTGACAAAGGTTGCAACAAAAAGTCGAACGGCAATTCCAAATTTAACCCGGATTTTGTGAAATATTCCATCTGAAATTTGAAACATTTCATTTGTAGCAAGCCCAAGCTCGCTTTTTAATTTTAAAATCTGTGTACTGTATTGAGCTTTGGGCAGCTTCGGCCAACGTGCGGAAACAATCGCAGCCCAAATGCTAATCCAGTCGCCTTCAATCACTTGCAGCGAGCGCCGATGTGGAATCGTATAAAAAACGCCCAAAGTATGAAAAAACGCTCGAGCCGCTTGAAGCACAACAACCGGTCTTTTATGCGTGCCCAAGTGGCAATTTTGATGTTCAATCTCGTCAAAAACATCTCGCATGTGTAGCGGGCCACTTGCTCGATACGGTCGGTACGAAATCGCCAATGGAGAAAATTTACCTCCAAGAAGCACATACAAATCAATCCCCAAATATTCTTCAATCTGGGGTAAATGTGCTCGAGTAGGTCGCCGCCCAAATCGCCTCTCCAGCTCACTAGGGTCACACTTGATCAAACTTTGACGAAGCGCTTTTGTAAATTTATTTGGAATATGAGGAGAGCATTTTTGTAAAAGTTCCACCAATTGATACCAATCAATATTGCGGAATAAACATTGCTGACAGTTCCCTCCGATAAAGATAAATCACTGTCAGCACGGGAATTAGCGTCACTGTCATCACCATCGTTGTCAGACACAGGACAATCGAAATAATTGTCAGACATCCGCTCAGAATCCCTGCTGCTACCATTTCCAAAATCCAAATCTTCGAGCGCACACTCTGAATGAGAATTACGTGTAGCATTCGCCTTCAGAGACTGTGGCGGTGGAGAGGATGATGGTGGCGGAACTTGCTCACTATCGAATATTTCGTAGGAACATCCACCCTCAGGATACCCTGTATACAAGTCTTTTTTATTTTGCTTTGATCGATGTCTTTGCCCTTCTTCTCTTGAGAATAAAAATCTTTGGTTCTTTTTTCTTTGATTTTTTTCAATTTTGCCTCTTGGCGCTCGGGCCAAGATCCGTTTCATTTCTACACCTGCAATTACTAAACTCGCGCTTAAAAAGGGCTGTCTTATTTATTATTCAACGAGGGAGCTTATTAGAGCAGTTACAATTACTTTTCAACAGATTCAAGATGTTCTTTCATTCGCCTTTTTGCGATTTCATTGTACAGCAAAAAGTCATCAGTCTTTCGTTTTGTACCAGTCACACTTGTTTGCATGACAGATGCTTCTAAAAAATGGATAATAAAAAAAGTGAAATAATAACCAACCGTTTCGTGTTCTATTAAGATGAAGCTCCTCAATCGGAATCTTCATAACGAGCAAATTCCAAATTTTTCAACAGGCTTTTCAAAGGTGATTTTGACGTTGACTGTGCCCGACATTCCGATATCGTCATCAAAGCACAATGGAACCATCCAATTTTCGTTTTGAAACTTGAAAAAATCCATTCCACCTCCGAGCGACTTGTTTGCATATCTGCCATTGTGTCTCAGATAGTTTAGATAATGATCAAGGGGTTTTCTCCATGGCGTTCTAAAATGTGTTCTCCAATTGACAAAAACTGTAAATTCCTTGATTTTAAAGGCAGGATCGTTCATCGTAGTTTTTGTCAAGCACGTGTCAAAAGAAGGAGATGTAAACTGATCATTTGGCATTCCAGTCAAAACGAGCATATGTGGAAGCGGACCTGTTATTAAATGAAAATTTGAAACAACAACAACAACAACAAACTATGAAATTCTCACTTTTCCTGACGACACCTCAAAAGTGTCGGTTCGCAAGCCTTGTTTGAATCTTTTTGCCACAAATTTTGGATACAAGAAAGGAATACTCACTTCACCTGATTTACCCGTAGTCAATGGTCTTTCAATCTTTGCCGCGTTGACAAAAACAGATTCAAGCATAAAGTCTATTGGATTCGCCAATTCATTTTCTTTCAAGACATTTTCCATATAAAAAACAAGGTAATCTTTACCATCGATCGTTTCTCGAGCCAAATCTGCTTCATCATAAAAAACTGTATGCGCTTTCCAATTGACGTTGTCATTGTCCTTGCTGAAAATTGTCTCATCAACTTCTTCTTCAAAATCGTACTTTCCATTTGACTTTGTTTTATAAACATGGGTGTACTTTCCATGTCCTCCTTTTTTATAAAAATTTGCGCAGTCACAAACAGCCGCAGTCGCATGCGCTTTGTTCTTGCGAGTGGTTTTAAGGTGCTTGTTGAAAGGATATACAAACTTAGAACTGTTGTCTGTAGATGTTCGATACTTTTGATAGTCGGATACTTTCATCAAAAAATTTGCCAAAGTATTCAACTCAACTTCAAAAGAAGTTCTTGTATTTGCCGGAAGGACGCGTGGCTGTCTAGCCAACCCATGAACAAGCGGCGCTCTTATATCATATTCGTAAACCAAATACTCGCATGAAATACCCTCACTATCTGTATTGACTGTAAGATTTGACTTTGGCTTCCAAATCTTTTCCGCATAAGAATGTCGATGCTCGACAATTTTTTTGTTATTGTGATACAAAGAATGATCCTCCAGCTCATCAGTATTCAATTCCCTACTGTCCCAATGTCCACTTGGAAAAAGTTCCGTATTTTGAGTCATTTCAGACATGTTCAGTTTTGTTATAAACTGATTGATAAACGTATACTCGTGCAAGTCAAACGAATCAAAGAGACGATTATCACAAAGTCTAATGACCAGTCTTCTTATCATTTTAGCGTGCAAACCATTATCCGGAACGTAATTCGAATCTACCAAAAGCCTATACGTAAACATGCACAATTCCGGCTTGAGCGATCTTTTATCTTCCGGAACATCAAAAAAAATCACTCCTGGAGTATTTTCACTCCCCAATCGACCAACACAGATTTCTCCTTTATAAGGATCATCTGTGGCCGATTTATCAGTCAAATAAAGAAGCTGTCCAAATGTTTCCGCCATCTAAAAAAAATTTATTTAAAAAATCACACAGGAAATAAAATTTAGTTTAAAAACAACGACTACGCCAACTACGATTATCAGCAATAAAGTCATTATAAGAAGAGATTTTGTGTCAACGCATCCTTTGAACACCATTCGCAACATCCGATTTTCGAAACACCACTTGCTGTACCAGTTGGTGTGCCATTTTTCGGTGCAAAGGTCTTCTTGGATGCTCTCTTGACAAGTTTCGCCAGCCAAGGAATGAGTTTCCCAATCGGAAAACAAGTCGCCGAATTCGCCATCTGGAGGATATGTTAACGCTCTCTTTCGAAATTTCATACTTTTATTGTCGTCTTCTGTTTCGATACCAAGTTGCAATGCTGCCAGACGAGGTATGAGCTCTTCGAGAGCTTCTTCGAGCAAAAGATCTACCTCTTCTTCGTGTGTTTTGAGCCCGAGTTTTTGTTGTGGTGGTGGTTGTTCGTCTGCCGGTTCTACGCCTTCTCAACGCTCCCTGTCTAGTAAGCATCAATGTCTCTAAAAAAAAATCAAAAAACACAGGTGTTTGTAAGTGCGCGCATTGCAGTTTAATAAGGACAGATAAATTATTCTTCATCGAGAACGTTTCTAACAAAATTCACTTCATTCTCATAATATCGGCGTGGAAGCGGAGCGCCACTTTCATCTGCCAAAGTAAAAACAGGAACCAAACTTCCAAAATCTATTTTGATTATTTTATAAAGTTCATCAGACCAATTTGGATCTGCACCCTTTTAAACTTATTTTTGAGATATGTTTTGACAGGAATGCGAACCAAATCGCCGACTCTCCGTTTGGTTGATGTCTTTTTTGTTTAGAAGACATTCGCTTCTTTTCAAGTCGTTTAAAAAGATCAAGTGAATTTTCAAGAGTTACATCATTAGGCGCCATATTAGTAGTAGAATGCACAGTGTTATTATAAGCTTTATTCACATCTTCCAAAATGTGAACCCATCTTCGAACCCCGTCATGAGCATCAAAATACTTTCTCAGTCTGCCTTGAAGAGTTCCACTAAAAAACAAACTCAGCATCAAAGCAACATAAAAACTCAACTCACATCACTCTCTCAGCTAACGCTGCTTTATGCTGGTTACGCAGTTTTACTGGCGTCATGTTCCATTTTTCAAGCAAAGGCAAAACATGATCAGAATATTCTCCACCCAAATCAGTCTCAAAGAAGGAATGTCCTGGTCGATCTTGCATACTCATAAATATGTCTTCCAGTTGACGTGCAGTCTCGACCCCTTTTAATGTTTTCAACGGTCGAACAAAAGTTTTACGCGAAAGACAATCAATCACAACAAGAATATATTTAAATCCATTGTTTACACCTCCGTCATTTTTATACGCATGAATCGTATCAGACATCAAGTGAGAATAAAGCGACGGCGCAATAATAGGATTTCGTGTAAATTTTGAATTAAAAGGTTTATGTCTAGATATAATAGGATTCATGCGTTTAAAACGCTTCAAATCCATAGACGTATATGAAAGTGGCTTTTCGTGATTATAAAAGGAATCTTGAAAAACATTGGGACTGTTATTACTGCCAAAAGTTTTCGCAGTCGGCAAGGGGCTGTCCTTCTGCCCAGATTGTGTCATTTGTGGAGCGGGCTCGTCGATCAGGGTCTGGTGGGACTGGTGATCCTGCAAGAATTCGCCCTCCACGTTTTGTATCGGATTTGTCTCTTGGCGTGGTGTCTGCTGCTGCACCTGCTGCTGCTGCTGCTGCTGGACTAGAGGATTCATGGAAAACAGCTCTTTCGGGATAGTCAGCTCGTTTCGCTCGTTTCGAGCCCCCATCAAATGTGTCAAAAACAACAGACCGTTTTTTTCTGTTATTGCGCCTGGCATGAGTAGTTGTTGGAATTGGGCTGAAGCGCTCTGGCTCCCTAATCCTAACTGATTTAGATGCTTCGCCACGTCGTTTTGCCACATCTCGATGTTTGAGAATTGACTTTCTTGTGGTGGATCGATTGTCGTTCCGTCGTCGATGCTCACTGGATTCGGATCGATTGTCACTTCTTTCTCCGGAAGTGGGTATTTTCGAGGTCGACCCCTTTTCCTCTTCAGTATAGGGTTTGGGTTCGTAGCGCTTGGCTTCATAATAATCGGGCTCGGATTCGGTACTGTTTTCCTGCTCGTCGTATTCCGACCAAGGGGGATATTCTTCTCTGTCGGTTTCCTCTTCAGAGTCCTCTTCGGCATCGTCCTCTTCTTCTTCGGAGGAGGAGGGATATCTTTCGCCGATCGGGATTTTGACGTTTGCTGCCTTGGCGAGCTTTTCCCCGTTTTTCGTCTCAATATCATTATAGTCTGGATATTTTACCAATGGGGTATTTTCCAAACCAGTTTTTGGAGCGGTAAATCGTAAATACTTGGTATCTGGATTGTAGTTGAATTTGGAAGCGATGCTTTTGAGAATGTCCTCTTCGATAAGGGCGTATTTCTTTTTCGACTTTATTTTTCTGGCGCTCATTATTCAGTAGCGATCATTCACTACTCTTTTTCAATTAAAAAAGCTGCGACTCGTAATTTTCCTATTTACCTGAATTTTTTATCAATTTTCTTGATTCGTGCCTTCTCTGATTCTCTTTTTTTCGGAATGGTTATAAATTAATACCGTTCTGCTATTTATACTTTTTACAAAGGCTGACATCTAGTGTATTCTGCATAAATTAACAGTATATATTCAGAGTGACCGGTCAAGCATCAACCATTCGAACATGACCGAAAAATCAAAAGCATCTGATTTCAAAGAGTTGCTTGAGAAAGAGAAAAAACGATATGCTCTGACAATTGAGCCACGAAACATCAACACGCCATCCTTGCATCCATCTGCCATCTACTTTGCAGGCAAAATCATCAAAAAGGACAAACCCAAGAAAGGAGTTGCTCCAAGCTACACCAAAGCCTACAAACGATACAAGACCGGTTGCTTTGTCATCAACGAAAACAACTTTGACAAGTCTGATCCCGAGCAAGTAGCGTACTTTCATAATCTCATTTCAATGCTATACGAAATGCGCACGATTAGAGTGTACGTGAACAATCACCGTGATCGCAACACGGACACTGAAGCTTCGCGCAAACAAGCCTTGAAATACGACATCGAAGGATTCATTGATGTCATTGTGGCAGAACCGCTGGGTGGAGACAGCGATACCTCTGACAGCGAATAACCATGACCAGTTTTGAAGTACCAATGATAGATTCTGACGATTTACTCTTTAAACACCCAACTGCTTTTTTCATCTGTGGAACAACTGGCGCTGGAAAAAGTGAGTGGGTAAAAAGTCTAATTGAAAATGAAGCGATTGCCGGTGAAATAAACAACATCTATTACTTTATGCCAAGAATAGAACATCTAGACATTAATCTACCGTCTCATCAAACGCTTTACACAAAAATAGGCTTGCCTACTCAAACTTGGCTCGATAAAAATTTTGCCAACGACAATAAGCGCGACACTTTGATCATTGTTGATGATCAGTGATCAAAATGTCTCGACAGCGAAACTGTAGAATATTTACTAACTTATGCACGTAGGCATTTGGGTGTTTCAATGATTTTTATCGGACAGAATTTCTATGAAAAAGGAAAAAAAGCCATTACTCTGCGGTAAGTTTTAATTGCCTTTTAGAAAATTATATTTTTTTAGAAATTGTATGCAAGTCTTTGTTGTCTTTACCAATAATACAGACATCAGCACCAATCCAACTGTAGCTGCAAAAACTGGACACAAAGAGGGCTACGAGGCCGCAGAGGAATTGTTCAACGAAAGACAAGTTCCCCGTTTTAGATATGAAGTATTCCGAAAAGACATCACCTCTATGAATCAACCAAGAACCTTGACTAATCTCTTTGGCGAAATAGAGCAACTTGGCGAATTTATATGGGTCTTTGGACATGTTCTGTAACTAAAACTGTACAAGCTCAATAAAACCAAAAACAAAAATAGAAATTCTAGAACTCGTTGTTTTGATTTATGAAAGAAATTTTATTTGCAGCTCAAGATGGGAATATACAGGTTTCTTGGCGCAAATAGTTTACTGTTCGTATTCACTTGTCCAGCCTCGGCCTTTGATAATTATACTGCGGCCGCTCTTTGTTCGAATGTGCACGATTACTCTTTGCGCGTGTAAATCGTGCCAAAGAAAATCTCGTTCCTTCTCCAAAAGACCTTGAAGCCGGAAGATCTCTTTTTCTACGGCTCGCCTTTCTTGAGTAGACAGCCCCTTGCAGATTTCATCGAATCCACACGCAAGGCCAAGTTGATCATTATCTAAAAAATGTGAGTAAATTTTCAATTGCAAAAACGTACCGAAAATGTCAAACTTTGGCGTGGGCTTTTTTTTAAGAAGCTGGGGCATCTTGGAAAAGAATCCCTTCTTTTTTGTTTTTTCCCCGCATTCCTCGGCAGCTGCTCTTTGCGGCGCAGGGGTAGATGATTGAGCATTGAACTCTTCCGATGGAACTTCTTGAATTTCTTCATTGTCCCGAGCTCGAGCCTGCTCAACGTCTTCATCGCCGCCAAGCGCAAGGAGCTTGGCGATTCTAAGCTGAGATGCCGCAGCCCTCAAGGCCTTTTGAATTCTTCGATTCCGAGCAGATCGCTAGTTGAAAATTGTTAACAAGCCCCGCACTAAAAACCTACCGTGATAACCATTTAGCCGCTGTTCAGTTGAAGACCAGTAAACTGAGCATCCGGAATAAAATTGCTCTCAAAAACACACCCATTCTAGAAAATAATTATTCACTTTTTGAGTCTGCTCAACAACAGCGCCAGTAATCAGTCACAGTCGAGCAGATCGCTCGGTATAAAACCACAACCAGAACCCTTTGGAAATTACGACAAACTCGAATCATGGAAATAGAGTTAGAGCCACAGATTGACCAATTTTTGGAAAAATACAGTAAATTTTTTACCGCCACCATTGATGGCGAAATTGTTCGCAAAAATCCCGCATACCGAGAAATAGACTATGTCCCTTTCTCCATAACAAAACATTTTCCCGAGCGCGCTAAAATTTTGAGAAGCGTCCAGGAAAAATTTCAAAAACCCTTTGGTAAAATTTTTAAATTGAGTATAGTACTAAAAATCTTTTAGCATTTATACATACAATTGTGAGCAGAAACGAGGAATATATGAAAATGCTAACCAGTTTGAATGAAACCCCCGTCTATCCAAACTCGATTGATTTTGATTCTGCCGAATGGATCGAAGCCAATCCAGGAAAAAAAAGATTTGTTGGAAAATCAGAGTCAATCATTTATGAAAGTGCTTTTCCAAACAAAAAAAAGAACTCCCTACGACTGCGACTTTAGAGACATTCCACTCGCCTTTCCCAACGATGCTCTCTACAACGAAGCTGAAAAAGATCCTCTCTACAAAGACTTTAAAAACGAACGCTACCTCAACCGAGCCTCTTTAGTTTGCGTGTTAATCGGTATCATGACAATTTTAAAGTCATATGCCCTTAATCCGTAAAAAGCCCGGCAACTTTGCTACGAAAGCTGCATTCGAAGTCAACGCGCTTTGATGATTCTCAAAGACGAAGCAGCCGACTTTGCAATTGCTGACCTTAATCGCCGCTGGAAGGAGAAAATTCAACTCATTAAAAAATCAGGTAAAAGTATCATCATAACACAAGTATAACAATAATCTAGTGGTGCCCAAATGGAGTGAAACAATTGAAAACTGGCATTTTGGCATGAGCTTTGGGGTAAATTAAAAAGATAAAAAACTTTATTTAAAAAATAGAAATTAACAAGCGAAATTTTTTCTTCGGAAGAGAGTGGAGAAGAAATAGATTCATTATCAATAACTTCCCATATGCTTGGGATGAAAAAGAAGCGAACCGAAGAATTCACCATACCGTCAGGCCAGAATGCACCTCTCCAAAAGCAATTAGAAGAAAAACCGATGCGAAGAAAGCGCCCAGAAAAAAGAAAGCCCGAAGAGCAAAGCCCCAAAATCCACCCTTTACAATGCGGCTCAGGAGTGAAACTCGGCGTTACCAAAGACAACTCAGAAGCAAAACAAGGTTGGTTAGGATTTCACAAAATTAAGTTCAAGCCGGGTTATAAGATCCCAAAGAGTAGAAAAATACTAGTCAACTCAACTTCGGCGCAATCAGGAACTCGGATTTTAAGCCTAAATTTTCACGCTAAAAATCGGCATTAAATCCGGGTAAAGATACAAAAAATGCCGCCACCTGCAATTCTTCAAAATAATGAAAACTTTGCATGATCAACCTTTTACTCTATAATCACTTTCCTTGCTTATAAAAATTGCAATAAAATCAATGTTTGGTTCAAATTTTTGGACTCTTTATTTTGCAAGAGACACAAGCAAGAGTTTATCGCTCGTCACAGATTTCAAGAAACTTGGAGCCATATTTTGAAGCGGAGTCTTCAATTTGCAAGGATGACAAAGTCCACTTGCTGCTCACTCGACTGACAATACAGTCTCGAGTTCCAGTTGTCGACTCGGCAGTGGAAAAGCAGAGACCCATTTCAATCAGTCTAAAAAGAACAAGTTTGCTTTCTCTGTAAAAAGAAATATCTCAATAGCAGAAACAGAAAAGTAAAGCAAAAAGGAAAAATAGCAAAGAGGAAAAACAGCTGCGCCAATCAGAGTGGCGCAATATTCAAAATTGGTTTGTTGTGACCACATGATCAACTCTTTTGAGTTATCTTACAGTCGATGTTAGCGTGTATCTCGTTTTTCAGTCTAGCTTTGGTCCGAGATTCGAACGCTAGACCTCTAGCTCTGCGGCGTAACACATTACCCCTGCACCGCATCAGGGTAATGACTCCTGTTTTGAAATCCCATAAATATAAAAACAACTTGAAATTTGCTGCTTTTTTTCTGCATGAAAATTTAAGAAACGAAATAAACATGTCACGTTTCTATTAAAATGATGCAAATATCAAAAAGTAAAGATCTAAAATTTACTGGAATTTTCAAAAGCTGAAAAAAACAACTCCAACGTAAACACCATAACGCTTATTTTTATTTGAGAGAAACTACTTGATGATTTTGAATAAAAATTTGTAAAAATGAGGCAAAACACTCGATCGCTTGATGAATGATATTACCAGGGACTAAAAACCATAACGCAAATGAAAATTTAATAATAGCTACAAAATATGGAAAACTTACCTATGCCATAATGAAACAGAATCTTTTTTATTTATGTAGTCTACGAACCGATTTTGGTGCGAAAAAGTAGAAACCATAACTCGAATGCGAACTGATCAATACACACTCGTCTCAACACAGAGCCAAATTGCTCAAATGAAACAAGAATTTTTTTTGAATTCTTCTTTTCTTGCAGAGATAAAATGAATCAATAACTTAGCACGTATAGTAATAAAAAGTTCGGTCATTATATAACATAAACTACCATAGAAACAAAAAACTAAAACTACTTGATTGCCATCACGTGACCAATTTTCGATTCTGGCGTTTATGAATATTTAATAAATCAGCTTTGGTGTATCTTTTTGAAAAAATATGTCAGATGTAAATTTTATAAAGTACACAAAACTACAAAACAGTTTTTTTCTTTATTTTATTTACTGGAGACAAATATCTGAAGAACGATGATTAATATGAGAGCATTTTAAATCTGAAGTCAGCGCAAAGCTAGAATATTTAATGAACAAGGAGCGCAGCCAATCAGCGTCAAGCAGAGAACTTTAGACCCGTGTTATCCCTTATACTACTCGCGCTCGATTTTTTTCTTGCCTTCCGCACAAATACACAGTCCGGTGGCGCTTGAGTCGCTCGCGTGCCCAAGCCTCTCAGTTTACCCAAAAGCGAACGCGTTTCTAATTCGCCCTTTTTAATTTTCTTTTCATAGAGCCAAATCAGAAAAGCGCAAATCAACGAAGAAGAATTGGAGAGTAGAAAAGGAAGATCGAAGACCAAGGAAACATCAAATAACCACCGTTGTTATATTTTACGATCGGAGTACTTTTTTTCCCAGGCGGCGATAGCAGAAGAGCTAAGGCGCCGTCCAAATCACATAACGAGCCAGAGAAAATTTGAAAGAAGACTGATTTACGCACAGAAAATCGACAAACAAAGGCGTTAATAATCGAAAAAGAAAAAGTTACTTCACGGAAGACTTGCCCGAAAAGCGCACAAAAGGGACCGGATCGAGGTGATATTTGGCCGGAAGACTTCAGCTGTAGCGAAGAGAGCGACCGACTTAGATAGAGAAAATCACAAAGAGAGAGAGCTTGAAAGAAGAACCACAAAAACCTAGAGACACATCGAAAATGCGAGGTTTATTTCTTCTTAGCGTCGTCCAAGCAGGAGGATTTTTCGACAGTATTTCAAACTGGGGACAGCCTCAAATTCCCGACCAGTTGAACCCCTACAAACCGAAGATCGACAAATTGGAAAATGATCTCAAGTAAGTCCAAGGCTCGAAGTCAACCCTTCCTCGCCCCATTTATTTCCATCTATTTGAAGAACATAAATAACCAAAATAGATCGAGCAAATAGAATTAATTCAGTGGCCTCTTCTCGGGGAAACCAAGCTTGACTGGTATTATTGAGACAAATAGTCCTTTTCTGACAGATTTAAATAACTTCGCTGACAAGGAAGGAAGCTTGTTGGCAGTTTTTTCGGCGATAAATTATTTGTGTTTTATCACAATAACGTTATCGCCGCGGTACTCTATACAATGGTACTTGACCCGTCAGCTACAGTTAAGATTTATAGAGCTTGGTTTCTACTAGCAACCTTGGCAGAGTTGATAATTCCTAAATTGGTTAATCATTCTTGACGCAATTAAGTTTTGGGACGAGTGTGACTATTTTATGGCATAATTACGTCCAGTTGGCATTTTCTCAATTTCATAAAACCTTTCAGTCGCTGGTGCATGTACGGTACTGGCTACGATCCCCGCGAGCACTTGAAAAAGTACCGCCAGCTCTTTTCCCAGAACAACGTCGGAATCGACCCAAAAACCGTCCCAACAGATTGCTCGAAGATCCAGCAAATTGTGCTTCCAGAAAATCACGCATTTTCCGCTTACGGGCGGCCTGGCCCATCATCCCGCTACAGTGAACCAACGCCAGACCGACACACAGGTGAGAAATTTCACAAATTTTCAAAATTCGGCAAACTTGGCTGGAAAATGAAGCAGGTGTCAATTCTCGCACCGCAAAAAAAGAAGTACAAATATGAAAATGTGCATTTTAGGATTCACGCCTCCTCATATCGACTTTCCCGATGACTTTGAACCGGAAGAAGACCCGAGCGAGGACTCAGAAACCGATGACGACTCCCCTAAACGGACAAAAGCACGAGGGACGTCTGGAAATACGATCATGGGGATCTCAGCACTTGTAGTTCTCCTGATCTGCGTCACTATCATAGCTTGCAGTAAGTACACATAACATTGTTTGACTTTTCTGCCACACTTAGCAACAGTAATTCTGCTTGCCAAATGCCCTCTCGATTTCAAGTACGCGGCCATAAGCTGCTGCTTTATTAAAAAATACAAATTCGGTCGTAAATTTGAGCATCATTTAAAATCATCGTTATAGTCTGCTACAAAGCTGGCAACTGTGTTATGTGCAACAACATCAACTGCTTTGGAGCGAATCAACTCAAAGTCGCCAAAGATAGCGAAGCTCTCACTCCCCTTCCTTCTCGCCAAGCTTCATACGTCCAAACACCTCCTCAGCCAGCTCCTCGCTCGTTGAGCAACGTCTATTCTCCTCCACCCTCGTACCACCAAAGTGCACCGAGCCTTGCGCATGCGAATACACCACTTCTCAACTCGAGGGATTCAATGGAAAAGGCTCCGATGGCTGGCGGATCGAATTGGGGCGCTCCGGAAAAATCCGAACCTGGCTGGTAGAAAATCTTAATTCTATTTTCACCTGTACATTAAAAACTGAAGCACTACCAAATATTCAAAATAAAAAAAATAAAGGAAAATCTACCGGGTTGATAAATTACTCCCGCCGACCACTTAATTTATTCACAATTGGCCGCAATGTAACATAAAGAGCCAAACTGACGACCCTTGTGGTTGGCTTCTGACCGTCTCCCAGCTCTTAGATGAACACGTCCGATCATTAGTCAAGGGGCAGGCCTCAACGGCTGGAGCGCTCCCAGGAGGTTTTTTCTCAGCAGAACGAGATGTTCTGCCGAGGACCCTCAATTAGTATTGAAATGAGACTCATTTAGAATTGATAGGAATTAACTCTTTTTATTGGTATAAAATTCTATAAAAACACTGACAAAAGAAAACTAGGAAATGAGAAAAAGAACAGCCACTAAAATCTGTGAAATAAAATTGGTTAAAGCGGAACATACAGTAAAATTTCTTGTTCCAACGCACTTATCGTATTGATCCGGAAGCTCGCAAAATTTTCTGCATTCAGATTCGTAAAAAATCGTCGTCGTTCTTAGGACAATCGTTTTGTTGAGAAACTGCACCAGTTTGCCTTGAAAACCACCGTTATTTGCGCAATTTACAACCCTTGTTTTATTTGTCAATCCCCGCATCGTACCTAACGATGCGACATATTCATCGGCAGTAGGCTTGATCATATTGGCAGGGAGCAAATAACCGTATTCGCCGTCGTCTGGCAGCTTGATTGTGAAAGCTTGGTCGAAGCCGCCGTGTTTGAGCGCCCAAACGTCTAAATTTTAACTTATGTGACGTTATCACTGACAACAGTATCAGCTTTTGTATCAAAAACAAAACGAAGTGTGATGTACCTGCAGATCCAGGGTTGGCAAGGACATCGACAGGGCCGTAACTGACGTTGAAAACAGAGCTATTTACCCCGTGAGCCATTAAACTGATAAAAGCTAGTTTATTTATGATAAATTTATTCTTACCCAGAAATAACCTTCATAGTTGTTTTCCGAAATTCCGCATCTTCCTCACTAATAACGATTTTTTATGTGTTTTAGAAGCATTTTTATTGACATTTAACCGCTTTCTTTCGGTGCATTTATTTTTCTTCTTTCTGTTTGAGCAGTTCAAATCCTTGACAAGCGATGGAAAAGTAATTGCGTTGCCAAAAGATTGATAGCTTATGAATGTGTTCTTTTGTCCGAGCTGTTGGAGGTAGTTACGCTCGGCAGCTGTCTCGGCCTCGCTGAAACCTCGTCGAGCGTAACTTGGGCAATCATCAGTTCCCGTGAAGGTCGAATTGTCCGCCTATTCATTGCTACTCTATGTTAAATAAATCTTTAAAACGATGAATATTTTATTGTTTCCCAAATTTCCCATTTTAAATTCTTCAGAGCGAAAATTTGGTTTTAACATATTTTAGGAAATATATACGGACGTAACAAAACTGTCCTTCTGAGTCTTGTAAAAGAGATTCGCTTTGTATAAAAATCTCATTTCGCGCTTTACATATTTATTCTCGCCATTGATGTAGCCGTTCATAATTTGTATTGAGATCGATGCCCGTGCAGTTGCTATTGTACCGTGACTGTTTCATGTTTCTCCTCCAAAATCGGTCTGACTCCTCATGATCGGGTGTGGTTTTCAAGTATCCATCGGCATTTAGCAGAGGCACAATGGACCAGGAAGCGACCGAGCGCCAGTCAGAGCGAACCGTGAGAAGGTCCTCGATCAGACGAAGACAAAACTAAGAGCCTGTTGGAGCGTGGTACTCGGAAATTGCGCAGATTATTCGTCTGATACTGTAACTACGAACTCTTACCGCTGTGGAGATCCAGTCACTTCCGTAAATTCCGCACTGAATATAAATCAATGGCAAATCGTTCTTTATAAACTCGACAGCGTGAATAGGTTCTCCAAGATACGTAAAACCAATAATCTTGAGCGCTTCTTCATCTCTCCTGTCAATCTCCTCCATAATGAGTTTGAAATTATCGTAGCAGTTGTATTTTTCCAGACTCAGGTCAGTCCGGTTAGAATGGCAGGTCCAAGTTCGTTGGCTATCCATAGTTGGCTTTACCATCGTGATTTTGTAGGTGTATGAGATGTTGTATCTTTCGAGAAGAATGGACAACGCAAAACCATGCTCTCTTTTGACCGTGATTTCAAGGTGTTTTGCTTATATTGAGGTCTCGAAAAGCTCTGATTAGTTATTTCAAGCATTTATTTTTCAAGTCCTTTATTTGATTTTGAAATAGATACTTGTAGTCGAGTCTTGAGGCAATTTTCCTACTGTGTTTTTGTAGATCTCGATGTCTATCAATAAATAAGGAAGCAATAATCTCATCATACCTTCTGTTATGGTAAATTCTACATATTGCTGCTGTTCTGCAATGGCAAGCCCTATCAGCAGGGACACACATGTCCAAAATTTCATCTCTCGGGTCTAACACGAGTGTTTCCGCTTTATTATAAAAGGTAAGCCGCCCCGTCCAACCAAGATTCAATTTGAGGATGATACAAAGTAACGAAGTCATACGGCAAAACCGCAAAATATAAACTATCAATTTGTCTTCTAGGAAGAAATTGAAATTACCGGCGCTTATGGAGTTTTTAATAAGTTGAAACTATGCGGTAACAAGAATTTTTCTATCGAGGCTCAACCGTGTGAGCACTTGATCAATTTAAACTTTTTAAAAAGCCACTAATGAAAGTCTGATACTCGTGTGCCTCATTTACAGCGCCAAAAATATACCTAAATATCCACTAATGAAAATTAAATTGATCGTCTTATATAACCTTTGAGTCTACGAAATCCTAAGCAGACAACTTGTGCAAGTTGATAATGAGAGCTAACCGACATTGTCTTAATTTGGTTAATCAAGTTCGTTAAGTTGAGCTGGCCGCTAATGAGGCCGTAAACGAGTAAGCCGTTCAATTCGAACTAATTGAAAGATCACTATTCAGCGAATACTGCATTAGAAAAACCGAAGGTTAGTTACTCTGCCAACAATGGGGAGCTATTAACATCGATAATTTAGTTAAAATTAGATTTTACATAGAAGTAAGTAATCAAACACATGGAAGGAAACTTAAAGGCCGTTTATAAAGAATGTTAGATATAAAATTTTTACGTTGTTTTCGGCAAAAATGAACAATCTATTGAATTATTTTGACTTGAGTTTTGCATTTTATTCATCCTTTTTATCAAAAATCATCGAATCCGACATCTAAAAACTTGACTCAGAGTCTTTTATTCTAAGATATGAATTGTGACATGCGTTTTCACGCCACCGTTACAATTGAACTAGTCTCGCGCCATTCTAAGCGTTCTAGTCGTTACTTAATTTTAATTGAATCTACCCATTTGACAGGATTCTGACTCGGCCTCGTTCGCCCTGATCCCAGGTAAACCAAAAAACTCGATTTCTATTCAAATCTGATTATATCTTCAATTTGATAACAGTAGATTCGATGCAAAGACGGTTTACAACGGTCCGTCATCGCGCGGTGATTCTTTGCGGGTGGCGGCTTGCTCCTCCGCCACGGAATTAAGGTGATGAAGCAGGTGGCGGTGGAAACACCACCCGTGAATCGCGCACGGCGGCGCTGTCCGATTTACCGATACGCGCTCTGCGGATTCTACAGACGAGCTCACACTCAGAACAGCTGGTGAAGTAGACGAAGCGCTGGATTGCAGATTTACTAAGTAAGCATTTTATATAAAAAGAGAAATGTAGAGAAAATCGAAGGTATACTCAAGAGTCTTGAGTCAAGACTATTCTAGGTCAATGATACGTTTTTGATGGTTTATTAAATTAAAAGTTGATTCTTTTTGACATCATTTGATATATCTAAAATGTTTGTTTCAACATAAAAGGTTTATGATAAACCGTTTATCTCTATCTTGTTTCTATCAACCTTGTTTGAAACACGTGTGTAAAACGATAAGAGATAAACAAACGCTCTAAACAGCATCATAAGTATCATATTTATTTTCATTTCGCAAACAAAATGTCATTACTAAAATCCCTTTTTTACCAAGAGAGAAAATGGCCGACTCGGATTCTGACTATGCATCAGATCACTCTGATGTGAAGGAACGGGTTCCATAATTACAGAAGTCTCGCTTTTTGCATGAGAACTGGATGAATTAGTGAAACTCAAAGTAGCTTTACTGCAGATGCATTTACCGCCACGATGCCATCAATTCTGATGAGCTAGCGCTAAATGTTGGAGGAATGGCTTTGCAATAACAATCGATTTTGTCTTTTTTAGCTTTTTTATCAAATTTTTCTTTGCAAAACCTCGAAAGATATGGTAAGAGTGATCGATTCCGCCGACCATGATTGGTGGTGGGGAGAATGTAACAACCGAGAAGGCTGGTTTAGTACTGCATTTGTTCGCGGTAAGAAAACCTGCCTTTGAAAATTTTCTGCAACATTTGTTTCAGTAGTAGAAGAATCGAGCCACCCTTTGGATTTGTACAAAGCGGTCAAAACACAGAGTGCTCAAACGGCAAATCCCTACGACAGCAGATTCCAGCGTAAAAAATTAAAATTATCGACGAGTTGCTTGCAAATGAGACGGAATACGTTTCATCGCTCTCCCACGTTTGCGATCAGTACATGACCGCAGTGATTGGGAGCAAGTTGTTCACTAATGAACAAGTGACGAAAATCTTTGGTAACATAAAATCTTTGTATGAATTTCACTTGATCTTTCACCGGAAATTACGGCGCATGGTGACTGCATCTGTCCAGTGCTCGGTACACGAGCTGGTCAACCTTTTCCAATCCTATTTTAAACACTTCTACCTGTACAAAGCATATTGCACAAAATTTGACGAGAGTGCAAAATATTTGCAAAAGCTCTACGCCAGTAGCCCGATCCACGCTGAAGTCCTCAACAAGTGCAGATCAAAGGACAAGACGATGGTGCATCTGCCCCTGTCAAGTAAAGAGCTCACAAAGTGACAATTTTATGATTACTTGAAGCTTTTTTGCCAAATTAAACTGACATTCTATGAGCTATAACTACAGTTACTTATTGTGTCCAGTGCAGCGAATCTGTAAGTATCCTCTGCAAATAGAGGCTTTAGCTAAAATATGCGAGGATGACTCGACAAAAGCGACAGTGGCCAATTTGGCCGCAAGATTCAAGGGACTACTTGATGAAATCAACGAAGAGAAGAAATCAAACGAAGTCTTCCTTGAAATCGATACTTGGCAAAATAAGGTTCGACCAACTTTTTCTATGAAAATGAGCCCAATCTTAGGTCCACCAATGGACAGGCCCTTCTCTCAAGCACACTTCGTCAGAACTGGTATTTTACTCAGAAGGCATTTTGTATCAATCAGCAGTACGAGAATCCGTCATGCTTTACCTTTTCGACAACCAGCTCGTTTTCTGCGCTAGGACGGGTGATGGCGGGCTCAAGCTCAAAAATCGCTTCGACCTAGCACGGACGACGTTCTCTTGCGAAAATGGTCTCTTTAGAATTTATGAAAAGCAGGACGGACTTAAAAGCTGTGCGCTAATGCAGGTGTATATCAAGAACAAGAAAGATAGAGAGAAGTGGCAGTATTTGCTCAAGTTGGAGATTGGATTCGCGAAGATAAAGGAATGGTTTTGAAACTCAGAAAACTTTCCAAACGTGAGCAGTTATAAATCATCAAAAAGCACGAATTCGAAAAAGTATCAGAAAATTTGTATCAATCGACAAGCTCATCGAAGAAATCCGGCAATTTAAGTTTAGCAGCGGAAATCTGCAAATTCATTCGCCAGTGTAACAAAGACCTGAAGATTCATTTGAAGAAGCACAAGTAAAGTTGGACATTTCCAATTTAAAACCTCGTGTAAATAAAGCAAAACCTCATTCTGTATAAAAATGAACGTTGATTTAAGTTTGTGCAACATTACACAACTTTATTTTCTTTTAAAAGTTGGTGACAACGAGTAAAAACTTCGAATATATAGCCTGTACAGAAGGAGCGAGTTTTCTCGTTCAAAATTGTACAATCTGTTTCAGCTGAACTTGATCTGGCGCCCACCGAAGCCGTCGCCAACGGGAGCAGTTTTGCATTTTCTTCTGAAATGTTTGAGATCATCTGCGTATTCCTTGTCTAGCATAGGCGTGTATTTATTTGGCTCCAAATACTGCTCCTTGTTTGTTATTTTCTTACAGAAGTAAAATGCCTAAAGAAACTTCAATCGATAAAGTCATATTGGAAATATTACCTTATAACCCCCTTGAGGACATAAATCTCCGGGTAGTCCAATTTTGGATATCGGTTTTTGGCTCGATCGCGTTTTCGCAGGTGCTTCATCATTGACGGTGCTCGCTCAGAGCTAAACTCGCAGTGGAAAACTAAGATTTTCTTTTTTGAGCCTTCTTCCACTGGAGGCGTGTTTTCGCCGAAAAAGGCTTCATTAATCTAGATGGGAATATGAGTTGAAATCAAGGAAGACTGACTGACCATATCTTTTGTGAACAAATTTCTGGCGCCTTTGATGTGGCCGCCATTGAACTCGTATGGATAGCGTGCGTCGATCACCTCGTAGTCTGAAAGGTTAATAAACGTGTCGAAAGGGTTTTCCCAGCTACCCATACCTATAGAAAATTTTTCATCTAACAGGTTTGCCATTGTCTCGGTAGAAATGTAGCGGAGGTCGGAGTGTTTCCCAACGGTCGTAAGCGGCAAGGCAAGTTGATCGCCTGGCATGTTTTGGTTATCCATCAGTGGATTGAGTGCTTCTGCTGATGCTGAAAATGGAACGTGTCCCGATTCGCCATGAAAATGATCAATTTACCTGTGGGAATTTGGTGCTCGCCAAGCGAATTTGTCCGCATTCTGATTTCACGGAAGGCCGGAGAACAAAGGCTCATCGTTCGTCTGAGAAAATATAGATGATTTATCGCCGTCAAGAAAGTCACTTACTGTGGGCGTACAGATATCGGCGAGCTGGACGTATTGTCCAAGGGAAGGGCACTTTTTCTTCGAAGAATGTTTCTTCCAGTCGGTCTTTTTATGATCGGCGCTGACATTAGCGAGTCCATTCCTGCATCATCAGTAGAACACAAATTATCCTTTTGATTTCCGTTAGCATCGTAAATTAGAAGACACGAGTTTCACCTCTTTCAGGATGTAATCATCGGGCGTAGTAGGGCGATTTAACGGGCGCAGAGGACTCGACGTCCGCTTCTTCCGAATCGCCAAACGATCGTTAAACGTCGACCGTCGTTTTCTGATGACGAGGAAGCCGTGGCGTTTCAGGCCGACTGTTGGCGAACTACCAGCGGGCGGCTCTATGGGCTCAGTGTTCGAGTTCTCCGCAGAACGCAGTGCCAGTGGGGACATGAAGGGGGACGATGGGGAACGGCTTCGCGCTCCAGCTGGGCCTAAAGAAAGGAGTAAATTTTAATGAAATTTTGAATCACGCGTCATCAAGAAGACAAAGAAGTCAACTTTTTATAATCCTTATTGAATGAGCTTTTTGATATAAAAGTTTTTATTAAAAACTGTTGTTTTCGAAAAGCGACCTTTTCCCGCAGGTGAAATTTACTCACTATCAACGTCCATCGCATCGAAAACATCGTCGGTTGAGGTGTCCGAGACGTTTGAGAGCTGCAGCCGTTTAGCCACAGGGGTCAGCGTGATCATTCTTTTTCGTCTATCTCTTCGATTTTCTTGCTTGTTCGAGGTTTTAGTACATTCGTTGTTACAGAGGGTGAATGGGGGACTAAATGGGGGTAAAAATGGATAAATGAATGTTCCGAAAAAAGGGACTTTAGAGAACTAAAGATGTTTTTCAGTTGCAAAAATAATAACCAAAGCAATCTAGAATACCTGTTAGAAGCGTTGAAGGAAGGAAAGAGTAGGTAATTCTCTGTCGCGTGGCTGGTTATAAATTGTTTCTCGACTGGATGTAGGGAAATATTTTGCGCGCAGATCAACGCGGGCAGGGGTGAGGGCGCTCGGGAAGAGACCCCTTTACGGAAGCCGATTGGACAAGGTGCGCGTCAAAGTGCGCAATTTTAAACGCGCGCAGCTCGCACAAAAGTCAATGAACCTTGGCCCTGGGCGGAGGTACCTCGTCCGAAAAGGGGATTACCGACCTTGACACTTATTTTGATCCTAATTAACGTGCGCGATGTCAAAATGTCGATCAATTTCCAAGTATTACGTGGCAATAATACTTAAACTATCCCTGTCTGTAGTAACCTCTAGTAAGAGCCACCTGAAAAATAAGCCTACTCTAATTGAACAATTTTATTATTCGTAAGTTGTTGTAAGACGGTAGCAGTATGACGGTAGCATCTTCAAAACAATCGTCCCAAAGCAGTCTTTTATTTACACGAAACTATCAATTCACCATCCAATGTAAGATTTTAAAATTTAGACAGAGATAGAGGGTTCCATCTGTTCTGTGTTGAACACAAATAAGCCCTTTTAACTTCCCAAAATCAACAAAAATAAAGCTTGCTGTGGCAGCATGGTTATGCACGTGATTGCCTCTTCAAAGACGAGTTCCATCAATTTTTCAAAAGTACAAACCAGTTGATAATTACCTTCATATCTTCATTCGAGGAAAGCAATTTCAAGGGAACAATAGAATTCGAAAGTGATTATCATCTGAGAGCAGTAAATTGGAAAGTTCTTTGATTTCAAACTATCAAAAAGCTCGTAAAATTTCGCTGAGGCCTCGTTTCCGCCATTGTTTTCAGCCCTTTATTTCCATCAACTTCCCAGATGTCGATAAGGCGGCAATTGCGCGATATTCAAACAGCGCAAATTCGCAGTCCAACAAAAGTGGGCTAAGTACTCCAAGAAGCCCGTAAGAAACATCTGTCCGAAAGGATGAGGACTCAGCTCTCGTCTTGCAATTGATTTTCGAGGCAAAGACGCGATTTCCGTGATCGATTTACGATCGACGAAAGTATCAACTTTGGAGAAGGTTTTGTGTTTCCTCCATCTGCCCTTGCACAGTACGAAGTATTTTGCAACGGATGCATTAATTGGATGCGCACCAATTTGATTGTCCTTTCCAGCGCGAAGGAAATGTTTTCTTATTTATAAAACTTTCATTCTAGGTCAGCTTATCCAGCTGTAGCGAAAGTAAAATATTCTTGAGCCGCGTGTTTCCAGGTCAGGTACTCAACCTGATTCTCATCTTTGAGGTGGATGCAACAAAATATCTGATTTTTTGTTATCAGTTTTGAAAAATACTTTGCTGTTTCCGGAAATTGTTAAAAATCAGGCGGAGGTACCTGCGGATGTTCTCTGTGAAATTTATGCTCGCATTTCGAGAGCTCTTTTGGGAGACCGATGACTAGGTTCGTGAGGACTAGGTTCGTGTGACTAGGTTCGTGGGTGCCATGTTGGAAAAAATGGTTCGTGTGACTAGGTTCGTGAAATTTGGATTTTATATGCATTTTTTGTATCTTCACCATTTTGGGGCAGTAAGGGAAATGGGTTGATGACTAGGTTCGTGTGACTAAGTTCGTGAAATTTTAAATAGAAAAATTTTAGGGCAGTAAGGGAAATTGGTTGATGACTAGGTTCGTGTGACTAGGTTCGTGAAGACTAAGTTCGTGAAGACTAAGTTCGTGAAGACTAGGTTCGTGTGACTAGGTTCGTGAAGACTAGGTTCGTGAAGACTAGGTTCGTGTGACTAGGTTCGTGAAATTTGGATTTTTATATGTATTTTTTTGTATCTTCACCATTTTGGGGCAGTAAGGGAAATGGCTTGATGACAAGGTTCCTGTGACTAGGTTCGTGAAATTTTAAAGAGGAAAATTTTGGGGCAGCAAGGGAATGGGTTGATGACTAGGTTCGCGTGACTAGGTTCGTGAAGACTAAGTTCGTGAAGACTAAGTTCGTGAAGACAAGGTTCGTTGTTTATTTTATTTTTTGTTTGTTAGGGTTAGGCTTTAAAATTAAAAGTTTAAATAAAACATTGTGAGAGCCTAGCGGCTTATACGGGGGTGGGGGATACTTATTTGGCAAATATAGTCCCACATTTTTTCATTTTTTAAATTTCACGAACCTAGTCACACGAACCTAGTCATCAACCCGTTTCCCTTACTGCCCCAAAATTTTTTCTATCTAAAATTTCACGAACCTAGTCACACGAACCTAGTCATCAACCCGTTTCCCTTACTGCCCCAAAATTTTTTCTATCTAAAATTTCACGAACCTAGTCACCCGAACCTAGTCATCAACCCGTTTCCCTTACTGCCCCAAAATTTTTTCTATCTAAAATTTCACGAACCTAGTCACACGAACCTAGTCATCAACCCGTTTCCCTTACTGCCCCAAAATTTTTTCTATCTAAAATTTCACGAACCTAGTCACACGAACCTAGTCATCAACCCATTTCCCTTACTGCCCCAAAATTTTTTCTATCTAAAATTTCACGAACCTAGTCACACGAACCTAGTCATCAACCCATTTCCCTTACTGCCCCAAAATAAAGGCCGATTTCAATACTCTGGCAGAACCCCCACGAACCTAGTCACACGAACCTAGTCCTCACGAACCTAGTCGTCATTCCCTCTTTTGGCGCATAAAAGGGGAAAGGGGGTAAAGTGTGTACCATCAAAAATTGAATGGTGTGAATGTGTACCATCTTGAAATAGACCTCAAGAAAAAGGAGAATTTCCGTTTAAATTTAGATGATTGAAAACAAATAAATAATTTCAAGAGATACCTCGTGAAGTTTTTTGGGGTAATAACTGGGAGGTCACTGAGTCTGGATGGAAGCTCAAGTTCAAGCGAGAAGAAAAAAAATTGACAATTTATGGGGTTGTCTGTTTACTCGATTTTCATTTGTACTTGGCCAAAGGTAATTGATAACATTACTTTATGTGAATAAAAATATAAAATTGCAAGTCACTCGAAAATTTTTATTATTGACAATTATTGCATACTGCTTAGATGGAGAGGAGAAAAATTCAAGGCCGTAGCTGAACAGGCTGACATCATGGACGGTCAAGTGTGGTTTCAACGGGAGCTCTTCACTAGCCCGGGCGAAGAGCATCAGATCATCGAACTCGACCCCAAACAATGTCCGATGCCCATCCAACGATGTTTTGCAAGGTTCAACGTTACTCTTCTGTAAAAATCAAGTCGTATGTGACATACGGTATGTCTAAGGACTCTGTAGACTCTACAGTGTAGAGTACGAGAATAAACATTGAAACTGTTTAATGATATCTATGAATTCCTCCACACATTCTAATGTTATCAACCTCTAATTTGCCGAAGAAAAAAGAAAACTATTTTTATTTATTATTTATTGACAGGGAATGTTGAAGAATGAACATTTCGGTGGGGACATGGGCGGTGTTGTTTCAATGATATCATCTTATTCGAGAAGACAAATGTCATCAGTTTCTCCATTCAAGAAAGTTGAAGCATCTTCTCACGTTCAGCTGTGCTAATATCTGGCGCGAAACAATACAGCCCTTTGCTAAACAACACTATGATTTTTGACGGGCAAATGGTGAGAATTTACCATTTAAAATAACACAGAATCAGCATAATTATGCTAATGAAGCCGAGGCAGGAACCAATAGTTAGGATCAGCAAGTCAAGCCATGAGCAGGGCGTTGTCGTGTGCACTAGAACAGCAGTTGGGCGTTCGGGTTGAACTAATTTCCGGCAGTTTGTGTTCAGTTCCTCGTCATCTGACTCGTAGAGACAGTCGTAGTCGAAATCAGCGGAACTCTTTGAAAGAAAAATTAGAACTTCATCTTGAAATTAGAACTTACCTCATAATAATCTCGCTTATTTTGATATTTCATCACCGGATCTTGAAGCTCCTACGTAAGGCATTAAAATACTGAATCCGATAAAAAGAAACAAAACCGCTGTTAAACTTTCCTTTGGTAAAAGCTTATTGTATCGAAGGTCCGTCAATATTTGACAATCTTCCGGTCCATCTAGCGAGCCATCAGATCTCACATTACAGGTTGTTTCAATACATCGCCTAGTAAATTATTAGTGAAAATTCAGTGCACTTTTTATCGTCATAATCTAGTCATGGGATCTCCGCAAAAGAAGGACTCTTGGCCGGCAAAGCTAAGTCGAATTCTTGCGGTTAGTTCTATGACGTTCGAGATGTGCTAATTTGCGCTTACCTTGATGTACAATCGTCAATAACGCATTTTGAAAGTTTGTTGTAGAACGGATTTGTGTTACAAGTAACACTAACGTCTTTGGCCATTGTGAATGAAAGGAAAAAGGCGAAGATCTTCATTTTGGTGCGTGTTCTCTAGCGGTCTAAATTCCTCTGTAATTTCGCTAAAATCAGCACGAGTCTTGTCTATAATGGCGTCCGGATGTATTCGCTAATCTCTTCAAAAGACTCTCTGACAACTCACCTTAGATGGAGGCTTGTTTAAGACGGAGGCGAGGGCCCTATCTAAGGCCTCTTTGTGAACGAGATTGCTGAATTGAAAAGCAGCGCTTACAAAATTTTCTCTTGAAGGGACACGTACAATGGAAGTGATTCAGCAGAAAAAAGAGGCGCAAAAAAGACAATTTGTAAAATGTGAGTGGCGCCTGTCAAGTGCTTGGCTAAGCCAGGGTGATACCCGCCGGTTGTTCACAGTCCGAAATGATCTATTTTCCTTATCAGCTTCATCGTACCCCCGGGGCGCCCCAATGCGTGACGCCAAATTTCATGCTGTTTTACGCTGCTGGAAATTCGATTTTTTCGCACCACCTTCCTTCCGGCAAATAATACTGGAATTGCTAGAATTCCTTCACCCGGAAGAGCGTTTAAACAATCTTCAAAAGACAGGACACTGGACTGGAAAGATGCGTCAAAACAAGCGGCTTGATAAGCGTTCGAGGTCGACAGGAGATAAAACAAAGCAAAGGGAACTTTATTGATCAATTAGGGGTTGGAAATTTTGCCAACAAATATGGGAACGTTGGCAGATATTGTACTTTCGGAGGTGTACTTTCGATTAGTGACGGAAAAGTAGAACGGCGAGTTGATGTCTAATCTTCGCGGGGACCTCGCACTAGAAAATTTGCTCAATTTCGATCCACTTTAACAGTTATAAGTTAGAACTTCTAACGACAACCATAATAAAGCCAAGCGAAATGGCATTTTATTTTTTCTAGTGCTGTTTAACTTGGGCTAAGGTGTTAGTCACACAGTTATCCATATCTTTAATAGCGAAGTCAGCTACTACGCGGCCTTGAAGACTTTGCAATTATTTTTGTAGCCCGATGCCAGTTGCATCCGGGTTGATTATCAAATTTCTTTTCATCCTTACCTCCTGAAAGCTAAGGCCATCGCAGTAGCGGCGGATCCTTCCATTCCATTTTCATCCACGTCGAGTTGCACTTTGTGGTTGACGCTTTGAACAACAACGTCAAGATCTTCCATGTCTCCGAAAATCGGTGAGAAGTCGGCACCACCATCGAATACTTGATTGATTCCCATTTCTTTCAGTTGGGATTTCATGTCGACGGCGGTTTGCACAGAGAACTTTGGAATCATCAGTCTTTACCAAGTTTTTTTTCCAAGAATCTTTCATGCTAACATCGGTCAAACTAAACTGCTCCTTAGGTATTCCTTCGTGGGAATATGCTCCCTGTAATCAGCAGATCGAGCTTGAATGATTTCTCTGACCATTTCGTCGTTCGCCTTCGTAATAGTTTGGTGCCTGCGCATCGCTCGAGTTTGTTTTGGTGCGATGTACCAAATATCTTCAATCGTTCAAGATTTTTTGTTTTCAGTATAGTCTTACTCATATTGAAGTGGCTAACATAATCGCCATGTTCTCGTTTGCCATTCATAGGAATCTCGACAACATTCAGTCGTAAATCGTTGTCCTTGCAGGGATAATTAAGGCAGACGTTCTTCGCATGGCTGAATCTCTCTGTTTGATAGATAAATTCAACGTTCGTGTCTTCGTCATACTCTCCGAACCAGACTTGGCCAGGCTTTTCTTCTTCAAACTTGCTTTTCCACTCAGCCTAAAATGGTTTAAACCTTGTTTCTCCAAATCTTTAACCTTGTAGTAAAGCGAGCTTGCAAGAACGAGAAGTGTATTTTGATCAAGAGGCTCATCAAAAATCGTTGGAATCTTGCCATGCGTCTTTTCTTCAACCCAAGAGTTGATAACATCCGTTGCTTCTTGAGCTTTATGAAAGTCTACTCCTTTGATGTCCCCAACGTTTTCGATGAAATTAGCATGAAGTCTCTAAAAAAATTATCAGCATTTTCTTAATTGCCGGTTATCGTACCTCGGCAAAAACTGCAATATCGCCGCCCTGGAACTTTTGCTGATAAAATGCGCCATTTGCAAGCTCAAGCGTATACTCGGAATTCTCCTCACTCTCGATCGGATTGTTCTTCAGTTCTTTGACAAGATGACTGTATTCTTCGACATAAGCAGGATTGTTTGTTACGTTGAGCGCTTCTTGTATTTCCAAATTCGCTTTACCATCTGTACCTTCTGCAAGCATGTACAAAGCACTGACGATAGAGAGCGGCGATACTACTGTATTTCCTTTTGCAAGATTTGTGTTTCTTTAACTTATTAAAAACGAGCGCTTATTTATCTTACCTGAAGAGAAATTCCCAGCCGAGTGATCGGACAGAATCCATTGCCTTCTGTTCATCGCTCACAACGAGACCAAGTAAAAAAGCGCTCAATTTCATTCTCTCAAGTCAGGACTCTCAAAGTCAAAAGATACTGATTTTACCCAAAGCCCCCGCCCTACTGTGTTTATTTATCAAAAGAAATTACCACTCTCCGCTCATTTTGTCAATATTTTCAAATACAATCAGCCCTGGCAGGCTGGCATTTTCATGATCAGATGAATGATTTTTTGGAAAGAAAAGTAATCTACAGAGCTCAAGCTTGAAAATATATTTATGTTGCAGGTAGAAATAAGGAAATTTGTTTGACATTCAAATCAAGGTCGGTATCGATAACCGTTTGGAGAGAGTCTGGAGAATCGCATGTTGAATGAGCCTGGTGGTCTAAATTGTCGGAAATCGCGCATCTCGTTTCGCGCCATTTCAGCTTTTCTTCCTCGTCGTGTACCGAGGACCTCAGACTCGCTTAAATAAAGGATAGAATTGGTTCACTCTGCTTATTCTATCGTACTCAAAGCTTTTCAATTTGCTGATTCCAGAAAATCGATCGTTAAATTTTCGTTCTTCCTTTGGTTCTCGATGTCTCCTTGATTTGCGGCCGTTCTTATCACGATTTTTTGACCTGTGTCGCTTGGATCGTCTTCTTGAGGATCTAACTGCTCTAGCTAAATAAAAGTTTAATTGACATCGATTTTATTATATGAAACCTTTAGCTTTTCTTGCAGCTTTGATCATTCTCTCCGTTTGCCTTCGGAGCTTCATCGTCATTTTTCGTCGTTTTGCCTGAATTGCCATTGGATCCTCCAGGCTGAATTCAGGGGAGAACTCATCTGTGGATGTTCTCGTCACTAAGTCACGAGTTCGTTTCCGTAAAAATTGTTAACCCTACCATGATGTTCTCGCTTCTTCCCATTTTTCTTCGTGAAAACCTTAGCTCCGGTGGTGAATCCGATAAGGAGTGCGTAAACGTAAAGCACCTTCATCGTGCCTCGTTAATCCGATTTAGTCGTAGTCGTTATTGTTTTTTCTCTGTTCGCTGTCTGCGTTGTTTCTTTCCATTCGCCGTGATTTTAAACGGAACGTTGATCTCTGGACATTTCAATCTCCCGCGGCGCCGAGTTATTTATTAAAAGTTCACTTGGATTTTTATCACACAACTTGAGCGCTTACTCGTTGCCGGAGGCGAGTGCGATCCCGTCTCTAGCTCCGGTTAAATCTTTGGACAAACAAAAAACGACGCGAAGGTTTGCTCCAAATATCCGTATGAGTTCTGCAATTAGGGATGATTGACTGGAGCTGATGGCCTGGATCAACTCATTGAAGTCTGGGACGATGAATTCGGAGGCCTTTGAACTTGAGACGGGTTATCGAGGTACTCGTGTTCCGCTCGGCGCGACGAGATCAACCACGAATCGTTTCCTGTGACAGGAATCATCGATGATTCCAGACTCGGAAAGATCCAAGGATGCCTTGTTCTTTCCATATGAAGCCGCACAAAATTCGAGCAGTAACCGAATATCAAAATATCCCGAAGAAGTTCTCATAGAAACCGCAGGAAAGTCATTTGAATATGTCAGCACATAAACTCGTAGATTGATGAGTTTAAGGACAACCGCAAGGCATTGCCGATTACAAAGATTTATGTTTCTAAAGATGAAGACATGATCATCTCCATCAAATTTGATTATGAAATACCGAGATGTGCTCTTTCAGGTTCTGCGAGAACACGATACGTTGAGAATCAGTCAATTACTCAGACCAGGGTGGAACGTTGGGACCGGGCAAGTCGGGCAAACCGGGCAAAAAATCGGGCGGGCGGGCAAATCGGGCGGCGCAAGGCTCGATTTTACGAGGTAAAAATCGGGCAAAGTCGGGCAATCGGGCAGAAATCGGCGCCCGGAAAAAAAGTCGGCGCCCAGAAGAAAAAATGGTATCTAAAGGGACATAAATACTGGAATTTTATTTAAAACGTCCGGTTTCGGTTCTCCATGAGTGCCCTTCTTCCTTCGGGATACAAAATAATCCTTTTTCTTCAATAAATTTACATATTTTTTGGTTTGGGGGTTGCCGAAATTTCCGGGCAAAAGTCGGCGCCCGGGCAAATCGGGCGGGCAAAAAGTCGGGCGGCAATCGGGCGGCGCCGATAAAGAAAATTTTAATCGGGCGGGCAATCGGGCGGCCAAATTCAGTTTTTTTGCCCCAACGTTCCACCCTGCTCAGACGAACACAACTTGATCCGGCTCTTATTAAGAATTACAGCTCTCGTTCATCAGCTCGTTAGATATCTTTATTGTGCGATAAATTCAGCACAACAGAGGTGGATTTTCCTCCCTTGAAAAGTCAAATCATGACGAAATAACAATAACTCTTCTGATTCCAAAAATATTGCCCTGCCAACTTGACATTGGAGATAACTCTAGTCAGTAAACCTGCTGAGTTGTTATTTGAGAAGGTAATTATATTCAGTTTGCTTTGACGCGCTTTTTTTAAGGTGGTGGAGGTTTTCTAGCCCACTTGCGCCTTATAAACCCTAGAACACCATACCTTTTCGGAATCAGCAGGAAATTCTAAGAACTTTGACCCTTTTAGTTTTCGAAAATTCCACTTCCGGTCCGATTCTAGAGCCGGAAGTTGGCGAAATTTAGGAGTTAGGGTAAAGTTTGACATATCAAATTGATGCTCGGAACGTTTTGAGTCATCCTGAAATGAATATGTCAGATGAAACAGTCCCAAACGTGGTCAATCGAACCGGTAAAATTATGAAAAAACGCATAAATTGATGATTTTTTTTTCAGTTTTAACAGGTTGGTTTGACCGCGGTCGGGATCGATTCTTGCTTTAAATTATAGGAAATCTTCTGAGCATCAATTTGATATGTCAAACTTTACCCTAACTCCTAAATTTCGCCAACTTCCGGCTCTAGAATCGGACCGGAAGTGGAATTTTCGAAAACTAAAAGGGTCAAAGTTCTTAGAATTTCCTGCTGATTCCGAAAAGGTATGGTGTTCTAGGGTTTATAAGGCGCAAGTGGGCTAGAAAACCTCCACCACCTTAAAAAAAGCGCGTCTTTGCGAGTATCAATCTTGTGACGGAATTTGGCCAAGTAAGAGTTCATTTTTGTTTGTAAATAACAAGTACTTGGACATCAAAGAAGTTCAAAAATTTCTGAACCTCTTTGATTGATAGATTTTAAAAATCAATAAAGGCAGTCGTGTATTGGCAGTGTGTAAATGAGGTGAATAATACAAGTAACTAATTGTGATTGTGATCTGGTGATTATTCTACTCTTCCATGAAGTCGTCCTGCTCGAACTCCTTTTGGCTCTGTGATTCTTTCTCCGCCTGGGACATTGGGAGAGTTGTTTCCCAAGCCGGCCTAAATGAATTAGAATCATTCTCGTTTTTTCATCACTTACTCATAGGTGGATGTTTCCATAGCTTCACTCTTCGCCGTGTCTTCAGCCTTGAGCAGTTTGTGCTCGCCGGTGTTCCAGTCGAAACTTTGATCGAAGAAATTGTTCGGATGAAGGATTGTGATCAAATCGAGCTTTTCCTCCTTGTCCTTGTGAGTGCTCTTGAAGAACTGATTGCAGGCGACCTGATAGTGACCGTCATCGGCCTTTTTCTTGATCTTGTCGATGTCAACCTCCTTGACGCCCCAGTTGCGAAGCTGCTGCTTCAAGTTTCGCTGGTGCTTGAACGGACAACCTTGGTATTGTCCTTCAACGGGCAACGCTTTGATCTTTGTAGAACATCCGTAGGCTCCTGTACGAAAAGAAAATTATCAAGAGGAAAATAAACTGGCAAACATACCGACTCCTTTTCCACCTCCTTCTTTTCCGTAAACGTGTCGAACGTTGTATTTGAACTCTTTCTCGGGATTCGCATAAGCTGTCATCCGCGTGAATGTGAACTTTAGCGCATCTTCAAGAGGCATTCCGGCGGCTTTGAAAAATGCCCACAAGTGTACTCGTCCCTGAATTGCCGCTAATATCTTATCGAATAGAGAATTCTTACGTCATGTTTCAGCTTGTTATCAACTTGAAGTGCATCCAAAAGCTGTCTTATGCAAGGAGGTAAGGATGTCTTTCGCATCGTTTCAATAGAGTTGATGGTCAAGCGACCTTCAGTCGATGAGAAATCAGCGTCCGCAATCGTGTTGCCAAACGACTTCAAAATCGGCACTAGAAAAGAATATCAACCTGTTGTAAGATAAAAATCAGTTACCAAGACGTTCTTGCTCGTTCTCCATCATAACATCGAACTTTTTGGCAAGTCCTGCGAGCCATCGATTGCATTCAGACCGGAACTTTCCAACAACGAATTCGATCAGGTCTTCTTCTGGCACATAAGCTGCAAATTTCGAGATAACTTCTGGCGTTACGCGCAGTCATTACCTTTTCCCTCATCAATAAAGATGCTACGTCGTGTAACAAGTCTCCCAACCTGTGTCCAGGGGATTCTATACCAGGTTTTTGCCGACGCAGTTGTTATGTTAGAGCAGTCATTTAAATTTGCTTCCAACTCGCCAGTAATTTCACCTTTTTCGATGCTCTCGAGATTGAATTTCGACAGCTACAAAAAGTTTATCCTTGAAAAATGACTTCTCGCAAACCTCGAAAAATCGTATCTTTCCCTTCGAACTCATCTTATTGAATCGATATCGGAAGAGGTTGACTTCGTTGCGCACGAACCATTGCTTCAAATCTGGCTGCTTGCAAAACGCCAGTTTGAGCATCCAGTGAGAAATCGAATCATTCTTTCGCTCTTCTTCGTTCGAGTTCGATGCGTCTAATCCGAGTGAGGTGATACTTTTTCGCCTTTGAACTTCAAGTCAAGCTTGCTTTTGATAGCATCTTGGTCCTCCGAGTCCGCATGAACCGCTGAAAACGCTTACTAACTTTCCCATATCTTCCGAACTTACAGTCAATAATGTTGAGAGCTCTCTGGCGCTGCTTGGTGATTTCTTTTATGTGCTCAAGGTCGACGTCTTCGTACATCGGAAGCGTGTTGTAAAGCTGCACTGGACATTCAAAATCTGCTCCTTCGATGATCTCGACCCTCCGATGTTTTGCACCTACTCCGCGGTGCTCCCGACGTCGGGTTTTTCTCGTTCCTCCGGCTGCCTGCATTCTATTGCAACGAAAATTATACATGCGAAAGAAAAGACAACAAATAACACAATCGACAATCAAGGAGATGGACAGTTTATTTAATAGCCGAAGGCGGCGATCTGAGCATCAATATCCTTGGTCTTCGCGGCGCAAGCTTCCTTGGCGGCCTTGAGCTGGTTTTCTCGCTCCTGCTTCTTCTCGAAGTAGACCTTAGCCTTGGCCTGTCGCTTGGCTTCGAGGGTCTCGACGACAGTCTGGTATTTCCAGCCGGTCTCGGCGGCGAGTCGGCCGATGGAAGCGTACTTTCGGTTGGGCTTCAGCTTGATCTGCTTGTAGGCAGATGGGACGATGACTCGCTTGCACTTGTCGTAGGGGGCGGGGATGCCTTCAAAGCACTAGAGAAGGTTAGTTAAGGGTTTATGACGCTTCTGGAGTCAACCTTAAGAGAGTTGAAGGCAGCCTGACCGCGGGCGGTCTTGTGGGGGAGCATGCCTCGGATGATGTGCTTGAACATCTTGGAGGGAGATCGACCGTGGAAGGGACCTCGGGAAGGCTTGGTGAGATGTCGCTTTCGGAGGTATTCGAGGACCTAGGGAAGATGTTGTGATGTGAGTGGAGACATATGTGCTTACCTTCAGCTTGTTTCGGTAGAAGTTACCGGAGATAACCATGTTCTCGCATCGGACAACAACGACCTTCTGTCCGTTGAGGCACTGCTTGGCGACAACAGCGGCCAATCGACCGAAAAGATGGCCGGAACCATCGATGATCTGGGAATAATTTAGAGTATGTTTTGTAAGTTGGAATTTACCTTGACTGCGTCAAATCCGTCGGCCATGTTGATTTATAGAGCCGGTTACGAGTTCTAAAAACGAGAATTGAAAGAAAGAGAAACTAGTGAGTTACGAAAAATGTATCAGTGAACACATGTAAGATAATTGCTCTGTGAAGGCCCGAAAGCAATAATAAATTTCTGAACAGACCGGAACAAAAAAGTACAGCTAGGCAGTTTACTTCTTGGACGAGGCGGCTTTTTCCTTTCTCTTTTTCTCTTCCTCCTCGGCCTTCTTTTTCTGAAAACGGTTGTTAGAGCTCCTGAAAGAACATTTAAAATACCTTTTCCTCTTCAGCCTTTTTGCAGTATTTGTTGACGTCAGTTGGTTTCATGACAGTGTACTGGACGGTGCCGTTGACCCGTTTGATCAGAGAAACCTCGATCTTTTCAGCGCTAGAAAAAGTAAACGAACGACCCCTCAAAGCGAGCCTTACTTGAGAGTCTGAGTGTCAAGAGTCTTGAGGAAGATGCTCATGGCGAGGTTGATTGCCTTTTCCAAGTCCATGCTCTCGTCGTAGTCTTGTTCGAGCATGCTGGTGGCGGACTGGCTGCTTCCGCCAATGCAGGTTGCCTTCCAGCCACCGTAGTTGCCAGATGGGTCACCCTGGGATTCGCTGTTTAGAATAATTAGACTAGGGAGGATTTACCTGATAGAGCTGGAAGCCAAGATGCTTGTCCCAACCACAGTAGAGAATGGAAACGCCATAGGGTCGAACACCTCCGTGCATGGTAAAGTACTGCTTGTTGTCAGCCATTCGACGGACTAACTGCTCAACTGGCATAGGGTTTTGGTAGACCAAACGGTGCTGCTGGGCTGAAAGTGGATCATAAATTGATTGAAGGAATAAGAGGAGCCTTACCAATAAGTCTGAGCTGAGAGATGAGCGCGTTGGCATCGGAAGTGATGCCAGCGATGCCGACGGCCAAATGATCATCGATTCTGTAAATCTTCTCAGCGACAGATGGGTTCGTGTCAAGAAGCTTGTGCTGGTTCTTTTTCTCCGCCACGATTACGATGCCGTCCTTAGCGAGAATACCGAGGCAGGTACCGGCTTGGCCGACTGCTTCCATCGCATATTCGACCTAAGAAATCAAATATTTTCTATAAAAAACACTTTATCGATTCCAGGTGCGTTCATGATTTTCTCTATTTCTGAAATTCGGTACCTTGCGGAAATCATGACGGAAATTTCTTGACAAAATCTCTTGAATTAAAAAATCGATTCATTTTACGGAAGGAGTTTTTTGGAGAGCCCGAGTGAATGAATTCCTGATCGCGCGCTCTCATTGGTCAGCGCATTTCACGGCGCAGCGTTTGCGCACGTGGGCCAAAACTCAAAATCTGCGAGAAATGGATTCTCAAGCAAAAAGGAAGTAAAATTAAAGCAAAACCTTTTCCATCACCGCAAAATTAATTTACTCAAACTTAAATTTGAACTCATATTATTTCATATGTCTCTGGTAAATTACAGTACCTGATACAGTCGACCTTCAGGACTAAAAGTCGTTGTCTTCGCATCATACCGCCTGGACATATTCCTTCTCTAGAATCTACGCAAAATTTACAAAAAGTCCGAAAGGAGGATTTGAAGTGCAGGGCTCAAGATTTTTTTGACGATTAAGTTTTTTCGAACTTGCAGATTCAACAAGATACACAAAACAAAGGAACTAGAAATTGACTTGTAGTGAGATTATAACTTTATAAGGCGTTATTTTTAAAAGGTGATTTGTTAAAAAATTCGGTGCTTTGGCGAAACTGATTGTCAAATAAGAAAAAAATGTGAAATAACTGAAAATCGAAATTTGATAGAAGAACCGTTAGATAGCTTTGATAAGAAAGATAGTTAGGTTTTTAGCTCGATGGTTTTTCTGAGGCATTGTTAGTGAATATGAAGGCATTTTTAAAACACTAGTTTTTTTATTTTTCTTTGCGTTCACCTTTTGTTATTATTCCTTTGGCAAAGACTTTTTTTCAATGCTTGAAAACATAGAAGAGAACATTTTTATTTCGTTTACTCATTTGTTTATATCTTTGGCCTTGTGTTTGAACTAGATTATCATGCAGAAAAGAAACAGTTGAAGAAAAAGAATTGTTGAGTTTTTTTGTATTTTCGAAAAGTCGACATTTGTACATTTTTTGTATTTTTGGAACTTTGGTTTTTACTTTCGCAGAATAGAATAAGGAGGGAGAGAATGGTCAGTAGGAATAAATAACTTAAAAATATGAAAAGTTTTTCATAAACTTAAAAGATCGTAAATAGAGATAAACGTAAATAAGTGAAAAGAAGAATAATGTTATTGAAATGAATTTCGCATATGTAGAAACGTAAGTTTTAGCCTCTCGAAAGCGTCCAGCGCCTCTTGCGAGTCTTTTAGGTGGGGAGAATGTTCTCTATTGCATCGTGATGCTCTTCGAGCAAGTCGGTTTTTGAAGGTTCATTAAAATCGTCTTGAGTTGGCGTTGTAGGCCGCCGGATGGTCGTTCTAGCGCGAGACGATCTGCTAGGTATCCGTGAGCTGCTTTCCTCTTCTTCTTGTTCTAAAGAACTTTTAATTCTGGGGCAAAGGATGTTAGTTACCTTCTGCATCGGAAGTAAGTGGGGAAGAAACTTCGTGAGCGGAGCTATTCTGACCTTGTCCTCCTCTATTTCTTCTTGGAGGCGGCTCAGGGGGACCAGAATCAAGTCGATGCGAAATATTAATCGGAACAGCATCTTGCTCCGCTTCTCTCAACGACTCGGAATCTTCCTCCTCTTCTTCGTCATTTTCAAGATCTTGAACTTTTCCACCACTTATTCTTTGTGATGCCGCGATACGAGGTGTATCAGGTGGAACGATGAGAGCCTTTTGCGCCTTGAATGTAAGCTCTAGGTCAGAAGCATCGTCGGATGATGGAAGTTGGAGCTTGTACTGGAGTCCTTGAAGATGAAGGAGGAAAACTGAGTTTTTGTTCGTTTGATCTTGGCGAATGTGGACATCTTTGATCGGAAACACGAAGAAAGTACGGTCCATTTTTAATATCGAAAACAACTAAAGTCGTGATAAGTTTGGACATTCAATTCAATGACGCTACCTTTTTATTTTGAATGAAGAAAACGAGCCACTCGTTGAGTAAAAAATACATTGCATCAGAATCAGCAGGCTTCTTCCCCGGTCTGGTAAGCATAGCCTGCACCTTACAATCGCCATATTTGATGATTTGATGGATATCCAAGTGATGCTTCAGTTCTCCGAAATTTTTCAAAACGATGTTGTCTCTGTCGTCGTCCTTAATTTTCGCGACATATTTGCGGAAGTCGCCGACGTTTTGGTATTGAAGAATTTGGTTGATTCGAGATAAGAGTTGCTCTTCGCCGGCGCGTTTGTTGATTTCAGCGACCGTAAGCTGGATTGCGTTTTGAGCTTTGTTCAAGAGTTGCTTTTCTTCATGGAGCTCCTCTCCCACTAAAATTCTTTTGGACTCGATTGAAAAACTTTTAGAGCGGACCTTTTTCAGTGTACTTGAGTAGTTGAGCGAGCAGCATCGGATATCTCGGCAGTGTTTGAAAGATCACCATCATAATATCTCCGAACTTGAGGCGATTCAACCTTGGATCGGCCTCTGCTGATGATATCGCTCTGAAGAAGCCTAGTGGATCGTCATTATCTGGCCCGCTCATGCCCTTCATTTTGTCCATCGAGTTGAGAAACTCAGAGTCACGCGAGACCCAGTTGGACATGGCGCTTTGAAACTTTTTGCCGTGCTCACAATCCAGGTCGAAAAATGCGAAGAGAATGTCGCCCAATCCGCGGATGCATGCGCCGTCTTCTTCTTTTCTAGCTTCAAGCTGGTCCCTTAGATCGTCGAAGAAATCCTTCGCCTCGTGTATATTTCGAAAGATACTCTCGCAGACTGCATCACCCTCTTTGAGAGGTGTCAATTCAAGAACTTTTGGCTAGAAGCAAATGTGAGTAGGAGATAAAAAAGAAGAGTTACCTTAAAGATTTCTTTGATAAAGGTGACTTTCGCAGATGCGTTGTGATGCACATTAATGAGCTCGTGAATAACCATTTGTCTTCCTTGCTCTTCCTTTGACACAGATGACAAATCAAAATCAGGATGCGTCTGTTTCACATCGTGAATCCAAGGAACAAGAGGTAGAATTTGAAACTCCGGTGTTATTTCTATTTCTGGTTCTTCCGCCTGTTCGATTGATTCTTGATCCATCGACAGGGGCCTAGAAGGTGTTTCGACGGTTGGTGTTTCCATCAGCGGCGAGGTCACGTGGAAACTGGCGGATTTGTCTCGTGCTTTTCTTGTTTCTGAGAAGAGAGATTTTATTGACTCCTTTGCAGTTGATATTGATGAGAAGGAACGCGACATGTTTGACATATTCGGAATAAACATCGACGTTGTTCGTCGCTTTTTTGCCTCTCTGGTGATAACGGAGTTTTTCGGAAGCTTGTCTCTAAGTACTTCCCACAGAACTTGAATAGTAGCTTCTGCTTGAGGTGTTGGGTTTTGAATGTACTGCATGAAGTCATCGTCAAGTTTTAAAATCTCGTCATTTTCTGGTTGCTTCATTCCTGGGTTTTTGATCTTTTCTTCCTGAAGATGATCTTAAAAGCAAAAATAAGGAATTGATCGACTGACAACATTTAACCTTCAAACTCTTCGAAATAGTTTTGGACCTCTTGGTCGACCCGGCTCCTCAAATTTTCAAGTGCGATTTTCGGATCCAAGTCATCTCGAGATTTGTATTCTTCGATCGCGTGCTGGGCTTCTTCAATGTCTCTTGAATAAGTGTCGCCGCCTTCTACTTCGTCTGAGCTTTGCTCAGTCTCGTAGAGAGTGATCCCACCCTCCTTGCTCAGACAGTCGCGGTAGATACGCTAGGAATCCGATAAGTATTCGTTTCTCGATAATCCGGAAGCTATCTCAGCTAAATTAACAAATTACTTACATCGATCAGCCCATCGACCTTTTCCTTCTTGGCGGCAAGCATCAAGTCGTATAGCTCGCGATAAAGAAGTTTATTGAGCGCATTTCTATGGAACAAGTAGAGGATAAGCCCAAACGATTGGGATAATGAGAGTGTTTTCAGACCATGGCCTTCAGAGGCGGCACCGAGGGATAATAACTGGCGGCGATACTGATCTTCTTTTGTCTCGCTCTCCTTATATTCCCTATTCACCCGCGCTCTCGACTCATCGTCAGTGCAATCGGCCAATTTGGACAACAAAAAGGCGCGTGCTTCCTTCTCCTTTCTGAAATGGGCGGATTAACGTTATGAATTTTACATAAAAACTAACTGGACTAGTGCCAGATTGAAGAAAAAGACTCACTCGATAGCACCGACGAGGAAAAGTTCTCTCTGCTTCTTTTCTATCAGGCTATGACCAGCATTATGCGAGGGACCGGATATATCGTGCCGCAAGTCTCGGGAATCCATGCTCTTCGTTCTGCGCAGCAGGACTAGCTCCGTGTGACCGCGAGAGTCCTGCAGAACCCGCTGCACCTCACGATGAGGTAGCTGATCCAAACGAACACCATTGGCCCGGACAAGCCGATCTCCAACTCGGATGTCTTCTCGGTCTGCTGGTGAATCTGGCTCGATCTAAAAAGTAATAATAATGCAGGTTATTTCCTTTCGTTATTTCAGAATCAATCGACGACCTCTTTATCAAATTTAATTTCAGAAATCGTACATCGCCGCCGCACCAATCTCGATTGAGTACCCGATGAATTAGAATTAGATCTATTCACTGATTTTAAAAACGATTCCATCGCATTCTGCCGAAAATATTCGATATTCACTAGCGATCTTCGTCTGGGCTTCATTGTCTCTTAATTTGGACTGGGAGGGAGCTCATCAAAGCCGTTCAACTTATCCGACGGGGGAACGCGCCGCGCAAAACAACAAAAAGGCTCACTTAGACATAATCCCCTGTCAGTTGCTCAGAATAAACAAAAAATGTTCGAACAAATCATTAGTATCCCGTCGCAGTCCGACGAAGATTACTTTCACTAGACGAGATATTTTGTACGTCCAGGAAATTGGAATTCTGTTGAGGCAGAAGTCCCGCTAGAGATCGTCTTCGGAATCTTTTATTCCTTTCATGATGTTTTTAATTAGAATGGACCAAATTGGCCCGACCAATATTTGATGAAAACTTAAATTAAAAAAAAATATGAACATGACTTGACTCTTCTTTTCTTCTCCCATAAGTATCTCTAGTTTTGTCGTTATTTCCTAGCAAAAGCTTTCGAAGCATTGGAAGAATAATTTTATAAAAAGGAGTCTTAGTATTCTGCGAATGGGCGATTTGTAAGAATCGATTAGAGATGCACTGATCATTTCAGGTCATTGCGCTTGATCAAAACTGTATTTCAAGATCTGCTTAAATTACTGCGTATTTCTGGCAGTGTCAGAAAAGATCGTTGATTTTGGGCGCAATTAAAGGAGAGAAAAAAGGGACTACTTACAGATTTTATTTCTCCATTCCCGTCAAATGTTAATCCGAAGCCAATTTTATCGCGTCTGATGAAAGTTCCTTTTTGAGCCTTTTGAACATTACATGAGAATAGATTTTGAACTTTTCCTGATTATAACTGTTAGCTGTTGGTATCCCAAGTGTGTGTCCGAGTCTATATTTGCCGATTTAGGGCGCCGTTGAACGCCCGGCACGGCTAAACCTTTCAACGATTCATTCATAAAGCCATGCTCTGAAAAAATAAAATAGGTAATACTTTGTGAATCACTTATTTATCCTATTGTAAAGCTTTGAACCGACAGAACTTTGAAGTGAGTGACTTGAAGAGGCAAATGAAATAGATAAGCAGCATTAGTGTTTCTTTTTGTACATTTGCACTTGCTGTCCAGCGAGTTTCAGTTTTCCGGGCATGTTGTGGGTCATGTCTTCATCCTTTACTGCCCTCATTAAGTCGATCTCTACCTGGCGCGCTTCCTTTTTCCCACAGAAAATACTAACCGCCTGTTTCGCCGATTTTCCTTTCTTGCCTGTTCCCGGGACGAATTTGATATGATACTGAAATGAATGATTACAGTTTTAACCTTTAAACAATAAGTACCTTGTAGTCGCGCAAACTCGACAAAGGTGCCACAACTGGAACGGCGTAGTGGACTAAATCCTCTTCTGTTGGCTTGCCCGTGAGCTGGTCGAGCATCGATATATCATCATCATCGACAAAGCCTTCCTCTTCGAGCATCTTGGTAATCTCCTCTTCGTCCGCGTCTTCTTTCATTTGCTCAATGACCATTTCCGCTTTACAATCTGGATCTTCCGGAAGCACTTCAGGCGGTGGCAGTTCTTCGTTTGCTCGCTCAAAAGTGTTGGCCTTCTTTTCTTTTGGCCCCTTTTTCTGTCCACGAGCACCTCCACCTTTCTTCAACTCACGCTTTTCCGCTCGTTGGAATTTCTTTGATTGTTTTTTCGCCCCTGCGCTACCGAGGAATTCCATCATCGCAGCACGATCTTCTTCATCCTGGTCGCCATATTTTTGCTTCATTTTCTTTTCTTTTCCAGCTTTGCCTCTCTTTTTCCGGAATTTATCTTTTTCAGCTCTCTGTTGTTCATGTTCCAACTGCCAAGCTGGCTTCGCTCGACCTTTCTTTTCCTCTTTGGTCTTCTCTCGCTTTCCGGCACCTTTACCGACATTGACGATTTCTTCAACTTCTTCCTCCACATTATACTTGATGTCGATCTTTGTATCCGGGAATTGGAGAGCTTCTGATTTTTCGTCACTAAATCTATTGTGAGCGATTAATAAAAACGCTTATTAGGACGCGCCGGGAAAGTAATATTTAATACCTCCCGTCAGATTCTCCATCACTCTCGCCTTCTAACTTGGGCTCGGTTTCGTTCTCTTCCTTGATTTCAACAAGGTCTGATATATCATCTTCTTCGACTTCATTCGCTTGGCCTTTTATCCTCCGCTCGCCGGCATGTCTAGCAACAGAAGCATCATCGAGCTTGAAAAGGAAACCAAAGCCGAGGACGAGCTGACTCGGTGGCAAATAATTCTTCTTGCCTCTGATCATAAAACTACCAGTGGTCAAGTACTCCCCCCGACGGCGCCGTTTTGGACACTTGATTGGCATGTACCCACCATGCTGAGGTGAGTACCTTTGCATTCCACGCTGCCGAATGGCAGACCGCGGCATGTCCGACTTCGTGAAGCGTTACCGGCGAAACCGGCTTGGAAGGGTCAATATTTTTCACTGAAAAAAATCTTTTGTAAACGAGTAAAACCGAAGTAGAGCTATTCAGCACACATGTGAATACTTCGCCCTCCCTTGGATAAATATTTGAAAACAAAGCACGAGAACTTTTTCCATGAAATTAAAACAATAAAGGAGAGTGAAACATATTCTTACCAATGCACGATGATGCACCGTGAATATCAGCGTGAACGTAGACATCGCCGTTTTTCAAGTATTTCTTGACAATGGTCTCGTTTTGTTGAGCGTCCTTGCCGGCAATAACCAAGTAATTCTCACTTGAAATGAACCAGAAAAACTTCTCGAACCACATTTGTTTGCGCACTTTCGTGACCTACACAATATCATCAAAAATTTTTGCTCTTGTAAAAAAACTACTTACTTGACGAACAGTCTGTATATTTTTGAGACTTTCATTAGTCTTCTTTTCGGCTGATTTCAAAGCCTTTTTACTAGCGTCAATGGTTTTTGACTCTTTGTCAGCAGCGGCGCGTTTAGAATCGTAAAATGCTTTCGCATTGCCAAACGCGGATAGAGACAGGTCAAGGCTATTGATGGCTCAGACAGCTCGTGGCCAAGAAATAAATCATAAGAAGCAAAAAAAGGAGACTTTGAGGAAGTTCCAGACATATTTGTTTAAACAAATGTCGTAAACGCAAATATCGAAAGTTTCTCAACGTAATTAATGACCAAAATATAACAGATTTACGATAACGATGGAAACATTAACGGTTTATACACAACGTCATTGTGACGAGGCAATTTAGAAAAAAAAATGAATCCTCCTCTAAAACTGGATTCAAAGCGTATAATTATTCCTTCAGGACGTAGTTGTAAACTGGAGATTACGAAGTTATAATTTTTCAACATGAGCTATAAAAATAAAATAAGAAAGACCCAGAGGCGCCGCAGTAATTATTATCAATTCAATCGCTCTGAGAATTAGAATTGTTTGAGGCTAGACGAACCGGCGTCGACGAAATCGCTATTTTAATTATTTTATCTGAGCCGTCCGTAACACGCGCAGATTTGTTGTATTCGCTCTGGCTACCGTCCTCGTCCTCTGAGCTCGAGTCGGAGTCATCGTAATCAGGCTCGCTCAACATCATCACAATCTGATTTGTCTTTAGTTTGAGCTCTCTAATCGCGATGGAGACCGGATCGCCTTTTCAAGTTTGAATAATTTTTTCTTCATGTGAGACGAGGAAATAAATTATTTCAAATAACATACAATTTCAAACTCGAGCCTTCATCCTGCCCCTCCTCGAGGAATTCCTCGATCTCTTCCCAGCCAATTTGAGAAGCGAGCGCCGAGCGCACTTGATTTAGGGCGGAATCAACGAGCTCCAAATTCATCTCAATTAGCTGCGCCTTTCTCACATTATCGGCTTGTGCGAGTTTAAGTGATTCGAGACGCTTCATGTGATCCAGCTTTACATTTTCTAGCTTTTTCATTGCGGCCTTTTCTGCTTGGACCATCTTTTGTTCTGCCTTTTGCGACTGTATTTCGCCATAGAATTTATCAACAGCAAGGGAGAATCTTTCAAGCTCAATGGTACTATCTGATTGAGACTGATGGAAGAGAAAGGGCTGATAATCGACATATTGGAGGACGTTGTCGGCGGTTTTGGTCGATATGTAGCCTTGGAAATTCGTTTTGTTGGAATTCAAAAAGTCGTAGCAGCTCTGTAAGCATTCGAGAATCTCATCAGGGTCTTGCACAACAGATGCTGTGGCCACGTCAAGGCCCTGTTCGATCAGGAAGTGTTCTATGACATCAGTTCCATAACCTAGACTTGAATTAAGCTGCTTGGCGATTGTAAAGTTCTTATTTTTCTTCTTGTTCCCTTGGACTTGAGATGGCTTGACGTTTTCCTGGAGCTCTTCAACAGATAGATACGGCTCTTTCAAAGGCTGAGCCTGTGCAACTGGATATGTTTCCCGGACAGCAAATCTCTCGTCCGTAGCTTTGTCTGTTCTAGCTCGGAGTAGATTCAGAATAGTGTAGTCTTGGTCACAAAGAATGATGTTTCCACGATCGTAGAGCTCAATGATCAGATGATACTCGTCCAAACAAGCTGATGTTCCAAATTGAAGGTCGATGATTCGATCGAAACCAAGTTGACTAGCATTTATCAACCGTTTCCCCTTCAAATGCTTCCTCAGCTTCATACTAAATCCCGAAGGAGCTGTGTTCTTGGGCCACTCCATTTCCGTAGGATGAACACGGGTCCCAGACTCGAAGAGAAGAACATGCTTTGAAGCGCATTTTCGTAATTTCAACAGATATGTTTTCGCATCTATGTCGTAGATATTCAGAACATAGTGATGCAATAAATTCGCCCGAATTTCGGCCAACGCTGCTTTTATGTCGAGAACTGTGAAACGCGTTTTCATGTCTGAGAACGTATATTCAAAAGTCGACTTTTTGGAGTTCTGATTTATTTAATACGAAATTTGCGAGGGATGAGATAAATATATATAATGAAAACGAATAGGAAGAAAATAAGTATTAAAAATCGAGGAGGGTTTATTGCACAGAAGTTCAGGAAAGAATATATAATAAAGGTGCTTCTTGGCGAGTATCAGCCATTTGTCTGAGCAGATAAAGTTTTGTGATCAATATTTATAAATAGTCCATAAAGCAACAACTGGTTAGATATTTATTGATTATAATAGGTAGTTTGCTATCGTTGCGATAATTTCGCATCTTGAAGTGAGGACATGATTTGATTCTAACGATTGAGATAGAGATACCATTAAAATGGTGGTTTTCTTATAACTTTATTGCTTGCGCACCAGTAGGCAAAAGGTAGCATATTGTTAAAACTATTTGCAGAATACACGTAAACAACTGCTGTTAGGTAAACAAAACAGAAGATAATAAATTAAGCTCATGGAGAGGCATCGGAGGGAAGCTCGAGCTCGTCCATGTCTTGGAACGCGACCGCGGAAAGGGCAAAAATAAGGAAAACGACGCCGCCGATGATGGTGACAGTTCGAACAGAAATTTTTGTAGCAATGAGACGGCCTCCAACAACTGCCATTCCAGTGCAAATTGAATGGCCGAGGATGCCGCCGACGATCACGCCGAGGATGTCTTCGCGAGCGCCAAGGATAATCGTTGTCAATTGACTTCGATCGCCCCACTCGGCAAGAAAGGTCATTGTGAACGCTAAAACATGTTGCTCAAGAGCTTTCATGAAAAATTACCTTGAAGAAAAACCGCAGAAAAGCAATTTCTAAGCTTCGTAGAAGCTCGAACAGGGCCTTGGGACTCAATATCGCCGGATTTTCGCTCTCGCTCCTCGTCTTTTTCTTTCAACTCTTGCTGGACTTCTTCCATTTCCTCAAGTCCCGCGTCAGGCTTCATATCGATGCCTTCTTTGAGCATTTTCAGCCCGAAAATAGCTTGAAATGCAGGTTAAAATCAAAAATAGATAGCTTGCATACCGAATAGTCCAGTAGAGACGTAAAAAGTAATGTATCTTGGAATGATCGTCGTAAGTGCGCCCATGAAAACAGACATGACTGTCATCGTTGCAAGAGCGAGAATGGCACCCGAGAAGATTGTAAGCCTACTGTACTTCATCGCCATAATAGCCGCGATGAAGAATGTTTTGTCGCCGATTTCGGAAACGAGAATGACTGAGAGGGAGGAGAGGAAACCATGGTTGAAGCCGAGTCTAAATGAGAATAAAAAAGGGTCAGAGAGAATCGGCTTACTCTGGGACTTCTCCAATCTTCAGCTTCAAGTCGTCTGACAAGCTACTATCAGAGGCTTCACTACTTTCAGAATCGACTACTTCCTGGCCTGCAACGAAAGCGAGCGCCGATATCGAAAGCAACAAAAATTTTCTCCACATGTTCATTTAACGAGTGTTACTCTCTACAAGGAATTATGTTGATACCACGAGTTGAAAAATAAAACTTTTTAATAAAATAAGAAAAAGAAAGAATTAATTACAGAAGTATAAAAGAAAATATTTTTGTACAGCATCGGAATTTGATTCGGAAGAGCGAATAAATTGAGGGAGTCGTTAGGAGCTTGAAAGAGGAGCTTGGTTGAATCAATGGGAGGTAGAAAATGGATGTCGTCGGAGATTTTTCGTTCTGAAAAAGGCTTAAGATAAAGAAGAGGGCAGTTAACATACTTGTAGTCGTTCATAATTCTGTCGTTGAGGATACTCTTAGCAGGAATGTATTTGTAGTCTTCACCAAAATACGATCGCCAGCGCTAGAAATACTCGTGAGCGCTGGTTGTTCAATGTTGTCTTACCTCAGAGCTGTAGACATCATTTGAAGAATAGAACCTACTCTCAGGGGCTTTTGGCTTTCTCGTTGATGTAAAATCAGGCTCGGAAGATCTACTTAGTGCTTGGAACGAGTTTATCTTTTCTTCGAGCGATTTAAGATATTCTTGAAGTCTCAAAGACGCCGGTCGGTCGCTCGATTCATCCTGCTCGGGCATTCTGCTCTTCTGGCCAGTTTGACTTTTTGCTGTTTCGTCAAGCTCCTTTGTTGTCAATGGTTGATCTTATAATTAGTTAGATGATTGATCATCGATGATTTCAATAGGTACCTGAGCCGTGGCTTTCTTTGGAAGTATTCATCGTGTTCTGAGGCATGTCCGAGACTTCCGGCTGTCGATTAATAGAAACCTGAAGAGTCTGCCGCTCATGCTCATTTTTTCTTTCTAAATTTCTCGACGCCCAAGCCATTGTTCGGGTGCTGTGGTCGGCCTCCCATTTTTCTACTCGTCGGTCAAATTCTCTGCGCTTGTCTTCCAAGTTTGTTTTTGTCTGAAATCAAATAAGAATTATAAAGAATAAATTGTTATTTTTACCGCTTCTAGTCGATCCTCAAAAGACTTGTGCAAAGCTGAAACGTGATCAAGATGATTGCTTTCAAGTCGTTTGATTTCATTTTCTTGCGACTTCAATATTTGGCGCTTCTGTTTTTCATGATTTTCTTGCATTTCCAAGAGCTCCGCTTTGTGCTGTTCCTCAATTTCATGCCTTGATTTTCTCAGTTTCTCGAAGAGGTCTTTATCTTGCTCTTGAAGCTTTTGCGTTTCGTATTTCTGCTTCGTTAATTGTGTTTGTAATAGGCGAATTCGTTCCGCTTCGTTGGCTTCAATTTCAGCAGTAATTTCGGCCGTCTTCACTTTGAACCTTTTGTCAGCACTATCTTCCATTCTCAAACGTTCAGCGCGAATTCTCTTTTCCTCGTTTTCAGTCGCACGCAATTTTTCCTGAGCAAAGTCCGATCTTATCTTCTCCAAGTTTTCTGACATTTCCCGTTCGTGGCGCTCAGTCTCTTCCTTCAGAATCTTTTCTTTGTCATCGACAAACTTTTTCTTCAAGCTCTCTAATTCGCCAAAAGACTCTTGCTTTTGATTCTCAGTAAGTTCTTGAATGCTATCTTGAATCCGCATAATCTCCTTGTCGTGCTCTTCCATAAGCTGATTGTACTTTTCTTGCCGTTGTTCTTGCAGCTTCAATTGGATTTCGCGAAGCTCTTGCTCGATTTTTGCTTCTTCTTCCTTTCGTTTCTTCTCGATTTGAACGGAGATAGAGGGTATTTCAGTAGCTCGAGACGATTTTGGCCGGGTCGATTGTGGAGTCAGTGAGGGCGCTTTTTTGACGCTTGAACTAACCGAAGTGTATGATTGCTTCGAAGCAGACACTCCGTTGGTCGACTCACTCGCAGAGTTCTGGTCTGACTTCACCGGCAATTTCTTCAAGAATCGATTGCCTGCCAGAGAGGAGGACTTCGAAATACTCTGTGAGTGCGACTTTGACGGAGTTTTTACATCAGATGACTCTGTTAGGGAGACATCAATATCAAAGTGATCTCCAGGCGGTGTCTTCACTGATTCCTTTGCTGGGGTCAAATCGCCAATATCCATTTGGATGTTGTTGCCAGCTGATTCGCTGTTGTCGCTGCTTTCATCGCTGTAGTCAGAGTCATCCTAGAGGAAGTTAAAAATGATAAAATAAATACCGTTTTACCTTTGATTCAGCCCCGAGAACTGGTTTTTTATAACCAAGCCGCCCAAAAGACTCGTTAGAGCTTCGCATCAAATCGTCAACATCGTCGATTGATGACATTGATATCGACGTTTTCAGTGGATTGAGCTTTGAGCCATTGTCAGACTGAATATTTTCCATTACATCAGCGCTTATTTCATCTTTCTCCTGCGTCTTTACTTGATAATCCTCGGTAAAATCCGAGTAGCTGTGTGTAATGCTGTCAACTTGCTCAAGCGAGGCAGGCAATGAATCTTCAGACTTTGACTTTTGCGGCTTTTTATCAATGCTATACGAACGCTTTCTGGGTGTATTGCTTGATTCTGATTTTGATTTCGAGCTATCCAACGACTCCGTTTTTTGAATCAGAGCTTCGTATCTTGGGGAAGTGAACTCACTAAAATGCTGATAAAGATCGTGTGTACTGGAGACGTAAATGGACCGATAAATGAAGGATAAATGCTCGTGCTGCATTTAACCTGCTCTTTGGAAGTCTTGGTGGAGTGGGCAAATGATTTTCCATTCCCGGAGGAGGAGACATTGCTCGTCGGCTTTGAACTTTAATGAGAGGCGATTTGCTTGCGGTCGGTTTAATAATTGGTATTGGTAGTTTCTGATCTATTTAAAAATATGTCCGATGAAAAAATTATACCTCAAAAGACGAGCGAACACCGCCTTTTTTCTTGGACTTCTCTTGTCGAACTTTGCCTCTGTAATATTCATCATTTGGGTGCTCCCAGATCGATTGCCCAGTTTTAAAGTTGAAATAATAGAGCCCGTATCCCTCCTGATTCACAGCTTTCCAATCAGGTGGCAATTTCGCCATTATGCCTTCTTTCGCTATCCACACAAGATCTGGATCTGACGATGGATCGAGTCCGATGATTTTACAGTATTGGTGGATGTCTTCCGTCTTTGGGTCGAAGTCATCATCTTGTTCTTCCAGAATTTGCGGCTCGTACGAGGGGGCCATCTTACATTTCTGAAATTCGTAGATGCTAAGATCTAAAAGTTTGATCGGGAAAGAACTTATTATTACAGGCATTCGCAAACAGGCAGTGAGAGTAATGCGAAAAGAACAATTAGTAGAACATTGAATTTGACTAAAGCTCTCTCTGGATACATGTAACTTCAGCAGTTGTTGAGCAAAGAGGGATGATTGTGAACAAAATATTTCTAGATTTCCTTAGGATCACCCCTGGGTAGGAGCAGCTCTTTCGCGTCCATCCGGTCTCCGTCAAAGAGAAGTGTGTTGTAAATGGGTCTTTCTTTCTGTCCGATCGCTTTGATGGCTTCTTGGCCCATGAGTCCGCCGACAATGGCGCCAATCGGCGGAATGTCGCCTTCGAATTCCTCACCCCAGTCTTCGATTCCTTTCAAGCTCTCAAACTCTGCGAACTTTGCCTTGAAATCCTCACTTATATACGCTAGAAAAGAGCATGAGTAATGAGTCATTAGTTTCGAGTAGTCACCTTCATATAAGTTTAATGCAACTCTGACTTTGTTTTTCTTGTATCGCTTTGGGAAGGTGACTTCATTCTCAGAATAATTGATGGCTTCCGAAAGAGGCTTGAATGAGATCTTTCGAAGCTCTGTTTTTTCATTTTTCGTGCTGAATTCTTCGATAGAAATATTCGATAAAGAGTGACTTACAGCGAGTACTCGTGCTCCAAAAAGTCATTGAATCCAAATCCATACATTCCAAAAGTAGCTCCAACAATGTGTTTAATTCCTCCTTCCCTGAGGATGCCTGTAATTCGCAAAAGCTCATCTTTCGGTAGAATGACGGCAATAACAACCAAGGAAAAGTTTTTGAAGAAATCGAGGTTCTAGAAACTCGTGTTACAGTGTTCAGTTTTGCATGGGTTGTACTTTATCGGACGTAAATCCAGGAGCAATGAAGACTTTGACGTTTGGGTTGAGTTCTTGGACTCGATCGAGGCTGGCAGAAGCGCGGTTTTCGAAAGCTGTGCCACTTTAAGACGATGGAAAAGAAGAAAATAAGCTCTTTGAAAAGGCTAATCCGAGCTTTGAATGTCAAATGTCAAGATTTCTCAACATTCTCAGAGGCGCGTGCAAACTCCAATTTTTTCAATGAAAAGAGAACTAGAGTACCCAAGAAAGTGAAATGAAGTTGCTAGGAAAAAGAAGATTTTCGTTTGTGAAATTCATGTTTCCACAAATTTGCACGGAAGAAGTTTCCACCGTCCCTTGTCATGAGAAGAGTCTGAAAAAGGTAGATAGATAACGATTAATTGCATGAAAACAAACCTTTTCGTCCACTTTTCGATCATCCATCAGCACCATTTCGCCAACACCGGCAAGAGTGAGATTCTTGACGATTTCAGAGCCGAGAGAGCTCAGCCCAATAACGCAAATTTTTGAGTTTCGAAGTCGTTTCTGACCATCTAAGCCCCAAAGGCGGATCTAAAAAACGATTTTACATCGATTTTCTTGAATTTATCGGTTTTTCGATAACAGCTTCTATTTTTTTCATACCTGTCGGTCATATTGAGTGACTTCTTGCTCCGAAACTTCCTGTTCTTCTCTATTTTCAGCGGTCATCGTGCCTTCTTTTCAAATCTCTAAAAAATCAAAGTTAAAAATTTTAAACCGAAAAGCAGAATTCTGGCGGTTCTAGTGACAGATGGGATTCGAATCGGGCCTAGCGGAAAATCGCTTTCTGTAGTAAAGTGCTGTTTAAAGTGCGTTCGATCGTTGGATGACCGCGCTGATTGGCCCGTCCCATTTTTTCTATTCAAGGGCGGGAAATGCCCGCAGAGAAACTAAAACGAGAAGGGATGAGATCTTTTATTTGGGGTATTCTCGGTATCTAAGGGAATTAAGTCGAAGTAGGGCACCTTAATATCATTTCGATGATTTTGCTTACTTATCAAAGTTTCTGGGCATTCGATAATTATATTTCTTTTCTCAAAATTATAGTCTTCAGAAATGGGTGAGTTTTGTCTGAACGATTATCCTGTGATTGGTTTCGATATGGACATGACCCTCGCCCGGTAACAAACCCTCTCTTTATCATTTTATTATTCCTTGTCCTTCAGGTACCGTACTGTGGCGATGGCGGAAGTGACCTTCGAAACAGTGGTAAAATACCTGGTCCAAGAACGAAACTATCCATCTCAATTGGCAGAACCGATGAGTGAAGAAGACAAGCTCTTTCTTGGCAAGGGACTCGTTGTTAACTTCGAAGACATGTCCATCGATAAAGTAGGCAAAGACGGAGAAGTGAAGATTTCGTGGAATCCGGAAACAGGCGAGTTCGATAAAAGCGCGAAAAAATGGACAGGCTACGAACAATATTTGCAGAACGGCGCGTCGATCAGAGGAAAACAGCATCACATTGAAAATGTCTTTGAACTGGGTCTTCCGCTGGTGATAAAAAGAATCGCGAAATTAAAGCGGGAAAAGCTCATCGAGGTGCGTCCAAGTTCATTATCGCCTGCTTTATAAGGTGTCAAAACTGGGCGTTGAAAAAGTGTCTATCTCCGGTCGTAGGATTCAATAAAACATGTTTTTCAGTTCACTCCAGAAACGATCAAAGATGACATCTTCAACTCGTTCGAGTACAGTTACGAACCATACGCGTTTCAAGTCGATCGTGGCTTCTTCTTCCCTCGGCTCAAGAACGAGCCTGATTATTTCATCCGCCCATGTTCCAAGGAAACCAAAAACTGGCTTCTTGAAATGCGAAGAAAAAAGAAATTCGTTTTCCTGATGACCTCTTCCAATGCCGATTTTGCCAAATATATCCTCTCTAAGATCTTTGTGGACGAGAAGACTGGTGAGCCGGAGGACTACTGGAAGTATTTCGACTTGTGCTTGGCAGATGCGAGAAAACCTTATTTCTTCACGATGGATTCGGAGTTCTACACTTTAAAGCAGGACTACGCGGATATTCCTGCTGCTAGACTGACGACAGATCGATGGTTTTCGCAAGGAAATCACAAGGTGCTGATGAATTTCCTCAAAAGCCAGTTGAATTGGCCAGATCATAAGCAACTCGAAGTATGCTACTTTGGCGATAGTTCCAAATCTGATGTGATTTCTGCTCGAAAAGTAAGCTTCAAGCCAAGACCGATAAATTAATAAATAGGTGGCGCACTGGCACCCAGTCTATCTCCTGGAAGAGCTCAACCTCAAAACTCAAGACGCCGTAGAGAGCGGCGAAAGTACAATCTTATCAAACGGACCTTGGGAAAGTGTTCCGCTAGAAGATACACCCCTCTATCAAGAAGCATTCAAACACGCTGCTCTAGTGACTCCAATGATCGAGTCAATTTCCTCTCTGCCACTTGATCACAAGTTCAATGAGAAAATCTTCATTTCGTAAAACAAGCCTATCGGAGTTTCGAATTTTAGTTCCCTGCTTTTTTGAGTTGATGCGTTGCTTTCAAATACAACTGATAAACCTTTTTTATTCATTTTTGTTTCATGTCACGTTTTCAGAAGAAAAATGGGAGACGTCGACTCGGGGCTATCGCTAGCCTGCGCGTTGATCGTCCTTCTAGTGTCCTCCGCCTCCCTTGTTGTCCTTAATGTCATACAGACCTTCACGCTTGGCAAGTTGTTCTCCATCGTCGTTTGGGTGAAATCGCTTGTTTGCGCACTTCCACTCGCGCTCTCAATTTTTATTCTCGTTCCTCTTCTCCGTGGCCGCTCAAATCCCTGGTAAAAAAAACAAGCTTAAATACCACACTTTCCTAACCACTTTTCAGTCGAACTCGACTTGCAATTTTGACATTGTTTACTGCCCATCCTCTACAATTGCTCACATTTTGTGTTGCGGGGATGCTCCTTCACTATCTTTTACCAATTCTGAATCCAGTATTGGAATTTGACATCCAAGAAACACCAGTCAAGGTATTTTTTTCACTTAGAGACGGAAAAATTATTCCTAGTTATATTTGATCTTTTCTGGGCTCTTCTCCGGTATCTACTTTTACTTCGAGTTGGTAAAAGAAGACCGATCAATGCTCAAATTCTCCGCGCACAGAACCACTCGTCTGCAAAAATTCAAAATCTCTTTCGTCCCAACTTTGAAAGAATCAGCAGAGGCGGCATTCTACGCTTTTAAAGCCTTCTTCCCGATGTGGACAATTTTTTCCTACTTATTTGGAATCTCTGTAAGAATCTTTTACTTGCTCGAATATGTTCTTGATGGTTTTTCAGCTTTGGCCACTTGTTGGAGTTCGAATTCATCTCAAGATTGGACTGATGTTTTTCCTCACGCAAAGCATGCTCAGAGTTTGCCTCTCTCTCACTGAACTGATTGCCACAAATCCTCGAATTTATAAGGTATAGATAACCTCTTGCCCCTCCTTTCAATCCTCCTTAGATCGACACAAGCATCGAAGGAGAAGACTCTTTGATCAGCCTCCTCTCTTCCAAGAACGAAATCGACAAGCTCTCAGCTTACCAAGATCTTGCAATTCTGACGCGATATCGCGATCCTCGTCGAAGCCAGCTCTTCCAACTTTCGGTTAGCTCAACCCTACCCATCCAAAAACTAGTCGGTTTCAGATTCCTGGTGGGAAGCCAAAAGTGTGGAGAGCTGTTTGGGGCGAATGCTACAAAACATTGGATAAGTTCAACAAAAACATTGAGAATATCAGCATTCCAAAGCCAAAAATACAGAAAACTCCTGTCCAAAATAGAACTTTGAAGAATGATGTATTTTCAACTCCCACTGTTGCTACTCCTCAACTCAACAGTCCTTCGTAAGTAAACTAGATAGATGACTGATAGTTGACTGTTTTGTAGAAGAAGTTTCTTGTGGTCAAAGACTTCAGGCCAGACAAGTCCTGGCCGATCCGCAACAATGACAGTTACCCAACCAAGATCCCATTTCCTAAACGAAAAAGAGAAAAAGCCAGCACTCTCAGAGCGACTTGCTCTCTGGGCTGATTCTCTCAAGGACAACATGAATCAGAAGATCGTCGACTGCGCTAGAAACTGCGCAAAGTAAGCAATCTTTTGCTAATTGACGTTATAACACATTATTTTAGTGCTTTCTTTGAAATTCGCCCGATCAGTTACTGGCTTGAAGAGCGTCCTGACTTCAAGACAGTTTCAATACTGACGGATATTAATGCAGTTCGACTGGCGATGATCGCCGTTTCAAACACTCTAGCTTGCGCTCCATCTGAAGATCGCGCCGGCGTTACTCTTGAATGTCTGCCCAAAGCACTGAAACTCTTCGCAAGAATGGGGCAAAATCTCGACATGCTTGTGCGAAACAATAATCAACGGTAAACCGGACAATGATACCAATTTCTGAAGCATTTTTAGAGTCGAACTGAGAAAATTACGAAATGAGTGCCGAACAGCACTTGGGAAAATCCACACTGCTTACGGATCGAAACTAGATGAATTAAACCTTGGAAAACGACTCTAAACATGTAAAATATAAGTTCACCAGACACCTTTATTCCTTGTCACATTTTTTCCTGTAGGAAACTCGCGCCTAACAAAAGAGGCAGTAAGAGTTCAACCCTGTACCATTTTGCTTCAAAACAGGACCCAACTGCCATAAATCACGACACACTCACATTTTAAACAATCGGAAATTTGAATCCATTCAAGAGCCGTTGTCTTTTAGAAATGTCATCGCAGGCTTCAGAAATCGTAACGATCTCGTTATTCGGATTTTTCGGGGTCTTAGCAAGAATAGGACTTGATCGTTTGGCCTTGCCTATTGAAACATTCCAGGGTCATCCTTATTATTCGTCGTTTTTCTCCAACTTGGCAGGTTGTTTTTTCATCGGCTTCTTTGGCAACTTGAGGAAATCATTGATAGCAACGGGATTGACAACTGGCTTTTGCGGTTGTTTCACTACTTTTTCAGGGCAAGGCTTTATTTATCGGGAAATGTTTGTCTGAAGTTCAGACTCTGAACAAAAATGAGCCTTGAAAGGATGGAATCATCAACAAGCTCTAACGTTCTTTGATTCTTCCCTTGGTTCGTATGAAAAGGGGACTTCTATTGTAACGTGGATAGTCGGATTATTTTGTTTCGTTGGAGCCTTGAATTGTGGCAAAGATCTTGGTCAAAAGATGAGCGAGCTAAAAGCGATCGATTCTTCTTCGAAGTTTTTGATAACAACGAGGATAATGTTTGGATTGCTCGTTGTCTTGTTTTCTTTCCTGTGCGGTATTTTTGAGAAAACACGGTAACCAAACTTGCGTACTTTTTTATTTTTGACGACTTATTTTTTCAAGTCTTATTTGGTTCGCCACACTTCTTGGTCCTTTCGGAGCGCTTCTCAGGCATTTTTTTGGAAAGCAGTTCAACGGCTGGCGAGGATATCCTCTTGGAACATTTCTCGCGAATATTCTCGGGAGCATTATTTATTCAATACTCTTCGTTGTTATCAGACGAAACACGAATCTGACCGAAGAAGTCAACTCTTTCGATCACTTGAAGTGGACTTTGGGAGGAGTTCTCACGGGGTTTTGCTCCAGTTTAACAACGATTTCTTCTTTTGTGAATGATATTTGCAAACTTCCATCGGACAAACGATATGTTTATATTTTATGCACAATTGTTGTCGCAAACGGTTTCAGTTGCATTATTCTAGCTATTGATTTGGCGATTCAGTGAATGATTCAGTTCTTTGCTCTTCTTGATTTTCTGTACCTCAATTTCGAACTGATTGAAACCGCCAATTTATTCTGTCTTCAGAATGAATTCCTTGATCACGCGAAACGCAGCTCAACAGTTTTCCTTCCAAAAAGTCCTCAGGTATCAGAAGTTCAAGCTCAAAGATTGGAAGTTTACCCGCGAAGCCGAAAAGAGACTTGATAAGTTTCGATTTCTTGTATACGGTTTTACCCTGGGGATTTCTTGCTTGTACGCGGCTCTCCACCAGCCTCAGATAAACGCGCTCCCAGTTCTTTGGAAACTATGGCGTGAGGAAGGAATTTCACCGAAAAATATAGGTATTGGCAATACCTATATGTATTGCCGTCTTCTCAAAAGTTCTCTTTCAACTCTCTTCAAGCCACCGAGTTCTTACTGACGAGCAGGTGTCCTTCCATATTCCCAATCTTATCCGACGAGCAACCTGCTGCAGGAGATGCAGTTTTGGTCGAAAAAATGATGAACAAACGACACCGCTACGAGCCCAACAAAATGCTATTGTCTTCTTTTCGCGAGCCCAAATCGGTGTTGAGGGTACTGGGAACTGAGGGTGATACTGTCAGGATACAGGGATGCAAGATAGAAATCAGGAAGGAACATTTGTGGCTTGGGACGGACGACACGGATTTTCGACCATTTTATACGAATCAAAGATTAGGTAGAGACGAGATTCTGTGGAATTTTTGTAAGTAGAAATGTTGAGGATTTATGTGGTTCTATGAAAGAATAAAAGAAACGATGGAATTCTACACAAAAGGAAGCAACCTGTATCGAAATCGGAACCTGAGAACATCAAGAGAATTCGGACAGATTCATCAATCCTGTGTCCGCAAAATCGCAGGATTCTACGATCCAGTCGAAGAGAAAGTTCTTTCATATGAAGAAGTTCTACATTATTTAAATTTGCGGATGCATAATCTTGGAGAGGACAATCCAAAAGACGAAATACAGGAATTTTTCCCCTTCAAACCATTCAGTAAGAAGATGACTGTATCTGAAGATTATTAACTTTTCTTCAGTTCTTCCTGAAAGTGAGAAAATACATCTAAATTCGGGAGCAGATATTCCTGGGACAGATGAGAAGCATTTCAAAAATCAATTCTCTAGCCTTTCAGAAAATTCTCCTGTTTACTATAAGAAAATTTATAAATAAGTTATACCGAAAACGAGTTATTATCTCTTAGATAAAGATCTCGGTGGGTTTGTCTTTGACGCGTTTTCGCTTTTTAGAGAAATTGAAAAATTCGAATTGGTGCCTCAGAAAAGTTTCTTTCGAGAACCAGCCACTCCCGTGACGACGCTGGCGCAGTAGCCAATCAGAAGCCCCGTTGGACGCACACCGTGGAGTGAGATTCGCCGCCGAGAAAGAATTACGCTTTTGCTCGTTACTACGTCGATGACTTCGGCAGAGGACAAGAGAATTATCTGGTGCAGAGATGGCGGAAACTTCACCAAAGAGGCTGTGTATTTGAAATGCATAGGTAAGAGAAGAAATTCTAGCAGATTTTCTATTGATGAGTCATTGACGGAAACTTTCTATTTTATTCTTCGAATTTTATCGGATCAATTTTATTAGACGATTTAGAAAAATAAAGCTGCTAATGATTATTTAGTCTACAAGATGAAGAACGCCTGTAGGAGCTTCAAATTCCACAAAGCGTTGTCCTCCGTCGTCCGCTGCCTAACAACTCATGGCCTCTTGCTGAAGTCGAACCAAAAGGCCCCCGACCGTGTCACCAGGATGAGCGAAGAAGACGTCCAAGAAGTCGTGCGAAAGTGCGAATTCGCGGCGAAAGAAAGCATGCTGGAGATTCGGATGGGGGACGGTTATTTGCCGAATTTATTGGCGGCAGTGACTTGTTTGGCTACTATCAGGTCTTTGATAGGAAAGGATTTTTATTATTTTGTATGATTACTACGCTATCTTTCTTTGCTTCAAATCTAAGAAAGTTAGTTAAATTTTCAAATTAAAAATTCTCAAAAAGTAAAGTCCGGCGATGCTCTTGATCTCCCGCCAAAACCAGCAACACTTCAGGCGGAAGATACAGGAGAAGTCGTGAAGAGCGCACCAGAACAAGAACCCTGCCAAATGGGTGCGCTCTTCGATGAGCTCATGCCGAAGAAGCGAGCCATTCGAGAAGCTTCCTCGTCGTCGGAAGAAGAGGAGGAAGTCATTGTCTTAAAGAAGAGACGAAAATGAGAAAATAAATGGAGAAAAAGAATGCGAGAAAGACTGACGGGATCAGCCGGTCCCGGACACCCGAATGTAGCGACGACATGTGGAGGCAGTGGCGGGCCTTTGGGTTCGCTGCTGTCTTCAGATGATTCGAAGAAGACTGAAGATCCCCAGCTTGAGGATCTTTCGAATGAGAGATTGGTTGATGTCTGATGGTCATCAGCCGTCTCATAATGCAAGACGCAGATTAATGGCAATACTCGTCCCTTCATGGGGCGAGTTTCCGAATAGATTGCGAACGACAAGGGAAAACCCTTGTCGAAAGAAAAGACGAAGACGAAGATGTTGCTGAAAGCCAGCAGATAGAAGGAATGATTCGCCACGAAAGCACGACCTCAATGGAAACATCCCATTGTGATAATGTACTACTTCTTCAAGAGGAAGATTGAATCACTTCTCAAAAGACTGCTAGTAAAAACATACTGTCCGAACGAATGACCAACCCTAATTTGCACAAGTCGCCACTGCAATTACATTTCACCTGCTTATAAAGTTATCCACGAACGTGTTGTTTAGATTGAAAACCGGACACAATGACCAACCCTAAAGGTACTCGTCGTGGTACCCGATACATGTTCTCCAAGGACTTCCGAAAGAAGGGAGTTATTGGCTTGAAGACCTACTTCGCCAACTACCACAAGGTAAAGCGAGAGCTTTTTGCAGCTTGTAAGCGAATCCTTACAGTTGATTTTAGGGAGACATCGTCGACATCAAGGGTGATGGTGCCGTCCAGAAGGGTATGCCCCACAAGGTTTACCACGGAACCACTGGCCGAGTTTTCAACGTCTCTCGAAAGGCCGTCGGTGTTATCGTCAACAAGAAGGTATTTTTCCCTCTGTCGTCAAATTTCTGATCACTGCTGTAGCACAACGGACGAATCATCGCCAAGCGAGTGAACCTCCGAATCGAGCACGTCCGACACTCCAAGTCCCGACAGGGTTTCCTCGACCGAGTCAAGACCAACAACGCTCGAATCGCTGAGGCCAAGAAGGCCGGCACCTTCGTTGATGTCAAGCGAATCAACGTCCAGCCCCGACCTGCTCACACCGTCAAGCTCTTCGGCAAAGAACCCGAGATGGTCGCCCCTATTCCATACGAATTCATTATCTAAATACAGACTATTCGAATTCTGGACTTGTACACATTTTGAGTCTTTCTCTTTGACAATTTTGACGATTCCGCTATCAAAATCTCCTCGAGAAAAACTCTTCGTTTCTGTGTCTCTATTTTATTGCAGGCTTTTCAGTATTTCGGTCGAGCGTGAATCGGTGCAATCTCAACCATTGTGTACTTCTGGAGTTAAAATATCTGTCCACCTTTAGTAACAGAATGGTTGACATCGCCCTGATCTCAATAATAGTTCTCCTTGTTCTCTACTGATGTATCCATCTTTGCCGCCTTTATATTCGCTTTGGTCGGTTCTCACTTGGATGTTAATTTTGTCGGGCTGGCTCTCTAGGAATGTTAAATAAATATCAATAAGTAGATACATCAAAAGGGCTAATTAGGGACGAGGTGGGAAGTCGTGTGGCTAATGATCGGGAGAAGAAGGGGGAAGTATTTGACCTTGAAATCTTATAGAATGGTGAAGAGGAAGCGAAGTCGTAAAGAACTATCGGCCCTTCTTGATGGCGATAGCGGAGTCTCTGTGACTGCTTCAAAGCCTCAAGTTACCAAAACTAAGCCAGCTAAAGTGGCAACCGCTAAACCAAACAGTGGAAGCAAGAAAACAGCGCCAAAAGCACCTGCCATTAAAGAAAAGGTTGAAGCGGAAAGCACAGAAGACTTCATGGAGTTTTTGAAAGGAGAAGGCGTTGATCAGGAATTCTTAGACTTCGCAGATGGAGATCACGAATTGTCAGGCTCTGATTCCGAGGAGGAAAAAGAAGACAAAAATTCTGTGGAAGATGATGAAGGAGAAGAGCTTTTCGATAAGATTGAAAACGACGTTGATTTTTCTGATGATGAAGAGGAAGAAATGGATCAAGAGCCATCTGAAGAAAAGGAAGATGATCCAGAGTCAGATGCGGGTCATTTCGCCGAAATGAGCTCAGACGAAGAAGAACTCGATGAAATGGATTTTGATGGGGGTCTCCAGCTCGATAATGATTCTGATAACGACGAGGCGGAAATGGATGATCCTGAGTCGGACAAAAAGCTCATTACTTCGGAAAAACTGAATAGTTGGATCGAACAACTGGAATCCGGCTTTCATAGACCAGTTGACAGAATAGCGACAACGTTATACTCGAGCATCGTGCAGTTGGATTCAAGAGACGGTGGCGAGAAAAACAAGCACGACAAGAAGTTCCTGTCCAAAGTGAAAACGACTGGAAATCTTTTCCCAGAGTTGTGCACCGCTGCGATCGCAAAAGTGCCTCCCTGCCTTTTCAAATTATTCGAGTTGGAAGAAAACTCAAAACCAGGCCAGCTCATGCAACACAAACTTTGGAAAAAGCTTCGGCGGCCGATCAAATTGCTTCTCAAGGCCTATCTGGCGCTGCTCGAACGATTGCTGGATAAGAGTGCTCAGAATAATTTGCTCACGACTATCAGAAACACTTCCATTCTGTTCATGGCCTCCACCATGACGAAGCCTCTCCTAAAAGCAGTCGTCGGAGTCTGGGCGAAATCGGAGGAGCAGACTCAACGAGTACAGGCCTTCCTAACGATTCATAAAGTCCTGCGACATAAACCGGATGCAGTTGAAGGCACAATGCGAATGATGTACAAAGCCTACCTTGCAAATGCCAAATTTGTCAATACAAGCACCTTGCCGAATATTTATTTCATGCAGAACTGCCTGATCGAGCTTTATAAATTAAACGACGTCGTATGGTAAGCAATTATCTCGCAATTTTTCAATCAAAAAATTTCGCCATTTCTTTCCAATTAAGAAATTTTAAAGTGCTTTTTAATTGAGATTATTCAGCTATCAACACGGATTCCTGTATATTCGTCAGCTGGCAATTCACCTCAGAAAAGCGCTAATGAATGCTTCGAAAGATACGAGAAGGACGATTTGTAATTGGCAATTTTTATCCGCAGTTTCTTTATGGGTACAGGGCTTACGAAATTTCGAAAGATAGAAGTAGATTTATAAGATATGGGAGAGCCAGCCGAGCATAAAGCAGGTGCCTCCGACCGGCATGAGAAAGACGAATTTATGCTCGTCTTTCGTTCTCTTCATGTATTCGGCCCAGGACGCGCCTTCCAGATCTGGAAGTTCAGTAAGGCCTTCCATGTAAGCGGCAGAGCAAAACATCAGCATTCCGACGCCGAAAAGGCCAGCTGTAAGTAGCGGATAGGAGGAAAATTGTGCAGTAAAGAGGCCCATCGTATGATAGAAATGATATCGGTTGGCGGTCGTGTAGCTTTCGTATTGATGAGTTTGGGTGACGGGTTTTACCTTAGATACAAACATGAAGCGTTAAAATTCTAGTTTTCATTCAGTTAGTTTTTTAAATTTACCTTGTGAGCCCCGATCGCGCCAAGAGCGACTGCCGAGCACCCGCTCACAGCGGCAATTCGATGGATAAACTTGACTCTCGCCTGCATTTTCACCTCTTTTTTGTATTTTTTTCTTTGGCGTTTTTACCCGATCAAGTTTGAGATAAGCGTGACGTCATCGTTACGTAAGCCCTTGTAAAAGTCGAAGATTCTTGTGACGACTCCAGCGCTGGACGAGCTCTATCTTCCTTTGATCCAGATCATCTTCGGTGTTTTCGACATTATCTCCGGCTCGCCGAGACTTTCGCCTCTGACCTTTCATATGATCAGATGTGCCCTGCTGCTCTGTGGACCGGAGCAAAAGTACATCCCTCTCTGGCCGTATATTCTCGAGTTGTTCAAGTTCTTGCCCACTGGATCGAAGGCTCCATCTCAACAAGTCCTCATGGAAGGTGACTTGAATCAGGGAAACATTCTTCCGGACTTTCAAATTGCTTTGAAGCTCTCTTCGGGCCAAGTCAACAATAAACGGTAAAGATCAGAAGGTTACTGTCTTTATCAAAAATTATCGCAGATTACCAGACAAAATCCTGGATGAGCTTTATGATGTAGCATTTACGTACTCAGCTGCTATTAGCCACAGAATCGACTTTCCAGAAATTGTCAGAATGGCGATGAAGCGTATGCGAGAGTTTTCAAAGGTAGGAATCTTGTTAGATCATCGCTTTGATTCTTGTTAGGATACGAAGAATAAAAGTCACAGGAATAGCATCAAAAAGCTTCATGGGATTATGGAGAAGAACATTGAGTACATTGAAACCGAAGAGAAAAGGTACTGTCCATTCGTTAGAAAAAGTTACGAGTTACATTCAGTCAAAATTGAAACCTCATCAGCTGGAAGAAATTCAAGAATGGCAAAAGAAGATTTATGATGAAGGCACTCCTCTTATGGCAGAGCTTGCATCATATAAACGAGCCAAAGATCAGGTTTTTCGCCTTACCGAGAGCAAGAATAATTATTAATTTTCAATTCAGGAGAGGAAAGAGAAGCTGCAAGGACACATTCCCAAAGCAGAAAAGGGACTCAAAGAGTACCTGGAATCCGAGGAAGGCCAAGCTGAGCGAGAAAAGAACAGACTTGAGTTCGAAAGAATGGCCGAGAATGTCGACTCCGATGCATCAGGTAAGAATGAAAGAGCTAAGACTTTTTCACCGACAATTATAGATGGTGAAAGAGAAGAAGACGAAGAAGCAGAAGAGCCAGAAGTTGATATTTCGAGAATGTCGAAGTCAGAAAAGAAGAAACTTACGAAAGGAAAGAAGGATAAAGTGGAAGAATTCAGTCTTGATACATTCTAAGCTGTCGACTGGTATTCTACCTGAAAATAAATCAAAAACAATCATCAAAGAAAGTTCTCGTTCGTAAATCATCATTTCCGGCGTTGTTTTTCAAAGAAAATAGGAGGTTGAAATCGAGTAATTTTTGATAAATTGAATAAAAAGAGAGTAAGGATGGAGTACTTTGATGAGTTTGACCAGCCAAGTCCGAACGTCTTGAACGTGGTAAGTGATAATAGGATGTAAATAGCGCCCTAGATTTTTCTGCTGACTTGACTCGCAGTTGCGACTAAAAGACATTATGATAAATAAGAAAGTCTGAAATAGTAGGAGTGTGTATCTCGATGAAACTTCTTTACATAACGAATGATTTTTATAGAGGTAAATCGATCGTTTTGTGTACTCGTGTTTATGAACCTAACAAAAAAGCTTAAGGCGGTACCTAAAAAGAAATAATCAAAAGCAGAATGTAAATATTTCTAGCCCTTCAGCCCTGGATCCGTCAAATCGAGCTGCAAATGCTCCGATTTTTCTCTCAAAGCATCGTCGAAAGGGGAAAATATCGGATGCACACTACGCTCATCCTCTGATGATCTCCTAAAAGGAGTCTTGCAGGTAATCATCAGTCTTTTTGTTTCCATGAAAAAAAAAAGCTTTAGCCATCGTTTTCTGTTCCATCGTCGTATTCCTTCGATGGAAGGACCTTCCAACTCGACGTGAAGAAAGACATCAACGGATTCTTAAAGCTGAACCATGTTGTTTCTTTTGTTCCGGAAACGAGCAAATTTGGCAACGCAACGAGATTAGAGCTAATTTCTTCCTATCTAAGAGGATCAGCCAACATTGACTACAGCGCGCCCAGAGAAGCCAAAATCAACTTGAAGGGGATTTACGGCGACGCTTCCGCCCAGCTCAATGGCAAGCTCTTCCAGCCGCGGAATTTAAAATATACACTCAACCCAACGAAGAATGTATCGCTCGAGACCGACTTCAACAAGTTTAAAATTGGATTAATTCAGGTTTTTTCTCATAGCATTATAAATTGCTCGTGCTCAAGGTCAACTTCTAGGCCGGTGAAACAGCAGAGGGAGGAATCGAGTACGGCTGGTCAAAGGGAAATTCCTCGCATAGTCTCGTTCTGGCGGTGAAAAAGCGACTACCGAAAGCTGATCTTTATGCGAAAGTCGACCACAACGGAGAAGTTTCTTTTGCCCAGACCGCGGTGAGTAGTTCGATGTTTGAACAATTTACAATTTTCTCTTCAGTTTCTGGACCTTGGAACTTTGGAAAAGATCAAATGCACAATCGGATGTCAATTCAACGCTCTGCAATGGCAAGCGCCTCGATTTGGCGTCAACTTTGACCTAAATTTCTAACTCGTTTCTTCATCATTTTTGTACACCAGAAAATAAACCTCAAAATCGCCAAAGAACTCGCCGGCGATGTGTTTTCTAAACAAGAAAAAACGCGCGTAAATGTTCGGTTATTAGGCTCGCTAGAAGCTCGATTTTGTGCACTTGAGATCAGCAGATAAGTTCGCAGCTAATCTTTTGATCAGCAGCCGCAGAAGGCTGCAATTTCTTGCCCGAACCCCAAAAAGCCACTTGGCCTCGAGTTTTTTCAACCAGTCTTAATTATATATACAAGCGGGCGGATCAACGACGGATCATCCCATTTTGCGCGGTGAGGATGGTGCTTCTAGAGCCGCGCTTAGCTTTTTATTGTATTCGAGCTTTTCTGCTGAAAAGGTGTTTTTTTACAATTAGGTACAGGAAATCAAAGAAGAGGGAATTCACAGGGGTCTTATCAAGCGGCTATTAGGGATTGATAAGAAAAAAAACTCATCATAATTTCTTTCTCTTTTCGCAAAAATAACAAAGAAAGGCTAATCAGGCTGATCTCGCCCTAAAATGACAAATCTAGCTCGTCCGTGGGAGAGTGTTTACCCTTAAGATCCCAGGGAGCTGATCCGCGCCAGGCGGTGAGCCGGAGCTGATCCTCTTTGCGGCGCATTTTTCGCATTTTTGACCTTTTACGCTAAACACAAAAAGGTAAATAAATGAGTCGAGTCATTCTCTGAGCTCGGCGCAGCCAAAATACCAAATTCTAGTAGTAATCGGATCGAAATCGGTGAATATATCCTCCCGAAAAGGTCGCTTCCACAAACTCCCTTTTAAATTTTCATCCAGCTCGTTAATAGACCGGGTATTTTGATTGCTACTTTTGATTTAAATGTTGCCGAAAATTAAAGACTGGCGAGATCCTGCGAGAGGAAGGATCAAGAGTGCGATCGTTTTTTCTTTCCTCAAGCTAAAAATAATTATATTTACACTAAAATGGCTTATGCTATTTAAGGGTACCTAATGCGCTTACGCTTGCTGCCGTCGGTAATGAGTAGGATCACCCTTACTCGTATGAAAAAGCAGTGGCAATTTACGATGATAAAATTCTTATCCTGCAAATTATTTTATTTTCAAAATTCGGCAATAGGCTTTGGGTTAGAATTCCTCGGTTTCTACGAGGTGGATCGATCATAAATGATCTTCAAAAGAATAGTTTTGCACGAGGGTAAGACAGTTAACTACTGTATAGTATCTTAAACTTAAATCTTGGAGTCATAAATCAAAGAGTGCGAGTAACCTCCTCCTGATCGGTTGAAATAATCCAAATACTAATCCTCCTTCGATTACTCCTTTTCTATCTGAAATTCTGTGAGGCGATTTGCGCTGCCTCTCGAAATCGGTTTGCGCCGAAAGGACTCCATGGTGAGCGCAAATCGGCTTCGCCAGCTTAGCCCTCGCCAAAGCTGGCTGAGTACGATTTAAATTTCGATTGAAATTCGCCTAAAACTCCGTAAATAAACCTCATTAACGCATCAGATGGGGCTGGGATAAGACGGGAGAAAGAGGCTAAGGCGCCTCCCGCAGTAACGGGAAAATCATAATGAGGTTAAGAAAGAATAACTTGTAAAGAATCGAGATCAAGATCTTTCTATGAGATTGTGTGAATCGAAGGCGATTTCATGCTTTTATTTTAAAAAATAATTTTGTAAAATAATTTTTGTCTTTTATTAAAAATCTCTTCCTCGAAATCAATTCTGTCGATTTTAGAACATGCGTTTTGAATAAGTTCACAAGGTTACACTATTTCACCTATCACAGCTTTTGTTCTACAAGTTTCTACAATAAGTCCTCCTGTTATCGCCGTTTTACAAAACTATAATGAGAATCTTTAATTGGCTATCTTTCGGGAAGTTTGCATTCGCATTAGAGGTGTAATCCGCATGAGGATTAATTGCGGAAAGTAGTTTCCTGGTGCTCGATTCGAGGCGGGATTATATCTTTGAGTTGTTTTCACCCCGCCCGGATTACAAGCACGGGCACTGGCTTTTCTGCGCTAGAAACGGCGTCAATGATAAACGAATGAGCGGTATTATCCGATTGAAATAGGAAAAGTAAAGCTACTTTATCAAAGGATATGCAGCTCTTTTGGTGGGTTAAGTGTGCAGATACAAACAAATGTACGTTGGTAAAAACTCATTCTACTTTCACAGAAATTCGCTCGAGAAGGAACTTTAGTGAGTAAAGTTGAAGGCATCTTTCGACGGCACACATTAATCCAGGGGACGTGCAGGTGCGGTTTTACTAATTCCAATTGTTTTATTTTTCGAAAATAGCTGTGCGGTCTTGTGCCGCTGCCCGCCACAATAATTTGTAATCTGGAGGAGTTACACCAGATCCAGCACCGGAGGATTATCCTTTTCAATCCTTTTCATTTGGAAGTACTCTCCAACGAGGGAGCACAACGTTCGGCCGGGATGACCAGTAGCTCATCCTGCCTGACGGGAGGGCTCAGCGTTGAATTACATTTTTTTCGGGGATGATAGTCGCAAGACAGCTCAAAAGGCGATCAGGGCGGCTGAGCAGAACAGTTTGACGTTTACAAGAAGATTCAGAAAAGACGCCACCTCCACCACCTGTCCGAACTAAGAGGCTTAGATCCAGATAAGTTACCCACAAGGGTCAATTAGAAATATCCTTGCCAAAATACGATGTATTCGGTTTCTTTGAAATTTATTATCGCCTATTCTTGAAGGTTCTTTTTCTTCTAAAATACTATTTTTGTGAAGTGAAGTTACTTAGGAAAATCTTGATATTTGAACGATTCTTGTCGTTCGATTACGGAAATAAGACGACCAAGAAAATATTGCTGTGCCATTCTAGTGTTAAAATAGACAGTTTGAAATCCATGAAGATTGGGGGGAGATCATAACGTTACAAAATCATCGTAGAAGAAGAGTTGAATAGCGTCACTCGTGGCGAGTCCTTCGTTGAGTTTCTAGCGCTCGCGCAAGGTGCGCTGGGTGGTGGACACTCGGTGCTGCTGCGGGGAGGCGGGCGACTAATCGGCTTAGTTGGCTTAGAGCTTTACCTATCCGAGCTGCGCTACCCGCCAGACACACACACAACGGATTCGCCAGCTCATGCTGTAGGAAGCCTTAAATTTTTTTTATTTTTTTTCATAAGAAAAAATTATCAAAGATTCGAAGATCATTACCTCGAGAAAGAATTGTTTCCAAGAGAGAATCATCGCCAAAAAGACAGCTTGAAGAAAACCTAAACAACCGACGGATGCGCCAAAGAAAACCAGAAATGTAAGTTTTAGTTTTGGGCACAGCAGATTTCATGATTGGAAAATTGGATAATGAAAGCCATGAATAGAGTTTAGTTTTGAGCTCAAAGCTAAAGTCGATGGGAGCGCGTGAGGCTAAGCCCCATGCGAGAGACTCGCGAAAGCGGATTGAAATTTGAATAATCGGCTTAGCCTGCGCCAAATCGCACCCGAGTACCGCCCGTAAACCGGATGCGCCGCGCTACCTATTCCACCGGTGGGATCATCTGGACAAAAAGAGAAAGGCGCCCCAAATGAAAACAATATTTAAAACCGTGCTCGGGCACTATTCATCTGCTTATCCCATCCGAATACGAAATCGCTTCCGGAGCGCGCCCCTTTCGCAAGAAATTAACAATTTACGCGGGAGCTGTCCTCCTTCCAATCCGGCAGATAACTTTTTGTTTGGAAGTTAGGATTTAGTAAGCGGCTATAAAAAGAATCGACGATTGATTGTTGTTGAGTAAGGATCTACCGGGCGGTTGAGAAAAGCCGTCGAAAATGGTTTTGGGTCTTGAGGTGACAGGTGCACCTGTGTGCGAGGCGGAATCCACAAATGAAGGCCAAGCTGGGATCGACTTGATTACTGAAATTAGTGGGAATGGGAAGCCGTCGGATATCCCCCTGTTAGGGACGGAATCGATTAAAGAAGTTAAGAAGGTTAACCGTTTGGCGGGGCGTTAACGCTACCGGTACCGACTTGTGAATCGGATTTCCATTCGCGGCCGAGCTCCCAGAGGATTTACTGATCTAATAACGCACTTGCCCTTATTTACGGAAACGGTTTTATAGACCATTTCAAACGCTCATGCGACACTTTTTACCTCTCGCCATCGACCTCTACTTAGGATCGCTGAAATCAACCAAGAAGCCCTCTTTCTAATTCAACAGAAATTTCTCTTTCGGAGATAAAAAGTTGCTCATCTCCCAAAAGCGGCTCATGCAAATGTTCCCACCCTTCTTTATCCAGAAGGAACAAAAGGTTGAAAAATTGGCTTTTGTCTTATCCTGCTGAACACGGCTTATCCCGCTCAGCCTTCTAAGTAGTCGTGCTCGTTTTTATGCTCAAGTGTTGTCGCTCCGTTGTACTTTCAGCTGCCTTTTATAAGCTGAACTTTTGTAGGGCCATTTTTGGACTTCCTAAAATGAGATTCATCAAAAACCAACAAAAGGCCAAATAGAAAAATATTTATTATCGAATGAATTTATTTAATTAATCTTGCAAGAAGTTGAAGAAATTCAATTATAGAAAAAAATCTAACCAAGGCGTTTATTTCCTTCCGGCTTTAGCGGCGAGTTGAACGAGCTTGAGCCATTCGAATCCCCTTTTGGGCTGGGGGCTCTGGCAGCCACATATTTGGGATTTTGGAAATGTTGTTAGAAGTGGCGGAAGCGGATTACGGACGCCTAAATCTGAGAAATATTTCCAGCTCAGCCGACTATATAATAGGCTTCGCGGTTTGGACGAAAAGCGAGCCTGGCGCCGAGATTTTCATAAATTTGAAGTTGTCAATTTTCATTGGAAACAGGGATTTGAGATTCGAGCATCTCAATCACTCGATGAAAGAAAAAATCTAACTCTAAAATAGAAATGAACAAAGAGTTGAAGTGAACTTCTTTGTCAAGGTTAGGATTTAGAAGGAACCGAGATAAAGCTTCGCTCAGCCGCCTAAGCAGGAAGGGTACTAGCTCTCTCTTTTGTTATTCGGCATCGTTTATGCATGTACAAGTCGGCTCTCGGGGTCATCTGCGCGAGGTCACGTGCTAATCCCGGCTGAACATGTGTTGCACCGACCGGTAGTTATTCCAAGCCGCTGAGGCTGATCCCGCGCAAAACATGCTTCCCTGGTTACGCAGATCATCCGCTTAGACCAGCCGTCTCGGCTCAAGTAAAGAGCTCGCGCATTCTAACACTCATGGGCAGTTTGGCACTGATTCGACTAACTATTTTTTGGTACGTTCTCAGTTTATTAGATTCAATAAGCGAAAGATATTTCTTAATAGACAAAAAAGTTCTACTAGGAAAAGAACGATTGCGGTAAGGCTCATCGGATTTTCACACCCGCTGCAGCTCAGAAGGTAGTTTCCATTTTATATCCAAACCCTCTTGATGGGCTCAGCTTGCAAGATCTCCGCCAACTGCCTAAACAAAATCGAAATTATTCTAATCCGGATGATTACCAGTCGCGCAGAGCGCTGAGCACTTAAATTTTTATAAAAATAAATTTCGAAATCCAGACGAGAACATTTTGGCATCAAATTTATTGCATGAGACCTTCATAATTTTGAAGAGAAGAATATCTCGAATTAATATCAAACATTCGCCTCTAACTGACTCGCAAATGTGATTTTGAGTACTACCGTAGAAAAATTATTCTTCAAACGGAAAGATTTACTTTCGGGGGAACCATTGGACTTTTAGCTTCCTATCTTGATCGCGTCTTTGCTTCCTCCGGGTTGAAACTAAACTGTGATAAACTTCGTTTATAAAATAGTGTCGATTTTAAAACACCGGGATGACAGCCGGACACCTTAATCAGCTCAAGCGGCATTAGCCAAAAAGTACTTTCTCGGCGACTAGTGCAGTACTGGTTTTGCATAAACCAGCATAATTACGGATTCATCAGATTCTAACCGGACTTGTTTAGGTCCCAGGAAGATAGAACAAACATTCTCCCGATTAAACATACCACCTTTGTACTGCAACGTCTCAACGAGCAAAGAATGAAAGGTAAAGTATATTTTTCAAATACTGTTTCAAAATTGTAATTAAGATCTCTTCTGTGACGTAACACTACACGTGGAAGGAAAGAAATTCCGAGCGCATCGGTCCATCCTTGCTGCCAACTCCGATTACTTCCTCTCGCTTTTTCGCAACTCGGATGACCAGACCAACTTCGTCCTTGCCGGAGTACCTGCACGTGGTTTCGTCGTGCTTATGGAATTTTGCTACACGAACTCGTTCACGCTTGAGCCGTCAAATGTGACAGAAGTGTACCGAGCCGCGTCCAATTTGAATTTTTCCCATATTACTTCCGCATGTGAAAAAGGTAGCCTTATAATTATGAATTTAATAAAAGGGCTTTGAATATCGTCATAGCTTAGTTAAGATTAATAATAAAGCGGTACTAAAGATTCTCCTTTTTAGTCTTGAACAGTATGCGCCCGAAAGTCGACTCGCTCGCCTCGCTCGGTTCTCTTGCATCTCTTGGTCCCCTCCTCGGTCTTGGCCTCCCAGCTCTTTCCGCTCTTAACGGATCAGCAAACGGCTTCCATCAAAAAATGCCGGTAGACTCTGACAGTGTCCGCTCACAGAGCCCTGCGAAATCACCAAAGCCGGGTCAGAAGCGATCGGGGCAAGACACGGCTGTAAATGCTTCCGGAAAGGATGACGAGTCGAATCCGGAAGACTGCTCGTCTTCACCTGCCGATTTGTCACATATTCCTACGATTAACGCTTACATGGTCTTTTCGCATCACATGCGTCTCAAAGCTCTTCAAGATCAGTCAAAGGTTGGAGTATTTCTATTTTCAGCTTGAAATTGTTTCGTTAGGAAAGTCCAGTTCTCCTGGAACGCTCTATTTCCCGCCAGTGGTCCTCATTAGGCCTTGAAGAACGTCGACCATTTTACGAAGAAGCCGAGAAAATCCGCGAAGCACTCCAGTCATCTCACAGTCACCTGCCTGTAAGTTAGAACAGACGAAGCTATTTTTGCTTCTCGCGCGCGCTCAGCCCTCGAGATTCGCCTCAGCCGCGAATCGTCATGCTGAGCACGCCTCATCCCCATCTAACTATTAATTATTCAAATCATAATCACAGTTTGAGCCCATCGACGTTCAGCTGGATGATCCTCTGGTCTGAGTCGGATCATCGGCCCCGTTCGGTTGAGAGGAGACCCCACTGAGAGATTAGCTCTATTTTGAATTCACTCATGAAAAATACAGAAATTAAGGTCGAATCAGTTTCTAATCAACTTTCTTTCAGGCCAACGGAAACGTTAGAAACGGTGTGAGCTTTGAATCTGATCATTCCGATGAGCCCCCTGAAAAGCGGTCAAGAATCGCTTTTGACAAAAATGATGAAGAAGAGCCAATTATTAACCCAGAAAGGTAGGTAAAATCAACAATGACTGACGTTCAATCTAACGATATTCTTAGCCCAGATACCAAAATCGAAGTGATGGAGAACGATGATTTGCCAAAAACGCCCGACACAAAATCTACCAGTTCTCCAAACTCAACGATCTCGCCGACATCCTCTCAGAGGAGAAAGAAAACAGCTCCGGCGCGGCGAGTGCCTGAAATTCCAATGATGCTCACAACTGTCAAATGCGAGAAATAAAAACTTTCTCTTTTCTTATAAATAACTGCATTCGTTCCAAACATAGCCTTTTTTGTAAATTATTGAGAAAATAAATAAACCAAAATTCAATTGAAACGGGATTCTTGTTTGTTTGCCTTTCCAGTGCTTGATCATTGGAAGATTGTTACAGTATAAAATGAGGTTACTAAGAGATATTTTGCTGCTTTTGGGCAGTGCACATGCGATTTGCAGGAGTCAGGCAAAACGAAAAACAGTCACTTGTCTGGCTCACCGTGAAGATAGAGGAATACTTTATAGAGGGTCAATTAATGTTACGAGAGATGGCACAGGTGAGTAGAAATTTGGAATGGTCAAAAGTTAAATGAGTTCAAAAGAGTGTGCAAAATGGGGAAATCCAAAAAGGTCGAAGTCGTTTATTTTAACACCAATTGAAACATTGGATGGAGAGAGAAAAGTTAAAAGAGTTTATGGAAACTTCTGCAGGAACACAGGACCTACGCGACCTGGTGGACCGTGGTGCTACACAGATAGTAGGCGAAGAAACTGGGAGTACTGTGACGTTCCTTATTGCGATAAAGATGCTTGGACGCGAGAGTGCGAGATCGAGCAGAACTTTCTTGTCAAGGCAAACGGGTACGAGATCAGTGCGTACAAGGGAAGCTGTATCATGACCGACCAGGGACTTTTCAATGAGCTTAAATCGGCTCCGAATAACGGGGAAGACGAGTTCAAGGCAAAAGTTAAAGACGAAATGAAAGTCACCCCGTTTGCTGATTGCGGTCAATATTATCGCGGGACTCTTGATAGTACTGAAGGTGGACACACCTGTGATAGGTTCTAGTTTTTTCTTTACTTTCGATAATTATTTTCAGGTGGGATAAACCAGATTCAAATAGAAAAGTTCTTGGTCCAATAAGCGTCTGTAGATCTGCTGACTTTGACTACAATCAAATAACGCCAGAATCTTGCGGCGCTTACAATCAACCCTGGTGTTATACGAAAACAGAGGGCGTTCGTTATGACACGTGCAGTGTTCCGAATTGTGGATGTAGCAGAACTTTCTTGCGTTTTACCAAACATGGACAAAATCAATCTATTCCGTGGGATCTATCAAGCTGGAAGTCGAACACTGATAATGAGACGGCACATTTTATCGACCTTCTCGACCCCTGGCGGGATAACCGACCATGTACCGACGCGGTAAAATGCCCTCCAATGGCTGATCCTGGAGAAATTGCAAAAGTTTTAGAGGAAGAAGAGGAAGAGAAAGTTTCTAGCGCGTAAATATATACAATCATTGCGCTCTTGATATTTTTAGTGACACTGAATTTTCTATGCGAACCATCAACGGATACAAAAATCCTCCAGGTTCGACTCCATGGCTCGTTGCCCTAGAAAAAACTAGTAGTGAACAATATAATATCTGTCAGGTTTGTATTGAGAACGATCATCTTGACATCAAATAGATTATAGGAATCATGGAGACAATTTTGTGGTGCTGCCCTTATTCACCCTCTCTTCGTTATTTCTGCGGCTCATTGCTTCGATTTGAAGAAAATAATGCAACCTGAATCCACCACGGTTGTCGCAGGACTTTCTAATATCGACGGGAAAGTGCACGAAGCGGTATTTTATCCTCCTTGAAATTAATAGCGATTTAAGTCCATAGAACAGTATGAACTGCCTTGGCCAACGACAGGAAGCTAAGAATATCATTAACCACCCTAAATATAAAACTGTGGGAAAAGGCTTCGATATAAGCTTGATTCAAGTAAAGAAGCCATTTTGGTTCAACGGAATGGTCAGTCCGATTTGCTTACCTCCAATAAATTTTGAACCAGGTTTGAGCCGCTTTTCCGAACAAAAAAGCTTCATCAAAAAAATTAGAGCCGAACTCTGTCTGCATGATTGGCGGTTGGGGCTTGCAAACTGGAACTGTTGATGGAGGAAACGAGGAAGTTGAGAAAAGAAATACAGTAAGGTGTTAATGAATAACAAATTTAAAAACTGAGATTTTGCTTTTTCATTTCTTTAACGCCAATGAAAGCTCATCAACGAAAAAAATTCGTCGATTCAAGAGTCGCCCTTGTTCGCCATATTCGTAGAAGCGAATGCCAAGCAGCTTTCAACTCAGCTAAAGGAATCAGTGATGACCAGAGACCAGAAGTTTTGGAACATCAGCTTTGTTTTGGCCATGGAAAGGTCGACACTTGCCAGGGTGATTCTGGTGGACCTGTGGTTTGTAAAAATCCCAATGCGAAAAGTGGCGATGACAATCAGCCATTTTATTTGACCGGTATCGTTTCATATGGCGTTCAATCACAAAAGAAAAAAGATGGCGAAACAATTAACTACAAATGTGGAGCAAAAAGTATAATCGAATTTTGTCTTCGTTTATTATTTATTTAAAGATATTCCTGGTATTTACACGAAGGTATCTGACTATTTGGACTGGATCTACGTTACGTTGGATGAAAATCAATAAAAACACTGCATTACTGTTTGATATATTGATCTCTAGAATACGCGTATTATTCTTTGTAAAAATAATAAACGGAATCAGTTGTCAAATGCAGCGCGTGCGCGAAAGATCATCCCAGCAGGAAGTGACCTCGGAGAGGTTGCAATCACAAGAGCAATATGATGATATCGAGTCTGCTGTCAAAGCTTGGGAGAAAAATGTCTCGGAGAAGGCAAAGGAAATGGAAGACCAGATCGCTGATAAAGTTTGCGAGGTAGGTCGAAAAAATCATCGTTGTCGTCAAAAACGTAACTCTTAATTCTGTGAAGGTGAGCGTGATGAAACAGGACTACGACGAAATGGTGATCAAATTAAAAGGAGTCCGAAAACGCCATGACATTCTCGAGCAGCAATCACTAAAACTCCGAAATGACACCGAAATCGTCCGGCTCAACAGCATCCGGCTTCGACAAACGAATCAGAATATCAAGGAGGTTATCAAATGTGATCAAAATGATATTGCTACAGAGAAGATTGAACTGGAAAATCGCCGTGGAATCATGGAAGAAATCATCGCCCCTTTATCCTCTCTCTCGATAGAAGTCGAAGCGGTTGTTCGACAAATCGACGAGCAAATCAATGAGCTGACAGTTTTGCGCGAACAGAAGTCCCTCGAACAGGTAACTTTGAACTTGATGTTTTCTGCTAAAAAGTAAATCAAGGTCGCTGAACTGGATGAAGTTGGAGCAAATGTGAAAAAAGCAAAAAACAACCTCGATCTTGAGAAAAATCGACTTCATCTCGCTCAGCGAGAATACGCCAGAATTTCTACATCCTCAAAAGCGACCATCGCTGAAGCTGATAATTTACAGTAAGAGGATGTTTTACTATTACAACTGATTATAATTATAGAGATCATCTGAACAACGAGCGATACCGACTGAACCAAATTCGTGGCCAAATCGAGCGAATTCAAAAAGAAATCACCATTCACGAAGAAAAATTATCCGTTCAAGAGAAACTCCGTGACACTTTCCTTCTTCGAAAAGACAACTTCCAATCTGAACATGCGAAGAAGATCGAAGCTCTAAAGGCGAAAAACCAAAGTGAGGTTGATAACTTGGAGGCTGAGTCGACGGCGCTCAAGTCGAAGAAGGCTACAGTTGATCAACTCTACGAAAATAGAGTCAATGAACACAATGAAAAGGAGCAAGAAGTAGCCGCTAACAAACTGGCCATCGAACAGTTAAAACACGAGCAGTCAAAGGAAAGGGCTGAAAATATTTCTTTACTTCAGGACTTTTCAATTTATTCCCGATATTAAAAGCCCATAAAAGCTCGACGGGCAATACATGAAACAACGCGCAGTGCTCGACGAAGTCTTGGTCAAAGTCAAAATCCTCACTGACCACATGAACTCGCGCCTCACCCGTTATCATCAAGATCAGAGCACGCTGGAAACTGACGTACAAACATTAACAGAACGAAAGGAAAAGGTCGAAACGCTAACGAAACTTGGAGCAGAAATGGAGGAGAAAATCAAGCTGATGGAAACTCAAGATATAGAAATTTCTGAAAGAATCGCAAAGGGACTGGTTTCTTGAAATTTCTGTCAGTAAAAACTCTAAACTGATTTTCATAAACCATAAAAAGGCTCGAGTAGAAGCTGATGACCACGAAGAGAAACTGGAGCTCAATTTGGCCGAGCAAGGCGAATGCGAAGAAACGATAAAAAGGGTTGAACGCCAACTGATCCAGCTCACTGGCGGGGTCACCGCGAAAGAAGACCACATCAAGTATCTGAAAAACTCCATCACAGATGCGGAAGAAGCTATTAATCAGCTTGAACGAGAAGTGGCAAAGATTGACTTCGCCGACGTTGAATCTGAACTGGCGAAGCTAAACGCAGAAATTGAGGAAAACGACCTCGAAATCGGGAACTTCAACAACACGCGCATCGACTGGTTCGAAAAGCAGCTTGATCTTCAAAACGAAATTGAACGGATGGAATCAATCGAGCAAGATTTCAAGGAGCTTGACGAGGAATTCGAAAAGCAAAATGAAGAAATCAAAAAGAAGAAAACCTATAAAAGAACTGCGAAGGGCGAAAAGACAAGAATGGCCAGCAAAATCAAGACTCAACAGAAAAAAGTCGATGTTCTTAAAAAGTCGGCCATAAATTTGGAGAAAAAGGTCGAAGAATTGGCCGAAAAGAGTGGCGAGGAGCTGGAAACGATCGAAGAAGTCGAAGAAGAAAAACTCAAGCTCGAGGAAGAAATTGACAAGATCAGACTCGAAATCGAGAATCTTGAGGAAGAAGCTTCAGAACAGGTAATTTATTTACTATTATTGCATTTTCAAGTTTTATCTAGGAAACAAGCACGTATCAAGAAAAGTTCAAGACTCAAATGGAAAAGATCCTTGATGACCTCGAACTGAATATTCAGTCAAAAGAGGCAATTCTTCTCAATGCTGCTTCTGCCCTTGAAAAGAAAGCAGAAAATCAAGCTGAAATCGAGAAACTAGAGGAGGAAGTCGTCGAGCTCAAGAAATCAATTGAAAAAATCAAACAAGTGAAAGAACTTGAGCAGTCGATCCTCAAGGTTTCCAAGCTAAAGCGAAAGCGAGAATCGCCTGATAGCAGCAACAAACAGAGCTCTTCCAAGAGAGAGTCCAAAAGCAAAGTCAAGGTATACGTCGAAGACAAGTTTTCAATTCCTACAAATCCAAAGGTAAGAAATCAAGAGAAATCAAATTATTAATTGACTAAGTTCTCTGAGAGTACTATGCTTCAAGAACTCGCAGGACCAATGATCGCTTCAACCCCTCAACCCAAGGAAAGAACTTCCAAGCGAAAAGGCCTGACCATCCGTCAAAATCCTCCTCCAAAGCAAACTAGAATTCATAGCTGATGAAATCTTTTCCCTTTGTTCTATTTTTTATATTTTTATTTTCTGCAATATTTTTTTTATTTTTCTGACAATATTTTTTTGAATAAATCTTTTGTACAAAATCAACCCACTTTCAAGTTGCCACCTCGTATAATTTTATTGAAGCAAAGCAAATCTAGTCTACTGCAGCAGATAGTAAGTAGGTATAAATCATAAGAAAGCAAAGTACACTTGAAGGTAATATCACGCCAGCGTCATAATTTTAGGTCACAGTTCTCCACCATGCTCATCAAAAGATTCGTATCCAATAATGAATTAAAGCTCACTCAATCGAGTCAAATTGGAGATAATAATCGAGCACGTTTTTCACAGTTGAATCTGTCAACTCGGACCAGGACATTTTCCCGCCGACTGATTTTGGCATAATCTTCTTCCAGTCGTTATTTTCGTTATTACTTCCGTCGAGAATTTTGTAAATTTCTTCGTATCGAGTTGACACAGTTTTTATTCTTTGTCGGAGCTTTTGCTTCAGAAAAGGCGAGACCAGAGCGTAGACCATTGAGAAAATCATTGGTTCATTTGCGATTCTGATTGACTGAAGTTATAATTTTAAGACTTATCAAAGATGGACAGACGCACCTTAATTCTCATGGGTACACCATCTTGAATGCTGGTGATTCGTTCTTTGAGAGCTCCAGGATGCGTCAAGAGCCATTGAAACTGGGACAGCGAAAAGTCCTTCATGTCTGTAATAACCACAATGCCATTGACTTGCATATCTGAAAGGATCAACATAAATATTGATACTTGCGTAAGGATCACTCGAGTCTCGAGTCCTACCTTTGCACGTAGCGAGGAGCCAGTCGAGGATAAGAAAGAACCACAAAGTGCTGGGTCTATTAGCATCGGCTGACTCGCTTGACTTTGTTTTGAGTTAAATTCAATTACGCAGCTTTCTATTTAGATATTATTACAATGCAATTAAAATAAGACTCGATGGACCTCGAGGGAATTAGATATCGTCGCCTTATAGAATAAAATATGCATCTCTTAGCGCGACCATGGACTTGAACATGGACAGGTCTAGCTCGGTTTGAACAGGTTTCGATATTCGGCAAGATTCAATTTTAGCATTTAATTCTTATTTAACCCTTTCCTCGAAAGATGCGCTTTCTCTGCAAATAATGATTCTTCTTCCTTGTGTATCTGATCTATCTAAGACAGCGATATATTCTCCAAAGTTCTGCGCCAACGTCTTCAAATAGTCCTTATAAGAGGATGGACTCTGTAATTTGCTGAAATCATGAAGCGCAAGGCGTTTTGTATGATACGAACGGAATAAATCAGCAGCTTTTTGAACGTCGAATTTTCGTGCACGCAGGAATTTGATCAAATCTTCGTCTTCAGAGGGTTTTATAGAGCCTCCATATTCAGCGGTAATATTAGAATGAACCTAAATAGATGGATTTATATTATTGACAATAGGCGGGTTAATTATTGAATGAATTCCGGGGTAAAGGACGAAAGAATCTATTTTAATGATGGCGTCTTTTTTGTTAAGGTAATGCGAATGCTAAGGTAATTGAATATTTAAGACTGGAATCGATTGAAGAAGGATTGAGATGATCCGGTTTTAGCCGGAGTAAGTATCGGAGAATCGAAGTCGTTAAAAATCATCTTCGAGTCGCATCGAATTGTTAGTCTTAAACTCAGAACCGGTTTAATTAATTAATTATTCATTAATTATATTCTTACTATGTAAAGATCGCTTATACTTTCATTTAAAAATAACTCACTCTTAGTTCTGCTAAGCATTTTCTCTCGACTCTTCCGTTTCTCCAAGCTCTTCCTTTGCTTTCCTCTTCAGTTTTTCAGAAATCTCTATCGCCATTTTTTTTCTCTTGCTGTCCAAATTTGGGTTACGTGCTGGTTTATTATTTTTCAGTGAAAGGTCTAGCTCACGGTCTATTGAGCTTTGAATCTCCCTAAGTGTTGAGTGCTGAGTTGTATTGTTCCCAAGGCGGCTTTTTCAACAGCTCGTTTTCTGAGTAGAGTGAAAAATAATAGGGAACCCTGCGAAAAGGAAAAGGGATTCGCGAAGTTCGAGGGTCAGTCTGACTCAGCAAGCCTCGTCTTGTCAAGACCAAAAAGAAGCGACATGGCTCGCGGCCGCCCACAATCAACAGAAAACTCTGCATTAATCCCTTCTGCAGATATCAGACAAATGCATGTCGCCACTTATTTTCGAAAAGATAGGAATTATGAAAGAAAAATTGTTATTTTGGCTCATATTTTCAAAACAAACTTTTTGCAATGACAATGTGAGATAATCAAACAAACTTCATCGAAATATTGTTATAACAAGTATTCTATTATCACAACTTTTCCAAAAATAATCATTAATAATTCGCTCATATGTCAAGTAAATTATATCATGTGAGGAAAACAGAACATAACAATCTTCTTGCTTCGTTATGGCCAGTATTGTCTACCAAGAAATGATGACGTTAAGAAAATTAGACAAGCGTAAATGAGCTCATTTCTTGTGGCAAACAATGATCCACCAAAATTGGTTTGGCTTGAAATGACGCCATCGATGTAACCTCTTCAGAAGACGCGGTGTCCAGCGCGATCGATACTAATTAACAGTCTTTATTGAAACAAATGGCTATACACAATGTTTTTACTCGCAATAAGACGATCAATATATGAAGATGATACCTTTTTCGACGGCTAATTTGCCAGGTTGTGAGGTTCCGTTATCTCCCCAACCTCCGATGACATAAAACGTTGAACTTGACAGCTTGAATATTGATAATTGGTTTCTTGCAGTCAATAAGTTGCCTAATGCATATGATTATCGTCTTATATTGAATAAGTGGCTCACCAGCAATTGTCCAGGCGTCACCTTTGAAGCTGAATATTTCACCAACTCGTTGGCTTGTTCCATCCACGTACGTCAGACCTCCAACTGTTATCACTGCACTTTCAATATTTATAGACGAGAGCGACTTAACTCCTTAAAAATAAAATTTTTATTGAGTCAATTAAATTCAAAAAACCTTTAGGTAAACTGGATTTTGTCCTCCATCGATTCTTGTCGCCATATGTAAAATATTCGACGGTATCAACTACGCCACCTTCCGGCAAGCCACCACCAATCACTAGCGGAAAGCCCTTCCATATTTGTATTCCGGTACTATGGAGTTCTGCTCCTCTCGTCGATACTTCCGTCCAAGAAGTTCCATCAAATTTAACCAAAGTTCCATAGTTTGCGGCCCAAACATAGCCATTACCAATGTCTGTAGCACATTCATGAGACTTCTCCACTTTTGACGAAAATGGAGGAGAAATATGAATTATTTCTAAAGCGCAATGCATATTAATTTTGTACATTGATTCAACAAAGTTCGAGATTATATAAAGCTCCCCAGAAACAAGGCCCGTACAAGGCAGTTCAATATTTGATGGAAGAGCAGGAATGACCCGAATACTTTCTCTAAGGGTAGCAGGGAGTGTGAATAGCCAGCTTCGATCACTACTGTAGTAAGAGTCGAGGATCCAGATGGAGGTTGTACAAATATCGTGTACGTAATTTGTTGACTGTCGTATGGTAGTTGTTGTAGTTTTAATTGTTGTCGTGGTTATGCTTGTGGTTGATGTTGTAGTTGTTGCCATGATTGTTGTTGTGGATTTACTCGAAGTTATTGTTGTTGTCGGCGCTTTCGTTGTATTCGTTGTCTTAGTGGGTGTTGTGGTTGAGGTTTTGGTCGTGATTGTAGTTGTAGTCGTCGTCGTAGTTGTAGTTTTAGTCGTGTTGGTGGTGGTAGTGGTGGTTGTAGTTGTAGTTGTACTCGTGGTCGTAGCCGTTGTCGTAGTTGTCGTCGTAATTGTCGTCGTCGTAATTATCGTCGTAGTTGTCGTTGTAGTTGTAGTCCTGGTGGTGGTGGTGGTGGCGGTCATAGTTGTTGTTTTAGTTGATGTCGTGGTCGTAGTTGTCGTCGTAATCGTCGTCGTAGTTGTCGTTGTAGTTGAAGTTGTTTTAGTCGTGTTCATAAAGTTCCAATTAATTTCTTGATTGTATCGCTTATAGAGAAGACATTTTGTGTAATCAACCTGTCCGGGCGCAACGCCATCATCTTCGAATGTGTGAACTCGAACCTTTTTTATACAATTGCGAATATCTGTGTCGTTTGCTAAACTACTGATTCCAGAAATCTCAAGGATGAAGCCATCGGAATCGAGCTGGTAGCCAACAAGTTCATCACTGTGAGCTTTGAGCTTCCTGAATTGAAGAAAGGCAGATCGTTTTGGGTCCATTTTAGTTAGAAGGGGAGTTTCATAGCGGAAGTTTTCTGTCACATAAAGGTTCTTAATCTGATCAAAGACATCAAACTCCAGTTTTATCCCCTCTTCAACATTTTTCAAAAAGCTCGCACACGCAAATTGAAATCTGATGGCTCCCCAGAAAACTTCCGGCTGCGAATTCACAAGCTTAATCCTCGCGTAAATCGAATCTTCTCTGTGCCCGATAATTTCTATCGTTCTTGTTTTTGGTCTTTCAAAAGTACAATTTCCAGCCAAAAATGAAAAAACAGTTCCTTGAAGGAATACTAAAATATGGACAAGCATCACTTCTCTTCGATCGCTTGATTGATGCCTTGCGAATGAATAAGACAACTAAGCGATTTTAACGAGTTTGGACTGTGAAAATTCATGCTTGTCGACCTTATAAATGCATAAAATTATCTCAGCTTGATTTTCGACCGTCATTTTTGTATTTATTGTTGTGACTCTTTCAAACATCTGTTTTAGTTTCCAAAATACTAATTTGGCGACTAGAATTGATATTTTTATTGAACATAATGACAGCAATGACAAGCAAGAAAAAGGCTCGTTTCCCATGGGCCATGGTTTTTATAGAAAATTCAGATTCAGGAGCCGCCGGCGTTTGTTCGAACTAGCGGAGAAATTGCGGTTGTACGCTACTTTAACATCACCAATTTACCTTGTCAAAACATGAAGATGGATTGATTTTTTTCAAACAAAATAGCTTGAAGGAAAAGAGAGAGAAATGATAAAGAATATTATAGAAGCTATTTGCAAATTTCTTAATGGACATCGGTGCCTTGGTGTTTTCGTTCTTCTTGCGCTGAATTACTACCAGATAAAGAAAATCGCGACTTCATTAAATTCAGCTTATTGCCCATCTAAGACTAAAGCAGAAAGACAATATGCAGCATCGCCTTCTCAAGTCGAAACAACAACGATGCCAGGAGACGTTTTCAATACAACTTCAACCGCGCTTGAATCAGCTGAATTCTGCCTCGACGAACATATCGAATATCAAGGAAAGCTAAACATTTCTTTCAATCACCTTCCCCTCTCATTCGAAGAAATTGCCAAACGCGAGGGTCCCGATGAAACTGGCCTGTTTGAGCCAAAAACGTGCACGCCGCCGAAAAATTCAAGAGTGGCGATTATTATTCCATTCAGGGATGAAACCAAGGCATTGATTAGAACGAGGCATTTGCAATATTTATTGGAACACATGATATCAGGTATTCTATTTCGATGGGTTTCAAGATTCAAGAATACTTCAGTACTCAAACGCCAACAGTTACATTTTCGCTTCTACATCATAAATCAAATCTCTGGTTCACCATTCAATCGCGCAAAACTTCTCAATGTTGGATACAAAGAGGCTATAAAAGACGACCCAACGATGGACTGTTTCGTCTTTCACGATGTTGATCTTGTTTTGGAAGATGACAGATGCCTTTATTCTTGCGATGGAAATCCCAATCATTATTCGGTAGCGATTGATAAGTTTAGGTATAGAATTCCCTATAAGAAGATATTTGGTGGAATTGTGCAGTTGGATAGAAAAATGTTCAAAGCTGTCAATGGATTCAGGTACAAACTGAATCTTTTCTCCTCAACTTATCATTCTAGCAATGAATTCTGGGGCTGGGGAGGTGAAGACGACGACATGTACCGCCGAGTCGTTATGGGCGAAAACTTCAAAATACACCGAAAACCGCCAGAGTTCGCTCGCTACAAAATGATAGAACACAAGCGCGACTCTGGAAATCGCAAAAATCTTGAGCGTCGGCCAATGGTTAATCGCTGGAATTTCAAGGCGCTCATTGAAAAACGATTTTGGCAGCTTGATGGACTAAATAGTTTGGAATACAATGTTGTTGCGAAGGAAGTTAACCACTGTTTTGTGAATGTAACTGTTGACTTGCTGTATGACATCAGAATGACTCCGGAAGAGCTTTTACTGAATGAACTACCGGAAATTGATCCAAAGAAAAGGGTAGTTTCTATATAATTTGATTGTAAATAAATGAACACTTCTAAATTCATAAACTAAGCTAGTTTCCTGCTATATGCGAGATCCTGCAATAAACGAAATAAAAGACACAAGAACAAAAGCCTACCAATAAATTACTGGTAGTTATAGTAGGCTTTTGTTTTAGAAATAGGTTTTGAAAGTTGCGACTGTATTTTCAGAGAATGTTCAGTTCGATGCTCCCTGTTGGAAGGGAAGGCCGTGGATAGACTTCTTGTCCACTTGATTCTTCAAAAACTTAGGGATGTCCCTAAGTTTTCAATGTAGGTCCTCTTTTTCAGAATCTTTGTTAGAGATTTTCCTCGTGGACTTAAAAATTACGGTTACTTTTGTAATTGCAGGATAAATAAAGTACTTACGGACTATTTTTGCGGCGCCGGACTCGGAAAAATCCGAAGACTGACCCTGTGAGGAAAATAAGCCCTCACAACAACATCAGTTCTAGAGAATTTTCACGAATTCTAAGAATTTTGTCCTTTTATTGAACAACAACTGTTTTCAGGCACAGAAGCTTTAGAAAAACATTATCAAAGTGAATTATTCAAGTAAATGCTCGAAACCGAGCATTTTGGGCAGAGTCGTTCCAGAAGGTCCCTGAAAGTGGAACTGGAAGTCGGACGTGTGGTTTGAATAATCGATATTGAATTCGGCCACTGGAACACCTCTGTTCGCCGCGTTCGGTGCAATCATCGCAGCTTATAAATTTGTAAAGCTCGTTGTCTTTTCTGTTTCACCTGGATAAACTACAGAAGTAGTACCCACGATCAGTACTAAATCAGCTTCTTCTGCCTTTTGCGAAGCCTTTTTTATAGCACCGTGGTCGAGATTTTCCCCAAACCAGACAATATCTGGCCTCAACAATCCACCACACTCTGGGCAGGCGGGCAAGTCCTTGACAGGAATTCTTGCTGGAGCCTGCTTTGGATCTGGAAGCCCCTTCCCCTCCAGCGCCGGGACGATCGGAGAATCGTTGTTGATTCCTTTGTAATTACAAGCGGTGCATTTCACGTTATACAAAGCTCCGTGAAGCTCTAGAACATTTTTGTTCCCTGCTCGCTGGTGAAGGCCATCGATGTTTGTCGTAATGAGAAAAAAGTCCTGAATCGATTGTTTGGTTTTCGAAAAAATAAATAACGAGCCTTATTTTCTCCCTCCAGTTTCTGCTCGAGAAGTGCTAAAGCCTTGTGGCCATTATTAGGAAAGCATTTTCGCACGAGCTCTCGTCGATAGTGATAAAATTCCCAAACAAGAGAAGGATCTGATCGAAATGCTCCTGGAGTCGCTAGGGACGTGGCTTCGTATCGTCTCCAATACCCACCGGCACCCCTGTTTCACAGTTCCGAAAAAGAAAGAAATCCAATTGAAGAGAAAAGCTAGAACTCTCCTGAATGTAGGAATATTACTTTCAGCGGAAACGCCAGCGCCAGTAATGACAACAACTTTCTGCGCCTCTTTGAGAATTTTGCTAAAAGAAGCACGACAAGCGGATACTTTCATTCTGAACACAGATCACTGTAAATCCAGGATGAATCGATTCTTCTGGGTTTTATCTTGAAAATTTATTCCTAATTGAAATTGGTGAGTGATTGCACTGAAGATGTAGCGAATTTTTGAAGTAAGAAAAGGTATTTCAATAATCTTATTACATATTCTCCTGGTTGGAGGGGAGGAGGTGGTGTTGACGACTGTGAGAGAGGAATTATTTGAAGAAGCTCCATTTGACTTCTTCTTTGGCTCGTTCGAGGAACTGGGAGAGATTTGTCTCCGAAAGTGGAATGTCTTCAGATCGAATGGCTAAAAGCGGTGATGAATTTCGATTTTCTCGATTGCTTCTTACCTAATCGGTTGTAAACATTGTTGGGGTCAATTTCCATGATGATTCCTTGGTCGATGATCTCGTCAATCGCAAGAAATACGTTTTCCAGGTGATGGTAAAGCGCTCGTTTCTCAACGTTTTTTCGCAGGATTAACGAGATCGAATCGTAAACGCAATTCAAAACACTAAAACAAAACTAAATTAGAAGAACAGTAAATTTGAAACGCACGCAGATAGAAGAAGCTCATTCTCGTCCTGGCTGCCGATGACGTAGAAGAGTAGATCGACATTGGTCTTATAGCAAATCGTCTGTCCATCCAAAAGAACGATCTCGTCATCGCGCTTTCTCGTCTTCTCGAAGATCTTCTTCTCAAACGGCTGGAAGGAATATGTTATCTTTTGGAAAAACTGAGTGCCGTACCTTCTGCTCTTTTAGAGTCGGAAATTCATCGCCAAAGTATTTTCCCAGCAGCCGTTTCCCATCGTTATCGAGAATAATGACTCCGCCTTAATTTAAATGATAAATTCTCCCCTTCGATTTTCAGTTTATCATTTACCAACAGTATACAAGCTCGGATCGACGGTCATCCTCTGATAATCAAGTCGTATGAACAAAAACTTTCGAAAACTGTATGTCTCAACGTCTGAGAAAAATCGTCGGAGCGTTTGAATCGCGCGCTCTGATTGGCTGATAGCGGCGAGTGTTGAATTTGGTTCGATCCGCGTCCGTATTGGCCGCGCGTATTTTCTTTCGCTCCAGTTTTTTCGCTTTTTCGACACAAACTTTTAGGATCACCAATTTTCTAGTGCTACTGTTAGAGAGGATGAGGAAGTGAGAAGACTGGAAGTTGAAGGAGAACATAAAGTATGGAGGCGCTGTATGGGAATTTTGAAGGGTTTTATGGAGAGTATGGTGAGAAATTCTTGCCGGCTATAGTTGCCAGCTTAATTTGCGCCGTTGTTGTTTTTGCTTGGAGAAGTACTGAAGGTAAATTATCCGATTTATCCGATGAAATATCATGTCCAATCCTCTGTAGTGTCCACACCAGATGAATTAGAGGGCCAATTCAACATCCCCGGTCGCGGAACATTTAATATCGTGCACGACTCTTCATCGGCGCAAAGAAACGAGCAGTCATCCTCACTGCGAAGAAGTCCCGAAGGGCTTCGTCGGCGAGTTAATTCTGATGGAAATTCCAGTGCGCCTCCATCTTCTCAGGGAGCAAGCAGCTCGGCAAATGGCGGAAATTCTAGCACTGACCAAAGGTCGCCCTCGTCAGTAGCTGAGGAATTATTCGATGAAGGAGATCTGGAAGAGCCGGAACTAACGACAAAAATACGATTTCTAGATGAGAGCGAGATTCAATGCAGATTTCGGCCGAGCCAGAGTCTCGGTGATTTCAAACGTATGAATAAATTTACCGGCGTTTCTGTAAAGCGGGAATAATTTAGGAAAGAACATTGAAAACTCCACAGAGCGTAGACGTCTCTGTCTCATTTTTGGCGGCATGCCGCTTGTAGGATCAGGCAAAGGCGAGTGAAAAGTATTGAAGAAGCCTGGGGTCGAACCAGGGACCTCCGTGTTCATGAACCGGTGTGCTACCACTGCACTACTTCTCCGGGGACTTTGTCCGCCATTCGAGCCAGTTACTATGCCTAAGAGGAGAGGACCTTCTCCCACAACTCCCTAGTAACTGCTCTAACAACTCGTCTTACATATGCCGCCTTGGGTTTTGGTTCTTTGTCTGGTGCCACGGTCCCCAACCGTTACAAGCCTACCAACCCTCCCAACCTTCAGCTTCTCCTGAGCTACTGAGTGAACCTTTGTCAATCTCAGCTTAGGGTTTGTTTTGGCTACCTAGACAACCCACTGTCTTCACCAGTTTGTAGGATCAGGCAAAGGCGAGTGAAAAGTATTGAAGAAGCCTGGGGTCGAACCAGGGACCTCCGTGTTCATGAACCGGTGTGCTACCACTGCACTACTTCTCCGGGGACTTTGTCCGCCATTCGAGCCAGTTACTATGCCTAAGAGGAGAGGACCTTCTCCCACACGCTAAAGGACGACAAGGCAAAAATGTCAAAAATCGGCGTTAAAGATGGAGACACAATGCACGGCTTTTATAAGACGCTACCTCCAGAGCCGAGTCCTGAAGAAAGCAATAATAATGCAGGAACGAGTGCTCATCCTCGAACGGGACAGCATTCGCCGCAATTGGACGAGGAGGACTTCTTTGATGATATTACTCGTTGGTTTGTCCCAGCTATCGGCGCCATTTTAGGTAAGCACTTTACAAAAAAGAAGAGAATTAATCTGTGGTCTTAGGCATTTCGTGGGTTTACTTGATCACCGCTCCGTACCCAATGACGTTCTCTACTCATTTATCAATGTTCTCTATCACTGGTGTTTTCGCCGGTTTCATAATTATGAACCGAGCCTGACAAGCTTCTTCACAATCTCTTCACCCTTTCACACAGCTGCAATACTTGAATCATGGATTTATCGATTAACAACCATTCTTCATTTCAATCTCTTAGTATGGAAATCGAACCGGTAGCAGAAGTGTCCCTAGAATTAGACGATGGACTTCCAACAGTAGAAGAGCGACTTGCTGCTCTTCGACCTTCAAGACAATTGCTTGAATTCTACAGACATAAAGTTGAAGATTTAGGTACAAACTTTGTTTCATTTTTTTACTAAAATTGTGCTAGAGATCGAATATGATACAATGTCCGGAAAGCTAGACAACTTTGTAAAACACTGTCAGCAAGAAGCTCTGCTAGAACGAACAATCCGCCAACGCGAGAAAGAAATCAACGACTTGCAGAAAGCACTTTCAGACATACAAGTCTTCCTTCTCAAGGAGCGAGAGAGCAACTTGAGACTTCACGCAGAAAATGACAAGCTGAAAATACGAGAACTCGAAGATAGAAAAACAATGCAGCATTTGTTGAATATCGCGGGGCCGAGCATTGCAGAATGTTCTTATTTTCATAAAGAACCTCCCGGAATAGGTAGTTTTCTTTTTCAAGTTCGCATGCGAATCGCTTTTCTAGTGGTGATCAAGGAACATAATGCAGAAATGAAGTACCCCCAAGAATCTGGTGATGGTAGTCTTTGCTCAACGCCTCGCGAAAACCCGCCTCCTAAGCCGACACTAAAGGGTGACGGTGTTGTAAGAGCTCCATCAAAGTTCAAACCAAGCGAGATAAAAATAAGCAAGAAGAACTCTGGCCCGAGCGAAGAGAGGCTGCGCGACGACAAACAGATTCTTGCGCTCCAAGTTGAGGCACTGAGAGCGCAGCTAGAGGAGCACATAAAGCTTTCGAATGAGCAGACGAGCCAGTTGATGGAGGACAGACGCATTATGATCGAAGAACATGAAACACATCGAGCTCGAGAAGCGGATAGAACGGAGCAGCTAGAAGCAAGGTTGAGGAAAACTCAAGAACTTCTGAAAGATACGACAAAGGACTTCCTTGAGGTAATCTTCGAATCTTAATTTAGCGTTTTACAAGGGCTCTAGGCGCGAAAAGCACAGCGAGAAAAGGACCGTTCATGGCTTCAAGAGAAAGATAAACTTCTTCAGCAACTAGACAAAGCTCACGATCGAATCTGTAAGATTTCATCTAAATGCGTTTCCTTATGTTTTTTAGATGAGCAAGATCAAAAATCACCAACGTACAAGCCAAGTGGACACGATAAACTCCTTGCTGTTCCAGCTCATATGCGCAAAAACTACGACGTGCTCTCCAAGCCAGCGATCGATCCTTCCGGTAAGATTCATCAGACGCATCTGGTTCTCATCCTTGACTTTAGTCGTCAAAAAGCTGAAAATAGAAAATGAGGCACTGAAAGAACGGCTCGAGCAAGCGGTGCATTTATCTGATATGTATCGAGAACAGTGCATAACTGCCGAAGAAGAAGTTTCAAAAGTGAAGGACCAAGCTCTTCGCGATCAGAATATGTACCAGACAAAGTCTGCCAAACTTATCGATAAGCTGGAATTGACTACAAAGGTAATATTTGAACTTTTTATGAACATCTGAATGTCGTATGTTTATACGAATGAATCATCTTAACGATCCTATTCAGCGATTCTCATCTCTTGAGCAGCGACGAGGGCTAGAAAATGAAGGCTACCGCAATGAAATAAAAAAATTGAAAGAGAGATGCGACCAGCTCGAAGGCCAGCTTTACAAAATGAGCATCGGCGGCCTGAATGACATAGAAGTCCTACAGAACTTCAAGGAGAGTGCGGCCAAGTCCCGCGCTATTCAGAATCAGCTAAAATCACTGAAGAAAAAACTCTACGAAGTAGAAAATAACTTCCGAAGCTCAAACTAGCCATCTGTCTTTTCATTTTTCACCACATTCCTCACACTGTTTTTAAGTTTTTTACTAGAAGATTATTTTATTATTATCACTTTTACAGGCTAAAATTTTAGATGAAACTCATTGCGGGATTATTGGCCGCCGGCCACTCGGAAAAACTTCGATTTGGTGCAAATCAGTGCACATATGGCCCAGCTCATTGGTGCCAAGATATTGTCGCCGCTTCCAACTGCGGCAAGGGAGCTGTGACCTACTGTTCCAACAATGAGGTAGAGCAAAACGAGTGATCACCGCTCTCACTGTCTTTTTAGTGGAATAAAGATACCGCTCCCACTGAATCATGCGAGTCCTGCAAAACCGCAATCGGCCTCGTCAACATGTATCTCACCGACAACAAGTGAGCACTTCTTTTTTTGCAAGTGATAACATTTTCTAGAACACGAGCTGATGTGAAAGAAGTATTGGATTACGCTTGCTTCAAATGCCCCGAGCAAGATGCCTGCAAAAAGATGATCGACGAAGAGACCGACAAGGTCTTCGACTTTATCCAGAATGTTGTCGATCCCGAAACAGTCTGCACTGGTCTTCGAGTAAGTTTTTCTCTCGATTTATAAAGTCAAATCGGCCTTATAGATCTGCTCCACCGATGTCGACGAGTCTTTCTACAAGGCGATCGAGATGAACATGGAAGACATGCCTTCTGTAAGCTCTTTTTTCGCCAGCTCAACACTTATATTTCTCTTAGACCTTTGTCAAAGTTGAGCAGCCAGAGCTCCCACCAATGCCCATCGATTTGGGTGCTCTTCCAGAGGAAAGTCCCTCGAAAACTTTGAAGGCGGCGGTAAACGACGACAAAGATCTGTGCTCCGACTGCACAGACTTTGTTCAGTTAGCTCTGGATCAGATCAAAAATGATCCAGAGGGAATGTACCAAAAAGCACAGGCTGCTGCTTTACAAATTTGCGATATTTTGCCTAAGAGACCGCGTAATTTGTGTCGATTCGCTGTCAAACAAGAGTTATGTTTCACATTTTTCAATTTTTTGATCGGATAATCTTTTTTGAGAACTCATCATAACTCTTCACCAGTTCTCTGACGTGTGGAAGAAACTAACATCACCCGAACCAACCCAACTCTGCACCGCCCTTACTTACTGCTCTTCCTCCTCCAACCCGACCCCACCCGACCAATCCAACCTTTGCTCTTCATGCGCAACTATTGTGATAGACTACCAACAACTCCCTAATAGTCGTCAAAAAGAAGTCTTCAAAGGCTTTTCTGACTTGATATGTGAAGATTTTATTTGCCGATCGATAACAAAAGAAATTTTTCCAATTGTGAACAAGCAAATTATGATGGCTAACCCTACCCAGTCATGCAAAGATGCCGGATTTTGTCAGAATAATCGTTTACCTCGACTAAAGACTACCCTTGGCAATACTGGGTGTGATATCTGCAAGTTGGCTGTCATCAAGATTGATGAAGCTCTCGAGGACAAGGAAACTGACGTTAGTTAATTTATATGTCAACAGTTGTTCAGATGATTTTCAGGGTGAAGTCATGGACTACGCAGAGCAAGCTTGCGACATTCTCCCAGCTTACGCTGATCAGTGCAAAGCTGCCATCGAGATGTACGGTCCCCAGATGATCAAAATGGTCGAGGACAACCTCAAGCCAAATGTCATCTGTGCTGCTGTTGGTCTCTGTGACAAATCGGCTGACTGGCGTCTTCCAGAATCCTGCGCTCAGCCTGCTTTGGCTGGTTTCTGCAGAGCACTCATCCCAAGCTACTTCTTCAACACTGACTCTGGCAAATGTGAGAAGTTCAACTACGGAGGCTGTGGAGGCAACACTAACAGATTCGACTCTCTCAAGCAGTGCGAAGATCGATGCGAAAATGCTCTCGGAATGGGCATCTGCGAAGACTGCAAGCTCGCCATCGACTACGTCAAGGCATACATTGAAGACAAAGGAAATCAGGAAGATATCGAGCAAGCCCTTGAACACATCTGCGACTCTGTCCCTGATTCCTTCAAAATGGAATGCCAGGATATTGTCGACGTCTACGGTCCCCAGATCCTTCAATTCGCTGATGGTGTTCTTGATCCCAACTTTATTTGTGAAAAAGCTCAACTCTGCGCCGCCCCAACTTCTCGACCCCTTCTTGGCATCGATGAATGCACTCTTGGTCCTAAAATGTGGTGTTCCTCAGTCGAAATGGCCAAGAAATGCAAGGCCTACCAGTATTGCAAAGATAAAGGACTTCTTCCTGATAACTAAACAGCTCTAATCCTTGTTTCCATTCAATTTCACTACAGTCCCATTGCAATACGTTTAAAACTGCTGTTGAAAATTGACTTTTCAACCGATCAAAACTCTTCAACTTCCCACGATATTCACAACTCTTTCCCTCTAACTATTCATGTTCTAATCCTTTTCCTTCTTGTTTTTGCTGCCTGAAATGGCCGCCTTTCTGATTCAATTCTCAATGAAAATTCTTGTAGAAGTTCATAAATTAGTCGTTTTTGTGATTTAGGATGTTCGGTCGTCTTGCTACCCGCGTTGCTCCCCGACTTGCCCGACCTATGGTCCGAAACGCCAGTACCAAGATTGTCCCAGTCGAAGCTGAAGTTTCTACTGCTTACGGTAAAGCATTAACAGTACTTTCTGGCTGATAGTTCTCTCAGACGCCGTTCTCGTCGCTTTCTACGCCTGGTTCGTCGCCTACAACCTTCGACGAGTCGTTGGACGAAGCTACACTCCAATGGACTATGAGGTACCATTTCTACCTTCTTGCTCATCTAAACCTTGTTTTCTAGGACATCAAGGTCATCAACAACTACTTCGGCCAGTTCCAGCTCCCATATCCTTTCACCTCTGGATAAGCGGAATCGTAAATTCTGAATCTACATGTAACATGTTCTTTCTCAGAGTTCACTATTTATTCATGCCACAGAGCGCTCAATAAAAAAAGTTCTATCTCCACATTTGTTAGTGCTTATTCTATCCTGCATTGGTATAAGGCTACTAATTTTGTTTTTTGATTTATTTTCGCAGAAATACGAAAAAAGGCTTACAGTGTAACAGACTTTTACACTATGTAAGCAGGCCGCGGAGACAGTTGCAAAGTTATGCGCAGTGTCGTCGGGCGTACTGGTTTTTGAGCTTCTTGAGTCGTCGAACGGCCTGTCGGGCAACGTTACCTCGGCCATTGCAAGCCCATTGTCGAGCAAGAGAGGACATGGCGGAGTTCAGCTGAGAATTCAACTTGCAGTAGTCATCGGCGCTGAAGACTTGAATGTCATCGGCATCATCGACTTCCTCGCCGCATCGAGTGCCGTCCTCGTTTCTGGCACCATCAATGAAAACAAGCCAGTCGTTAAACTTGTTGTAGTATCTTGCATCCTTCTTGTTATTGGCAAGATCGAGTGTTGCGTCTCTAAGTCTCTAAACACGATAAGGAGTAATAATTTCTAAAATCATGTACTTACTTCAAAGTGGGAGACGATGACTAGTCGACGTTCATAGAACTCCTGTGGGAGCTCAGCGGAAGCAGCGGCAAAAAGGGCAAGAGAAAACTTCATATTCAGTTTTTTTTTTGGAAAGCGTAGTTTTACGTTTCGTTTTATACAGCGATTTCAGAGGTGAACCAGACGGTGGCGGTGCTACGCACGCATACATGTGACCACTAATCTCACCTTTTGTCAAGGATAAACATACCTATGGTATAAGAAACATAAACTTAAGTTAAGTGCACATGCACGAGTTATTTGCTGTAAACGAAGTGCCTTAACAAGAGCCACCATGAATTACAAATAATTAGACGGTCTTTTATGCTTTTTTACAAACTATCCACTGTTTTTCATAAAAACGTCGTCGTATTTAGAGTCCATTTTCTTGGTACTTTATTCAATAAAATTGATCGTAAAAAAGTATGATATAACTATGGATTGCAACTTTTGTCATTCAAGAACGATTTGATCTTCTCCAACTGAAGTGCGTTTATATCCGGGCGACTTAGGAAGGTTTTCTAGAATTTTATCATATCATAAATAAAAAACGGCCTTTATTATCGGTTTCTACTGACAGGTTGCAGAGATGCATCATCTTCATTTCTTACTCAAATGTACTTCATGTAATGTAAGTACTCTCGAAAAAGCTCCCCAGAGATATTTTTTGCTTTCAGAAATTTCAATCTCATCCAGCTTCGAGGACTCCTCGATTCAGCTGCAAAGGTTGCGGACAAAGTCAGCAAAAAGTGATCCTCAAAGCTGACACACCTCGAAAGTTGCATCAACTGATTCAGGTACTCGCATTCTTGCGACTTTGCAATCGAAATTCTTTTTTAGACAATAAGCACTGGCCACCGAGGAGTTTCGGCTTTCAATCAGTAGACCAAATTATCGAATGCACATTTTTATCTTACTCTTTTTCTGAAAACCTGTTCCTTATTCTCGGCAATATATAATCTGATTGTGTTATTTTCGGATAAAGAAGAGCGTTTCCATGTTTTGACGATGAGTGGAGATTTCTTCCCGTGAAAATGTACGTTTTTCTTCTTTGAAGTTTAGGGCAAAGGTTGCAGGTCAGGAAAACTTTTGTCGTGGCAGAGGATCCTTTCGAAGTAGTTTTCTTTATAACGGATATTTTGACGATTTGCGAATATAACATCATCAATAATCATGCCTTATTCGTATTTAAATATCTCGCTTTTCAATTGATATTTCTCCAGTTTTGAAATTGTCAAGGACCTTTACCCGGGTGTACCATAGATCGCCAGATTTTCTGATGGGCATTTTAACCTGCCCTTCGAAAATGTAGTTTTTATGGCAAATGTTGGAGTCCACCCGAGTAACGTTGTGCATGCACTCGGTACAAGTAACGTGCGATTTGTCGGGAAATGTTTGTTTTGGAGTCGTTGTCGATAACGTTGGCTTTGGAATCTCAACTAAGTCGCTTTTGAATGGATTTGGTTTTTGACGAAATGTGAACTGAGCCTTTTTCGTCGAGTCGGGAAGGTCTTGAAGCGTTTCTTTGATACAGTCCTTTTTCAAATCGACTTACCAAGGTGCCAAACGACTAGGGCTTTATCCTGCGTTGTCGTGAAGACCTTCGAAGTCCTTGACCCACAAACTGTAGCGATATTTCGATGATGATCGGTGTCGCCATCGAAGACACTCAAATTGTCTTGCAAGCAATCGGGAGACGAGATTAGCCCGTCGACATAAATTTCAACCACGTTGAATGGATCGGCCTCGATAAGATACGAGCTAGAACTCATCATTACTTTTTTCTAACAATTTTTACCAATGTAGCATTTTGTCATATTCATCGTCAACGACGGCAGTAACTATCGTTCCCTCTGTTTCGTTCAATTTTGTCAAGCTTGGGCAAGCAGTCTGCGCGTAACCCGTAGTGTGGTAAATTTCAAAGCCGGATTTAGACGAGACATGATCGCTTGTAAAAATGATGAGTACGTCGTTACTATCAGTGTCGATTTGCACGTGATTATTGTCTTTTCCGCAGAGGTGTCTCAGATGTTTGGTTTCGAGACCGTTTTCGACGGTTTCATTTTGTACGGTAGCGATTGTTAGAGAGTCGCGGGAGCAGTACTTACTGTTTTCGATATCTATTGAAACGACAATAAAAAGAGAAGCTTTTGAGATTACCCAAATATCGAAGAGTAAGCTGAATTGCTTTTCCGACATTCACAGTCAGTCTCCACATGCAGATAAGATTCACATCGTAGAAATTTGGATATCCGGGACTGTAAAAGACTCCTTCATCTGCAGTTATGTATTCACCACATTTAACCATTGGGTTGATATTTGATTGCTCCATTCTTAATGATCTTAATTTTATCAACAAAAAAACGTACTCACGTTATTCCCTTGAAATGAGCTTGAAATCCGATCTCCTCGGCGCTCGAATCACTCGAAAAAACAACGAAAAGATTCGACCCCGACGAAATTGTTGAGGGCGGTCGTTGAACTCCGCAGTAAACTCCCAGCAGTGGCGAAGAAGAATTAGTTCCATCGTAAATCTTCAGAGAGTCGGAGATACAGTTACTGCTGTCTTCTATGCCAGAAAATGGGTGAAAAATTATTTTATTATTTTCGATGAGTGTTAATATGGATGGATTGTTTATGAAATGAAGGGATGAATAAATAGTCACCCTCGATGGCAAAATAGCTGGTAAATTGGAGAAGAACATGATGTCTTGGAGATCCAGATTTGATCAACCAGCTTTCTCTCGAATAAGCTGGGTAGTTATGCCGTCCGTAGTCAAAATTGGGAGTCGATATTGTTCCAGCATTATCTTCGAAATATTTTTAAACGAGAAAGTTTATACCGTATCTATCAACCTGTAATGATTCGATGATTCCAGCCTCTCTCACAATTGACAAGCGAAAACAATAAAAAGAGATTCATTGAAGGAATATCTTTATGGAAATGAAGTTCTTGTTGTTATTTGTCTTGGATTGGTTTGATTTTCACGCAGCTGACGGTATTTGCTAACATTAAATTTGGAAAAAGGAGATCCCTGATTAAAATCACCAAAGGATAGCACAGAAGATTTGCTAGTGGAACATTGGCCTGAATTCATCAAAAGTGGTCGTGGAGAAATAGAGCACGAACGACCTATTATTTACGAAATGTGCTCCGTAAACTCGACCTGATGTCGCTCTTCTTCCTGCTATTTAAATTCAAAGGTTTCTGCTCTTACGAAATCATCGAAATTTCTCGCGGAAGGAAAGAGATAAAAATGAACAATTTGCAAGCCGATCAAGACAGAAAACCGAAAATCCAACCGGCAAAGAGGAACAAGCTAATCTTATGGAACTTCAAGTTGATCAAGCGACAATTTGCTGGGATGCGCCAAGAAGACTTGCCTGAAGAGCGATATTTAGTGGAAGTTCGCAAGAAAGTCTACCGAAGTAATCGGAAAGGTGTAAAACTGGTTCAAGACAGAAAAACTATCATTTCAATGGACATGTATGGTGTTCTTGTAAGCTTTTCCCGAATGGTGCCTTTTCTTCAAAAAGAAAAAGAGAAAGGTCTTCTTCTCAAGTCACCTGACGAAGGCATAGAAATAGACGTCGATGTAAGAGGGATATTTTTGGATCTGATTTGCTGGTTTGACAAACACATCGCAACAACGAATCTCAGCTCAGCTGATTTTGAGTGCTTGATTGAAGACTTAGATCTTCGACCTAAAAGAGGGAAGAAAAGAAGACGCGAAGACTAGTGCTGTGAAGATTAACTGCACTCTTATTTTGTAATTAACTTGTGGAAACTTTTGTAATAAATACTGATTCTACCAACTATACTAAGTGAGCGTTAAAGTAAGTGATTATCTCTGAGGTGAAGACAGAAATATGAGGAATTAGGGATCAATTTTCCGTTAATGCTGTTAACTCGGTCAATTCTTTAGAATATTTTTTTAATTATTGACAGTGCCAATGACAATTCAGTGCAATAAAGATTCTTTTCTTCAACTTGAGATTGGTTGAACCCAGATACTGGACTCATGTCTCCTGTGACTCTGTTGTCAAGGTTGATGATCGCGTTATCTGAGCTTTGGAGGTTTTGCCAGAATTGCGTTAGTTTCGCGCTTCTGCTGACGCCACCTGGGAATCAACTAACTAACTCATCAATCGCAGCCGAGCGATGGCTCCCCGGGAGATCTATTTTTAGCGCAGGGTGCCCACATGATGGCGCTACCATTAGAAAATTTCCAATGGAAATTCGAAAATTTCACCATTCATTGCCAAAAACATAAAAATTTGAGCAACACACGAAAAACACAAGTTTTCTATAAATCAACGACATGACAGTTTTCTACATTCACAACGAGTACGATCGAAATGAAATCATGAAGATCAAAATCAACGTCGTTCACGGTAAGTTTTCCCAACTCTTCATTCCTGAATAATTGCTTTACAAGTCGGTCCTCCCGGAGAGCAAGAGCAGCGGGTACGAATCCAAAAAGAGAGGATTGTTTCAACCTCGGCCGGCATGCGATTCGAAGACTGCGAGTCAATCGTACTGACAATGCAGAGATACGAGCAGTTTCGAACAATCACTCAGCGCTGGAAGTACTGGAACGAGAGCAAGCGAGAAGAAGCCCTTCAACGTCTCGAAGACAATTCACTCTCCGCCTTCATTGGAAGTCTCAGAACAACATGGAGACAGAATTAGAGACACTTTCTCAATAATTATTTACAATTAAATTAATTCAATTAATGATACTGCCAAATACCTATTCTATAAAAACATGGCGTGAAAATAAATTTCAGCTTCAAAAGGAACAAATTCAAGTTGTTACGATTTCTTTGCATAAAATAAATCCAGGTGTATGCAAGATTCTACCTTTTTAAAAGATGCGTTTTCGAAAAAATCTTAGTCTAACTGATGTTAATTGATTTGCTACTCCCGTTACTGTTTGTTGCGGATAAAAGCCTCCTTTTTCTAGAGTTTTCCAAATTTTATTTTCGAGATTGAGTGTTGTTTTCAGCGTTTTCGCCGGGGCCAGGTGCGCGTCAAAGTCAAAAATAAGAGATTTTTACGTCGGTGAAAATTCGCATTTCCTTATTTAGAATTGAACTTGGCGAATCGGCAACAAAAGGTTTTTCGGTTCATCAGTTTTCCATTTCGTGGAATTTTTTTTCAGTTAGAAAAGAGACACCCAATCAGAAGAATCCACCGCGCTCGGTATAAATAGAGAAAGCGCGCGCAAAATCGCATCATTCGATTTTTCTTCAAACGAGGAAAAAACCGAACAGTTTTCTTCTGACTTTTTCGTCGAGTTATCATTTCAACGCAACTTTGAAGCAACATGAGCCGCAACAGAGACACTGTCCCCATTCCAACAAGCATTCCCGACACTCAAAATGGTGTTACATATAAACGGTAAAATCAAAGGATGAATTTTAGAATTTAACGGTTTTTTTCAGACTTCATTACTTGGGAAAAGGAGGTTTTGCCAAGTGCTATGAGTTCCAGAACGCTGCCACTGGAGAAATCGTCGCTGGAAAGGTAAAAAGGCCTCGAAATTACCTTTTCTTTATTTTTAATCAGGTCGTCCCAAAAACTTTACTGACCAAGCAGCACCAAAAGGAGAAGATGATGCAAGAGATCGCGCTCCACAAGACACTAAAGCATCGAAACGTGGTGATGTTCAAAAGCTCCTTCCAAGATCCGAACTTCGTCTACATTACCTTGGAAATCTGCAAGAAACAGTCAATGATGGAGCTTCACAAGCGACGAGGTCCACTTACTGAGCCAGAAGTCAGGTACTTTTTAATCGAATTTTAATATTTTATAACGGTCGATTTAAGATATTATATGAAGCAGATTGGCGAAGGAATGGACTACTTACACAACACGATGAAAATGATTCATCGGGATCTGAAGGTAGGCTCTGTTAACTACTGAATTTCGAGTTAAAAAACGAGTTAAATCTTTATTTCTAGCTGGGAAATATCTTCATTAACAGCGAGATGGTCCTGAAACTGGGCGATTTCGGGCTAGCCACAAGAATCAGCTCACCAGATGAGCGAAAAAAGACGTTGTGTGGAACGCCAAACTACATTGCGCCGGAGATTCTGACCAAAAGTGGTCACTCCTTTGCTGTCGACATGTGGTCTTCCGGTTGCATCATGTACACGCTTCTTGTCGGGAAGCCACCATTCGAGACCTCATCGCTCAAGGTTTGTTTTTACTCCTTGTTGTCTTCATTTTTAATTTTTTTCAGGAGACGTACAGTCGCATCAAGCGAACAGAGTATGTCATCCCCGAGGATACTGTCGGCCCTGCTGCGTCTAATCTCATCACATCGATGCTGAAAAACAATCCAAAGACGCGTATCACGGCGAAAGAAATGCTTGACCACGAGTTCCTCACGGAAGGTTACCTTCCCAAGCGGCTTCCGACGTCGTCACTCACTGTGCGCCCGCATTTCACCGAGCGCCAGATGACTTTCAACACGACGAAGAAGCCACTGATCGCCGTCGACAACATGCCCGAAGAGGACGAACAGCAAGGCTACGCGCGGCCTACCATTCGAAAATCACTCATGCCGGTGAGATACAACTAAGACTTTCTTATTCTAACATTCCTTTTCAAGAGCGATATGCCTGTCATAAAGGTCGATCCGAACACCAAGCGCCTCCAAAAGAAGCGCGAGGACATCGACGTCCTCTACAATATGCTGCAGGAGACCATTCTCAATGCCGTTCGTATCCTTCCAGAAATGCCTGAGGACGCTGAGCATCCGGCATCATCTCCTGTCTATTGGATCTCCAAATGGGTCGATTATTCGGACAAATACGGAATCGGTAAGAGCTACCTAATCGAATCTTTTCTTAATCTTGCCTTTAGGCTTCATGTTGTGCGATAACTCCGTCGGAGTTTTGTTCAACGACGCCACACGAGCGATGCTGCACGCCAATGCGAATAACATGCAGTACCTGGACAAGGAGTTCCAGGAGAGCTTCTTCACCAAGAATGACTTCCCTCAGGCAGTCAAGAAGAAGGTCTCGCTCATCGACTACTTCCGCAAATACATGAACGAGCATTTGCTCAAGGTAATCATAGCAACATCTGCGTCTTTGTAACTGATCTCTTAGGCGGGAGCAGCAGCGGCACCTAAGGAAGGCGACGAGCTCTCTCGTCTCCCTTATCTCCGAACATGGTTCCGTACTCGAACCGCCATTTGCCTGTGGCTGTCTAACGGCTCAATGCAAGTGAACTGGTTCGAGTCCCACGAGAAGGTCGTTTTCTGCCCGAAAATGAAAGCGATCACCTTGCTCAATCAGGACGGCTCAACGCAGACGTTCCTGACGCGCAAGCTCAACAAGTTGGGAATTACGGAGGGCATGAAGGAGAAAATCAAGTACGCCAAGCAAATGGTACGCAAGTGCCGCGAGGGACTTGAGCAGGAGGAGCAACAAAATCGACAGCGAATGAGGTAAGAATAAAAAAAGGCCTGACTAAACTAAATTTTCAGGGAAAACCTCCGACCCTGAGAGGAGTTATGATTAGTTTGTCTTCACTCCACTGCCATTTACTGTCACTTATTTATCTGTACATTTTTATATCGTAAATAAAAAGAAAATTAACATCCTCAAACTACCAGGACTAAATCTCTTTCTTTCATTCATTACACACATGCAGAAAAATACCAAAAAATGCATCGGTAAGAATTTAACAAGGCGCTATTCTGAATAGCCTATTCATCAAATTTTTCAAAAGTTAAACTGAAGATTTCAATTCGCTTCAGCTGTTATCATTAGACTAAAGTCGGCAGGTTTATTGCAAGAAATAGAACATGTTTGGATTCAGGATTTATGCTTTTTGCTAGGTGTAGGATTTGTCGGGCTGCTGAGTGATCGTTTTAGTGTTTCTAAAAAAATAAATAACAAACAAAAAATTTCTTCACCAACCTATTGATTCAACTCCTTTAGGAAGCGGAGAGCCTGGACAGGTTTCGGTAAATTTCTTGATAAGTGCAACAAGCTCGCACTCAGTATGCTGGAATGCTTGTCTGACATCGTGCAGTTTCAAAATATCAGATCGCAACATGTTAAATTTAGTCGTGACTTCTTCGGTTGGAATCGGATGTGTTGGAAGTCCAAAGCCTTTGATTGCAGTCTCAATGATGTCTGTCCGTTTCTTGCGATTACTCGCCGGGAGAATCATGATTTTACTTCGCAGAGAAATGCCAGGTTTTAGTTCTGGGAATTTAATGCCAAAGTCGGGAGCTCTCAAACCAATTTCGCTTTCATCGATCATTTGAGGTGATGCACGGCCAGAATTGGATTTGATTCCTAACGGCGTTTTCGCAAGTGCCGCAGCTTTTTTTGACTTCTTGTCAGCCTCTTTTTTCTCTTTGAGCTTGCGTTTATGCTCGATGCGTTTGCGCTCTTCAATGAGACGATCTTGCTCTTCAATTTCTTCTCTTGAGCGACGGTAGATGATATCTAGCTGCTCTTTTCGACGTCGCTCATGCTCAGCATCGTAGACATAAGTTCGCTTTATATCATCACTAGAAACCTGCTATACAAAGAGAAACAGTCTTAATTGAAACCTGAGCGTGATAGTATGATCAGTGACTTTGTAATATCTCTCTTTTATGTCTTCGACGGAGCGCTCAACATTCTTGCCATCGACTTTCCAGTCGTAGCGATCAGCAACGATAATAAACCGACAATCGAACATTTCACATAGATCGAGCATGTACTCTGTCTCATCTTTTGTCCATGTTCCTTCGCAGTGTGATATCTACATCAGATTTCTTTAACAGAAATGGACCCGCCACTACCTTATTATTTCGAGGAATGGTGATTTTATTAAGATTGAAGTCTGGCAAAGTCTTTGAGACATCTGAGTTCTTTGGCACCCAAGTTTTAATCGTGAATCCGTCTTTTCGCCCTGGAACAGAGCAGTCTTTGAGTACCCATTCACGACATTGCTTTCGCCAAAGTTTGGGGCGTTCTTTGTAGCCCCCGTTTGCTGCGTTTGTTGGAATAAGTGTGACTGGATCGTTGTCAGAAAATCCTAACAGGCCAAATACTTCGTTTGACATTCCATCTGGGCGTTTTCTCTTCTTCGTCCTGAATCAAAGTTTGTTCCCCTGTAATTGTTAAAATTTACAACCTTTTTGGTTCTTTCGGTTGCGAGGAAGGCACAACAAGCCCTCCAAGAATGTCTTTTGCGTCCGATGACATTTCTGGGAGTTAAATTTTGAAACGTTAATTAGAAGAATATTCAATCAGTTATAATTCGTCTTGAACTTGACTTTGAGCGTGAGTAAATGAGATGATAAAGCATAAACGTAGAGAATACGCTCGCTTATATTTTTCTATAAAATTAGAGTAAAGAACAATCAAGGGTTTTTGAACAAGCTGAAGAGGCTGGGTTTATTTAGAATTAGGGGCACTTTAGTAAAAATAAGAAATGGTTATTTACTTGCACGGAACATTAGGGAATCAGTTCACGGCAAATCTAGTGAACTTTGAAATTTTGAATGGGAAAGCTCATCCATGCAAATTATTCGCGCTCCTTCACAACAAATGCCGAAACATAGAGAATTTAAAGTATTTGGAGATATTCAGTCTTGATTATAAGAAAAAATATTATTGAAAGGACCTCAAAAGAACTGAAGCTTTACAGAAGAACAATGAATGTATTTATAAAGTCGGCCAGTGCTATTTTACATTGGCAAAAAAAGAATAAAATATGTTATCGAGGAGATCCAAGGATATTGGCTGGATGGTTGTGATTTGTATGGTACAAACAATAAATAATTAATGATAGTAATTGAAGACAATGTTGAAGTTTGCAGACATTATTTTTGTTGAAAAGGAATTTTAGAAAACGGGAAAGCGGAAAAACGTTTTTTCGTGCGCTGTCCGAAATCGTTGTTTTGTCACCGCACCATTTAGTTGGGGAAATATTGCTCGCGAAGAATGAAAAGAAGCCGGCCAGAGTGGTTGAGAAAACCACTTCTCAGTCGACTCCGTCGAAAATTGAACAGGCTTCGATCGCCATGTGTATTTTGTCGCGTAGGTCTTCAAAGCTTGTGTACGGCGGCAGGTCCAGTCTGTTGAAACTAAACCAAGAGGTTGAGAACTTTCTATTTTGGATTTATCTTACCATGTATGTGCTCTGGGAAGTTTGGAAGGATCACCCCAGTTTTCTATAGTGAAACATTGTGGCCCACTTGAGCCCCAGAGTTCGGCAAAACCGTTCATAGGAACTCGGGAAGTACCGGTGACGAATTGTAAGAGACGAACACGAGATTCTGGAGACATAAGAGCGACAGCTTGCCAGAACCACAGGATAACCTGAATTAGAGTTTATCGTAATGAAAAAAAAAACTTTAGCCTTACCTGATGTGTAGGGCCGTAGCCAGACTTGTAGTTGGTATTTTTCTTCCAGTCAGCAACATCTGGGTCACCTTAGGGAAATCGTAGAATGAAAGATAAGTCTTAGAGAAAATGTTCAAACCTAAACCGCACATGAGAAGTTCAAGTTCGGCCGGATCAAAGATTGAAATCTCGCCTTCTGGAATGACATCATGGAAACCAGCTAAGAAAGCGTCCATTTGAGGCTTGACTCGGTCGACAAATTTGAATTTGATCAACAAGTCAATGTATTCTTTCTTGTTTTCTTCCGTAACGATGATGTTTTCGCCGTCTTCCTTGAGGTTGATAGGGACGATCTCGCCAAACTGCTCGTCGTCGTAAGTGAAGGTCTGATCAAGAGGTTCTGGATCGTTTTCCATGATCCAGGTGAGCGAATTGTGGTACTCAGAGTCGACAGATTGCATGTCCTCCATAGTGATAGCCTGCTTGAGCATCATTTTGTAAAATGGTCGAATGAAAAAGGCATCCAGGAGTTTTCCATGGAAAACAGCCATGCCTATTTAAACTTGATTAATGAAATGAGACGAGATTTATACCTGCAACTCTTCCGATGAACTTGAAGTATGAAAGATGGTCGGGATTACACATTTTCGAATTAGGATTGATTTGAAGTGTGTAGTTGTCGGCCGCCGAATACTGGAAAAGACCGTAGTAAGGGTTGAACATCTCTTTTGACAGAAGGTAGAACCACTGAAATGAACATATATTTTCAGTTTTACGGACGAAAAATTACTTCTCTGGAGACTCCACCATAGTCAAGACCTTTTTCGCCAACGAACTCAATCCACAGTCTAGCTCGAACTTGGTTGATTTCTCTCGAGTTCAGAGCAGAGATGCGTAGATACGAGTTTTCAAGGATATCGGTTCGTTTAACCTAAAGCGTGATCAACGAAAGGTACTACAACAAAAGAGCTACCTTGATATCAAATCTCTGCCCGGGTTGAGTGATAGCGAGCTTTCGAATTTTTGACCTGAAGTATTCGTATTTCTTCTTATAATCTCTTGAATATGGCACAGCTGGTGTTTGTCCTATGAGGTTTTTGATTCGAGGATCTTCCCAAGTCGTTTGACGAGTGTTCTGAAAATATTTCGCTAAAAATTTATTGATGATTAAAAGCAAGTACGTGATCAATGAAGAAATATCTTCCGTCGCTATGTCTCCTTCTTTCCCAACCTTCGGGAAGCGGACCGAGCTCTTCTGGATTACTATAATCTTTCCGGCTTGGCGCAGGCCCACGCCTCCTTGGATCATCCCAAGTCGTGATTTTACTCCTAAAATTAAAGTCGATCAATGTCCAAAAGCAATACAACGTACACATGGTCGATGAAAAACGGCCTGCCGTTCGGTGCTATCCTCATCTCCCAGTTCTCAGGCATAAACTCCCCTCCTTGAGGTGTTGTGAAGGTTTCTGTCGAAACAGCGGTAGGCTTTTCCCAAGTTGTTCTACAAGCCAAAGTTAACTGGCTAAAGAGCTTATTCTGCTTACGTTTGAGAGTTATGATCAACATAGTATGTTCGACCAGTTCTTGGGTCTATCCTTTCTTCCCAACCTGGCGCAAGATTTGACGACGAATCCTTATATTGAACTCGTTATTATCGAGAAAAAGTTTAAAGACGATTTACTACTGAAAAGCCAACACCCGTGAAATATATGTTATGAAATACAAGAGACTCTCATTGTAAGTTGAAATTGATGACAAGCAAAATGGAAAATATCACCGTAAAAATGTCAAACCCTTGTATCGGCCCTTCGGCGCAAGGAACTCGCGCGACTCGGGCTACGTGATGGAGATTCTGACTGTGCGCTTGCTGTTTGTGAACCACAGCTAGTGGTTCGCAGTCTGCGCATTTGCGTTCTTATCTACATAATATGATGAGATAATCAGCTATCGTTGATTTCAAGGGCTCAGAGAATCATGTATCAACAATATTTCGTCAAAGCCGAGAATTGTGCTTACCTCGGAAACCCTCAAATTCTCCGCCTGACTGCTGAGATCTTCAGTTTCTCTCACTGCTTGGTTTTCCTGGAAATCTAAATATAGAGTTAGTAAGAATCCTCTATTGGAAATACTGACCGGAAACGAGACGTCTGTTCATAAACTGACTATCTTCTGTGTGGCTTATTGATCTCGCAATAGCATCACTGGACGGTTCCGACGCTTCTGATTGTTCGGAACTTTCTTGAGCCTGAATTGTTACTCCACCAGTAGGTCTTCTCCAAGTCGTCGTTCTCGTATTATGATCAACATAATACGTTCTTCTGAGGTTATCTGTCTTTTCTTCCCATCCGGGAGGGAGAGGGTTGTCAACGACTTCCCAGTTGGAATCACCGGAGCCGTTCGAAGATGGAGTCGTCGCTTCGGAAACCGCTGGTGTCTCTTCTTCTGCTTCATCTTCGTTATTTTCTGCCTGTGCATCCCAAGCTTCATCAATTTCGTATCGCAGCCGGATTTTTATGTGTCCTCTGACTCGATTTTTCGTGGCTCTTGGTCGCAAAATACAGTCTTTTTCTCCCACGCTTCGTACGTCAGGTTTTTCAACTGGTATACTTTGAAGAACTAAAGGAAAAATGTTGAATGGAATCTTGATTTGAGAAAATTACCTGGGATCTCTGTTTGACCCAAGAAATCATCATCCTTTAGCTTGTTTGAGTTGTATACTTCGAAAAAGACTGTGCAGTGGCCTGGCTTTACTCGAAATACGAATTCTTCATCGAAGTGGGGATTTAGCGTCTTCTTCTTCACCTTCGTAGAAATGCTATCGATGGCCCCCGAGGTCTCTCGTAGTCTAAATCAAAGAAAATACGACCTTTACTTTGATCTTAAACTTACGTGACTTTTATATAAGGATCATTAGAGCCAAATAGAACGCCCCTCTTGGCCAAGTGCGTAGCCGAAACAACACCGACTTTCAATTTTCTAGTGACCTGATCTATATCTTCTGGATAGCCATATATTTTTGACCCATCCGGCGGCATCTGAAAAAGATGAAATATTTTTAGTCTTTCTAAAATATCTGAATTATTGCACAAAAATGAGTTCAAGGTAAGTATTGTTTGCTGGTTTTGTTTTAGATTTCTTCTTCGACCACGGGCCTTCTCGATAAAAACGAGCTTTTCTGGGATTGAACGGCGAGTCTTGATGCGAGATACGCTGGAAAAGAAAGGTTCAGTTTGTGATTTGATTTTAAAATTCTCTGCTTACAAAGTGGCTCGGCAAGTTCACCCCTGTTCATCACGGATACATTGAAATGTTTGACTTTTTCAGTCATCGCCCACGACTCGGCTACTCGTACGTCAACAGCGCGCTGAAAGGTCAAATTATTTAAAGTTACCCTCATCTATTGTTTTTCCCTTTTCGGGGTTTCCAAGTTTCTTTGAGTACCTTTTCCTCCATGTCACACTTCATGGCAGCCACGCACATAGGAAGTGTGGGCGAAGTCTTGTTGAGCTCTTTTTCGATTTCTTTTTGATCTTTTTGACTTGATTAAAACTGTCTTCGGAGGTAATGTCGTAGACGAGAAGGAATCCCTCGCCGTAGTAGCACAAGTGGCGCGGCGGAGAGGCGGTTTTGATCCATTCCTCGCCGCTGGTGTCGTGGATGTGCAAGGTCTCCATTCTATTCCGCACGTCGATTTGCCCCAGATAAATGTCCTCCTGCGTTGGGAACATTTTCTTATCGGGATCGTAGTTATTGTAAATCAAGCGCTCGAGCATCGAAGTCTTCCCACAACTCGGCCCTCCTGCGACAACAACTCGGATGGGTTTTCCCATGAATCTAGATCTAATAGCGATGAGTGTAAGTCACAACAAGTCAAAAATAAAAATATGAACCTTATGAACAAAGTAAGAAAGGAAAATGTGATTTCGTAGATTTTCTATGGGAATGTGAAAGAAAACAAAACGTAAAGCCCGAAAGAGGGGAATGTAAAGTGCGTATAAAATTAGTTGCTGGCAGCAACTTGCTGCTTTAGAGATTAGAGTGAATTGTAGAAAAATATAAAAAGGAAATCGAATGAACTCAGAAATATGATACAGGGATAGTTAGTTCTGTTACAATTCGAGAGAGGCAGGAATGGTTTAATTCGTTGTTAGTTGATGTTATGATGGGAATTTGCCGCTTTCGCCGATTTTATAGCACTTGGTCAGAACTAAAAAGAAGCGCTAGAAATGGCGGCTTGAAAGCACTGATCTTACTGAATCGCATTCTGAAGTTTTCTAACTTCTCTCAAAATCGCCCGATTCTGAGCTGGGCGCGCGCCGCCTTTTCTTTGCGATGATTGCATGCTCTTTGGCAAATCTGAAAAAACCAGCCCATAAATCTCACTCAAACAATCTGTATTGACTGCACCTTGTTCCTTAGTTGTTTGCTTCGATTTCTTTTGTTTTAGCAATTTTTTGACGACCAAAATGTGTTGACCCTTTTTCTCCATGTCCTTCAGTTTATCTTGGAGGTCTTCGCAATCTAAGCTACAACAGAGTTAGTTACAGACTGTAACTTACAGTAACTTCCGTTACGACTTACTCTTTTTCGCGGCAGGAGACCGCTAAGTCGGCGAATTCTTTTTGAAGCTCAGAGAGAAGGGTCGACAAATTTTCTAAAGAAAGATGATAGAAAAAAAGAGAACTCACAGATTTCATAAGAAAAATCTATTTACCAATTTCTTTAGTAGTAGCAATGTCCATATTCTGCTCATGGCCTCCAACAGTTTTTCTTTTGGCACTTGTTTTGCTGCTAGTAGACTCTGCATAATGCGGACCTCTGCGAGAAGATTGTGTTTTCACCTGGTGCATCAGACCTAGATGATACGCATATTAATGAGTCTCTGAGAAAGTAAATTAGTCCAGTGATTCATATGCAAATAATTTACATGTAGGAAATCGCAGAATGTTATCAAAGTTCATGTTTACCTTGCAAGTTTAGCCCGACATTGTGGCTCTTCGTTGCTGATCCAGCGCAAAATGGAAATTGCATCTTTTCTCGGTCATTGCTTTTCGGCGTTTTTGTCGGTGGGGAGGGATTTTTGCGCTTTGTTTTTTGTGCTTTCTTTATTTTGCTGTTTTGCTTTAAAATTTTCTGAAGCTCGTTCTCTTCGTTGTCTTCGGAGTCGACTGTCAGGGGCATTTCGGCAGTTTCAACTTCGGACTCGTCGGAATCGAAACCGTTGAATTTGGTAGAGATAGGCGCTACTTCGTAGACATGGCGGTTGATACTGATAGGCGTTTGCTGCTTCTGCTCGGTCTTTGCGTAAATAGCTGCGATTCTCTCGCGCTCGGAGCGGATTCTTGCTTCTTTCTCTTTGTTGCGTTCGGTCTCGGCTTTGACGAATGCTAATCGCATATTGTTTAGTTTTTCTTCTAAAAGACGGCATCGCTCGTCAGCTTGGGATAGTTCATCCTCGAGTACCTCCGAGGAGCTCTTGCATGTCCACTGATACTGTTTTCTTTTATAAAATTGGTAGTAATTCATCATAATAAATAATCCACAAGTTTGTGAAAGTGCAAATTGGCAACTTACAAGTACCCGCCAAATATTTACACGAGTACTCGTTTGGGGCCAGAACATGTCAAGAACTCTCCCTTGGACTGATTGTCTTTGCTCCCGCTGCTATCTGTTTTCTGGGACTCACTGGGACTAACCGTGAGTGTTGCATCAGTTGATTGCGAGCGCGAGCGGGCAATGAACCGTTTCATGATCGGCAACTCGCTTGTTGGAAGACGAGGAGTTGTTACTGCAGATGAAGTGTTGCTTTCCGATCGCTCTCGCTCCATACTTTTGATTTTTCCCTGATTTTTGTTAAATAAATCCTTCGTTTTTAAGCCAGTTAAATATTTGATTAACAATTTCCTGTAACGATCGCAGGGCCGAAATTACAGCTCTCCCATTGCTCTCAGGAATCCCCCTTGGCGAGTTCAAGGAGGGACTCCTCAGTCCCAGCTGATTCATCTTAATGGTCATCGATTAGTTTTACTAAAAGGCTTCAACGTCCAAGGTCATGAGTTAGGAATCGGAGGAAAAGACGCCTTTGAACAGTTGGCGCAATAAATAGAATAGAGATCAATAAGATTGAACTTGAAATAATCGTTACAGGTATTTGTAGTTTTGATAATATTACACACATTGAGATTGGAATTCTTCAAGCCGAAGCTGCCCGCGCAAAATACTTCTTTTTCTCTTCCTCCACGCCTGCTTTCAGATTTCTTACGACCTCCGCGCAGAGCAGCGAGTTTCGCGGGTTTTCTCTGAATTAATTGTCTTTGCTGGAAGAAATGATTCACTGGCTGCGCTCTCGTAAAACAAAATCAACAGGTGTTTCGGGTAAAATCAAAGTGAACACAAAACAATTTAAAACTATTGAAGCTTGGTGGAAGTACCTGTAGCAGGAGGCGACTTGAGCAATGAGATCTTCGCATGGGTTGACAATATCCTTTGGCGCAAAGAACGGCTTCGTCTTCTCGATAATCTTCTCTTTCTCTTCTTCTTGAATTTGCAAAAATTGTCGTCGCTCTTCTTCTACTTTTGTGGAAGCGTCTTTGACAGCTTCAGCAGCTGCTCGGAGGGCTTGAATTCGCGCCGCAGCGGACTGAATTTCGACATTTTAATCGATACTTTTTCGGTCATCAGTTGGCAATAAAATTGTCATCATTTCGTTACCTCATCAGCGGGGTCGAATTTGGAGGCGCCGAACTTCTCCATAAGATCGGCCTTTTCTTGCTCATGAGCAGCGTGAATGCTTTCCAGGTGAGCGTTGTACTGATTTTGAATGGAGTTCAATTGCTGCATAAAAATTTAATGTATGTAATAGGGAAGTCTGCTGAACCTGGTTGGTAAGTCCACTGTCACCTTGCGAGATTTTATTAAGAACGGCATTGGTAAGCTTAATGCCCGGGGCGACCTCGTTCTCAGCAGGGATCTGGCTGAAGACCGTTGTGGTCTTCTGGCCGGATGTACTAAATACACCTCCCATCTGAACCGAAAAACTGACGATAAATTTATAAAAATAGAAATGTATTGCTTGGAAAATACAGAAGAATCTAATCGGCAGAAAAGTCTAAATGATTCTATATTGTTCAATTGCGCATTGGTGAATTCGGAAGATAGATCTAGCGAGGGCCCCATTTGATGTTTCCCATTCCAGTAAGAGATCGTTTCAGGTTTCCAGAGTCTGCCCATGCTGCGTTCATGTAATCATCATCTAAACGAGCATTTTTAATGGTGAATTTTGAAAGTAAAGTGACCATCAGCTTCGGCGAGCTTTTTCAACTCCTCCTGTCGTCGATAGGCGCGCATCATCATTTCCTTTTGTTGCTCTTCAGTGACAACAGGCTCTCGTGCCGGCGCTGATTGACCTGTTTTTTGAATTTTGACGGCGAGCTTGGTCCGGTCATTCTTTCCCGAATAATCGCACAAGAGCTTTTCGTCGTGGAGTTCTTTGTTCGCCCACCAAATCGCTAAAAAAGTCTTTTAAAAAATCTTAATTCACTCAACGGACTCACCCATGCTGTGCTCAGGAATGACTAATTTAGAAGCTTGTTGACCAGACAAGTCCTCCTTGTTTTCAAGTTCTGCTCGGACGGGATCATAAGGAGGCAAATCCATAGGATACACGATCATCACGGCTCCTTTCATGATCTGGAGGGCTTCGTCGACGGTTTCATAAGTCATGCTGAACTTTTCGTCGATTCGTTTCTTCGAAACGAGATCTTTTGCTTTCTGCGCTGTATCCTTTAGCAACTTCGACATCTTTTCATTTGGCGCTTGTCCGTTTCGTCGGCCGTAAATGTCTTTTTTCATTTCGAAGCCGCCGCTTGGAATGCATTTTGCTGTGAATGGATCGACCAGTTTCAGGTCTGCGACTTGGCTGTCATTCAATCCTTGCATGTTTTCAGGGAGAATCGTTCCGTGTTCTGCGAGCTGCTCTAACTCTGTTGCGATTCGCTCGATTTTCAGTCGACCGTTGTAAATTTTTCTGAAGAAAATGAGTGTTCCTAAAATGAGGAAGATCATTTATTCTCACCGAAGATCTTCTTTGAGCTCTCTTATTGGAGTTTTGTTGGTGCATTCGTAGAGAAACTGGAGGTCGGTGCCGTGCTTGACTGTGAGAATAACCATCTTTTCTAAAGAAAAAAAATTTTAAATTTGTTTTCTTGAATTTATTGTGAATAATTTTGTCGAAAAATAAGGCAAGTTGATACACGAGAGACGCAATTAAAATTGAACCAAATAGGAAAACATGTAGAATAAGATGAGATGACTGTAAATAAACTGAAGACGGGGAAGATGGATACTCTTTTTTATCTTTATTCTGATAATTTCAAACAAACGATTTTGATATTTCAAATGATAAATCTTGAGGTGAAGATGCATTTAGTTCTGCTTTTGGAGAAGAAAATAGTGGACATGAGAAAGAATTCTTTCAATCAGTAGTTTTTCGTTTGTTTATGCATAAATGAAAAAGTAGTTATTACAGTAAATGCTAGAAGAGAGGGAAAACTGGACTGGAAAAAAATTTAGCATGCGCAATCGCCAGAGTTGCTCCTCGCAGCGTCGTTTCGTCGGAGATCTACGCGCTCGGGCACTTCTTTGTAAAGTTCTGTGTCCGCTTCTTGTTGCAGAGCGGCCCGGGCGATCGTCACGAATGCTTCGTCGACTTTCGTGGCTTCCTGAAGAAAAATAGGTAAATACCAATCGAACTCCCGTCTCTAGAAATCGCTGAATCTGCTCACTTTGGCGGAGCACTCGAAATGCGGCAAATCGTTTTTGGCAGCACACCAAGCTTGTGCTCGTTTCGGAGTGACGGCTCGATTTTCAAGATCGATTTTGTTTCCAATAACGACGAACTGAACAATTCGTTTTATAAAATCGAAATAGGGGAAGCATTACCGGGAAGTTGTCTGGGTCGCGAGGAGAGGCCTGAATAAGGAACTCGTCTCTCCAAGACTCGAGGGATTTGAAAGTGTTTGGAGCGGTCGTGTCGTAAACCAGGACGCAGCAGTCTGCTCCACGGTAGAATGCTACACCGAGCGACTGAACATGGAATCAGAAGGAAAAAGGATGAGGATGGAGAGTACCTGGAATCTTTCTTGTCCGGCAGTGTCCCAAATCTGAAGAGTGACCATTCGATCGTCAACGAGCACTTCTTTCGTCAAGAAATCAGCTCCGATCGTAGCCTAATAATCAAGATTTCTAGTTCCAACAGTTTAAATTTATTGCCCTTATTTGATTCATTGTTAAAATTCGTTACCTTATATTGTGAAGAGAATCTCTTATTGACATACTGGTTCATCAGCGATGTCTTTCCAACGCCAGAATCGCCCAAAATAATCACTTTTAATAAAACCTTCTTTCTTGATGCCATTTTCTCGCCAATTTCTTACGTAAAAATCTGAAATAAGCTTATTTTTTTATTTTAATAACTTTGCGACAAGTTTGTTATTGAGCATCAGAGATTGAGAGTCTCACATGACTTTCTTTCTGAGACCCTTGGGGGACAGTTTTGAGATATAAATATTAGAGTAAAAGCATTCATGTCTCGGATAGTTTGAAAAAGCATGGCGAGAAGCAGGGTTATTCGGATTGGAGGGAGATGTGTGAAAGAATGACTACCAGTCATGCGGCAGTCTCATTTGTTTGTCTGGAGATTGCAGACACAGCTACAGTAATTCCCATGTTCACAGGAGAACTACAGTATTATCTATCAATTAGACATCGCAAAAGGAAGAATAATAGATTTTTAATAGAATGATCTGATCAAATTGTTTGACAATAAAATAACAATTTTTGTTTACAATATTTTGGCACGCTTTTAAAAATAACTTTCACTTATTAAAATACTCGAGTATTTCTTAAATATTTTTTGGCATGAACCATAATTCCCAGTGCAGCGTTTCTTCACTTGTTCGAGACTTGAAGGCTCGGATTTTCCCAGTCTTGAATCAGCAATTTTCGCGCCCCTCGATTTGTCGAAAATTCGCGAATCAACAGCGCCTCTTTTTCGACGTGTCTTGAAAATCCCAGCTACGTGTCGTTTCTCGCCGAATTCTCCCTTCATCTTTGGAGAAACGAAGAATGTTACAGTTTCCTCCCTTTTCTTCCACGCTCTAGAATAGTCTCAAGAATCCCAAAAAGAGAGCGTCCGATGAAGATTATTTGGGCGAGTTTGGCCGGACTTGGAGTCGCGAAAACGAAGACAGAATGCGAAGCTTGCAAGAGACTTCAAGAAGGAATCGAGAGAAATTTGAAAAAGACGAAAAATCAGAACTTCGGCGGAGGAAACTCGAAATGGGAAGAGTCAAGGCTAGGTTAGTTTATATTTATGATTGCCAATCACGTTACTTTGATATGATATTTAATTGATATCGTATCTTTGAACTCAAAGAAAACTGTAGGTCCCTGGGCAACAAGCGAGTCCCGAATGATCCAAACGATTGAATATGCCTGTGAAGGAGATTTCCGCTGCTCGAGCTTCTTGGAAGAATACGAAGAAGACGTCGAAGATTGGTTCAAAACTGGCCCCGATTCTGCTCCCGAAGAAGATCGCATCGAGTGAGAATCTTTCAAGAATTCTCGTTTGTATAAATTTTCTAGCTTCTTCAAAGAATTCTGCGTTGAAAAGTCAAAGTCATGTTGCGAAGACAAGAACAGCTTCGGAAAAGACTGTCAAGCTTGCCCAACAAATGTTAATCAAGAAGTTTGCAGCGGTCGCGGAACTTGCGAAGGCGCCGGTGATCGAAAAGGCAAGGGCGGCTGCAAGTGCAATCATGGCTACTCTGGGAAACACTGCGACGAATGCTCTTCCGAATATTTTTTGGAAAAAGAAGTTTCGATGACTGAAAAGCCACTATGCACCAAATGCCTGCATAAATGCAAAGTAGGAATTTTCAATCAATGAAAGGGGGATACTAAGCGGTTTATTTATAGCAATGCAAAGGAGAAAAAGGCAAATGTCTCGGCTGCAGAGATGGTTATGAAGTTGAAGGAGAAATCGCAGAAGATGGAACTCATGATTGCAAGAAACCCAAGCCCAAAATTCCAGAACCCGAAGAAGACGATCAAGGCTTACTCGATTCAAGTACGTAAAAATAAAATACACCCCCTCTAACAATCTCATTTCAGAAAGTGTAGAAGAGGTAAGAGACCCACCAGAGCCACCAGCAAACTCGGAGGAGGTCGATTCTCCTCCAGAACCGAGCACGACTGCCGAAAGTAGCACCACAAGAGCACCACCCACGCCTGATCCGCGATTCGGAGTCGACGCGTTTGCCAAAAATAAGCACGAAGATCTTTAATTTTTAGTCGCAACTCGCATTTCATTTTTTCACCATTGCCAAAAAATGAAGCGCGAAAATGACCATCATGTCTTGTTCCGATTGTAGTTCATTTCAATTCTTTCAATTAATGATCTTTCATTCAAAATTTGATCTCCAAAAAATAGTGCAATAAATAACTTTCTGTATGAGTAAGAGTTAAAAATGAAAAATTTAGGCGTTCCATTTCGTGCAAAAACGGTTCCAGAACGAAATGCGGAAGCCTTCAGCGCTCCTTGTCAAGGGGCTAGTAACTTTATTCTTCGCTGTTTTGTTGATGAAAAATCGCTTCAAAGAATCTATCCTTTTACTACTAGTTTGTGCAATTCTTCTCAATAAATTCTATTTATGAAAACAATCAAAGTTTCAATCTTTTTGAATTCAGAGCAGAGCATGCGGCTATTTTCTTTGGCAGTTCTTGCGCTCTCTGTATGTGTTTCAGGCGAAACGCATCAGCTCGAAGCGGTGTTGACCGATAAACTGGGTGTAACAAATACGAAGCTTTTGCTTTCAAACGTTAAATCGACGAAGCCAGAAGCCTCGTTGGATTTTGACGGGTCGATTTCCTTCCCCTGCGTTGTCAGAATTCCTGCGAGCATTCAGTGGGACGAAATCAGGTAAGAAAACTCCCCGAATCTTTTATCTTACGATTCAAGAGCTCAAAAGTACATTTCGACGACTGTTTACGAACCCGGCAGACTCGATATTTTGACCGACTCCGAAGGCAACTTCCTCTCGATCTCCAGGTTTGATTTTCTTTCAATTCAACTTTCTTCAGCTTTTTTTCTTTTCTAGCAAAGGTGACAGTTTCCAAGGACCAAACAGCATCTCCACAACTGTCGATATCTCCACGATTCCTGCTGGCCCTGTCCCAGAAACTCAGGTGCAAATCCCCTTTTTCAAGCATTATGTAAATTCTCAATTTAGGCTTTTCTTCAAAAAGTAGAAAAAGAGAAGAAGGAGAAAGAAAACGCTCCACAAGGCTCGTGGTTGTCAAGAAATTGGATGTACGTCGCCATCGGCTTCTTCGTCCTTGTCAATCTCGGAGGCGGACAGTAAATCAACCAACGAATGCGTTGTTAGAATTCCAAAAGTTAAATCTTCTGACATGTAACATGTTTGTAAATTATCAATTGTGCAAAACTAATTCTAGTATTTCTCTTTGACCGTATTGACTTCAAACAGATTCCTGCCCCATTTCTTGTTCTAAAAATGTCTGGAAGAAGCTTTGCTAAAAAAACTACTTCAGGCAAAGCCTTACATGCCCTCCAGCCATTCTTGATTTACCCAATCCTTTCTCTATTCAAAAAAGCCAGTTTAGAGCCAAACAAAATAGGCCGCACTGGGGTTCGAACCCAGGACCCCTTCATTACGAGTGAAGTGCTCTACCACTGAGCTATACAGCCGCTGAGTGGGCCCGCAAAAGCGCGAGTTTTATTCACAAGCAGAGAGCAAAAATGATTCGAAGTTTGATCGATTTGTTTTGCTCGCCCCGCTTTTCGCGACACTTTGCCGTTTTACTTTTTCTCGCAGAACTTGTCTTCAACTATGGAATCGTCAAATACAGAAAGTACACTGAGATTGATTGGAAGGCTTATATGCAGGAGGTTGAAGGGTACCTAAATGGATCTACAAATTATATGTAAGCTTAGCTACGCCCTTAGTCAATATCGTTATTTTTTCTCAAGGGAACTAAAGGGAGATACAGGACCGCTTGTATACCCCGGTGGATTCGTCTATCTTTACAGCTTCTTGTACAAAATTACGGACAATGGCGCAGACATTTTCAAAGCACAGCAGATCTTCGCCGGTTTTTACATGATGCAGCTTCTGGTTGTTCTGATGGTTTACTGTCAACTAGCAGAAAAGGCCAGATTTCCTCCGTGGATGATGATTTTTGCCTCCATTTCTGGCTACAGAGTACACTCGATTTTCAGCTTGAGGATGTTCAACGATGGTCCGGCAAACATTCTCGCCTGGATTGCGGTTTACTGTTTTATGAACAAGAAGTGGACTTTTGGATCGATCATGTATTCACTCGCTATTTCGATAAAAATGAACAACCTTTTATTTCTTCCCGGCATTTGCGTCGTTTTCATGCGCAACTTGAGGATACCACACACGATCTTTCAATTTATAGTCATTCTTCTTGTCCAAGGTTAGGCTTGTCAATTTAGTTTGATTCTAACCAAGTTTCAGTCGCTGTTGGTTATGAATTTTTATCAACATATCCACGAGAATATATGGCAAAGGCGTTTGAGTTCAACAGAAAGTTCTTTCATAAATGGACAGTCAACTTTCGCTTCCTCGACGAGGAGACATTTCTCGGTATTATTATCAGCATGTTTCGAGTTTGAATGTCTTTTTAGATGATAACTTCCACAGAGCCCTTCTTGGTCTTCACTTGCTTTTCTTAGTTCTGTTCTGTTCAAAGCGATGGATGCCAAAGAGATTCGGGACGACGCTCTTGTCTTTTCCTCTCGCAGTTTTTAACACGATCAGAAATCATGGCTCAGAGCAGACTTGCCCTCTTCTAACGGCTGATATTCTGTTTACTTCAAATTTCATTGGAATCGTTTTCGCTCGTAGTTTGCACTATCAGGTACTTTCACGAATTGAGCTTTGGATTAACAAAAATAAGTTCTATGTCTGGTACTACCATTCGCTGCCTCTTTTGGTCCGCATGGCTGGTTTCAACTCCTTAGTTTCAATTCTGATTTTCTTCTCATATGAGTATTCCTGGTTCGTCTTCCCTAGCACAAATTTTTCATCTTGCCTTCTAGTGTTCACTCATTTGCTTCTGTTAGTAAAATTATTCTGTGCAAAATGGCCAGCTAGCGGCCAAAAGAAAAACAAAACGCAATAAGGTGTATAAATTATGCTAAATAAACAAAACAGTTGTTTATGTCCGTTTGTGTTGTAGAAATGTGACAATGGAGGACTCGGCTCACATCTTTGAATTGCTTTTTCACGACTCGGCTGAGACCCAGCTCGAAAATTATAAAGCAGACTTGGAAGACTTGTTCAAGGAAAGACCAGAAAAATACGAGCGAGACGTGAGTCATACTTGCAAAAACAATTAGTTTTTTTTTTCTAATACTGAGTCAGGTTGAAATCGATTGCTTCTTTGCACAGCCAGAGGTCCAAGATGCGCAAGAGAGAGATTCCCCGACGTCGTCTAATTCGACAACCGTTTCTTGTGACTTTGTTGAGGACGAGCAGGAGATGGAAAAGTCCGTGACATTTTCGTGTAATGGCACGTCAGATTTGCCCCGTCATATCCAAGACGTACGCGAGCGCGTGAAGGTATTCCTCGTTGCTTTCATGACTGACGGTTTTTAAACTTGTTTTAGAAAGAGCTTGGGGTAAAGACTAACTTGAACTTGACAGATGAGGAGCGAAGACTTCTCAAAGAGGAAGGAGTCGAACTTCCCGAGGATCTCCCTCTGACAAAGGCAGAGGAACGTGTCCTGAAAAAGGTGCGCAGAAAGATCAGGAACAAAAGATCCGCTGTCGAGTCAAGGTAGGATCTGAAACACCAATATCTAGTTATTTCTGATCTCAAGGAGGAGAAAGAAAGAGCACTTCGACAAAGTAGAAGGGGAACTTGGACGATATCAAAATGAAAACGATGACTTGAAAAAGCGAGTCAACTTTCTTGAGCGTCAAAACATGATCCTGATGAACCAGCTTCGAAAACTTCAAGAGTCAGTCATGATGGTAATTGAAACTCGTCATTATTTCTTAGTAAAAATTCTTAGATCCCGCAATCTGGTTCCGCTTGCGCTCTTTGCGTGATGATATTTTCCCTGTTTGTCTTCTGTTATCCTGGCGCAGTCGGTCCTTTGACTTTCGATGGCGGCGAGAATCTTTATCCTATCATTGACAATGAGAAGTTCCAACCTGTGGCTGGCTTCAAGGGACGCAAAATACTCTCGGCGGATTATGGTACTACAGTTCTCAGTATTTGCCCCATTATTTTCTTCTTTTAGTGGACGAAATCGCGAATGAGACGGAAAACGCACCGCCCGAACCCGTTCCAGAAATTCAAGAAGCCCTAACCGCCAGCTCCCACCGTTCTGTAATGCCACAATCCCCTGAAGATTATATCATCTCCCAAGCTCAGCAAGGTGCTGCTGCTTTCCAGGGTGAAATGTAGCCGTAATATTTCATTCTATCTCCTTTTTCTCTCAGCTAGATTGATCCTTATCCACAGATACCACTCCTGTTCATTGAAAAAAGTTTCCAGATTTCATTATTCAAATCTATGAAATATCAATTCTTGAGTATTTAAGAATGTCGGACTCGGATGAAGCGCCGCTTTTATCAGAGCAACAAACGATTCAACAACAAGATCAGGCGCTCGATGATCTTGCGGCAATTATAAGAAGACAACGCGATATCGGAATAACCATTGGAAATGAAGTCGACGATCAAAATGGTTTGTACTTCGTTTTTTTTATCTCTTATGCATGTTCAGTCGTCATTGATACAATCACTGACATGACCGAGAACAGCCGAGGTCGACTGAACCGCAACACTGAGAACATCACAACTCTACTCGCTCGGGACAAGGGAAACTGCACTCTCTGGATGATCGTTGGAGCTCTTTTCATCGTCATAATCGTCCTGCTCTCCGTTTAAAACATGTTCACTCTGATTTTGAGTTCGAATTTTCAAGTTTTTCATCGATTTTCTGTATATTCATTGGCCGCCTTTGCCAACTTCCCATTTCAGCTTGCTTTTCGCGCTTGTGACTTAGCACGTTCGTTCAAACAAAACACCCACAAACGAGAGTATACTTTTTAAGAAATCCGGAGAGATGTATTTTGCAACCTGGGAAGAGTTCACCAGAGAAGCCGAGAAACTCTATGCCACGGGCTCGTTAATTGTTAAATGCATTTGACTCTTTCCCTATTTATTGATAAATTGATTTTCGAACCAGCAATAAGCTTCCTCCCCAGATAATTGTCGAATCACTACCAGCTACCGACACGAAGACAAAAAGGTATTTCCTTTGCCTTCCTTACTGCAATAACAATGAGTTTCAGCTTGTGATAGCCTTCACGGACGACACCAAAAGACTCCAGTTCGTAGCCCAGTACAGTAATGACGTCAAGCGATTAGAAAAATTCATTACCTCTATGATGAAATCATTCGTTGATGCCGAATGAACGCGATGTAGAAAGACGATTAGTAGCTGCGCAAGAATTCTAGTACCGAAAAAAATCTTTAACAATTTGCAATAATATGTCTAACTGATGTTCTTCCTCCAACTCTTCACACTTTAGAGTCCGAACTGTTCACCTGACTCGCCACTGGACTTGTAAATGTTGAGCAATTAGAAATATCGTAATTAAACCTTTTCGAATCCTATCCCTCCTAGAATGCCCCCTAACGCAGAGACGTCACAGCCACGCGTGACGTACAAGACTGTTACTGGAGTTAATGGGCCTCTTGTTATTCTCGACAAAGTCAAGGTATTTGTTTCACCAAATAATAGATATCTCATACAGTATGAGTCATACTGCTTTAGTACGCTAAATATGCCGAAATCGTCCAACTAAAGCTTCTCGATGGCTCGCGCAGAACAGGACAAGTTCTCGAAGTTCATGGAGACAAGGCCGTTGTCCAAGTTTTCGAAGGCACATCTGGCATTGATGCGAAGCATACATCCTGTGAATTCACGGGAGAAATCATGAAGACGCCCGTCAGTGAGGACATGTTGGGTCGTATTTTCAATGGATCGGGAAAGCCGATTGACAATGGCCCTCCGATTATGCCAGAGGATTATCTCGACATCATGGGACAGCCGATCAATCCTCAATCGCGTATTTATCCAGAAGAAATGATCCAAACTGGAATCAGGTAACTATCGATCAACGAACTTCGTTAAAATTTAAATCCAGTACGATCGATGTGATGAATTCTATCGCTCGAGGACAGAAAATCCCCATCTTCTCTGCTGCTGGTCTTCCCCACAACGAGATCGCTGCTCAAATCTGCCGACAAGCTGGTCTCGTCAAAAAGGAAGGTGAAGCAACCGAAGAGGGAAAGAGCAACTTCGCCATCGTCTTCGCAGCCATGGGTGTCAACATGGAAGCTGCTCGTTTCTTCAAATCTGATTTTGAGCAGCGAGGAAATATGGAAAACGTTGTTTTGTTCCTGAATCTCGCCAACGATCCAACTATTGAGCGTATTATCACCCCTAGAATTGCTCTTACTGGTATTTTTTCTGATAGTTTTCGTGCTTCACATCTTTTAAGCCGCGGAGTACCTTGCTTATCAATGCGGTAAGCACGTTTTGGTCATTCTCACCGACATGAGTTCCTATGCCGAAGCTCTTCGAGAAATTTCAGCTGCTCGAGAAGAGGTTTGATATATACGCAAAAGTTGATGCTAAAACGGTTTTTCAGGTCCCCGGTCGACGAGGTTTCCCTGGTTATATGTACACAGATTTGGCTACGATTTACGAACGAGCTGGTCGAGTCGAAGGCCGAGAAGGCTCAATCACTCAGATTCCTATCCTCACTATGCCAAACGAAGATATCACTCATCCCATCCCCGATCTTACAGGATACATTACAGAAGGACAGATTTACGTCGATAGACAGCTTCAAAATCGTCAGGTATTACTCAGGTCACAGATTTTACGATTGATGGACAATTAAAGATCTATCCGCCAATCAATGTGTTGCCTTCCTTGTCTCGACTGATGAAATCTGCTATCGGCGAAGGAATGACCAGAGAAGATCACTCTGATGTGTCCAACCAGTTGTATGCTTGTTATGCTATCGGTAGAGAACAACAGGTGAGAAGTAATCCAACAAATTTGTGCTCAACTTCATTTCAGGCTATGAAAGCTGTCGTTGGTGAGGAAGCCCTCTCACAAGAGGACTTGCTGTATCTAGAATTCCTTTCAAAGTACGAGAAAAACTTCATCAATCAAGGCCATAATGAGAATAGATCAATTTTCGACTCTCTCGGTAAGCTGCAATCGATAGACATCCAACTTAACCGACCTGTGTAGATAAAGGATGGGAGCTCTTGAGAATCTTCCCTCCAGAATTGCTGAAGCGAATTCCGGGTAAAATTATCGACAAGTACTACTACAGAAAAACTGAAGAGCAATAAGCATGTTTCATTCACCCGGGTGCTGCAATTAAAATGAACGATAATTTAACGAACCTCCTCTAATACCTAGATTACTTTCTCTTATTCAAGCATTTACAAATTTCGCGTTCCACTCAAGCCATGGGAATCGGGACAAAAGTCTAGCACCAACTCCTGGCCGAGCTACCACACCGCGATACAGGCCCTCGCTGAGTAGCGCTCGCGAGCAAGACTCTCGCTGGAGAGCTGCCCAATTCTGAATTGGCAATTCAAAATCCCTTCTCTTTTCTGTTGACTTGACTCTTATGGGATTTGCTACTAAATTAATTTATTAAAATTATGATTGGCTTTAATTAGTGATTGACTTAATTTAAAGGTTAGGGTTAGGGGGCACCGCGCAAAATGACAGAACAGTTTCACCCGAGGGGGATAGGCTACTTTCTGCTCATATTATCATTCAGGATCATTGAATTCATATAATTAATACTGCGGATAAAGTTTATCTAGTCATTATTCAATGTGGTTTGTAAATATTTGTCAACAAACTTGATTTATAGACTTTAAATTATAGTGATTTCGTTAAGTTAATTAAAGAGTAATTATTAATTATTTGTACCAACTCTTTTGGTTTAAAATCTAAAGATAAATTATCTTATTATAAGCTTTTATTCTTCAATCTCCTGAGGAAGTGCTTTTCATTTCAGCGGGCGCGCTCCGTTGCGCCCCCATAACTTGGCTAGTAGCGCAGTGTGGTATCCTGGCCCTCGGGCGGTGCTAGACTTTTGTCCCCCCAGCCCTCAAGCCATTATCATGAAGTATAAACTACTAGCAATAACTCGTCGAAAACTATCCTTCTATATTCTTCACTGTTGTAAAGTTCATTTTCATTCAATTAATTGTTCAAATATATGCCCATTCATGATCTTATTCTATAATAAAAAAAAAGAAACAAAGTAAATATTTATCAAGAGTCTTCGTTATAGAATGCAAGATATCTTTGAAAAATTACATAAAATTGGTAAAGAGCATTACGAGGCGAAAAATTATCGTCAAGCTCGAGAAAGTTTCTCGGAAGCTTTGTTGAATTCTCCTGTCGATCCAAGTATGTTCTGCTCTGGTAAGATCCTCTGGGACGGTGAAATTTGAAGATTAGTCTTCCATGATATCAACTTTCGAAAGCTTCAAATTCTCACCGTGAAAAAGTTCCATGAAGCAAGGTGACATGAATCAAGCACTTACAGATGCTCAGGAATTCATCAGCATTTGCCCATCCAACTTCAATGCCCATCACTACCTCGGCCTCGTTCACATGTCTATGGAAAACCACGAGGACGCGCTGACTGCCCTTGCGACGGTATCAAAAGCACTTTAAAAGCACAAGAGTCAACATATTTCCTCCTAGGCAAACAGGCTCAAGCTCGCGCAAGATAAAAGCTACGCCGAGTTCCCATCAGAGGATGACGATGTATTCGCCTGAGCCCGTTGATTGCCGATCACTTTCCTTATCTCTAATTCACTGCCGGCACAATCAAGACTAAGTTTCTACTTCCGTTCTCACTGTTCACACGTGCTAATTGCCTTATTTATTCAGAGCGAAAGAAATTTTATTGATTTTTTCAATTTAAAATGTGTTTCAGTATGACAAAAGAAAAGTATGAAAAGGGCGAGAAGAGAGAGCCGCCTAAAAAGGACACATGGGAGGCGTTGAAAGAGGAAGGCAACAAATACTACTCGCACAAAAAGTACGAGCAAGGTAATTATCCTCAATAAGGTAATATAGGATGAAACAGCTTTTAGCGCTGAAATCGTACTCAAAAGCGATCCAAAAGGCGCCCAGGAACGATGTTTTGTATACAAACAAGGCTCTTTGCTACATAAAATTGAAGCGCTTCGACGAAGCATGCAGCGAAGCGCGTGAGGCAATCGGTATCTGCCCGAGCAGGTGTCTACGAAAACATTGAATATGCAAAAACACTACTGATTTTAGTGTCAAAGGTCATTACTTGCTCGGACAGTCGCTGATAAATTTGGAGAGATTTGATGACGCAGTGATCGCGCTGCAGACAGTAAGTTGTTTATCCTAATCGATCGAGGGTAGATTGCAATTATTTAATAGGCGCAGAAGTACGCTCTCGATCAGCATAAAAACTTTGGAGAAGAGATCGCGCAATCTTTACGCTTGGCCAAGAGCAAACGTTGGCAGAAGCGAGAGCAAGAGCGTATTTCGCAAGAAGTGGAACTCGAATCCTACATCATGAATTTGATAAGCCTCGACAAGGAAAAACAAACTGAAGAAGTGGATCAAGGGGATGAGGAGTACGCGGAGAAGATAAAAAAGATCGATTCTAAAATCCGCTCGCGCCGCGAGGAGGTCAAAGCCCTCTTTTCCCAAATCGACGAGAGGCGAAAGACTCGGGAAGTTCCGGATTACCTCTGCGATAAAATATCCTTCGACCTTTTGAAAAACCCTGTTATCACGCCCAGCGGGATAACTTACAATAGAAAAGGTAAAAAGCTTGATTCTTGCTGTCATCTTATCCCGGATTAGACATCGAAGAGCATCTTCAAAAAGTCGGCCACTTCGACCCGGTATCATCTAAAAAGCTTACCTCTGACATGCTCGTTCCCAATCTTGTCATGAAAGAAGTTGTCTCCACTTTTCTCGAGGAAAACGAGTGGGCAGAAGACTACTAAACCAGACTATTCAACTTATTTTATGATCATATGATCGCTTGATCAGAAACAACGAAAAATTCCATGATTCCTCTCTAAAGTACATTGATACTACTCAATTTTTCTTTCTATAATACCAGCTGTCCACCCGTTCTTCTTCCTGTTTTTAATGACTCTGTGTCTTTTCTGTAATCTAAATAAGCCAAGTCTGGCGCCCGATTGTTTTCCTGAAATTAATACTTGACTTCAGATGAGGCGATGATATTATTCGTTCATAGTAAATTCATCCCACTTAATACCTTCGTGGTTACTGTCGAGGCAGACTGGACTGTTTCTCGCGTTAGAGGGTCGATTCTACACAATTTAGCTGAGATCGGCCATCACAAGCACCCTTTTCGCCTGAAGTACAAAGATGTTTACCTTCAAGATAAACTGACACTTGAAGAGTGCGAAATCTACGACAACACCGTTGTCGAACTGATCACTTTGGCGACAGGGGAAGAGCTCAAGCGAGATTTATTCTACCGCTACATCCCGCCAGGGAAGAAGCCCGAGGAGCCTCACCTCAAGGCCTTGCGGCGCGAGATCGACATTTTCCACAAGGCAGGTGGTCGCTCATCCGCGCTAAATATTTTCCAGCATTGACTCAACAAACAGATCATTTTTATAATAGGCCGTGTGTGACAATTTGGTTACGCTAATCGATTTTCTTGGTCGCGCTCACTTGTGAGCTTTGAACTTCGCGCGCAGTGCGCCTACGAAGCGCCCGCGGGCAGCTTTGAGGAAATTGTCCGAAATTTTTGTTGAGCAAAATCACGGAAAATATATGAAAAAGAGTAAGAACATGATGAAGACCGTTGATAAAGAGAGAAGATCTGATAAGAAACGTGAAGCTTTCCCTCATGGCGATTTATCCGATGGTGATTTTGGCCTTCTTTTCAGAGAAATTCTGGTACATGGGCTTCGTCTCTTTCATCTGGCCAAGCTTCTGGCTCTTTTGGATTCCTGGGTACACGTATCTATCCGGTTGGGTGGGCAAAGCGAAAGTGTATAAGAAATACAAACAGGTCTTCCTCGCGTTGTTGATATCCAATTTGGTGCTGTTCGCCGGCTACTCGATCATCGTCGGCTTCGCGGCGACAGATAAAATTTACGACGCTGTTATATTCGGCATCACGGCCGCCCTTTTGCTTATCGCAGAGATTTTTGTCATTATGGTAAGAGAGATGGATGGCACATCTTCTGTTTACTCAGACAAACATTTTAGACCTACTCGAACGTACAATTGGAGCCGGGAATGCTCATTGCAAACTCATTGTCTCAATTTGGCACCTCAGAAGGTCTCGCCGACGCTTTGAAGTCCACAGATCCAGCGTTGAAGAGAGCAGGTAATGCACAAAACTAAAGATATCTTTTTCATTTCGAATTTAGCTGCGTTTGAACTGTCCACAGAAGTAGCACTTGGAGAGAACGAGAAGTTGGCTATTGTGGAAAAGGATCTGCTCGATCCGCTGAATAATTTAATCGCTAGTAACGACCGCTACACAAAGGTAATAAATCCTGGCTGATTGAAGAGTGAATCCTCGTTCCCTTTTGGGGCGACGAACCTCCGGCGTTGGAGAGAAAAGATAGCTCCTTTGGGATATCGGATGACGGGCACCTAATAAAGCCGCCATTCAGGAACATGCAGCGGAAGCTGTTGCCGAGTTGCTGACTGAGGAAAGCATCAGAGAACATTATATCGCCCGATGCGACGTCTCCATCCTATCAGCGGCCATTTATTCCCAAATATCTTCCGCTGCCCGGCTAGAAGCATTGAACGGAATTTCCTATCTTGCCGAATCTCACGCATATTCTCTTGACTGTGTTTTATCGGACATAAATACGGCTATTGATACAATCGGTGAGTAAATATATTGGAAACATAGAGGAGTATCGTTAATAAAAATGAATATCTGAGGGCTGAAAATCGGTGTATATCTTATTGGTATTTTTCAGATGATCTCTCAGATCGAGAGATGGCTTTGATGATTTCGATCATGAACCAACTTCTTCGTTCTGGTGTCCCCGCAGACGCAACTCAGTGCGCAAGCTCTTGCGGCAAAACCTTACGAAACACGGGACATGAAGATATCGAACGGCAAACACTCGATACACTCTCTTTTATTGCACGCGATGAGACGGTCAGAGTGGCGCTTCCGGTGATCGATGAAGTCTTTTCCATTCAGTTCAGGACCTTTGATCAGCCGACCATCGAGCTTGCTAATGAGGTTAGTGTCACTTTTTTGATAGACTTTGATTTATGGGCACGAGTCGGAAGCTCTTTCTAAAAAAGCAAGCTCATCAATCTTTTTCCTCAATTTCTTGACAATGATAAAACTTTATAGGTTATCAAAAGCGTCTCCCTCGGCCCCGAAAACTGCGAGCAACTCTTAGAAGATGCCGTTTTCCCACTTATGTTCGACTGGCTCAAGACTTCGTCAACGCAGCCTTCGGAAGTGATTCAAGTTGTGGCCGAAATCGTCCACAATTTAATGATGAACAAAAGACTCCAGGGACGCTGCCTCGAGATTGGCTTGGATCATGCGGTTGAAGTCTTGCTTGAGTCGAGTTCAATTAGCAAAGGCTCAAAGAAACTTGTGCTTGAGGGTCTTACGCAGCTAGAGCTTGAGCGCAAGCGACTCCAACGCGAGGGAAGCAACCAGTCTGAAGTTCACATTTCCAGATCATCCAGCCAGATCCGCTCCATTGTAACTGTGAATCAAGTTCATCCAGAAGAGATTCCTACCTCTCCCTAACTTCCATTCCACCGTTATTTTTCTTCCTTCACTTACTATGCACTCAGATTTATCCCTCTCTGCTTCCATTTTATTTTTTTCATGAGAAGAGTTTTATTTTTATTCAAAAGGAAAGTGTTGACCTTGTTTCTTTAGAATGGATCCCCCATTCGTTCACAACTCAAGTCAGGATGACCTTTTGCTTGAGAAACGAAATCGGCGCCAAAGGCGGGCTAGCTCAGATTTATTACAAAGTCCTGTTGAAGCAAAACACAAGAGTCCCTCCAAAACAAGTTTATTATCTAAGTTGTCATTTTCCACAGAACTACTGGCCAATTCAAAAGGTAAAAAATTTACTCTTGAATGTTGTTGAGAAGGCTGAAAACAACTTGAAATCCTTCTAGAATATTTTTGAGGATCGTATTTTTTCTAGCGCTGAGTATGTCGCATCAATCTGTTCTCTCCGACATCTCGAACCCGTCTGAGCCTGGAGCTCAAGGTCATATTTCCCGCTGGGCGATCTCATTAGACGCTGTGCTACAGGACGAACTCGGGATCGCCGCTATCTCCTCATTTTTAAGAAAAGAATACTCTGAAGAAAACATTCAATTCTGGCTCGAATGTAAGTCTTTCCCTTTTTTCGCCAGTTTTCTATCAATTTTTCAGGCTCAAGATTGGAGCTAGAGACAGACCCAGAGATTGTTTCTACAAGAGTAAAAGGTAGATATGAAGTCTAAAAAAAGGGTATAAAGAAAATTTTAGATATTATCAGTCGTTTTATCGGGCCAGATGCAGAGAGTCCAGTGAACATCCCCGATCATCTGTCGCAAAAAGCACTCGCTGAAGCTCACGATCCAAAACCAACTTCGTTTGTTCCACAAAAAGAAGCCATTTACAACTTGATGAAATTCGACAGTTACTCCAGGTTTGCTAATTTACAATTTCGAGTTCGAATTTTGAGAGAAAATTCGTTTTCCTTCTAAATCAGCCTTTGTTTGCAAAAGTTATTGCTAACCATAGCGACGTCGATTTAATTGCATCTTTTGCACTTGTTGAGTTTCATTCTTGTCGGGCAGACATTGCCAAAGGCTCTCTCATGCCGTTCTTAGCATAACAGTGTCTAAATAGATTCCTGCGCAATGAGCTCTACGCGAAATTGATCGAACTTGAGCTTGAGGGACACCAAATTACTGTCGACGATATTCGCCGGATCGAAAATGGCCAGAGCCCAGTGCGGAAAAAGATAAGAGAAAATCAACGCTACAGAAGCTCATTGGGCGCAAGACCGAGCTCTTCGCCATCGAGCCTAAACGAAATGATAAAGCTCGGTCGAGTATAATGAGGCGGAAGACGAAGGATAAAGAGATGGGCTCCAGCTCGACTCTCTCCAGCGCGCACTCCTCTGCTTCTAGCATTGAGCTAGATGCTGACGATGCAAAATTCAACGGCAATGTTTGCCACATTCATTTCAGGTAGGTTAACTTACCGGCACTTCTTTAAAACTTATCGATCCATCCGTGAATATAAACTCAGATATTAAAACTGAATGTTTATCTCTAAAAGCTTGGCCTTCAGTGATGGGGGATCAACAACTATCGCACTCAAAAGTGGAGTTCCAGCTCGTTCACTCCTCAATAATGTGGCAAGCCGCCGTGGCCTCAGTCCCGGATGCATCGACTGGCTGCTCCTGAACGAAGGTTCTAACACAGATTCGCTCTCGCTGGACGCAGACTCAATGTGTCTGTCTGGTAGACACATTCGCGGCGAACTCCGTGTCACGTTCAGGTTAGTTTCTTATCGACCATGAAAAGGCGATAATTGAAAATAATGGTGACCCGGCTTTTTCTCAGGGAGAAATTGGAGTTTCTACGGAATCATGAATCTTTGATCATTCCGAATATGACCGTGTCTCCGCCGAAGGCTATTTCAAGGGCTTCTTCTGAAAAATATGCCATTCAAGGTCGAAAAAGCGGCAGAATGCTTCTTCCCGATTCTAAGTCTCGTAGGCCAACATACCTTGATGCTCTCAGAGAAAGATTGGGTAGCCACAAATAAATTTTCAAAGAAAAAACAAATTGCGCGCGTTTTGAAGGAGAACTAACAAGAAAAAACTAACCGTAACGATTTTAGGCTTGACATTGTTCACATAAAACGGAGCATCGGGATTCGTTCAAAGATCCACAAGCCCGTTTCCGAAGTGCTCCAGCCCATCATGGCCCGGTACATTCCCGACCGTACTCTTAGTCAAGTGGTTGTGCGCCTGGCCGGCACAAAGCTCCCAGTGAATATGATGGATCCCGTCAGTACGCTAAAAGAGCAACGTGTCGTCCTCGAGCTCAAAGAAAACGAATTCCGCAAGGTAGATAAAATCGAGAGTTTATGTTAGCTGAAGAGAGAAAGAGACTAAATATTAATTGCGTAGCCGGTGGAGCCGAAGCGACCCAAGTCTGACGTGCAGCAAAGTGCCCTTGATCTGCTGAGGCGGCGGAGAGACAGCCTCGGCATACGCAAGCGATCAAGATCGAGAGAGAGCGGATTGAATAGGATTTCCGCGGTTAATATTGGAATCGAAGAGTCGCAGGACTCGAACAAGGCCAAGGCCGATTTTGATAATCGGCTTTCTTTGGGTGGACAGGGTCAACTTCAGGAACGGTGACGCAATTTTGAAAGTAATTTCAATAATTGATAGTTTTTCTTGACCTTATTCGAATGCGTTTTGCTTCAATTTGAGTAACAGTAAAATATATTTTAATTGGGAGTCTTCCAAGAATATATCCCAACGATTGACGATTTACGAGGCCGGCATAAATAAATCGGAAGTAATTTCCAATATTTAATATCCTCTGTCCATTTGCGCACCTGCTTCTCCAGGACCAGCGCGGCCTGCTCAATAAAAACGACCTCATTCTGCCAGACTTTCTGCGCCCGGCCGAAAATGCTGACAAAGAAAATAACAAGGACAACTTTGACCTGGACGCGCGGATTCCCACTCACGAGGAGGCCGATGAGCTTTTCGGTGGTTCAATTGGCGACGGGCCAGATGGCTCCCACGGGCTCGACGGGGCCTTTGGCGGCTCATCCATTTCATTGGCCTTCACAGAGACGAGCTCTTGCAGCTCTTCGATCTTGAGAGACTCGACCAACGATCTTCCTATTCCTGTAGAAAGAAAACGCCTTCAGGTATTTTTGTCTTTAAAAACAACTCCGTCTTTGTAAACACCAGTCACTGGTGACCAGTGTCTTTTTTCCTTGTTTTCTCATTTCATAACCATCAAGTTCAAATTTCACACTTATGTTCTTGTTCTATGAGAAACAAAAGAAGATTTGTTTACTGTTTTCAAAGAAAAAAGTTAACTTTGCCATCGCGATGGAAATTTACGTCAGCGGGTGCGTAAATATGGATGTGTTTTTGACCAGCGCTCCTTTATTTTTCTGACAATAGAAGTTTTCCAATATTATATTTTTGAAATAATATCAACCAAGAGAAGAATATTTAAATACCTTTTTGAACTTCAAAATAATTCTTGATTTTCTTATTCATATTTTTATCCAAAGCTGGAAAAACAAGTGCGGGAGCGATTCTCATCTTTGTCTTCCAGATGAATGCATATTTTCAATCTCATGAAAAGATAAATGGAAGTTGCTGTCATTAAATAAACACTGCTGTTTTTTATTCCCAGACAGTGACATAAATAGCCTCTGAATTTAGAAATAACGATGAGAATCGATCACAATTATTGCATCACGAATGTAAATTCCACCGTCGTGTTTTTGTCTCTCCCCCTAAATAAATTCTTTGAGACTCCCCAAAGACGAGTTCAAAACAAAGCGTTACGTAACTTGACTTTCAGAAGCTTTCAACATCAGAGGATTCGAACGGAAACGAGCATCTTGCAAGTGGAAACTCGGCAGAGATTGTTCGAAAACGAACAAGCCTAACCCAGGCGGATCTGATCGACCTTCCCTCGCCCCCTAAAGCGAAAAAATCAAACGCTCCCCAGACTACCGTAGTCTAGCAGGCCACTGTTATCACACTTTTCTAATTCCATAAAAGTTATAAAAACGCGTCTTTCGAACTCTATCTGTCTCCATGAGAACTCTTGACATTGGTGATTGACAGCTGAAGGAACTTAAGTCCCGACAGCACGCAAACGCCGGTATCTTAAATAAGAATATTTCAAATGTGAGTCATTCAGCTGGAAAGCGCACTGTACTTAGCTCACCCCACGTTCAATGTTATTTTTATCTGCACTTTGTGATTCAACATAGCTTTATTTGAGTTTTATACATTCGAAAAGAGAAATCATTCCAACTTAAACTTAACTACCGCTACTTTTATTTATTATCACCAGCAAGACCTGAACCCACCCTTTTGTACAAAAATCATCCATCTGCCACCACGTATCACATTCCAGTTTGATATTTTTCCGCTTGTTGCCCAAATTGATTATATTTAGTCAGATTAATTAAACTTGCTCCGATTCCAGATCAAATATTAATTCTTTGTTGTTTCTAGACAAGATCGAAATGAGCGGGTAAGGCAGACGAAACGATCGAAGAAATTGGACGAGATGCCTGACTGTTAACGGACTTTACAAAACACAAACACCATCAATGAGAACAAAAGCTCTCAGTATTTTTTGCGACAGCCAGCTCAAAGTAAGTTAATGCTCCCTAATTCGCTTTTTTGATGTAAAACGGCTTTCATCTGGCTCCCAGTTTTGTTTAGTAAGTTACTTAGTAAAGCCGTGTCAGTAGGGATGTCGGCCATTTCCTCTGGTTGGTCCCCTAGTTCGTGAAAAATAAATGTGATTTTAGAGCCACGAAGAATGGCTAATGAGCCGGCTGGAAGGCGCGCTCGAACTGGACCCCAACGAGTCCAAGTATTACGCCAGATGGCTTATTTCGGTCATGACCGGTAGCCCAGACGAGATCGACCCCGACTAGAGGAAGAGCTCTTCGTTTACAACAGGCCGAGGTAAGAAAAACTTCGAAAGCGCCGCTTCCTCGCTTTTTCCGCCAATAAATTAAGCCGACTAAATAAACTTTTCCAAGTCCAAACGCAAACCATACCGATATGGAGCTCGTGTTCGACAAGCGCTCGCCCGAGGAGATTGTCATGGTCGAACTAGCGGCGATCTCCGGGGCGGCCAATGCCGAAGACGCAGTGCATAAGATCATCGCACGTCTAAGACGGAGAATGGACTCAAAAAGGCGGCAGAGAATTAACTCGTATGTTTCTGAGACATCATCTTCCAGGTCAGTCCTCAATTTTCAAGATTATTCTTGAAAACTTTTTAAAAAGAATAATTTACGGTCTTCGTAAACAAAGCTACAATTTAACAGTATTTTTACAGTGAATAACTTCGGACAGTAAATTCAAGACATGGCTAGACACCGTTTCATGAGAGTAAAAACATAATTGTCTTGTTAGTCTCGAGACCGACTCATGTAACGTTCAGGATCCGCATATGACTCAAACTTTTAGCTCGAGCACGCTTTCTACTTATGAGGACGAGTTTCCGTCGTTGGCTTACATGCCCAAAATGGACACACGAGAAATGATTGAAGAGAAAGTCGAGCTCGACGGAGTCATGTCTACAATGCCCGCTCGCCCACAGAGCAGCGGTGATGGAAACAAGAACAATAATAATTTCCGCTTTGCCTTCAAGAATCCAAGATCCAAGCGTCAACAGCAGCGTCAAGAACAGCGTAACAAGAAAAATCAAAATGCTGTGCAGCAAATCCACAGTCAGACTGGGAAAGTAAAATCTCAGTCACCAAAAAAACCGAAAAACCCAGAAACAAAGCAGCCGCAAATTGCGCAGCCTAAGCCGCAAGAAAAGCTCGATGAGCAGAGTACACCTACTAAGAAAAGGCGAAGAAGAAACCGCAGGAAAAAGAAGTCGGTCACAGAATCTGGTAATTCTTATCATAAAAATGTAACAATAACACTCTTTTTTGCAGAAAACCTCGCTGTAGAGGGAGAAGCTGTAAAACAAATCGCGCAAAATGCGAACTTCGACAGACTATCGATTGATGAAGCGCTCGAGTTTGTGAAGAACCTCTCTGGCCAGAGCGATGACCAGGAACTTTGGAAAAATATGGTTCAGAACCAACACGTTAAATACACGAATGGAACATTTTTCTTTGCACCTCGGTTAAACATTCCGTAAGTCCGAAGTTGCTTTACGTTTTTATCGATTTTTAGGGAGGAGATGCACGACATGAATCATGTTGACATGATGACACCGTCGATATCTCCTGACAGCTTTTCGTACGACGCTCAGCGTCCAACCAACAGCTGGTCCACTAATGGCTACAGCAACAGTGAAGAACTAGAAAGCGAGGAAGAACAGAAATGCCTGGCGCAAGCAGCCTCAGTCGCCGCGCGCTCAGCTGAAATGATCTTCGACGATCTTGAGTCCTGTGAACTCACTGGATCATCTTATGAAATCGTGCCGCCCGTTCTTTGTTCCTCCATTGCGGAAGCCCGTCCCCAAGAGCAAAAGAAAGAAAAGAAAGAGTCCACGTGGGCGCTTCCCGAGTCCTTCATCCCCATGAAAACAGCCGACTGGATGTCGATTTGGTAGCCACTTTCAACGAAGACGTCTTCCTACGAGTTTAAACTTCCCTTTCCGTTCATTATTTTAACCGATAGAAATATCATTTCGCGCCAAACCGCTTGGTGATCTCCATTATCATTTCTTCATGCAAATAAACTCTTCTATTTTGGACAGATGGTCCAATTTTTTTTAACTTTCTTCTTTTCATTTCCCTTTCCATTTTATACCTTTACGTTTTTGCAGGCAAATTCTACAAACCTCGACCCTCGTCTTTTCGTGGGGCATTTCATGTTTTTAGAGTAAAGCATTCTAATTTTTTTCTCCCATCATTCCCACGATATTTTTTACGTTAAGCCGCCACTCGAGTTGACCTTATTTACGTTTATTTTCCTTTAACTTCTGCGACTTTAATCGAAAACCAACTTGCGAATCTATTCGTTTTTGTTTTTAAAAAATATAGAAACAAGTTCAAAGTATACTTAGTAACGAAATTTTGCATTCAGGGCTAGGCTGCGAGCAAGCTATGGCGGAAATTTTCCTTTCGGACGACCTCAACGATAGTGATCGGTCTGTAGTTCATTCATGTGCGCTCTTTTTAATGATGGATCTAGGTTTGAAGAGCTCGAGAGCATCCGAGAAAAGCTCATTGCCGCTGGTGCTGATGTTAACCCCATCGAAGGGAAAAACCTCGGTGCATCCGTTGCTAGTGTATTTGTGCCGAAGAACTTTGCTCCTCTCTGGGTAGTTTTATTTCTTTGAGAACAAACAAGAATAATTATTAGGCCGAGAAAGTGAGCGAAAATGATGTTCTCCAAGTTACCAAGCAGAGCTCTATCTTTATCGGTTTATTGATGGATTTCCAATCTCCTGGCGAAATTGAAGATTGCAACAAGAGTAAGTTCTCAACGCAATCTAAATGTACTTATTCACTTTAGTCACCAAAAGCTTCTGCGATGCCATGTTGGAAGGCGAGAAAGCCGGCCGTGGCAAAATTGTGTGCCGAATTCTATACGACATGTTTAAAATGGCCTTCCCTGTAAAATCGAAGGCTATGTATTTGATCTACTGCACTTGGCTCCAGTGTGCATCCAGAAAGAACTCAATTTATCTTCTCGAGCTCGAGGGCAGCAAAATTGAGCGATTCCTCGAAAAGTGGGCCAAGGACTGGAACATTACTGAGCTAGAAATCAGAGTCCTTCGACGAGAGTACCAGGCCTGTCTTCATAGGTGAATTCGATACTCTTATCAATTTATTTAAATAATTTCTAAGACTTGGTCGCTACCAGAACGCTGCCAGTGCTATGGAAGATCTTCTCAATAGCTATAGCGACGCTGATATCACTGGAGAGGAGGCAAGAGCTGATGCTCGACTCTGTATTCTTCAGGTAGATTTGAAATCGCATCAACCAATAAAACTACTCTCAGTCAATCTGTACCGAGGGCGAATACAGATTCGACCACCTCCGAGAGATCGATGCCATTCAAGCTCACAAAGGAACATCCGTCTACGAATTTCTCGAAATCTTTATCACGGGTGATTTGGCCGCCTTTGAGAAATTTGTCGAAGGATCCGATATCTCCGAATTCGCTCTTGACGAAGAGAAATTGAACACTCTTCGACGAAAAATGCGACTCCTGACTCTTGTTGGCCTGTGCAAGTCGAATCCTGATACTACTTACAAGTACGAGCTAGCACGTGAGATGAGTCTTACTGTAATTCTAGGGCTATCCAAGATAAGCTTGGACTCGATGAAGATGGTGTCGAAGATCTTGCTGTTAGAGCGTTCCAGCTGAAACTCCTCCGAGGTCGATTGGACCAAGGTAATCCTGCCTAGAAAATATTATGTCTAATCTTCTTGAATAGGAAACGAAAGACTATCGACAACCTACTCCATCCAGCGAGAATTCGGCCGCGCTGAGTGGGAAGACCTCGCTGAGAAGCTATCCAGCTGGCAGAACAACCTTGAAAACGTCCGTCTGAGTATCGAAGAAGTGCAAAACCTCGAATTGGCCGCCTAGACATTGAATGCAAATCCCTATCTCCAAAATAAGTTGTCTTTATTTTGGGCTAATTTTATGACGATGGCGCCTCGCCGGGTCTTACCACTCGGCGGGGCATTGGTAAACCTGTCTTCTTTCTTGAATGCGTTTTTGAATGTACAAAGTCCATCTGCAGAATCTCCGGACTTTCTTCCTTAGGCTAATAAAAATGTTCCAGACACGGTTCAAAACATGAAAGCTGAAAAAAAGATCAGACAGTCTTTGATTAGCTGCCTGATCTCATGAGTTGTAAATACGATTTTTTTCGATCTCAGAATGCCGACGTTCGATGTTGTTATCCTCGGTGCGACGGGCTTTACCGGGCAATGGGTCGTTAATTATTTCAATACTGTAGGCCTGGTTTCGTTTTTCATTGATTTATGAATAATAAGATCTTGAATAACCAATAAATAGCAGGAAATAAGTATTCTTGGGCCATTGCCGGGCGAAATATAACGAGGTTGGAGGAAATTGCCGTCGGTACTACTGCTAAATGTGTGCAGGTTGATATTTCGTCCGTTGATACAATCGAACGCGCTGTAAGAGAAGCAAAGCTCGTGTTGAATTGTACTGGTCCGTACAGACTTCTTGGAGAACCGGTTGTGAAAGCTTGCGTCGAAAACGGAGTTGACTATCTTGATATCTCCGGCGAACCGGAGTTCATTGAAGCTATGGAGCTCAGATACAACGAAAGCGCCCGTCAATCAGGATCAATTGTGATCTCTGCTTGTGGATTTGACTCCATTCCTTCTGAGATTGGACTCAATTTCCTCCGTGATAACTTTGGAGGAGAACTTCATCAAGCTGAAGCTTTTCTGAACATAAATCCAGCTCCTGGATACTGCGGGCATGCCACGACCTGGGATTGCGCCGTGATGGGCTTTGGTAGCCAGGATGCGCTGAAAGCACTTCGAGCACTGAGAAAAGCCCCAAGAATTGAGTACAAGGGCAAAAGATCTCAAGCCCGGAGTTTCGGTGCAAAGATTAATGTAAATATTTAACTTACTGAAGATGCAAGTATCTTTCTTAGAATATCCCCGCACTAAATGGCAACCGAACGATCCCCTTCCCAGGATCTGATGCTTCGATTGTTCGAAGGAGTCAACAAGGATTTGCCCTCCGCGATAAAACTCCGGTTCGATTTTCTATTTACGCTGTAGTAGGATCTATTGCGTCGCTCATTGGTATCTCTTTTACTGGTAAGGCAAATTTGATATTCAAAATCAACTCTATCAGGTTTCTGCCTGAGCCTGTTCTCGCGATTTTCGTCGGGGCAATCCTTACTGATGAAGTTTGCTGAATTTTTTACTTTTGGTGCTTTTTCGAGAAAAGGGCCACCAAAAGAATCTATCGCCGATACATCGTTTGACGTCACATTCCTCGGACAGGGAGTTGGCGAAGACGATTCGCCTCTGACCAAAATTGCCAAAGTCTCTGGTCCCGAGCCTGGTTACGACGCTACATCAAAAATTCTCGTTTCTTGTGCTCTCACACTTCTGGAAGAGCGAGCGAAAGTCAAGGAAAATCTCGGAGATCAAGGAGGAGTATCAACAAGCGCGCTTGCTTTTGATGGAACGAACATTGTAAGAAATCTCCAAGATGCTGGACTTTGCTTTGAAATCAATTAGACTTAATTCAGTTCAATTAACAAATTATTATTTATTTAATTACACATCTTAGCTTCAATGTGAGAATAAATTTCTGCCGATTTCAAACTTATTAATGTTCAAAATGAAGATGAATAACTCGCTTCGCAGAATTGTTTCTTCTTGAACCTTTTTCGTTAGGAATAGGATAATATAAGTTCTCAATGATCGCCAGACAGTCTGGTAAAGTTTATATTAGCGGCGCTTTGCGCAAAAAAAGTTGTCGGCTTTGAGCATCACAAGCCTTCAAAACATTCAACGCAGCACTGTCTTTCTAGGGTTGTTCTATTTTTAACGAAACGGTGTACGAAGTACGTACTGGCTTTGCTTTGGCAATACAGGGAAATTTTAAAAATACACTTATGCGCTGTGATTCCTAAAATATGTAGATGTGAGCTTTAAAAAACTTCATCAGACTTTTTTTAAACAAGTTTCGTAACGCTAGCCAAAGGAATCAGGACATTTCTAAAATTTTGTCTATTTAGTAGCGGATGTTTGTACACCTCGTGCTGTGTCCAACTTCGGTAATCCTGAGCGCTTCCGTTTTCATAGGGATGATTTATTTTCGTGACGGGCTTAGCATCGAGCCCGTGTCGTTTTATCAGGTGCTGGGAGAGACGCTTATTTTAGCAGGACAAAGGGAAGAGGACGGAGAGCATGTCAGATATGGAATATTTTTCCGCCTTGAAATTTCGAGTAGCGACAAGCATACAAAGGATGTGCGCACTTTCTTCTATTCGATAAGACACTCCAGTATGGGAAGACGCCTTTGCCTCACGTTTTCAAGAGCCTTATCTCATTGTGCATCTTCATGCATCATGACCTCTCAGACTAAAAACTCACGGAATTACGACCTTTCTTGCACTTTCGCGGAAAATTTTCGCCGTCGCGTCAAAATATTTACATCGACTCGTTGATACTAAACTGTCGTACTCAGAATGCATTTTCCGTCATTACACGGCGAGTAATTTATTGTTTTGTCTCTACCTGAATCTGAAAGAAGATGCTTTGTCGAAGAAAAATATTTAGATGACGGCCTGCTCGACATTAATATTATTAATCTTTCATTTAAAACAAAAGTTGATAGTTTTGAATGCTCTCGAACAACGTGCATGCTTGAGAAACAACTTTTCTATTGAAGAAGTTTAATATTCGAGTAGAAACTGTTCTAGTCATCAAATAAACAAAAAAATTGATAATTTTCTTTTCCGGGTGACGTGAGCATCCTGAGCAGCGATAAGCGAAGACGGGTGAAAAGGGGCTTATATAGACGAGCTTAGAAAAAACGGGCCGACGGATTTGGAGATTTTAATGGCTGCAATTCTAAATCCGCTAAACTCGATAAAATTTAAGAAGTTTTAAGAGTGAAGAAATTCGCGTTATCGGCAAATGGATTTGGGGCGCAGAAAATAATTCGGATTCGCGTGAACTTGCTTCTAATTCTTTACCCGAACATCCATCTGTATATGTCCATTTTTTTTTGTTTATCCGACTCGGAAGAATGGAAATCCCCTCGTTGAATACCAAAATAATAGCATTATCAAATCTTCATCAATCTCAGTTTTTGTCATCACATATAACTTGTCAAATAAAGTGGCTTAGTCAAAACATGGGAAACCCTAGTACAGTTGATCGAGCCTGGGCACGTGGAAGATAAGCTCTGCACCGGAACGTAATTGCAATTTTAGGAAAGTCCGACGGGACGTGTGATGGATATCGACACAGCTCCTCTTACAATGCATTTTCAGAGACTTGTTTTAGACGTTCCTAGTTTTCTTACCCTTTCTTTTTTGGCAAAAGTTGTCGAAAGTTCATTCATTTTATTCAATATGTATCCACAAGTTGGACAGTGCAACCGAGTAGTTTTGAAAGAAAGCAGGGAGCGAAAGACAATCCTTCTCATAACAGTTTTCCCAGCAACAAATCCCATTGAACTTCGCCCGAGCGAATCTGATTCTATCGCCAAAAATCGGCTAAAGTACCAAAATCAGCTATTCAAACAGCGTAACAAAAAGAGTGAAGAATTTTAAACAATGAGTTCTCGGCTTGAATCTTCGATAATTATTGAAAAAATGAAATTCAAATAATCCAGAATGACGAAAATTTATTTTTCAGGTTCTTAATTACATATTTCTGACGGATAATCTCCGAGATAATACCGCGATTATTAAATTTTAACGCCTTAGAAGTTATTTTCATTAGGCTGTCTCAATCTTTCTGCATCTTGAGAATATAAATATGACTTGAAATATCCAAGTATATTGGTGATAATCACAAATAATCGTAATTGTCACTAAAAGCGAATTTTCTTACAGGCGTTTACAGTAAAATCGGATCTGTAATTCATTTGATTAATTCAAAACTCGATTATTTATTTCCCTTTCGAGCATTATTTTCCACAGCAACTTTGAATTCAATTGAATCTACATGCAAATTGAATTAATTAGCTGAGTTGGTATTCGACTGGGATGATTTAAAAAAAAATTTCGCGGGCCCAGAATTCGTCAAAAAACTTCTTGACTAGTTTTGAAGAGCTCGTCGAGACGAGTCGAATGATATATAAAACTCCAGATAGTTTTAAGATTTTCCACCAAAAAATGATAAGAAGGTGTCTTATCAAAAATTTTCTGACCGGCGCCGTTTTGTTCTAGAAAAGCTGAGGTGATGCTTGACCCCGGAAAATGATCCTCATGGGCTGTTCTATTCCGGCAAAAATTTCAGCTCGTCATCATTTACCCAGCCGAGTTTATCGTTAAATTTCATTTTCCAAGGAAAATGGGACTATAAATGGGTATGAAACTAGGAACGTGCAGCGACAACAAAATGCACTATTTTTTGATTTTTCGCTGATATGCACAGCAGGATATGTGAGGGCGAGCTGAAATTTTTGCCGGAATAGACAAGACCATGAGGATCATTTTCCGGGGTCAAGCATCACCTCAGCTTTTCTAGAACAAAAACGGCGCCGGTCAGAAAATTTTTGATAAGACACCTTCTTATCACTTTTGGCGGAAAATCTTAAAACTATCTGGAGTTTTATATATCATTCGACTCGTCTCGACGAGCTCTTCAAAACTAGACAAGAAGTTTTTTGACGATTTCCAGGCCCGCGAAATTTTTGAAATCATCTGGGTTCCACGCCAAATACTCCCTCTTTAAAAACTGAATTAACCTTTTCAAGTGTCTCGAAAACTTTTGTCCATCTGAGAAGCAGCAAGATGCATTAGGTTTATTGACGGACCAAATAGATCATTAATTAGGCAAATTACTTCTATCGGTTTACGATAGTTGCGGCGCGTTTTGCGCTCCACCCCGCCGAGGCGCGAAAATGAGGGCGCTCAGTAGCTTTTCGGCGCTCTACGGCGGTCCTCCCTCTCGCCCCGCCGCTCGGAATTTGCCCGTCGAATCCTCGAAATCCTCAACCTTTTTTACTATAAATAATTACTACTGAGAAAGATTTGTATAGAAGACACTTAACAGAGACCCTTAGAAAGAAGACATAGAAGAATGCCCAGCTGGGCAGGGATATGCCTTTTACTAGGCCTGGCGAGAGCCGAAAAAGGTTACTAACCATTTATTTCAAATTATTCAAATGAAGCTGGCCGCAATAAACCACGGCTAATAGGGCTCTCTTCTGGGGCTGACAGATACAGACAGACACGATGGCTAATTTCTTTAGCTGGATTCTTTTTCGAAAATGAAATTTCCGGTTGATTTTTTGGCGCGCCGTAATTTTGCCAAAATATCAGAGCTTGTCGATAATTACCTAGGAACATGATGACTTGGCAAATGCCTTCTTTGCGCCCAAATTTAATAGAATGGGTAGTAAGGGCACTCGGAAGTGATCTGTCTGCTGCTCTTTGTCATTTCAATTGTTCAAGTCGGCTTTGTAGAATTCAAGTTTATCGGATTATGCACTTTGTTCTTGCGAGTTAATTAGGACTCGTTAGTGGTTATTATTTTGCGTTTACGTTGTTTTATTATTTGAATTACATATTGAGAAAGTTGTTTTCACTACAAGAGTTTTAATTAATAATTGCTTGTAAAATACACAGATAGTTAAGTCAAAAATTGACCTACTTGATTGAAAAAATAACAATTCCAATTCCAACGTTTTTTCTTCTGCGAGTGCAACGAGCTGGAGCACCATCTGTAGTCGAATTGGGTTATCCGACTTAGAGCACACTTGAGCACGCTTTTTATCGGATCCCGTCGACCTCACAGATGTCAAGTGACCTCTAACATCATTGCCCATGATAGATGCCCCTTGTGGGTTGCCAAGGGTGTGAAATGGGCCGCGTGCTAATTTAACGACGTAACTGTTGTGCACTGTTGTCACCCCCGTTTTGAAATTCAAATTCAAATGTTGATGGATTTCTCGTCATCAATAGGGGTTCATTTTCAACCCTCGAAAAAGTGAGTGACGCAAATTAGTGCTTCTCACGTAAGCCCGGTTTCCTCGAAAAACTTGTTTTATTGAATAAAATTTGTATTTTAAATTGGACATAGTTTGAGCTCGTCACCTGGAAAAAGTTTGCAAATAAGATTCTTAACCTGTAAGCGCCTAAGAGGGCACTTCTTCCCGCCCGAGTAATCCAAAACAATGTAAGCAACAAAGAACCTGGTGTGAAGAGTCCAGCTGGCTCGTGTTTTCTCACAAATATTAAAACCCACCTTTCAGAACAATTAGTCACAACGTTGTTGCCAAACAGAAGTGTTTGTTTCTGGCCGCTTCGGAAGGGAAATACTTTTGACATAACGGTCAGATTGCGCGAGGGATCCGACCGCATTCCGTGGGCTCTTCCACCAGCGTAAACAACTCATTATTATTTCGCACAAAATGTCATTTTAATTTTGGCTATGGCGATAATGACTTATGAATTTCTTAGAGAATGAAAATCTCATTTCTCAAAAGCGGAATAATTCATTTCTTCGTTGTTGAAAGAAAAGTCCTCAAATTGAACTGAAATCGCTTTCATCCACCGATATCGATACTGAGCATCTAATTATCCCAAATTTATGGGTAGTTATCACCCACAATGCTCCTTGTGTTCTCAAGCATAAGATTCCTCCGGGAGAGAACATGGGTGATGACTTCAATCGGCAGAACCGCACTTGCTCCATTGACTGGAAAATCGATCGGTGCGCCATCTTCCTTTTATACAGCATCTTACTGTAATTCCCTGCCGACACTTTCTGACAGGTCTAGGCGCGAAAGAGGCGGGGCTCAATCTGGCTCAATTGATTTTGGAATATTATCATTTCCAAATAACAATAGTTAAACCCTCATATCCTCCCTCTCTTGGTCCCTCGCCAACTATCCATAATCAAGGAGCTTCTCAATTTCTTTAAAAATTATTAATGCACTCTACTGACAGGGCAATAACTCCTGCAGATAATTGGAAGAATCCGGCAGAGCGACGAAAGTTTTGGATCAATCGCTTGTGGAAATTTTCTATTTTTTGACAATCGGAAGTACCCAGCCCTGTTTGACCGATCAGACGGGCTTCCTGAATGGCGGTCAATCTGACATGCGAGACGACTTCCTTTAAAATACAGAAAAACCGTTTGTTGCTGATGCATGATTCTATTTCGAGGAAAACGTGAACGAAGCTGTTGTATAGTTTAATTAGTAACAGTTTTCCTCCGAACTTGTACAAAAAATATTGATGAAAATAATCACGACAAGCGCGTTTCTCGCAGCTTTATTTTCAAGGCAATCATGAGCGTTACTTGTACTCATCAAATTGCTCCAGAACGGAATGTTACACCTCCGCCAAATTAATGTAGACCGCGGTAAGCTATCTACATAGCGGTCCCACACAGCATGCACAGCGGGGGCTTATCACACTCCAACACGCGGTTGTGGAAAATATGCGCAAAACAACGCGTTCACACCGTGTTAATCGTTGCAAATTCAACAACTGCGGTGTTTTCTTACCATCAAAAATTACACATGCGCATTCTCCACTATTTTCTTACAAACAAGGATCGATATATCTGTTGAAAGTTTTGTATAACAAAGTTTGCGGCTGGGAGAAATTCCAGAGCTGAAAGTAATCTGGAGTGGCTCGTGATCAGCCTTGGCCAACTTCAAACGGGCGTCGAGAGCTAATCTCGGTGGATTTGCCGGATTGGCACCCCAGGCGCGCCCGATGCCAAACCACAGCTCCACGCAAATTTGGGAATCCATCCTCACTCGTGGAACTCTTGGCCGAGCGAGACAATTACGGCGTTGCGGATTAGCGTTATTTTTTCTAAGGGAAGCAATAGGCCTAATTCAATCCGGATTGATGTTATCGCTCGTTAGCCGCTGAATTCGGCACGTTAAGCTGACTGAAGATGCCCTCGATAAGCGTAAATCCGCCGCGCGCTCTTCCGCCTATTTCCGCCCTAGAATTTCAAAAGAGTCAAACGAAGCCGAGCCCTCCATTTTTGTAATAAATGTAAACATTTGGCCACGCTACTTTGTAATGTCGCGACGTAGCGGGATGCACACTGAACAATCAGTAGACTCTTTCGTCTCTGAAAACAAAAGTTTTGTTGAACTTTATGGTTTATTGAAATCTCAGCCGTTGGGGGTTTATTCTACATTTCGAACGACGCTAGTCCGTCCTTTACATGTTAACCGGATTAGAGGAGCCTTTGATACGATTTTTAAAACCGTAAATGTTTCAATTTTGGGTCTCTCAAGAGCGGAATCTTCAAACATATGTACGCTGATGCAAATTTCCGGATGCATGTACAAAGTGCATTGAATATCAAAGCGCACCGCTGAATATGTAGCTTCCCCAGCGGATAATCCTCTTTCCAATTAACATAACGTCCATATAAATCGCCAGTAAAAGCGGGCTGGTGCATAGAAAATGGACAGACACCAACAGACCCTAGTTTAAACAATTTACGGCAGTAGGGGAGGAGCGAGTATTCCTCTCTGGCGGGCGTAGAATTGTATTTAGTAAAGATATTAGCAAGTTGGAGGATGCATTCGGAGGGGGATTAACTCGGTCCTTCCGGGCTCTTTCCCGGCCTCGGAGATGAGGCGCTGGCTCATGTGGATTAATCCACTCTGTCCACCCCTCTGATGGCTTAGACCGCGGCTTGAATCCCATTAGCCGTCCCCCACCGAGTTGGGCTCAAATTATGCTCTAACACGCTTCTCATAACCAAAAGGGAAGAAAACCTGGACCTATGTTTGAACACGGCATTTTAGAAGCTTATTGTCAAAATAGCCCACCCTAGCATTTGATAATGATGCAAAACCTGTGATTTCCAGTTTTGCTGCTTCTATGAACAAAAACTGAATCGAAAAACTGATGAGTTAAGAGGTTTGTCCTTTTTTTCTATGCAGATTTTGACATGGGTATTTCGAAGAAAGTCGGTGCCAATTTCTCCACTGCCAAGTTTTAATCCCAGCTGTCGAGGGTAATTTGGAGCTCAAAATTGGCCCCGGCGCTGAGAGCGAGCTTTTGAACATGTTTCGGTTTTCTGAATGAGCGATCGCACTCGGAATATCCGGTCAGTTGGCAAACACATATCCTCGTAGAGTGTCGTATTTCCACGATTGGCAATTTTCACCGAGGGGAAATAAAAACCGCCGTCAGATGTCTCCGCTGTTGGCGGCATGCCTGGGCCCCATCACTCAAACAATCGGATCTGACATACTTCTATGAAAATAGTAAATTTTCTTTTCGTCTTTCCGACATCACCAATAAATAATTTTCTTGCTGACTCGTGATTGACAGCTCAGCATTCGGCTCTGACGATCAATGAGCTTCCGATTAGCCGAAAATCGGAACGATTAGAGCTGCTTGCTGTGTAGCAGTAAATACTCATGCTAATTTTAGAAGTAAATAGGACCTTTGATGGTGAAAATTTACCCGTGTCCGGCAGCGCCTCTGATTTTTCAGACCACCATTTTGCCGTGAAATTTGCTGTCAATCATGTTTTGGCACTTTAATTCGTCCTCAAGTATTGTAAAAAAACCCAGGGCTCATGACCTAAATCACTCGACACCTCACCTAATTCCTGAGTACTATAAATCCTGTTTTACGGGGGATCATCCATTGGAAAAAACGCCTTTCGTATGAAAATTATTGGAGCTATAAAATAAGTATTGAGGAAGCGGCTTTGAACCCGATTTATATATCGTTATTTTCTTTTGAAGAAGAGTTTCGACTTCTTGGAGCGATCTGATAGTGGCTTGGAAGTTGAGCCGATAAGGCGAAAATTAAGGGCTCGGGAGGCTGGACCGGCCCGTGAGATACCGGACGAAGGAAGCAAATTCACGGGATATTACTGACACAAAGGATGTCTCTAACACTGTCTTAATGGAAATTACTTTCAGTGAACTTTCTATTAGACGATAGAATACGAGGTCCTCGAGTGTGAATTAAAAATTTGCATTTTTTATCAGCCATGAGTGCCAACCCTAAGGGACTAATAAAGCGGTATTCTATATTCATAAATCTCATCAGATTTATCGCGGATGAAAGGAACCAACTTGATTAAATTTGAAGATTTATAATGCCACGAAATAAAATCGCATCACGAGGTCAGCAAATTTATAAATGGATTAAGAGTGTAAATCAATTTTTGGAATATCAACTAAACTGAAGATTTTTCGAGTTTTGCCTTCATTTGATAAATTTTCTAAAGCTTTTTTAGAAAAAGTTGAGTCTTGCGTTTAAAAAGCAGTAATTCTTGAACGGCCGGCCACTCCGAGTTCTAATTGAAAGTCGATTTAGAGCGTTTTAGGAACATCTTTCCACCGCGCGAACTATGCATCGTTAGAGTGGCCACAGCAGGTGCTACGTATCACGTTGAATGAATTAAACGGGCGCTAAGCGTGATTAAATATGAACTCCTCTGCAGTCCCTTAGGGGTGCCGCATGCATTAAATATGCATCCAGCGACGGAAGACTATTTGAATATTGAACTGACATTAGGAAGCAGACTCGTCCCGTTTTGTACCTTCCGTGTATCTGTCCCAGCCGGCCAGATATGTTCTCTTTTCGAGGGAAGCATCAAGCCGTCCGATTTTAGCGTAAAATGCGCAGAGTGAAAAAACACTGCCACTTGAAAAATACCAACAAGGCGTAAACGCCCGGGCAACCAAAGTACTCTGTGGTGAACCTGGCGATTAAAAATTCAGAGTACCAATTGAATATCCAAGAGCGCGGTACGGTAGTATTCTAAAAGTAAAACGAGCTCGAATGAGGTTCGAAATTTCGAAGTATCAAAGCAAGGAATTTAACGCGGCATAACAATCACGTGTGCGAACGTGAGCTTCAGTGTTGTAACTGTGATTTTGAGCGACTCCGATGTAGAGCACGAAAACAGTGATGTCAGTGATAAAAATAGCTCCGAATCTTCCTCCAATTCGTTTTTAACTGTTTTTGGCCAAATGCAAAACGCGCTAGAACTCTTTCATTTTAACAATTGTAAAACATCGAGTCTTACAAGCGCTCAGGCGAACCATTGTGAGTCATTTTCCAGTAAATATCTTTAGCATAATACTGTTTTAATACAGGAGCAAGATGCAGATAGGGAGATTATTAGGAAGATTACGGATGGAAACAGAGGAAAGATTACAAAATATGAAATAACTGGAGATTGCTAGGTACAAGATTTTCTTCCTGTCGAGATTTTGTGAACTCGGACGGATGTTGTCCTCGCTCAAGATTATCCTGAAGTTGGGTCAATAAATTCCGGAGTTTTGAACTTCGTTTCATCGAACTTTAACCAAGATCTTTAGATTTTCTTTTCACCCAGAATATTATATCCGCTGCGCGCGGCAAGTTCTGTTTGGCATAAAATCGAATTTTAACGCGAATTCGAACAAATTAACCAGCTGCAAGGCAGATTTATGTTTTTGCATTCGTGGACTGGGGGAAATTTAAAATTCGTTTTATACGATTTCCAAATTGCAAATTTGCCCATCTTCTCCGTTCATTTGTCGCATAACACATTCGCGCGGAAAAAAAGGAGTGATGAAATCAAGAAAAAACATGTGTCTTCGTTTGTCTTGATAATATAAGTTGGGAGCTAGAAATATGAGCATATCTAGATAATGAAATAATATCAAATGAAATATCTATTTGATCATAATTTAATTTGATCATCCAACATTGTGCGAATAGTTATTTTTACGATAATTATTTCTGCGAAAGTAAATTATTCAACTTCTGTCCCAACCCTTGCGCAATATCTTTTTCTGTTGAAACTTGGGCGAAACTAGGGTTGAACACTTTTTTTTCTGCCCTCATTTGCATTTTCATGGGACGAATTTGGTCACGTTCACGCATTTTTGAAAAGGTTTGGAAGGGCCAGATGCAGCATCAATTTAGAAAATGCCGCTCTGCAAAAAAGCGACCTTCGGAGAGTTAATTGGGTTTGGTCACCTTTGAAACAGATTGACCTTTTCCGGAAGGAAGAGGGCAGCCGAGCTATGACACAGCCTGTCATATAAAATTAAAAGCGAACATGCTTCTCAACCTTTTTCGCTTTAAAAGTGATGATGGTCATCTTTCGTAATCCATAAACTACCACTCGGGATAGGGATATGAAAATAAACCCGACGCCAAAGCACTGGAAGTACGAGCCCGTACGAGTTTATCAAAAATCTCCGTGCATCTAGGAAAACGGAAAGGAGAGCACGGTCGGATTACAAAAAAAACTGGAACTGAAGTTTTTTCGAAGTTGCTTTTTGTGATCTTCTCATGTAGTAAACGAACTAATAAAGACACACCATATAACACAGAAAAAGGTCAGCCATTCGGCTTATCAAACCCCTAGTCCATATGTCTCTGTGGGCAGATAATCTTCCACGGCACCCCCTGCTGTGAGGATAAGGCGAAAAATATTGGCACCCTGCTGTGATTTTTATATCAGCTGATATTCGCGGTCAGCTTCAACCTCGAACTCCTTGTCATCGTCACGTGGATCGCTAATTTCTTTATTTCAGAATATCTACTGGATACGTCGAAGCAGACGACCGAGCTGAGCCGATCTGGATGGCACTTTCCGGATTCTTCGAAGGTAAACACTAAAAAGAAGAGTTTGCTTAGTTAGAAGCGGCTCATCTCAAGAATAAACGCTTGGAAATTATAAGTAACACTGGTGACGGCTGTGTTAAAATCAGATTTAAATATTTGAGCCACGTGATTAATCCTTCACTTCCGGTCAAGAGCTCCAAACAATCCGACTCTTGTCAGAGTCGATTATTTTTGATTGGTGCTCGATTTGGTTTTATCTTTAAAATTGATGCTTGCGCACGCGTGTAAAATGAACAAATTAAATAAAGGTAGTCTTCAAAATATGTGTTTTCCTTGCTGAATCGTAAATATAAATGAGCACTAAAGATAGTAATTGAGGGTGATGAACTGAGCCACAGGATCCGGCTCAGGGCGTCGCCGTGGGTACACAGGGGAGCTAGTTGCGGCACGATGGAACTAACCTATCGGCCCCAGTGGGCCAATTTGCGGTACAGGTGGAATTCAAATTTGCGTCACTCAAGGCAACATGCCGTACCCGCCCCAGAACAATTAACTCGATTAATTTCTAACCGCGAAGGTTTCCACAGAGCAAATCAATTTATCCCGTTTTCTAATTTTACATTTTTTGCTTTGTGAATTAAGTTAAGTACCTCTCAACTCTTCCGTAGATAAAGTATCAACGTAAAAAAACGTGGTGTTACCGCAGTATCGGGTAATCCCTTGTTTTTGTAGAGCAACCATGAAATAAAACGAGGTCATACTGAAGAACATCTTTTTTGTTTCAATAAAAAGTTCCTTGTTCTTGAAAATGTCTCGGGATTAAATTTTCATGGGAAGAAAAGACAGAATTAAGATCGTAATTTGCACTTTTTCCCGTACGATGTCTTCACGTTTTTCGCAAGTTAATTTTCCGACGATTCGTAAAAAGTATTCCGCACAGGGTGAATTTGCATTTTCACCGACCTCAACGTGCGTCGATGAAGTAGCCCAGACCTCAAGCTATTTCAGCAATACTTAACAGATACCGAATTGAATAATCGCGAGTTGAATTAGAAAGTTATTGCTACAGTATGATACATGTGTAAGCACTCAGTGGTTGATTGAACCCTCATGAGGTGCATTATTCAGCGAGTAGCTCTCTTCTGAAAGACAACAGACGGGTCCTCAAGATGCCTTAAACATTTAACACGTTACAGTTGGTGCAGAATTAACCCGAAATCGTTCAGTGGCAAGATGTGACTTCTTACGACGAAAACCGCGACATGATCAGGGCTCTTCAAGCCTGTCCACGACAAAAGAGCGAAGACAGCTGGGTAATAAGCCCCTTCATCGACACCAAAGGAGCTAGAAACGTCGAGCTGGAGATTAAATACGCCATCAGGTAAAGCGACGCCCCTTGTTTCCCATTCTGCAGTACATGAGTGGATAATTTATTAACTCCGCTCAGAGTGCAGCTTGTGTTTAATTAGCAAAGTAACCGACATGTCGATAAGTCAGTGGTTTTATGTTGTTTATCGTCGCTTCCTTCTTATTAAAATGCGGCAATGAATGACCGCAATTATCGATTTAAAGGGCTGCAAGCAAAAGTACTGCCGTTATTCTGAGAGGCTGATAATTTCGCGCAAGTTGCGGAAACAAGCGCTCACTTGTCAACCAGCTACATGCTCAGGCCTGTTTGTGGGTGCATATTCAAGGCGGCCGCTGAGCGAGCTTGAGCCGGATGGCCCCCGAGCTTGATTCTGCGGCAGCACGAATTTTAGCCGATTTAGGCAAAACAATAACTTGTAAAGCAGCCTTTCTAAGTGAAGCTTGACATGCGCAACGTAGCGTTTTAGTGGCAATAACGATTTTTTAGATCTTGCGCGAAAATGTCCGGATCATTCTGCCGCGAGAAATTTTCCATTCTCGTGAATCAATCTACTTCTCTGGATCGACCAAGAATCGCTCCTTCGACTCAGGATACGACGCAATGGACTCTTGTCGACACAGTTGCAAGTACAGAAGACATAACAGTCGAGCAGATCAACATTGGTCCCCTCTTTGGAAACGGCATCTTCATTGCCTTCGTCAATACAGGCGCCTGCATGGAGCTTTCTCACGTAAAAGTATCGTACAAGTATTGCCCAGCCGTGGTGGCCGATTTCGCCGAATTCGGCCGCACCCACACTGGAGCAACAGCGGCTTCAATCATCAATCAAGAAGGCGTTTGTGTAGAAAACGCAATTCAAAACGGTAAAGTTGTTTTTCTTTGTCACATGTGTTGGGGCAACAGACCTCCGCCGCGTTGATTTTTCTCGCGACGCGCCCTGTTTAGAGTACTTAGAGCACAAGTACCATACTAAAAGTAAAAATCACGTGTCTTCGTTTAAAACTTGATTATTAATCGTGCATTAAATTAAGGAGACAAACCTTCTTATCACTGCGGATCAGATGGTTTCTGGCGACTCTCTTCTGCTTCCTGCAATTGCAAATCTGGCTACCAGGGCGACGACGACGGCCAAAAATGCTTAGGTAACAATCTAACCGCAAAGATAATGCATGAATAGAGTACCCTCTTTTGGCAATCGAGTATCCCATTTCCTATCTATTCAACAATGGGCTGGGCGCACATCCTCGGCGGAAATTCTAGAGTCTTTTGTCCTCAGATTAGAAATTTGGAATTTGCAAGAATTTATGCAAAAGTTCGCTGTCATGTGGATTTATATCGGAAATAGACGTCAAATCCAAAATAGAACGCCTTTTCTTTCTAATGTTTTCTTTGCGGGCGCAGCGGGTCCAAAAGCGGCGTCAGCAAATGCAAGTGATAATTACTTGTTGTGAGTTGGGAGGAGCATTTATAGCGTTATAGCTTGCGGATTTTGGGAGCACTTGCGTCGTGGAATTTACCCAACCATTCTCACCAGCCTCCTTTTTCGGCGGAAGTGGCGCTTCTTCAATTTTGACGCGGCGTTATCAAAATCCAGCAGATTAGAAATCACCCCGAAAATCGACTATTTAGACACCGCCTAAATATGGTGTAAAAATAACATTTGTTAGCTTACAGCTTCGGAATTTCTTTTAGAAGCTCGGAACTTCTTTACGCGCTAATGAGCTTGTCCGACCCGTGACAGGACTTTAATTAACTCGCCTCTTGGAAGACCCTTTCGTTTTTTGAAAATGCCACTTTCTAGTGTCTACTCGTAATAACGCAATAATTTCAGAATGCCCTGCTGGTACATACAAGTCTTCGCCCGGCCGCGGTCAGTGCCAACGATGTCCGCGAAACTCCTCGTCGCGCCCAGGATCAAAGGATTGCACGTGTGAGAGCGGCCATTTCCGCGCTGGGTCAGCAGGCCCGTGCCTGGCACTTCCTGGTCCAGTCGAGAATCTCCGAGCCCAGAGTTTGAATTCGACGAATGTACTTCTATCCTGGAAACGGCCAAGAATAGGAGATGAAACCGTCTATCGCGTTTTGTGCAGCGAGTGTGCGGAAGAGTCCTCTTGCATGCCCTGCATAAACGTAGATTTACCAACCGGCACAATCGACCGCACGGAAGTAGAACTCGCCAATTTGGATCGGAGCAAAGAATATCGCTTTGAGGTTCAAAGTGAAAACGCCGCCTCAGAAAGCGCCTTAGAAGCTGGCTATACCACCAAGAAGATTGCGGTCACCCTCGCCCGAACAATTCCAAACCGCTTGGTCGTTAAAAACCTGCGACTATTGTCACTCGGTACGTGCGAAAAAGTTCTTCATGCAAATGCTTTATAAAAGATGAGTGAAAAATATTCATATTTAATTTTTAGCGCACGATTCTGCTGATTTCCTCCTTTTCTTTGAAGAACATCCAGCAGCAGAAGGCAGAAAAAGATCGAAATCGAGCTGATAGAAGAGCTTTCAAACATCCGCCTCAAAAGAATTATTGAAACCGCTGAGTCTACCTTTGTGCTGGACAAATTACAACCGCTAGTTCAATACTCAGCTCGTGTCCGTGTTCATCCCGACTCTGAACTTGCGCCCGGCATTTCAGCTTCGAACTGGTCTGAGTCAATCCGATTCAAAACGACAGATGATGTATTGCTACGACCGTATAAGAGGGGCTCTTCGACGACCACTCAGTGGCTGGCTGGCATCATCACGGGTGCGATCCTCTTTTCTCTCACTTTACTTGTCATCGCGGTCGTACTTTACCGCAAACGAGGCGACCCTCAGTGGCTAAAAGGCACTCGATCCTCGATAGAGCAGTTTTCTGTGGTTACAACTTCGAGCCATGCAAATAACGGGCATGGGACTATCAGTGGCACTGTCGACCTCGTCCCCTGCTCTCGTCAAGCGAGCATCCTAGAAGGAACTGGCGAACTTCCACGTGACTCACTCACGATTGACGTGACGTTGAAATCTGGACGACTTGGGAAAATCTCGGCGGGAAAATTATACGGAAGACCAGTGGCCATTAAGGAGCTTTTGGTCACTACGGAGGAACAACTCAACGAGCTTAAGATCATGGCTCAATTGGATCAACCGAACACCTTACGGATCGAAGGATTTATGACCGCCAATTATCCCAAACTCGTTGTGATGGAAATGTGCGAGTCTAACCTAGCTGAGTATTTCGCTACTGAGGGACCAACCATGCACCCCGTTGCCATTTCGAAGCAGATTGCTTGTGGAGTTGCCTATCTTCATACGAACCAATTTATCCTGCGACATTTGGGTGTGGATACTGTCTTGGTAGCTGGAAACACCTTCAAGATCAAACTTTCGAGCAAAACAGATGTCGAACCAGTTCTTGACATCGTGAGCAATCGTGGAACCGATGAACTTTCCGGCTACATTCCATTACGAAACAGTGCACCTGAAGTTTTCACAAAGGGTATCTTCTCACAAATGTCCGATGTGTGGGCGCTCGGTGTCCTCATGTGGTCGGTTTGCTGTCGAAATACGTCTGTGCCCTTCTGGGGACTTAGCAGGAGACAACTTGTGGACGCAGTACTCTCCGGCTGGCGACTGCCTCCGCCAGATAATTGTGATTTCCCGGAATTGCAAGAAATGCACAGCTTGATGTTAGCTTGCTGGGAAGAGAATGCCGAACTCCGGCCGACCTCACGAGACCTTCGACACAAGATTGAAATTCTTCTTCAGGACGTCAACCCTCCAACACAAATTGCCGTTTAAAAATGAAAAAAGAATCGAAAACGATATTTTGTATTCTTTATTTGTACATATCTGTATTCAAAACAACCGAGAAAGAACATCTCAGTCAATAAAACTCATTCCATATTAAATAAACTGCGCCGTCTATTTAGTTGTCAGATCAAGGGCTTTCTAAACATATTGAGAGGCTTATCTTTTAGAAGCTCTTTTTTGTGCATTTCTCCAATTAGGAAAGTTGCGAAGTTTTAAAAATGCATATACCGGTTTATGAAAGAAAAATATCTGCGGCATAATTAGAAAGTCCTTCACATATAAGAAAGATATTCCGGCTTGTGAGTTTGCGGTTTTCGAATGAGAGAAATGGCAAGCGAAGCCGCCGCAATTTCAACAATTATGGCAGAAATCATGGTTCGACTCTTTTTCGAGATATAGAAGAAAACAAGTACTGTTCCGAACCATTTCAATAATCGTCGTTAGAATGATCCATTTGAGCACACCAAAGGCCGCCTCTTCGCAGGCGATCGTGAACGGCTAAAGAACGTAAAAGCCGAGGTCATGTAGGGGTCACATAACATGCGTGTACTGCTCAATGCGCCTTCATCCTCCCAGATCCCTTTTCTAATTTACTACGAGCTGTTCACGTTTCTCCGTCATGTTTATTCATTCTAGCTGTATCTACTGTCTGGTAGCCTTTTTTACCTTTTTACAAGTCCAACTTGATATTTGGCGGATATTCTCCGGATCCAGGGCATAAGCTTATAAAGAGTCACCAAAGAAACGCTAGAAAACGCGAAATAGTGATTAGATATTCGGTGAGAACCTGGCCTGAGCAGCATGATGAGGGATATCCGTTCTCGTATTCACGAAATGAGGTCCAGCCGCAGCACTTCATCGAACTCTAAAAAAACTTTTCCGCTTTGCATCTAGGAGGCTGTCGTTTTCGACCTAAATCTGTCTAAAACGAACCATTCCCATCGCTGATGAACTCATTTAAGAACGAATTATATGAAATAAGGAGCCTCCAGAATACCTGCATAGTATCAATAAATTCAGTAAATTGTGTCTTCTGATCAATGTCTACAGCATAATCCTTCACGTGTGCAGTGAAAACACTATCTTAGCTTTGGCGGTGAGAAAATATCGCATCAAAACCGCAGACGAGAGAGGCTAGAGCTCGGATTAGATTATCCGCCTAACATAAGTGTGAGCTATATTTAAAGCCTTTACTTTTAACTCTAAAATCAAATGAATCTTCTGACGCATGTTTTTAAGAATTATCTTGCATAAGATGTAAGATCCTTTTTCGGTGTTTAGATGCTAGTTGTATTATTTCTTTATTTATTAACTCACCACGACCTGGCAATATTTGGATAGAACACGAAAGCGAGTGCAAACAGCGCAAGTTTAGCTGTAGGAAGTTGTCGCTTTATTTTTTATTATTCACCGTGTCTAAACAAAAATTATTTCTGTTACTTTGGGCGGAGCCCTCCGTCGGTTGTTTCAATTACAAATTGCTTTTCAGTTGAGAGTATCTCGAAAACTACTCTTTTTTCGTACCACCAAAACACTGGTTACATAAAATCATGAAGAAAAGTTGAATTTTAGATGCCTAATTTCCCGCTTGTTGTAACAAGTAATTACACGATTTTAATCACCCACACAAGTGTTATATAAATATAACTCGCATTTTCCTCTCTAAGAGGAAATCTCAATCTTATTCACGTTGACGGAAGGCCGGATAAGCCTCGGAAGCGCTGGCTGAGGACAACTGAGTCCTAAAATTGGCACTGTGAGCGCACCAGCAAACAGGGAGAGCACCAATTTCGACTTTTGAGGGAGTGGTCAGAATATCCTCTCGCTACTTGAGCAGGACAACTTTTAAAATCAAGATTACAATCTAATTCTTCAAAATTAGTCGAGAAGATGCAACATGTTATTTGAAACAAGAATCGTCGATTGTTAATAATAAACTCCGTTCCTGATAACATGATGCAAAAAGTCCTGTTATCGAAATTATTAATAGTAATCCACCAATTGACAAAGATAAATACTCGATCGCAGCCAACAGAAGATTCAGTTCCTGAAAAAAGAATACAAAACATCAGAGCCAAAAAAACGTACCTTCAATGATTTGAGATCAAGATCAGCATGGCCCCTGATGAAAGATTCAATTGCGGCCATTATAGGCGGCGGAGTCACGAAGAGTCTTTCGATACGTTCAGTAATTCCCCAGCCACGCCCGAGTGTTATATTTTCATATTTGGATGGGCATTTAAACAGTTTATTAGTAGCACGAAATTTAAGACTATTTCCGTGTCTTCTAACCAGCTGGTCAGTTTTTTATAATTCTGGGTTTTAACACCGCTTTGAAATAGAATATCTCGAACGTATCCCAATCGAAAGCCCAGCAAATAACGCGCCCCCAATCAACAGAACAAAGCAAGAAATTGCAAATGTTATTTCTCTAAAACTCGCCATCACAAATTTCTTTCACGACAAACTTAATCATCAAGGTACTATGCGGAAATGAGTAAAATTACGCTCACCCAGAATCAACTGTTTACAGAACGGCTGGTTTCTGACAATTGCTAAGCCTAATAAACATCTTTAGATTCTTTATTTCGATGTTCATGCAAATGGTAGGCTTTGGCGGTTTGTTTGAAGTCTTGGCTTTAGAAACGTTTCGTAAAATACTAAGCGCCAGCAAGAAAAGGTTGGTCAAAGTGTTCCTTTTTGAAAGTGTTTATTAAAATTATATTTTTTCTTTCAACATAAAAATCTATCATCTGTGATAATCTGTGAGGCCTTTCCTTCCCGAGTAACTCCCAAGAGCTCCAGACGGCGATGTTGATTCCCTGTCGCCACAGAATACCAACTACGCGATTTGAGAAATTAGATCGGTTCAAAAGTCAAGGTTGTACTTTCCATCAACGGCGTGCTGAGTGGCAAGTGGCTGTGACCAATGGTCTTTCTGATGCAAGTACATGAAATTAGCGCCATTATCCTGCATACAGTAGTTTATTGCTTTTGCTTTTGATCAGGCGAAATTTACTGTGAGCGGCGGGACGCGAGAATCGCTGCAACGTGCCCCCGGGGGCGTGAGACTGGTTCCTGACGCTCCTCCTTTCTTTTGCGAATTGATAAAGGATTGATAGGGGATCAGCCGAAATCAGCTGCCCGCTGCGGCTCCTCTGAGCTTGAGTGGACAGTTGGGATTTACGCCTCAGGCGAGTGACCTTGAGATCTCTTCCGGAAAAAATCGACATCATTGACTGCCCTAGAGAGATTTTAACGAAGAAAAATGAAGAAAGCAATACGAAGAATCGGAAGATCTCTTTCACGAGACAGATATGGGAAATGGTCGCTAAAAATAAAGTTAAAATGTTAAGACGTAACAGTTAAATAATCAAATCATCAGATAACAATGCAGACTTTCATAAACAAGCTTACTCCGGATACGATTTTTGTTATAGCACCCGATAAACTTTAAAATTTCGCGAACATTTTTAAGCAAAAAAGAGGACAAGAGTACCAACCGCCCTCCATCCGTTCAATCAACGGAGCCGGGACAATTGGTCAAATCCGGCTCCACATCAACACTCAATTCTGGTAAATTCAAATTTTTCTTCCCTGAAAAAAAATCCGCGGTCCTAGGATTCGATCGAAACTCGGAGACGGGATCGCGAAAGTCTTTCCGAGATACGAGCATCAACCGATTGAAAAAACTTTTCCGCGGCGATTCGAAGGATGATGCTGGATCAATGCGTGATAACGAATCGCTTAGAAGTGGAAGAAGTAGTAGGAATGGTGATGGAACTTTTAGAGATTGTTGAAGGCAACAAAAAGCAAAGATTCAAGTGCTAAGTGACTATTTTTTCCAACACCGCCTAGGAGTAACCGTTCTATCGGCACCGACCGAGGAAGAACAAGGCGTCGAAACACAGAATTTTCAGGACAAAAGTATTTGGTTAAAATTGAATTATCAATTCGCCGAAGTGGCGCGCGACCAGTGTTCACCCAACGAACGGAAATTGTAATGGACAACAATCCAAAGGAAAAGGTTTGTTATTACAAGAACATGTTCGAGTATGATTTACATAATCGTAAACGACAGAGGCCTACATTTCAAAGAAAAGTTCAATCAGGAAGTAGGTAATTTGCTTTTTAGGATTTTACATGTAGATGTTTATAGAAAAAGCAAATGGATATTATTGATAAAATACAAATTACGCTAGCGAGAAAAATCTCGCAAACCAAATAAAAGACGAAGAACTCTCCGAAGCCATATTTCCCACTTCCAATGCGTGATGTAACACTAGACGAAACCGGCGGTTTTGTTCTGAGAGCCGAGGTCTTAGGCTATCCCGCTCCGGTGGTCACATTCTACAAGGACGACGATGACGAACCGATCATGACCCAAAGCCAACTGCACAAAACAGCAAAGATGATTTCAAAAAACTTTTTGCGGAGCCGGAAATCATGAAAAAAGTGCTAGTGCAGTTTTGTCAGGCTCGTCGAGACGAGTCGATTGGTATACGTCACTCTTGAAAATTTTAAGGATTTACCGGTTAACCGGCTGATTACCGGAAATCACGCTGTCAGCTCCCGTTTTTGTTCTAGTCGTCGGATTTGTATGTTTGAAGCGTCAAAATGATCCTTATGATCAGGGCTTCTGTAGCCTCCGAGATGAGACCCATATCTCAACTCCTGCCGAGCTTATCACTAAAAGTTTGATTTTTACGCACTTTTTGCAGTTTGAAAGTTCATAACGTAAAATTTGTACGGTAAATACTAATAAATCTTCTTCGGTTTTGATAGACAATTGAAAATTAATAATACCCATCGTTCAAAACCTTGTAACCAGCCGGTAAAAAAGCCCTGAATCAAAATTATGCCCTCAAAGACCACTTTTTTGATTATATTCACCAAGATATGTGAATTTCAGGAAATTTAAATTATTCTAATGTTGATGCTAAATAAATTATAAAGCTTCGAGCCCTCTATGCCAGGAATCAGGTGATGAATATTCTCATTAGATCCATGAGTCTTTCTAACTAACTCGTGATTTCTAGCAGTACTCATAATCGTGCAGGCTTAGATCTCTCACAGTTGGTTTAATTAACAAAAATAGATGACCGGCTTGCCGAGAATTAAAATGTAGAATCAAGTACGAAAAATCTGGCTGGACTGTCGACTATAAGACCCCGCTCGAACTGAAAGCTTCCCCGTAATTCTCACTCACATCATTTATTTATTCATACATAATTTGTTTCTTCAAAGAAGTCAGTGATAAGACTCGGTCAAAAATTGAATACCGATCTAAATACCTAAGTCCGCATTTTCTGAGCCTTTTTATAGCGAAGTCTTCTTCTCGCACTTATTGGTAGTTTAACTTGTGTCGCTGGAGTCCTCTGCACTTCATTTAGCCGCTGAAGTTGCGTAAAAGCGCATTTTCATCATTATATCCCTTATCTCCGAAAAATCATCACTAGAATAATTTAAATTTCCTGAAATTCACATATCTTGGTGAATATAATCAAAAAAGTGGTCTTTGAGGGCATAATTTTGATTCAGGGCTTTTTTACCGGCTGGTTACAAGGTTTTGAACGATGGGTATTATTAATTTTCAATTGTCTATCAAAACCGAAGAAGATTTATTAGTATTTACCGTACAAATTTTACGTTATGAACTTTCAAACTGCAAAAAGTGCGTAAAAATCAAACTTTTAGTGATAAGCTCGGCAGGAGTTGAGATATGGGTCTCATCTCGGAGGCTACAGAAGCCCTGATCATAAGGATCATTTTGACGCTTCAAACATACAAATCCGACGACTAGAACAAAAACGGGAGCTGACAGCGTGATTTCCGGTAATCAGCCGGTTAACCGGTAAATCCTTAAAATTTTCAAGAGTGACGTATACCAATCGACTCGTCTCGACGAGCCTGACAAAACTGCACTAGCACTTTTTTCATGATTTCCGGCTCCGCAAAAAGTTTTTTGAAATCATCAAAGACGCCCACTGGGCTTTACGAAATACTTGCCGAAAATCCGCATGGATCCGTTTCAAGCAAGGCGAATGTGCTTTCTTTTAACTCTCCGAAGTCCCGTCCCGAGTCTTTGACTAGTCTTCCGCCGGTAGTTCCTCCGTCCTTGACGAGGGTAACGCCTCAGCGTCCTAGGACTGGGCTCTATAAATAGCTTCTGACAAGGGAAATAACCTTGTATTACGGTAGCGGTCGGATAATTATGTGTACTAGAAAACACAAATTGAGCCCTGTCTAGTCCAAGGCTCCCAGCAGATACGTCATTAAGCACCAGAAGTCCTAGTAATGGCTCCCTAGGTAACATGCTCATTTTGCAATAAAATTTTACCACGCACTTAGAAAAAAACCAACGAACACTGGCCGACGTCAAGACACAAATGAAGCAGCGACGCCTGGCACCTACATTTGGCAACAGCTTGGGCAGGGATACAGATAACTCTGGCTTATCATTAGATTTTTGCGTCAGTTCTGTATTCTCCCTGTAGACAAGGCTGATTCAACGGAATCGTCATCAACGTCTGATCAGTCTCTTCACAAAGTTGATCCACCTCATCTTCCGGAACCAATTCCAGTTCCTCGAGCAAAGATTTTTGCCCCACAACAACCAGAAATCGCAAGAATCTCCCCAAGCTACTGTGCCCCGCCTTTGGAATACCGCTCACGTCGGGCACCAAGTCCCACGGATTCTGAATATTATTCTGGTGGATATGAAAGTGCCTGCATGGAGACACCGACTGCCAGTCCCCGCGAATCACCAACTCCGCCGGATAAGCTTCTGATTCCTGGAGGTTCTGATGAAATGAAGAGGAACTCCTTTTGTTCTGATTCGGAATATATGACTTCTAACGAAGCGTACGATTCAGATGTAAATTTGAAGGTACGAGGGAAAACGTCAATTCGAAACAACTGAGCATATTTCGTAGGTTTCTGTGAGACGAACACCATCTAACGTGAGCAACATGACAACAACAGATGAAGAATATCTAACTGCTGGTGGCGGTTCAGACACGGAAGTAGAAGGAAAGGCTTCGAATGGTTTGATGCTTTTAACCCCATTCTTTCGGAAGTGTCACTCTAATAATCAGATTGCAAAAGCCTCCTCAGACGATCTTGCCGAGTCCTTGCCCAAGATATCATTCTTCAACAAAGGCCCGATGCATATTCCTCTTCTCTCATCGTTATCACTTTCTTGTGAGGTCACAGGTATTTTAGAAAAATACCCGCCAGCCTCTTTAGAATGTCTAGGTGTTCCTGAGCCCGACGTGAAGTGGTTTCGTGAAGGGAACATGCTTACAAGCGGGCAAAATGGCTATCAAATAAGAAAAATTTGCAACGGAAAATGGAACCTGTTTGTCAACCAGGAAAGTTTCAAAGTTCCCGAGTTTTTTGATCACGAGGAAAATTTCATTGAAACAAAAACAGGCCGCGATGGAACATGGTGGCGAGTATGCAATATCAGTGTATAACTACAAAGGAAGCGCTTATCGAGCTTGTCATGTAGTAGTGGAACATGCGATGAGGCCGCCCGCCATGCCCGATTTACTGAGCTCTTGTGACGAGTACTGTTCCCGCTCTGACCTCTATCTCAGCGACGACACTGATACTGAACACGGGCGCTCGATTAGACCCAGCTACGTCAAGGAAAAGTTCAAGAATACTAACCAACTTACTCCAAATTCGCCTAATCAACTTTCCACCGTTTCTCAAATTGGACTCAGAATCTGCTGTATTTACACGGAAATATGCGCGTGGTTTCTAAATAATCTCGTTTCCCAATTTCTCGAATTTTTATTAAAACTTATTTTGGATAAGGCAATATTTTGCTTCAAATATACCCGCGAAAGTGCATTAACCTCTCGCGAAAGAGTATATAAATATTTAGACTTACAACATAATCTTGAATTTGAAAATCAGGCCTTGCCACAGAAACCAGAGATTCTTCGTAGACTCAGCAATACTACAGTCAATGAAGGATCTCGTCTTGTTCTTTCAATGGAAGCGACTGGTGGCCCTGTTTCTTTTTATAAAAATGGAGATCAGCTGACAGAAACAAAGAGGATGAAAATATCGTCATTTCGAAATCAGTACGATCTGATCATAGAACCGATTCTTCAGCAAGACCACGGCGCGTACATTGGTCGAGTTGTAAACAATGTTGGAATAGTCGAGTCCAGATGCGTTGTCAACGTTATCAAACTCAACCATACAGATATTCGCTCCAGAATTTCCTCTCAAGCGACGCCTGCCTTCGACCAAATCGTTGAAGACGTAACGATTCCAATCGGTGGCACAGCAAAATTTTTTGTGAGCGTCAAATCAAACCCGCAAGGTAAAAGAAAAATATAGATAACGAATAAAAACTTTAAAGCGGTGATACGATGGTCCCTTAACGACCGTGCCTTCCTTCTGGGCGATAAAAACGTGGAAATTACTTCCTCTGCTAATGGCGAGTCGACTCTTATTTTATCAAACTGGGTCACACAGGTACACGAACCAAAAAAGTCCCGATCGAGCGTTGATTTCAGGGCACAATCGCATGCTACGCCAGCAACGCAGTTGGCCAAGCCGAATGTAAAGCAGACCTTTCGCTGGAGAAATCGAACTTGGAAAGAAACTACGACCTACTGAAAGAAGAATACCGCATTCACAGCGGTATCACGAGTCGAGGAAGTTATAGTATCGTGAAACGTGCGAGCGAGCGCAAAAGTGGCGTCGAAGTGGCGCTGAAATCCGTTTGCCGGAAAAGTGTCGACAAAACGGGCATTAGACAGGCACTGCGTTCACAGATAATGGAAATTACGAGTCAATTTCGAAAATCTAAGGAGAAAGTTTTTGCTAAAATAAGTTTGTGAACGAAACCAGGAAACCATCATTCTAAAGCAATTGAACCATGTGAACGTTGTCCGTTTTATCGCCGGATATCATACCCTCGAAAGTCTAGTCTTGGTAACAGAGTGGATCTCCGGTGGAAATCTCTTTCAAAAACTGATTGACGAAGGAAAATATTCGGAATCGCGAGTGATGTTCTTCTTTGAACAGATTTGCAATGCACTAGAATTTCTGCACTCAAAATCGATTGCGCACTTGGATTTGCGAAGTGAGTCCTTGTTGTTGGCAGCAAATCATAGGAGGCTGATCATCATTGGATTTGGAAATGCAAGGGAAGTTCAAGATGATTTCTTGGAACCGTTAGATCGTGCAGTGCCTGAATTTTGCTCACCAGAAGTTGCGAGTTGCATGCCCGTCGACTGTTCCAGCGATGTCTTCTCATCCGGAATTCTTCTCTCCATTCTCCTTACCGGCGAGTCTCCATTCCAAGGAAGAACAGATAAAGAAACTTTGAAGAACATTCAAACTAACGATCACGAGAAACTCAAGGCTGAGATGAATGGCAAACTATCGAAGACAGCTCAAGACCTCGTTCTTCAGTGTCTCACTCGCGAGGCCCATAAGCGGCCATCAATCAGTGAAATCGCCGAAGATGTCTCAACCCTCGAGTTTTCTGACGAAAATACTATTGACTCGAAAAAACTTAAATACTTTTTCACGCGACAAAGGCAAGTCCAGGATTTAAATTAAATATTTACGCAAATTTAATTTCAGATACAATAGGAAACGAAGCTGCTCTAGCAGCCATCTAGAACCTCGAAGAATCCATGATATCATTAATGAAATCGACCAGAATCCAACAGCATTAGCTAAACGCTCAGCATTAACATCTTTGTCTGACTCATCTGACTCAGAAGAAGATGCAGAAGAGGAGGAACTAGCACAGGAGCTACGGTATATCACCTGCTTTAAATCCTTTCAACACTTTCACTTTTACTCAGCGATCTGGAGAAGGAATACGGCCTGACACCAACGATCACGTGGCCAGAATCACTGGATATTCCGAATATTTCAATCACCTCACCAACACCTGTTGGTAGCATGATCAGCCTCAGCAGTTCGGCAGAGTCACCGTCAGTCATCGAGACCTCCCACAGGAAGCGTTTTAAGCACACTGGTTTGTGCTACACGTATAGATTTATAACTTTGACAGCGGCGTCTAATAAAAGAACTCGATAATGCACTTTTCCAGCCAGTTCGTCTTTTTCTCCATCGCGAACGGAGGAAATTGTAGAGATAAAGATTTCATGGGCGAGCATAAAAGCGATAAGTACTGGATCATAAAGTAAACGACATGGTCTTCTCCATGTTCTATTATCAGGCTTATAAGCTTTTTCTCTTCAGTGAGCAACTTGTTGATCCCAGGTCTAGTGTCTATCGAGTTCCACCAAAAACATCGTGACATTAAACAATGATCGGTTTTATAATTTTTATCATGACAGTTGGTCTGATTCCACTCTGCCTCATGATACTCGTGCTTGAACGCCACAAAAGACAACTCGATGATGCACAAGAAGATACTTCAAATTCTAGGAAAGGTTTTTTGAGTTCTCTTCTATGATTTCGATTGCGAGAAGAAAGCGATCATAAATTAATTATTCATAGTTATTTTTGTCAAAATTTGCTCATCGGCAATAATGTAAGGTCAAAGTGTGTTCTACAGCTGTCACATATTTCAAAGTTTATATGCTCAGCTAATGTGCTTTTTCATTCTACTTCGCAGCTTATAAAACGCCACGTTTTGTAATCCCCACGTCCACGGGTGCGGTCACATTTTGATGAATTATTTACCGTAGCTACGGGTTTAGGTCCACGTCCTCAGATTAGGAGACATACACTGAGAAAGGTTTCACAACTCTCAGTCTCAGAGTTATCCATCTTTCGGAAGAGCTTTAGAAAATAGAGAGATAGAAATCACGAGTTTGAACCCCGGGATTTACTGGTCTTCAACTTCAGTTGGCCTCCACGTCACTTAAACATATAAATTCTACCACTTGTTGACAAGCGCAAGCAGATAATTTTTCGCTGCGGAGCCCTCTGAAATCCTCAAGAAGTATCGATCAATCCAGAGAATCTCAAGAAGATCAAAAGGTTAACGGAAACGATAAAGAAATGAGAAATATATTTTCTACCAAGAAAGTCCCTCAATTACCAAAGGTAATATTTCGTTTGAACTTTTGAAATCAAGTATGAATCTTAGACTTTCACCCCGACAATTGTTCGTTCAAACGCTCCTGTTAAAAATGCTGGGTGGAGAAAACAAGTGAGCTTTGAAGACCAAATGCTTCGAAATGAACCTATGCAAACTTTCGTCGTTCCAACTCCAGAAAGAAAAGTCAAGAAGCCACGAACACGAGGCACCCTAAACCGAGGTCGATCCTTAGACAATAGCAAGAGCAGTTCGGACTCTGACCCCGAGACCTATCGCCAGGCACCTGCTAAGCCACCACGAAGAAAGAGCAAAAATCGTGCACCTGTAGAAGATCGAAGTGAACATCCGCGGTTAAAGGTACGTGCGCGAATAATTTACGATGCCTGAATACTTTTGTAGGGAATACTTAAACATCAAAGCAGTACGGAAAAGCAATCTGATGACTCTGCAGGAAGACGTAGACTCGCTTTTAGGCGAGGGTCATCTGTTGATTCTGCTCTACCTACATATCCTTCTCAGAAGACAAAGGTGAGAGCTATTGTCTGAGTTATCAATCATGATAGAAACTAATTATCTTCGCAATCATTAATCTCAATTATCTTTCTTTCTTTCTTTCTTTCAACTAAAGTACCTTAGACAAATCTGAGGATGCGAAATAAAGGACACGACTCAGAAGACGTTCCTCAACGAGGAGGTCCGTTGACATTCGAGAGTGATCAAAGGAGGAAGCCCCAGGCTGCTGATCGTCCAGGTGCTCCGTATACGCTTCGAGAAGTCGATGGGAAAATCTGGCTTACTTGGAAAGGTAAACCAAGCTCCTTTCAAGCTCTTAATTATTTTAAGATGCCGGTCCTGGATGTCTCTATCGTCTTCAGGTTCGATCGAATGAGAATCAGGCATGGACAGACGTTTCTGACAAGATCGACCAGAATGTTCACATCGTCACCGGTACGGAATTTTCGTCACATTTTTACGTTACAAAAACTTAATTTAGGGTTGATGCCAGGTGTTGGTTACCGATTCCGAGTAATTGTCCGTTCAAAAACTGGTGAAATTCCTTCGAAGGCCTCACAGCGTATCGGAATTAGGCTAAACTCCAATTAACCTTATCCTGACAAACTGACCTATTTTATGCTTTGATACTGTACATGTCTGTAATTAATCCTTCTTATCAAAATAACCGCAATAGCAATAAACATGCATTCATGATCAAAAAGCCCTAATTACTCGGAAAATCAGCCTCTAACTTATCAATCAGGGAATCACATGACCGGAGGGAAAATTGACCTAAAAGAGTTCCAATTGTGTCGGTCCCTGTTTGAGCTCCTCCCTTACTCGTTAATTTTCATCCCGGAAAGTCATAAAATCAAAATTTTTACTGCTTTCACGCTCGGTGCACACGAGGTTATATACGTAGAGGGAAGTCGACTAGATTGTCAAACAAACCCTAGAAAACAGATTCTACAAATTCACCCACAAAATGGTGAAGAGATACGTTAACCTTACGTTGGTCCTGTCAACAACCTTGTTCGTCATTTCCGTCGTCAAAATCTCCCTTGTCTCGTTGAAACTAGAGCTTGAAGATCAATTTCTAAACCTCAGTATTGCCCTTGAATGGTAACTATAAAATTTTATAATGAAATTATCAAGAACTCTAGTGTCCCAATTCTTTGTGCTGTCATCGGCTTCGTCATGTTCACATTCGAGCGACTGTTCACCCTCGACTCCGTTGTTGCCCCGCTTTTGTCGCTTTTATCAGTTGTTTGTAACTGTATCTCCGTGGGAATGTCCGTCTACTTCTTCAATACGTTCGTGGTTGGAACTGTTTCGACGAAAGGTAAAACACTCCTCAAGTGTCCGAAAAGCTATCAAATTCTAGCCGCCTATGCATCATTCACATCCGTCGGTTGTTTCACCTCTGCTGCGCTTGGATATTGTATCTTTACCGCGCAGAAGCTGATCCGCTGGAAAAAGGCACGCCTCTCCCAAAGTTTATCAGGCACATCGAGCCTGTCAAGGTCGAAGCGAGGGGACCATCCATACTATCACTCACTCATCGCCCTCAACATCCATCAATACCTCAAAGAACAAGTAGCGATGATCGATCCCAATGCTGACCTTAGCTTTCTGCAGGTATTAAGACTTTAGCTTTCCAAAGATCAAACTCAACGTTCAGCGAAACCGAATAATGCGAATCAAGAATCCCTCAGTCGTTAAGTCTATCAAAAAGAAATCAGAATCCTGCTATTGAGTCAATAGTATTGACCTCATTTTGTCTGCTGTAAATATTACCAAAAATCGTTAAATAACAAATATTTGTTATTTTAATTGACATGTATTCGACATGTGATTGAACATGCAAGGACAGGTTTGAACAGTAAATGAAGGGATTTAAAGGTGAATATAAGTAGTTTGTTAGTACATGTAATTTGTTATACGCATTTGGGGAGATGTGGGGGTTGAGGATTTAAGAAAAAATGAAAAGTTATTCTGCAGTAGTAATTGCCACGCCACGCTCGTAGAGCGAACCCTCAGTATTGCTTGAGTTGAGACTGGCGGTGAAAAGGAGATCTGCGCGTGCAGAATTGCGATAAACTGGAAGGACACATGCTTTCTTCTCGATGGCAGAGCATGGTTTCCAGATGATCGATGAAACCTCGATTTCGGTTTCAATTTCAGAAGACAGCTTGATCGCGTCAGCGCCAACAGCCGTTGCCCCGTACAATCGAAGTCCTAGGGTCATTTATATTGTGATAAGCAAAAACCCTTATCTACCTTTAACTTTAAAGCCATCTGCGACATTTCCGAACTGTAGCTCGAGCTCCAAGTCTTCCAAGGACATGTTATACTTGCGCGCAGCAGATTGATGCGTTGCAGTTATCCAAGCTTCTGGCTGGAAGAGTCCACCTAACCAAATTTGCTGGTGTTCCATATCGTTAGCCTTGATGCTGGCTAATTGCGTGACACGGGAGGCGAAATCAAGGATCCATTGAGTAACAGAGAAGTGAGGACTAAATAATAAAAATCTTAAATATAACGAGAATGTACCTGAATTTGTATTGGGTCCAAGATTTTGGAACTTGCTGCTTCGTCAGCTCGTCGCACAATTTTCTCGACTCGTTAGTTTGCTTCGCTTTGCCTTCGCAGATGTCCATGATTTCCTAAGATAGATTTTGAGGCATTATCTATGAAAAATTAATCACCTGGATATTCTTTTGGACTTTATTCAAAAGTTTGGAGCCTCGTGTCGCTTCTCTCGTGAAATATCGAGCAAGAGGATCTCTCTGGTCCATCATGGGGACTTGAAGGGACGCAGGCAAGCTGTTCATCCAAATCTGAGCCTGACTCATAAGTGAACTCATCCAAGCTGGCCTCAAGAAAGCGTCTGGCTGGTTACCCAAGTTGAGTTTTGCCTTCTCTTGCTCCTTGGTCATTCCCAAAAGCACCTTCCTAATCATTTCACGACCTCTTGTTGCCAAGAGGACGGTCTCAGCATTATCTGGGAGACCCATAAACGATGGTTTTTGGACAGCTGGGAGATTCTTTGCAATCCAGGATTGGAAGTCCGCAGCTTTTGTGCCGCTAGGGGCATCAAGCGCGTCAGCGTTTTCAGGGTTTGCCAAGACAAAAGCGTCCTCGAAAGATTTTTTGGTGAAGATTTTGTCGAGGAAGCTTTCAAGAAGTCGCTGATCAAATGCGTTGTCCATCTTTCCTCCGTATATGGTTTGCGAGAGGAGACGGCCAATGGCTTTCCATGGAATTTGTTCTGGCGCAACATTAGAGCGACCTTTAGCAACAGAATCGATCCAAGTATCGATGGTATCCATTCCAGATCGTAGTTCTGCATCTGAGAGTTCATAAACCTTGCTCCAACCAAGAGGAGTGTATCGCATTCGTTCTTGAACAACAGAGTGGAACCATCCAAGAAGGAAGTAGAGACGAGCTCGTTCAGCAGGCTGATTGCCCATTCGGTTCATGTTGTTCGTCATCGTGGTGGTGAGAGACGCTTTCATTCCTGGTGGCGGTTCATAAGTAAGGATTCGTCCTGTGCGGAGCATATTGACAGGAAGTTTGGGCGAGATTTCGGTCGTCAAGAAGAGGCGGAAATTTGAGTGAGGCTTAAGTGAATGAAGTTTCTTCTCCAACTGCTGGAGCCAGCTTGGTGCGAGATGAACGTTCTTGAGAAGAACCCATTTTCCAGATCGAGAAGCAGTTGAAATCGCCTTCTCAGCTTCTGTGAATCCTTCTGGAGATCCCATCGCAACAGATGTCATTTCATTCTGGAGTGAACGTGCGAGATCATCTACGACGTAAGAAGCATCGGTTCCAGGTAGTGAGGCGAGAATGACAGGCTGATTCGGGGCGACTTGGCCGGTAACATCGGCGCAAGTAAGCTCAGACTGATCGAAAAGGCCGTTGAAGACTGTGGAGACAAAGTTTCGAGAAGATTCAATGATCTAAAATATTCGTTGAACGTTTTAGGTAAAAAAAACTCCTACCTTTGATGGCTTCAAAGCTTGATTGATAAGAAGCTTTTGAGCTGCTTGCCAAACTGGAGAGTCGTTAGACGAGTCGTAAAGACTTGGAAGCTCTGTAGTCTTATTATCCATCCATGATTTGATTGCCGCTAGGTTGCTGGAGATTGCCGAATCCAAGTTGCCAAAATGCTTCACTCGTCTCTGAAGACGAATGAGATTTTCTTTCTGCTGCTCCGTGAAGCTATCATCGAATCCACAAGCAGCGATTTCGTTTGGCTTGACAAGAATGTCTTGATTCTGTAGGAAATGATTGAGTTCTGGTAGCGCGATGTTGTTTTGGAAAAGTTCGAGCTCAATCTTGGCGAGAAGGAGTCCGAAACAGATACGATCCTGGTGGAGCAAAGATCGAGAAGCTCGTAGATATGTAGCCGTGAAAAGGAATTTGACGATTTTGTCCAATCGCTCGGCCTTGTCAGTAGCTCCCGCAGGCCCATCAGCGACGGCGGAGTTGAAAATATCAAAGAAAAAGTTGAGGCTGAATTGGTAAAGCCTGTTGATATTATGTAGCGAGTCAAGTGTAAAGAAAATGGACGAACAGGCGGTTGAGAGAGGCTGGTAAGTAGCAGATACTCGCTCGATTTCGTTCATTACGTCTTCTGTTTCGGACGCTTTTTGGGCTATTTCCTTAGCCTCCTTCTTGAGTGTTTCAAGAGCAGTTATGACTTTATCGTCGTCCAGGATTTTTCCTTTGACATCGTTGAGAGTTGAAAGAAGCTGTTGTTCGAGCTGGCGAAGTCGTAGCTGATATTCTCCTTGAAGCTTCAACATGTCAGTTCTCTTTGCGTCGACATCAGGTCTCTCAGCACGCAGAACAGAGCTCAAGCACTGGCTCATAAGCGAGCTTCGGGTGACGGTAAAGTTGACCATAGTCACACGCGAGCAAAGGGGCGCAGAGAATTCATGAGTCGTATCACGAGTTGCGAGGAAAATCTTGAAGCTTGGAGAAAGATCAATGTCTTGATCGCCGATGGTGATCAAAACACGTCCACCAGATTTGCGAACTTCGCGGTTCAAAACTGGGTTCAGAATCGGATCATATGATTCTGCATCGTGAACCAGGATAGGGTTTCCGAATCGCAAGCAGGACTCGAGCTGTTTTCGGAAACTATCGTCAAGGAACGAAGTTGACACGATCTTCTTGTCGGCATATTGCTTTTTGATGTAGCCGGTCGCTTGTCCAGAAGGATCAATGATAAGAGGGTATCGGTTGTATCGCTCCAACATGATCGCATTTTCAATACAAAGATCATCAACTGGTAAGTCATTTCGCTGCCATTCCATTCGCTTATCGACGGTTGAGAGATATTCAGACTGCGACAAAGACTTGCGGAATGTGATCTCAGCTTCCAGAAGACGGTCTTTCCAAGCACTTTCGAGGTTGGCTCGCATTTCTTGGTCAAAGTAACCAGCGTATGATACGAAAGCGGCGGAAAGAAGACAATCTCCCGGAAGAGTGGACATTTGAGCCTGGAAGTTGGTTGAGGACTCTTGCCAACGCTCACGTTCGGAACCAAGATTCGCGAGAAGACCTTCGGATCGATTGACCTTCGATTCGACAGTTTGCATCTCAGCCTTGATCGCTTCTGCTTTCGCGATTAAAGCAGCGTATTCCTTCTTGTACTCCTCAATTTTTGTGACAAGTTGAGTGATGAGCGCGTCCATATCCGCTGACTCTTTTTTATTTTGCTCGGTCTCGTCCATGAGCGACTTCAGTTCTTGACGCAGTGGATCAACTTTCTTCAGCATGTCCGAGTAGTTAATCTGTGCGGATGCCCACTTGACGAGAGGTCCACAAGCTTTGGATGCTTTGTTGATTTTTTCAAAGCTGTACTCAGGATTATTGAGGAAGTTTGATCGGAAAGTCTTTCTCGTCTTGTCTGGAATCAGCTCAGAGTCAAAATTGACAATACTGGCAATAAATCCGTCTTTGACGATAGTTTTTCGAATTTGGGACCATTCAGATGATGCTTCACCAAGGAGCATACAGACAGCTTCTAAAGCTAGCTTTACACCAGGAGGCGGGTTGTTGAGTGCCTTCAATTCCTGCAAGTTCTGTTTCTTGATGCTCTTTACAGCATTCTTCGCGTCTTCAACAGCCGGTTCCACACCTGCGAGATCTTGCTCGACTTCTGCCTTCTTTTCGGCACAGGCCTTCAACTGGATTTCTAGCTTCGCACGCATTTCGGTCGACTGCTTCTTTTTCTGTTCTGCGTCTTGCTGTCCCTTCAACATTGCCTGAAGTTTCACGTTCGCGTTGTCGTTCGCAGTTGTGAGGGAAGTTTTCTTGACTGCCAGCTCTTTGCGCAACTCGTCAACTTGCTGGACTGTTTCCTTGATTCTCTTGAGACCAGTGTTCAAGTGAATCTGCTGTTCTGTGAGCTCAGATCGTTTTTCTCCCATCATCTTGGTAAATTGGTTGATAAAGTCCAAGAAATGTCGAGGAGTCACTGTAAATGTGACATCTCCTCGTTTCTGAAGCGATTTAACAGCAGCATGGAGAGTCTTGTGGATGTAAACAGCCGTGTCGACAACACTTGTTCGATGAGTCAAAGGCTGCTGAGCTTCTGGGAAAGCAAGAGCCATGTTCGATGGTGGATTGTAGTCGGCTTTGTCAATGTCCATCTTGTTGGTGAATTCAAGAGCCACCTGATACAGAGCTTCAGAATTCCAATCGCCAAACCAGTTGAGAACACATCGATTGAATAAAGCAGGAGATGTGGCTGCAGCTCCAGCGAGACCATCGTCAGTTGGATTCATCGTGAAAACGACATGAAGATTCTTGGTGACTTCACCAGTGAACCATCGATAGAGCTCATCATGTGAGTCAAGCATAAGACCTTCTCGGGCGGCACCTTCTTTGCACATTGTCATTAGCGTTGAGAGCTCATCCCCTTCAAAAAGACCAGGAACTTCGCCGTTGGCCAAAAGAGTGTTCATTCGTTCAAGGAAGGAGGAGTCCAAAACATTTGACTCGTCCATGATGAATGCGATCTTCTCGCCTTTGCATCCAGCTCTTCGGAGAACATTTCGTAAATCGTCATCGAAGTTTTCGCCGGTGTATTTTCTATGAACCTTCACTTGGAAAACCGAGAGTCCATTCATCCACGCAACAAAGCGAGATAAAGTGGTCTTACCAGAGCCAGAAGTACCGATCAACAAAAGATGACCTTGTGGTTGTCGGAAAATACGATCAATTCGAAGAACATGATCGAGAACAGAGTTGAAAAGAACAAGTTGAACATCGAGCTCTTCTTCGTAGAAAACACGGAGGCGAGCCTTCACGTACTCACGAAGCTCTTCACGGTCAACAGGGACGTAGTCCTTGCTCAGCCAGTTGGAATAGAGAATTGGTCGTTTGAGAGCTTCGAGGCGGTCCATATTCGGGAAGTGTTTTGTCGCTACTTCGTCGACCTTGGTCTCGGTCCAGTTTCGTTCATCGTCGTAGACCAAACGATCGTGGAAAAGACGTAAAGCTTCGTGTGCCCAAATACGAACAAGGCCTTCGACAGAAAGAGATTCAAGAGGCTTGAGAGCTTCTGCAATACCACGAACCCATCGTGACATCTCACGAGGAGAGTAAACATAATGAGGCTGCATATCTTGAGTGAATCGCTCCTGAGATTGTATGTATAAATCGACCATGGCATTTGTCAAGGGTTCAGAATATGGTCGTAAGTCTGGAACCATTCGCAACATGGCTCGATTGAAGGTGCCGTAAATTTGAGTGAGAGACTCTTTTCCGGGATAATCGACATAGACAACAGGAACGTGTCGCAAGAAACGGTCGGTCATTGGCTTTCGACCGGGATCAGTTGGAGGATTGCAAGCGCCAACGATTTGAATTCGCTCAAGTTTGACAAACTGCTGATCAGATTTTCGGTAGAATCCTTGTCGCTCAATGATTTGACGGAGGAAGGAAATAACTCGGGCAGTGCCGTACTCGTCATAATCCGGCAAGTTGATTTCGTCACAGAATAAGACTAGCCATTTCTGAAGCTGAATTGGTGCCATGACTATTCCATTTGGCGTTCGTCGGTACTCGCAGTAGTGCTCAAATGTCTTCAGAAGAAGTTCGGGAGTCGTAGCGCTCGAAAAGTTTAGACCGACAACTTCGAGGTCAGGAAGAGCTCGGAGAGCCGAAAACAGCGTCATCGTCTTACCGGAACCAGGAGGACCGCATAGACAGATGGGCTTGTGTTCAGCGAGCCAAGTGTAGAGCAATGATTCGTGACGAACAGTATCCATTGTTGGAATGACAACATCAGTCGCAGTAACACGATGGGTCTCGATCTCAACTTGTGGGACTTTGGATGACCACATGCTCCATTCACCGGTCGAAATCTCAGGGAAGAAATCGATGAGGGATCCGTCTGGTGGAATAGTCGGGAGAGGAATGACAGTTGATCGAGCAATGAAATCGCCCATCAGCTTCCTTTCAGATAGTTTACCATCACCAGAGAAGCACCAGACCATCGAATACACGAGGAATTTCTGGCAGTACTTTTCTACTATATCAGCGGAAAGATTGAAATCGGGATGGGTTTGATTGTATTGCACAATCGATCGAACTGCCTGGCGGAGCATGGAGAATAGAGAGTCGAGCATGCGAAGTTTGTTGGCTTCCATAATATGATTCAACTCGTAGGAGTATTCCAAGCATTTTGCAGCGAGACCATCGGAAAGGAAGAACTCTTCAATTGCGGAGCAGACTTGCGCCTGAGTTGCGAGAACTTCAGCTTCTTCATCTTTTCCAGCGATACCAGTTTCAGATGATTCGATCAAATTATGCTGAAGTGAGTTGAGGAAGTATCGACAGATCATATCAATGGTCAAGACTTCGTCAGAGAACCAGATCATTCCACAACGAGAAACGGTGGCGAGGGTCGCATATTTCAAGTGCTCGACTTCGAACATGATTCTCAGATTAGGAGGAATGCTCAATCGTTCACCATTCGGCAATGTGAGGAGCTTGTTGTCATCCAACACAGAGTTCAAGTTTTCTACCCACTCGGGATCGACATCACCATCGAAGATAATCCAGTGTCGTTTGTTGGACTCACCTCGGACGTTGTCGACGATTCTTCGAAGGATCGCAGTGAAGAGACCATCAGTCCATTCTCGAGTATTCGGGTCCAGATTACCGTAAAGTTCTTCTTTTGAGATAGCCTTTGGATCAATGACGTAAGCGACGCCCTCAGTACCATCAAGCATCTCGAGTGCAGCAAGAAGAGTTTGCCAGGCGGCGGATTTACCCGATCCAGATGGACCAACCATCATCACGCCGTGATTAATATTTTGAATCTGGCAAAGTTGAAGCACTTTGTCGACCCAAGCACTTCCGTTTTCTTCGTTTTCTGCATCGCCGTAGACGTAGTGGTTGTTTTTGCAGACAATCTTGATTTTTTCTTTCAGATTTGTCATCGCCGCTCGGTTGTACGGAATTCCAGGGAATACATCAGCAAGAAGTGAATGAAGCAATGGAATATCATCGGCAACAAGCTTTGGAAGCATAGTCTCAGAAATAGCCTGAATGAGAATTTCTTGCTCTGGGAGTTGCTCGGCCAGCTGTTCTTCGGTAACACTATCGCCAGAATCCACCGCTTGTTTCATAAGCGTAAGAATTTTATTTCGCTTTACATTACCCGCTGCAGCGAGGACAGATTTGAGCGCTCGAAGACCAAAATCATAGTGAGATTGAGAACTGAGCTGTTCATTGCAAAGCTCGAAGAATGGAACGACCTTTTTGGAGAGCAGTTCAGCCATTCGGAAGCCTTGTGAATAGAGTAGAACTTCCGCGATAAGCTTGCGATCGGGTTTAGTCATGGCAAGTGACCGGAAGAGCTTCTTCAAGTTATCAGGCAGATTGGATCGACCAGCATATCCAGGATTCATTGTGATGAAAATTGCCATGTCGCTGGAGACATTAACATTTTTACCAAGAAGCTGTATCTTTGGAACAATGGCGGAGTTCTTCGTAAGTTTGAGGGACTCTTGAATCGTTTGAATCTGTTGCGAAACAGCTGAAAGAATTCGCTCTTCAAGACGATTAAACTCATCGAAGCAGCCCCATGCACCGACCTGACAGAGACCGATGAAGATTCGACCCATAGCTTGGAAATCAAAAGTTTCATCACAATTGAAGACAAGCGTGAAACGACCAAGAGCATTACCCAGGGCTTTGACGGACTCAGTTTTACCGGTACCAGCGGGACCAAAAGGAGACCCACCAAACCGCGAATCAAGGGCTTGCGTCATTGTGAGCCAGCATCGAGTAGTAAGAGGCGTTTGAACGAGCTTATCAGTAAGGCCGAGGTATTCGAAGCCATAATCAAAGTTAGCATTCGCCATCTTCACAGTAAGCGATTGAAGAACATTCTTTGATGAGTCGTAGTAGAATCGCATCTGGCTGAGCCATTCAAAATCCTTTCCAGATGAAATTCCCTGCTTTTTCAACTCTCGAATGGTATCGCGCTGATAGACACTTTCCATTATCAAGTGCTCAAGCTTCTTGCGCCGGATTGGTGGTTGTTCTTGAAGAACGGAATCAGCCAGAAGAGTCAAGTTAGATTCAACCTTCGCAAGAGCAGAATCCATGGAGCCACTTTCAATCGCTTTTTCAGTCATTTCAGTCCAGTGGATTTGGCTAGACAGGACAACAAGCTGTGATTGCGAATTGTCAAGCCACTCAAAGAAATCTTGCGGGGTTAGGTTCTCTTTCGCCATGATAGCAGCATAGGAAGATGTTGATTTAGCCAGGCCAGTAGCAAGAGACTCCTTCATTGATTTCTCAACTAGTCCGAGCCATTCGTTGATTTTAGGGAACTTCACGGTGTCAACCGGATTGATGTATTTGAGTTCCTCGCCTTCTTTGGAAGAAACACCAAGGATGGTTTTTTCATCTTCGGATAAAATAAGACCGTGGATGCCAGCAAACATCTTTTTGAAATGCTTCTGAAGCTTTCCGATAGCTTTTGAGTTACCGATGATCTCCAAAAGATCTTCATCTCCAACGAAGTAGAATCGAGGAAATGCAGATCGTTCTCTCTCAAGATACTCACCGAGAGCCTTTTGAATCTTTGCGAGAAGGTCTCCAAGTCGCTCTAAATTACGCTGAGCACCAGGAATGGTGATAACATCAAGAACAAGCGGTGCTCGAGAAACTTTTTTCATCAAATTCAAAAATTCTGATGAGATAGAAGCGAAGCGTTGCGTCTCTTGCGGGAGGAGATGAGGCAGATCAGCGGATCCAGTGAAAATACCCTCCAAGTAGACCCATCGTCTCTGAACGTCGATCCACAAGTCGAAAATAACATTCATCTTGTTCAATTTTTCGTCCCAGCTGGATGCTTCATCTTCGAAAACTTTGTAGTAAGGCGACAAGCGCATTTGAGAGACAGAATTGATGTGCTCTTTCAGTTTGTTGAAAAGATCATCCCAGCCTCGGATCAGCTTGCACTTGTTCTGATAGTTGACTAAATCCAGCTCGTAATTTTGCCAGGCATCCTTGACTTGGTTGAGGAACTGCTCGAGAGCCATTTCACCCTGGGCGACAAGCAAGACATCTTTGAAAACTTGCTCGTGTCGTGCAAGATCGAGATCCCAAAGATCACCAAGGCAAAGGTCGACCATGTTCCAACTGACACGGAGGTTCTTAGTGAGTTGTTTCCAGTGACGCTCCTTGACAGTTGAAGACTTCAACTCGACAATGATCCAGTTGTGTTTCATATAAGCTTTGATTCGACCAAGAACATGCTCATACGATGCGTACTGACGAAGTCGAGCGGGAAAGTTTTTCATTTGTTCCCGTAACTCGTCCAAATTCTTTCTGATTTTTCTTGGTTGAATCACTTGCCACGATTGCTCTTTGAGCTGCTCCAGCTGATTGCTGACCTTAGCCAGCTCACTCCAGATTTCCTTCAGATCACTGAGCTCTTCAAGGGCGACTGTAAGTCGCTCAGCAATAGATGTTGATGATGAGTTGTCTGTAAGCTCAAGAGCTTCCTTTGCTTGACGTTGATTCTCACGATCGTCTTCAATTCGCTGGAATTTAGTGCTAAAGATGGTCAAAGAGTTAAGGGCATCAGCAGGCTTGACGGTTGGCGAAACTGGTTTGCCTCGGTCCCAATCAGACAAGAGATCTGCAGTTTTTTCTTCGACGACTTTGTCCTCAGACACAATTCGCAATTGAAGTGAAGCAATCTGTGATTGGATCGCAGTGTCTTTTCGCTTGTGAATATCCTGGAATGCGCTCCATTCACCTTCAATGTTGTCGATGTAGAGCCAGTTTTGTGGGAACTGGTAACGCTGTTTCTCGAGGAGTTTCTGACCGGTCTTGTACTGTTCAACTTTAGTCTCCCACTCTTTCATCTGGAGCTTCATCTTTTGAACTTGAGTGATCAGCTGAACGGCGTCAGACGTGTGAGCAGATTCGGTTGTAGAATTTTCAAGATCGGATCGAGCTCGTGAGATCTCAACATGGAAGTCGGTCATGTGATCGCTCATCATTGCTCCGAAAGAGGCAAGCATTTCTTTATGCCAAGCATCATACTTCAGCGAAACTTTTGACTGGACTTTGGCAAATTCGATGTTGACCGGGCCAGTGATAAAAACTGACTCGCTGGTGTCGAAGGTCTGTCGGCGTTTTCGGACATCAACGAGCATCGCCTGCCAGGTTTCAACGTCAGTACCCATGGCGTCGTAGATAGCTTGCGGCTGCATGTCCCAAAGGAATTGGTAATGGAGCCATTTGCTGACGTAGCCCTGCACCTCAGAGTTCACCTTCTGCACGGCGTTATAGATGTTGTCCAACGTAATGTTTCCAGAGGGCAATTTGGAGATGACGCTTCGATAATGAAGATCGATATCAGACTGGCGCTCAACAACACCGACTTGGTATTTATGAGCTTGGATACGTGGCAATCGGAGGATGATGTTTTGCCATTCTTGCATTTGTCTCACAAGATTTTGATAAACGGACTGAGTTGGCGGGTGACAGAAGAGCACCTGGTTGTTGAGTCGCATTTCCAAACTGATCTTTTTGATCTGCGGAATAGGTCGGGACTCAGGAACATCCTCGTCCTCGTCGATTTCTTGGATTTTACCTAAAATTTATTTAATTTTCATGATAGCACAAATGACTTTCATGCAGTTACTAACTCGAAAAAACTCGAGTTCGAATATTTTTAGTTCGAAATGAATAAAAGTGCGAAAATGACCAAAACTTTGGAATTACGGGAGACCGATAATTTCCGAAGTCGAACACGTGCAATAAAGCATTGAGCACAAAGCCACCTCAATAAAATTAAAAGCGTTAGTATCAAGACCCTTAACCTTCATCAGTAGGACCGCTGGTGGTCATTAGTTCTTAAAAGTTTTCCGTGTCTAATTGATAAGTTGTAAATATCTTACCTTCAAGTTCATCAGCCCAAATGTTAAGAGCTTCTTCAAGTCGGGTGGCAAGAATATGTTCAATTTGCTGGTCGAGGCGCTGGACCCAAAATTGCAAGTTCGAATACAAATGATTCACCATTTCATCAACTGACCCTTGGATCTTGTTCAGGATCGAAACAAAAGACTTGTAGTTGTAAGGGCACGTGGCGAGCAACTTGACTTGATCAGCAATGGTGTCATCAAGAGAGATGAGATCTTCAACTTTTTCTTGGAAGGCAAAAACACCGTCTTGAAACTTTTGCGTGTATGACTCGAGTTTGTAAGAGTCCCAGACGAGATCAGCGCCTTCGTGAATCATTCCAATCAGCTGGTTGATCCGTTCAGCGAGAAGCGTTTTCAATGACGGACGGTCTTGAGTTCTTCGAGTTACTGCTCGGTAGGTGTTGAGAGATTCTGTGAGAGAAACGGCGAATGGGTAGAGCTGATTCGCCTGATGCGCCTTGTTGATGATGGTCAATGGCACTCGATATCCAAGCCACTTCAGATTTCGAACTTCCTTTGAAAGCGTGATGATCTCCTGCTGAAAGTTGATCTTGAGTTCAAGAATTCGCGCATCAAGGTCTTCCTCGTTCTCCGTTTCCAATCGCTTCTTTTCAATTGCAAAGATCTTGCCTGTGATTGAAAAGTTTCGATTTTGAACACGAGTGACCCAAGCGTCAAAGGCAGGTTTTGCATCAAGAAGCGCTTTGAAAGCATCTCCATCTTCTTTCAGTTTTTGACCTTCAGCGTGATCTTGCCAGCTCTTTCCCAGAACATCTTCTACGCGTCTTAGATAAGTCTCCAACTGCTTCTCAATCTGCTTGGCCCAGATGATATTTCCAGATACAGGAGGGATGTCTCGCCCGGCCGCAAATGCACAACCTCTCGATTCCGGATAACGGACTTTGAACTTTTCATGAAGCTGGTCGATGTCTTCCTTGACTCGATGAATCAGTTGATTTTGATACTCGCGGATGGCTCCTCGAATATGAGGTCGAATGAAAAGCGCGTTGAATCGAGAAAAGATTCGGAACATTTCATTTGCAGATTTTGCAAGACCAAGTTGATCACGAAGACGAGCGGTGATTCTGCTTTCAACGCGATCAATGCGTTCATCGTATCTTTTCACTGCAGATTCCCAAGCTTCGATTCCTTCTTTAGCTGTGTCGAGGCAGTCGACTTCCTTGACGACTTCGTAGGCTTGATCGATCTCGCCAATAGCGCTGCTCTCTTCCTCCGTAGCGCGGAGAACTCGAGAAATGACGGATCGGAGCTGCTCGTGTTGTCGACGGAAGTTGCGCATCTGGTCGATTCGAGTTTGGAGAAGCTTGTGAGCTGGATTCACTCGCCAGGAAATCTTCAAAGGCTCTTCGCGCTTCTTTTTCGCGATATCTCTCAAGGTGCCCTGGAGCTGCTCGTATTGCTCGTCCCAGGCAGAGAATACCTCGAAGCATTGGTAGAGAATCTTTTCAAAGTCGTCGTTTTGAATATGCATCAGCCGTCGGGTCGAAAGAACCTTGACCATCTGCTGGACAAGATCACGGGAGATGGCTTCAATCAGGCGAAGAGCTCGTTGAACTGGATATTCCTGGCAAGAGCGGATCTTTTTCAAGTGACAGAAGATCGAGTGCACCGCCGCGCGGATCTTGTCGACTTCAGTTGCAGCGAAAAGCTCATTCAGAGGGAAATCTTTCATCAAAGGCGAGTAGTCGTTCACCTTTGCCAAAGACTGCTTCAAGCCTGTATCAGTATCGAAAGACACAGTGGCGTGAAATCGCTTGCCATGCTTCAGAATATCAAGCGTTAGCTGGACTTCGGGGAGTCTCTCATCTCCTGAATCTGCAGCAGAGCGCGCTCGAGATTCAACCAAAAGGAGACTTCTTGAAGAGCTGTTCCGACAGAGGGGTCGCGCTCCATTCGTGTTACTTTTTGGATTTCCTTGATCCACTTGTTCACCAAGTTTTGGAGACCGTTCAGATAGGTGGAGTCTTCAACCTTTGCGCCAAGGTCTTGAACTCGTGCTCGTCGTCCTAGAAGATGCTTTTAAGGATCTGTATTAGTTTTTCTAACTGTACCTTGTTCATTGCAAGTTCTAATAATATGCGAAATAGTAGGATGCGGAGTCAGGAAGATTTCAGGAATGTCGACATTCTGTTGAAGATGAAGCAGTCCCATTTCTAATTCAACTAATTTCTTCTCCACGCTAGGGCCCATTTTGTCGCCCGAGAAGTCGCGTGAATCGGCGACTTTTGAAGATTCTCGGAGATACGACTTGAAGAAGGGGGACACAGCGCAGGATAGGTACAAGTGGAGACTTTCATAGAGGGAGTCTTCCCGGAGAACGATGGATTGAAGCTGACCGGGAATTGGCTTGTCTGTTTCGATGCTGTTGCCGGTTTTGATAAAAATCACTCCTGAATTAACGTTAAAATTTGGTTTCCGAAAAAAAATTTTACCCGTTGCTCTGGCGCTTCCATATCTAACATCAGTGGAAATGCTCCACGTGATATCAGCCTCCTCGTCAATATCCGTGCCTCGAATATTCTTCTCGACCATGAGCGCACGGCAACCAACATCAGTAGCGAATTTTCTAATCATTTCACTCTTTTCCACGCACAGCTGCTCGAGTGGATCGCTAGCTCCACAGTCGATCAGAAGGCGGGTTGAGTTGCAAATGTGTCGGGACAGGGCCGGTACATCCGGCCCGACCGGCACATCTCCTTGCCCATCCATATTCAGATTTTCGATCAGTCTAAACTTTCAAGAATTACACACATTTTCTGTATATTTATAAAGAAAATCTCTCTTTTTTGTTATTTTACGGCGGCGATCTCTCGTTCTGAGACACTTTGCAATAACAAATGGTGTGAAAAAACCGGAGTTTGGCCAATTTCGCGTCGAGTAGCTGAACCAAACTGTCACGTACGCAATTCAAAAACAGAAACAAGAAAAACAAAAGAGAAAAGTCTCAGAAGATACCCTTATTCTCTCTCTGAAGACGGGTAAAGAAAAAAGGAACGGTGTTGGTACGACTGTATCACTTTTCATTGAAGCGAATCGATAATAAATCTGCGTTGGCATTTGGTGTTGTCACGGTGAGCCAGCACTTTTTCGAACCAATTGAGAAAACGACTCGTGGCTTTAGCGCAAGAGCGCGAGTCGAAAATCCGCGCAGTAGACTATCAGTGATAACATATCACAAATCAAACTGTGTCTAAACTCAGACAGAGAGATCTCAAGAATTAGAGAAGAAATTTCATAAAGAAAAAGGATTTATGTTTTCATCACTTGCAACCTATTTTTATTAATTGTGCAATAAACTTTTTTAAAAAGAGAAAATCTCCCCGTTATTCATATCGATTAGAGATTCCCCTGCTGTGAAATGAAAAGAGAATGACTCGTTGAAAAACAGTCACATCCCGTTTTTATTTACTCGATCGCATTTACCCCATCACCGCTCTATTCAACCATTTCAAAATAATGAGAAAAGCGAAAAAGCTGACAAAACGCATTAAGAAAGCTTTCGAGTTGGAATCGTCAATTTTGCCCGTTCCTCCGCCGAGGAAGAGTCTTTCCTCGACGGAGCTCCGATCCAGCCAGAGGTCGAGCCACGAAGATGTCTCGATCGAATCCGACGAGTCAGACTCAGGTAAACTTTTGTTTTGCAGTAAAAAATATAACTGGAGTCTTGTGAGCTCATTAATTGTCACATGGTCCAGATTTGATTGTCCCGCGTAATCAGTTTTGAGCTAATTTATTACCACGCGCTTATTTGACCGCGAGGATCATTTCAATCTTGTTTCAATCAATTTTAGCTCGATCAAGCAGATCTTCGACAAAGTCAGAAACGGCCCTAGCGTTGGAGAATGAAAATCTTCAAGAGCAGCTTTCGCTGATGATGATTAAGCTAACAGAAAAAGACAAGCTGATCCACGAACTTGATGCAAAAAATAGAAGTCTTGATGAACAGCTGCGCGAGGGAGAGTCTACCATGCGCTTGGTACGTCAATTTTTTCATAAAAATAATCGAATAATTCTGATTTTCAGTGGATAAATCAGCTGAAAAACGAGATTCTCACCCTCAAAGATGACAATAAGAAGAAAGAAACCGCCCTTCTTGCCTATCAAGAACAGAACATGCTCCTCAATGAAGAAATTCTAGAGCTAAACGGCAGAAGAAAATGCGAAGTCATGCAGGCATCGTTTCACGCCTCTCAAAATCATCGAAAATACTCAGAAGCGTCCGACTCATCACTTTTGGAATCCTTTTTGATTGAAGACGACGAAGAACAGAATACTAGCGTCGATGAAGATTCTGAGTTTGTCCTCGTTGCGGATCAAGAAGCGCCAGATACAGAGACGTGTGTTTGGGAAGAAACCGTCTCTGGAATCAAGGTTTTTTCTAACAATTGTTGAGCAGCTAATTATTTTCATAGAACAATCGTAACTGGCCGAACAACAACAACGTAAAACTGCTGATCCGACAAGGAGTTCCTCCGCGATTTCGTCCGCGAATTTGGCGAGCATTGATGAACGACCAAATCGTCCTGCGACTCGGTCTCTACTCATCCCTCGCCAACGAGCCGCCTCACGAAGACGTCGTCAAGCAAATCGCACTAGATCTGCCTCGAACAAAACGATGGCTTCTCAACGACTATTCACCTCAATTTCGCGAGAAACTACGCCGAGTGCTCTGGGCATTCGCGAATTACAACAAAGAAATCGGCTATTGCCAGGGATTGAACAGAATCGCTTGTTTGGCGCTGGAACATCTTTACGAAGAAGATGCGTTTTACTTTTTACGGCTCGTTACGGAGTCGTTTTTGCCGCAAGATTATTACTCTGGAAACATGTGTGGAATCAGAGCAGATGGAGCGCTAATTTCTGAAATTCTACGAGACAAAGGTAGCTTTTTTTCTCCGGCAATTGTTGATTTTATTCTAGCTCCGCGACTTTCCGAGCATTTACGATCACTAGACCCCCATGTTGATACTGTGGCTACTGTAGCTACCAACTGGTTGCTAATTATCTTTATCGACCCATCGATAGACATAACAGTGACGCTGAAAATCTGGGACGCGTTTCTTTTCGAAGGGAACAAGGTAAATTGATAGTCGAAGGTTCTATTTTCACTCCATCTTTCAGGTCCTCATCCGCTGGTGCATAGCGATTTTCCTCTATCACGAAGATAAACTCCTAAAATGTTGTGACTCGTCTCAAGTGATGCAAACCCTCCGTTCCAATAAACTTCTAGAGCCAAAGGTAGGACTTTCTTAACAATCTGGGAAATTAACTCGTTTGTTTAGGACTTCGACCGCATTCAAAACTACGCCTACAATAGGATCAATCCCTTTTCGAAAAAGTACGTGGAAAGTGTACGTCGCAAAATGCTCTGTGACCTTTGACTCCAAACTCATCTCATGCTGCGCCTATCCTCATGATTTCTTATCAGTTTCAATTTCCATTTTTCTTAGCCTATCATTCTTCTTCCTAATAAAGTCCACTATTCACGAAAAAACGAGTTGCGATGCGTTTCTAGAGCAGCAATGGTTGTCTTGTTTGCATGCATTTTAGGAGTCAATGGCGATGCGTTTCGTACTTTTAGCAGCAGCAGTTGCAGGAAAAACGCTTGTTCCAGAGGCAGAGATAGAAGTGGACCCTGAAACTGGACAGAAAATCAAGTATATTCGGGTATTTATGCACGGTATGCTTTGTCTAACGACTACCAGATAGGATTTTGGGAGGAGCTTCGAACTCAATACACATGGGCTTTCGTTTTATTCATTCTGCTTTGCATTTTCGGACCGTTGTACTTGTGCTGTCGTGTTTGGGTCCGAAAGACTAGTTGATATTTGGTATTTATTTTTGCCTTAATTTTGACCCCGAAAAGATTAAAAAATAATGTCAGCAACTCGATGAACCCTCTTGCAAACTTATCTGCTGGGTAAGTTGTGTACGCGAGATCACTTTCATACAAAAATTAAGGAACAAAAAGAGTGAGCTCGATCCAATAAAGACGAAACGACAGAGCAAGACGTCAAAATTCCGATATCAAAAACGACACAAGCCAACATCTAAAACTACTGTTCGATATGAAGATGAGCTCAGAAAACTGCGTCTCTAAATCTTTGCATTTTTAGTTATGTGCAAATCTGCCAAATAAAACGGGTTATTTTATAAATCAATTTATTGGTCGAAATTCATCGGAATCGTCGGAAAGCGCGAATTGTTTTGGCGATCTAGTATATTTTTAAAGATTGTTATTTTAAAGCTAGTTAACGGTTTTATTTGTGAATGATGCTCGTAATATAGGGGGAGATGAAATTTCAACAATTTATGATGATAATTATCTTCATTGGTACTTGAATTCATTGATATTTTGTTAAATGTCGCAAAACGTTCGTCTAAAGAGTACACTTCAATTTTTGCATACAATTCTAGTTGTTTCCATTTTTCATCGTTTGATTCCATAGAAAGCTCAAAAATTACAGTTTCTTCTCGGATAGTTTATTTATCTATATGTTCAAATATAAAAACGATGTCATTGACTCCGCGCAAGCTAGATCTTAAACCGAACTGAAATTCCCACCGGGTTATTATTGAGTCAAGTACTTCAGAATTTGAAATTCCTTGCAGATCAAAGTTGTCTGTGGCGGATAAAGTAAAAACTGCAGTATTTAAGTGAGAGAAGAGAAGATCAAGCTTATCAGAAATTTCTTCTCTATTTGTGTAGCTGTCTTCGTTTTCATTTTGACTGCGCTCGTTCACCTGATGATCTTTTGGCGCCAATATAGTCCGCATTCGAGAAAAACCTTTTTTGAGTTCTGATAGTTCTCTTTTGAATAGTTTTCCATCCTTGAGACTAGTTTTTTCTAATTTATTTAATTTTTCCACTAGTTCGCCCTGTTTGCTTTCCAAATTCTTGTTTGTGTCTGTTAGTTTTAAATTTTTCTCCCGTAAAATCTGAATTTCCTCTTTCATCTCATAGATTTGCTTGTCAGAGTCGGCAAGTTTTCTCCATACAGCCATTATTTCGTTGTTTGGACCACTGTTAGCTATTTCTGCATTTACTTGATCAGTCCGTCTGGTAGGGACGTCCTCTCTGGTCCAGTCGGACACCTCACTACAACTAATATAGGTATCTTCATCACTCATTAAAAATATTTCGATGTAGTCACTATAAGTTATAGTCTATAACAGTCGGCCGTTCTCTTGAATGTGTTTATCTACGCGAATTGTTCTTCAGGGCAAGACAATTCACGGGCCGTTATACCTCTTTTTCTTGTAAAATTTGTTTGCTAAAATGACAACGTGAATATAACAAAAATAAAGTTAACTATTTGTTAAGGAGGTCAAGTTTTATTCGGCAGTAAGATGTGCAAAAGTATATTTGAGGTATTAGAAGTCATATTTTGTCCTTACTGACTTCCTGATTTTTTGATAAGGTATTTCTTTCGATACAGATATGTACAGTATTGAAGAGTTTATGTTTATGAACAGTCGTTATTCTGGTTTCTTATTGACAATGTACCAGAGTAAGGAATCGTTGATTGAGAGTTATAATCTCGCATCAGTGGAGTTGGAGTAGTCGTCGTTGATTGCACTTTTGGATTTTCGAGAATCATCGAGTTCCCAAATGTGCTGAGAGGAGGCAAAGCCACTCTTTTTGGTTGCTGTCGTAAGAGGGTTGATGTGTCTCGAATCTATAAAAAATCAATTTAAGAGTTTTGAACTTTGAGATATTGCTACCTCGTCAGCAGGGTATTCAGGCGGTGGCGTTTCTTTTTCAAGCCCGAAATCACCTCGTCTAGTCCTTCTCTGGTCGATTTCTTTCTTCGAGGTAATCTGGCCATTGTGTTGCGGTAATCGCTTGAATTTAAGGATATACACGACGCTTGCTATACAGAAAACCAGAAATATGGCCAAAATCCCAACAATCACGCCTTGAATGGTCTAAAAGACAAATATTATTCATTGTTCTGCCAGCACTAGCATCGAGTCGATAATTCTCCACTTACCGTATTGGCGTCGAAGCAGTTCAATGGATTCCACCCGCCTTTAGTGATTTCTGGAGTCGCTGCGGCGGATATTCTGTATGGAGCCGAGTTGGAATAAGAAACTAAAATTTCATTCATTCTAATTTGTATTGATTGTAGTACTGTACCTTCTGTAGGGTTCCGCACGATTCGGACAGAGACTTTATATTTACCAAAATTTTTAAATTATACTAAAAATGACTAGTAGAATCCATATCCGATCCTAGTTTCCCCCCAAAGCCATTTCTTTGGTTATTTTAAAGCTATTCAAAAATATAAAGTTTAAAAGGCTTATGCGCTCTGATTGGTCAGCTGCGCAAGCGACTTTTTCTAGACTGAAGATTCTTCCATCTGAACAACACAGTCAGAAATTCGACCAATCAGCGCGCGGGAAATAAAAATGATAATAGTTTTGAAAACTTTAATTGATCAGCACACAAAAAGTTCGCTGAGTTATAATTTCATTTAAAAACGAAAACTATTATTTTTTGGTGTTCTTTTTAATGGGAGGGCGACTGAACGCGTGCGACAGAAATATACCGGAAAAACCGAGATAAATCGGTGAATTTTAAGAGTTATCAGAATATAAGTATCGTCATTTTCTTCGCCATAGTCGAAAACCTCAATCCCACTTAAAACTTCAAAATTTCTTATAGTTAATTTTGGTTTTTGAAATTTGGGTCCTCCGATCGTGCGGAACCCTAACCTTCTGAACGCAGGCGTTGGAGCTCAATTGTCTTTTGGTATATTTGATAATCCTGAGAGAAAACTGAAATTGTCCACGATGCGCTTGTTTCCGGAATGTCAGCGAGCTCAATGTCCACTTCTCTTGTGTTGAAATCACCAGTTTGATGCTGAATAATTTCAATTACAGGCAAATTCAAGAAGCTTTATACTTACGCAAACGGCTTTTCGTTTTATCGCGGCGTAAGGGGTTGCTTCGGCCCAACAAATTTTAACTGCTCCAACATTTTGCGAAACTCGCGAGCTCATGAGATGAATCCAGAAGGCTGATCTTCCGTCGTGAGTGATAGTAACTGAGATCGAAGAAGGGGGGTTTTGAAGTTGAAGCGTTGAGGTTACTGAATATGCGCTTGCACTGATTTGAAAATGAGTAACTTACCTTGAGGCTTCTGAATAAAAATCTCATTGGACTTTGCCCATTCCGACTTGTCGGAGATGCACGTCCGGGACCAGATCCGGCGCACTCGAAATTGCACGCGCTGCGATGTGTCAAACTCTGTCAGTTGATAAGGAAACGCAAAGTGAGGTAGTTCGGTGGCAGAGGGAACTTCTGCGAGTGAAACATTAATGTGACGTTCTAAGTCTGATTTCCATTTTCCGTTGACTTTGCATTGAATTTCGAATCTATAAGAAAGAGGGATAAATAGACAATTAGAGAATCTAGTTTACCTGTCCCACACGGAGCCCGTCGTCTTGATGAATCTATCAACCTGCCAGTCTACAGTCACAGCGTCGACGCCCGTGTCCAAATGCGCAGTCTGTGCGTTTACTTCCATGACGGATGGGATCGATCTGGGAAGCTTCTCTCGTCGAGGACATAGTCTAGGTCGCCGGATCGGGCACGTAACGCGTCTCGTTGGTTCTTTTCTCCTCGTTTTCCCAGCGTTCAGCTCGACAAGATACTCGCCAGAAGAATCTACTGGGATTTGGATTTCCAACTCGTCAGAATTGATGCATTTTTTCTGCTTGTCTTTTTCGTAGCTCAGCTAAAAATTGGCTAGATTTTTGTTTACTTCTGGATATTTGTACCTGGTAGAGATTAAAGTTCTCTTCGTTGTCTTCTTTGTACACAGAGAAACAGAGCGTCCCAGGGCTGATAAGCGAGCTTTTCCATTCGACTGTGATATTGTAAGCATCACCAGCCTGGTGACACATGACATCCTTGAGTTTAACTGGAAACTTTTCTTCTTTGAACTTTGGTGCTGACTTTATTGGAGTTGGAAAGCAACTCGGCGTTTATTTTATCAACTGGCGGTTACTATGGTCAAGCATTCAGTAAATCATTCTCAACTCTTTTCCTTTGATCGTATATGTACAGTCTGCGTGAAGCTAATGTCCCCGAGCTCGTTTGACACAAAGCATTGGTAAATACTCTTTTCATCGTTGGAGTAATACTCGTTTGTTCGCACGGGAATAGTTCGCTCGCTCTCCGAAAGTTCTCGTCCGTTTACTTTCCATTTCACCTTTCCTTCCGGATATGCGATGAAGTTCTAAATGAAAGATCTGAGAAAGAATCTAGGAATACGTGGCATTGTTTTAATGAGCGGAATAACTCGGAGCTATCTCCTCTAGCGGGCCATAAACCCTTCAATGCCGACAATAGGACATCCTATTCCGATGCAAAAGGTGACAAGCTCATCAAAAATTGACTTTGGTCGTAGTTGTGCAGGAAGGAAGCAAATGATAAGCAGATTTATCAGCGCTTTTGAAGATTTCCCGCGTAACATAAAACACGTGATTATAAACTTACCGGGCATTCTACCATCGGGCAGCGAGAGCCTCTTCGGCACTCATCAACGGTTACTGTATCTGGTAGAGAATCTGTAAATCGCGGCGGATCTAAAATAGAATATCATCAATGAGTGATGACAACAAGGACAATAAACAGCAAGTGTGGTCTAAAGTTCGATCTCGTCTTATCGATTCTGAACATGACAGACGGAAGTTATTTTTCCTTCCTCGAACTAGAGAGTCCTTGGAGATATTTATGCCAGTGTGCCATTTCGAAGGTGGTTACTTACATGATAGTCGTACGTCATATTGGAACGTAACATTCCTGGATTCATCGATGCTGGTGTACTGACCCTCGTTTCGCATAGAAAGACCGCGCACCATGAGAATTCCTTTGAACGTATATTTGAATAAAAAGATCAAAAGAGAGCGCAACTGAGATACAGTATCGCATCAGCAGTAACCGAAACCTACCGTTCTCAAGACTCAGCGAGTCAAATCCTCCTCGTCCTGGCGTGAGCTTCTCATTATTGAAGTACCACCTAGCTGAATTCGAAGCGGGCTCGAGAACAAGATCTTGTCCCAAAACAGAATTGAGTGGGATGCGTCGATATTGGTTGGAGATGCCGTTGGCGACAATTTTGACTTCTTAAATTGTAAATGTCAGTATTTTGAATGTGTGAATTTCAACCGGTGGAATGTGTTTGGTCACAACCTTGCGGTTAGCGCGGGCTTCGCGAAAAACACGAAAAAGCGGCGTTAAAATTCGAGCATTCTTTGCATCTCACCTTTTGGATTGCTGAAGGCCCACAGCTTTTGGCTTCGACCGAGAAAGTCGTTGACCGCCTCGCATGTGTAGCTTCCTTCGTCTCCTGGTTGAACGGATTTGATAAAAAGCTTCTTTCCATTTCGATGGAAGTCGTAACGAGGATCTGAAAATGTCAATATTAACCACATTTGACCGTGGCGGCAGTTGCGCTTTGATATTTCTCACATGTGGTACCCGTTACGATTTCACAAGCGAAGACTACTGTATAATCGAGTTGACGGAAATGTGTCAATTTTATATTTGCCCGGAGTTCTTTGATCTAAAAGTACTAACCATTATCACGAAGTAACTGTCTTTCACCGTCTTGGGCGACCTTGAACCAATTGAAACGCGCTTCCGGCGTGGAATCAATATCCGGACAGTCCAACATCACGGGCTGGTTAACTTCGCTCCGCACAGGGCCAAGATTGCCGAGGTTCCAGAACTTGCCAAGTTCTGAAATAATTAATGAGATTCACTTTCTCACGGGCCATTCAGTCTTTTGTATCTTCATGGTCAGAGAATAAGAGGATAATCCCATCAGCTCAGACTCGATGGCATTTCGAATTTTTTTATTCAAGAAGGTACTTACTGGCGATGGTGAGTTTAATTGGCTCGGAAGCGATCGCTGTCTTTTTCAGCTTGGCGACACAACTAAATGAGCCTTCGATCTTCTCATTAACATCGGTAATCATCATTATATTGCCCTTGCGGATCATCCATGGGTGGTCTTCCATCACCCTTCGCGAGCTTCGTCTTGATCTATTCCCACCCGCGCGCGTCAGCTGAGAATGCGCCTTCAGCGCTTTGAACTGCTCCCTAGGGTTGAGCGCTTTCGTATCCAACGGCTCCAGCACGAAGTCGAGCTCATCTTCTGGAAAGGAATTTTCCCAGCTCGATTTGTCTGGGCGCCTGTCGTTGACCAGCGAAGTCCCCAACAGCCGGGCGTCAAGAAACCACTTCACCGCGACAGTGGAGCGCGGGACGATGCATTTAAAACTCGCATTCTGGTTCGGTAAGAGGATTGCATGTTGGCTGTCTGCGCCACTGCTCAGCTCGCCAGAGTACTCGATTCGCACATCTAAAAGCAAAAAATCAAAATTTGCACTTTCAGTTCTAATGAATTGATTTTGTAAACATCTTGTTTATATGAAAATAAAAAATCTAAAAATACGATTTACACTCCTATCGACTTCTATTTTTAGCCATCAATCAAAGCTTCAATTATAATATAACTTGTCAATTGTAAAATAACCCTAATTCGCTAATGTTAAATACCCAGCCCCAATTTCCGACGCTAGCTCTGCGCGTCTTTGATGATTGGCTTTTTGCGATAATTATAATTTGGTGTCTGTTACGAGCGCGATCGTAAACTTACACCTTCGCTCGTAACATTCCGACCGCGCTTTTAACTTTTGCTTTGATAATTTCTTTCCGTTTTTTGTTGGTTGTGGAAATGCAAGTTTCGTAAAATATTTTCATGTTGAAAAACATGATCTCGAAATTAAAAATTTTAAAGTTGAAATAATTTATTTTCGCAGCGAAAATCTGAGCTCCTTATCACTTGACTTGACGCTTATCGGCTGAGCAGGTGATGAATTAAAATTTCCCGCTCGCATTTTTCTAAAAACCGAGAATAAACGGTAAAAAATTCCACCGTCCCCTGCTGCCCGCTGCTCAAACGAAAATGTGAATTTGCTCAAAACTGTCCAAACACAGTTTCTTATTGTGAGCCCGAGGTGGCGGCAAATACATTGACGAAAGCTCAATTGAGCTTCACTGAGTTTTCTCAATGGCTCAAATTTCGGAAATTTTCGAAAAAAGGGGCTCCACCGGACACCTGCAGCGGAGCATTTCTAAATATTAATTTGGTGTTTATTTTTCCTACAATTTCATGCAAAGATACAATTTGTAAATAATTTCTCAATTTGATTTGAAAGACCACTCATCAGGGATCATTTTTAGGCTATTTTATTGATCCTTCATTTCAGAGGTCTAAATTTCCAATACTTTTTCGCGGTATTTATCTTTTGATACTTTCTATCGGACACCCGTCGCTGTGATAATATCCTTCCCTTGTCAATAAAATAAGCTCGGAAAGGGGATGAGGCAAATCGATGGCAAATTGAATATCTGTCGCGATAAATATTCGCAAAACTTCGCCGCCCGTTTGACATTTCGAGTTGTTTAGCACGAGATTATTAAGTTCTGGTACAGAGGATTTGCTACCAGAGGAATTTAACCTTTTCGTGTTCTTCTAGCGGCTTAGAGGAACGAAAGTTGTGTGCGCTAAATGTGTTTATAAAAGTCTATTTGGGAGAAATTCACGACCAATTACGCTAGTTTGAGGGTTTGGAGCACCTGGCTAAACCATCCGGGCGAGAAATTTAAAATATTATAAAGCGACAGGTGCAGCTGCCCGGTGCGTCTGATAAAAGGAGAAAATTGACGAAATTCAAAGACATTACCCGTTTGATCATTTCAATGACTTTTTGTCAAGGAGATATAGAAAAACTTAACAGTCTTAAAATTCAAAGTTGATTTTACAAATTTACTGGGCCTTGAAAACGCGAAATTTTCTCATGAATCAAAAGCTTCCCGTCGAAAGTTCTATGATTATTCGCCAGAGACCCCAAAAATTGGCCAGAACGCGGCAGGGAGTTAAAAAATCGAACTGATGGACCCGTCAAAATAATTTTTTTTCCATTAAATCATCCAAAAAATCAAAGCTCTTCCTGTTTGTTCAGAAAATAAATCCCCTCGTAAATCACTTTCCATCCGGCAAATTACATTTACGAGAAGATTTCTTAAGACTGAGGAAATCTCCTAAATAATCGATGCTCTACCTTTACCATCTTTAAAAATAATCAACTTTTCGTCAGGTCTAGTCACTTCGACATTTCGGTGCTACTTACAGGTTTAGCTTTGAAAGCTTGGCATAATACGAAAAAGTCAAAGGAATTAGAAACAATAAATCACCAAGTTGATGGTGTTCGATAAATAGACATCATCGGGTGACATTTCCAAGCATCAACTACAACTCTTAGTGCTGCAGTCCCTCGAGGAAAAGGCGTTTGCCCTTTCTACGAGGAAAGATAGTCAGCGGGCAGCTGCCCGTAAAAGGCACACGCAAAGTTTAGCTCCCCGTAAACACCAGCAGAAATGCACAAGCAACTATTACGAACATAAAATCTTGGGCTTCATTGTTAGCGAGCATAAACTTTCATGATCATTTTTTTATTTTGTCAATTTCAAGCCCTGTATTTGGCACTCAAGTTTTCAATCAAGTCATCACTCTCTGGCTTAACATTTATCATAATTTTCGTAAATTAAAATCACAATAACAATTATTTCATCCGATAATAACAAGCCCCTAATTCATCACAGTAAAGTTCCAACAGAAAATGATGGATGCAGTGACGTCCCCTTAATTCCAAGGAATTCTCGAGTTTGCCCTCAAAAACACGATGCTAGAATAAACATTGGACAGCAATGAAAACTGCATTTTCGGAAATCGCCTTCCGCTTTTTGATCATTTCTTCTGCAATATTTGCAAATTTGCTTTTCAAAATTCAGTTCAGAAATCAGTTTTGCCGTTAATTCATTCGCCGGAAAAGAGAGTTTTTTCAAAGAGGTGAAAATTACCTTTATCCCCAAAATTGGGTACACACTTAGCGTGATAATGTCAAACAAATGTGACTATCACACCCTTATCAACAGACTCAAAAATCGCGGTGAGAGCTCTGCGATGCTGGGTGCCACGGAGCTTTCTGAGCGCAAATATTTTCCTAGGCGAAATTTTAAGCCAAATTTTGACATCATGTCATTGACAACAAAACTCATATTTGTTCAAAATCTTAAGGGTTTTCAATATCTAAGATACAAATGTAATAGTGCACAAAATAGTTTTTTTCTAAAAATAAAATTTCAAGCTGAAGAAGTGACTAAATAATCAACATCCTTGACCGCAAGAATGATAGAAAGCAGTAACAATATTTCAGTGAATGCTGACTTACCATAAGCTAAGACAGCACACGCCAGCAGCAAAATTCTCATGATGACATTCCCAGCTCTTATTTTCGCGTTCTTTCTTCTCGTGATCTCTATTTTCGACAATTCTCTACTCTTCGAAAGTCTTTTTTTTCGCGTTTTGAAAAGTGTTTTGTATTGGTATGTTTAGGCAACAAGTAGAGAAAGTATAAAAAGCGCTTTCTCGTATTTCGTTGGATGTTTTTACGCTTTGGTGGGTGGCTCCGGCGCAGAGGTCCTTCGGTAAGATACGCGGCGGCGGCGCCTTAACTCGCTAGCGCCGCCTTGTCGCCGCCGCAATGCGCGCGTTTCGACCGCGTTTCCACCGCCGTAGCGAAGCGAACCCACCACCACCCACCCCAAGGAAATCTCAGCAGGCGACCGCTCTTTTATCACCGTTATCATTCATTCAACTCCTTGCGTCATTTTAGAATGCCCTTTTAGGACAAATTTTTCGCGACAAATTATTATGATTATCGTCAAGGCTCATAAAAATTTAAGCATCTTCTTAAAAAAAAATAACAGGCTTCTTTATTTTTATCATTTGTTTTTATCAGCTCATAGCCTTGACCTTTTTCAAATGCGATAAGAACAAAGCACTCATTTTGACCTTATTTGTCGTTGTAAAATTAGCGTTCCGAAAGGAGAGATAAGAGCTCGTCAAGGCCGTTTTCCGATGATTAGAGTTTCCGGATGATTTGCCAGCTTCTTGGGCGACTTCCGTCCGACCGATTTGCTTCATTTTCGAAAAAAAAAATCACTGTTCAAAGCTTCAAGCTTCATTGATTTTGCATCCTCAACTATTGGAGCATCTTTAGGTCAAGTATTCAACCCTGATTGCAGCTACTCATGTGCCAAGAATGCACAAGCCTTACTGAACGTCCGAGTATGCGCACAAACATCGCCTTTGGCCATGGCTTGGCTCCGGCTTCGGAAAGGCAAAAAATTGGATCAGACCCTAACCTGATTGCTTAAACTGCAGACGGGAAAATTTGACGGGAGATTGAGTTCGCGTTTAGACAATTTTACGAAATAGAATCTGCGCAGGTGGCGGCAGAAACAATCCAATTTACGTAAACAGAAAACGCGTTTCAAAGCCGTTTAATTCTACTTTACCAAATTCCTTCGCGAAAAGCGGAAGTGCCAAAAACCTCCTCAACAAGCCGGGCAAAGCTATAAACGCGCCCCGGGTCACCTGTTTCAATTGACTTTTGCCTAATATCAAGAGCACCATGCCCAAATACATAAAAAAATATTCTCAACAAGCTTCAAATTTGCAAGAAAAGTTATAAAAAAATTAACGAAAAAAGGGTTTTCGAGCTCGCTCTTGACCAAAACTGTCCTCTCCCGACAAGATTACACCCTCGCAGCGGTGCTTTTCACCACCATTGGTCGGTATAATAACATCTTGAATAGTAATTTATGCGAAATAAATCGCGTTGATGTGACAGGGTACTTGAATCGGCGCCCAAATCACCACTCAATACAAGTGGAGGCAGCGCGTTTTTATCGCCCTAGCTCTCTTTCTTGTGGTTTTCTTCTACGAAAAAACAACTGCCCCTCAAATTGCTTTTAATTGTGTATTGTTGAACGTCAGTAAATTGCGTAAAAGTCGGTCAACCAGTTTTTTAATCCCCACTTTTGCCCCCTCAGCGGGGTAGATCCCTCTCAAGAGCTCCCTGGCGAAGCTATCGAGCTCGATTCCCTTTCTTTCAGCTATTTACGCAACAAAGTACAGAATAGAAAAATTCCCGTAGCGATTCCCACGCGTGGCCATATCCGGTTGCGCTTCCTAAAAAGCGAAATTTCGCGAGGCCGCGCAAAATATAATCCTTGAGGGCCAATTCTAATAAAGGAAGTCATTGATGGCGGCAAAAGGCTTTTGAAAGGAGGCCGGCTCGGTTTCATCGGGGAGCGTGTTTGGCCGTCTCAATCAAAAGTGATTGCATAATCTGTAAGTGATCCTAAATATGGCCTCCATATTTTTTTAGAAATATATAGGTTTTGACGTTATTTCAGTCATGAAAGCCGATTTTCGCATCTGCTATCTATTTAGTCAGAATCTAGTGAGCACACCGCTCTATGTACTTTTGGTGGTGTAGGCGCAAGCAGGTGTCCCTCAGCTGTTGATTAGCGACAGCACCACCGCCACCGTGTTGGATTAGAGCACCGCCGCCGCATAACTTACTACTCACCCAGCTGAAAGCAAGTTTTAATTTCACACCGCAAGTTTACAATTTGTCCTTGCTAACTATCAATATACCGTAGTTTTCCATCTTAAGAGCGCCCAACTTAAGAGCGTTTTTGCCAATATTTTCCATATTTTGTCATCTGAAAAAATCCCAACTTTAGAGCGTTTTTAGGAATTTTTAATTAATAATTAGAATATCGTTTATTTCAACCTGAAAAATCATTGAAAAAAATTGTTTTCTACGCTTTTTTCAGGTGAAATCATAGCCTCTGATTCAAAGATCGTAATTTTTTTATCATAAATAGGTAAAAATGACCTCAGATGCAGTTTTAGAGTTTTGGAAAAAATTCATTTTATGCATTTTCATTCATCATTTTTTTCCCACTGTTATCCTAGTTTGATCGTAAATTTTCCAACTTAAGGGGGTAGAAACAGCTTTCTCGATTTTGGACTGCTGCTACATAAAAGAAAGTATAAGATTTATTTATGTTCACGGAATTTCCTCATAAATGTTCCTAGAAAAAGGGTTGAGCTTCACAAAAATGTGAATGAAATTTGTTTAACTATCAGGGGACTCGAGATATTCGTGTTTGAAAATTGGCGAAAATCGAGAATTTCGGAGAGATGAGCTGCTTCTGAGCCCGCTTACTCAAAAATTTGATGACTAAAACAAATTTTGAGGGAGATGTTCCTAGATCTAAGATGTATCTATCTATATATGAAGAGAAAAATTGAAAATGTAAGATTCTCTTGTCTGTAGCGCTGGTCAAAAATGGTCCTTTTTCGAAAAAAGCTGTTTCTACCCCCTTAAGAGCGTTTTGGTCTACCCTTGTCATCTGAAAATCGCTCTAAAGATGGAAAACGACGGTACGCAAATTTCGAGCAAAACCGAAAAATGCACGAAAGCTGTTGTTATCAGTATCACGTCGAGTGGAACCGGCTCGATTTAGCGTTGAGACGGCGCTGAAAACAACCACTTTGTCTAGCTGCGATCAGCTCTACCTCGCGCTAAATCCTCTCGTTCATGCATATTTCTATTTCTTTACTGAAAAATGCTGGGAAACTCGCTTGCAATTTATTTGTTATCAAACCCGAGGGGAAATCTCGAAAATAGTAGCCCGGTCAGCAAGTGACTATTAGTTTTTCTTATCACTACCCGCCGAGATAGCGTCTCCGGCGCCAAGTCTCACACCGTTTCTGCACTCCCGCTGCGCCAACCGGTAACGCGAAGATAGCTTATCACTGCTCGAGACAGGTAAATACCTGCACAAGAGTCCCGGCCTCTCAAAATCACTAATTCTTCTATCAAAACACTACTGTTTTTTTATGAAAAAGAGCGAAAAAACATGACGAGTATTTACTCTTAATTTTAAATAGATTTAATTAATTACTTGCACAGATATTTTTGGTAGAGATAACGGGCGGCTCTGTAATGAAAGTACATACTGACTCCAAAGAGAGTCCACCACATGCCGCTCATGATTGCTTCAGTCCTTGTGTAACCGAACAGTTTTAACTTCTTCTCTTTGTATTTTCTTCTGCGAGGTTCTTTGTTGAGAAAAAAGTTGGTCCACAATTGACGATAATATCTGCTTATTTCTGCTTGAACCTCGGGAGGTGGTTGTGGGCATTTGAAGACACTCGTGTCTTTCAGACCATCTGGCGCTTCATCATCTTCCTCATCATCGGACTCTTCGCTTTCATCATCGGAGAGTTCCCGGTAATTTTCTTTACACGAGAGAACCTTAAGTTTTTTGAATTAATAGATCCTTGCAATTGAACTTACATATGCAAAAGATTCAGGATTGATTCTGGCGCTTGGTATTGGCAATCCGATCGAAGCCTATGATAATGAACATAAGATAGGAATCTATGAAAATTTCATTTTTACCGTGTCTTCGTTCTCTTCAATGCCAGTTACATCCATATTTATCCTTTGTTTCGACTCGCACAGAGAATTTTGAGCTTATCAATTTTCTGTTACGAGCTTATCAAAACTAGTGCACTCAAGAAACAGTTCTAGAGATAAATTTATTTTTGAAATAAACATGTTAATTAGGCTTCAGTCTTCAGCTTTTGATCTTCTGAGCTTTTCTCCATGGCTTCGTTTTCGTTGTCTTCGTTGATTCTGCTTTACTGTTAGAAAATTGAAACGATTTGTTTGTCTCGTATATTTCTAACAAGTCCTAAGAGGATTTTCAACACTCCAGATGACTTCATCTTCCTCATCACAGAATATTTCAATTCCAGGGTCAGAAAAGGGCTCTTTGATTTGTAAAGTTACGTGGCAAGCTGATTATAAACAAACTTTACCAGTGGAAGCCGGATGGATCGGATTCACAACACCTCTTTTGGCAAGCTGTCTTTTTGCATAGCATGAAACTCCTGCTACTACCATCAGCAATGCGAAAAACGCTCCATAAATGCTCCAGACACCTTTAAAATTGTCATTAACTCACCCGATTATGCGCGTTTCGTACCTATCGTGACGGGCTCCATCTTTTAAATTACTTTCTCGTTATTTCGTCTTGCACAAAATACGATGCCCTGCGTTCGTATATGCGAAGAATCAACAAAACTCCAATCAAACAATTACAAATGTCGATGTGTATAAATTATTTTATTCGTATTTGGTATCTTGAATGGCTGAACTTTTCAGTTGAAATAAATAGTTGAATTATAAAAAAGAAGCTCTTTATGAATATTGTAATCAGGACTTGAGAACGGGCACTCCATTTACTGTAAGTTTATAATTATATTAACGCGTGGATTATGAGGAACTTGAGGTTTATTCTTCGTATTTGACGAGTAATGCTTTTCTGTCGACGGTCTAAAATGTAAGTAAGCACTAATACTCGCAAAATTAACTGTTTTACCTCTCCTTCAATACCAATAACTTGCTTGATAACACCATCCTTAGGGGCCTTAATTGTATGCTCCATCTTCATCGCGACCATAGTCATCAAGATATCGCCTGAAATGGGTAAGAATTGAAATTGATCAGAGTTATTTACCAGCAGCAACAGTGTCACCAGCTTTGACCATGACTTGCGTGATAGTACCGGTCATTGGAGCGACGGCATCGCCATCACTAGCTCCTCCTTCTGTCAACTTGGAATATTTTGGCTTTGGAATTTCAAGAACAACGGGTCCATCGGCGGTGAACAAATGAAACCTACGGATTGTTAAAATAAGCAAAAAAGAAGAACTACTCACTCGTTATTTTCTTCGAAGTGGGAAACATGTGCTCTGACTCCATTGATTTCAACAGTGAATCCATGCTCTTTTTTGACAATTCTTGAGTCGTAGTTTTGTCCACCCACTTGGACGTTGAAGTGATTCGAGCCAAGGGAGGTCATGTTAGCTTCATAAGTTTCACCAAGAGCGTTGAATGAGAATTTTTCGACTGTTGGCATGTTTGATCTCCAGTTGATCAAAGTATCGAAGGGATTTGTCGATGCAAGTGGTTCTCTGAAAGAGCTTTAGTATTCCTCATCGAATGTTCTTTCTCTTACCGGAAAGATCTAATAAGTGCAGATGTGACAATAGCCTCGTTGGTGGGAGCCATCGTCTTTGGAATCAGATCAGCTTCGTTTCGCTCAATGAATCCAGTGTCCAAGTTAATTTCCTGGAAATCCTTAGAAAGTGCACATCGCTTCAAGAACTTCAAGTTCGTTGGAAGGCCGACGACATGGTAGTCTGAGAGTTTTTCCGTCAGCCGATCGAGTGCTTCCTTTTCCGGAATAAACAGTTTCAGAGAATACGGGCCCGGTCAGCTAGTCCGACAGGCCTACAAAAAATAATAAAACTTTTGACGCGAGTTACGGTCCTACTAGCGACATGGAAAATCAACAATGGTGATTCGCCACCGTGCAATAACCGTACCAACACCTTGGTACCGCCGATACCTGTGGTACGAAACTACTAACAAGATGGCTATCAAAGGCTCTTATGGTATTTTCTGTCAAATTCCGTTCCTGTCGATCGTTGCCCCAAACGACCAATTTGGCGATCATAGGATCGTAGTACTGCGAGACATCATCGCCAGTTCGGACTCCAGTCTCAACTCGAGTGTGTTCGTCATCTTCAGGATTCTTCAAGTAGACAAGCTTGCCAGCACCAGGGAGGAAACCATTTTCAGGATCTTCAGCGTAGACTCGAGCTTCAATGGAGTGACCGTTCAGTTGAATATCTTCTTGCTTCAGAGGGATTTTCTCACCTAAATTAATCAAAACCTACTTTTGGCAGAGCCCAAAAGTACCTCTAGCAACTCGAATCTGCCACTCGACGAGATCCTGTCCAGTGATCATTTCAGAGACAGGATGCTCGACCTGCAATCTAGTGTTCATTTCCATAAAGTAGAAGTTCTCATGCTTGTCCATAATAAACTCGACGGTTCCAGCGCCGGAATAGTTCACTGCCTTTGCCGCTCGAACAGCTGCTTCACCAATGGCTCGTCGAGTGTCCCAGGAGATTCCTGGCGCTGGAGCTTCTTCGAGGACCTTTTGATGTCTTCGCTGGACGGAGCAATCTCTTTCGTACAAGTAGACAGCATCGCCGTAGTTGTCCCCAAAGACTTGAACCTCAACGTGTCTAGGATCTTCGACGAACTTTTCCACGAGCATTCTGTCGTCTCCAAAGCCCTGAAGAGCTTCTCGTCTCGCAGAGTCGAGCTGGGACTGGAATTCACCCTCGTTCATGCAAATACGCATGCCTTTTCCACCACCACCCATGATGGCTTTGAGCATGACTGGAAATCCGATTTTTCTTGATTCGGCAAGGAGCGTCGCATCATCTTGCTGATCGCCATGGTATCCCTTAATAATTGGGACGCCGGCTTCGTCCATAATATGCTTCGATTTAGATTTAATTCCCATGTCCAAAATAGCTTCAGTGCTTGGGCCGATGAAGATCACTCCGTTTTCAGCGAGCAAATCGGCAAACTCGGCGTTTTCAGAAAGAAATCCGTAGCCGGGGTGGACAGCTTGGGCTCCAGTGCGTTTACAAACATCGAGGATTCTGTCTTTTCGGAGATAAGAGTCAGCTGACGCGGCGCCGCCAATGTGGAAGGCTTCGTCGGCCATTTTGACGTGCATGGAATCACGGTCAACATCAGAATAGACTGCGACTGTCTATGATAATATGATTTGCCAAGAATATTTTTTGCTTAAAATCTACCTTGATGGCTAATTTCTTGGCGGATCTGATAACTCTGCATGCAATCTCTCCTCTGTTCGCGATGAGGATCTTGTCAATTCTCTTCGTCGCCAAATTTCGAACCGATTGACGAAACATCTTCACTTATCTACAAAAACAAGAGTTTTTCAAAGGAAGAATTTCAGAGCGGAGAAAGAGAACTGTGGCAAACAGAGGGTCAATATTTGAACAAATCGTCCAAATGCAAAAATAAATATTACTTTTCTAAATAACGCTCCGAAAGAACTTTAACCCGAGTAATCAAAAGGGGGAGTGTTTATTTTGTTAGATAATTTTAAGTTAGTCAAAGACCTGAGTTACCGACCTATACAGAATACCTGAGTCAGGGTCTGAAAGCGGCTTTTTTCCGTGCCGAATAGATAAAAAAAGCGCTTTCGGACCCTGACTCAGGTTTTCTAACCAGGTTGCGGAGCCAAGTTCCATTCAAAAGTTGTGACTCGTTCAAAGGAAAGAGCCAAATCTAGAATTTAGGAAATAATTGAGGGATTAGATACTCGAAACTGATTGAAATTGAAAGGTCATTGAAGGGCAGAAAAAAAAGATGAAAGAAAATTCATTGAATAGAAAAATTCCGTGAGAGAGAGTTAGAAAAGGATTAGACCCTCGATCTTCGCGCTCCGCCAATTTCTTTAAAATTCATCCGAGCGTCAAAAATTTTTTCTTGTTTTTCGCTTCGAAAATTGAAATCAACAACGAAGCGTCGAAAATTCACGATTTTCATTCATAACGGCAATTTTCTTGTTTTATGAATTCTCTAGAATCTGGGCGTGTACTGCATGTGATTGGTCGCAGCTCTAGAAAGTGAAAAAAGGGATGAATTTTTTGCGTTACGTAATGCATTCAGAAAAGGGGCGCGTTGATTGGCTGCTAGACCAGTTTGCGCCACAAGCTCTGCTCCAGATCGAACCACTCTGAGCTCTTTTGAGAAAGAACCAATTTAGAAAAAATAAAATGGAGTCTCCAAATGCTCTCTGGGTCGAATACCTCCTCCAGCTCAAAAAGGACGCTGAAGAGAAAGGTTCAAAATGATTAAAAACGGGCCCTTTATTATGTTAAAATTGGAGCCAAGGAATTATTTATAATAGTAATTAATATTATTCAATAATAAATCAATAATAATTATTAGTCGTTATTAGAAAAGTGAATTTATCAATAAATTACAATTTGCAATGGTTAAAAACCTATATTTATTGAAGCTTTTGGCGATATAGATTAGTTTATTTATAATAAACTGACATTCATGTATCTTATAAATATGGAAAATATTGACTGGTTCTGAAATTTGAAGAAGATTTTTTTCGGTCGAGTTAGCTCTTATTACTCTTGTGGAGATAATCAGATGGTCAACCGAGTTCGGCGGATTCTTTCGCTGCCGTAAACTTTTTCCAAAATCGAAGAAAAACAAACTTTTTAGGAAACAAAAACTTCGCCTCGACCTACACAAAATGCTTGAGGAGCATAAAGAAGTACCCGATTCCGTTCATGACGGCGAAAGAGCTGGTCGTTTTGGACGGTTTTGGCGACAAGATTTGCGCCGAAGTTGACGAGTTGCACAGACAGTTTGCTGAGGAACATAAAATATCGGCACGGGTTGTTTTTTTCACTCAATCTTTATAATCAAAAGATATCAAGAGATAATAATAGATGTATGTTTTATAGATTAGCAACCTAATTTGAGAAAGCAAAGCTTGCCCAGATCGTTGGGGACATCCCCCAGTCATGGGTCGACGTCCATGATAATTTACTCCAGGTGAGTCTTCTATTGACCTTTATTTCCACGAAAATAGTGTATCTTTACGTTTCTTTCAAAATGAGTAAACAAGCCCCTAGCCACCCGCACCCAAGCGAGCCCCAAAGAAGTTCACCGCCCCAAAAGACCTTGTCGGGCCAACCCAGCCCATGACCCAGAATTTCACTCAGCCAACCCATTCGAACTCTGGGTCTAAGGGTATTTTTGGTCCAGAAGTAACACTTGTTGTGGATAATCGCGAAATAAGTGGCGTTGGACGTGGGAAAAAGAAGCTCAAGGAAATGCTTGGTAAGCGCTTTTTTATAATGAGGATAAAGTGAGCAAATGGATTTTAGAGAAGATTCCACAGAATGAGTTTATTTTCAATCACAGGAAAGGGTTGAAATCGTTGAGATTTTGATGAATTTCAATGCACAAGTTATTTGCTGAGAAAAATTTGTTGTTTTAAAAATAAGTCTGATGTCGTGTATTGTATGCACTTCTACGAATCCTTACAAACATGCAATTTCAACCGTGAATTAAGAACACTAGCAATTTCGGATTTCTGCTTTTGCCGCGGGGATGTTGTAACTATCATGCGTGAGTAATATTTTCCTGTCAAAGATATTTTCAAAGAATCCACTAAAATTTAGAAATAGATTTATTAGTTTGTGATAGGCAAATTCAATCACTGCTACTCAAGGTTGCTTGAATAGTATTGTGATCCCGATGATTGGCAATTGAATAATCGATGCTGCTCCTTGCTGTATGCAGAGCTCGATTAACTTACGGTAATTTCTTTTATTTCAGTTGAAAGAAAGCGAATCGATGATCTCGCCGCATCGATCAAAGACAACAGATATAAAGACCAGAAAAAAAGGCTGAATCAAACTGCCACTTACACTCCCTTTTTCCTCATTGGTGATTTTCCCGTTCCATTTTCCCTCTAAAAACTCTTGCTAGAATACAAGCGCCACACAGGTCACATGCCTTTTTCGACTGTCACCCAAGGCATCGCCAACATCGCTTTCTACAATCACTTCAAGCTTGTGTTTACAGAATCAATGACAGAAACTTGCGCCATGCTCCGCGAAATGGCAAAACACATCAAAAATTTCAAAGAGTCACAGAAAGATGACATCGCTCTTGGGGAACTGCAGGCTGCTGCTGAACGTAGAAAGCCTCATACAAAGCATGAGCAGATGATCAATCTATTCCAGTGCTTCCATGGCATGACCCTCTCCAAAGCAGTCAAACTCGCTGAGGACGTCGGGCACCTTCACAACCTGAAACACGGCATCGAAGGAGTCGTCCGCGACAAGAATTATCTCACTCCCGCGATGAAAAAGCAACTCACCATATTTTTCAAAGCTCACTATTAGACTTCGCTCATTCCCACATTATCACCTGCCCCTTTTTGTTTTCACTGCCATTACACAGTATAAAGGCCTTCTCCTCACCATCCTTTCTTCAGAACAGATACTGCGATTGAAATCGGATCGGAACAAGCTCAATAATTAGCAAAGACAAGACTCGATGAGCAAATCAATGTAGATTTCTCGATCTTGAGTATTCCTCCCACAGATGGCCAAAACTTCTCCAACCCGGCCTGGCACAAACTCATCACGTGATTCTTTAGGAAAGAGATGTCTGTATGTGCCTGACTCTTCTGCTGAACAAGACTCTAAAATGTTTCTAGCGCAGAAATGAGCGCCATGGTGCCACCGAAAAAACGCGTTTTCCACTTCCAAGAAACGAGCCTCCCGTCTCCTCCGACGGCCTATAAACAACCAACAAGCACTGATAACTTAAACACCGATAATACAGTTACTTCTTCTTCACTGCCACAGAACAACTCGCCAAATCAAAATCTCAGTTTCCTGACTCTTTCGCCTACTCCGCCTTCGATATGGTAAAAGTGACCTCAGTTGACTTTGAAGGTGACCTCATTTAGCCCTCCCATGTCATCGCAAATACTCACGGCATCTGTCGACCAAGAAAACGAAAAAACAGTCGAGCTAGTTCTGAAAAGCGATGAAACTCCTGAGAACGAGGAAGTCGTGAAGACGGCTTTGACTGAGGATCGTCACGTCGTCTTGCTCGACGAAGAATGCCCCGTTTCATGCCCTCTCCCTGAGCCAACAGTTGAGCAAAGCCCTGCGCCTTCAAAGCCTAAGCAAACGAGAAAGAGCTTTTCTTGTACGCAATGCGATCAGGAGTTTCCGACGAATAAGAAGATGCTCATCCACATGACTCAACACACAGAGCCACATGAGGTTGATTTCCTTCCGATTTTCATGATTCCACACGTCTTTTAGGGCCCTCAGTACTTATGCGAATCTTGTCCAAGTAGATTTGCGAGTGAAGAGCATCTCAACCGTCACATGACCGAGAAGCATCGAAAAAGGCCGCCTTCAAATGGCTGTTTAAATTATAAGTACCCCTGTCCTGGTTGTAGAACAGGCTTTATGAAGGTAAGATTCTAGCGTTTTGAGCAAGGTCGAAATTGGTATTTTAGCGAGGAATGCTAATACTGCATATAACGAAATGTCACCCCGAAATGGACATCTCCAAGTGTAAAGTATTGAAAGTCGAAATGTTCGAGGAAGAAAAAAATTGGATGTGTCCATATTGTGACAGAAAGTATTTATCCTCGGGGAAGCGGCGCGAGCACATTCAAAAGTGCCATCCAAATAGGTATCCACTTCCATTTTACTCGCTGGTTCTTAATCGCTCCCAGGGAACTTCCTCCAACGCTCCTGATAGCGGATAAAGAAGTGGCGATGGTAAGTGTAGTGAAGAAAACGCAAAAAATCCCACATAAATGCCCATATTGTGTAATGGAATACGCGCACAGGACAAAGTTACTCAAGCATTGTAAAGGTGGTGTAATCCCTCTTGAGAATATTTTGCTGATCTTTTTTTTATAGACAAACACAAAGACAAGCCAATTCCATACAAATATCAAAAGTGGAAGGCACGGGAAACTCAGAAGCGGGAGACCGAAGCGAATGGCGGAAATCCACTGCCTGAAAAGCCCAAAGATCCTGGTAAGTGTCTATGATTGTAGCAAAAAGTTAATGAATCATAGAACAATCGTTTGGGAACCCTTTTCCGGAGAAAACTACTGCCAGTGCTGTTTCTCACAGTACCCCCAGCCATCAAAACTGGATCGATCTTCCCATCAACGACGAGGACACCCGGCATAGCCTGGGCAGTTTCATGTCCGACATCACTCCAACAACGCCGCATCAACCAGTGCCATTGCATAACTCGACGCAAATCACCGCCTCAACGCCGAATGGCCATTCCGATAGCGGCATTCCCTTCCGAGCAATTACGACGCCAACGTCCGAAATCTGCAAGACGGAGATATTGGAACAGAGCTTGGTGCAGGACACACTTAACAGTCAATCAATGCCAGCGAATCCGAATTCTGCTTTCATTCAATGGAGCGCTCATGTAATCAACAATAACTAAATTATTTTTTATCATGATTTTCAGAGCACGAGCACGCCCGACTTCAGGGTGATAGAAGAGACCTCAAATTCAAATTCCAGCTCTCATCACTCAAATTCGCAGAACCATCATCAACTAACTGCTCCAACAAGTTCGTCATTGATATCACTAGATTGCCATCAACCTGTCTCGACGGATTTCCTAACGAATCCAAGAGCAAGGAATGCAACATTCAATGGAATCAGGTAAACTAAGCACCATTTTCTTAAATTACTCATTCGTTTCAAAGTCTAATGTCGGACAATTTAATCGAAGAAGACTCGGCGCAATCAGCTCCACCAGGCTTCACGTTCGGTCCGAACTTCGATCCGCTAGAAGACGTGGAAAACGGTTCCGGATCCGATCAGCCTGTTTTGCGAGCTCCATCTCCACAAAGAACATCTCGCGATGATCTTCTCTCGCAAGCGTTCAACAGTGCACTGAATGAATCGTCCCTCGAGGACTCGATTTCTTCCGACAAAAAAATTCAACTCTGCCTTTCCGCATCTCAGCTTTTCGGACCAATCTGGCCTTTCGAACAAGACGATGTCCGATAGTCATGATCCTCAAGTTCAATTTGAAACAAGCAACTCCAGTAAGTTTCTTTTTCAATAACAAGTTCTAAATGTCGGTTTCAGGTCACAGTAGCGTTGTCTACTCACAGTCGTCGACAATCTTCGTCGAGCAAAACCCCCAACAAGTGCCGGCTAAGATCCAAATTCATGAAGCTCCAGCGACTCAAACCGTCATCGGCCAAGTAATTCAACAACCAAATGGCCAAATTGTACTCATTTCGAACCGCAACGATCTCGGTACATTGATGATGAATTCTGGGCACGCTCTGGCCCTCCCAACGCAGCAAATCCAGACCATCCAAGCGCCAGTGTTGGCACCGCAGCCAGTTGTTCCGACGAGGAGAAAGCGGGGAAATCAACGCAAAACTCGCGCTTCGTCAAGGATCGCCAATAGCGCGATCGGCAACAGGGGAAGAAAATACTTCCCAAAGCTTCTGCGCCAACTACAGTCGACTTCTGCTCGATTCAGCAAGCTCCGACGAGTCAACCCGCTCAGTTTTTCATTGAGCACAACGGGCAGGCATTTCCTGTAAGTATACATGAACGCAAACAATACTAAACTGACACAACTTTTAAGTGCTACACTTTGGCGTCATCGACGAACAGCCAACAGCCCCAGTACATCGTGACCAACGGCGAAGTCGTCTAATTATTATCTAATGTAAAAAGCGAACCTCGATCCCTTCTTTTTCCAGAACAAAAATTCAAAGTTTTACCTTCCGCGGCCTTTACGCATAATCTCCCTTTTCTCCACCTTCATTGTGTGCCAGTCAATTTCTCATTTTTCGCGTCACGTGGTGGCGCTAATTCGTGCGTTTATTTGCTCCCGTTCCCTCCAAAACTCTTCAAATTTAAAATTTATCTTCTTCCAGTTTAAACTTTACCAAATCCAAATCCAATTTAACATCTACTTGAATAGTTCATGCTTTCGCGAATTCAGAATTCTAGCTCTTCTCCCTGTCCTCCTTGATGTAATCTAAGTTCCCGCGTTTTTGTTTTTACTGCCAACACAAAACTTTCAACCCCGAAAAAAGTCTGCTTTCCTGTAAAATTCTTATTCGGGAAATATGCAACAAAGAAAAGAAAGAAATCATTTCTCCACAAAATAAAATGCATATTTCTCAATATCAAATATAAAAAATACTCGTCAACGCGAAAAGTCAACCAAGACTGTTGATACCTTTATGAATAAATATATATTTCAGTTTATAAAATTAAACTTTCTTGTCTATCAAAAATGAAGCATCTTATTAATAGTTCCAAAAAGGCAAACAGCAAAAAATGAAGCACGCGAGGAGCGGAGTGGGTCGATCTGGCCGCGATCATATCTTTAAAATTTCAGTTGAGTTTTTTTCCAAATCACTTCCTTTCAAAACCAGCGAGCAGCTTCCGCGAAACGTTATTTTTCGCCAGAAATAAACGCGACGCGCTAAAATGACCTTTTTATTCGCAATTGGCAGATAGCTATTGGAAGAAAGATCTTAGAGTTTAGTCGACGAGGAATAGAGCTTTAAAATTGCGAGATGGTCTTTTGGAAGCAACATGAACCGGTAATTTTTAACTACATCTTGTACTGACTGGTATTTAACTGGAATTGCTGCTGAGAAAACAAGAAGACGCTTGCGGATTCAAGTAAAATCAGCAGCTAAAGTAGTTAAATAGTAATCGAAATTAAAACGAAAATCAGTCAGTTCTAATTGATCTTTCATTTACGAATTTGAAAAACAAAGTTTGCATTCGAAGATAAAATATTTGTTTTAAAAATAATTTCGCGCTCGTTCGTTAGACGAACTTTTTTCAAATCCTCCCTGGAGAATATTCTCGCCGCGTTGATTGGCCGAATCGGGAAATCCAACGAACTTGAAAAGAAAGGCGCCCTTTATTTTGACTCCCGAATGTCTCAAGAAATCAAGGAATACGGCTAAAACGGAAAATTAAGAGACGTTGCAAGCTGAAAATTGGGATAAGAGCGGAAAATTAGCCGAATTGATTGTTTAACTGTATTTTAAAAGGATTATTGATTGGCTTTTGCAGCAGTGTACACAGTAACGCTCACTGTACTGGGTTTTAAGTAGAGAAAAATGCGCTTGAACGAGAAATTCGCTTTCAATTTGAAACTATTAATAAAAATATATATCTTCTTCTTATTGAAAAGAGAATACTGAACTTGGTTTTTAAATTTGTTAAGTTTGATTTGGCTCAGGGCTCTGTTTTTGATGGAAATTTATTTTAGACGTCGATGGATGAAAATTCTCTCCCAGAGACTATTTACGAGAATGAAGAAACAACCCAGTTTGCGAAAACTCCATCGACGCCGAACAGGTAAAAACTCAGCCGCTCCGAATCATTTAAAAATTATTTCTGACTGGCAACATTCCAAGTTCATCTCCGTTTACTTTTATTTCTCGCTCTTCTTGAGCCAATATTGAGAATTGGGCTGGGTCTTTAATTCTCGTAAATTCTGCGCCGCATCCAGAAATTGCCGATTGTTGCCGCCTCGTTTCATCCATTTTTTTATTGTTTCGCGTGAATCGCACTCAAAAGCGCTTTTCCTAACTTGTTTTTGTTTTCATTTCCGAGAATCAAGAAGAGTAGAATCAAGAATATTTCCTGTAGTTGTAGAAAACGCACGCCTCTGACAATCCGAAATCGCCGAATGCGACCTACATCTCCATCTAGCTGCGCTTCGCCCTCCTCGAACTCGGTGATTTCTTCCAGCGGAAAGTCTTCCACTTCCAACTCTACCTGTTCCAGTCCCGGGCCTCATTCTTCCAATCCACGGAACATGCCTTTAGTCTCGCCAAGATGCGTTGTTAATCCTTTCGAAAACGTGAGTCGTTGGCTTATATAGTGCCCTGAGTCAGGGTCCTTACTTCGTTTTTATGAAACTTAGCGGCTTCATATTGTAGCCCTGGCTCAGCTTTCTACACTGGTTGTGGAGCCATTTTATTTCCCTATTCTGAAAATAAACACTTGTTCGAAGGATGGAGTGATGATGTCCCCAAGCGTTCTGGAAATTGCTTCTAATATTGGCACCCCTAATTCAGTTAAAAATGGCGGCTGGACTCTTGAGCAGCGATCCGTCCTCTTTCCAGTTCCAATTACAGACGAGCAAGTCGACTCACAGTATCAATCAACGATAACAAATGAAGATTCAACTCGTAATGCATCTGCTTGCCAAGAATGGCTCCAGCAGACGGATCTAACAAGCCCCTGGACCGGCCATAATGAAAGCGCCAACAGATCAAGACTGAATAAATCAAGAGTAAAGATGCAATAGCCCTACAAAAAACTAATCCCTTTTTTAGTCATTTTCAAGATTGAGCAACGAACTAACGCAAGAAGCTTCAACGCAAACGAACACATCACTACCTCCGGATTTTAACCTTTTCGAATTTCTTGAAAAACATGGTGCACCGATGCAAACGATTCCCCCCTCCCGAGAAGCCAGTTTGGGCAGCGCTAATAGCTCACTAAGAAGAAAGCTTTTTGAAGGACCCGAAGGCGAGTCTGAAGAAGAAGACGACGACGAAATCGTCCCTGCGCCCTTTCAATCGCCAAGTAGATATCCACCTCCCAATCAACAAGGTACAAAAAGCTCATAAATCTTCTTCTGATCTTCCTTTAGTTTTCACTCCGAATTCTGAGCAGTTCTCCAGTTCTCCCATCAAAATATCACCAGTTTCAAATGCTACCTCGCCCGGTGCCCTCTCAACTTGTGGAGGAGGGCCTGAAGTCTTCGATGGAACGCCTTATTGCTCTCCTTTCAGGTAAAAATCTTCGTATTTTCCATCATTATTTGATGATTGAATAGATCGCCTTTTGGAAATGATGATATCTGCCTTTCGCCCATTCCCAAGGATGAAAAATCAATCACGCCTCGTTCAAGACATCGCCGTCTGCTCTCTGACTCGGCTGAAATTTCTAAACACTTGACCTTCGACGACATGGAATCGAATGAAAACTTATCGAGCGACTCTGACCTCGATGATACTGCGCTAGAGGAGGCTAAAGCTGATAAACAACAAGTGAGAAACTCTTCGTTGAACGATGATAATCTGGACTGCTCAATGAAATCGGAGATTGGACAGAGCTGGGATGTTTCGGCGATTATTAAGAGCGAGGATAAGATGTCGAGGAAGACGGGCAACGCAGAATCGACACATATTCAATCGCAGGCTAATTTTCAAAGCAGTGGAAATGAAGAAAGAATGGATGCAATCAAGGATGATGAACACGCCTTGGATGGCGATGTGTGCATGGACAGCATTTACGGCGACTCACGGGGATTCAGGTTGATTAAGGCTCATAATTATTGGTGTAAATGTCCCTTTAGTTTCGAAGCAAGCGAGTACCAATATTTCCAAGACGGCTCCACGACAGGAAGCGCGAGTAAAAGCCAAGGCGAAGGACTCGACTCAGGCTTTGGATCAAACTCGAATCAAGCATCAAGAAGCGAGGCAAAGCAGCTCTCCATTCCGACACCCATCATTCACTCTGAATCCGTCGAAGAAATGGTCGAAAAGTGAGAAGCACAAATTGGCTAGATTTTACATTTTGTAACACTTTAGATTTTTCACTCTTTACTTTAACTATTCCACGCATTCCAACTGTGCCTAATGAACAACAAGTTTACTGCCAGTTTCACAAAATAAAATACGCGCTTATATCTTCGTTGATTGTTATGATTCCATTTCAGAATGATTGTAGGAATAGACATAGGAACAACGAACTGTAAATTCCTCCCTGAAGGCCATGAAAAGCAGTCATTCCCTATTTCATACTCGGAAGATGTACAGTCCGAGTCACACAAAGAAATCGATCCAATAACCATCGTCGATAATTTGATCAAATGCTTCGAGAAATTGGAAAATGAAAAAGTAACTGGTGTTGTGGTGACGGGGCAAATGCATGGAGTTTTGTCCTGGGATGAGAATTTTAACCCGACGACGAATTTGATAACATGGGAAGATACGCGATGCTCCCAGGTCAGCTTGCTATCAAAGGGAATCCAAAAAAGACATCAATATAAGGTGTTTTGTGACGATGTTAGCAAAGGTGGCCGACTCCATCCAGGCTATGGGATCGCAACACTCCTTTGGCTACGTAAGCACAATCCATCTTGTCTGACCACCGCCATCGCTGCAGGAACAATAATGGACTACGTCGTCGCGCGATTGACGGAGACTCTCAGACCTCGTATGCCAAGGGCTCAAAGATGATCAAGTTTGAAAAAGACAAATTTCTGATCTCTTTCGAAGAGTCCCCAAACCGCTCACAGTTTTGGCTGTTGGACTCAAGAAACAAGCTGGACAGTTGATCCTGTAGACAATCTGCTGCTTGAGGTTGCGATGGATCTAAAAGATCAGACATCGATTAGCACGGAGTCTAATATTTTCGGAATTGGAGCTTGTAAAGTTCTCGTTGGCCTGGGAGATCATCAGTGTTCCGTTGCTGGCCTTGGTATGCCTCTTGAAAAGAATGTTCTCTTTCTCAACTTTGGAACGTCAGCACAAATGACATTTCTTTCGGAACAGACGGTGAACGAAAACGGTTCCGTCGAGATTCGTCCGTTTTTGGACCCCAAAATGTAAGCCATTCTTCTTGGCTTATAAATTATCTTGTAGTTAGTCCGCTCGTCACTATAGCAAGTATGAATGGTGGAAATGTTCTTTCTGCTTTTGTTCAAGAGCATGGAGTCGAATTCTCAAATGTCGACGAAGCTATTCAGCGAATAGTCAATACAGACGAAATTCCTGACTATCCTCATGCTCGACTTTATCCGGAAAGATGTGGCTTGGAAGGTTGGTCTTTTCATCATTTTCCGAAGTATACTTGAAGTATTTAGGTTACGGAAAACTTCCACTTTTACAAGGACAAAAATCGGTCGAAACTTCTGTCTCACTCGTCAAGTCGTTACTAGCCAACCTAAAAAATCTTCTTCGTTTCAAAAATGACCATTTCGTCTTCCCACTATTCGAGAAAATCATTCTCTCAGGTGGCGCGTGCAAACTTTTTATTCCGTTTCTCAAAGATCTCGGCAGCAATGTGGAAATCGCCGATGGTGATGCTGCGTCTGGTGCAATCGAGATTTTCAAATTCGTTCAAAACAACCTTTCAAATTGATCTTTTTTCGCTCAATGATTTTCGCACTATTTTGATTCGCTCTCAAGTTCTATTTTTATTCGAATTATGCTTAGATTTCTGTCTTCAGAATGTCAAGAGTAATTCGACTAACAGTTGGAATCATTAGGCAGTCTGTGCCCCACAAGATTTCGCCGTTTTCGCCTCCTATTTGCGCACCAGCAATTGCGTCAAAAACAAATAAAGAAAGTGATTTCAAAATTGCTGATATTTTAAAAGAAATACTACAGAAATACAGCTCGAATGAGAAGGGAAGGACTCAGCGCATGGCAGCGTTTAAAAAGGTAGATTCTGCGTGAGCTACAGTTTTTTAACACGTCTCCTCATTTAGGCTCAACAAGGGAAGGCGAAAGAACAACAAGCCGCTCAGGCGGCAGCGCGTGCTGCTCAACTCGCCGAGCGTGAGGCCGCCAGGAAAAATCTAAAACCTCTCAAAGGAAGCGCGAAGAAAAAAATGATGAAGTCGTGGAACAAATAAGCCGACGAATATTTTTATTTTCGAGTGAAGCATTCGAAATCGCCCCTAACTTATTCTGATTCTATAAGACACGCTGAATGAGCTTGATTTTAGAATGATTGGCCCTAAAATAATCGGTCCCAAATGCTCCATCGTCTGTGCATGCGTCTCGGCATGGGGGATCATCATGTTTCTGCTGCTTGGCGCATTCTTTCACGTTGAATCACCGGCACTGAGAGAAGACATCAGCCCCAGTAAGTTCTATTTTGATTTTTGCTAGTCATCAATCAAGTAATTTAAAAATTGTCGACGAAGGGAAATTGTCAATTGCTCGAAATTAAACCCCCGATTTCACGGACTTTTTTTATAGAAGATGACTCGAGGGAAGCCGTCTCGGAAGCGTACGCCAACACCGCCATCAACTGCTACATTACGGGTGCGATTTACGCCGGAACACTGGTTTTTGCCGGTTGGCAGGTCGCCGTCAATAATTCACGCACCTACCAGATGGCGTGAATGCGCTTATTGCCACTCACTAACTGAAAAAAAACGATGAAAAGACGAAAACCGGCCGGCTAGATCAAGGCCATTTATCATCACACTCTGTTCTTTGTCTCATTCATCCGCCAACACTCCCCACTCCTATAAACCAGCTTATTCTTATTCTTCTGTCGTAAAAATTTCAACATGTTAATTTGTCATTCAAACCCAAAAAGGCAAGAATTGCTTTCTCGCTATTTGAAAGTTATTCTTGCTTGAAATTTGTCTATTGCTTATAATTTATTCGTAAGCCTTTTTTTCGTCCTTTCAATCTGTCTACCCGACAGGTTTGAGGTTTTATGCCGGTCTTCTATGAAGACAGTTTTGATCTAAAATTTATCTAAATAAGAATATCTACTGTCCAGGAGCTATCAATTCTTCAAGGTGATTTTGGACAAAATCTATTAGCGATTCACGATCAGCTTCCCCAAGATTTACTTATTCATGAGCACTTGTGGGAAGAACACGCGTCCTTGACGTCCTTTTTATCCGCCCATTGTGTGTGCCCAAATCGGCAAAATTCTATTGATTTTTCGTTCCTTTTTTCCGTTATTTACCCAACTACACTACCACACTTCAGTGAAATTTAAATAAAGCTTTTGTGATGTCAAACAATGCCGTTTTTTGTTGGTAAGAAAACGCAGGGTTGATGGTTTTTGGTTGTTTTATTTAAAATTATACGCCGTTGAGCAGGCCACTTCTCTCCCCCGGCATTCCCGGTAGGTCGAAGTGGCGTGCCCAAGAAAAGTCGACGCAGTGATGCTGGTTGGTTCTTATTCCTAGAAAGTGTAGTAATAATTTGTGTAGATTTATGTACAACAGCAGTTGGAGTACGAAACAGAGTACAGAAGTGCGCTTTTGGTTGTGTTTCTTTAGAAAGCTGTTTAGAAGCATTTTCGGTGGACGATGGAAGGTCCGGACTCGTCGTACTCCTGCTTGGAGATCCACATCTGCTGGAAGGTAGAGAGGGAGGCGAGGATGGAGCCACCGATCCAGACGGAGTACTTTCGCTCTGGGGGAGCGATGATCTTGATCTTCATGGTGGATGGGGCGAGGGAAGTGATCTCCTTCTGCATTCGGTCGGCGATGCCGGGGTACATAGTGGTGCCTCCAGAAAGGACGGTGTTGGCGTAGAGATCCTTTCGGATATCGACGTCGCACTTCATGATGGAGTTGTAAGTGGTCTCGTGGATACCAGCGGACTCCATACCGAGGAAGGATGGCTGGAAGAGAGCCTCTGGGCATCGGAATCGCTCGTTGCCGATGGTAATGACCTGTAATTAACTGGTTAAACGAGCCGGGTGATTAAACAATTTTACCTGTCCGTCGGGGAGCTCGTAGCTCTTCTCGAGCGAGGAGGAGGAGGCGGCGGTGGCCATCTCCTGCTCGAAGTCAAGGGCGACGTAGCAAAGCTTCTCCTTGATGTCACGAACGATTTCTCGCTCAGCGGTGGTGGTGAAGGAGTAACCTCGCTCGGTGAGGATCTTCATGAGGTAGTCTGTAAGATCTCGGCCGGCCAAGTCGAGTCGGAGGATGGCGTGGGGAAGGGCGTAACCTTCGTAGATTGGGACGGTGTGGGAGACACCATCTCCGGAATCGAGGACGATACCGGTGGTTCGACCAGAGGCGTAGAGGGAGAGGACGGCCTGGATAGCGACGTACATGGCGGGGGTGTTGAAGGTCTCGAACATGATCTGGGTCATCTTCTCTCGGTTAGCCTTGGGGTTGAGTGGAGCCTCGGTAAGGAGGACGGGGTGTTCCTCTGGGGCGACTCGGAGCTCGTTGTAGAAGGTGTGATGCCAGATCTTCTCCATGTCGTCCCAGTTGGTGACGATACCGTGCTCGATTGGGTACTTCAAGGTGAGGATACCTCGCTTGGACTGAGCTTCGTCTCCGACGTAGGAGTCCTTCTGGCCCATACCGACCATAACACCCTGGTGTCGTGGTCGACCGACGATGGATGGGAAGACAGCTCGGGGAGCATCGTCACCAGCGAAACCGGCCTTGCACATACCTAGACAAAACAGTTAATTACCGAAATTTTTATAAGTTCTCTCGTAGAAAGTCTCTTTTAGTTGTTGCTCTTACCAGATCCGTTGTCAACAACGAGGGCAGCAACTTCATCGTCCATCATTTTGAGTTAAAAGGAAAGTGAGTTTTTTTTTTGGAAAAATAAGTTCACCAGGCGATCAGGAAAAGTGATCTGTGTCCGTTGAACTGCTACGGCTGCTCTTTATAAGTCTTGGAGGGAGCTCTCACCACCGATTGTGGCGCTTTCCATATTTGGAGATCGGGGCGCTCCGTTGCCCAAATATGGCAGTGCGCAGCTCCAATTGCCGAGCTCACAATCACCACCGCTCCTCTGCGCCCGTTGCTCGCATCTTGCTCTAGCAATCTTTGGCGTCACAGGCTATTCAGCCACTGACTGCACTCGATAAAGTTGATTAACCCACAGCACATTCACGGAATTACGATTCTTTTGCCATTGAAAATCTCCATCAATAGGTCCGGATAGAACCGTTTGTCTAGACAACTGGAATGTATAATCATTCAATAGACAAACATCCTCGCCTTTTCGAAAGATAAACCACCATTAACGTTCCTTGTTCATTGCCTCGTTTTGAACGATCGATTTTTCTTTGAATAGGGCTTTATTTTGTCTGAAAGTAAATCTTTTGTTCTCGAGCTTGAGCTTCACGAACTTGCTCGTAAAGCAACCGGGTTAGGAATAAATATATGTATCCGTAGTTCAACTTGTTTTAATGCGCTTTTAACATTTCAAAGATGCTGATTCAGTGGCGTTGCAATTTTCAAAGCAATCGACGGACCTCGTAAACGGTAAAAATCCGTTTACCTTCGCTATTGCCCGGATGTGTGGGATTTCAATAATCCCCGACTAGACGAAGTTACTGAAGTGGCTTTAGTAGAGGATACACCTATCCATAATATAGAGACGTGGTCTGCTTCGCAGCCGTGTCTGAATTCCCCTGAGGGGGAAATCATGATTCTGTCTGACGTGCAGCTTCAAGAGAGTGGCTTGGGATGAGCGAAGGTGCCCAAATTTGGGCACCAATTTTTACGACACGTGTACCCAGTGCTCAATTGACGTCAATCGGAATGAAAAACTGATATTTTCCGCTTCTTACTATGATTTTTTCGGATTTAGACGGAAAAGATAGAATGTAAGACAACGAGGCCAGGTGGATCGAGCGGCTCGGATCTACAGTCAAGTAAATTTGAAAAGCATAAAATTAAATATTTGCGTAAAAATGGCGGCGAAATATGGAGAACGTCAGAGATGATTTTTTACTATTTGCGTTTACGTTTTTCCGCAAACTTGGGATATTTACACGCCTGTGGGTTAGATTTCTACAGATATTCAAATGCATGCTATTTGCGGAATGTTTGCATTAGCTATGATTCCATTTATGGTCTTTAACGTAAAACTACGACTACTCAAATTTGATCAGCGGACACTTCCAATTCTCTTTCTAAAAGAGTAGATTCTTGCGAGCATAAACACTCATGTACGCGGTCTATTCTACAACTACAGAGCATGAATACTCGATAAAGACACTGTATTATTCAGGCGCGAAGAGGATAAATAATTTTCTCTCGAATAATTCAAGAGGCCACCGCAAAAGCCAGAAGCGGAAGCAGGTAGTGAGTTGGAAATTCTCCAGCTTGCACGGAATTCTTAATTAGCCCATTGTTGGCAAATTGGATACACGATGGCTTTATTGGCGCCAGTAAATCATGCCAGTACTGAGCTCGCACTCAGTCGACAAACGGTAACTTCGGTCCAGGGGAGCCACGCCCAAGTGGCACCTCTTCTGTGGCCCTCTGATCGTCCCGCCGGTAACACTTGTCCGATAAAATCACAAAAGTCAGACAAAAAACACAATCCCCGACCACTCTCACTGATTTGCTCAGGCGGAAATAAGTGGCAGTTGAGCTAATTAAACAAGCATTCTTTCTGCTAATTGGATCTGAGCCAGAGCATCTTCTCAAGGTCGAACTTTTTTCCAGTGCTTCAAGGAGAGTGGCCATTGTCCGCGGGTAAGTGATCGGTTTCCACAAGAAAGTTTATCAACTGCAACCGGCAACATTTTTATTCGAAGAACTCAATCCTCAAATGCTAATGTTTACTATCAAAATGACCTTTTTCCTACATTCCCGTTATGGCTATTTTATTCGCTCAATTTGACCGTTCGTTCGAGCATAAATTTCTCAAGCCCGACCTGTCTCTCGTCAAAAAATCAAAGCATCAAAGGCGTCCTCGAATAAAAGATTAGTTGAGCTTCATAAATCCACTGGTACCGACAAAAGATCAAACACGTCGAGTATTGACGGCCTCTTACTCCTGTTTATGTCGAAAACAAGATCCCATCCGTTTAACACCGGAAATATGAAAAGGTTTTATTTCTTCTCCGGTTCGGAATAAACCTGTCGCAGTCGGGAAAATCCTTCCGGTTTCATCCTTTTTACGCGAAATCCCGTCTCGAAAGGATATCCAAAAGTTGAACAAAAGCTTTGGTTCCAAAAGGGTGATTGAGGAGTGGTCGTCATTTGCCCAAGTCGTCATCTGCCCAAGTCGTCATCTGCCCAAGATCGTCATCTGCCCAACTTGGGTAAATGACGACCTGGGTGAATGACGATGTAATTGAAGTCAAAATTTAATACAGTGGATTAAATTGGTGGAGGTTAATAGGTTGCCACAGACTACTCGCAGGATGTGGGCCTCTTATCACATCAAATTCGAAAGTTTTTCTTTAAAAAACAATTTCATCTGCTATAATCTGGGACATTCGCAGTGCGAGATTCGCACCGTATCGAAAAGCAAGGTGTGGGTATACCCTTTCTGAGCAAGGCTTACTAACGCTTGGCGTCGGAAAATGGTGCAAATTTAGTCGGTTTTTTTGTTTAGTCTGAATTTCAGATGAAATTTAGTTTGAATTGATTGAATTAAAATGTCGATGCGGAACAGTCCCACTGGAACCAAGGGTACTCCGCAGCCGAGTCTCGTGAAAAAGTACACAAAAGTTATGAATCTCTCCCGGAAGCCAACTCCAAGAATGGTTGAGACTCTACCGTAGGGTATTCAGGAGATTTTTAAGAAAGACTTTCTCTTACTATTTTTCTGATCGAGGCCTAATCGAGTAAATCTTTGCAATCAAAAAATATCGACCGGACTTCCGGACTTGTACAGTGATGAGTCCGCTCCTGTGAAACACAAAAAAGTGATTTTCAAATTTAAATTCAATTACAGATCGTCTTTCACCTAAGATCGTCATTTGCCCAAGTTGGGCAGATGACGACTTGCGCAGATGACGACTTGGGCAAATGACGACTTGGGCAAATGACGACCACTCTGATTGAGAAGCAATAAAGACGACAATAACCTGCGTTGATTCACTCTTTATATTATGCTCAAATGTCGTTAATCAACTAATTAATGAGCTAAGCTGATTCTGGGCTTTTTGATAACTATCAGATTTTACTTTGAACATTCTCCTCTGGAAAATATCAGACTCTTCCAGGATGCGCCGTTCTTCCATCAAGAGCGGGGCCTCCACGTAAGAGTCCTCCGCGAACTTCAGTTTGCGATTATTTCATTCTAGCGTTGATCTTTCCAAAATAATCACTTGACTGTTTGACAAACTTTGACTAACTGAAAAAATAAAGAGTAAAATTCAGAAAAATGTACAGACACTCATGTCGGCACTTGTCCCTTTCGCAGAGTTTGAGCAAGCGAGGAAAGATCAAGAAGATCATCCTCAATAGAGTTGGAGAACAAGAGTTCAACCACAACGAAATCACTAACCAGTCAGCTGAAACTGTTGAAGACGAAAGTCCTCTTGCAATTTATGGTGAGCTGGCGCACACTCAGCCAGTCTATGCGAATGTCTTTCCGACGAAATATGGCGTCAAGAATTCGTTCGATACGATGGGGCACTATTTGTACTCAAACCAGAACAGAATTAACCCTTATGATAGCTTCGAACTTATGTGAGAAAAATGTTTATTTCTGCCGCTATATTATTTTAGTAACAAAATGCCCTACAAGGCCCCACGAACGCAAGAAGAAGTAGCAGCGCGAAACGAAGAGCTAGAAAAGAACATTGAAGAGTTCGACAAAAACTTTGGAGCCGTTTACGATTCATCGAGCATCAGAAAGAACTGGATGAAGAATCTTCAGAAGTTGTCATCGAGAATTACCGGCAGTAGCAATATCACAGAAAATCTCTACTCAAAAGATATTGAAAGCAACTTTTGGAAGCGGTTTTTAGTCAATTCGCCGTATCATATGTTTGGCAGGGCCGAATGCTGGGATATTTATGAACGAGCTCATCAGGTAACCAATTATTTTTTCGATTTCTTCTTCATAACTCCATTCAGGCAATGAAGAGAGAAAACTGGGGCAACCAAGTCAGCCAAGTTGGAAAAGACGCCCTTGACGGATTGACCGCAGGGCCCTTCAAACACAAAATTCTCAAAGAAGTTGAAAACGCAACGATAGAATGGGAACTCGTAGAAGTTAACTCCGGCTCGTTAAAAGAACCGGTGCTTCTTTCCTTGGACGTGTCTGATAGTCGGTACGAAGCTGCTGATGGAACCAAGGTAGAGAAACAAATTGATAAATATCGGTGAAACTCGTTTTAGTATACTTTTGCGACAGTGAGATTACAGTCGAAGCAGCGGCTGAAAGTGTGGGATAGAATGGGCAACCCAGTTATTGAAGATCAAGAGCCTCGAGACGTCGATGAAATCGTTACTTTTGTACACATGGTTCCCGATCCAAGCTTCCGCGGCTGGCTCATTTGGGACAAGGTTCATCCTCTGAACTTTCTACATTCTATTTATAATTTTAGGAAAATTACTCGGGCTTTGAAATTCCAAATTCGAACAAAACAACCGTCGTGGCTAGACAAAAAGAAATCGTCGACGATGCGGACAACTTTTTAAAACAGCAAATGCACTCGAGCTACAACCACTGGACTGGCGACAAAGATTACTTGCACGACAGACGACGAGAGTATTATCACAAAGGATGGAACTACGGCGGTACTCAAGAATCCGAAAGTATAGCGGGCGAAGGTAAAAAAGTTGATTTTCAAAAAAATATCTTTTTCAGGTGGTTTGGAGCACCAAATGAAGTCGATGGTGTATTACGAAAACAAGCATCCGTCGATGGCTAAGCGACGACTTTTGTACGCTGGTTTGCCGATGGAGTTAGACGGGACTCCGTGGGAGCTTCATTTGAAGCGAAAACGCGCTTTGATTCATTACAAGAGAGAATCTGGAGATCTACCAAAGAAGAACTATTCTAATGTTTGGACTCCTAAAGGACGCCGCCCAACCTAATTTAATAACTACTCTTCCATCTATGAATTAACTTGAATTTAGAATGAAAGTCGTGATTCAACGCGTTTCCAGAGCCTGCGTCCGAGTAGAGAACGAAGTCGTTGGTCAGATTCAGAAAGGACTTTGTGTTCTTGGCAGGTGCGCATTGATCGAGTTCAGAAAATCTAAAATAATCGCTTTTACAGTCGGCGTGCACAAGACGGACACAGACTTCGATGCTAAATGGATCGCTAAAAAGTTGTTGGCAGTAAGGCTTTTTGAAAGTGATGACGGAAAGACGTGGAACAAGAGCGCCAAGGATCATGGATACGGAATTCTAGCTGTCTCTCAATTCACCCTGTATGCCTTTTTGAAGGTTTGCCGGACGGGCATAATGATTTTAATGAAAAATTCTAGGGAAACAAACCCGATTTCCATCTCGCAATGGGTGGCGACGAAGCGAAGCGACTCTTCGATTTGGTCGTTTCTGAGATGAAACAGAATTACCAAGGTTTTCCTCAAAATAATTTCATAATGACATTCTTCTGTTTAGATAATAAAATTGAAACTGGTGTATTTGGAGCGATGATGGAAGTGGACATAGTCAACGATGGCCCAGTGACTATTGAATTCGACTCCACCGAATCCCGACCAAAGAAATAGACAATTTGAAGGGCAGTCAATTATGAACTGGCGGTGTTCTTATTCAGAATGGATTTGATAGGAGCTTACTCTGACTCGGACTCAGAAGAAGAACAGCCGGAGGTAGAAGCAGAAGAACCAGAAGTACAAAAGGTCAAGCCAAAAGTGAGACTGCCTCCACCAGACCTGACCACTGCGTCAACTCGAGCAGATGAAGTGAAGAAAGTTATTTACAGATCGCAAGTAGAGTACTTGCTGAGTTTCTCAAAAATAACTGTTGTGTCTGTAGGACTCCGTCTTTGTCAGCAACTACGATCGAGAAGAGCAAGCAGCGCGCAAAGTTTTGGGTAAACAGAAGGATTTTTAACAAAGATTAATCTTTTTAGAGCAACATGTCGCACTCACTGACAATCAAGCGCACAAGTTTGAGAAAGAACGAGACGGGAAGAAGATTTGCTGGAATTTCAGGAAAGGGCGATGCTATAAAGGTCACAATTGCCCGCTATATCACGACGGCGATTTGAAGAATACAGTAGTAGCAGAGAAAAACATTGACCAGCACGTCCGGTATTGGCTTCAATAACATTTCAATCAGCTATTAAATACTCAGAATTGCGAATCGAGGTCCAAGCGACAGTGATATGAAGCGCTTGCTCGCAGCTGATCATGCAGACGATGAGCCAGGTCAAATCGCTAGAAAGAAGAAGCGGCATGGACTGACTGACAAACTTGCTCCTGTGAAAGGAGCGATGAAGAATCTGGAAGAGCTCGATCGAAAGCGAAATCCTCACAGATACATGCCCCAAAAACTGCCCGATAATGCTGTGATAAAACAGTTTCCAAAATAGTCAACATTTTTTATCACAAAACTATTTATACAAAAATTCAGAATGGGCGCAGGAAAGCGAAGATGAGTAATCAGAACTCAATTGTCAGCGATCTCGATGTTCGCCTTCACATTTCGGCGTTTTCTAGGACAAAGGGGAAGGAATACTTTGTCAAATTCTTGTGCATCGTTTTCTTTCCCCTTTTGCCCTTGATTTTCTACTGGAAACCGTCTTGGTGGGCGCATGCAGCATTCCAAAAGTGTTCATTAAAAACTGCAACGCATATTTTCGTCAAACGTGGCGAAATAGAAGAGCTTGTTCCTGTCCAAATCATCAAGGCGGATGGCTCGCTTACTAACGCAACGACGCAGAATGTTTCCAGCTCTCTTGATAAGACAATGTTGGTAGAAGAGAACACAGAGTCGAGGTTATTCAAGTTCGGCGCTGTTCGATTCTTCTGGAATGAGAGTGAAAACAATTTTATGCGACAAGTCGCGCTTGAGAGTGGGCATTCCATTCAAGAAGTTGTATCGGGATTTTCGGAAGGGTTGACATCTTCGCAGCGCAATCAGCGACTCTCAAGATATGGCGCTAATACAATCGAAATCGAAGTAAAGTCTTACTTTGCCTTGCTCATCGAGGAAGTGCTCAATCCGTTCTATATCTTCCAAATCTTCTCCATCGTCCTTTGGGGCATTGAAGAGTATTTTTATTACGCTGGAGCTATTTTGGTTATAACAATTGTTTCAATTACCATCTCTCTCTACAAGACAAAAAAGCAATCACAGGATTTGCACGATATGGTCACAGGTTCCAGCATCGTTCAACGTTTTAATCAAGATATTGGGCAGTGGGTGGCTGTAGACTCGAGGGAGCTGGTTCCAGGCGATCTCGTCAAGGTTGAAGCTGGGCCTGTTCAAGCTGACATGTTATTTATCAATGGTACGGCGATTGTAAATGAAGCGATGTTAACTGGAGAGTCAGCTCCTGAGCAGAAAGAACCACCGACCGGTATCACTGGCTTTTATTCTCCAGAAAAACATAGACGGCACACTCTTTTCGCTGGAACGAATGTTATCCAAGCCAGGGCGCCTAGCAGTCAACCTGTTTGCACAGCGGTTGTGATCCGGACCGGTTTCTATACTGCCAAAGGCGACCTCGTCCGGTCGATTCTTTTCCCCTCTCCAGTTGGGTTTGGCTTTTACGAAGATGCGATCAAGTTTATTGGCATTTTGGCAATTCTAGCCCTAATCGGAGACGTTTACAGCACTTGGCTATTTCTCTCCCGAGGAGATAACATTAAGAAGGCTATCCTTCGCGTGCTCGATTTAATAACTGTAGTCGTTCCACCTTCTCTCCCCGCTGCGATGACTGTGGGTACGGTTTACTCACAGTCAAGGCTGAAAAAAGATCATATCTTCTGCATTTCACCGGGGAGAATCAATGTTGCTGGCAAGATTAAAGTATGTTGTTTCGATAAAACTGGAACACTGACAGAAGATGGTTTGCACTTTCATGCTGTTTTAAGTGCAGATACCATGACTGAGAAAATTTTTCAAAAGCCATCAATTGAGCTCGGGCAATCTTCACTGCTTCTTCACGCGTTAGCAACATGCCACTCGATCAGTTACGTTGACAAGGAAATGATTGGGGATCCGCTTGATATAAAGATGTTCTCGTCGACTGGATGGGAGTACGAAGACTCCAGTGAAAACGAGAAGCTCGAGTATCCAACTGTTAAACCGCCTTTAGGTGGATTGAAAGGACTTAAAATTTCAATCGTTCGTAACTTCCCATTCTCATCGGACCTTCAAAGACAGTCCGTCATTGTTAAAAACGATCTACAAGAACACCCCTTCATTTTTCTCAAGGTTAGTTTGAATGTCACTAAAGAGGCATTAATTACGTTTTCAGGGCGCTCCCGAGATGGTAGCATCCAAATGTACCTCTGTTCCAGTGAACTTTACGACAGAACTAGAGAAACTTACTCGTCGGGGCTACAGAGTACTAGCACTTGCTGGGCGGGAGATTAAACAATCAATGGATGAGATTCAGAAAATAGAAAGAGACGATTGCGAAAACAATTTGAATCTACTTGGCTTACTCGTTATGCAGGTTACCAGATATTTTCAATCACAGAATGCTCATTTTTTCTTTTAGAATCAGCTGAAAGACGCATCTGCTCCCACCCTTGCAGAGCTTGCCGCTGCCAGTATTCGAACAGTCATGGTTACTGGTGACAATTTACTTACTGCGATTGCTGTTGCACGAGATTGCGAACTCATTCCAACTACGTGTCCAGTAATGAAAGTCTCTGTCTCTGGATCGCCTCCTCAAATTCAATTTACGCCGGAGACTCCTCAATCAGGCCAGCCCGAGCAAGTTCCGCTTCAAGATCAGACTATCGAAAGAACACCCCTAGAAAGTATTGTGTCATTTAGAAATACCCATTTCAAAATTGATAATTATAGATGGCATGAGCAAGAATAACTGGCGCCTCGCAGTAACGGGCAAGTACTGGCAACTACTTCGCGATAATTTCCCGGAGGAACTGCCTTACATCGTTCAACGAGGAGCAATTTTCGCACGAATGTCCCCCGATCAGAAAGCGCAGTTGATAGAAGAGCTTCAAAAAATCGACTATCAAGTGATCATGTGTGGCGACGGTGCTAACGATTGTGCGGCTTTAAAATTGGCCAACGTTGGCGTCAGTCTTAGCGAAAGTGAAGCCTCCGTTGCTGCTCCGTTTACTGCCTCGTGTGGCGATATCAGGTATTTTTCAAATAGCTGGGACTGATTAAAAACAGGAAATAAGTTGCATACCCATTTTGTTGCGGCAAGGAAGAGCAGCATTGATCACCTCTTTTGGCACGTTCAAGTACATGGCACTGTACAGTCTAATCCAGTATGTTTCCGTGCTCATCTTGTACACTTTCGATTCTAACCTTGGAGACATGGAATTCCTGTGGATTGATCTTGGTATCACAACCACCGTCGCCATTTTCATGTCGAACAACGACGCCTGGCCTATTTTGGTAAATACATCTATCAAGAAAATATATTCATTTGAATTTATTTAGGTTAAAAAGCGTCCACCTGGATCACTTTTGAATCCGACTATTTTGATGAGTTTGATTCTTCAAGTCATTGTCGTCGTCGCCATCCAAGCCTTTGTCACAGTCGGTGAGTACTCAATCTTTTTTCAAATGATAAGTAATTTAAAAATAGATGTCCTCAACAAATCATGGTACGTCCCTGCAAAAGTGAACATTACCTCTGAAGACGAAGATATCATTGGGATGGTGAACACGGCTATTTTCTCTGTTTCGGCGTTTCAGTACCTCATTCTTTCTTTCGTCTTTTCGCAAGGGCCGCCTTATCGTACTCGCATTTGGAAAAATCTTCCTTTTCTCTTCTGTCTTGTAAGCTTGACAATAATGACCGCGATTATCTGCATCTGGCCTTCGCTTGAAATTACTAGAGGTAAGTTCTCTTTGATTCCTTGGTTTCTATCTCGTTTTTAGCTTTTGAACTCGCGATCTATAACAAGGACTGGGGAGAAGAAAACATAGGAACCGTTTAATTTGATTTCGATATATATAGATTTTTTGTTTATTGAATCTTCGTTAACAGTTTTAAAATATATTTTGAACGGGGAAAAGTATCTGAAAGCGAAGCTGTGCCAATTTTTTATCGAGTCAGCTTGATGTTTCTAGTGGCAATCCACTTCGTGATAGCCTATGCGATCGAAGAACTCATCTCCACCTCCAAACTTGTGCACAAGTTACTCAACATAATTCGCCGCAAGAAACTTCCGAAGAGCAAGTTCAAACGTCTCGAGATCGAAATTCAGACGCGCAACTCGTGGATTAGCTCCAGTACGATTTAATGCAAGCCCAAGCTTTTAAGAAACTCGCTCGCCACAGCCAAAAACACAGCCAATATTATTTACCGCAGCTTTTTACCTATTTATATAATCTTCTATTAATACAATCGTTAAGATTTCTATTCCTCTGCTCCGTTCCTTCAACTCCCTCCCGAATAACAAAAAAACTTCTTTATTTTCTGTAATCACCATTGTGCAATTCAATACAATGCTACCATTCGAGCCCTGTGTACCTACTTTTGTTATTTATTTTCAGTACTACTTCTAACCAAAAAGTGTTACACAAACTTTATATTTATTTGCATATTTAAATAAATCAGCATATACTCTATAATCCTCAGTAATAATGCATGAAATCGATATTTATGCATTTTTGGGATTTTAATCGTTAAATGACATCTGTAGTTAAATGAGTTCGTTTATTGCAGGCTTAACGTTTTCGGAACAGAAATTCCATCATCAGAGCAAGTTGCTTGCATAAAAACTTGACGATCTTTAATGAAAGGAGAGACTGACCTTGTCTTGTAAGAAAAATGAACTCATTGATCTGAGTCTCACTGATCTCATTGAATGAGTTCATTTTTCTTACAAGAAGAAGAAAGGTCAGTCTCTCCTTTCATTAAAGATCGTCAAGTTTTTATGCAAGCAACTTTTCTGATGATGGAATTTCTGTTCCGAAAACGTTAAACTCGCAATAAACGAACTCATTTTTGGGATTGCTTATATTTTGTTCTGGGTATTTTATATTAGTATCGATAGTCATTACGCATTAAATTTTGGTCTCGGCGTGCTCCTGTTTGCATTTCTATGAGTCTGACTAGACTATGACCTTGTGCGCCTGGCAAATATTTTCGAACCACGGCCCGGTTGTCGATTTTTCCACCATCGACTTTCAATAAAGAGAATTCTCGCTCAGAATGGCTTTGGCAGGACGGATAACTTTAGTGACTGGAGCAAGTAGAGGAATTGGTCGCGGTTGTGCGAAAGCTCTTGCCGACCAAGGAGCTACTGTTTACATTACTGGACGCAAGCTAGAAACTCTTTCGCAAACTGCTAAAGAAATCGGCGGAGATGTCGTTCCAGTTGTTTGTGATCATTCTGATGACGACCAAGGTTAGACTTTCAATTATCTCCTTCTTGATTTCATCAGCAACCATCTAGTCGAGAAATTATTCAAGCAAATTGACTCCGATAACGCTGGCCGCCTTGATATGATCGTGAACAACTGCTACGCTGCAGTAACTACTCTTTTGGGAAAAGATAGTGCACAAGCTGTAGATAAATTCTGGGAGCAGCCTCCCCAAATTTGGGATACCGTCAACAACGTCGGGCTAAGAGCAAATTACATCGCCTCTGTTTATGCTGCACGGCTAATGGTTCCTCGGTTAGAGTTTATAGGTGATCTAACAAACTTATTATTTATTTATAGTGGTGCTGGGCTCATCGTAAACATGAGCTCTCCTGGGGGTCTCACCTATCTTTTCAACACTGCATATGGTGTCGGAAAAGCCGCTCAAGATCGAATGGCTCAGGACTTCAACGTCGAGCTCCGCGGAACAGGCGTCAAAGCTCTCTCAATCTGGCCAGGAGCTGTCAAAACGGAACTAATCGTTGAAAATATTCTCGAATCCGACAGGTGATATTTTTACAATGACTCCAACGAGTACGATTTTAGTGATCAACACCACATTCAAGCAGCGAAAAAGGGCTTTGAAAAGGGGCAGACGCCTGAATGGGTTGGAAAAACAGTTGCCGCGTTGTTGACCGATCCCAATATTGATTCTAAAGCTGGACGTGTCATCTGGTGCCATGATGTAAAAAGAGGACTTTCTTCATTGATTTAATTTTTTTAAGATTGCTGACGAGTTTGATATCAAGGAAGTCGACGGAAGCCATGTCACCAGCATCCGTTCACTTCGCAATAGCATCGCTGCGTCTTACATGGCTAGGAAAGTAGATGCACCAGCATTCCTATCCTTAATTCCAGAGACACTTTTGATTCCATCGTGGCTGTTCAAAATCGGTCTTTGGATGCGTGGAAACAAATTCTAAAATTTATGAGTTCGTTTTCTTTCTATTGATAAATTCTTATAGAACAATTTCACTGCTAATTATTATTAATAAACTATGATTGTAGAAAATGGCTTCAGTAAAATTTTTTTGGCGGAGCATAGATATTTACGTTGAAAATTCGTGGATTACGCAACAGGTGCGACGCCAAAAATTTCAATCGTCTTATGCAATAACCGCCTGTCGAAGATGCACCAGGGAATAAGCGGCGCTGGAGGTGGTGCAGCGGCGCTCGCCTTTGAAGTTGTTTTGAATTCTTGAAAAGGTACAGAAATTCGTCTCTTCATGAATATCATCTGTCCTTGATCCAGTGCGCTAAATATCGTGGAAAACCTTTTGAATTTGAATTTTGAAGTTTCGAATTGTAATTATGATAGTGTTATCAATGAGACAAGCGGGAGCGGAAAACGGTGATCTCGGATTTCGATCGGGCTTTATTTGGATCGAAGCTCTCTTATCGCATAAATGAAGCTGACTGATAATGTCTTACCGAAAGTAAATCTAGCGCATTTAGTTCAAGACTCGCTGCTCGTAGAAGTAATTAGTGCCGAGGACCTGAACCGGAAGAGGCAAAAATAAATGATCAGGCACCTTTTGGCCCGACTCTTTGTCCCGCTGTATTATGCCCCGGAATATACAAAGTGAGCAGTTTTGATTATTTTTCTGAGCCTTTGCTCAGCTTGCGCTCATCCCCAGGCTCACGCTCAGGCCCACGGAGGGTAGAAGCTCTAAATTTTACAATTTTCCAAATTAGCGCCGATCAAGGCTCTTAGGCAAAAAGTAAAAAGTACATTCTTGGCGCTGGCGAATTCTAGTGCTTTGATCAGCAGCCCCGTTCATTACTCCACTTTCCGGTGGCGCGAAAAACAACGCAGAAATTTCAAACAAATGTCAAATTACAATTTCCAAAAGAGTACCCCGGTGTTCATATCCGCCCTTGAATTCGTGCTTATTTAGACAAAATTAGTCTCTTGGAACTACCTTTGAACTCTTTTATCAAGAAAACGCTTCGACTAGAATTCTACTCCTCCAGAAGACAATCAAATTGAAAAGCTTGGTCTGTGAATAGCCGTAAAGGCTGAGAAATTGTCTTGTAGGTCATAATATTCTCATCTTGTTGTGCCAAAATTGAGTGAAAATACCAAAAACAGAGTCTCACGCACCAAGATTGTACGAAACGAGACAATTCGAATCATTGCATTTTGACTTTTGCGGTTTCCAAGTAGCCAGGTGATATTTAGAGTTGAACACGGAACAGCATTGTGGTATTATCATGTGATAATAACGTAAATCTACAATTTTAGCGTGCAAAAATTGATTCAAAACGGATACAAAGAATCACCAATTTCACAATTTGCGAAGTTCTACTGAAGAATTGTCAAGTCAAATTAGCCAAAGCATAAATAGCTGTCTAATATCTTTGCTGTTTTCTAAAATACCAGCGATGAAATTCGCACCTGCGCGTTTTCGAACGTATCGTGTTCTGCATTTTTGTTGGGCCCATTTCCGGCAGTTTGAAGTTTGAAGTTGGCATCCAAAAAGCCGGATGAGCGGCCGGTTGAGTCGGTTTTTATTTACGCGAAATGCGACGACTTTCCATAAATTAAATCGCACTTCGCGTTTTTCGTGGTGGATTAGTTCGTTTCCGGGACTCTCTTCGTAAGAAGTCCAGGAGTCCATTAGGAAAGGTAAAACGATTGTACATAAATTAGTTTGTCGTCATATCGTAAGAAAGAAAAGCCGCTTTTAGTGAAAAATAAGCCGGCGCTCATCTGATTTGCCAGTGACAGGTTCAGCCCTGATTTAGGCTCTAAGACTCGGGCTCCATTTCGGACAACGGATAATACGCTCCCGTCTTCCAACCGGCTTCAATTTGGAATAAAGAATATGCATAACATAAACATTTGATGAAAATCTGATGAAAAGCTTAAATTCCATTTCGAAATCTCAACGTGCGCTTCGCATTTTTATTAAAATAATCACGTGAAAGGGGAATCTGGTGATCTGGTGCTGGATTACTTCCGGTGGTTTCTTGTGGCGGAGGCGCTGCCAGACTCGTCGGCGGAAACAACATTTTGCCGCTGCGATTGAAAAAACATTTTCATTTCGTTTTCTCTTCTCTTTCACTCCACAAAAATACGACGCGCGTCACGGTGATTTATGGATTCAAATCAAAACACTATCTTTTTTCTCTCAAATATGCACGTACAAAATTACAGATGCTTGAAAATTTAAAAGAAATTATATTTTTAACAATAAGTTCACCCTAATATGTTGTCCGCTTCTTTATAATATAAAGCTTATATGCGGCAATATGCCCAAAAATGCTGTCCAGTGATATCCTTGCAGATTTATTATTGGGTATTTTTGCAGCTAACACATGATTATACCTAGTATTGACGATTGCTTAGAGGGTCTAAGTACCTAGTATCCTGGCATGTTTTAATCAATCTTAGCCAGTTTATCCTCTTTATCTGAACAAAGTAGGCCTCTCATAAATTTATCCCCCGACAAAAATAGAAAAAGAGAGCCAAGGCGTAATTTTTAGATGTATTTTTATTTCAAATAATATCTACAAATGAACCAGTAGTAATAAATACAGTTTTTCGAAAGAAAAGTGTAAGGGCGTCATCATCGTTAAAAGATGATTCTGCAATAGAAATCGCTGTTGACGCCCTTAGGAAGCACATGAAAAGACAACTACAGTCATTTATAAGACTGTAATCAATAATGTGTATGTAATAATTTGCACGGTATGAACATTTAGGATTACTGAGTTTTTGATGAGAATTTAAAATTGACAGAAGCAAAAAAATAAAGATGCGACTTTTTTTTATAGAACTTGGAACTTCCACTGCTGTGAGTTTTGTGCGGCAGCAGCAGCTTGGGCGGCGGCTTGAGTCGCGGGTTGTCCAGCGCTCGCGCCGGGGGCAAGGCCGGGCTGGGTCATCGACTGGGCTTGGTACTGGGCCATATTTGCGTTGTACTGATTGTAGAAGTTTGCCGCAACAGAGGTTGGCTCAGAGACAGAAGGCATGTTGCCCATGGAGCCGTAGCTGTCGAAGAATTGAGAACCAGCGGGCTAAAGTACGCGATTAGAAATTGAAAACGATGGTGCTTATTATTCCAGGGCAATTGGGGCCTAATGAACGTTTTTTGTTGCTTTTTGAGAAGTTACAAAATGGAGCGGTTGATCTCATTTCCTGCGCGTATAATTTCAAATTTGAGATTTTTGAATCCAATTCCAAATTGGCGAATTTTAACCCGTTTACGACGCCTAAGCAGTGCGAAATCCCCGGCTTAACTGTGTCCAAATATTGTTAATTTCAAATTTGGGACTGAGGGTTTTACAGGTGCGCGAAAAAATGAACACCAGATGGGGCGAATTTATACATGTATATAGTCGCATATTATTTTTAAACAAAACGGAAAGTGGGACTTGTTATTACAGGCGCGCTACCGGATTAAAACACCTGGAAGAATTGAAATCACGATTTATCATATTTACTTATATTAAAAAATACTGGCGGGTATTTACCTGGTCAAGAGAAAGTGAAGATGGAACGGGTGGCATAAGCGGGTTGGTCTGGTTGTCGATGGCTTCTATTTTGGTCTCGGGAGTAGCCCAGTTGGGGACGGTGTCTAGCTGATCCGGGATCGGATCGGCTTTCGTCGAGGGCAAGGAGAGGTTCGGCGTGGAGAGCGAGTTCGAGGACGTGTTGGGATCGGATGAAGTAGAGGCTTCGGCCACTCCACCGCCGCTGCCCGGGCTCATGCTAGATCTAGAGTTAGACGTTAAATTATGCAAAATTTAGCAAACACAATTACTGCTATTTCCGCAATTACGAACATTAGCTGGGTTTTATTTACGGGCTTAGATTGTTTAAGATTGTGATCCAATTTGGTGGCGTAAGCAAACCAGCGCCTCTTTTACAACGCCAGCGAATATGCACCATTTTACATATCGCTCGAGTCCACTTGTCAAACAAGACTAATTCACGTAACTTACGAAAAACGTTTACGAAAAACAAAGAATGGAACTAGCTGAGTAATAAGCCAATCGGATCAGCAGGCTTTTCCTTCTGGAAAGCGGCGCTCCACAGCGCCACCACTAAGGAATTATGCCAATCAGATCAGCCAGATTTAGGCGCCAAGTTTGAATCACAATTTTAGATCTTATTTTTATACAATAATGTTGTCGAAAAATTAATAAGTATGAAAAATTATATTTGTTCTGCTTACCTTCCACTATCACTTGGAGAAGTTCCATTAACGCCGGTGACCTTTGCGGTGGGCGAACCCTCTTCCTCTTTCTTGATTGGAGTTGAGCTGGAAGAAGGGCTATCTGAAGATTTTTGCTGCTGCTGCTGGCGACATTTTGCTCGACGATTTTTAAACCAGACCTGAAAATTTCAATTTAGAAAAACTAAATCTTTTTGATTTCTTTTTGTTCTGACACCTGTATTTTAAATTTAGAGCGGCTGTGTTACGTTTTCATAGGTTTTAATTAATCGACATCCGAATAAGCTCCAACACAGCTTACGGCTGGGGAGAAGGTAATACAGTGGATTTGAAATTGATAATTTGCGGAAATAGCAGCCGAAATGGCAGTGAAGAGGGATTAGCCAGGGCGCTGAACCTGTCTAATGCCTCGGCCTTTCGCAATTCTGAAAATCGAAATAGAATTGATATTTCGAGTCCAAATCAACTCACTGCCAAATCCGGGTGCGCGTCAATAGCTACGGTTTAGGGGGTTTGCGTCAGTAGCTACGGTTGTGTCAATAGCTACGGTTGTGTCAATAGCTACGGTGCGTCAATAGCTACGGTTAAAAATGAGTCATAAGGAGCTTGAATATTAAGACACAGTTTAGGGTGGGCATCAACCTAAGTCGGGGCTGCCCGTTATTTCGAAAATTACAAGAATCTGAAGCTATCTAGGTCGGTCGGAAAGAGAATGTGGCCGTTTTTCGCTTACAAAAAATGATACCAATATGAAAAATACCTTATTTAGCCTTGATTCAATAAAAATTGTCCGACTATGTTACTTATTCAAATTTTTGCAAGCGAAAAGCGACCACACTCTCGTTCCAACCGACCTAGATAGCTTCAGATTCTTGTAATTTTTGAAATAACGGGCAACCCCGACCTAGGTTGATGCCCACCCTTAACTGTGTCTTAATATTTAAGCTCCTTATGACTCATTTTTAACCGTAGCTATTGACGCACCGTAGCTATTGACGCAACCGTAGCTACTGACGCAAACCCCCCAAACCGTAGCTAATGACGCGCACCCGCCAAATCCACTTATCCGACTTTCAATTTTGGCACGTTAAATACAGTTACTGTTGGTGGTCCTTTATATGAGGAAAAAATAGAACGCGCTAAGCAAAATTGAATAAGAAGTTGAATCATGAAAGTTCCTAAAAGCTCCTCTGAGCGCCCTCTAATGCCATTGGCTTAGATGACCAGTGCGTATATTGCAACCAAAGAGCCAATTTACGCGACAATTATTTTCACTTTCAATGTATAACTATTATTTTGGGTCCCGGGCGCGAAAAATGCGCACCTGGCAATTTCATAAAAAATGATGAATACTTTCTATAGTTGCAAAATTGACTCGATTTTCTAAATTCATAAAATTTGATAGAAAATAGAATAGAAATTATTGCTCTGATTTACCTGGACGCGCGATTCTGGGAGTCCGATTTTCATGGCAACTTCTTCTCTCATGAAGATGTCGGGATATTTGGTTTTGGCAAAGAGCGATTCCAAAATGTCCAGCTGGGCTCGAGTGAAAGTGGTCCTTTCTCGTCGTTGTTTTCGTGGAGGTCCTTATTGTTTAAAGTTAACTTGATGAAATCGAGGAGATTATGAAAATATATCAAAATATTTGGCCGAGTTATTATAATTTTTGGATTGAAAGCTTCTAAGCCAGAAGATAATCCTAGCTGGAGAAAGGGGCAGTTTCCTTTGTGCTATCAAAACATCTAAGAAAGGGGATTTTTGTTATTACAGTACCGGAATGCGCGTTTGACACCCGAGTTCAACTAAAAATCGCGATCATCCGACTCAACCGAGCCAAATAAAATAAACTCAACAATCAGTTCCGCCCTCTGATTACCATTCTAGATCTATCCTAGTAGACGGCTCCAAAAAGTAGATGATCAGAGTCTCTTTTCGATTCAAGGGTGCAATTTTGGCGCTGCGAAATTTTAAAATTGCACCAATATTTGCATAGAGCTGCGCCGGAAGCTGTCATTAACTCGGATTTTCGAACTGTTAGGGTAAACATACATTTACTCAAAAGTCACCCTTCTTTTCTGAAGTAGCTGTAAGAGGACTTACCGTAGAACTCGCCGTAGAAGGGAGGCATTCCGTAGAGGCCCATTCCAGGGAGCTTGTTTTGCTGGAGTTGGAAGGAATTGAAGTAGTTTGCAGCCATTCCAGATGCATCAGAGGTGGGGATTCCGCCACCGTAGTTGCCAAGGCTGTCGGAACCGCCTGAAATTTGTTTATTTATTAGGATTTTTATAAAGAAAATCAGAAAAAACGGAAAGTCAAACTGGTATGCATTTAAAATTTAGATTTTTATCAAAATTAAAGAGAAAATACTAAAAAATTGTAATATCTTTCTTTAATTTTTTTCATGAATGTTGCGCTAGAAACTTACCATAACCGGGAAGAGCCTTTTGCATGAGGCTAACATCAGTGATGCTCGGCAAGCCGCTGGTTCCATAGGGTCCCTTGAGGTACGACATCAGGGTTGGATCAATTTTGTCCATCTCTACTCTTGTGTGCGTTGAATTTAGGACAAGTAAATTCTAGTGCTAATCGGTGATTTCTACTGGTGAGCGAGGAAAATCGGTAAAATCAAATTTTCGTGGTGTGTGAGGGTTTATCCGTGGATTTGTGCGCTCTGGACTCGGCTCTGGTCAGTTTCAGATGGGCTAGAACGCCCCTAAGTGACCATATTTGCCACTCTTGAGCAGCATTATCCCGCCGCAGTGAAAGTGGCCGCGCGGTGGCGCTCCGAGGTAGCTCCACGCCGAGTGCTTGATCCAGCACCAAGCGCCAGGCGCGGCGCGACGATCAGCCGCCAGCAGCGGACCCAGCACCGGGCTCAGCCACAGCTCAGCTGGCCGGCCTGGCTCAGCTCAGCCCGCTCAGAATGACAAAAGAAAGATCATTACGTTCACATTACCTAAAATATGCAAAGTCACACATTTTTGAAGCGATTTTTGAGGGAAATGACACTTTAGCCTTGATTCATCTTAATTTTTCGTCACTTTCAAGGTCGTTTTATGAATTTGACGTAAATTTTTAGATCTAAATTGAGAAAAAATAGTTTTAAGATTCAATTTATTTATCTTATCAAAAACTTCTGATTAGAGAAAATACTCATTTTTATCGGTCGAAAGTTCACTGTGGTTTTCGTAACACAACTTTTGATAGAAAATATTTTTCCCAAAAATTATGGCTTGAACAAACGATAATGAGGGAATAAAAGCTAGAAAGTGACACAGGAAGGGATTAGTTGTAGTGGATCAAGCTCCCGGAGCAAAGTGGAGGAGCCTCCCACGCGGATCAAGACGAAGACAAAATGATTAAGTACCAGTTGGCACACGTACTTTCTTCTTTCGCAGCCAAACTTGAACTGTCGGCTACTGGCACGATCTAACAGGTTAACCAGTTACGTGAATAATATGTCCATTTAGCCATATTGTTTAAATCGGCTTTAACGTGACAGCAATGCGGCGGAGAAGCGATCAGAAAAGCCCGTTGCCCTTGACAGTGCCGCAGCTCGAGCTTATCTCCATGCCCTTCCATGCGGCATTGGTTCATAGCCTCTTTACCGACTCTTGTTGACCGGTACTCCGCCTTTTTTGTGCTAGATGCGATTATGGAAAGTAGATTTACTTCTAAAATATCAATCTTTTGACATTAATTTTTAAAGAAAAGAGAACTTTTAGAATCTGTAACTATTTTCATCCAATTTATTCTCGGCGGTATCTTTTCAGTCAAACGCTCTAGAATGCCAGATTCACTAAAGCGGCGTGAGAAAGGACTCCACCTCTCTTCTGGTGGAGCAAGATGGCGGCGGCGCATTGTTTGGCATAAAGGCAGCGGGATGATCCGGCAGCGAGTTTAGCACGGCATTCGTTGATCGAGCCAGAGTAGCTAAACTGGCTTATAATCCTGCTCCCTGATGCTTAGGCCTCTGGGAGCTCTCATGGCGAAAGGTACTCTTGTCAGCTTTGCTCCTGTTGATGGTTGGTGTTGCTGGTGCATCAGAGCACCAACTTTCTGACTCCCAAATGCATAAACCCAGCGAGCATTCAAACACCATTCGCGCAAAGAGCCGTTGCACCACCAACACCAGTTTAGCCGACCTAAGACGTAAATAAACCGAGAAAAGACGTAGAATCCCACTTATTACAGTACTTTCCAGAATCACTTAATACTTCAAATACAAAAGCAATGCTGCAGATTATAAAAAAAACACCGATTATTAAAAGAAAATAAAGTAACAGCTAATTAAGACAAAAAATTATATTGAAACAGCTTATATTCTGGTTTTCGGTAATATTCGATAGGGGTAAAGCGTTCGCAATTTAGCAGTCGCTAGGATGTGAGCCGGATGATCCCATCGAGACATCCATTAGCCAGAGAGCGTCCACTGTTATTTTCAGTTACCGAATCGATGCCATATCATATACCATCGTCGCAGGGGTAGAATGTGAGTCCGCGCGCGTGTGCCCAAGTCCAATCCGGTTTTAGTGAAATGAAATCGCCTCAAAGCGAGCCCCACCGTCAAAATAAGCCGATTTCGATATATAGAGCGGGCCATTCTGCTCGATTACTGCCTCTACTCATGCCAGCTAGTTTCACTCAGGTCAGTTCAGCAGACAACTGGTAAATTACATTTCCAGTTTTTTCGAGCCTCCTATCGCAAACCAAGCGCGTGGGGGTCCCGGTGGGGGTCCCTTAACCGCGAATACATTTTGCACCTCGACCACATGAAGGGCATTTGGAGTGGGCATTTTTCGACAAATAGAATTGAGATTGAGAATTTGTTCGTTTACAAATAATTCTGCGCCTGATCTGATCGCGCAAATTCCCATGGGTTGGATTGACTCCTGCAGAATATGGTGTGCGGTGGTGCTCCTGCGGAATCCAAAGCTTTGATATGCCGCGCGTATTATACATTGAAGGACAAAATTCTCGAGCTATGGAAATTGTTTATCTCTTGATTTCTGTACTTGATGCTTGGAAGAAGAGGCGACTAGAATTTAAGAATGATTGCTTTATTTGAGCAGAAATTTTCCAGCCCATTAGATTAAGTACCAAAATAAGTTTTCATTTCTGTTCACTGGAATTTACAGCAGCTGATCGCGTAAATCGCCAATTTGGCGCGAAATTCGAAAAAATATTTTCAGTGCGCGCGTATGAGCACCAGCTCAGCTGTGAACGGATGGGATCGAGCTCGCGTGGATTGAGCCTCACACCTCCACCAACACCAAATAACGGATTAGTGGCCAGATTAGCCAAGAATTTCTTCGATAAGCAGAATCCTGAAAATACGTGTTTACGCAAACACTTATCATTTTCTTCTAATAAAAAGTAAAAGAATCAATAAAAGGGGTAACGTCAAAAAGTTTTCTGAAGATTTTGAAGGTTCAAATAATTGCAATTCTAGTGTGAATAATCACAGTGCTCGGTATTGTGTTAACAATGTGTGTTTTCCTCGCTCGGCGGTCTCCGGCGGTTTCAATTTCGAGACTTTTGACGCGACCGTGGACGCGCCACGCTCAAATCTCAAAGAGCAACAGTCGGCTCATCCCCACCATTTACAGCGGGATCAGCCGACTTTCTAAAATCAGTCCTTTTTCTTTCTGTCGCTGATAAGTTTTTTACGGAAATTGATTCGCGAGTTCAAGCAGACCCCACCGCCCAAATCAGCGCGGATGAGCCGGGGTGATCGATTCCATCCCCCAGCTCTAATCCGCCCATCAATTTCAAAATTATCGACACAAGTGTTATTTTGGACTCCAGATTGAAGACAGAAAATATGCCATTGCAATAGTTTCCCGTTGATTCTTCCCAATTCTATCCAAATTAAACTCGTTGATAAAAATTCACGTGATCGTTTCAAAGACCATAAATTTAAAGACTATCAGTAGAAAGGGCAGTTTTTGGGGACCGATGAAACACGCCAGTGATTACAAACACTTACTGACTTCCCAACTATGCTTCGGCAAGTGAGTATAAAAACTTCCTTACCTTACGTTATATGAAGGCACAATATCTTTTATAAGAAAAAATGAACACAAACACTTTTCTCACAATGAACATCCGAGGGTACCGTTTAAAATCTGTAATTACAGCCGTTTGCAATGCTAAGATAACAATTGTTATAATAAAAAAATATTTATTTTCAATCAATATCGAATGTTTAAACCTAATAATTTTCTAACTTCACTTTAGTTATCAGATTAGACTGAAGGCACTAGGGTCTTATGTAAGGTAATTGAATGGCTTTGAAATGATAACCGCGGAATGCGTTAGGTCCATTATGTCTTAGTAAGGTTGAGTCTCAGACTAGTGGCACCAGAAGCGTGCCAAAGCCGCTGTTTTAGTGGGAATTTGAACACCATTCCTTTCAGGCATTCTCTTCTAGCTTTCGGATTTAGGAGCCGTGGGACGCTTCTGGGCCACTGTCGGAAATGCGCCCGCAAGCATGCTTTTGGAATGGGACGAGCACCGATTTTGGAGCGTTTTTCGAGAAAACGACGAATTATGCCAATTATGGGAAATACGCCAAATGTGAATTCATGAAAAATCGTTTGAAAAAGTCCTGTTTTTAATAAAAGTTGACGAGTTTTCTTTGTAGTTATCATCTCAGGTGTTCAATATTAATCATACATAAGCACTAAAACACAAAATTTCCCACTGGTACTTAAGATCTCTTTATATTCCTCGGTTGGAAATAAAATCTTCTAGAGCCGGATTAAGGCACCTGACTCCAAGTGCGCCATTTCATCACCACGCGAAATTCCCATGAAGAGCGAATTTCGCGAAGACGACCATTTGCATCCAAATCGGCACGGCTCGATAACAGGATCATCCAGTAATAGGAGACACTCTGAGCCACAATTTTCGATAGTGAGCGCCCGATTAGTATTCTTTCCCACCGATTTAATGCTACCGGAAGAGCTCAAGAATACGAGGTCCCGGCCCGGCTGAAAAGAAGCTGAGGAGAAAATATATTCTGAGAAAGGCGAGAAAAGGGGATTAGCTCGATTTGAAGAGTGAGCTCGCTGAGGCAGAATTGATTGAGCTCTCTATTCATACTGATTGATGAGAAAACCCATTAGAATATGGAAATAATGAATCTCAAATAGATATCATACTTTTGCCGATGATTTTTAAAGTTGATGATGCCAACGAAAAATAAAGAACGTGTCGTAATCTCGTGTTAATAACAAGCTAATTCTGATATTTGTGAATGTCTTGCGGTGTGATATTCTCGGTTCTGCTCGACTCCAATCTGGTGGAGGTGTGCGCCGACCGCAACGCTCGCGCCGCCTGTCTGGCGTCCTCCGCCAGATTCATCCCTTTTGATTTTTTCATTATAGTTATGTGATACTCTTGGGCTTCCGACACCACATGTAAATTTTCACGAGCGCAGTCAGACTGGGCGTCATTAATCGTAATCTAAGACAACGAAAATATTTCACTTGAAGATTTGTGGTTCACGCGTACTTCTAAGCGTAAACCAGGT